GGCTATATAATTTAAGTCTCTTTAGGCTATCTATCTTATATTATATTATTATTATTAGTATTAGTAATATATAGTTAGAATCTGCTAATCTAAGAGTTTCTTATTCTAGTAATATCTTAGTCTCTGCGGCGCTTTATAGGATAGCCTTTAATAGCGTTAATAATACTAAATAGGATAATTACTTTCTTATTCTCGCTTTCCTCGAGCTTCTCCTATATAGGCGCGATACTAAGAAGCGTAATAGTAATAGAGTAGATAGGTATATTTAGGTTCGTAAGATAAATAGGAGTAAAAAGAGTAATATAAGCGATATTATTACTTAGCTATATAGATACTCTATATAACTTCTACTTCTTCTAATTATTATATTACGCTTAGAAGGCTTCTTAGTTTAATTATCCTAGGATTACGCGTAGTCTTAGGCCTAGTTATTTAATAGTGCCTAAAACTATCTAATTTATAATATTATAATATATAATATTATAGCCTTATATATCGCGGATAGATAGATATTAATCTAGTTAAGAGAAGTAGGTATCTCTGTATATTTAGTATTTTACTAAAGGATTAGCGTTAAGGCTATTTAAAGGGTTTTTTCTATTAGGCTCGTACCGAATATTATTCCTTATATCTTAGCTAGCCTATAGCTTAAGAGTAAGTGCCTTTATCTATAATTATATTTCTCTAAGCTTCTTATCTTATTTATCCTAACGCTAAACTTAATTAGCGGTCGGTTAATAATATTCCTAAGGCTTTATAATAGTAATAGATAATTATTATAGGGGCTAAGGCTATTATTTATATTTAGTGTTACTTAGAGAAGATTCGATAATTAAAAGAATTCTCTAAATATTAGTTTTCTCTCTAATATATAATCTAATAGCTATATATACCTCCGAATAAGTAATTAGCGTTCCTCTTAGTAGCTACTTACAAGAATATCTTCTAATAATCTTCTCCTTAAGCTACTATTAAAGTCCTTAGATAAAAAGGCTTACTCTATTTATATTGCTAACCTTACCTTTCGAATAAATATAGCTAGAGATATTATCGAACTTATTAAGATATAAGCGAATATTATCTTATATTATTCGCTTAACCTATATAAGGAATTAAAGGTATATCTTTATATACCTTTACTACTCGCTATTATTATTATAGAAGTGCTCTAAGAAAGCTTCCTTAAAGGTATCTTAGTCCTTTCTTAGCTAAGAGTCTTATCTCTTTACCTAAGACTTAGTGACCTTCGCGTAATACTAAGGTAATATACCTATAATATCTTTATCGCTTTTAACGCTATATCTAATATATATATTCTATAGCTTCTCTAAGAACTCAGAGATATCGGTCTTATTAAAGTATAGTACTCCTAGGGATCCTAGAGCTAGTAATATAGAGAAATAAGGCACTTAAACTATATAAGGATAAGGTATAACTTATACCCTACTAAGCGATTTAGCTAAGGATAATAGTAACTAGTACTTATAATCTATATTATCCGTATAATTATTATTACTTAAGATTAATTCGGATCTTTCTAATATAAGTTTATAGTAATCTATAAAGATTAGAATACCCTTAAGGTCCGATAGCTTAGGAGCTATTATACCTTATATATTATACGCTATTACTTACTTATAGAAAATAGATAGCTTTTCGGCTAAAAAGAAATACTAACTCTATACACTTTACTTTTAATTATATCTCTTTAATAATTCTTCTTCTTCTTCCTTTCTTCTTATTAAGGCCGCTTCCTCTTCTTATAATTTATAATATAGAATTATTTATATTAATATTATTTATATAGTAGAGTACTATAGCTATCGGATACCTAGGTACCCCTACTTAGCTACTATATTTAATTAGATAGGCTATATCTTTAGTAATATCTAAAGTATCGCTATATCTCTTATATATTAGTCTGATAGTATTCCTCGTAGGAACTAGGTATATTTAGGAGAATACTATATCTCGGCTAATCACTCTTATTTATCCGCACCGACTATATACCGTCGCAATTATTAGTAAATATAGTCTCCCGCTTAAGGTCTCAGATAGTCTTATAGCCTTTAGGGTCAAACACGATCCCTACCCTTTAGGTGTGTGTTTCTTCGTATAGTGATATACCTTAATAAAAGAGCCTTCCCGGGGACGCCAATATAAAATGGGAACGGCTCGATAGCTATCTGGCGATACAGACTAGATAATATATATATACACACTGCCTATCTGGTATAGAGGATACTAGATAAGGCCGTACTGATGCCCTGTTGCGGCCGTGCGGGATAATCTTAATACTATATTATAGATAGAAGAAATTGGGTGAATCCTAAATGAATTAGGTAGATATCTTGTCTCTTTCTAAGTGTGTCTGGAGATATACTATGCAATGCAGACATTAAATCATGCCTGAGGCCACACATAGGCTCATTATGTCACCAGTTCTCCCACTACAATAGGTAATAAAACTAATCTAAAAGGGACTTATATAAGAGTTAATAAGCCTATAAGGATTCCCTATTATCTTTATCTAAAAATCTAGCGGCGAATAGAGGATATATATTAATTACTAAGCACTTAATTTTCTTATAAAGAAGAATAGCTACCTACTACCCTAGATCTAAGAGTTATTAGATCTAGTAAGACGCTTAAAATTCCTATCTAAATTAGACCTAGCCTTAGGGTATTAATAAATATATATAGGCGAGGATTCGATCCAAAAAACTATATTTAATATTATCTAAAGTAAGTATAGATAGCTTAGACTACTATTTAGGTTATATAATACGCTAGCTACCTTCTATCTAGTAGGCAAAAACCGGCACAAACGATACGCTTATATAAGCGAACTAAGTTATATTATATTTTTGCCTGAAAGTAAAAGTGCTTCAGATATTATATATCAAATCAGAATATTTTTATCTATTTTATTGAATTTTATAGGGGGGTTCAAAGTTGCTCTCCTTAAGCGGGTATGGATAGTCCAAAATTCCGAAAGAGGTTAGCGTTTGGTCCGAAATTTCTAAAGGGGAAATAGTCCGAAATGCATAGGATCGGCTTAGTCGAAAATACATAAGGTCAGACCTACATTTTAGACCAACCCGACCCTATGCATTTCGGGCTAACCCGACTATTAATATATTTTGGACTAACCCGACTATATATATTTTGGAATAACCCAACCCTATATATTTCTTACTATACCTATCTCCCTTTTTTTCGATTACTACTCCTTATATTCTATCTTTATCGCCTTAATATAGAATTTAATAAATAGCAATTAGGAGCCTTATTTTCTTGAACCCTATCTCCGCTATATATTGCGTTAGTAGGGTTCACTAATATCGTGCGGGTGTAGGTTCGGAGAAACACTTTATCCGCCTAGCCTCCGCGGCGAAGCGTAACACCCGTAAGCGCATTAAGGAGAGATAGAAGAAATAATAGGAGAGGGAGAAGACGGGCCGGCTAATAAAGTGCCTTATTAAGGCGCTAACGCGGAAGGTCTTAGAGCTATACGAGGGGCTATCGAAGCTATACGTATCTATCCTTATCTAAATAAGGTTAATATATATTAGACTAGGTCACTTCTTATATAAAATTAAAGAAAGGGAATCAGACCGCTATTATTACGAGTAAGAATCTTATACACCGAGATATATCTTACTCTAATGCCCGCTATATAGTAATCTGCGAAGTATTATACTTAATAAGGTCGCTCGCACACGGCCAGACCAACAACGCTCGCCTCCAGAACATCGCCAATCTGTACGACCCTACTAGAGTCTACCAGACTCCTCAGCCGGGATACTTCAAGCTTCATGGGCCTCCTCTGGCATACTCTCTCTAGAGGGTTAGAGATGTGTGGGGGGGGGCGTTCTCTGTATATTCATTCCTAGACTTCATTCTCTTCTTTGACTCACTCCTAAGATTTAGATCCATTCGCTATGGAATTGGGGGAGTAATAGCATGACTGTGTTCCTTGGAATGCCTATGAGCCATTTTCGTTAACCTTAGAACTGGAGGTGCCTCATCCACTGCGTTGGGTTTCGCATAAATCTGTTATGCACGTAATAGCGTGAAAGGATACTAATCATTCTCAATAGATGACACGACGGATACATTCTATTTCATCGAATGTATTGTGCATTCAAGATTAAGCAACTCAGGACATCTTCGATTGTTGTATTAGGCTCGACGTCAAGGGTATATCAAGTCTATCTATGTTCTATTTCTTGCGATTCCTACTACTACTACTACTATTACTATCTAGACTCTTACAATTTATGTTCTCTTTGGCCGGACACGTTGATGCCCCAAATTAATGTCATACTTTCGGTTCGTGACTTTGTGGCCCACGGGCTTCTATATTTCCACTTTGTTTACTATCCACGGGGTAGATTTTCTCGAATTTGGTCAGAAACCTACATAACAAAAGCCGATATCCGCTTATGGATTTTTACAATGCTGCCACAGAAGTATGAAAGACGTTGATCATATTAGGGGTAGAAATATGATCATGTACAAGAGGTCTAAGACTACCCACCAAAGCCTGTTTATACATTTTTTGAAATTTCTCAATTTACCTTTTGGGTGGTTGGGACTGCAAATATTCTCAAAGTAACAACGGTAGGCCCTGTATCGACTTGTGTTCCACCTGCATGACCAGGCAAGAACCATCTCACCAAATTATTCAGGACAACCATAGGAAATTCACAAGACCTAACGACACACATGTTGGGATAGTAGTATAGCCTGGAATGAAATCCCTCGGCCCAGGACATTAATGTAAATTCCAACAGAACCATGATCAAGAATGTAGACATGGTGTGTACACTGAGAGATCATTATCTGGCTATTGTGGAAGGCCATGTTGGTTACAAATAATTCAGAAAAGTGTTCTCTACTAACTATCTCGAGATATAAATACAGGAGAAAAGTACATCAGCGAGGAAAAATCACTTCTGAACAGATCCATTGACGAACATTCCACCCTGACTAATTCACATACATGCCGGACACACTACCTTGGTGATAGTAGTGGTGATAGTCTTGACGTGAGGACTACCAGCATCAGTCACCTGGGCCAGCGCGGCGGTGATCATCGATGAAGCATGGTGTCTATCCCGATGGTTGGCCACAAGCTCTGACGGCGTCGGGGTGGGAATCGTGTCCAATGTCACAGGGTGGGAGTAGTCTGAGCACCAACCAATAGTCTTAGGTACAATTCCAGGCTTCACACTTGAGGAGGTGCTGGCGGTGCTGGGTGAAGGAGAGGGATGGACTTGGGAGGAATTATAATGGAAATGACGGGAGCTAGGGCCGGTGGGGCTCACCGTGACATAAACGGTAGACGCCGCAGCGCTAGGGCAGGTGGATGCAGTCGGCGAAGGAGCAATGTCGACGCAGGCGGCGCCTTCAATGGGCTGGGACACACTGAACTTTTCTCCCTGGGCGTAGATGACGTAGACGTTGGTGCCGTTAATACCGCTGATCTGATAGCCCCATTCAGGGTTGGTGTCACAAGGGATTTGGACTGAGTGTGAAAGATCCGAGGTCGGAACATCCATCGCCAGGGGAACATAAGACGGAGGCCAGGACACAAAGTTCCAAAGATAGAGACTGAAGTTGGTGGGATCGGTGTCAACGCTGGTCCATTCAATGGCGACGGTGGACCCGGCTGCGTAGGTCGAGTTGGCCACAGGGCTAGTAATTTGGATGGCTTTTACCAGCGAGCCGAGTGCAACGATCAGAGGAATCACGGTACGCATCATGCTCGTATGACGGTCTGATTCTTTTTATTGAATCAAGGGATGGTTGCAAAGTGAGAGCGAAATGGCAGATATTGTTGAGAGAGCGTGAGAAACACAAACGAATGTCGGCTGAACAAAATGATAAAGGGCGACTGGTGGTAATCCAAAACAAGTTGTTGGGATGAAAGAAAAAAAGAATGACTGAAGGTTAGAGCATAAGCTTTGCCGTTTGAAAGTCAGAAATGGGCACTCGAGGATAAATAACTAGCTTGGTGGAATGCTCCGTACTACCTCGGAAATGAACCATCGTTAGCCTGGTAGGGTCCAGGAGATTTGGGCCAATGATCGAGTAGTGCAGGGTCTTAAAGGGGTTCCTGGCGGATGCCTCTTTGGGGTAGTCCATGATCCTGAATGGCCTTATCATTGGTCGTGTTTGAGACTAGTTTATTGACTTGTTCGGTCTGTGCTCGGCTATTTTCTTGACTAAGCCCCCATCCCCACGCTCCGGAATCAATTGGTCCATCCCGACATGCTCATCTCCATTCTTGAACATTTAGCCTATTGTAACCACAACCCGAGGGCTGCATCGTGGTGCCATGCCATCACGTGCTCTAGATTCAGTCCGTGGATTAAGTACCACCACCGAATCCGCTTATTTCGAGTTCCATGGGACTTCTGGGTTGGCGCCATTCGCGGATCGGAAGCCTCAATTGTTCTGTGTTGGGCTTGCTTACACATGTATCTTTTTGTAAGCTCTTGTCTTACGGTAGAATTAATAGAACTCGCTAGCTTTACAGACGCTTTAAGTACAATTAGGGGAGCTGTAATTAATTGAAGAGTATATTTATAGTCTTTAAAGTAAAATATGAAGCTTAACCCATAAGTAGCAGGTTAGCTCAAGGTCACGATTGCTGGTATAGACTTCTATCTCGCTTACCTAACCCAAACCTAGAGACTGCTGCGTGGTCTCTCATCAAAATAGATGCCGATTTATTCTATTTGGAAAATAGCGATTGAGTATCATCCGCTCCAAGTTAACGCTTCGGAACTAGTCCCTAGTCCAGCAGAGAGCATAACGAGCATTCAATTTGAAACAGAAAGACCGGCATGGGTAATTAGCAAGTCTACAATAGAGGACGCTGGAGCGCCTGCCTTCAGACTCTTGAGGGTCATAGCGATTCGGTCAAGTCGGTCACCTTCTCCCCGGTTCTTCGTTCTTTGTTCAAACTTTACTTATATATATTAAGGGTTGCGGTTATTCAAAGAGGAACCGGCTTTGCCTAGGACATTTATGAAAAAGAAGACGCCACTTATTGCGTAAGATGTCAGCTACGTCCAAAGTGCTCTAGATATTGTCTTCGTCATTATAGCCTATACATAGCTCTGTTAGCGTTTCTACTACTAACGAGCCGTAGTCTTTCTAAGATAGTACTATGAATCGCGACCTCTCTTCGAGCTCTGTGTAGGAGGGCAGTTTCACCAGTACGGCAGGGAATGGCAGAACCGCAGATTCTATTCCCTACATATGCGCCCATAGTATGGTTAATTCCGTCGATTGGGTAGCATCCCGTTTGGTGTGGGGTACTTTGAAACTCCTAAAATTTGCATGTCTTCATAGCGAGGGAGATCGATCACCTGCAGAAACGAAAGCTCGTCTCTTAAGAGTACTTGTTGTCCCTCGATATAAACCTTCGGAGTAATGGATCGTCAGTCCAGGGTGTCTCTTGATTATGTATTTCGTGCATTCCAGCATTCCAGCTTACTACTTCATTTCATAGAACTCGAGGCTCCTGGAGACATACAGAAGGCGCGGAACTGTCTTACGGCTCTTCTAGGCGTGCTTTCCTGCGGTACTACATGCGGAGTGCGTTCTTCGCGTTACCCAAGTACGTCTGCATCAAATTGCCCGAGTCCATGTCTCAAACCCGACCACCTATCCTCTGCGCTCAAACAATAGCAATTCTTGTATAGATGATCCCCCCCCCCCCTTCTTCTTTGAAATTAGTGCTAATTCGAAAACTCACGTAACTTTATCAAAGTCGAGCCTATATTGCAACCCTATCTCCAGATGGTTCTCAGTTCGAAGCGACCTTTGAGGGTGCATATTCTATGTTCGTATCCTGAATTGCCTTTTTTTATTGCTCTCATTTTTAACCTTTTCTCTGAAAGGGTGTTTTCTGAAAGGCTATTTTTTCACTTGCTGGAAAGCTTTATTGGTCCATAGTCCCAACAGTGAGCCCCTCAAATTTGACCAAAAAGGTCAATCAGAGCCAAATTCTTGGGCTGATGCATTCCAATCGAGTGACAACAAGGTCATTCTTCGTTTTGCCACCGGCTCATTTGCCACCGGCTAAAACTGATAACTGGATAGCATCTTCTCTAAGTGATCTGTGTTCGCGAGATAGATCGATAAACATGCTCGATGCGCCTTAGCTGCTTCGCCGGCCATAGGGCTCAAATGGAAGTAGAGCGGATACAATTGCCATGACAATGTAGAGAGCGGCACAGATGTAGATCGGGACCGGTGTATCTGTCTATTTGGAGCATGAGTAAAATGATCATCGACGGCCTTCGAAAACAAAGGATGCGGGGACTCACGTTCGCGGCTTCCCCTACCACTGCACTGACAATGCCCATGATTCGATTTAATCCTATGGCAACTCCATTGCCAGTCCCACGATGGGCGGATGGAAAGACCTAGTAGAACATCATTAGGCGTCAAATTAGGGGGAGAAAACGGAGTATCTTGGATTACTATACCTCTGGTGTGTACGCGTAGAGCGTGCCGTAGTAGATGTTGAGGCAAAACGAGATTGCGCATGAAAACCCGACATTTTCACTTTCCGTGCGTACCTGAGTGTAGCAGAAAAAGAAAATCATTGTCACCAAAGCACCTATGATCATAGTTCCGCGGCGACCCCAGAACCAGGAAGAGCGACACATCAGTCCCGCTAGAACCGGACCGAAGATACTGCAAGTGTTATTGATCGCATAATTTCGCCAGGTGATGTAATCACTTGATACTCCGAAGCTAGCACCACGTGTTGCGAGATAGGTGGGCAGAAACACGTTATATAACGGGTAGGCAAGTCCGATGAGAAGCCAGGAAAACCAAACCAACGTAGTTGACAACCCCATCTTGCGAGTCGCATAAAGCCCTTTGAAATGGAACGCCAGTTCTTTTGGTGAGATCAATCTTTGGGACAATCCAACTGCACTTGTCTTGCGAATCTGAGAGGGTCCATAGGCTTCCAGCCGTTCGATAGTAAGGCTACAAGGGCGGTCGTATCGGGTAGCAATACTCTGAAGAACGCGAACCGCATCTGCATCCTTTCCTTCGGCAATGAGGAATTTGGGCGTCTCCTGTAACCTGATTATAGTTATACGCAAGATGGAGAGAACGAGGACGAAGGCTCCAGAGGTGTACCACACGTAACGCCAGCCTTGATTATTGGCTCGTGTGCACGAGGCGGCCTCTTCGCAGGAGAAATTCGGAAGGAAGGCCCAAGCAAATAGGCCGGCGATCAGTTGACCCAGACCTACATCAAAGTTACCAACGCAATTCAGAACATTTCATCGGATCTGATGTCTTACCCCACCAAGCAGCCATTAGAGTAAGGAGCCATTGATTCTGACTCGGTAAGTACTCCAAAAACACCGTGGTATCGAGCACCAAATTTCCTCCGGCGCCGAATGCGCTCAAGCAGGTAAAGAGACCCAGGGTAACCCAGGATGGCGACGCGCCCGCGACAACGGTAAAAATGCCCGAAACGAACAGCGAAACATTGAAGGCAAAGCGTCGTCCGATGATATCGGCAGAGAATCCCCAGAAAACGGCGCCGACAAGCATACCGACATAGACGGCAATTGTCAGGCCAGTCTGGTAGCTGGGATGAAACTCCTTTCGTGCTTGGATAGAAATCACCGACTGGATCAGCAGAATGAGCGAGTCAACAGCATAGCCGAATCCGTTCAAGCAGAATAGCTTCCAGTGGTGGGGCGTGAAGCCAATCTCATCGATGGCCTGAAGCGACGAAGCCCTGTCAGTTCATGATCCACGAGGACGAGCTTGTTCTGACGCGGGGATCAAATAGGACCTGGCCAGACTCACATCATTCACCAAGCACATTTTTGCCGCCAACACTGCATCCACATTCTCTCCGCCCAGCAGGTCGTTCTCTCCATGGCGAATCGAACGTTCCTCTTCCAGTGAGGGCTCAATCGACTTCTTGCTTTTGTCCGGAACCCTGGGTGGCGCAATTGTGCCCGCGGACTGCTCCAGGTCCATGCTGCTTGCAATGGTCGCGTGCGCTCTGGGGATGACAAGTCAAGGTGGATGATGTCGCCTGTACAGCAACGAACAAGACAGCTGAAATTGGTTTGGAATGAGGGGGAAAGAGGGGGAACTCGCGCTTCATTTATTTATCCTTGGAAAGATTGGCGAGTCTGTCTCGCGCCAAATCCCTCTGTCCTCATTCGTGCGGCCTCCTCCTCGACCTTGAGCATTTCGCATCCTCACGACGACGGGCTAAGAAGACATCGCCGGCCACGCCGATTGTTGATTGGATATCAGGGAGGCCCGTGGCAGCGCCGAGTTTGGGGCGCCAATGAGCTGGCCAGAAATAACAGGGAAAGATCCCTATAGGACTAACCGAAGATAGTAAGGATCTCTTTTTGATCCGAGGAACAACCAAATCAAGGGGCTTGATAAGCCCGAGTCGATTATGCGCGTCCCTTATCCTCTTGCCTTGTAACTCTAACTTACTTTTGAAGGAGATATGACCGGGTAGTAATCGAAGCAGTAGTCATCAGCACAGCCGTCCAAAACTCCTAAGGATCTTTTTCCCGACACTTCAACGTGGTTGGCTCTCAGTGGCAGCCGCCGAAATCGTGTCCGGTAGCCGCAGTGGGTCTTCAATGCGATAATTGCGTATGGGCCACAAGGGAGCACGGTCTCCTCCTCAGACCTCACCCGCCATCTGGAATTCACTGACATTCCTAATATTTCAACAAAACGTCCCCGCGACATGTCCCAGTCTCCGGATGCGGGGGCACGTGCTTCTCATGGAGGCGCATGTACGCCGACCGTAGACCAACAACTTAAAAGTCACCTGCTTTCGTCTTTGCTTCTTCCGAGGGGATTGTTCATTTAAATGACGGAGAAAGGCCAAGTTGCTTTATATGGTGATGTGAGTAGCGATCCGCCACCAGATTGTTTATCTTGTACACGCTGCACGAATAGTAGAAGTCGTAGTGGAGTGGTAAGACGGGCATGAGTGGCCAAGACAGGGATTACTGTGAAATGGTCGTCCTTTGACCCCCTCCGTGATATTATGTAACCACTCTATCGCAGGACATGACGAGTCAGCCCAGATGCCTTCGATCCTAGACGTGCATGGACATCTGAGGTTCTCACCTGATCCGATTCTTTACCTGTTTGGATCATTGATCTCTTCAGAGAAAGTTGTCGATCATGTGTCTTGATCTTCCTGCGGCCTTCCTTGGCACATGCCTCGAACTCAATGGCTTATGACAAGTGAATCCAATCATTGTGTGTACCAAGACACCACTCGCGAGTTTCATCTCTTATCTCTGACTATGTGTGTGAGACTCTAGATTCACTTCGCTCCTATCAATGTCTACTTCTCCTTCAGGCATTGATTCGCTGAGATACCCGGTGGTCACATGAGTGATCTGTCTCCTCATCTTCTCTTATATAGGACAGAATAACTGCGAGCTATAGGAGTCATTACTTCTCGCATCGCCATTAAACCGCCTGCGGCATACCCAATGTTGTGAGTGTACAGCCGACCCAGGGTTTTCTAAAGCCGTAGCTTCTAGACACACTGTGATTCCTCTCGGTCAGCGGCCCTCTGTCAATTGGAAAGATCGGGAAAGCATTCTCGTTCTGATGCCACCAATAGTTTCACTCGCAGTCATGCCCGAGAACCTTCGTAGGCTTCATCCTCGGTGACGCAAGCCAACCGATCAACCCAGCTGCATGGTAATTGATACCAGTTGCACAATTGTACCCGAAAGATGTTGGCAAACCGACTAGATGAGGTCATCGAATCTGTTGTCTTCATGTTGAGAAGATGGGCAAGTCGGTCGCGACCTGACCTGGTCACTTCTAGGTGTTCCCTCCACGACTCCGCGCACTCAACTTCCGCCAGTAAGTTCAACCGAGCTGTGGATGGAAATACTTGGTTCCTTGTATCTACCCCAAGTGGTTGCGGATGAAGAGGAAGCGGCTCGCGATTGTTGGGCCAAATACCTTCCCAGGCGGCACCAACAGAGCCTTATGTCAGTGGTAAGTTACTTGACCGAAAACTAGACTTTTGAGGGTCAAAGTACGATGGTAGCAGCTTTATAGGATCAGATCCCACTGCCTATGTCTCGTCCATGTTGGATCCCATCCAAAATACCACTGAAAGCAAGCGAGGGAAATTTGGCAGGAGTACTAAACAAAGTTCAGGAAAGTTGGCCAGGAGAATTGGTGCGACCGTATTTCCGTCGTTGTGCCGAAATACCACGGCGAAATCTACAGTGCGAATTTATTTTGTTTCCTATATGTATTGTCTTCCTTACCAACTATTTCCTGACGACACCTTACAGAAAAAGGGCATCAATGTCCCGCTGGTGATCAGTGCAAACACGCCATAACGCATGATCATTTGTACTTGTCGATGAATTCCACAAGTGCTTTATTCACCTCTTTGTGATGAGTGCAATTTAGGAAATGAGCACCTCCGTCTATTGGCACTAGACACGCATCGGGTGATTGAGTAAAGAGTTTGATTTCTTCCATAGCGTTGGCCACGGAAAATACAGCATCCTGGGTGCCCTGCGCCTGGTTAGATCTGGCTTGCGGAACGGGTCAGAGAGAGAATCGTACATGCAGCCACAACACTGGGCATCTAACATCGGAGAGTCGAAGATGCAATGGCCCCCGCTCAGCGAGGTTTATCGCCGCCATGCGAATTCGCCGACGGCCATCATCGCCGCGGTAATTGGCTTTCATTGTCGTTCGCCAAAATTCGCGTTGCGCGGACGAACACTCGTTGAAGCCAATATCGATAAGTGCATCACAATATTCATTGTCGGGCTCAAAATGAGGAGTTGCGTTGCCGCTTGTCCACTGGTTCACGAAACCAGCAATGATTTTTTGGCCATCCCAGCATTTAAGCTGACGGCTGCGTTCTGACTCGCTGTCCATGGATGTACCAATAGGGATAATTCCCAAAATCTAGAATAGTTAGATATGATTGGACGCGGGTGTTAAGTGGGATTGGTACTTTATCAGGCCGCAGCAGCGCCATCTGCACGGTGATCCAACCGCCCTGGCTTGTTCCAAGGACAAATGCCCGATCAATCTTCAATGCATCTAGTACTTGCAGATTCATTTCCGCCGTATCCCAGTAAGTCCAGTGTTCACGAGTAGTGCGCGTCTGGCCATGACCTAGTAGCTCGATAGCTATCAGGTTGAATTGACCAGTCAGTTGGGTGCTTTCAAACTGATCTCGAAATAGCTCAGATGATGTGGTGAAAGCGTTCACCAATACTACCGTTGGCTTGTTGCGATCGTACTCCCCGCCCATCTGGTAGGCGACATCGATTCCTCCCAAGTGGGCGACGTGGATGGTCTTGGTGGTAGGCATTCCGAGTGTTCTGTTCATTCAAATTGTCCGTCTCGTCGTTGCATTTGGTCAGATATTTATGTTCGAGCGCAATCTTAGCTTCCTCCCCCAAAGGCTCGCGCGGAGTTAGGGTCGGTGGAGCGGCAAACTTGCCAAGTGAGGGGCAAAGGCCATCTCAGTATTCCGGCTGTCGGGGAAATAAGAAAATCATCTAGGCACCGCTGTTAATACATGTCAATGCCGGCATTCAGATTCGAATTCGCGTTTTACTCTTCGACTACTTCGACCACGGGACCAGTGAACCGCCTCTTCCCGCTGAACAGATAATAATACACTGCACCAAGAACAACCCAAGCCGTGGTCACTACCACGCAGTAGTTCATATTTTCGGGCGTCACCGGTATCACAGTCGGGAATGTGCTAAATATCATCGCCAGTATCAACCACATCATGGCTACCACATTCACCGTAGGCCCCCATCGTGGTCCCATATTAAACGCGCCAGTTCCCGTTGTAGCACACACAATGGAGTTCGAGGTTCGTCGACGATAGATGAACATGAACAGGATAGGTGTGAGATAGGACGCATACATGCCTAGAATGGCCATGGAGAGCACGGCATTGAAGGCTGTGGAGCTACCCAGGTAGATTAGGCCTAGGAGCATCTGCAGAAATACAACGACCAACACCATTCGAACGGGCACCTTCAGAGTCGGGTTGACTACCGACAAAAATGTGGAGCTCGGCAAGCCACGGTCGCGTGCAAATGCCCATGCCGTACGACTGGTTGAAGTCGTGCCAGCGGCATTGGCCGCCATGGCAATCAGAGAAACAATGATCGAAAGAATCGATGCCCCTGCCGGCGAATGGGTGACATTCAGGAAGAGCTGCATGAACGGAAAACCGATCTTAGATGCAAGAAGAGTCTTGAGATCCCCTAGCCCAAACAATAGCACAATTGCATATGCCAAACCCATTAGGCCGTTGATGGCAACACTTCCCATCATAGCTAAGGGCACATTCCGTGATGGCTTGGGAAGTTCTTCACTAAGATGACAGGCTGCATCGTAGCTGGTGTATATGGTCAGTTACACCTTTTACATCGGAAAGGTCTCATGCATACCCAAGAAAAGGATACACCGCGCTCAACAGTCCGACTAACCAGGAGACCCCGTCATTTTCCCAACCACTGCTGTTCGAAAACTCTGTGAAGACGTAGGTCGCAGAGTGCTTGGATGACATTGCCCCTAGCACGCCCACGACCGCGATAAACCCCACCATATGAAGTATTCCTATTGGTTCTGTCAGTCTTTTCACACGGATCTAGGAATGAACGCAAAGCTTTACCAGCTGCAGTGTTTGTATGTGGGAGGACTTTGGATCCAAAGATATTGACAGCAGCCGAGTAAGCTAAGATCATCCAATAGAATAGCATTCCTTGCCATCGCGTTGGAACATAGGTATCAAGGTGGTTCATTGTCACCAAGGCCTGCAACTGGAGACCGGCTGCAAACGCCGCAGATGCAGTGAACACAATTTGACCCCCAACGGAGATCCAACCAGTGAACCAAGATGCAGTGGCCCGATACGACTCAGGCGCAAGACAATAGACCCAGTGATATTGACCTGACAACATGTCAGCCCCTCTAGCCGGACGACGGGGGAGGTGCGATGCTCCGGGGTCATCATACCTCCTGCTGTTGGATATATTGAAGCAATCTCCCCGAGAGAGAGAACAACGAATATTGTGCCGATAAAGGCAATGATACTGAGCACAGTGACCGGTCAACGTCGAACCTTACAGGCTTGAGGGGGACCCAAAGCATCAGGACTCACTAGTTATAGAATAGACATGGTGCTCCCCCGTTGGTCAGGGCGGTGGACACAACCGAGGAGAGAGCCTCCCAGGTGGCCATCAAGGATATCTGGAGGCATACAATAGACCACAAGGAAAACTCTCTACGAAGTTCCTGGACGTGGCCGAGGGAAGCCAACTGCTCCTCGTCGCTGATCAGCTTTTCCGGGGCGGCCACCTTGACGTCTGAGTACGTTAATGAATTCATGGGCACGGAGAGCACGTAAACACGTAAATGCGAATATAATCGAGTGTTGAAGGATTCAATTGCTGAAGCTACATGTACGGAACTGGGCAGCGCTCTTAAATATTCCAATGCACTTGGCTGACGGGCCTCATAGCTGTCAATCTTCTCTGCACGGTGGACGGCCGCACCTTGTTTGTTAGCATAGCCGGGAAGTGGCTGCCTGTTAGATAACAAAAGCCGCAAGGCATTTGCTACATTTCATTTTGGTGGACTGTTGGGACGACTCGACGGGCTCGCTCACTGGCCCTTGCCCTTCTGAAGATCGTCCTTCCCCGCATTCTATCGCGGAAATCGTTCCGGACAGCCAAGGTGGGCATTTTCTTATCATCTTCTATCTTTTTTGCACATCGAGTGGAGACATTTCTTTATGCGTTGTTATCGCGCACGCCTTGACTCGGAAGGGTCACAGTGTATGATAATTAATAACCGTGGATATCAGAGTAGACGATAAGATCATGATCTAATAACATGTCAATTCCGATTGATACCATAATGCCTCCCTAGATATTTGAGAGTTGAGAATTTGGTAAAATCGTGACACAATCAACCTTCCCCTAGAACGTAACAATCCGAGCTCGTGAAGCTCGTTCCCCAGCGGACGAGCGATACCACGAGTATATTATGTGAAGAGGACATCGATCTCACTGACTTGTTACGTAATTTCAGGGAAATACATAGCTACCGTTGGACCTGATCGACAAGCATTGTGAGTGGAAATGCGGAAACGCGTCTAGTTACAGTTTCGTCGACCCACGCTGGTGCTCGGAACTCGGAACGAGCGGTTTATCAATTCCGAGCACTTGGACTTTGCAATCCTAGCTCATTTTAAAACTGACCTCGTTCCTAGGTCGAAAGTCTCACATCCCAGATCTACACCATAATGGCGCATCCACTCGCTATCCTCTCGGTGGCGGAGACGAATGTGGCCCGCGATGTTATCAAAGACGCTCACCCCGATGTCGTTATTGATTTCCGAGAGATTTTCCTGCAAGAACCGCCCAAGGCGCATCTCGTCGAATTCCTGGCTCTCGAACATGCCGGACGCTTAAGTCCAACAACTCCTCGCCCGCCTCGTCTAGCTTTGTGCCAGTATGATGTGATTGGGGCCGACCGCATCCCTCAATTTCACGAATCCGTGGTCGATGTGGTCTCTCGAGCACGAGTCAAACACACCATCGTCGGAAAGCAGCACCATGCCAGCCTTACACTGTAAGTGGAGCAAATATCAATGCATCCGGGATTTCATACTCATGACTTTCGATAGGAACGAATTCGACGTATTAGTGGATCGGTGCATGAGTTCCCCCTTGTTCCAACAGGCACTCGCAGATTTCCAGCTGCCAGAAGGGTTCGAGGTTGTTATTGAGCCGTGGCCGTATGGCGGGCTCGACCACACCGATGAGAACCGACGATATTTCCAGGGTCTTTGTTTTGCCCAGGACAAGCGATCGGGCAATGAAGATTCCAATTTTTACTCCTTCCCTTTGCCGGTGATCCCAGTGATGGATGCCCACACCCAGGAAATTATTCGTGTTGATCGGCCTGCGACTGGCGGCAAAGGTAACGGACTATTGGAACAGACCTTTAAACCGGATATCATTGGACACTGTAAGCCGTCAGAGTATGTACCTGAACTCCTCTCAAATGGTACTCGCAAGGACCTCAAGCCCTTGAATGTCGTTCAGCCAGAGGGCCCATCCTTCCGTGTCACCGACGAGTCCCTTGTGGAGTGGCAGAAGTGGCGATTTCGCGTGGCATTCAACCCTCGCGAAGGTGCTACCATTCACGACGTCTGGTATGATGGTCGTAGTGTCATGCATCGTCTGGCGGTCAGCGAAATGGTATGTCTCTTTAACACGCTATTTCTTGGACTCTGAGCCGCCCGGATTCAGTCTAATCACTATCTTCTAGACGGTACCCTACGCCGACCCGCGACCCCCATTCCACCGTAAACAGGCCTTCGATTTCGGAGATGGCGGCGGTGGCAACATGGCCAACAATCTCTCACTGGGCTGCGACTGTCTCAGGTGTCATTAAATATTTCGATGCCGTGATCACTCAACCTGATGGTACTGCTCAAACCCTGCCGAATGCTATTTGTCTTCACGAACAGGACAATGGCATTGGCTGGAAGCATTCAAACTGGCGCACAGGCCGTGCAGTGGTAACACGCCTCCGAGAACTGGTTGTCCAATTCATTATAACGCTGGCAAATTACGAATACTGTTTTCTGGTGAAATTCGATCAAGCTGGCGGAATAACGGTGGAGTGTCGGGCAACTGGCATTCTGAACGTTGTAAACATCGATGCTGGCAAGATGAGTGAGTACGGCAATGTCGTGAGTGGTGGCGTCCTGGCTCAGAACCACCAACACATTTTCTGTGTTCGCATGGATCCTGCTGTTGATGGTCAGAATAATTCAGTTGTAGTGGAAGAGTCCCACCCAGTCCCAAAGAACGCCGTCACCAATCCTAACGGAAACTTCTACCGGGTCATAAAGGAGACCGTTGAGCAAGCTTCCTGGTTCGATGCCGCTCCGCACTTGAACCGCACCATCAAAATTATCAATCCGAACAAGATAAACCCCATTAGCGGCAATCCCGTCGGGTACAAGTTCATCCCGCTGGCATCTCAAACGTTGCTGGCAGACCCTCAGTCTGTCCAGGCACGACGAGCTCAATTCGCCCAGCATCACGTCTGGGTGACTAAATACCGTGAGGGTGAGCTATATGCTGGAGGTCGATATACTCTGCAAAGCCAAGACGAGGTTGAAGGAGTAGCCGATGCCGTTCGTCGAGGTGACGCCGTTGCCGATACCGATGTCGTTGTCTGGAATTCATTTGGTATCACTCACAACCCTCGAGTGGAGGACTGGCCTGTGATGCCGGTTGAAATCCTCCAGCTGATGATTCGTCCCGCGGATTTCTTCACTGCCAACCCTTCGATCGATGTTCCATCCAATAAGAATGGCTCGTCGAGGCTAGCAGACTCGGAATGTTGCCGCCAAGCACATATCTAGATGGCGATGCCTCTTCAACAAATGGGGAGAGACACAACAATTTTACTTTAGTGAGAAGACCATATATTGCCTTTGGAGGTCCTCTAGCGAGAAAGCAAGCAATCAGTCTGATTCTTCATGTTCCACAGAATCGTAAATGAGTAATTTTTTCAATTTCCTATACTATCCCATGAAGATGTAGACTCAGCACCCTTGATCTCCCATAACCGTGTAATACCCATTAGCTAGAGATGCAAGAGATTCAGAGCACTGTGGAAATACTCCGCCCGTAGTGGAGAAAGTGGACTGTGGAAAGTTCTTATCGCTTCTTATCGTCTTCGGAAAGTTCTTTCCGCTTTCCCTCTTCCTTCTACACCGACATCACGGCATGATCCTTACCTCGAGGTATTACGTCTGAAGGATGTCCAGTAAATGTGCCAGATCAGGCGACGATAATTCCTCCCAAAGGCCGCGAAAAAGGGGGAAATACACTCAAGTCGCCTGGTATGTTCGACTTCCGGCTTTCCCGTGACTCTCGGATTTGAATACTAACTGAGCTAGCAACGAATGCAAACGCCGCAAGCTTAAATGCAGCGGGGGAGAGACTTGCACGAGATGTTTTCGAGATCAGGTAGAATGCGTTTATCCCGTTTCTCGGCCTGTAGGGCAAGCACGAGAGATTGAAGTCAAGCATACCCTGTATGTGGTGTCCTGCGAACGCAAGAATTGACTTAGATATCGTTTCCCTGAAGTTCTTGTCCGATAGATTGTCTATGACTAATCTTGTTTTAGATTTCCGATGGCTCTTCAGAGTGTTGATCTTCAACTCGAGAGTCTAAGGGAGGAGATGCGGTCTCTTTCCGCGCGTCTCTTTGAGCTCGAATCTGCTGGCCCTGCTCCATCGTCAAGATTTTCCGCGAGCGCGAGCGGGCCGCCCGAAATACTTCATCGTATTCTGAATCCTCCAAAATCCCCCACATATGTTGGTCCCACAAGTGCCGAGTTCGGCCTCAGTCGGCGATCCAGGCCTTTATCTCGCGCGCGGAGTCTCGAATGCCATCATGGTGATGGGGATGATGATGACATTGACTTATCAACGGCCGCTCATAGCCCTATTCCCTTAAACACAGAAGAGGCGCTAGATGGTGGGGACCCGCTCAGCAGCCTTGGACTGCAGGAGACTTTGCGCTTGGTGCAGGTCTACGAGGATACCGTTGGAATTATGTATCCATGCGTTGATTTGGTCAGCGTGCGTGCATATGTGGTCGAGTTCTATCATTCTCAAAATCCATCATTTGTCAATGCTTCGGATCTAAGGCGACCCGACTCGAATCAGGACTGGTTTCATGCGCGCGACATTCAAGTTCTCAAAATTCTTACAGCAACTGCTCTTCTGGTTGAGACCCATGGCCGGAGTGAGCGTGCGGCTCAGCTGGCTAACAGTGTCGAAGATCGTTTCGCCAGTCGGTTGAAAATTGCAGAGGTTGACATGAAGGAGATCCTCATCCTCACCTTATTGGTATGTCTATTTTACCCAATTCCTGGTCACAGTCAGCTAACACAACGAAATTGGCAATCGAATTTAGTCGATTTTCCACTCTTACCGTGATGACGAAGTTATAGCTTGGCGCCTGACTGGTATGGCAGCCCGCGGCAGCATGGAATTAGGTCTACACTGCCAAGAGACGTGGCAGAAGACAGGGGGCGTGTTTCCGGGGGCCTTGGAATGGATGTGGGCAAGTCGATTATTTTGGTGCATTTATGTGCTGGATAGGAAGTGGTCCTTTGGGACGGGCTTGCCTTTTGCTCTTCAAGACTCGGACATGGACACCAATCTACCCGAGCCTGGACACTCAACACCTTATCTGAGTTGCATGATCTCATATGCCCGTCTCAGCACCAAGATATGGGGCCTTGTTGTTGGTTGGCAGAATCAGTCGCGCGAAGCCATCTCGGACGAATGCGCTTATCTAGATGCACAGGTTCAGGAATGGGTGCAATCCATCCCACCTGAATTGCGCTTTGATCCACACTGGAAATCTCCGGCTGGGTCGAAGCAAACCGATCGTGCAATGATGCTGCAGGTTCTACTGGCTCTCCAAGCAAACCAACTTCGAATCCTCGTCTACCGACAGAATTTGCTTACTAGCGAGCGTATCGCAGATGATCTGACCGGTGCCTCTACAGCCGTGGAAACGGCGAAAAGCACCGTTCACATGCTTGACTACTTCAGCCGTGTCTCCGATATTTACTTCCAACGACCTGAACCCTTCAATTACTTCCTGATTTCGGCGCTAGCAGCCCTATTCCTGGCCGTTCTGCATGCTCCAGTGCGTTTTAGCCATGCCTGTCGACCTGAGTTCTTTACGGCAGTTGATATGGTGCGCCGCTCGGCGACTCGCGCCCGCACTTCTCGTCGTTTGCGGAAAATCATTCGCAGCCTCAAACGAATACAATTAAATGTACGGTGGCGGAGCAACCAAAGCCAAAATTCATCTCTTGACGAGGGTCGCGGCTCGCGTGCGGCGATTGACCCTCTTTCAGCCTCGGACGCCCACTCTCAAAGATCCCCTCAGACTAAAAAGATCGCATCGCGGAATATTCTTGATTCGACGCCACAATCGTCGGTCACGGAGTCGTCCTCTACGTGGAATGTTCCCAGGCTCCCTCAAACATCCGGCATGCCAACTGATCGGCTTTCATGTGCAACATTTTGGCCACTTTCGCCCGATACAGCTAAGGAATCCGATACTAACGGGTGCGAGGATCTGAGTAGCTTCTTTGAGATTGCCGGTGGGCTTTACTTTGACCCTCGAGCCGGCACTGATATTGCGACCGGGGTGGGGCTGGAGATGTCTCAGTCTGACGGCATGCGGGGACAGAATGTTCTGGGCGCGTTTCAAGCTGAGGATGAGGCATTGACTCAAGTCATGGCTGGTCTATTGTGATCGGTCTTTCTGCTGCTGATATCCTCAGCGCCTCTGCACATAGCCATGCATGTATCGGCTTAAAACGCCTAAGGAACCGACCGCATGCGCTGATCTTTATATTAACCGATTGAAGGAATTTCCCCGCAATCTCAGTGCGACGGAAGGTCCCTCAAGAGCCAGGAGCGCTGCGCCGGGCTTGTTGCTAATCCCACCAGTCGGTGCAGAATTCTTGCCCTGTTTCATCATGAATGCCTATCCACTTGACACCTCGGTGCTGACGAGACCTGGCTGATTTCATCCCACATGCCATTTATCCCGATCATATCATACTTTAAGGAGAGATAGACCCTTTTGCGACAAGGACATCCACCTTCATCCCGCCAAGCGTACGCTTGTGAAATTCCACGAATAACCCTTTTCTCTTTGAAGCTAGATTTTGTAAATAAAGAGCCGTTCAGTAGCAATATATGATCCGCTCTTCTTTATAAAGTCTTTACCTCAGCCTCATTTCTTTGCCTTCGGCTCATCGGCAATGATTTCTCGGAATTTCCTCAAACCTGTGGCACTTTTCGCGGCCTCGGTGCACGGGTACGCATACCCTGGCAGCTGTTCTGGGGCCTGCAATGTTCATGACCCAACGTTGATCCAGAGGTCGTCTGACAGCCTTTACTTTCGGTTTTCTACAGGCAATGAGATCTCTTACGCGAGTTCGTCATCCATCGAAGGACCATGGACAACTATCGGGTCTATGTCGCCGGATGGATCTTCTATTGACTTAGCTGGCAAAACCGACCTGTGGGTGAGTTCAGACACGTTTTCCCTTTTCTACTGTATCAAGACGAGGGTTCTTCCAAGTCATGGCGATTAATAAAATATAGGCCCCAGATGCACACATCGTCGATGATCTCTATTATGTCTATTACTCAGTATCTACATTCGGATCGCAGGCCTCTGCCATCGGCCTAGCAACCTCGAAGAACATGGAGTTGGGGTCCTGGACTGATCATGGTTCCACAGGAGTTGTTTCTTCGTCATCAAAGTTATACAACGCTATTGACGGGAATCTGATTGATGTCGATGGCATCTACTACATGAACTTTGGCTCTTTTTGGCATGATATCTATCAGGTGCCAATGAACTCAGCCGCGACAAAAACCTCCTCTTCCTCACACAACCTGGCTTACAACGCGACCGGTACTCACTCTGAGGAAGGTTCCTACATGTTTAAACATGGAAGTTACTACTATCTATTCTTTTCCTCTGGCATTTGCTGTGGCTACGACACATCGAGACCTGCTACTGGAGAGGAGTATAAAATCAAGGTCTGTCGGTCGACCTCCGCAACCAGCGGATTTGTAAGTCACTCTTATCGCTTTTGAGACAGTTTGAATGCTCACATTTCCCTCGCTACTCATTAGGTCGATGCTGATGGCACTGCTTGCACTGCTGGTGGAGGCACAGCCGTATTGGCAAGCCACGGTACGGTCTATGGTCCGGGTGGGCAGTAAGTCAACCTGCTCTTTAATGTTGCTGTGGGATGCCAGTTATACATAGGGGGTCAAAAGTCCGTGTACACACCAATTTCGCCTCTATCTTCCCATTTTATTTTCTTTAATTTCTCTACCATTTTAAAAGATATTCAGTTCAAACTGGATGCATATAATAACTATCTAGTATTTCGTATACCAGCCCTTTGCCTTTCGTACCGCGGCAATGCGGCGAGGCATAGATCTGATAAAATTCTTAATTTTAGCCTAATTAATGCTATCCTATACGATGACTAGGGCTTTGCGGGATTCATTCTAATCTATCTTAGAACGCCCACGCTAGGCAAGCTGTGGATAAAGCTCGAATAGCTTTTATTTGAGTAAGTTCCAGATATTCTTAATAGGATTTAAATTAGGCGAATACGGCGGCCATTCTATTACCTATATCCTATACTCTTCGAACTATTCTTTTGCAATTTGTGCCACGTGGATACGCGTATTATCTTGCAAGAATATTATGCTAGGCTCGTACATAGGTAGGAGCGCTTCCTCGAGGGTATTAAGATATAAATTCGTGGTGTAGCCGTTCTTTTTCGAAAAAGCATCGCGTTCCATAATTATCAACTTTGAGCGACCACTAAGCTAGATAGATCCCTAAACTATCTGCCGGATATCTTTGCCATAATTCATAAGGTTCACAAGATCCTTCCTGTATCGCTTATTCTTAAATAAGAATACGTATTGGTGGATAGAATTTGACTTACGTTAGACGGAACATTCATCGGAAAAGATTATATTATCAAAATATAGCACACTACCCTATTTTTGGCAAAAGGCGCGTCGAATTTTTGTATTATGCTTTTTAAGAAAGATACGCTTCTTGCTAACCTATTTGCGGATATTATAGCGCTTTAGGACGCGTTTTAATATTGATTTTGATACTTTAAAGTCGGTATTAATCAAAAGGGCTTTATAGCTTATTGTACGGCTGCGGCGTACTAGACGGAACATATATCGACGCTCAGACGGGGTAAGCTTCCGTAGGCGGCCTGATCGGGGGTTTGTTTTGACGTGTGTATACTTTTGGAAGTGGTTTTTGGTGTTATAGATAGTTTGACGCGATATATATAGATCTTTTGCAATTTGGGTGGGGTTTCCACCCTGTTCAAGGGCATAAACAATAGTAGCACGAGTGGTTTCCGAAAGCTCAGCTCCACGCGGCCGATTACCACTAATTTCGATGCCGAAAGACCTCATAGTGGTGGAGATATGGGGTGGTGAAGTTTAATTGGAAAAGGGGGGTGGGTATAACTTCAGATATGTAAACAGACTTTTGACCCCCTATGTAGCACCGGCTAACTGTACGCAGGGGAGTATACGAAGACCCAAGTTTTGGTCCGGTTCTTTACTACCATTACGTCGACACAACAGTTGGCTATGCGGACGGCGATAAACTCTTTGGATGGAACGTGATCGATTTTTCTAGTGGGTGGCCAGTCGTTTAAGTCAGGTAGATGCCTCTTCCGGTTGGCGTGATTGTATCCGTGTGTGATTCTGATTCTTCCAAATTATTTACTCGCTTAGTTATCAAATAAAGGCTATTCAATCTAAGAAGCTACTGGAAGGGGGACTTCGTAGGAAATGCCCCTCTGCCTATCTGCATACGACTATGTCGGGCACTAGGCTTTCAAGGGCTATAGAAGAGAACACATAGGCTAGGTTAGAAGGGAAAGTATGTTTGTGTGGCCCTCCTACGAGGAGAAGTTTTGTATATCGCATACTGCTGATCTATCCGATGCACCGACAATTTCGAAATTGTGCAATGTTCCCATTACAATATGAACCAATCAACCTAGGCACTTCGATTAATTTCTGAAACGGAGATCGCGTTGCGTTGCGACCGGTCTCTCGGCTACACGCTGCGGGGCTTCACTAGAATGAATGTACTCCGCTCATTCGTGGATAAGGATGCGCTAACATGGCGCCTTGCGAGGCGCTCAAATTCACCATGCGGAACTCCCAAGTTATTTTTCCGAGTGACGATGGCTAGAGCACAAGAAGTTCGATCCAAAAGGAAATCACGGGGCAAAAGAGACATGTCAAATGTGATGGGGTAGGCCTCTTGCTTCCCGTTTCGATGGTATTACAAACGGGATAGTAACGAGATCTGCAGGTCCAGCCCCAGTGTGGCCCCTGTGCAAAGGGACAGCGTCTATGCGTCTATGGATCTCGGGACCCTTCACACAGCTGCCCCTCCTCGAAAGATGCCTTTCAATCACTAGTCCACGATCAAGGGGCTATTTATGAGCCTTTGCGTGTATTAGGTGATGCCTATGACCAGGAGCAGCCTCTCGATGGAGTTGCATCTCATAGGTGTCTCCCTGCAATAATGAACCCAGAGAAGGCCAATGAAGCTTCACCCTTTCTAACTTCGTCACGATCCACCTATGGGTATACTCCCTCGCCAGAAATCGAAAGCTCACTTCCTACAAGAGGTGCACCCCTTAGCTGGTTCGAGCTGTTGGCCATGGACGCTGCTTGCGCCGATGATCGGTTTCTACTGTCACCACCGCGGCAATTTCCACATTGCCAGGTAACAGAGGATGATCCGCACAACAGTTCTAATCTACGACCTCGAAACTCAAGGGAACGTGAAAGCTTCCATGCAGCTGCATTTAAGAGGGATCCAGAAGCTGAGGAACGGCTTGCCTCACAAATGACAACAGACCACACAATCTTTGATGACCCATCATCCTGGACCACCGATGCTCCAATAACCTTGTCCAACCTCGAACATCGGCTTTTCACGCATTTTGTGCGGGTTTCGAGCAAGTGGCTTGATTTCTATGATCATAATGAACACTTCTCATCCGTGGTACCACATCTAGCTATCAGGAATATGGGATTAATGAGAGCACAGCTCGCACTCTCCGCGCGCCACATGTCCCTTGACAAAGATGAATGTCAGAGATATGAAGGCCCAACTGTTGATCGCAACCTGGCCGTTCAATACTACTTTGAAACTCTTCATTACTTGAACAAAGCTATGCGATATTCCTCCTACGCTCGCAGCCATGAATTGATAGCAACCTCCATTCTCATCAGCACGTACGAAATGATGGATGGTTCTAATCAGGATTGGGAGCGACATCTGAAAGGTGTTTTCTGGATACAACGGTTTCGAGACAACCATGGAGAATCGGGCGGACTGCGACAAGCTGTCAGGTGGGCTTGGCTCCGACAGGATGTGTGGGTTGCGATGCGTGAGCGACGACGGGTGTTCAGCTTTTGGCAGCCGAGAAAGCCTCTATCCATACTGACTTCCAGTGAGCTCGCAAGTCGTGCCACGTTCCTCTTAGCGCAATGTGTCAATTATGCATCGAACGAGGAGCAAAAAACCGCAGACTTTTCCGAACGCCTTGGGCGTGGCAGTGAGCTGCTTTATTTGCTTCAGGAATGGCACGATCATTTGCCTTCTGAGTATAATCCTCTTCCCATAGTTTCTCACACCGCCACATTTCCCCCCATCTGGGTTCATCCCTCGCCTTACGCAGCGGCTTTACAGCTCCACAGCCTTGCTCGCATTTTAGTAATTCTCAACCGCCCTTCCACCGGTGGGGTTGAAGATTACCGTGCTGCACAAAGGCTTTTGACCACCTCCGTCAATATGATATGTGGAATTGCTCGAACAATCGATCAGCATGATCATCCGGCAAGCATTGTTTCCCTTCAATGCTTAGTTGGAGGTCAGTACGCGAAGGAATCATTGGTGTCCATTTGCTAATGAATACAAGCTGGCATGTGTGTTTACACTCCACATGAACGCTTGGGCCTCCTGGATCTGCTTGATACTTGTCAGCAACGAGTACACTGGCCCTTGATCTCTCTCCGTAAGGAACTCGAGATGGAATATGGTAGGAATAACATTTCTGCCTCCCCCACTGAAGGCAAAGAAGCGGAATTATGGCAGCCACTTCTCGCCTCGCATCTAGGTCTCACACTTACTGACTCGCACCAAAACACAACAAATTTTGCTAATATGATGAATCTTCCTCCTCAGTATTATGGCAGAGGGGTAAAAACTCTATTCATGCTGCATCGATTCCGACGCCGTTGGGTTTTAAGCTACGAGCTGAAGACCCTTTAGATCCTCACTTATCTTCGGCATATTTATCCCTCTCGAAGCATGGACTTTGAAGGTCAATGCTCGTCGTACAAACTACCGAATTAGTGCATCCTGGAAATAATACTGGTTCTTTTGTGATGTATTTCCACTTTGGATGAAACTCAAAGCCTGGATCTGCATTCATTGTTCTGTGTGGCGCAGGCTACTGTTATTTATATGACTGTTATTTTTCATGGCATAGGGGGATCTCTAGGCTTCGTGCGGACGGCTATGACGTTCATGTTGAGGAGTCGCCCAATTGGGATTCGAAGATACAATTACATGGTATTATGCCGCGTCTGGCAAATCCTTACCAACTTAGTTTGGCATATAATTATCTGCTGAGTGACGCGAGCCCCTGCACGAAGGGCATAGACATTCTGATAGCGTGTATCGTTGGCGCATGGTAGAGCGAGGAATATTTATTCATAGTGTCGTTGTTATTTACTAGACAGTCAGCATTTGTGCTTAGGATATTTCATACGGTTTAGGCCCAATGAAATTGACAGGCAATTGATTTGAGAAAATCAATGACATACGCAATGCGGGTCAAACTTTCCCAAAACCCATCCCTCCGCGGCGCCTTTTTGTGGTTGCAGTATCACAATGTCACTCCCAAAGATATCTTTGAATAATGGCACTGATTAGTTTCAATCAAATTCCCTTCAGTGGGCATTTAGAATGTGATTTCGGCTGGCGGCGAAGGGTCCGTAATCCTGTCCATCGCAGCCGGCAGTCCCTTTGCGGTGTGTCGAACTTTCCGCTAAGATGCACTTTTTAGAAGGTTTGTCGTGACGATGCGCACCGGAAGGGAAGGAGGTGCAGCTTGGAGGTGCCGGCGTCCATCAGCCATGTAGGTGACTTAGTGGCCCCGGCAAGAAGGAAATGACTCTACAGATTCTAACTCGAATAGCTGATTGTCAACGAAGAATCGGCCGTTCTTGGCTTGTCGGGTCTTCGTGTGACTCAACTGAAACTCGATGCAGATCACTCACAAATGTGCAAGGTCGGTTCACGAGGTCCCATGTACCGCCTCATTAAGGGAAATCTCAACAGCTGGTCGACCAGGCCCTTTTGTCTGAACACGGTTTCATACCATTACCAAAGTCACACCCAGCAAGTGGACAGACTCCTCCTCCAGTGCCTCCGCGAATGCATTCAAATAGTAGCAGACCCTTCTCGCCTCCGGGCAGGTCGGCTGCCCCCGAGGAAAGAGTTGGAGCTATTTTTGATCGCGTGGATAACGACCCACAGTCCATCCAATCGGCAAGACCTAAAAATTGTGGTAAATGGGACGAGGCACGGAAAATCGATTATGAGATCTTCCAAGAGCACCTGCGTGCACTAGGTGCGGACCATGTCCGTACTCTCTCCTTCGGGTACGACGTGGCGGAGATTGAGCTGGAGTCTGGCTATGTCAATAAAGCAAGTTAGTGGTGCCAGTGGGTGACAGATAATGTCCAGCGCGTTCTGGGGGCCAGCCATGCCCTATCAATGAAGACTGAGAGCCTCATGGCAGAGATCTATGCCAGCAAGGCAAGTATCAAGAATCTGAGTCGGTTTGTGCAAATGTGCTCGCCCGCCAACAGATGAACATCGGAGAGGAGCACTTTGATACGTTGGACACTAGACGTCGCCTCGGTATGGCATACAACTGTCTCAGCCCTCGGGAAAACGCAGTTGTGACGGCTCAAAACCTCACAGAGAGCCTCAAGCGCTTACTCGGTGACAACCATGTCCGAATTTTCGCAGCGGCCCTAGATACTCTTGAGTATGTGATTTACAATCACACGGAGAGCTCTGTTTACCTGTCTATTTCCTTGCAGCCAGACCTACAGCAAGCACTAGAAATGCTGCCCGGTGTACATCAGGAGCTACTTGATGCTCTTGGCCGCGGATATCCTTTGACAATCCGAGCTCTCTCACTACACGGCCGAGGATTGACAAGAGCTCAGTAGCACATGCTAGCTTCTGAAACACTGCGTCGGGCTCTTGCAACTTCGGAAGAGTCTCTCGGGCCTGATCATGCCTTGACCATGGACATTGTGGGCAATATCGGTGTGATGTATGCTTCACAAAGACCTCAATACTATGGTGCCGCCAATCCGCCTTCTGAGGCTTTGCCCTGGCTTCTTCGATATCTCAATTAGACTGAACAACGCAAAGGGCCCAATAATCCAGAAACCCAGGCTATATTGGAGATGATAGGAAATTTGCACATCGCTATGAAAGAGTATGAGCCCGCCGAGAAATACTCTGATCGAGCGCTAGCTTCTAATAGAGAAGCCCATGCACCGACGGCGACGCAGCGTATTGGCGCTCAGCTTCAAATCTGTCGGATGCAAAATATGATTACGGGTCGCTAGCCGGGCTCCGGGTTTGGAGGGCTCTTGTCACATTTGCAGCGATTCTAAAGTACCTCCTTACTAGCAAATCATACATTATACATATGTCAAGTCTTAGGTATTGCAATTGTGTGCAACTTCAAGAGAATCTAAATCGGTAATTCCCTCAATGGTATATTGTCTCAATATGATCACAGGTATTCCATCAACCGCATCCCTAACCTGCTGTGCAAATTAAAGCAGCCTAGCTGGAAACTTTGTCCGGAACGTTCTTGCTACAAGGAAATGGCAGTCAGTTTAAAGAGGCGCGGCGATTATCGCGGGTATTATCACGGGTAATCTTACCCAGTAGTCTTTTCAAACTGCTCGCGGCCTGTATCCGTGATTTTCTCGTTCGCGGAGCGCATCTTGGCAGGGTCGACCTTGCCGCCACTGAGCTTACTCTCGGCAGAATCGAGACCTAAGGAAGTATTAGACAATCATTTAAAGTAGTAAAATGACTGACCCTTGTCGACGTAGTCTTCCTGTCCAGAAGACTGATTCGAGCTCGAGCTTGCGCCCTTGCTGCCACCGAGCTTGGAAGCGAGACCAGAAAGCTTATCCATGATGTAGACGGAAATTTATTTTAAAAATTTAAATGTTCCTTGAGGTATGATCAAGTTTGATTTGGGGAGGGGGGGAGAAGTTTCTTCTTTATAGGGAGCGTCAACATCACCTACATCACCAACTGGGTGGTTTGCCCTTAATATCGTCATTACTGCGCTCAGCTCAATTCAGGATAGTGATTTGCCTCCAAGCTCTCCACCTTTTTGCTTCTATGGCTAGTTGAGGGCCACTAGAACAGCGGGATCTGAGGTCATCGACGCCGATCTGATCGAGAGTACAGTACAATGGCTAAGCTATTGGTGGAGATGATCAAGTGGGTTGTGTGAGTGATGTCATATCCTCATGACTCGGATCTTGGGCCTGAAAATACGGGCACGAAGAATGTCAAGGCAGCAAGGCAGCAAGGCAGCAAGGCAGCAAGGCAGTAAGGCAGTAAGGCAAGAGTCACGGGTGATGGGTCCCCAATTCCATTTCTACAGATAGCTGCTCAGACTACATCCACGTTTTGATAGGGCAACAAGCTCATTACTCGGGCGACAAACTGTCCTTCGGATAAGCGAGGTTTCCCAAATGCGCGCGTGTCTAGCATGGACCCTCAATATATCCTATGTCGGGTCTTTCCAACTCTTTGTACCCCGAGTAAGATTTAGGGGCTCCGAGCAGCCTACATCAATCCATTGATGGTCAGTGTATTTGTTAGATTCGTTCCCTTTGTTGCCAACGGGCTTCGCTTTATACCAAGAGAAATAAGACCTGTCTTAGAAATATGGCAAATCAGTGCAAGAGCAGATTGGAAACAAGGAGACATTGGAACATGAAATGCCAAAGCCTCAGTGACGATTTTCTCTTATCAGCCATATGCCTAAAAAGATTCAGAATGACATCAGAAGATGACTTGCACTGTGTCATTGAAAGTAGACTTGCATCTACTACCGTTCTTGGTTCTCATATCTCTTATCAATTTGTGAATTTCCTTACGTCCTCTGAGATTATCTCATTCTTGGACACGAGCGGACAAGAAAGTAACCCTTTCCATTTGGACTGGGCACGAGCGTGTTGTTCTCTAACTCTTTCCAATGCATCTTCCAAGCACTTCTTTAGGCGAACTCTTGATCATACCTTCCACTTGATCATTCTGCAATGTTCCCTTTGAAGCATCTTTGACTGCGGTGATACTCATGATCAATCCATTACCACATGAATTAATAGGGCCTCATCTAATGTGTATTTTCTGAGTTTGGTCGTCTAGGTATATTCGACGATCGACACAATATGATTACCCTGAGAATCACATTTCCCTTATTTCTAGCAATTAAGCTAAGCATGGGAGCTTCAATAAATCGTCTCCAATCTCGTGAGGACTGCGTGACTTCCATATTCTATGGAAAGCAATAATATAGCCTCGGATTCGGCCGCGCCCGTAGTTCCCCGCCTTGGAGTTTTGTCCAACATTCAATCTTCAATCATCAGAACTAGGAAGGTTTCTTTCGACCATATTTTCCCTTCACGGTCCGAAGGGGTTCAGAACAGGCGGAATAGAAAGGCCAAACGTGACCTTGTCCCCCAGATCTGTCGTGGCTTTTTCTGAGGAGCCGGAGTGCTCACGCGGCGTATTTCGGTATATTTGGTGGTTATTATGTGCTGGCAGGTTCTGAAGTACATAAAGTTGCCAAAGCATGTCCGATACCCCGCAGTGATGAGGGAGCGGGGACGCGAACGTGTTGAATATCCAGCGTCCGGAATACGGAGGCAATCCCCTCCGCAGCTCTGTGGCTTTCAATCGCCGGCCTCATTTCGCGGATGCACCGCTCTCAAACGGACTAGTAGGGCCATTCTCACCGAAATAGTGGCCTTATTGGATTAGTCGGGCTTTTTGGTACTAGCTGTCAGCGCCTTCGAAGGGGTGCCGGCCTTGCAACGAGATCGTCACCTACCAAACCCGGATCCTGAATTGGATAGTCCCTGGTTCATGGTTGAAGAGATACATACGTGGTCTTCGTTCGTGGTCTTCGCATATACCACTCGTCTCGTCAACGAGATCATTCCAGCTACTTAGTACTTGATCTTTCTTAGTGGCAGACCGACCGCAGTTGCGGACCAAATCAGTTACCGGTTCGATATCTCGCTACCGAGTTCGAATTGAATTTGACAAATCTAACCACTCTTCGATAGTTCGGCGGAGCTTTTCGTGGGTTCGTCTAACGTGCAAGCAAATTTGTTTCTTGGTGGTGGCCACCACTACGATGTCACACCGAACTTGTCTCAGCCACGGGTTGGGATTCGATTATACATCAAAAATGGTACTTAGTCACCCCGTGGGGAGGGCACTCTCGTGCAGACGAAATCTAGAGCCGAGAATGTCACTAACGACACCAGTCGGGGCCGGCATCTTATCCCGCCGCTTTTAGTTCCATTCCCGTTCTTGACTTTAACCAAGCATTGATGTCGTCGACCAAGTCGGGTTTTCTGATCCATCTTCGAGAAGCGCTCATCAATGTCGGATTTTTCTACCTTGAGAACCCGCCTATCTCACTCAGGGTACAGCATGTGTTCTTGGAAAAAGCGATGAAACTTTTTGACCTCCCCTTGGAGAAGAAACTAGAGATTGAGATGGTCAACAGCCCGCACTTTCTCGGCTACTCAAGACTGGGGGCAGAGATCACTGCACTTAAGAAGGATTACCGGGAGCAATTTGATGTAGGTCTTGGACTTGAGCCCGATCTTCAACTCCTACTTATCCCAGCTTAGTTCGCAACCGAACTGCCCGCGCCTGGAAAAGATGAGCCACTGTATAGAAATATTTACGGCCCTAACCAGGTACGTGCTTGGCTTGCCGGTTCCCGTCGCTGTCTTTATCGCTTACATTCTTGTCTAGTGGCCCGATGAAAATGCAATCCCAGGCTTCCGCAAAGCTATTGAGGACTATATCGCTGAAGCAAGCAAAATGGCCGCTTCTTTTACAGCCCTTACCGCAGAAGCCCTAGATCTTCCGCCAACGGCTTTTGATCAAGCCTTCGATGATCCAGGGCAGCACAAGTTAAAGCTAATCAAGTATCCCCTTCCACCATCTTCTGGTGACGATGCCGCTGGCTTCCAGGGCGTCGGTGCTCATAAAGACTCTGGCTTTCTGACTTTCCTTTTACAAGCGACATCTCATCATGGCCTTGAGGTACAAAACAAAGCCGGAAATTGGATTCCTGCGGCTCCAATTCCTAACACAGTGGTGATCAACATCGGCCGTGCTCTTGAAGCATTGACAGGAGGAATTTGTACGGCGACTACTCATCGTGTAAACTTACGGGAAGAGCACTTTGTGGATGCTGAAGGAAACCCTCTTGGCCCGCGGTTTTCTTTCCCGGTATTCCAAGGGGTCAGCCCGGATCTCTCTGCGGAGAACATTTCACTGGTTATTCCACCCCATATCCGAGAGCTAGTGAAGGATGAAAAAGTCAAATCGGATGCCGAAACCACATTTAACGAAATGTTTCGAACGAACATTGGGGAAGCTACGTTGATTGCCCGTGTGACGAGCCATCAAGATGTCGGACAGCGATATTATCCAGAGGTGTTGTGCGAGGCTCTCAAGGGCCAAAGAGGCTATATTGCGCATTGAACTCTCTCTCTCAGTCATGTCTGTCTCTTACACATGTATGATCAGATAGATGCAGTGCGTGTACCGACGGTGCGGGCTCTGAGATGTGTAACTTTCACGTCTCTCATAGGCACGAGGGCGCGACCGTAACTTTCCGACCTACATCACAATTTGTATTCTTCACTTCTCCGCGGTTCTCTTCACTTCTCTATTAGACTTCATCTGGTCAAATCTCATATCCACGGCGTGCGATAGACCAAAGCGATGCTCTGGTCTTGCCTGATAACGGCTGCGGCCCAGTCGAGCGATGGCCTCTACAGCCTCATCACGCGACTGTCGCTGAATCATTTCATGCCAGATCTATTTAATCGATATCACTACAATCTATAGTTTGATTTTGGCAACAGCCACGGCTACGATCATTGCTGGGTCCGATGTGCGCACAATGGCACAGTTCTGTTGCATAGAGATCAATTAGCACACTCCCGTCAGAGTACGCTGAAATCACACTTCGCTCCACAATACAATGCATAAACAAGCACTCGACAACTCGGTATCTCACCGGTATCACTCATGTCGATATCGAATGGTTCATTAGGAGCCGCCTGATCCAGGCACCCTCAACACTTCATCGCCTTGACACGCCAATCCTTGGCTCGAGTACAGTTCCTTGGCAAATACTGCTTCGATATGGCTAACTCATTCACTCTGCGTGGGTCCTGATTTACTTGCTGATACAACTCATAGTAAGTCTCTTACACCTCGGCCTTTTGGACCTGGGCGGAATGGGAAGCTCAACTGGAATGGCTTGCCCTTGGTGTGATCAATTTACCGCTTGTGTGCATCGGTCAAGAGAAGATTCTGCTAGATGCATTCGAATAGGTTGGACCTATTGATGCCAAGGTTTCAACCCTTTTGGATAGACGATTTTTCCTGGGGATGGAACCGGTTCGACAATAGTTCTGGGCCGTCCATGTTCCTCGAACGTAGGGAAGTCAGCGGTTCGATCTTCAGGAAGAAACCGTACGCATGGTTGGAGATTTGGGCATGATCCTTATGCTAGCCTCCTTCACGGGGTACGTCCCTATCAAAAGAACACTAGCTGTGTTCTTCCCGACGACAACACTGTCCGCGGATCGCAACGGAATGGACTTTCTTCAAATTAGCTACCTCCCGGCGTTCCCCATGTTTGTTGCCACTGACCATGGAGCTCTCCACTGCGGAGACACCCCAACGCCCCGTGGGTGCTTATCGCTATCAACGCGCGATGCTTAGAAATGCAACCCCGGTCGCTTCCAGGTTCCAGCTTCTCCCTCCACTTCTTCCCTACAAGTCAATGGACGATTTGCTTCTAGCTCGTTATCCAGATATACCTTTCAACAATGGTGGAAAGACGAGCCTTGCCATCCGAGCATACTCCGCTCATTGCGGCAACCAGTCCTGATCTAAGAACCAGTGTGAGCTTTCCCCGAGGATTGGGGATTATCACCTCCATGGGGCTCTTGATCTTTATTCAGAGTAGGCTGCTTTTGTTGCTATGTTCGATGACAGTGAACTGAGTGGGTTTCTGATAGCGACCAACATGTCAATGATGACCACTGCCCAATCCTACATCGCAGCCGACCTGGATGCCTTCGCAGAAGCGACTTGGTTCACATCAGCTTACATGGTATGAATCGAAGCATTGTGTCAAAAAGCTCATAAATCGATACTGACACCTTGAAGATCGCAATGTCCAGCGTTACGCCATTATCAGGACGACTCTCGGGGATCTTCACCCCGCGTCTCTATGTTCTCTTCTCAGGCTTCCTTTTAGCCGCAGGCCTGTTCGTCACTGCAGCTGCTCCGACTTTAGCAGTCTTTCTTCTCGGTCGAGTCATTACGGGCGTTGCTAGCGGCGGGCTGATGAGCGCAGCCATCATCTTGGTTCTCGATTTGGCAAGCCCAAAACGACGAGGCTTGTTTATTGGCCTCATCAACGCTGGTTACACGACGGGTGTAGCTTCAGGTGCTGTTCTTGCAGGCCTGTTAACACCGAGAGTCGGATGGGTAAAGCTCATAATGTGTTCTGCATGAATTATAAGCTGACCATCATTCTTTTCTAGCGCTTCCTATTTTGGATCCAGGCTCCTGCGGCACTGGTGTTGGGCCCTCTGCTCTTTTTGGCTCTTCCGACTTCTTCAAATGATCGTGGCGCTTCACCAGGAAGTTCCTGGCTGGCCGGTCTTGCCAGAGTCGACTATGCGGGGTCTTTAACATTGGTAAGGGGATCCAGCAGTTTTCTCGATCTCGCTGACTCGATAGACACTCTCGGTCGTTCTCATGCTTTCCAGTCTGGCCTCGCCCCAAATTCCTCTTTGGCCTATTCCACTCTCTATAGCGATATTTGGTTTCTTTCTTATCATTGAATCAAAGTGGACCAGTGAGCCTGTCATTCCCGTGCGACTCTTGCGGAATCGCAGCGTATTGATGACATGTGTTGCGGCCCTGGGCATGATGATGGCCCGCTGGGCCATCCTCTTTTTCACCCCCGTATATGCGATTGCTGTGCGAGGCTGGTCCCCTGCATCAGCTGGGCTTCTTCTAGTGCCAACCAATGCTGGCTTCGGAACGGGCGGCCTGCTTGTCGGATGGCTGCACATACGCAAAGCCAACAGCTACTACATGTGAGTTTCCATGCACTGAATCTCGGTAGCAAATTAACGTGAGATATAGCTCCTGTTTGATTATATTCTTCCTTTTTGCCACGGCCACTGCGGCCCTCGCTTTTCTCTCTACGCCAACCTCCTCCGCGGTGCTATACATGTTGGTCACTTTTCTAGACGGCCTGTTTGCTGGGTCTCTGATGAACTATACTTTGTCTCACGTGCTACACCTCACCAACCCCGAGTCGCATTATATCGTGACTTCACTGGTGGCAATGTCTCGAGGTTTTGCAGGGAGTTTCGGGTCGGCCATTGGGGGCGGATTCTTCGCTCGGGTGCTCAAAAGTTCCTTGGAAACAGGCTTTTCCCGGCACGGGCTGTCCCCTCGGCCGGAACTGGTGCGTACTTTGCTGGGTAGCCCAGCCACCGTACTGACTTTGAGCGGCCTCGAGCGGCTGGTCGCCATCCAGAGCTACGAATATGCAACCCGCATGCTGTTCCTGGCAGGTAGTGCGCTAGCCCTAGCAGCCATGGCATTTCAGGCGGGAACTGGATGGCGCCCGGGGGTAGACGACAAGAGACAAGATACCCTTGTTTCGGATGAGGAATCATGATTAAGCAAGATTCTCTATGTGATATAAAAAAGAGAGACAAAACATCAAGGCCCGAAGGCTCGTCCGATAGATAAGAAAAATGATTACCTAACTCAAGTCTGCCTTGATGCCTAGCCGTCGTCATCTTCTCATGCGACAGCTCACATCTCTCTTCTTTCACATCCCACGAACATCTTTCCAGCCCAAGCACAACACTCTCATAATGCCGCGTGCCGTTCGAGGTAAGCTTATCTGTGCATACGCCCTTGATCCCATGGAAGCTAAGATATCCGTCGTATGACTAGGTCTGCTCATCGAATGTGATCCCTCGATCAAATCCATGATTCTCAAGTACGACGAGGAACGGCATGACTACATCGTGGAGGACCTGGACGACGAAAATCATCTTGTCATCAAAGAGAGTCAGCTTCAAGGCTTGAAGGCACGACTGGATCAGGTATGTTGTGGTGAAGTTCTCCGAATTGCTCCGCTTCTCGAATCCGTTGTAGATGAACGAGATACTGACCAAAAGACAGGACTTAGATGAGAAGATCATGCAGCTTGACGAGTCTGAATCTGAGTGAGATTATGATTCTGAATCTTGACATCCCGTGCCCCCCCAGCCACCAAATCCGTGGTGAATCCTCAACCAACGATACTTTCCCCATCTTGATGAGGCAGTGCTCTACTGGGTCATACCTCCGGTTTCCTGATACCGTCAGCTCTTGATCGTCGCGTATTCAAAACAACGATACGAAGGCCTCCCCCGTCAGCCATCGTGCCAGCGGTCTTCAGCATTCAAGAGGGCGCTCGAACAGATAATTCGCCGCGGGGGTTTTCTGCTGACATATTTCTACTAATTCACTTATCTGATGACGGATCACATATGCTGGATTGCTTTGTGGCAGGACAGGAATGATGATAATGGAGCTGGTCAAATTTGGATAAACTAAGGTCAACTACCATGGACATGAAGTATGTCCTTGTGAGGTGCTCGGATTTCATGCAACACAAGCCAAGGGAATTGAACCGAATGTTCCATCACCCGTACCTTTTGTTCGTAGAATTCGGTCTCATACATCCCCACGTATGCAGCACACAGTGTGTGACAGTACAGCTCCGGATAAAGGACATCACGTGATCGGTAGAAACGCGGAGAAACTTCCTTCGCGCACCTGGAAAATGCGACCTGCATCAACCAGCTTCCAACGTCTTCCAGCGTCATCTGGCATCATCCAGCATCAACACCTATCTTCCTGCTATAGCACGCAGCAACAGGAAGCTGGAATATGCTCCCAACTGTCACAATGAGCTGACTATAAATATAGCGCCCTGTGGCAGCTTGCAGATGTCAACATATATAAGCCCAGCACCTGCCTCTTCACGACTTGTTCTCTCCATCTACTCTACTCATCACAAAGCTACAAAGTCTCGACGTCAACATCTTTTGACCACCACTTGTCTCATTTGACATCAATATCCATCATGTCTGTGTTCCGCACAAGCTTCCCTTCTTCGGGCGACCTGTCCCCGCTATTCCGTTTGCTGGACGATTACGACAGCCACCGTACCAGTCGCCAGCCTTCTTTACGCTCCTTCTCACCTCGTTTCGATGTCCGCGAAACCGGTGAGGCTTATCACCTGGATGGCGAGTTGCCCGGCATCGCGCAGAAGGACATCGACATTGAGTTCACCGACTCCCAAACTCTCACTGTGAAGGGTCGCACCGAGCGCGAGTATCACACCGAATCCCCGACGGAGACCGATGGCGAAGGTACTGAGCAAAACCGCGATGCCAAGTCGCAGTATCGCTTCTGGGCCAGCGAGCGCGCCACCGGCGAGTTCCAGCGTACCTTCTCCTTCCCCACTCGTGTGGACCAGGATGCAGTCAAGGCCAACTTGAAGAACGGTATCCTGTCTGTTACAGTGCCCAAGGCTACTGCTTCTCCCGCCAAGAAGATCACCGTGCAGTAAACGCGGGTTGTGATCGACGTGCGCCCCTTGAAACGAGACACATGACTTTGCTTTGTTTATCTCTTTCTTACGCCTTCTCATCCTACCTCTAATTAGTTCAGATAATTTAATCCAATTTTCAGAAAATCTCTCCATCGCACGTGTAGCCATAGTCAAGCCTGACTCTCGATCATCGAGCTGAGTAGCGTATCTAACCTCTTATCGCGGCTTATCTGAGCCGAGGCATGTGAAGTAAGCGGAAGCCGAAATATGACGATGCATCAACTCTGCCTAGAACTTCATCTACCTCCAGCGCATTCATTTCAATGATTACATTCTTTCAAAAGTAAAACAGTGCGTGACGTGTGGACACAAGAATCCATCATAGACGCGGAACTATCCGAGTGGTCTCTTTGCGCCAAGTGATTGACTTGCCGAGGCATCGCCTCTTCAACCATAGATACACATCCATCCTCACCCCAACTCTACGCTTCTCCAACCATGTCGCACGCCTACTCCTTCAAGCACTTCACCGTCGAGTTCCCGGCTGAGCATAAATATGTCGCTCATGTGGAGATCAACCGAGCGGACAAGATGAACGCCTTCTTCGAAGCGTAAGTGTCTCTGAGCTTTCCGAGCTCTCCAGGCGCGTCACTAACCCATTTGTGGCAGCATGTGGCTCGAATTGGGTCAAATCTTCAATCGACTCTCTGAAGATTCATCTGTCCGGGCCATCGTTCTCAGTGGAGCCGGAGAGAAGGCATTTACTACCGGCCTGGATGTCAAGGCTGCGTCCGAGGGCCTGCTATCCGAAGGCACCGACATTGACCCTGCCCGGAAAGCCGCTCAAATGCGTCGCCATGTGGCCGAGATGCAGGATTGTATTTCCGCTGTCGAGCGCTGCGAGAAGCCTGTCGTGGTCGCCATGCACGGATTCTCATTCGGGCTAGCCATCGATCTCATCGACCGCGGCCGATGTGCGTCTCTGCTCGAAGGACGTGCGCTTCTCGGTGAAGGAAGTCGATATTGGACTGGCAGCAGACCTTGGCACCTTGAGCCGGCTGCCCAAGGTGGTTGGTAGTTCTAGCTGGGTGAAGGAGGTCGCGCTGACTGCGCGCATATTCGGAGCCGAGGAGGCCCTACGCGTAGGCTTCGTGAGTGCTGTGCATGAGAATCGTCAAGCCACCATCACAGCAGCCTTGAAGATGGCCACTTTTATTGCATCCAAGAGCCCGGTCGCAGTTCAGGGTACCAAGGAGGTTTTGAATTTCTCGCGCGACCACTCCGTGCAGGACGGTCTGCGCTACGTGGGGGTGTGGAATAGTGCTGCCCTGCAAACCAAGGATGTGTCGACGGCACTACTCTCCGGGTTACAGAAGCGTATTCCGACGTTCGAGAAGCTGTAGAGGTGATCGGTCCGTGTCATTTTCTGAGCCTGTTCCTGTACTTCTTTTCTTAGTAGCAAACCCCGCGGGAAGGTCATATTTCCCCCAATTTACACCACTACGTTACGATCTCGGTAATTGATCCGTGTTTGACCACGGCAGTCCACCGCACTGTCTTAAAATTCGCAGCGTTTCACAGCTTTTCAGGAATATCTCGCTAATACCGGGGACAAAATCCGAGCTCGGGGCTAGAACACGCCGAATGGGTGGTAGAGACTCAGGTTCCATGAATCAGAAACACGGGGTCCAAAGTGATCGTCGCTGCACAGCATGACCGCTGTCTCCGTTGACCCGAAGGCGCGATGAGACTCGACAGGCGATGTTTGTCAAGTCTCCGGAGCAAGAAAGGGCTGTTTTTCCACAAATCCCCACGACCTAGAGACTTGGCAGAAAGGATGACCTCGGGACCCTGGAGGTTAGCTATGACGCCAGGTCTGTGAAGGGTTCGGCCCAGATATGCGTATATACATATATATATATATATATATATGCGGCCTATGTGCGGGGAGTCTACCTGAACGGTCTCTTGTCGCGTTCAACATTTTGAATATTAATCAACAGAGAGCTACAACATCAAGCTATTTCCATATCACCACAATAATGAAGTCCACTGTACTCCTCGCTGCTCTCGCTCCCAGTGCAACTGGGTGCTACTATCTACCTGGCGGGAGATTCCACGATGGCGAAAGGTGGTACGGGCTCCGGTACTGCAGGTATGCACTCTACATAGGATCCAAAGGCGACCCCAAAACACTGTCAAATGCTGACCCATCAGGATGGGGCGAATACGTAGCTCCCTATACGACATTGGAGGTCTCCAACCAGGCCGTGGCAGGCCGCAGTGCCCGGTTTTTATACACGCGAGGGCCGAATTCAACACAATTGCAGAACAAGTGCAGTCAGGAGACTGGATGATCATCGAATTCGGACACAACGATGGCGGATCGCTGTCAACATCGGATAACGGCCGGACTGATTGCTCCGGCACAGGGAGCGAGACCTGCAGTACTGTCTACGATGGCGTCTCCGAGACCGTGCTGACCTTCCCAGCGTATCTGGAGAACGCAGCCAGTATGTTCACGGCCAAGGGGGGCCCATGTGCTCATCTCTTGTCAGACACCCAACAATCCTTGGGAGACGGGGACCTTCACCTATACTCCGTCGCGGTTCGTCGAGTATGCCAAACTAGCCGCCGAGGCCGCGGGCGTATCCTATGTCGATCACGGAGCCTATGTCGCAAATATCTTGGAGACCCTGGGGGCAGACATCGTCAATGGATACTTCCCCCTGGATCATACCCACACCAGTGCTGAAGGCGCCCTGGTGGTGGCCCAGTCATCTTTCAAGGCGGTCGTCTGCGGAGAAGTCGCCCTAGAAAGCGCTTTGAACACCACCACTTTCCTAGGCGAGTGTCTGTAAGGGGATGTGTGTCGAGTGAGATATACATAGGCTAGTCCCTGGTAAGCGCTCATTAGTATCTACAATGCAAGGTGGTTGTTTATTCATGAAAAATTGGCTCAAGGTGATTAGATTTCGTAGGGTCTCATCATATGTTCAGAGGTAGTAGTATAATAGGCACAGGGTATCAATCGCTAGATGAGGGCAATATCAGCGGGTCTGCAGAATGTTCCTCGTGATGCTTCGTTTCTCGACTCGCTGGTAGTACTGATTCAAATTGACATATCGAGCATCAAATGCTCCTTGGATTTGCACCATTTCACGCAGAACAGGCCACAGCAAGCAATCGTCGAGGCTGAAAGTCGCGCCTCCGAGATAATGTTGTCCTTCCAGGGTCCGCTCACAATATTCCAGTCCATGTTCAAGGGCTCTGTTCTCAGAACGACGTTCGCGCCAACAGGCAAGCAAGTCTTCAATCCATGATACGTGTTCCCCGCCTCGTAAAGGATCAACGCCGGGACGGGTCGTTTCAGCGGGGTGTTCCACCAAATATGTCAAAATGGTCAAGGAGCCGGCAACAGCCGCCCCATGGGGATCAATGTAGAGCGGACGACTGGTGAATTTCTTATTGGAGAAGTCCAGTTGATGGCTTTCGACAACCTCGTATCGAATCCCACTCTCTCCGAGAGCCGAAAGAACCCGTAAGTCGGCCACTTGATCTCCACTAAGGACCAGCCTTGATGGAGATGCGGTGACGAAATTTACGACGTCGAACCCACCGCCGTAGACTGCCTCCCAGTCAAATTCGCTTGCACGATTTTCCTGCCCAAATGAGCGGATCAGTCGTTCAGTCTCGGTGGAATCACCGTAGACTACAGGTTGAGCTCGGTCCAAGGTTTTTCCCACGGCCCCTTGCCCCCAGATAGTGTTGGAAGCCGGGTCGAGGAAGGTTCCAATATTGCGAAAAGTCAGTGAGATGCGTTCACCACCAAAGGCTAACTCATCCGGTGATTTGATAGAATTGGAACGCTTGTCCGGCCGAATGCCATGTAGCCATCGCATGTTGGTTTTCTCACCTAGGACGAAGAGCGATCGATGAGGAAGTACAACACGTTGGATAGTGCGCCCAGAGTCGGCCTCTCCCTTGGGTTCACGTGCAGAAGATTTGGTCCGGAGAACCATGACACGCTGAGCGCCAAGGCTAACGTTGCAAATGAAAGAGCCTCGAACGATGTCGAGGGTTTTGTCGGAATGTTCGGAGATGTTGTCCTGTCCATCACGGTAGAGTTGAATAAGTGCGTGATTTAATGAATGACCCAGAATCGCCTCTACTGCCAGGCGTACTTCGTTAACAGTCGGGGTGAATGAATCGAGTGGAGGGGCTTCATCTGCGGGATGTCGGTAAATCGGAACCGCGCCGTTAGGCTGAATATGTCCCTGCACCGCCACCAGGCGAGGCACCTGTCCTGAAAGATGATACATCTTCTGCCAAGAGACCTCGGCCCGGATGCGCTGAAATGCGTCAGTAGGCAGTTCAACATCCGGAATGAGGCGGGAATCACCTTCTCCAATGGCGTTGTTATTGAATTCCGGGTCGGGAGTTCGTTCACGACGTTTAGGGCGGCGCACTCGAGTCCGGACATGCTTCTTTCCATCTGCCGCAGCCCGCTGGGCCTGGGTCTGCGATACGAAATTCGCAAGGCTGCCATCGCCCTGATCGGAGGTCTCTTCGAGGATCGAGTCATCGGCCCTGACGCCTAAACTATCGATGATGCTTTCGATACCCGCCGAGACAGCCGAGTGTTGGGGCGCAGGGGTGGTGCCCCGGGCGATGGCGTCGTTCTCGTCCCAATCGAGCTCTTGAGCAAGTTCCTGGGCAGTGCTACCGGTTGCGCCCAGGACATCTGCCATGCGACGCATTGCCTCTTGATGGCGCTGGAAGTCACGGTAGCCCAGACAGTCTTCGATCAGAGTTACCGAGAAGCCATTGCGCACCGCATCCAAGGCAGTGGCATACACGGAAATGTTGGACAGAGAGCCGCAGAGATAAAGGTCGGTCACAAAGCGCTGGCGAAATGATAGCACCAACCCCTCGGATTCCAAAGCCGAGTAACTCGTCTTGTCCAGTACGGTGTCTCGCTCGGCATCGATGGCGGCGAGAACGGGTGCTGGGAACTGGAATCCGGGCGTCCGTGCCTCACAACATTTCACCAATCTCGTCGAAAGAAATGCCTCTGCATCGACAGGCTCGGGCGGATCGCGATCGGATGACGCCTCAATCACGTCGGAGGCGGGGGCACTCCTCTGCTTAGGTGGCTCTCTGTCCAAAACAACCCGATCCCCAGAGTTCCAGTCGGCAAGCAACTGTGGGGATTCATACTGCGAGCGCACCCACACTACATCCCCGGCACGACGAAAGGCAGCGGCCAGTGGTGGTAGAATCTCTAGGATGTCGGCTGTATTAGGGACATGGAGTGCGCCGGACGAACGGACAAAGTCGTTCTGAAAGTCAAGCAGTAGAAGTGCCTTGCGGGTCTTGATTTTGGGCAGACTCCCGAATGCGAAGGAGCTCATTATTGCGACATGGTAATGATCATTGCATGGCTTTGTTGACGTGGGGTTTTGAGGAGGGGGCGCGCAGAGAGCGGAGACAGACACCTGAGGCACTAATGTTTGTTTCACCGTCTGACCATCTGACTGTCTGACAAAAAGGTCACTGTCACTCCCCTGAGGCCCTAAAAATTATTAATAGTCACTGTTTGGGACAGAGGCGCGCCACGAGAGTGTTTCCCATCAAATCGGGTCACTCGGGCCGCTATTTGGTCTGGGCCAGCCATCAGACCCCAGAATGTGAATATGGGGGTTGGTGGCTTAGACTGGTGATCGGCAAGCTAGACTTAAAAAAAAAGTGGAAGAGAAACAAAAACCCTCAACACTCCAGAGTCAGAGTCATCGAGGGGTCACGAGCATTTGCCAGTGACTTCGTACGGAGTCCTGCTCTGCTTCCGGGGAGATCGAAGGGGGGTCCGTTGTGCAGGCAATGGATGTTCTGGGGCAGTGGAGAGACGGGTGTCGCCAATGAGAAGGGCCAATTGCCACTCTTCACCGCGGAGGTCAGGTCCAACTCCGAAGTCCCGCAAAAGAGTCACCGCACTCGGAGCTTCGCCCACCTTTGGAATTTCCAACTTAAAACCTTCCCATTCCTCCTCTGCCCCCTTCTGTTTTTCTCTTTCTCATTCCACTCTCCACTCAAATCCTTCACAATGGCTTCCCGTACCATCCCCCGTGCCTTCCGCATGGCCCGCGTGGCCGCCCCTCGCTCCGTCGTCACTGCCGCCCTCCCCCGGCCTTCTCTGGCCAAGGTCGTCCCCCCGTGTCGCCCAGGTCGCTCCCGTCCGTGGAGTCAAGACCATTGACTTCGCCGGTGTCAAGGAGGATGTCTACGAGCGTGCCGATTGGCCCCGTGAGAAGCTCCACGAGTTCTTCAAGAACGACACCCTGGCCCTCATCGGCTACGGCTCCCAGGGTCACGGCCAGGGTCTCAACCTCCGTGACCAGGGTCTGAACGTGATCGTGGGTGTCCGCAAGGATGGAGCTTCCTGGAAGGAGGCCATCCAGGATGGCTGGGTTCCCGGCAAGAACCTGTTCGATGTCAACTCTGCCATCGAGAAGGGTACCATCATCATGAACCTCCTCTCCGATGCCGCCCAGTCGGAGACCTGGCCCGCCATTAAGCCTCTCCTCACCAAGGGCAAGACTCTCTACTTCTCCCACGGCTTCTCTCCCGTCTTCAAGGACCTCACCAAGGTCGACGTTCCCACCGACATTGACGTCATTCTCGTTGCCCCCAAGGGCTCCGGCCGTACCGTCCGTTCTCTCTCTACCGTGAGGGCCGCGGTATCAACTCCTCCATCGCCGTCTTCCAGGACGTCACCGGCCAGGCTAAGGAGAAGGCTATTGCTATGGGTGTTGCCGTCGGCTCCGGCTACCTCTACGAGACCACCTTTGAGAAGGAGGTCTACTCCGACCTCTACGGTGAGCGTGGCTGCCTGATGGGCGGTATCCACGGAATGTTCCTCGCCCAGTACGAGGTTCTCCGCGAGCGTGGTCACTCCCCCTCCGAGGCCTTCAACGAGACTGTGGAGGAGGCTACTCAGTCCCTGTACCCCCTCATTGGTAGCAATGGTATGGACTGGATGTACGCTGCCTGCTCCACCACCGCCCGCCGCGGTGCCATCGACTGGTCCAGCCGCTTCAAGGACAACCTGAAGCCCCTCTTCAACGAGCTCTACGACAGCGTCCGTGACGGCACTGAGACCCAGCGCTCTCTCGACTACAATAGCCAGAAGGATTACCGTGAGAAGTACGAGAAGGAGATGCAGGAGATCCGTGATCTCGAGATCTGGCGTGCTGGCAAGGCCGTCCGCTCTCTCCGCCCCGAGAACCAGAAGTAAATTAATATTGTGATACCCGTCAGGGAGGGTTTGGACAAAACGTTATGATGTACTATGAAAAATCTGTTTTTGGGCATCGGGTATAAGAAATGTCACCTCCGGCTTGTTTATGCCGTTTCATCGTTCCTTTATGACTTTTCTTTTTCTCAAAGTTTCGTAGAACTCATCGTAGCATCTTCACTGTCGACTGTGCCAAAATCATCATCGGTCTTTCTCCGGCGGAGAAGAGTCCGGGGTAGAAAGGACCCCCGTCTTGTCTCCAGTGTTATCGGTTTGTCACCTTCCCAACCCTGCATCATGGCATCGGACAAAACGGCGCAGTCCCTGACGCCTGACGCCGTCCGAGCCGCATACAAGCTGATCCAGCCGTATGTCCACCGCACGCCGTTGCTGACCTGCAAAACCCTAGACACTACCGCCTCCACCCCGCAGTCCCCCGATGCTCTAGTAGGCACACCATTCGAGGGCCAGACACCCGCCCATCCCAAGTTCCGATTCTATTTTAAATGCGAAAACTTGCAGCGGATTGGCGCCTTTAAGGCCCGCGGTGCATTTCATGCTATTCTTCGGCTGGTGGAGGAGCGCGGGGAGGAAGAGGTCAAACGGCGCGGGGTGATCACACATAGCTCTGGTATCTGATGGACCCTCCTACGCAAATTTTGCAATTTACAGGGACTGATACGTCGCTCGATAGGTAACCATGCGCAAGCCCTCGCTCTCGCTGCGTCAACCCTCAACATTCCGGCCTACATCGTGATGCCGGAGATTAGTACCCCGTCCAAGATTTCCGGCACCAAGTCGCACGGCGCAGCGGTCATCTTCAGTGGATCTACAAGTGTTGAGAGAGAGGCTGTGGTTGCACAAATTCAGGCTGCGACAAACGCAATATTGGTGCCTCCATATGATTATTTTGATGTTATCTGTGGGCAGGGAACAACTGCCCTGGAGCTGGAGGAACAGTATGCTGAGCGTAGCTCGGGAATTCTGGATGCAGTGATCACACCTATCGGCGGCGGTGGTCTCAATGCAGGTGTAGCAACTTATTTCGCTGATAAGCCCCAGACCAAGGTATTCGGGGCAGAGCCCAGCTTCGAGGGAGCAGACGACTGTCGTCGTGGGTTACAAGCCGGCCAGCGTGTGGAATCTGTGTCGACTCTGACGATTGCGGATGGTCTGCGCACACCAGTGGGAGTCTTGAATTGGGAGGTGATTTCAGACAAACGCAAGGTCGAAGGAGTCTTTGCCGTCACAGAAGAGCAGATCAAGGCTGCTATGCGTCTGGTCTTGGAGCGGATGAAGCTTGTGGTGGAGCCAAGTGCAGTGGTTGGACTAGCAGCTTGTCTTTTCGACGAGGATCTTCGACGACGTGTCGAGCAAGAGGGTGGCGAGAAAGGGTGGGACGTGGCACTCGTCTTCAGCGGAGGCAACACCACCGTGGAGGCCATCAGTAAGCTGTTCACCTAGGTTATATTTTGTACATCGACAGATCATAGACGTTCACATCATCAGATGGGGGGTATCTTCATCCCAGTCTCGCGTACGTAAAAAGAGAAACATCCGCCATTGAGAGCATCAAGGCTGTCCGCTACTAGCCGAGGCCATTCTTCGCGACCCCATGAATTGACCCAAGCGGAGAATTTGCCCTGTCGCAGAACGTCTTGACGCTTGGGTGCATCCTGTCTAGCATCATGTGCACTTATTGCGGGTGGGAATGAGCGCACTAGATCACGATGTACGACAAGGCGAAGGGTGGGAAATATTCCCCACGGTGCAGGAAGAGCAGGACGAAGTGACGGTGTTCGAGATGGACACCGGTCATAAGGGCCGGGAGCAGAATGGCTGCTCTTGACTGTGGGTCGACCGCCAGAGACCGTTGCGGTATAAACAACGGTGCAGCCGAATTGACCTTGCAGTCGTTTCAATTCGGTGACTATTTGGGAATACAAGTCAGAAAGATAGAAGCTTTGCTTCTGTTCACGCTCTTGATCAATCTCTGCTCGAAGGCGCCCAATTTCCTCGGTGCGCGCAACCTCGTCACGCAGTCGATCTTGCCAGAAGAATGCTGTGACACTGTCAATGGCAATCATCTGCAACGGACGAGAGGCCGAGTGATGGCGCGAGAGATCAAAAAGATAGGCATTTAATCCGCATAAAGTGGCTAGTAGAGCCGAGGATGACTGTGGGCGAAATACATGAACGTGTTGCAGTGCAGAGCTGATCACTGTTTCGAGCTCATCGTCGGGTAGAGCTTGTGCTTCATTGGCTCCATTTGAGTCAGAGAGGTCTTTGGAGCCTTTTGCTTCCCTGAAGATCCCTCGGGCCACAATTTGCAATACCTCAGCGTCGAACCGGTCATCGGCATCGATCAAGACGACGGCTGCCTCGTGCCCTCCGACGGAGCTCTCGCCGAACGAACGCGGCAAGATGGCAAGCGCGATCAAATAGTAGAGCAACTGGGATTTCCCAGAAGCTGACAAGCTACTCGCGATCTCCACAACAGGGCTGAGCCTTTTGCTTCGATTGGAGTGCGTGAACAAGACATTAGAACCCAGTTCACCAGTCGCTGGACCTTCGCCGGGTTCGCCCACGTCTTCTGCCTCGTCGCCCAGAAGAAGCATCTCTTCATCTTCGGTAAGGATCTGTTCTCGCGACAGTTGCTGATGAGTTGGATCAACCCACAACCCCGTTGCTCTCTGCATGAAAACTTCCAGTAGCGCGTCAAGAACTGGGACGCCTAGAAGCTGCACCTCTTCTTCCGCGTGTACCGGATAGACGTTTGCCAGGTCGCGTAATAACTTAACTATTAGCTGTGGTCTATTGAAGAAAGAGACAGGGTATACAGTCAAGTACCTCATTTAAACCTTGGTGGTGCACATCAGCCAACGACGTTGCGCCTAAGCTGGCGGCCATGACGGGCGATAAAACTGGAACGTCATGGATCATGCATTACTCAGACCAGTTGAGTGATACAATTGAGATGTGCACATTCAGCGCATTGAATGGGCGAATGCGAATGCAAATGCGGAGAGTAGGACGAAGAACAGTCACGTAAAGTAGTTCGGAAACGGAGACTCGACCTCCGCGGAACTCGGCCCACTTCAACTCTGCTCGCCCCAACCAAGCTCCAAATCTATGCAACGGAGCCCCCTTCTCTTTGATCAGCATGGCCCCTCTCGTCCCCGTTTTCTCCGCAGAGACCCTGTCCGATCATGTCAACATCACCCAGCGCAATTTCCAAGACAAGCGTCGCAAAGGCCCAGAGATCAACCTCAAAGAATGCGCGCTCCTCGAGATGATGCAGTACTGCTGCAATCCGCCATCCGGAGAGATTCCACAACCGGGCGTGATTACGTGCAAGCCGGTGGTGCGCTTGTTTCGACGGTGAGTCTATCCAATACGATCTCGGGTGTCCGGTACTGACCTACTCTCAACAAGCTGCGCCGGCGGATTAACGGTAGAAACGACATCGTGGGAACGACTCGGACAAGAGGCAAACAAATTGCAGTCCTCGGGCACGACATCGTGAAGTAAAGAGAAGGAAATGTGGCATGGTGATACAGTATTTGCATTGGGTGGAGTTTTAGGAAAATTATCATGTTGAAACTATGCTGCGACTGCTATGGGGTATCTCCTCAAAAAGTCCGATCAAAACACCAAGCGCCAGCTCCTGAAACCCAAGAAAACGCCAATCTCCTCGTGTGCCTCTAGAAACCACCACCATCCGTAAGCTCGATACTAGTGGATGGCTTGGACGTCTTCTCTTCTCCCTGTCCGCTCGCGGTCGTGCGCCGCCATAGATCTCGCTCGCAATTCACAATAGGGCCCATTTCAATATTCCACGATATCTTGGACCGCGCCTTCCCGTATCCATCGGCTGGCCCTAGATCGAGATCCATCGACGAACTCAATCCGAAGCCCATCGGCTCAGATGCGGAGGCGAGCGGGTTCTTTGGCAATCTCTTCGCAAGTCCCTTGACCGTTTTCTCAAACATAGTCTCCATGCTTTCCATTCGTCGACCCCAGAGCTTCTTGTCCTTGCCGCTCGCGCTTGTCGGATTATCGCGGAACGCGGCGCTCGCCAGCTTTCGCAACGCCTCTTCACCATGTCGTCCATCTTCGGCAGCCCGTTCTCGAATCTGGCGCGGGTCGCTCTCTCTTTCTGTGAAGACCGCTGTAGTAGAGTAGGTGTGTTTGCTTGGGAAGTCGGGGAAGTGCTTGGGGACGTAGGAACGGTTCGTCAGGCCCTCAGCGCCCTTTAATGCGTTCAAGAATGGAAGTTTGCGAGTGACCTCATCCTCGGGTGGAGGAGATGGAGGGAGAATCGGGGTGGGTGCTACGGGTCGGGTTGATTTGAGGGAGGGAAGAAGATCGTCAAGGGAGACGCGGCAGCGAATGAGCGCGTGCTCGATATCATGCGGAATAGGCTGAATACGGCGAGATGCCATCATCGATTGGCGCACATATGTAGATATTTTAAAGAGATCTGAATGGCAGGTCAGTGTCAAAGCTCAACACCCGCAGCTCCTCTCCTGGTACTGGGCAGGCACATACACTCCTCTGCGGAGCTGCGCAAGCTCGACAAAGCCGCAGGATCGGCCATCTCAAATCCTTCATGTCTCAGGGCCTGCCCGATCGAGCGATTCATCATGTGGTCGATATTGGCGTCATCCTGGACAGCAGGCTCGGTGAATGGGGGAAGCGTGACTGGCTCCTGCAAACGGTGGTGGTGGTGATAGTAGTTCTTCGGGCGCTTGCTATTGTGGAAATCCAGCGTGGAGGAGGGGCGCTTCACTGGGCCCGACGCCATGGCCATGATGGTTGATCGAAGCATTGGGCGGAGAAAGCTCCAACTGTTGTCGGATAGCCTGGGTGTCACGTGATGGTGTATTGGTGCCTGAGGACGCAGTCGTTCGCCATCAGCCATTCAGTTCAAGACAAGAAAGCGAGAAAAGGCGAGGGGCTTGAGAGATCAAAGAGTAAATAATGTCTTACGCCCTTTGAACTTGTCTAGGTCGCATCGTCATCTTCCATTCTACATTCTATCGAGCCTCTATAGTACTAATGTTGCAGCCATCGACCAATCCGGAGGCTCGCTTAGTCCGCCCGAAAGCTTCAACTTCGACGTCCGTCCACCTCACCTCCGATACTCCCTTCTCTCCTCTCTGCCATTACCCCCACCACGTCAGGCAGGTTCATTTCTGGCTACATCCCAATCACTGTCTTGTCGAGCGCCGATTGACACGGTCTGTTCGATACAATGGCCGCCGCTATTCCCCCTATCACCGGCGTATGTGATCCGTCCCTTGACAGTCCGGGTCGTCCCGATCGGGCTTGTCGCTCCCTGTTCTCGCCCATGGAATGACACACTGACTCGAGACTTCATTGCAGATGCTCCGCCGTGGTCTCGTCCTGGACCTGAGCACCGCCTTTGGTGAGTGAATTCGACTTGCGTTCTTCGGGTGGCATGATCAACGGATGAGGCGGGATGTCGCTGGTTGTCTCGAATGCCCTCGCTCCCAGCCCGGATTCATGAAGGAGGAATGGAATTGTTTCATCAATCCTACGGTTTTACTAACCAGCGACCACATTGTACAGGTTTCGGTACCACCTTCGGCTACCTGTGGTGGTACGGTAAGTGGAATTTCATAGCCCCCGTCACCCGCAACTCGACCTCTAATATCTCTTCCAGGCTACCACCTTCCCCGTGTTCGTGAGCGTGATGCCTTCTACACCCGTCTCGAGCAGGAGCGTGCTGCCCAGCGCGGATAAATCGGTCAATTTTGCCCTCCCTCGATTGTTTCCCTTGTTGCCCGTCGACCGCAGTTCTCCTTGGTCAATGAAAATCCCAGAAATCACTCCTTCGAAAGAAGAAAGTTTTCCGAGAATCCCTCTTTCTGGGCTAGACTGGGCCGACGGGTCGTGTCTGAGTGTGGGTTCTTGATGTTGAAACCGATTGTACATATACGCCTGTGATCAACGTGGTTCGATTCTGGATTTGGGGCTCTCTATTTGAAATTTCTCTCGTACTTGATCTATATTCTGTATGCCCGAAGTGGCGCTGTTCCTGTGTTGCATAACAAGCTGGGTTACTACCCTCACGCGACAACTTCACAAGTAACGCCGATCGACTCGGATCTTTCATGAAATCAAAACGCTAATTACGCCGGTCGTATGTACGTGGAAATCCTTGCTTTGGGATGACTGCTTCCCGCCCCGTGCAAGCCATGGGCCATCCATTTCGCCTTTCTCCAGGTCAGTCACTGGGATCTCTAGCGCCAGGTCTATACCGCAACCTATTTCGAAAAGTAGCCCTGAAGTGAAGTTTGATAGCCAGTGTCAAGTCGACGGGAATCGATTCTATCGTAGTACCCGCTCGAACGTGTTACCTCGGACGGACCCGCCGGCCATGGAGTTGCGCACATTGCGTTTGAAGCCTTCACGGTTGGTCCGCAGATCATCCGCGGCCTCCTTGTTGAGCGGATCGGACGCGTTCGGCTCGAGAAACAGGAACTATCACGGATGCATTAGTGCACGACATCGCCGACAAGGGAAAAGTCACATACCTGCATGCCTACAATGACGGCGTTCAAATTCAGTACAGGCTTCCAGTCCTCGCGCAGAATATTGAGGCAGACGTTGCCCTCCAGATCGATATTAGGATGGTAGATCTTCTGCGTACACTTGACCTTGGGCGGATCGTGGGGGAAGTTCTGATTCACGGAGAAGCTGAAGTTGAACACGCCACCTTTGTACATGCCCTCATCCGGCTCAATGGTCAGGGTGAAGTTGAGGATATCGTCGGGATTGGGGAATGACATTTTCATCGTGTTTCCAAGGGTGAGTTCTTGCAGGTCTAAAGAAGAGACAATCTGTGAGGCAAGGTCCACTGAGCTAGAAGTCGGAGAACTGACCTCGTTGCACTCGCAGCTGCGCCGCCGTGACCTTCTTCTTTTTCTTGCCTGCAGCGCCTTCGGCATTCTCAGCCTGCTGCTGCTGCTGTTTCTATAGAAGCAGTCAGGATATATCTCCCTTTCGAGTGGCAAAGGACCTACCATCGACCAGATCTTCAACATGTTGGCTGGAGTCACCACCCCACCAGGTGCAACAACAGGTGATCAAAATGACGGGCCGAGCAGGATGGAACAAAGTTGTGCGGAGATGGATATAGCAAAACTGGAGCTCGAAAATTGCACAGTCTTGCAAGAGTCCCAGTAAGCCGGGAATGAGGGTGTGTGACGAGGGATCGGGCGGAGAGAGAGGCAGAGTCTTTGCGGGGTCTCCTCGCCGCCCTTTATCGCGATCTTGCCGCCTCGCGCATGACGTACATTGAGTATAGAACTCATCGGCATAATATGTGTCGCTACACCTACGCTACCAAAGGACTTTCTGATATGTCTGAATGCACTGAATCGATGTGGAAATTTCATTTGCGCCCGGAATGCATCCCATTGCATCGCTGGTCCGGCGAAAGATCACGGTCGCTAGCCGACCTTTTGCAATACATACTGGCATCTTGCTAAAGAAAGAAGATGATAGAACAATAAAGGCTTTAGTAAATGGGCATCTTGAGCTAGAATACAGATGGCAATCAGGAAAGAGAGAGAGAGAGAGAGAGAGAAAAAAAAGAAGCATGTGCCAAGAAAACAGGTTCATGAGAGATTGAGGAAAAACTGTTCATAGTCTACCGGCGCGCGAAGCAGCACTTGATACCGGTGCGGCCCAAGAACCAACAGGCACCGATGAAGCGGAACAGGGCCATGATGGCATTGGACCACAAAAGGGCTTGGAAGAACCGGGCAGTACGAACGGTAGCAGTGTTCTAAAGCAACATTAGTTGATGGCCAAAATGGATAGGAATAGATCAAAGACATACCGTGAATCCGAACTTGTCCACCGCTTCGCTGGTAATGCAGACGGCAAGGAAAGCATTACTGAAAATCCAGAAGGTGACGAGTCGAGTACGGAAGCTCTTGTAAGAGTCCTCCAAGGACTTCTCGTCGTGCTCAACAGGTGCAACGTAGGGAGTGAGCGCACGCTTGACCGTGGTTTCGAACTGACTGTCGATATCGGCTTGCGGCTTGTCGATTTCCTCTATGACCGCCTCTTTACTACCCTCTTCCTTGGTCGTCGTGGCAGAGGGCAGCGCATCAGCTTTATCGGAACCCTTGGTACCCCATGACACATCATGCCAGTTGCTGAAAGCATAGACGTTGAGGATGTTGATGTAAGAGGACTGTAGGACCATATAGGCGGGGAAGGAGGTAAACATATGCCATGGATCGGCATACATGAATGACGCGACGAAATAGAGACCAAAGGTAGCAGCCAGAGCGATGATAATGATACCTGCGCCAGACGAGCCAAAGAACGACTTGAGGAAAGCCCCCACACCTTGATCAGTCGTGAAGTCCATCGGCGCACCCCCACTAAAGGCGCGAATCACCAGATAGAGGGAGTCGACGACAATGTACAACTGGATGATACCGAATACCACAAAGGAAGCCAGATACGAGAACTTGGAGCCCTTGGGACGGTTGCCGAGCGCAAGAATGAACTGAAGCAGCAGGAATGCCAGGTAGATATACTTGATGATGGTGTTCACGATGGGTGTGGCGGTCTTGCCAAAGGGGAATGCCGTATGGTTATTGCTGTCACTGGGGGTGCCGACCAGGTCAATAATGACGGTCGTCGTCAGCCAGTAGGAGGCAAGCGAGAACCAGGTGAGGATGGTGTTGAAGATGTTGTACAACATCTGAATGTGTAGGAAGAACATGCGGATGATGTTGTGTCCACTCTTGTACATACGGCCGAAATGCATCAGCGAATAGATACCAGCTGCGAAGGAACCATTCAACCAACGACGACGCTGAGAGATGAATTCTGCCGCGCCTTCGGGCACGTCAGTTTCGGCCTTGGAGGCCTTCACGTACGACAGATGCCATTTGGAGCCGGCCTTGGCAACCAACTCGAAACAGAGAATACGGTCCTCGGCCAAGAACATGTTCTTTTTGAAGATGTTCATGCCCTCGATACCCTTCTTACCTAGTTGCTTAGACAAGGTGTGGTCACCATGGAAATATTGCTCCAGTGGTCGTCCCATGATGGCGCGGAATCGGTACGCAGAGAACGCACCTGGCAAGACACTGACGTAGCCGAAGGAACTTTCGAGGGGCTTATCCAAGATGTTACTGATCTTGTACTCGAAGTTCTGCCCTGCCACCAACGGGTTGACCAGATTGCGCCAGCCCTTGCCTAACATAGCGTGAATCTCACCACATGCACCACCCAGATCCTTATCGTTGTAGAAGGCCTCCCAGAGGTATAGTAGAGACTTCGGGGCAGGCTTGGTTCCAGCATCTAGCAGAATACAGATCTCAGGGTTCAGAATACGACCAAACGCATTGAACAGCCAGCGGTGAGAGTTGATCTTCTTGCTGTTCTTCTGCTTCAAGCAGAACATCATCTGCACCGGCGGTAGAGTGCTTGGCCCATCGTCTGTTGGACGGATGAGCTGCTGGTTAGGTGTGACAGACAGCTGGGTCGTGTATTCGAACTGTGCATCGAAAATTAGCGCACCGGGGTCCGTTTATCGGCGAATTGAACTCACGATATGCGCCACAGTCTCCTTGCCGTCAACATCACGCTTCATGACACCATCCTGGTAGATACCCACCGTGGCCAGGACGTCGAGAGTATCCTTGTCGCAAGGATCGATACCGTCGAATACGAGTGCAACGACGATTTTCTGCCATGCAGGTCCACCTTTGTTCCAGAACTCGGACTTCTTAATATTCACAATATCGCGAATGTTTTGCATCACACCATGAAGTGTACGAGCGGTCAGGGTCTTGTCCTCGTTGTAGTAGGTGATAGCGATCAAGAGCTCGGTATGACGGTTATACATCGCTGGGCGCAGATTGTAACCATTGTGAAGGGTAAACTCGTTGGGATCACACGTCGCAGCGGTATCTAGCCATATTGTGAGATTTTCAGTCTTCCGTGAACAGCAATTTACTCACATCGCATGTGCGTGAACTCCTCGCTGCCGCCTTCGAGGTCATTACGATACTTGGCTTGGATGGCGTTTTGAATAGCACTGGGCACCGGGTAGTCGACACTCAGGACCGAGCCCTGAACCAGCTTGACTTTTCGCGTGGCATATCGGCGCAGGTTGCCACCCCCAGTACCACCGCCTGGCCCACCACCAGGTGCTTGTCGCTGGCGCCAGGCCTCGGTGGATGAAGTTTCACTTCGGGCGTACGGAGATGCGGCTCTGCCGGGGACACCAAATGCTGCAGCGGGGCTCTCGGAGTGACCTGAGTACACAGAGCCCGTCGCGTAAGGGTCCTGGTAATTCGGGGATGATTCGGTAGCGTAGGTCTCGGTCAAGCTGTAACCCGATGCGGGGCGCACGGGCGAGACTCCTCGTGAGTGAGGGTCGTCAAAAGGCGTTGCAAAAGGGCCTTGCTGGTGAGAGAGCAGGCCTCGGGATGCATCCTCGTCTTCGCGATACTGCATGACTGATTTAGGTCTGTTATGCAAATCAAAAGGGCCAGTGTTCTTACTTGCGAGGCAGGCACATCCTGAAGCCGATGACCATCTTCATACTTGGGTGAATGCGCGCCAGACCCTTGATAGGCCATGATGATGCGCGATATTGAGGCAAACGCAGAAGAGGGGTATCAAACAAGGCGTGGTGGACAGTGAAGCCACCAGGGCAACAGTAAATGGAGAGGTGTCCAAAAAGGGGAGGAGAAAGGGATCCTCAGGGCGATACAACTCCTGGCAAAACCCGATGGAATGAAAGAGGTGAAGAAAGACAAGACAAGACAGGGTCAGCGAGAGGGAAAGGGAGGGACGTGAGACGCAAAGGCAAAAAAAAAAAGGAGCAGACGGAGTGAGACTAGAGCGCGATCGTATTGCTTGGTCTGTCTGCAAAAATAGACATCTCTAATCCCGGTGGGGCTTAGTCTCGAGCGACAGCTCTGATCTGCCATTATTGAACTACGGGTTTTGTCCACTATGATCACTCCAATGTTATTCTGATTATTCTGATGCAACAATGCACATACCCCATCCCTTGGTACCCGGGACGCGCTGGGCGGCACGTCCAGGGCTGCAAGATCGGTATGGGGCACGGCGTGTCAGGGTCCCTTGACCCTGTGCTTACCTGGAATTTGAGAGATGCGCTACAGGCTACGTGTCGTTGCATGGAAGACATTCGTAGGGTGGCCATGTATATAGGCGGGTACTTATACCAGCCTAGGATGACTTTTGTTTGTTTTTGTTTTTGTTTTTGTTTGGTTTGACGTTTTCTCTTTTCGAAGTCAGGGATACAGGGATTCAGGGACACTCAATTTTTTCCCTGAGCCCTTTTCTCCAGATCCTCCACACACACTTGACTGGTTTAGGGAGTGGAACCGGTGCGCTAGGAGCCGAACCCAATCAACCGACTCCACTTATGAAACAGTTGGTGAAATAATCATCCTTGGTCCTGCTCATTCCACATTCTTCACGACTTCTCCCTTCCCGCGGTATGCTAGCGGGACCTCTTCTTTAAGGAAATAACCTTGGGTTGGGGAAGATTTTCACTGAGTGGGAACGATAAATACTCCGACCACCCGCTAATATGCTAGCCCGGAGTTTACTTGTCCTAGTTTTGCCTAGACTGACCCAGAGTACCCAGAGTCCCTCCAAAAGCTCGGTCTTGACCTGATTGGCACCTGACTCGAGGACTCAGGCTGTGCACTGTCACAGGCTCTGCATGTGCACCGACCCTACGCCCCTGTCTCAAAGAGTCGCCCCCCGTCAGGTTCGTCTCCTGTACACTGCCTCTTTTTGTCATGGACTTGCCACCCTCGACATCTCTGTCTAGCTTAGATGTAATTTCTGTATCAGGTGTATTCTATAGTAGATCACGTGGAGAGGAAAAGGTTGCGGTAGAAGTTCAGAGTGTACCAAAGTTGGATATATATGTAGCCCAGCGAACTGCCCACCTGCAACCCTACCCCTCCAACTATATGAAGCCAATCGTCACTCTCATCTCAATATGTCGGGTCAGAGGGCTATGATACATGGATCACTATAACCAAAAGTTTCGAATATCCTGTCGTGTGATGCGAAATGGAAAGGGACAGAATTTGATAGTGCTCGATTATTTCCTTTTTGAAAGAAGAACAACACATTAAGAAAATAATCCAAGGCATGCAAACAGGACATAGCCAGAACGAGGACACAACCCTCACTCCATTGCTTCATCCAGCTTCATCTCTCAAAGCGATCCTTTCTAGACTGGTGGGTTGACCGACAGACGTTGAGCGGGTGGCGATGGCGAGCGCAACGGAGCAGACACCGGTGCGGACACTTGCTCAGACAAGACCGGTATTTGCCGCAGCTGATGCTGCACATGCTGGTACGACTCACTGTCATTCCAGCGATGCACAGCATCGCGCGCGGCTCCATCTTGCCCGGTGGTTGCTGCAGCCGTGTATCAAGGTCGTTGGCGACCTGCGCGGGAGGCATTTGGACAGCTTCAGGACCTTCCTTTCTGGCGCTTTGATCAGTCGCCATGTCGGTCTCGCCGTCTGCTCATCTGCCCACTGTTTTGCCCCCCTTGCCTTGAACCGCGCTCGCAGTGCGCGTCGACCGAATGATCTGCCGCCCGACATCGCCTCCAGCTATGGATTTGGATATCTACCATTTCATTGAACCCTCTAGAGCCCTAATATAGTTGTATTAGCACCCAGAAAACATCTGTAGAAGAATAAAAAAGTACAGTAAAGCAATTGTGCCCGACCATGACCGGCTGGTCATCCCTGATGCGTTCTTCACCCGGTTCGCGAGATGAGAAGCTCCCGCGAATGAGCAGTGCGAAGTGCCGATGGTGGCATTAAGCCCTATTGGACGATCTCTGATATTGAAATAGTCAAAAATTTCCGCCGCTTAAAATGGCTGATGTCACTAAGGAAGAAAGTTTTGGTCGATAGCCTGGGTGTGTCAACACGACGTGGGTTTCTAAATCCATAAAGTTGCAAAGAAAAGAAAAAAAAAAAGTCTTTCCACAGCGAGCTTTGAGACGCTAATTGACCAGCTAAATAAAATCTCATCGATCAGAATTCAAAGCAGCGCGTGTAGGAGTGTCAGTTACCCTTGGAGAAATCTTCTGCCGGTCGCCGCGTGGCTGAGTCAAAAAGGCAGACGTCTTGCTCTCTGAATTGTATTGTCAACAAAAGTCCATCGGTCACCAATCCTAGCATGTTGGCGTAGGGGAAACGCGCCGTAAGTCACCTGATTTTCATTAACCTATGAATTCAACTAACCAATTAATAGGGGCTCATAACCCGGAGATCCCTGGATCGAAACCAGGACATGCTATCATATCCTTTTTTTTTTCTCCTTTCTCTTCTCTTCTTTTTTGTACTCTTTCTAGCAAACATTCCTTTCCCCCCCCACTAGTCCTGTTGCATACCCTATCTTCTAGGAGGTTGCTTAAGAGTTGGTTGTGATCTGCAATTTCACAGCCCTAGTTGGTGGCGGGTGTACTGTGCACCTAGCTACGCCTCTCGTGTCTCAGGAAAGCCCCTTGTCAAGCACCTGTAAGACCATGTTTTTCATTTTTTCCGACAGTGCGTCGATCCGCTAACTAGGATTCGTGGATCAAGGTCGTCAAGCAGATAGAGACAGTCTGTACTATATATTTGATTTACCTCGGCGCCCACAGTCCTCCCACGTCTATCGTCCATACTCTAAACTCCGTATAACGGATACGAGGTCCAATCTATTTTGGTGGCTGACGAAGGAATGGCAATTTCCCGGGCCGATGATGATCCGAGCCTAGACCCATCAGTACACAATACGCCCACAGCACGCAACGCTGTACGATATACCACGTCCTGCAAGGTGCCGCAGAAAGGGCGTGAAACTGCCCTGGACAGAAGCCTCTAGTCGTATATATGAAGAAAAAAAAAAAGGAAAAAAACAAACCGACACTCTTTGGGTTCCCATCTTTACCTCGCAGTAATCGCCTACTTTTCAAGTCGAAAGAGCTTATGGAACCCGCGCTCAGACCTCCGGTGACTTGGCCCCGACTCCTCATTTCCCAGCGAACGTTCTCCTCTTCCTCCTGCATATTCATCCGATCTTGAACGCTTTTCGACTCTGGACGATGACCGTCCCAGGTCCTTGATCTGTTCTACACATTCCTTTGTGATGACCTATTCCCGCTCACGACTTGACGCCGATTGAGCATCCACACTCCTTTTTCCTCTTAACTGTTCACTGTTTCTCCGTTTTGAATCCCCCACCGTTGACCGGTCATCTACGTCTTTTTTCTCTTATCTCGCTGTGATCCTCTTGTTACTCTCTCTCTATCCCCGCCATCTTTTCTCGCCCGCCATGACCCCCCGAACTCTTCGATTCCGCGACCACCTCGCCCTATAGTGACTTTTCCCCCTCTAACTCCCTCTTCAAGCGCTGTGTAACATGTGCATCCTCCGCCCCGACTTGTCCCACTTGTGACGACGGATACTTCTGTTCTATGACCAGCCCGAGCTGTGATAGATGTGCGAGCACCAAATGTGTCTTGGATGGCAACGCTGCCTCCCAGCCCAAGTCTAGCGGTCCCAATGTCGGTGCTATCGCCGGTGGTGTGGTCGGCGGTGTGATTGCTCTCGCCGCCCTTCTTCTCCTGATTTGGTGGTTCGTCATCCGTCCTCGCCGTGAAGAGCGCCGGTCTCAACAGGAAAAGAGTGACACGTTCGCTGCCCAGCGATCGGAGCGCAAGTCAACCCAGTCCATCGCCTCAACCGTCCTCACCCGTGCCTCCAACGTCATCCAAATCGCATATATTCCCGGTGTCACCAACCGATCACCCCCGGAGACGCCTGCCTCGTTGGTACCTCCTGTTCCTCCACTGCCCGGCGCAACCCCAGATCAGCACTTCTTCATGCCCGGTGATCTGCGAGACTCTTCTTGGACCGCCACCACCGGCCACCAGAGTATCTCGCCCACCTTGCGTAGCAGTGTGGCCACTACAATTTATCGCAACGACGCCATCGTCAGTGCTGTTCCCGCTCAGCAGATCCAGCGTTCTCGGGCAAACATTGTCAGCGTACACAACGGCCCTGGCGGCTCCGGTGACAGCACTCCAACACAACCTGTTCCGGTCATGATTACTCCCAGGGATGCGCCCGCGGTGCCTGCTATCACCTCATCACAGCTCGCCAGGGCCGAAGCCATGAAGGCTGGACCTGGCAGCTCGATTGTGGCTCGCCAGGTGGTTGCCAAGCCTGTGATGGTTCGCGGGCCCTCGATGAAGAAAAAAGATGGCCAGTCTAGCACGGAGTCTAGCATGAAGGAAGTCAAGCCCAGCACTGCGAACTCGGCAAATAGCAGTAACCAATTCGGCCATCACACCTCAACTTTTGACGACAATTCATCGGATGAAGATGATGATGACACGCGTCGTTCCACCCCGTCCCACTCGACGGGTGCAAAGGCGTCGGCCTCGGTCAAAGAAGACTCACACTCTAAGAGTCCCTTCTCCGACTCGGCCAGCACCAGCCACATAGCCTCGGCACAGATTCAACAAAACTCCCTCTACGCCAGTCAAACACCGCCCCCGCGTGTGCAAAGCCCCTTCTCAGACGCAAATGAAGTTTCATAAACGACCTGGGTTCGATGGGCGCACTGATTCTTTTATGTGATTCTCTTCTCCATTTCTGTCAAACCATCTTTCATTTCCTTGTATGAATATGAGACTTGGTACATTTTTGGGCGTCGGTTTGCGTTTCCCGAGTGATTTTGTACAGCGAGATGGCACTCGGAGCGGAACAGTCAATTGAAGTCAACTTCATCGATGCATATCGTACCTCTAGGCTCTCCATATTAACTTGTAATCAAGATTCCCAATATACTTTGTATCCACGTCTTGAAAGGCCTGTCTAGATTGAGAATCCAAGGCCACTGTACATGTTTAGGGATGTCTTAGTCGGTTCAGCCTGATGAGTGTGACGGTACATGAGAGCCGGAAGTATCCACCCGTGTCCATGGACTGCTCCAAGGTTCTATTATATCTCGGTAGGCATGTAACCACTGCCAACTGCTCTAGAGCGCAAACATAATTATGAGGGTATCTACAATGGTCTACCATCCAGCTTGAAAATGCACGGTCAAAAAATGGAGCCATCACGACTGGGTTTCTTCCAAGCCCATTCCACGCCCGATCTTGCGAATCAATGCACGTTTAAGGAAAGCCTCCCGCGCAAGACCACGCGTATGTCGGGACCAGGAGTCAACGCCAATAACTCCACGGACAAGCGCTGCCTGTAACGCGTACAGCGCATGCTGGAGACCTTGCTCCTCTGCCACCAAATCATACAACTGCTTTCCTACCACAGTAGGTGCAACCAGGACCTCGTCAATGGGAGGTAGACCCGACGGAGAGTCTGAAGACCTAGCAGCCGCAGAGGTCGATGCTGCAGAAGATGAGACGGAGGCCGACCGAGCTTGAGCATCCGCGATGGTGGCATCTGCACGGTAGATAGACTGCTGCAAGATTGCAGTGTTGGATTGGAGCGTTGCGTGGAGGGAATTGAGCGCAGCGAGTTCACCCTGAAGTGTGGCCATTGATGCCTGCAACGAGCGCGACTGAGAGACAAGCGACTGTGATGCAGAGTCGGACTGTGCTGCTTGAGCTCGCAAGGTCTCCGACAGACTTTGAGATATCGCATGTAACAAAGCATCTTTCTCTGGATTCGGTGGGATCGGTGGCGCAGGCCCCGTGGGCGCGAATGAGGGCAACTCAACCTCAAATGGTGACGTGAGAAGGTCTGGCGTTTCCTTCGTTGCTGGCGCTGCCGGGGGTGGATGTAAGCTCGAAAGATGTGGCGAATCTGTAGGGTATGGAGGCCTCGATGACTGCGGAGATTGAGACCGGTATCCCGCGTGATGTGATGGTGGTCCTTGTGACAAATGAGGTGGTTGCTGTGCAGACACATGAGGAACAAGTGGTCTAGGCTGAGGAGCGAAAGGTCTATGCTGGGACCCAGTAAAAGGCCCAGTTGGCCCATTGGCGTTCCTGCCATAGGGTGTTTGACTTTGGTATACCGAAGGTGACGTGGTTTGTTGGACAGGATGAGGCGAAGTAGCGAATGGTAGAGGTACATGACCACCCGGGCTGGCCATCGGAGCATGGCTTAAGGAGCTGATTCGACTAGGGTTATAGTCCTTGGGAGGAAGCGGGGGCAGTGGTGGGGGAGACTGATATCGCTCCGCTGTCTGTGCTGGCAGTTGCTGAGGCATCGTGGCAGCTCCAGGCTTGGGTGGCAGCTGCGGAGGAGTCTGGCTACCCGGAGCTGCAGATGGCGGTTGCGCATGAGGTATTGGCGCAGGCCCCATGCCCGGTGGCAGAGGAGGTAATGGGGGCGGGGTTTGCGTCTGTTGAGTCTGTGGTTGAGGTGGCATCTGTTGTCGATTTCGAACGGGGGGTTCCTTCGCAAAGACCTCCCGGAGAATAATGAGGAGATCGGAAATATTCGATCTCTGATTAATGCGCAAAATGGTTAGCATGGATTTCGTCGACCACGTAGAGTTGTGACACTCACATCCCACGCCTCAGCCCAACGTGCCAGGTAGTGATGATACACGCGCCCTTCAAGCGTAACATGCTGTCCAACTCGAACTGCCATGTCCTGGGTTGGCGTCACATAGACTATAGGGGGGCTCGCGAGGATACGTGTTTGGGATCCATAGCGCGAGGGGGAATCGGTATGTCGTGCCACGGAAAGTCACAGGTAGCGTGCCCACAAGGTGCAGGAGCAAAGCCGAGAAGCCATTCTCGAAGGCTAAAAGGCAAGGATGTCAGAGTCACTTCCAGTCGCATAGAGTTCTGTTGACTCACTGTATACGTCGGTCCGAGGGGCCAGCGAGGGGTACTGAGCGAGCGCATTCGCGACGTCATGATAGGTACGGTTGGGATCTTGGTACGTCTGCTTGGGGTCGTAGTGGTCCTGAACAGGGTGTCAGTTGGCCACGACGAGGAATGAGGGAGTCACGGACCTTGGATAGGACGGAGTATAGCCAATTCAGCGTCCTCTGGGAGACCGCCATGTCGCTGGGAGGTGAAAAGGGTTGAGTCGCGGTGCTCCGCACGTCTTCCCCGCAACGCTCTTGGCTTCCCGCTACCGACGTCGAGTGGTCAACATGTCGATTGTTCCAAGTTTGACTACACTCTCTAGCATCACAAGCATTACATGCATCATGGGTCTGAAGATAGCATTGCCTGTCGAATGTTTTGAATTTATTTGCGAGTCTTTTCCGACACTATGGGCTGCTTTGACTTGTTTGAAGATATTGCGACATCCTAGGTCTCTGGAAGTCTATTCTATTCTCTCCTCTGTTACCTCCTACTCGATCATATCTCAAGTTTAGACTTCAGGGAATGTCATTAAATCATCAATGTCTATGTCTATAATCATGTCTATAATCATGTATATAGTTCATGCAGAAACAACCTAATCAAAGATAGAGGCCTTCATGGAGTTGGGCTGAATGTACTCCGACGCATTGCGGAAGCTGGTGAATCCCCAGCGAATCTGCGCAGCCATGGCGATCTCCGTGTCCAGGTCCTTAGCGAAAGCCCAGGCCAGACCAGTGTCACGCTGGAAGGCACGACCAACCAGTATGAGATCGATTCCCTCCTCATTCAGAATCTTCTCGGCAAGCTGGCCGTTGTTGATAGTACCCACCGCAGCCACAAGCAGCTTGTCGCCAACAGCCTTCTTTACGGCAGCCGCAAAGGGAACCTGGAAGGCAACCGCAGATTCCACCTTCTGAGCAGCGTGCACACCACCACTGCTGATATCGATCAGATCGATAGCGCCCTGAGCTGCAAGAGCCTTGGCAAATTCGACGGTGTCCTCCGGCTTCCATCCCTTCTCCTCGGGCAGGCTTTTCTCCAACCAGTCGGTGGCAGAGACACGTAGGAAGACGGGCATGTCCGCACCAACCGTATCACGGGTCAATTGAGCGATCTCGAGAGGCAGGCGAATGCGGTTCTCGAAGCTACCACCGTACTCGTCCGTGCGTGTGTTCGACGAGGTGCTCAGGAAAGAGGACAAGAGGTAGCCGTGCGCGCTATGGATCTCAATGAAGTCGACGCCAGCGGCGACAGCACGGCGAGTCGCCGCAACCCAGGCATCCTTGACCTCCTGAATGTCCTCCTTGGTCATAGCCTTGGGAACGATATCACCGTCGGCAAAGGGAATTGCGCTAGGGCTCTTGACATTCTCAGTCCAGCCACCAACGGCATTCGTAGCGGTGACACCTCCCAACCACGGGGGAACCGTGGAGGCCTTACGACCGGCGTGGGCCAGCTGGATACCGATCTTCTGGCCCTGGCTATGAGCGAATTCCACAACCTGCTTCAGTGGAGCAATCTGGGAATCCTTCCACAAGCCTACGCAACCAGGTGTAATGCGGCCCTCGGGAAGGACGCCGGTGGCTTCGATAATGATCATTCCGGGGCCACGCTGCGCGATGCCACCGTAGTGAGCCATATGCCACGCGGTCATGTGGCCATCCTCCGCACTGTATTGGCACATGGGCGCAACCTGAGATTATATAGTGAGTACATGTTTCGGGAAGATCAGGATCTGACACAACATGAGACTTACACCGAGGCGGTTTTGAAAATTCTGACCGCGGATGGTCAGGGGCTGGAACAGCTTCGGAATAGGTTTGCCGCTGGTCTGGGGATTGCGCGCAGTGCCCGCCGGCGGGCTCTGGGCCGGCGTGTAGTAAGAGATACCCTCCGCGGGCTTAGTGGGAACGTCGGGCCAAGTCATGATGGAACTGTGCTGAATTGGAATAATTTGATCGTCTTCTGGGCATAATAGGTCCTGTATGGTGCTATATATACTCCCCCCTCCCTCCTCTCCATAGCTGATTTCTAAGCTAGATAAAAGTCTTCGGATATAAATCGGGATGAGCGGCCCACTGTCAACCACTGTTCAGGTATTCTTGAAAGTCTCCCCCGGACCATATATTCCGTAAAAGCCGTAGAATATATTCCAGGGGCAACAATTGAAGTTTCCGATTCGCAGGAACCTTTCGGGTATGGCTTTGTCAGAAGTCTATCCGAGTTGAGTGGCGAAAGTCTCCGTTCGGCTCAAGGATCGACCGATTCTCCACTCGTAGATGATCGCATGGACTGCATCGAGGCGGTGGGACATTTTTTCAGTTTCTCTGATTACGAGATGATATTCTCCGCGGGGATCGAGTGTCTGACTTCCCGTGATCAACCATCCTTTTTCAATACGACTCACAACGATGGTTTTCATGGCGTGGTCCTGTCAAAGCTATGCGGAGGCTCAACCCTGAGAGGAGCTGGAACAAGTGCCATTGCAAACGGCTGCGGATCTAAATAAGATCAGAGTCTTCAACCAGATGATCCGGATCCTAGCTGAGTAGAAAAGAACGAATAGGTTATGGTCCATGGAACAATACGATCCTTCGAGCTTTGAACACATTGACTTGTAGACCATAGTCACCTAGGTCATCGTGACACACTGGGATTGAGATTCTGTAACAGTCTTTTTTTTACATGAGGTTGCCCTTTTCTAATTTCCCAAGACAAGAGAATCAGCATAGGACTGTCATTTTTTTGGGCCTTGATTGGGGATAAAAGTGAAAGTGCACGACCACACGACCACCATTCCACATAACCCCACCAGGAATATCACACGCATTACAATCACCACAATCATGGTAACCCGCTGCAAGATTCCCCGAAAGAAGACAATGTGGTCGTCATACAGGTCAATCCAGACTCGACCCTTCAGACATCCGCCATCGCAGCCTGTCTTTGTTTTCCCGTCTAGGCATTGTGACGCCTCCGGCTAAGTATTGTTCTCTATCACCACACCATTTTCAGCTTCAACTCGATCCTTTCACATTGTCTGTCTCGGTCTACGATGTGTGATTTTTCCTGGGCTGCTCAAAACCCTGCACCATGCTGGGTCCTTTTATACTCCTCAAAGACCTGCTGCCATCCTCGAATACTCACTCCAATTTACCGACTCGAACAAAATCCCATACATCATGAACGTTACCTTTCCTGACGGAGATCCTGACTTTCAGGTGGTTCATTTCTGGAGATCCGATGGCCAAGAGGTTTACGTGGACATCTATTCACTCGATATGTTCTACCAGTACAATGTTCGGATATGCATCAATTATGGCTCTCAGCTCGGGGCGTCGGTCGTCCTGCTGGTCTTTCTACTTCTCCTGACACACAGCGACAAGCGCGGCTCAATGGTTTTCATTTTCAATGGCCTGGCATTGCTGTTTAATATCTTGCGACTGCTCTTCGAGACCATTCATTTTTCCACCCCTTTCGAAAAGATCTATCCCTTTTTCTCTGGCGATTACTCGAGCGTCGGGTCCAGAGCCTACGCCATCTCCATCTTAGGCACCGTCTTTGAGACCATGCTTGTCATGTGTATCATGGCCTCATTGGTCGTGCAGGTGCAGGTGGTGTGCAAAACCCTGCGCCGTCGATACCGAAGACCTTTGCTCGTACTGTCTGTGCTGGTAGCATTGGTACCCATCGGAGTTCGCATAGGATGGATGGTGATCAACTGCAGGGCCATCATGGCACTCGAGAACACAGGGCCATGGGTGTGGCTCCAGAGCGCACTCAATATTGTCATTTCTGCCGCTATCTGCTTTTTCTGTGCCATTTTCGTCGCCAAACTGGGTCATGCGATCAAACAACGCCGCCGACTGGGTGTGCGAGACTTCGGTCCGATGAAGATTATTTTCGTCTGTGGTTGTCAGACCATGACGATCCCTGCTCTGTTCTCGATCATTCAATACTTTTCACAAGTGCCTGAGCTTGCCGACAATGTTCTGACCCTCGTCACCCTTTCTCTGCCGCTGTCCTCGATCTGGGCCGGCGCGGCACTAGAGAACACCCAGCGGATCGAAACACCTCGCAGCCCCCGCAACCTGTGGCGCGCGCTCGCCTTCAATCTGAGCCGATCGATGCCTACAAATCGTTCGAGAACCGAGATGACTGCCACGGGTTATACGGGGCAGACCTTGTGCTATGTAGATCAACAAGTCAGCAAACATTCGCACGACTCGGAGATGCCCCTGGCAATCTCGGTTGAGCACGATATCTCTGTCGACTCTGTTAGAAATTCTCGGAAGGACACTTCTGTCGTTTAAAGGCTGCGGGTGATAGAGAATGACCAAAGTTTCAAAAACATTCCTGGCGCCAAGCACACCCGAATTCGAAGATGGGCACATTTCTATCGCTAGTTCCTTGCACTCGTGTACATTACCAGATACAATCTTTAATCGAGCTCTCAAAGACAATGTCTCGGATCACTGGACGAAAGTAAGTCAAGGAGAACAAGTGGAAGATCAGCAAAACCACAAATGTCAAGGCTTTATTATACTGCAGGAATCTCGGTTCCCTAAATGTCGGATCCGACGTAGCATCAGCTCAGCACACCAAAGTCTTCCCAGCTGAGCTGAGCGAAAAAAAGAAAACGAAGGTATTTACAAAACGCTCTATGTAATAGCACCGTGTGCGCCAGAGCACGGAAAATCAAAGCTAGACGTGACAAGCACCGGGTTATTGCAACTGCACATAATTGGCTAAAGCGATTGTTAGAAGCACGCGAGAGAACCTTCAAGATCCGACACTCACCAGGGAATTGGCCTTCTCGGCCATCAATCCGCCCAGTCCACCACTCGTTCTGACTTTCGGTACGATGAACGATCTCGATCACATCACCCGCAGAGAATCCAAGGTCTCCATGGGCTTGAGCCTCGTAATCGTACAACGCGGTGACCCACTCCACTGGCTTGCTGAGGTGGGAAGGCTTCGGCTTGGGAGGCGGAGGGGCAAGCTTGGACTTGGCAGCCGACGAGAAGCTGCCGGTCGGACTGGGAGTGGCGGCTGATGAATATGGGGGCGGGGGATTATCGGTCGAGGTAGAGCTGGACCGCCCGCGGTTTATCGAGCCCTTGGCCTCGAGGCCCTTGGGGCCTAGTTTAGAGCCGGATCGACCGAGTCCCTTAGTCTTGAAGTGGACGATTGCCAAAGCCTCGGCCTGCTCCTGTACGTTGCCTCGCTTCTGCTCAAAAGCCTCCTCCACGTCGAGGTTGAGGTTGAAGTAGCTGATTTGCATGCCCTGCATTTTCTCGTGCAGAGTGTAAAAGACATTGAGCTGCATGTAGTAAAAGGACTGGAAGAGCGGGCGGATGAACTCGGCCTCGAGAGTGAAGAGCTTCGGCAGCTCCTCCTTCATCAGATCGTTGTAATAATTGAACTCCTGGGTCGCCTGCTCAACATCGTTCTCGGCCTTGTACAGAGCCTTTTCGTCCTTGATCGACTTGTCCTTCTTCTCCTCCAGCTTCTTCAGTGTGGCACGGCGACGGTCGTAGTCAAGTTTCTTGTGGTCACGTTTGACGGCGACCTTTCGGATGACCTTGATCACCTCCAGCAGCTGGTCGGCGGGGCTGATGACGCGCGCCTCAATCATCTCCAGCTCCGGCGCCAGGGCCTCCTGCAGATCCTTGACGATAGCCTCATATTCCTCGCAGGCTTTGATGCCCTCATGGTTGCCTTCATCTTCAAACGAGTTGGGATCGGAGGCGCGGCCCGAAATGGGCTTGTAAATCTCGGCGATTGCTTTGGAGAATTCGATCTGGTGGTTCAACATGCCTGGGAGCGGTCAGCGAACTCGATCCTTCTTGAGCTGCAGGCTGCGGAGCGATCGGGTCAGTCTCACCGTTGATGGCCTGGAAGTATTTCGCGGACTCATCGTGCAGCTTCTTGGTCTCCTTCTCGAGCTCTTGAAATCGGCGTTCCGCATCGCTATAGACCGCATCTTGCGTGTGCTCGCCGATGTTGAACTTCAATTTCAGCTGCTGTGGGGCACGCGAGAGGCTTTTTTGAAACCCCTTGAAACTCATTGTGAATGTGCCTGAAGCCTGAAGCCTGAAGCCTGGGAGTCTGGAAGTTCTTGGGTTTCTGAAGGTCAGAGAGAGTGGAAGAGTTGCGGATGGCGGGGTGGTAGAATCCGAGTCCGAAGGCCGCTTCTCTCTCCGCTATGACATAGACGATCGCTTGTGGCTGTGCCTTGGATTCGCACTACTTCTGGTGCTACCACCCTTAGCTACTTTCGGACAGACCGGGTTTTCTTACGTGCGTTCTGGGAATACTTCACGCTAAACTGCGAACACCGCATCGTGTGGCGCATTGGTTTCCCCTACTTCACCCACAGGCACCAGAATTCCGCTCGGAGGCGCTTCCGTGGCGATCTCCCACGTTCCATTGCAGCCCTATGTGATGAGGCGGTGCAGGACGTCATCTCAGACCCCATTACACCGTACTAGAGACTCTTAGCACATTTTCTTCCTTTGGGTATGTAGTCGCGACTCCGTCATTGCGGGCGCAGCTAGGTTCAACTCTACAGCGCGGATGATATTACCCAAGCTGCCCTGGTTCGGCCGATGGAAGGGGGTGCCTGGATCTTGTGAGACTGCGCAGACCCTTGTGCTATCTTTACTAGAGAGACCCTAGTAATGTCCCCTGCTCGTAGTAGGAAGAGTTCGCACGATCACTGAGATCGAGGCGTTCGGGCGCGGAAAAGCCTAAGTCCGAAGTCCCCGATCGGGGAATATCCCGAGTTATCGGAAAATGCGACCGCCCTGCCCGGTTCCTCCTTCCATCTTCACGCTTCTGTGAACAATTATCATCATCATCATGTCGTCCGCTGCACCCGCTGCTTGGAGACAGGCCTCTCGCGTCTATGCCAGGCGCCTGGCTTCCCAGGGCGCTTGGGCTGTGCCTCGCCGAGTGCTCGCCACCGGTGTCCGAGGAGGTCGGTCCTATGTCACCGAGTCCAAGACCAGTAACGCCCAGGTCAATGTTGAGACTGCGATCAAAGAGGAACAAAAGTCATTTATGAAGAAGGCCGGTGTCGCGCCTGGGAGTCTGGAGTTGCCCGGCTCCTCGACCTCTGGCGACGCCGCCATGAGTCCTTCCGCCGGTATCCTCAAGCAGGCTACTGTCATGGACCAGGGCACCCGCCCAATTTACCTTGATATGCAGGCGACCACTCCGCTGGACCCCCGCGTTCTGGACGCCATGCTCCCCTACCTCACCGGAATCTACGGAAATCCCCACTCGCGCACACACGCCTACGGCTGGGAGTCGGAGAAGGCTGTCGAACAAGCCCGCGAGCACATTGCCAACCTCATTGGAGCCGACCCCAAAGAAATTATTTTCACCAGTGGTGCAACAGAGTCCAATAATATGAGTTTGAAGGGCGTGGCTCGGTTCTTTGGCCGCTCAGGAAAGAAGAAGCACATTATCACTACCCAGACCGAGCACAAGTGTGTGCTAGACAGCTGTCGCCATCTTCAGGATGAGGGCTTTGAGGTGACCTACTTGCCCGTGCAGAACAACGGTCTGATTCGTATGTCGGATCTCGAGGCCGCTATGCGCCCGGATACCGCCATCGTCAGTATCATGGCCGTGAACAACGAGATCGGTGTCATCCAGCCCATGGAGGAGATTGGCAAGCTCTGCCGATCCAAGAAGATCTTCTTCCACACAGACGGTGCTCAGGCCGTGGGCAAAATTCCTCTCGATGTCAACAAGCTCAACATTGACTTGATGTCCATTTCCAGCCACAAGATCTACGGCCCCAAGGGTATTGGAGCTTGCTTCGTCCGTCGTCGCCCCCGTGTCCGTCTGGAACCCATTATCTCCGGTGGTGGCCAGGAGCGTGGTCTGCGCAGTGGAACTATCGCTCCCCACCTGGTTGTCGGATTCGGCGAGGCTTGCCGTCTCGCCGCTCAAGATATGGAGGTAAGAAACTCTTCTTTTTTTATGCTCATGATTGATCTTTGCGATGATTAAACAACTGCTTGAAATTTTTTTGGGAGGTATTCGGACGGTAGCTACATTCCCTTGAGGAATGATGTCCGGTATCCGTGAAAACCAGTGCAGGGGTACTGACCGTGTTTTTGTTGGATATTTGAAATGGTTGAAGCCTTGACGATAAGAGTCTGTTCGCTAATCTTGCCTCCGATCTAGTATGACACAAAGCACGTCGAGCGTTTGTCGAAGCGTCTATCTTCAGCCTTGCTTAGCATGGAGCACACCACCTTGAATGGTGACCCCAAGGCCCATTACCCGGGCTGCGTCAACATTTCCTTCGCCTACGTGGAAGGAGAGTCTCTCCTCATGGCTCTGAACGACATTGCTCTGTCATCAGGCAGTGCGTGCACCTCCGCCTCGCTGGAGCCCAGCTACGTCCTCCGCGCCCTGGGCAGCAGTGATGAGAGTGCTCACAGCAGTATTCGGTTCGGTATCGGTCGTTTCACTAGTGATTCCGAAATTGATTACGTCCTCAAGGCTGTCCAGGATCGTGTTCACTTCCTACGTGAGCTGAGCCCGCTTTGGGAGTTGGTACAGGAGGGCATTGATCTGAACACGATCGAGTGGAGCCAGCACTGATATCCCATCACTTTCTCTGCATCTATGTTTCTGGCATTAATTACGTTCGCTGGAGGCCAAAAAAATATCTCCCTCGGAAATGGCGTTGAATATTTGAGGTGTAACAACAACTCTGTACAGAATGAAGACTACTCCGATCATTAGTCTTGCAATAGTATTTCGTGTCTAGTCGTGAAGGTAGCCCGTAGCCACTGAGACAAAGTTCAACTTGAAATGAAAATATTAACTTGGGATTGAAATGCTATATCCTTGTGGACGCTAACGCCCGTAAACCCATGTCCTAGACCATCTCTCGACCAAATGGTACCTGTCCCACGGTATTTACTCCCCGCCCAACGCAGCTCCGCCGAAGCAAAATTGCAAGCGGCTGCAAAGCGACATCCACGTTTATGTCTGGGAAAACTACCGTTTGACCTCGGCCAAGGGCTGTTTGCATTGCGATTGACACTCTCACACACGGTAAAACATCGCCGTCCGTCATTTGTATGTGAACCGCCGATCATACAGTCATAACTTTATGTATTATCTTCTGAACCAGCTCCAGCATCTATAGTCTATCACGGCCATTCTGACCGGGGAACTCTAAGACGAGCTGGCCAGGTATATGTACAAGGAAAGAAAATCCGTAAACTCCATCCAGAACCCATGGGCCAGAGGGCCGTCGTCGGGGAATCAAAAGTACGATCGTGTCGGCGTCAGGAGACGTGGTGCGGCATCAAAAAACATAAGAGCGCCGTATTAAGCCAACCCACCCCCCCCCCAAAACAGGAAAAAAGAAGAAGGAAAAAAAGACGGTAAACTCAGAGCTTCATGTAGAGATTGGCTAGTGAGTCCAGTGCGGCGTCTCGCTTAACCGGGTGGATATTCTTGAGAGCTTCGCGGATATGCACGTTTCTCTTCAAGAGGGATGAGAGGCCGGAGCCGGAGCCGGAACCAGAATCCATATTTTTGAAGTCGTTTTCCAGAGTACTCAGAAGACCACCGCCCGTGCTATTAGACTTGGCGTAATCCGCGAGTTCGGTCAAGTTGAGGCCGTGTAATGTGTTCTTCAGGGTGTCCATAAGGGGCACTTGGGCCGGAAGCGTCAGCCCAGACATGACCTCGGTGTAGTAAGGCACGGTCTTGTTCTCCCAGACAACCGACTTGGTGATCGTATCCAGGGTCAGGTTGCCGGTCTTCAAAAGATTGGCCTGGGATTTGAGAACAGTGCCCAGATGCGCAAAGATGATGTCAAAGTCCAGAATGGCCGTCAGAGGGTGCTTGTTGTCCCCGGGCTTGATGGTCAGATCCTCTAGGGTGGCATTTCCAATGACCAAACCGCCCGACTTGATATCGAGGGTGATGGTGCCGATCTCGATAGTGAGCACGGATGGGTTGGGCAGCGTGGCGTTACCGACCAGGTTCGTGCCATCTGCTTTGGGGGGAAGCAGCAGAGCGCTATCGGTGATACTGAACCCGTTGAACGAATCGAGAGCTAGGTATCAGGTAAGTCGCTGTCTCAACTACTTCCAAGGAAAGAGGCGAAAGGAGAAAGAGGAGGGGGATATGCAGCTTACTCGGCGAGACGACGTCCTTGTCCATGACCACAGGCGATTTCAACACTCCCAAATAGGAGTTAGTCGTGCCCCTGAGCGACAAGGCGGTAGTTTTATCAAAGACGACGTCATGCACATAGCTGGTCCAGGTGGTCGTGTTGATGAGGGGTGTGTGCACGTCCGAAACACCGAGGGTGGTGTTGCCTTTGATAGTCTTGCCAGCGATGGTGACATTGCCCCATGGCGCTTTGGATCCAGTATCGCGCACGAACAGATCCAGCACAATGGGCTCAATGCGAACAGGCAGGGCGATTTTCAAGTTCAACGCTGATTCTAGGGTCAACTGGATGGACTCGGCGCGCGGTTGCATGACCGCCGCATTGACGAGGACCAGGTCTGACTTGTTAACCACCAATTGAGAGATGGCCGGGATTGCGACAAGGAAGCTACATGCGCCTGGGTCAGTATAGTTGCGTGAGGTACCGAATGCTGGACTTACAAGACGGGGAGGAAGATGGCGAGGAAGATGACATTTCCAATGAGATAGCAGCACCAGAATCGCTTCCAATGACGGGCCAACCTCTCCTTCCTGGATCGATTGGTAGCTAATGAGATGCCACCCGCGGACTGAACCTGCTCCAATTTCGGGTCCTCGCTCGTGGGGGCCAATGGTCCACGATGCACACCTAGAGAGTACTTGGCGTCATCGGAGCTCAAGTAGGCTGGCCGGTCGTCTGTATTCTTGCCCATGGTGTGTATATGAGAGAGAGAGAAAGAGAGAAAGAGAGCGAATCCAGTCACGTCAGGTTCAAGTCACAGATCCAGATCCAGATCTTAGGCCCAAACCTGGGGCAGGCTCGCGTTATTATGTTTCTCGCTAGTCTGAGATCACCTCGGGGCCCTCTCCAGGCGAAGGGCAATAAGCCCAGACGGCCCCGGACTGAGGGTCCCATCGATGTGGATTCCACTAGTCGCAAAAGCAACAAAACAATGAACCCAAGTGGACCGGAGAAGGGGGGGTCCTCGCTGAACGAGAGTCGGAGCAAGCTTGCCCAAGGTGGAATAGTTCCACGAGTGGAGGTGGGCACTTGGTGCAACTCCAGTAACGATCAGCACGGATGGCGATCACAACCGCGGTCTTTTCGTCATGGGGGAAAAGGGGGAAGCTTCACATGGAACCGAGTTCTGTCTTCCGTCGATTCCAAGTTAGGTTCACGCTTGACGATTCCCGGTCCACGACTTTCCTGGGGTTGCGGGGATTCGAGTCTTGGGGCCTGGTTTTAACGGGCTTTCCTGAGCCTTGCTGGAGATTTTTGGGATATATACTCTTTCTGTCTCCCATATACTACCAACCGACCATGATGTCGTCTTCATCTCAATCCCCCATGGATGAAAAGCCCGAGGCTGCTTTGCACGAGGCAGTGCCTGCGACAACCAGTGACGCAGGTCGGCTTCATGCCCTCGAGCAACTGGAGATCCTACCCCAGATTCTCCAGGAAGGCATTCTCTTTGCTGGATCGGGCGCCGCTCTCCTGCTCCAGGCGGCTCTGCCTGGGATCCGTCATGAGGAAACCACTGGTGGTCACAAAGAGCTCGCCACAGAGCTGGTGGATGCCCTCCAGGCCAATATCAGCTATATCTCCAATCTAGTGTTTGGCACTCGCGCGGAGCGCAAGACGTTGCTCGACCTACTGGCCCGTGGGGAAGCCCCAGGCCTGGGAGGGGGTCGTAACAACCGGTTTGCCCATCACCCACCCCTCCAGCTGTGGATGGCGGCCACTCTCTATGCCACCTCCACCGATTTCTACCAGCGAGTCTATGGCCGCGTGGACTACGAGACCGCCCAGCGCGGATACAGCGAGTTCACGTTACTCATGAACTGCCTGGGAATGCCCGCAGGCACCTGGCCCGAAACGCGACAGGCTTTCTGGTCCTTCTGGGACCATCAGGTCTCGCAGCTAACCGTTTCATCCGATGCAGCTGCGTTTGCAAAGGATTTACGGGAGAGTAAAGAGATGCCCGGCTGGGTCCAGAGGATCAAGCCCTTCCTGCGGTCTGTCACGATTGAAATGCTACCCCCGAACTTACGCGATGCTTACGGGCTGCGTTTTACGGCCACCACGCGCGCTCTCTACCGCACCTGGATGGGCTTCTCGGTGGCTGTGTACCCGGCCATGCCGAATAAAATGCGTTCCTACCCGCTACGCTACTATAAGGATCGTCTGCGTGACAAACTGAATGTGGTTTGATTGTTCGTAGGACTTTTATTCCCGTTTTTTTCTCGGTTTCTTTCCTTCTTCGTTCTGGGTTGATTTCTTTTTGTTCTTTGTTATTGTTTATGTTATTTTCTTCTTTTCTTTTGCATCCGTGTATATACCCATCTCACGAAGATACGCTCGGTGCACCGATTGAGGGTTCTGTGAAAGAGTGCAAAATTGTAAATATATCATATTTCCTTGCTTGATCTCGTATCATCATCGTTAATTGAATGAAAGTCATAAATTCGTGTCCCTCTACAAGGTTCCCAGCACTCCGCCCAGCAGCTTTGACACATCCTCCACGAGCTAGATCTTGGGTCAGTCGAGTATTACAGTCGCGGTCTGAGCGAAAAGGGTGACATACCGGTGTGGCATCCCCAATCAGAGTGGTAGTGTTGTCAACGAACTCCTTCGTCAAGAGACTGTGCGCATTGGTGAGGATATCTTGCAGAACCACGAGATTGGAGTCGGATAGCAGCTTGGCCGCGTTGCCAATGATGATTTGAAGATTGTTGATGTTGGTCTGACTGAGCAGGTCCTCAGCACCACTGAGAATGCCTGGCAGTTCCGAGAGAAGGCCTGTCGACTGGGGAGCTGGCATTGCAACGGGGTCCGGTCTGGGCTCGGGGGCCGCCACGGCAAACGAGGCCGCAGCAAGAAGAAGGATGCGATTGAAATGCATTGGGAACTAGTTAGGGAAGGAACCGGTATAGACCCAAGAAGAGAAGAAAAATGCCCCGAAAAGAAAAGCTCACCCTCCCCGTCCAAGCTTATAAGCGAGAATCGACCTTTTTTCCAAGGGTTCTCCCCACTCGATCCTGAACCATCTAGACTCTCCGTTGCGTTTGACCTGATCGGTCAGTCTTCCACCAAACGTTAGTCCACATTGGACCCGACGACAAAAGCCCCGAGGCTGAGGGGAAGTGCAGCCCATCACAGGTGCACGGCTCCAGCCGGATTAGCATGGATTCGCGATCGCGGATTAGGATTCAACGCCGAGGTGGATCGCCCGAATTTGTGACCGCGACCATCCAATTTCTCATGTGAGAGAGGCGACGTCCCACGGAACCTGGCTCAAGGTCACCTCCCCGCATCCTGAATCTCATCCCGGAGGACGCTGTATTCCCGGGGAAGGGGATCTGCAGGTGCTCAGGCACTTTGGGGAGGCGGCCTGTGGAGACATGTGGAGGAACTACACACTTAGTGCGAAGCTAGCGGAGACTTACAACCCTTTTCGGTGCCGTTCGCTTTGCTGCAACTTGGTGATTGAGACCTGGTCATTGGTAGCCCAGTGGGACCTGTCAAAAGTTCAAGCCCCTCGGTCCGCACGAGCTGAGGCAGTCCAGACGTCCGTGTGATCTTCGGCGTTGCTCTTTGGTTCGGTAAGGATCGACGTCTCTCCATTGATATACTGTACTGTACAGGACAGGATGTGTCTAGCATGCTAGCCTGCCGATGGTGGATCGACCAATCTCCATGAATAGATTAATTGCACCCTTGGACACAATATCAAGGGTCTGGAACTCCTCATCGACACCTGGGGGAATTCCAGGAATCGAAGGAGAGGATGAAGGGGAATACCGAGGAGCATGTGGTGTGGTGTGGAGCGTTCGTGCGCCACAGAACCCTTGAAAAAAATAGGGGCCAGGAACCGGAAATTGGAGAAGAGGGGAAGATTTAAAAAAAAAAAAAACAGTAAAAAGAAAACAAGAGTGTGCCATTGATGTCATGTCATTTTCTTATCATAGATTCATGTGAATCATTGGAACTACACGAATTGAACCCCTCTCCCCACTTGTGACAACCGTCGCAGCTCAATCGCATGGACACCTCACCCCCAGACCCCCAGACCCGCCTACAACGCTAGGGCCAACCCGAGAAAACTCAAGGCCCCGATCATCGACGCGGTGAGCGCCGTAGGCTGTGCCGCCATCCCGCTCGAGGTTGAAGTCGCCCCGGTCTTGGTGGCGCTCACGGGCCCGGTCGCCGTCGTGGTCGCCGTCGCCGTCAGAGCACCCGCCGAGATCTGCGATTTCACCACGGACATGTAGCTCTTCACGTCCGTGGGAAGACTGCTGTACCAGGCCGGGGTGGTCCCAGCGCTGAATTGGCTCGCGAGTATACTGCGCGACTGCGGGTCGATCAGTTCCCAGATCACGGTCATAGGCACGACCGACACAATTTCGGGAATGAGGGATTTGGGCGGTGCCGAGATGTTCTCGAAACGAGCCGTGGCCGTGGCATTCGACGTGATTTGGGCTCTGTAGCTCATGTCAATGGATAGTGCAAAAGGTATGGAGGATCCACAGACAGTGCACTAGACAACGAGACCATATTGAAGCCGCTCTCGGTGGCAGTGGTATCTCGTCGTTGGGGCTCAGCTCCCCGTGCTGTCGCCGCAAACCACAGCAGTATTGATGTAAATCTCATTGCGACGGTAAGAAAATGATCAAGAGAGTGAGCGGGAATTGGAGGCCAACAGCGTATATCAAATGCTTGACCCCTCTTGGCTGCCGATCCGGCCTTCCTCGGTGCCATATTCTCCGCCGAACGTAGCGAGGTAGCCTAGTTTGGCCCAATGGCTTGATCGGGCGGAGACTTGGATCCGTTGCATCTAGACCCATTTCCTTGCTTTGCCATTCCGGTGTGGCCGAGGATCGCAACGTTCTCGTGATACAGGTGGTAAGCAGAGTCGAGGGATCTGTGGAGAAGGAGCCGAGCCACATCTCTGGTCAAATATGGGAATGAGCAGGAAGGACCAGGCCTTAAGGTATTGATCGACTGAACCCCTGGAGTTATCTTCCTACTAAGACATGAGGTGTGTGCAACTAAAGAACTTATCTCGTCAGGAAGGCGGACAGGATAGGCTTGCTTGATAAGACAGCAACACATGCGTCAGTGGTTTCTGAGTCTACATTCGTGATGAATCAGTTAGACTCAAAATTGTGGCAAGGCCATTGAACAGTTCTGTGACTATTCCTCGTTAGACGAAAAATGTGATTCTTGAAATTTCAGTGTTTCCCGTTTGAGCATGTTTCAGGATCGAAATAGTTCTTCGTCTGGAGAGGAAGATCCCTTGTCAACGAGACAACCGCCAATTTGAAATTGACAGTTGAGAAGTGGATATAAGACATTCACTGCTAAAATTTTTATCATTCAGAGTGGATACTTCACGAGATTCATAATGCCTCTTCATATACTAAAGAAGACCTAAGCGAAATGACCGCATTGATGGGAAAAACTCTCATAGTAGCTCTTCAAAACTCACCTAAACCGTTACCCAAACAAGCGATTTCAATTTCGATCGAATAAGCGACTTATAAGCTATGTACCCGAGACTACCACATAAAGTGGCATTTCTTTTGCGCGTCCCGAAAGTGACTATGGGTGATGAGGGGCTTACATAGTTCTAACGGCTTCAGGAGGCAAGAGGTGAAAACATTTCATGTAGAACATCGAACGGTATGGTCTAAACACCAACCTAGTATCCTTTCCGGGATCTGCTCATGACGAGAATAAAGTTTAGTAGCCTTAAAGAATGCTCAATTGACAATGAATCAGCGTATTTGGGTGACAAGATTGGAACTCTCTTAGCCCTCTTATGCCGTCGATGGTTGCATGGAATGGAGTGTGGTATGAAGATCGAATATAGCGACGATGACGAGGATAACGAGAGCCACGATAGCCGCGACGGCGACGAAGTGGTTTTTGTGGATACTCCACCCACGACCCAATTCAATACGATGGTGGGGAGCTTGAATTTTGTAAGACGTGTTCTGTCTATACCCTCCCTTTACTGGCTTGCGGTAAGCTGGACGACGAGATGGTTGAACACCCATCGTAACATGGTAGTGTCGGGAGATGAGAAGCGAGATAGCTTTGCTTCGCTCGACCTTTGATTTCATGTCAAATCTTTCACTTTCAAGTAAACTTGGAATTCTTGATAGTTCCTCGCGGCACTAGCATTGTTCTTTCTTTGAACCTTCGAATATCAAGTCTCCCCAAGTGTCTGAGTCTTTCGTTTCTTTGAAATTTCGGTGCGTAAATTCTTGTCTTAAGTTTTCGATGCACGAGTGCTTTGGAAGTTTGCGTCCCCACTTTCCTTCACGCTCTCAGTCATGAGTGTGACCTTTGCACAGCGCTAGAAAGTGAATGGGTCCTTTTCATTAGCTCTCAACTGTGGATCACCATGACATGGTGATTGGAACCATTCACGCTCAAAAGGCTTGGCGGATCTAAAGATTCTACAGCCGTGAGTCAAAGTCTACAGTATAAGACAAGATGTAATAAAAAATGAATCTCAAATTGGATATCTCAAAATCATCATGATAGTCGTAATAATAAAACAAGGCTGACAATCAAATCCAACGACGCTGAATCCATCATCATGAACTGAGCTTAGACGCCCTGCTTCTTGGCCATATCGGCCTCAGCACCGCGTTGGCGGACCTTGCCCTCATCGTGCATCTCGCGGAACTTCTCCTCCTCCGTGCGGTCACCACTGATGGCAGCACCGACGGAACCGATAGCACCCTGAGCACGGTTCTGGATACCCTCACCCCAGTCCTGGAGCTGGCCCTTGGCCTCCTGCTCCTTGCCAGCGGCGTTCTGCTCGGCGCCAGTGCGGCGCAAGTTCTCATTGCCGATCATGTTGCCAATGGCCTCCTTGGTGGAGCCAATGGTCTGGTCCCAGGAACCGTCCGAGCGCTTCTCGTTGTCCTTGGCGGCCGCGCCGGTGTTAGGGTCGGCAGTGAAAGGACCCAGTTTGGCGGTGGTGTGGGAGTTCACGTCCTGGGCTTGGGCCTTGGCCTGGGCAGCTTCACCCTTGTTCTGGTGGTTGTTAGTGTTTATGGTCGATGAAGAGAAGACACAAGACTCGATGCATACCTGATATGAGGAGTCACCAGTGACAGCACCGAAGGCACGCTGAGCGGCGCCAGTGGCGGCGTTCACATAGGAACCGAGAGTAGAAGAGTTGCTGTTATCAGAAGACATGACGATGGTGTTGTAGTGCAGTATTGAAGGTATGGAGGAATCTTTGAAGGTGATTTTGGAAATGTTTGGTTGTGTTTACCCCCAAAGACACCTTCTCCCCTCTTATAGATCAACAAAGCAACGCGTACCTGATTCCCGAGGCCATCAACAGTGACATCATCCGTGATGTCACATCACATGATACAAGCCTCAAGTGTCAAAGTGCGTCATGCAGCCCAAAGAAGTGGACCTGGAATATTCTACGGTGGATCACGGGCTTGACATCTTCAGCCCAGGTGACACCTCGTGGCGGTTCTCGTCAACGGTGGTTCAATATTGATGATGAAATGATACAGCCGATCGGCTAATCCTATATTTGTGGTGTAATATGTCCAAATCTAATGACGCCAGACCTGTCGCTCGCTGCAAATGGCAGATCGGAAATTCAAATGCAAAAAATCAGGCGCTCTAATTATGTTTTGAGACCCCGTCTCTTTCACCAGTGGCAGATTCCGCCCTCGCTGTCGTCCGCTGTCCATGTCCCGCATAGACCGACAACTTCGAGATGACCATCCGGATGCTCTCCTACTTTACTCAAGGACGCAGAAGCTGCTAGCCCGGGACTGTTACTGAGTAACCTTCGCGCCCATGCGTCAATAGCTGGTTCCCCAGTCTCATCGCGCGCTTGTTTCAGGAACGGGATCAGCGCGGTGCCACCTGTACCACGTAACTTCTTCTTATCTTTCGGGACGGCAGTAGCCAGGTTCGTAGGAGATAAATGATCCGAGCCAGCGGAGTGAGAGCTGGCACGGGCCCCGCGAGACTGTATAATGATGTACCGTGACACAATTTGGATGTGCTTGTCACGCATGTCACGTAGCATCGAGAGACATGCATCATATGCAAGTCGCAGCGCAGGATCGGCGCGGTGTGCCTCTACAAACGCGCGGATGTTGGCGATCGAGTCAATGTCCTCCAGGAACCGACGGTGAGGACCGGGCATGTAGCCTCGCATATCATGAATGAAAGAGTTCCGAGACTTAGATTCGTCGGAGGCATTGCGGCCCACGCCCGTCGGTCTATGCTCAATGCCTAGCACAATGTCGAAGAATTGGATCAAAGAACTCTGAGCATTACTACCGCCACCGTACTGGCGGTATACCGGGGGATTCCGGCCATCGTCGTACAAGAGACCCTTGGGAAGCCCGGCATCGGCCATATTCTTGCTGCCGGCCAGGTACGGGCGAATGCGGTTGTAGAAGATGTACGGATCACAGTTGTCGTACATGCGCTGCAGGAGCGCAGTGATTTCGTCTGAGAATCTCTGCCATTTGCTGCAGGCACTCTGTCACCACTCGGATTTTGCCAACCCGAGCGGCAGTCATAGCCTGAAGCATGAGAGGGATGGTCGGGGCACCCCGGGCTTCTATGGCTACCGATACCAAATAGAACCATTGTTCATCTAGTGACCCAGTAAATGTCTGTAGACAAGCAAGATTGTCCAGATCGTCGGCCGGCTCATCCGGGAAGATCGGCTTGTAGTTCCAGAGACAGACTCCGGCGTAAGTTGCCACGGGTGGCACCTCGAGTCGTTCGCAGACTTGGAATAATGGGACTGTCAATTGCGGAGGGATCCTCTGTTCACGGATGAATCAGTACTTGATAAAAAGGCTCGATGGCTTGTATGGTAAGTCACATACCTCGGCAGGACGGTCACCACCCCAGACATAGCCGTGAAGCATAAAGACCAGTACGACATATGCTCGCCGCCACTCGGCATCTGTCTGCAGATGTGCTGTTGAAAGAACGGGCAGACGATCAACCAAGCCTCGTAACCGCTTGCTCAGGAGCAAAGGCTGCAGGTTCGCGGCAATTGCCTCCCACTTTGCGTAGTATGGATCTGGCAGGACCTCCAGCGGAGACTCCGGAGAGAGGAACCCATGTTCCGGCGAGATGCCGTAGTCTTCAAGAGATGGTACTGGAGGTAGCATATCGGTGACAACTGATCAAATTGATCGATAGTCAAGGAGAAAGATGGCGGGCACAAGTCCCTAGTATCGTGTGACGCAGACAAGAGTCACTCTCATGCGGATCTTAATTCCGTAGATGCTCGTCTCGAGTTTCCGTTGTTCAGACCAAAATCACGTCAACTCCACGAATGTCTCTTGACGGTAATAAATCAGAACAGAAGCTAGGTGATTGCTAGGGAAAATAAAAGGGCCCCGTCGAAGCCAGGAACAAGGTCCTTGTGCTTAGAGGGACAGGGAAGAAACGGAAGTGGGTGGCGGTTCCAGAACGCAACAGTCTCTGGCGGAAAGGCTATTGACCGGATGCGAACGGGAGAAGTGGCACACGCGGGAACCAACCTCTCTGAGTGGAATCAGTCTTCAGTGTTCAGGATTATGGCAATGATGATCGTCTGATCAGCTCGATGAATTTGATCGGATGAACCGAGATTTATCAATTCCTGGAATCGGTGGATTCACCGAGAGCACGTAATTCCCCGTAAGCATCATTTCTAAGCACCGGCCGAAAGGCATCCAAAGACCCCTCCTGGATCTACCCGGGTACTGGCGGGCCAAGCCCGATGTAGGACGCCCTTTGTAGGCCATTCTCGAGCGACCACCATGTCCGGGCCATTCTCTTTTTTTTTTTCGGGGCAAAGTGGACCACCCGGTGAGGAGGAACAGGAGACAGAGAAGATGCTCTAGGTTCATTTTAGATGAGTTTATATCGACCCACCCGCCTCCAACGGGCCCCGGTCCGCTGCATCGAGCGGGAAATTGAGTGCAAGCGATTGAGGTTCCACATTTCGTTCGCGCTAGTGCACTAGCTTGAGTGCTAGAGAATGATCCGGAGGCCCTGCTCACGCCGCGTTTTGCGGCATTTTGGTGCGGGCAAGGGGGCTTTTAGTGGCCTCCCGGTGCGCTATCGGTGAGTTAAGCGAGAACTCGTGAGTGTTCGCGAGCACCCACGCTTCTCCAAGGTGGAAGACTGTGGCGATCCCCAGGTTCCGGCCGCCAAACGTCATCTGGGAAGCTTGACTCGAGCTGGGGAAAACCCTCCAAGACGACACATGACTCTAGATGGAGGAACTGCCGAATAGAATAATTATTTTCCGGAGTGAGAGAGCGACCGTACGAAAGGCTTCCCCTCATTGTGCTAGGAAAGTCCCGGATGTTTTCAGGGAGGGTGTTGTGTGCCTGATATGTAAGGCCACCACGGTCATTCGTTAGGCCGCCTCAAGTTGCCATTAGACATCGGTGCGTATGCGAACCTGTCTAGCAGAACGCCTCTGGCACAGGAACTTAAAGAATCTATGAGGGCATTTCAAAGAGGCCTTGAAAAGATCTTGAGTAACAACCGTGGAAGTTCTTCTAACTACTGAGGCTGCTCAAGGTTTGACAGGAAGAAAGAAACACTTGAACGTGAATTCTTGATTAGATTGCTATCATGTTTCTTTTAATATTACCAATGACCCATCTACATGGTCTGCTCAGTATACAGGTCTTCTCAATAAAACTACCATGCTTGGGCTCATCGTAGCCAGTAGCCACGACGGATTGCCTGATAAAGAGGTGATGCCTCTTGCACGAGGGAAGGATTGGGTGACCGTGGTTGGGGCACCTGAACCGGGAAGATGTTCTCTGAAACCATGGGAATCTTCATTGTGCGAAGAGATGTAAGGTTGGGAAAGCGAATCGTGGGATCAAAGCTGATCAGAACGAGAGCCTGGTGGTTGGACGGCAGACCGGCAGATGAGACAGAGTAGATTATGGATCGCTCGTCGGAGACCGCGCGCACAGAGCTGACACGAGAGTCGGGACAGAGGAGATTATAGATCTCAGACGGTGTGTCGTCGCGGGGCCACATGTGCACGCCGCAAGAGACGAATCGGTCCTCGGAGCCTTTGATGGGTTGGCCGTTAACTTGCATGGGACGGAAGAGCATCTTCGGAGCACCCTCAGTTCCTCCGTCATCAATGGGATTTTTGCGCTTTCGTGATACTGTTCTGAGGCGGAGCCGGTCTTGGGATCGTACCCCGTCGGCCTGAGGAGCAGGATCGTTGACGAGATCGACAAAGGTTGCAGATGCGAGGTGATAGCTGCGGTGTTTGGTACGAGCGGCAATAAATTCCAATCGCTTCGCTGGATCATGGTGATGCTCGTACTCAGCGTGATAAGTCCTGCGTAGCCGCTTTTCAGGTCTTTGGTTATAAGGCTGGTGATTCCCGGTAAGATCATTCGGGTCATCATCCGCCCACGTTTCCGCCTCTTCTGGTGTGGGTAGCGGTTCAATGTAGTTTGTGCGATGGTTTTCACTCTTGCCACCGCGCCATTCTCGACGACATTCAAGAATTACGGGCCGACCGGTCGTCTCATCTATACGAATCGACAAGTCTGTCCACATCTCGTTGATAGGGCCCTCGCAATGCTCACGGCGCCAGAGCCTCCCCTTCCATTTGCACCCCTTTTCACGGGGTGAATAGCAGAACCAGTGATAAAATGAAGAAAACCGCTCATCGTCGTCTGAAGCGACTTGGGTCGAGACGGCATAGAGATGCTCCCGATACATGTCAAAACAGAGCGTTTGACCTAGTTCCCCATCGACCACCCGGTCCAGAGGGAATTCGATCTCCTCGGACGTAGCGAAATCCTTTCCGCATACCGACCAGACTCCGCTCGAGCCGTGGGCAGATGTGAAGGTGCCATACCAAATGTAGGCGCGGCTATGGCGGACAAAGATAGGGGAGTCCGCGGGAATAGCCTTTTGAAGCAGCAGGCGCTTCCTTCGAGGCTGACCCGAGCGGCGATCCATATCGATCGCCAGCAGGACATCCTCCTGAGCATCTTGGCGTGCTAAGCGGAAGGAGACAATGCCATCATTATAGTGGAGCAGAGTGACCTGATCAACGAGACCCAGGCCCGCCGAGCCAAATCCCAAGCGAGAGATCAGTTCGCCGAGGTTCACCACTCGTTCCTGGCGAGCTACACGATGCACATCCAGCAGGCGAATTTCATCTCCAACGCGGTAGCACAGAACGCCTTGATTATAGAGAAAGTCGGCCCCGTAAGCTAAGATGGAAACAGCATATGGGGCGGCGGTGGCAATCGCCTCATGGATGTCAAAGCGAAGCCCAACCGCCTTTCGGAACCCGGCCTGAGCGGCCCAGGCAGACTGGCCCTCTTTACTGTGAAGCAGAGTGTTCTGTGACGCGGGTTAGTCATTGGGTTTGTTTTTAATGTGGTTGGGTGGCCTTTCGGGGCCAAGCGGGAGGGGGAAGAGGCTCTGAGCCGTGGGGCTCTAGAGCTGTGGATCTCTGGAGACTCTCAGGCTCTTAGGCCCGCATCTCAGACTTGGAGCTCACCTGGACTGTTTTGCGGGCAATGAGGTCACTGTCCATGAAATCATGGAGAGCGCGATTAGTGCGGCTCAGGTTAATACAATCGCGGTCGTCCAGCGACGTGGCGATCTGGTAAAAGACATCGAAGGGAAGGGAGTCCAGACTCCTAGATGCCGACATGGCTCAGGGAAATAAAAAAAAATTAATGGAAGGGATTAATGACGCATCTCGCAAGTATGGGGATGATGCCCGGGTGCAAGCTATAAAGCAAAGGAGTGTGTGTTGGAGGCTCAAGTGGAGGCTCAAATCGATCACACAGCCCCCCCTCCCCATCGATGGATCGGTCGACACCACGACTCGCACTAGCACGCAATACATTCTCCGCCAGCTCGGAGTGGTGGAACCTGACCGGCTCACCTTGCCCATCAGTGAGGCTCTGCGTATCTGGCCCCTTTTAACAGAGCTTGGGGCTCCACTGAACTCCGCGAGTCTCCGAAGTTCTCGTCTGACTGTGCGGCTCAAATGGAAACCCAGTGTCTCAAAGAGATCGCCGGTGCGTTTCCTGTGGGGCCTTGGAGTGAGTGCAGTTCGTTGATCTATTTGCTGTGGCTCTCGCTATATTTTCTGATTTGGGTATCCCGTCCTCTTCACCGTCACGTCCCCGCAATTCTGTAAGGGCGCTGGCTCATTTGCCTCATTTTGGGCCACGCCACTTACTCTGGAGCATACGAATCCCATTGGAGCCTCATTGCTGGTTGAGGAATTATCTAAGAATAACTGCGTGCACAGGCGTAGGTCAGGTGAGTCCACGTGTCCGCGCCAACAGGATTCGGACTTTGCTCGATCAGGGCAGTAGGTGAGGTACTCTGCATCTCGCCGGACAATTCAAATGGAAATTTGTATCTCCGAAGCTCCGATTTCGTTCCGCGTTGCAGAAGATATGCCACAGGTACCGGTTGCCGGCAATTTTCTCGTGTTATTCACAACTGCGAACTAACCACCCATAGCCATGACCTGAAACATACATTAAATGAGAACCCTTACGAATCTTCTCCGTGATCTGAGCCCGGGATACACGGGAGATGATACAGAGTGAAGCCACGTGACAAACGGTGCTGCCTGCAGCCCTACGAGAGGAGTGGAGTTGCAATGTTCGGGAATCGGCATTGGGTCCATGGTTGCCCATTGTTTTTGGCCTTGGGCGTCAGGTCCCCCAGGGCAGTTCCTCGCCCAGTTTCCTTTATCTGTATCTGTATATATTTGACTCGGTCACAATCACCCTTTAATCATTAGCGTCCCAGTTTGGCGCTCTCAGCAATCCGATCTGCGCGACCCACCAGTCAGCCAGCCCGATGCTTAACAAGAAAATGAAAGCCACCCCACGTCTTCGCCTTTTCTTCCCCTCTTTGATCTTTTCATACGATCTCTTTCTCTCCGAGATTTTCTGAGCTTCTTAAAAATCTCAGTACTATGTACTATCCACCTCCTGGACCTCCCCCGGGACCTCCACCTCCCTGGCCTCCTAGTGGCCAGCATTCGGGTGCTAATTGGCAGCGTCCGCCTCCCCCGCCTCAGCCCTACCACGCGCCCTATCAAGGGCACTATCAACGGCCCTCTTACTCGGGGCCTGCTCCCTATCCTCAGCAGCTTGGTCCGCCTTCACATCCACCCTATGCGCATACTCCTTCGCCTCGGCCATACGGCCATTCTCCGTCGCCTCAACCTTACGCTCACACGCCCTCTCCTGGCCCATATAGACATGCCCCGTCACCACAGCCGGGAAATGGACCCGGTGCCTATTGGAATGGTAAGCGTTACTAAAGAGAAAACTGAAACAAGAATGCTCCGAAGTATCTATGCTAATCATCGTAGGGCCCATTCCAAGCCCCATGAATGTGCCCCCGCGCCGCCGCAAGGCTACCAGCACTTCGGCGCTGGCGCACCGTCCAATTACAACTTCCAGTACTCCGCATGTACAGGAAGACGAAAGGCCCTACTGATCGGTATCAACTATACCGGACAGCCGAATGCACTACGCGGCTGCATCAACGATGTCACAAACATGTCGTCATTCCTCCATGATAAGTTCGGTTATCGTCGCGAAGACATGGTCATCCTCACCGATGATCAGCGCAACCCGATGAGTATTCCAACCAAGGCCAACATCATTCGTGCTATGCACTGGCTGGTCAGGGATGCACAGCCTGACGACTCACTCTTTATCCATTTCTCTGGCCACGGCGGCCGCACGCCAGACTTGGATGGTGATGAGGACGACGGATTCGACGATGTCATCTACCCGCTCGACTATCGTGTGGCAGGCCACATTGTCGACGATGACATGCACGCCATCATGGTTCGACCGCTACGGCCAGGTGTGCGATTAACCGCCATTTTTGACTCCTGCCACTCCGGTACCGCCCTCGACTTGCCATACATCTATTCCACCCAGGGTGTGCTGAAGGAGCCAAACCTGGCCAAGGAAGCAGCTCAAGACTTATTCAGTGTGATCACCTCGTATGGACAAGGCGACCTGTCTAGTGTCGCGTCGACTGCCATAGGCTTCTTGAAGAAAGCGGCCAACGGGGGCCAAGCGCGTGAGCGCACCATCATGACCAAAACCTCACCAGCCGATGTGGTTATGTTCTCCGGATCCAAGGATACACAGACATCGTGAGTTACCCTGCCGTATATTGCGAACCCGACTAACCATGTCCCCCCCCACCATAGAGCGGATACGTTCCAGGACGGACAGGCACGTGGTGCCTTGAGTTGGGCGTTCATCAAATCTTTGCAACGGTGGCCTCAACAGAGCTACCTGCAACTTTTAAACACAATCCGGGCGGAGCTCGAAGGGAAGTATACGCAAAAGCCGCAGCTGAGCTGCAGCCATCCACTCGGTAAGTTGATCTGCGGTGGCACCATGAAGGGACTCGATTGACTCGTTCGGCAGACGTCAATCTCCGCTTTGTGATGTAGAGGCGTCGATCGCATGGAGATGAATAACGCCATGGCGCATAGAAACCTTCGGGGACGAAATCATCCTTCGTGGCTTCTTGCGCCTCAGCTTGCGCACAACCCCTAACGAATCTCTGCGGGGAGTGGAGCCCAGGTGTTACCTGATTCATACACCATGGGGCGGATCACGGCTCACCCATACGATTCAAAAGCTCCGGGGCTTCGTGTGCTCCGATGCTCGGTTTTGGTTTGTCGATTCCCCAGTCCCAGCGCTGGTAGAATACCCACAACGGATTTCGCAGAGTCAGAGCGAGTAGCTACAGAATAACCAAACGCAGGTTAATTGAGAGTAGGAAAGCAGGGCTGAGATGAAGATCTCATCCATCCAATGGCTCACGCTGAATGTATAAGCTCCATCACGTTTGTGGTAAACTTAAGGATCCGAAGGTCCCTCCATTTGCACGATGCCCCCTGAGGCCGGCACCGGACCAATACAGGGGTGACCAAGAAACAAATGTACGTCTCCACTATTATTCTGCTGGCAGTTTGTAAATAACCAATGTATTGAGTTTGTGTTAATACCACTCATTGCCAGCCAACGCTGTACAATGAAGATACTGATTTCGTCACATATAGTAATTTCGTAAGGCGGTATGTAATTATGAGAAGAAGGCGGTGAGAAAACCTATATTTATTCCTTGGTCACCCTGTAGCGTCGCCAGATTGGGGCGGCAGAAGATCCCGGTGGAAACTGTGGACGAGTCCCACTCCATTCCTGGTTTTTTCTGTTTGTTTCTTTTGCTGCTTTTAGAAACCTACGGAATCTCTGGGTGTTGGTATCCAGAGTTGACACATGCGAACACGTCTTTTAAACGCGTTTTGACGGGCAGTGTTGGTGATTATATGGAGGAGAGGCTGTGTGCCGCGTCAGCCCTTCAGGTCCTCCAAGGATATGCAGGGATGCGTCAGAAATGCAAGACACCAAGGTTGAGTTGATCTGATTACCTCCGAGACAGAGCTCCGCTCGGACCTTGAAACAGGAGTTACCCGAAAATTGGAAGTGAAGATCCCCACCGTACACCTCTCGCTTTCGGCAAATGTTTTGCAGTCGTAGAAGCTTAGAGAAAGACGACCCTTCGAGCGTACCACGTAGGTTTACCGACACGATGACATCCCCAGAAGGCGCATCGTCCCGCGCAAATGCTCAATAGAGAAGAAGAGATTGAAACATGAAATTACAGTCATCTATTTGTTACACGAAACTGGCGCCTCGTAGTCCGCGAACTAAAGCAATGTCTTGATCCACTCTTACCTAGTCTCTCTCGGAATACGATGGATCTGAGCTATGGGATGTTTCTTTTTTCTTTCCTTTGTCCAATTTCGATTCTTTTACCCCCTCAATTCCCCCTGTGTGATTTTGTGTTCTGCATAATGAAGATGTTGTCGTCCACCAACAGCTCATACTCCTCCAGCAACTGCTCTTCCGACCCTCACCTCCCCTACCAACACCAGCAGCCTCTCTCCACACTCTCGCTGGGCTCACAACATCCTCGGAAAGCCTCGATGCGTCCCAAGTACCCGCGATTTTACGCCTCGCCCATGGACGACGGCTCTGAGAGCCCAATTCAGGCCTATGGACTTGAGCAGCGCGAGCCTTCAATTTACGAACGGCCGAGACTACTGCGTCGAGTTTCACACGCCCTAGACGACATCAAGGAGGATTTGGCCTCCCAGCTGGATGCGCGCGAATCCGCCAAGATTAAGCGCCGCTCGACTTTCTTCCTGGATCCCAGCTTCAACATCGCCGAGGAGAATCGTCCCGAGACTTCCGTCGGAACATCGCGGTCCCGCCCTATGTCTATCATGTCCGTTGAAGCTTGGACTGCACCCCAGCGCGGACTGAGTCGCCGCCTGTCTCGGCGCCTGTCAATCTTCGGGCGCAAGACGCCTGGGGGTTCCCCAATGGCTAGCATCTCCTCGCCTAATCTGATCGGGTCCTTGAACCCAAATGCCTAGGCGCGGCCAAAGAAGGTCAAGTCGAATTGGGAGACGGTTGTTGCAACCCCCAAATGGCGAAAAATGGCATCCGACATGATCGGCGACACATGCAGCTGACGGGAGACGATCACACATGTCTTAAAACCACATGGAAGAACACGCGAAGATTAGAGGTGTTCCGGTCTACTGGGGAGTTTTAATTTTGTTCTATATTGGATTGGGCGGATCGACTTTCAGGGGATTTCTATATATGCGACTACTATAATCTGTTGGCCTGGGGATATCTGCCACTGTATTTACTATCATTGATCTGCGCATAGCTTGGGTGTTTGGGAAATTTAAATTTTGGTTTCATTCATTGAACTCTTGACTGCATATCTCACATCAACCTTGAGCTAGGGGTCGTCATCGGATCACAAATTAGGTCTGAAAAAACGCCATAACGAGCGCCACATGCGGCACTTGGAAGATTGGTGGACCGACGTGCGTCAGCAATCGGCTCTAAAAATAAATGCCCGATAGCCTCTTATCCGAGCAGTCCAAGAGAAACAGGAGATCTCCGTCAATTTCACTTGTTCTCAGGACTGAGGAAAGATACCAATGCCCTGATCTCCCTCAAAAGACTCTGTGTATACTACCTACGGCCCGTCTTGTCGATCAAGGCTACTTCGTCTCCCCACTCTACTCCATGCACTCCATACACTCCACCAGCTAGACTGCCACTGGCCCATGGCCTGCCTTTGGATTCTTTCCAATCTCGTGATTATTGTGTCTCGAGATGCCGGGCCGGGGACTATGGTACCGGTGGTCCTTGGATCACAGTTCCCCGAGGCTGACGGAAGAGGCCCGAGACGATGTAAAACATCAGGCAGCAGCTTTCCGATTGTGTGGTTATTGTAGCTATTCCTAGTATCGGGTGTCACCTAGCTGCGGGTCCTTGCTTCTGCCGCTCACCCCACAGGTGATGCGAGGATGCGAGGATGCGAAAACACCAGGTCGGAAGGCGGTAATCTGATCTCACTGAGTAAATCTGTAACACTATTCAGGGGCTGCATCAAAATATATGGATTGTATACCACTTTGGCCAGTGTTTCTGGAATCTGTGACTGATCATCCTGATGAAAGGGCCAAGCGATTGTGGGAATGCTGCAGGTGCGGGGTACTTTGGATCGGGCCACCATCTATTAGCGAGATGATATGTACGACACCCTCATGATATCACTCCATGTATAGACTTGACATTCATGGGTCATCCACTCCCAATGCAACTAATTCCTTTGTTCATTATGACGCTGCAATACACATCCCTCTGTGGAAGTGAAAGTTTGATAGTGAATATATTCTTGAGCCAATATTCGAAATCGCCGTGTATGTAGGTATATCAGAGCCCAGCTCTACATGCTAGAATGTCATACATATTTCTTTCCAGGTGAAGCTCCGCTCCAGTCTGATCGAGATATCAGCTGAACTCGATGTGCTTTGCACTCACTGGCACAAGACTCTTGTTGATGGCAGACTTCTCAATTTGCTCGTCTTCACGGTCGATGTACTTTTGAGGGCGACGTCTGCAAATCGCATCCGGCTCTTTGACCACAATGAGGGACGGGTTGCTGCGGTAGTAGTCATCGATATCCTCGAGACTTCGGTTGGCTGCCGGTAAATGTTAGTTAATGCATATGAAGTCTCTGTCTCGATACTGACCTGTCTCTGGATAGAAGAGGTAGAGAATAGGCAGGAATGCCGCATTGGTCGCTGTCCACACGATCCCTTGATAAGTTGTCAGCAGAGGCAAAGCACAGCCCAGGCAGTTGACTGTCTCACAAAATTTCCAGCCAATGTTCTGGATACCAATGGGCGTGATCTGGACAATGACAAAGTTCGTGATCCAATCAATTGCAGTCGCGATGGCAGCGCCTTTGGTTCTCATGGGCAAAGAATTGATCTCCGTTGGATATAACCATGGAACCCCAAGCATGCCAATTCCGAAGCTACCGTGGAACTAAAAGCTTGTCAGCAGGCTGGCTATCTCTGTGATTGACGCGGAAGGGGGGCTCACGAGGAAGAAGAACACAATCGAGGCCTTGCCAAACACAGCCCCATTGCTGCGGGTCTCCACGAGGTAGAGGAGGATCGTAATAATGAGAAAGCAGAAGAATTGGCCGGCTGTCGACAAAAGCATCAAACCACGACGACCCATTCTCTCAACCAATAGTATAGCGAGGCCGGAAAACATCAAGTATGAGATGGCGTTGCAGGCAGTCAAGAGACGGGCCATGCTCTCCTCCATTCCCACCGCCGTCTCCAGGACCGTTGGCAGATAGTAGGACATGATGTTGATACCACCCATTTGCTGCATGAACTGACTGCCAGCACCGAGAAGCAGTCGGCGAAGAGTCTTGGTATCATTCGTGCTCTTCCTCTTAAAAAGATCTCTCCACCGCATTGCATTCTCGCGCTCGTATTGAATAGTGAACTCGATTTCGTTGCGCTGAGCAATGACGAATGGATCGTCTAGTGACTTAGCTTCGAGGCAAGCGATGACCTCCACGGCTTCCTCTCCTCTGCCATGAGCAAGAAGCCATCTAGATGTCCTTAGCCGCCATTTGTTGGATAAAGAAGATAGGTCCTACTTACCGAGGAGACTCCGGAAGCCAGGGAGTAGTAGTCCACAAAATCAAAAGAAAACTGAACTGGAATGCGAGGGGGAATCGCCAGGCAACGGCACCACCGGCGAAGGAAAGGCCGTAGTTGATCCAGTTGACAAGGCAGTAACCTGCGATGTTCATCATCATCTCTATAATCACCAGCTTTCCACGCCATTTCAATTGTGAGGTTTCTAGGAATGAAACAATGCTAAGTGACTTGTTCAATAGATCTCTTAAATATCGAGCAGACAAACTTACCAGTCTGCCACACAGGAGCTGTCGCGGTGTTGATACCATTCCCGACACTGGAGAGACTCCAAATTAGCTTCTTGCATGTCTGTTCTCAGAAGTCGTGGTTACCCTAGAATGATACGACCTATGAACATCTGCCCCAGGCTGAACGAAGTGAATTGAAGGATGGTTCCCACAGCCATAATTGTCGTTCCCAGCAAAATTGCCTTCTTTCGGCCTAGGTTTTCGCCGATTGTAAAGGCAAAGATGGCCCCGAAGAAACATCCGATATCGTAGATGGCAGTCACCGTGGATAGCGTCTTGGTCTTGGTCGGACCGACGAGGTCATGGACTTGGAGGAAGTCCTTCGAAATCACGACACCACCTGCGATGTGTTTTTAGCTCGAAAGCCATTATCAAGAGCTTCCCACGATGCACTAACTGAAGACTCCCTGATCGTAGCCAAACAGAGACATGTCGGTTGCGCATGCAACCTATTACCACTTTGTCAATGGAAATCACCAATGCAGCTATTGCAGAGAGCATACTGTAACCCAAAAAGTGAGCCATCCTCCCGTCAGCCCAAAAAAGGGCCTTCTCTTTTCCGCTGCAACTGTCATCATGGGTAAGATGCAATAGATATGTAGGTCTGGTCCAAAAGAAGGTTGATGACAATGGCCCAGTACCACTGGGTAGAAGGGAACCTACCGTGGGGATACTAATACCCGTTATATACGTCCTGGATCAGTCCTGGTCTAGTAATCCGAAAAAGTAAATGTAAGGAGTACGACTAGGACCATTCCACGTCCTGGCCAGATGCTTCTCGGCTTTGCCCCAAGTCCAGGAGGAGGGGAAACCCGGAGGTAATTGGAGCGAGCCCCATAGAATGGAAGCCAGTGGCTGATAGAAAGGAAATCGGAACCCCCAAAAGAGCAGATCGGGTGGGAATGGCGCAAGATTGGCTTCCCCAGAGATCTGCGCGGGCCGCGCAAACGTGGAGTTGCGTCATGCGTGGATCTGGGGGAGGATCTGGGGTCAATCCTATCTTTCTTTTTGCATATTACACTATTTTCTCGACCATAAAAGCGTCAAAATGGTGGGATTAAATGACTCGACTCTGTTGTTTCCCTTGTCAAATTTGACGTTTGAACTTTCGTCCTCCTTGATTTGGGACATCTGGAACTCGGCATCTACGCCACTTCAAGGGGCAACGCCACGCACGATTTTCCCCCCCCCCCTGGTTCGGCTTTCGTTATCTTTCGGCTCGGCCATCTCCGTGGTGATGTTGATTCGAGTATCTTGGACTTGGATTCAGAGGATCTGGTTAGGATCTCGAGCCTAAATAGTTTCTATAGCAATGGTCAGGCCTGGTTGTCAACGGAACCATTTGCTACTCATCTTGGGAACCTCGACGAAGTTGTCAGTGACAATCTTAGTTAGCCTGGTCTAGAACTGGTCTACGGGCCGGCTTTAAGCTTTTTAATGGGTTGATCGGGTGGAATGCCTCGTCTGAAGACTTCTGCAAGGGTCGGGCCCGGCTTGAGGCTCCGGAATTGGGATACCTTTGCAGTGGCACATCGGCATGATTCTCGGTATACCTTTATGGGAAATAATTTTTCAAATGGATTTTCTGGACTGAATTATGAATGCGAGTCCTTTTCCCATCTACTCGAGCTCAGACCGAACCTCCATAGACATCAAATGGACACTCTAGATATCTCTGAAGTATCCCACGCTACATGATAGCGCAAAATACTCGGGTGCCTGCTTCGTCATAGTCCTAGCTTATGATACATTTAAAGACTTTATCATTCTATCCTTGTTGCGTGCTTGATTTCGTTCATTTCGTTATTCTGTCTTCCGCTTTGGCTGCTCACTTTGTGCTCATTCGTACCAAAACGACCGGAATATTTAATTCGGGAAGACTGTGAAAGATCGAACATCGAAACGCTTCTGGATCACACCTCACATACTCGGTTTTCGAAGAGCCCGTAAAACTGTGTTCCCGTTCATTTTCGAAGATCACAGTTTGCATGAGCTGAAATTCGTTCAACAGGATGTAGGTATAGCTAGCCTTCTGAACCTATTGTTTCGCCTTTTCCTAGATATGTGTCTCGCTGAAATTGAATCCAATATGTCTAAAGTAACTTACCAATCAAATGTCATTTCTTTTTGGCCAGACGGCAGAGCTAGTAGTACAAGCGGTGAGACTTGCAGACCCCGCATGCGTGCTTGCGAAGAACAGTTTTCAAGCTGTCATGAAACAAAGTCTAGAACAAGTGACTTGCATATGAGCTTTGAGCTTGCTTAAGTATGCGAGTGGCTGTAGTCCGGTAGAATTTCCTCCTTGCGCGAAGTGGGCCTGGGCACTCCGCCTTCGAAGCTTCAGCTGTGCCCAAAACTTTGACCGAATCGACCACCCCTTCTCCCATCATGGAGTCTACGCAGCCTCCCCCGACGCTCACGAACCCTCGGTTCACATTTGAATTGGAGTTTGTATCGTCTCTCGCCAATCCGTACTACCTTTCGCATCTCGCGGTCACCTATCCGGGCCTCCTGGGCATCTCACAAGCCGATGAGAACGACGACGATTCTGCCTCTTCCCCAGATGCCCAAGCCTTCGCCGCATACCTGGCCTACCTCTACTCCTACTGGAAGACACCTGAATACTCTCAATTTTTGACCCATCCCGGCCCAACATTGCGAGCTCTACGACTGCTGCAGGAAGACACTTTCCGCCGCGATATCATTTTGCCCCAAGTCATCGAAGGTCTGGCCGGTGTTGCCATGCCCATCGAAAATACACAGAAAGGAGAAGCGGACGCTTCAATGCAGAACGCCGAGACGCAAGACGAGCAGAATGGGACAAAGACGTGAGGCTAGTGCAAGGTCTTGGCTCTCTCTTCACTTTTACATCACCATTTCGTCCACTGAAACCAGCTCCGGGGATCCGAACTTAGAAGGATCTACATCGCTTCTCGAATCAACGAAAGTGCCAGTCGTTGGGTCGGTAGTTGAGCAAAGGCTTATCTGCGTAGCTTCATGTGCGACCGAGGCAGGCCGACCGGGGAGGGTTTGTCGATCGAACACACCAGGAACCGCTCGGGATCCAGGGAAGTTCCATGTTAGACGCACTTGAGCGCACGTTCATGGGCTCCGCCGGCGACCAAGGTTTGCGGGGTTAGGCAGGACCAAGCGCTCAGGACTTGAGTCTGTTTTGGTGACACTTTTTTCTTCTCCGAGGCAATTGATATGACGTGAGACAAAATCTAGTCTCAATTCGCAGTCTCAAAATTCTAGTAATGAAGTCCTCCGTAGTGATATAAGGAATTGGAGGCCGGAACGTAGTAAATTGGCCGTCTGCGGCCGAGTGCTCCAAGCTGCCCTTGGTCCTCTTTCGACAACTGTCCCGGACCTAAACTCGAGAAGACCAACGTCAAGTTATCGGTACTTCTATTCCCATTGAATCTATCATCTCTTGAAAGCTTCCTCCTCTCGTCTTCCACCTACTACCTTCGGCAATACGAAATTGAGCCCCACCCCCCTGGGGATCGGCCGCCAACTACCTCATCGGACAGCAACGCCCCGTTCCCGTCCACGACCGTCAACGTTTCCGCCCATGGCCACCCCACGAACTTGACTCTCTTCATCACTGCATTACGGCTTCATCGACTCGCTCTCTACAGATATCGCGCCGAGCGCGCCCATACCATTTTCATGGAGTCTGTACGCCAGTCGTGCCGGCCGAGGCACCAGCTTTTAACGCTCAAGTGCTATCCCAAATACCAAAAGGGTGTGCCTGAGGTCAAGCCCAACCCCAGTGAACTGTCATACCTGCTCTATTATGCGAGCACGCGTCGCAGCAAGTTGACCAAGGTCGGCGCTTTTCTTGAGAAACGAGTGGCCAAAGATGTTTGGAGGCGCAGATTAGGGTGAGTATCGTGGATGAATCGGGAAACCATCGCCCTTGTCATTCTTGCATGCTAGAGATGGAATTCGCTGACCATTCACCATGCAGCAATGTCCAGGTCGCCCTCCATATATTGACTGCGCTCATCGAGAAACTTCCTCGCGACCTCCCAATTTACGCGAGTTCAGTACTGACTGTCCTCGAAACTGTTCTGAAATCGCATGACGTTTCCCTGGTAGAGGATTCGATCGCTACATTCGAAACATTTTGTTACCACCAGGACATCGCGACCATTGCCGCAGACCAAGGTCTTGCTCAGAAGTACCAAGCAGTCGTGCGTACGTACGCCGGCTTTGCTGATCCGTCCTCTCCCTCCTATTCTTCCGCCACCCTCAGCCCCGCGGTCGCCATTCGCTGGAGGAATGCCGGCCTACGTGCGATCAAGGGTGTTGTGAGCTCCGAGAGTCTTGCCGCAGATGGTGGCACTTCCCTCCGGATCATTCTGCCCGTCATCTTGGAGAACCTTTATTCTTCAAATGAAAATTTACTTGTGCCATTAAAGGCGAGACTGGAAGAAACCAAGCAAGCCGACAAGACCGAGCGTGATGAGAACCGAAACCGGCGCATGAGTGTCAACACGGTGAATACAATCGAGACGGCCAACGGAGACCCTGCATTGGCAGCCCAATCGACCGCTGATGTTGACCGACAAGCAGAGCTGGATGCGCGGCTGTTGGCTCTGCGTTGCCTTGAACAAATCATCGTCTCAGGTAGTAACCGTGGTCAAATCCGCGTTGCGGCAACGGTCATTCTACAATTTATCGCCAGCAAGCAATTCCCGCGAACTGTCACTAGAGACGAGACAAGCGCCATTGACCAAGCGGGTAACTGGGCAACCTCCCTAATTGAGCTCATTGCGACATGGTGCCCTGTGCAAATTCGATTTGTGATTCTAGTGATGGCCTTGGAAACCTTACAGGAGACACTACCGAAGGAGGATGCCCTAGACTCGGCATTCACCATTCTTTCCGTGGTGAACTGGCTTCTGAAGTCCTCCGTGAACATGATTGGTTTGAGCGTGATGGATATCCTATTTGGCCTCATGCTTTACGTCTCGCGCATTTTATCTCCCCACGACAACGCTGAGGCTAGGGAGAAGCACGAGCAGACCCCTGACTCTGCTATCTTCCTCTCTGCTCGGAGAAAGGGCCTGCTTGCTCTTGTGGAACAATGCATTGGCAACTTAGCAACTCATATCTACTATGGCGATCAGGTTGCTGATATGATGCGAGCTATCTTGCGGCGCTTCAAGCCCACACCAACCCAGGAGAATGCTATGCAGTCTTCCTTGGCCACAGTGCATGAGACTTCAACCCCGCCCGTTGTCCACACTGATTCCAACTCCGAGAGCAATGGAGAGAAGGCCCACGGCGACACATTTTCGCACACTGCGGCTAAACAAACTGCTCTCCGAGCCATCAAGGCCATCCTTATCGTGGCAAACCTACGCGCGCCTACTGTTGCTGCAGCCTCCGAATCAAGGAATCCAGTCGGAATTCATGTATGGGAAGGGACACAGGGACTCCTCCGAGACCCCGATCATGAGGTTCGCCATGCCTATGCCGAGGCCTTCCTGACTTGGCTGCGACTCGAAACGAACAAACGGGATCTCAAGGTGCGAGTAGATACCCCGAGGTATATTAAGCAGACATCGAAGCGTGATTCAGAGTCGGACAAACCGAACCGACGCAGCACGTCAGCACCTAGAAATCAAAGGGAGATCGTAGCTCTTGCAGCGCAGTCGAGCTTCCTTCGCCTCCTGCATCTTGCCATCTACGATTCCGCCTTAGAAGAGGCCACCGTGGAGTCTGAGGTACTTGTCCTACATCTGTTACTTGCTAGCCTTGTCGAGAATCTAGGCCTCAACGCGGTGCAATTTGGTCTCCCCATGGTCCTGAAACTTCAAGAGGATCTATTTACTTCAGTCGATCTGGGCACTTCTAGGGCTCGCATCAACATTGGAAGCCTGGTTCACGGGTATCTTTTGGCCATCTGTGAAAAGTTCAACCTCGAGTCCACCCGTGCTGGCATTGAAATTCGGAATGAGATTGGGAAGCGACAGAGCCAGGGCCAGTGGCTCTCTAGGGTCAAGGTGCCTCCGACAGGCCTGAACGACATTGCGACAGACGATGAAAAAACCTCGAATGGTGATTCGGATTCGTCCATCGCGCTCACCCCTTTCCAAGATCTTGACGGCCTCATCGATGGCATGGACAAGTCCTATCGCGAAACAATCTCGTCGCCCCCACAAAGCCCGTCAAGTTTGCCAGCGCGGGGATTCAATTTTCCTGTCCTCAACCACGCTCAGGCTGTTCAGTCGCAGGTCGAGAACGTTCTTCCGCCATCTGTCCGGGAGGAGATATTCTCAGCTTGGTCTCGAGAATCATGTATGGCTGCCGTCGAGAAGGAAAGTATCAAAGCACTATCGATCAACGGCTCGCGCGTTGGCACTATGACTCGCAATAGCCAATTCAACGGTGCTACAAACGGTTCACCAGCTGGCTCGGCGTCCCAGAAGTATCGCCTTTCGAAGGTCCCCGACACGTCCTGCGAAGACATGCGAACTCCAGATCACAGCCCTCACCGAGGGTCTCCAGTCCGTGTAACACAGCTACGTCGTGTGCTTTCTGTCAAGGATGAGCCCACTCCTCGGAATCCAAGCCCACTGCATGGTGTAGACAGATCGAATATCAGCGTCATCTCGTCAGGCAGTGAAAGTATGGTCAGTGGTGCCTTCTCTGCCTCGGAGATGGAAGGTGACGATGCGTCTGTTCACTACTATGGGCAAGGCACCCCCGACCAGGAAGGACAAGCAACGCCTCGTGCATCGGCATCTGCTGTCGCTCTTCCGGAAGACAAGACTTCTATTGACCCTCAATCAACGCTTACTCGGACGAACTCTGAGGAGATTCCTCCCCGTCCCGCCCATTCCTTCCAACCTCCATATTCCAGGCGAGTTTCCAAATGACTCGCAGCGGTCTTTGCTCGTTGATCGCCCTTCCACCGCTCCGGACAATTCGCAACAGGCCAATGGAAAGGCAGATTACCTACAGTCTCGAAACAAATCCCTAAATCGTAACTTGAGTCGCTCTAACGCCAGCCTCTCTGCCGGGATCTTGGATGATTCCCGGGGTGCGCCAAGCAATGGAAATGATCATGCTTTCGACAACAACCACAGGGATCAGCTGAGAAAACTATTGGACGGATTCCTCTCCCCGAAAATAGCATCTTGGCCCACGAGGACCGCTCATCCAGCGGATTGGAGTCTTCTCAGGCCCAAAATTATTCCAGCCAACGCCCAGTCAGTGGTGGCGGCATCGGACGACCTCCATACTAATCTTCAATTTCCTTGCATCCTGTACAGTCAGTCCTAGCGAGCACCAAGGTCCCTGTGGACCTCGGCTTAGCAGCTCCGTTGCTCATATTTGCACCTGTTCATATTTCCTTTTGGTCTTCTGTCCCGCGGGAATAATTGCTCTTGGATTCTGCGCCATTCTATCCTTTGGCAGAGTCCGGGTGGTATATCTGCCTTTTCCATTCTTTGTCTTTTTTATATTCCTTTTTTTTTTCCCACTTGATCTTCCATCTTCTTGATCCTTTTCTATTTTGCATATAGTTATTATCCGGCCACACGCGAACCTTCTTCTCCGCCATTCCTATATCTCATTGCAGCTTGTTGATTTGGTCTTGCTGCCGGTGCTGCATCTACGTTGTTGGTAAACTCAAAATAGACATACGGCTTTCACCCAATACCAAGACCCAGCATGGTCATTCTTCCCACGCTTGATGTGCAAAGCAATACCGTGAATCTATGTAGCTCAATTGATATTATCTGTACATCCAACATTTCCGCCCAGTGTAAAGCGTTGGCCCAGTCAGGATCGAAGACGACCTCGCCATCAGTTGCAATACTGCTATATCTCGCCATTCGACCAAGCGACCCTGATCCAGCGATCTCGGTGACTTACAATCTATACCAGGTCTGTCCTTTGAAATCAGATCCATTGGAGACTGCTAGGCGGTAGAAAAGAGACTTCATTTGCCATATAAAAAGTCTCTTTCTCTGGCCACGGCCGCAGCGAAAATGTCATTGGCCGTACGTCGTATGGGCTTGCTCTCCAATGAGTACACCTCTCGTGTCAGGAAGTCGACCATACTATGGTCTCGAGCCTCTAACCCTCCCTTCACCACATTAAATCAATCCGGCTGTTGCCATTATCCGAGATCTACCTTTCCACGACCTGACAGTGAAGTCGTGATATTGAATTTGCCAATCTTTTGAATTTGATGGAGATATGTTGATTCATAAGTAAATAAATATTATAGTCATCGCATGGGACCACTGGGTCTTAAGATACAGTTGAGCAGCTGGGATATCAATGAGAAAGTGCAACGTCGCCAAAGAATCGAATCAAATCGAATCTTCAATTAATCAAATAGGCTGTGCGACCAGTCCAGGCAAGGCGATATCCGGCTGCGAGGTCTCAATGGGACCGAAATAATCTCCAAAGGTTTTCTTCAGGACCTGCTCGGTCAATTGCATATGCTGACCCGGTACAGACTTAAAGTGGAGCTTGCCCTGTTCATCCAGCTTCTTCAGACCGAGCCAGTCCTCCTTGTAGATCTGTCTTTCCTGAAGGGGAGTCACGGTACCATCGGTAGCATTGAACTCAGCAAATAGGGCACTCTCCTTGGGAACGACGACAGTATCTTCATCAAACATGAACATGGCAAATGTGTTGACTGTCTCCAAGCGTTTCTTGTATTCGACGCTCTTCAGCTCGCGCTCGTTGTTGATATCAGCCAGGAAGTTGCTGTGCTCGAGGTAAGCTTCCATTTCTTCAGGATCACGGAAGTATTGAGCCGGAACGACATGCGACTGTGCGAAATCAGCCCATCGACCTGAGCGAAGCAGGGACTCGATTCCGTTACAGAGCCAGTCGCCCAGCTTGCAGGTCTGGAACTCAGAAATGCCGTTGTGCTGGCTACCAAACGTGACGAGGTTGTGCACTGGGGGGGTGGTTGCATCGCTCGATGTACCCGCGTAGGAACTGACCCCCTTGCGAGAAACCAAGAGCATTGACAGCAGGCGCAGTGCTCAGGATCGGATCTGACGCGAGTTGGCTGCAGACTGTCTCGATCTGCTCGGTGACGTTTCCGAAGAAGGTTGCTTGGCGATCACCACTTCCATCTTCGGCAAGCCGGATGATGTGAACGTAGGTACCGGGGTTGACCGAGTCTGCGAGCGAAGCTACTTCGTGGAGTTCCTTGCGTTCAAAGTCGTCGCCGAGCCCGTGCCAGATGACGAGAGGGAGCTGGGTTAGGGTGTCGTCGGAGGCTGGGAGCCAGGGAACGGCGGCAGACAGGGCCTGCGGGACAAGAGTTGCCAAGATCGGAAGAACTCGCAACATAGCGGCTGGAGCGTGAGAATTGAAAAAGGAAGTTTCTCAGATTCCAAGTTTGGGGCATAGGATGACGCCTGGTGGACCCGGGGATGTTTATCAGCACGTGACTGTAATGCAGGCGGTACCTGAGCTATTACGTGTGCAGCGTTAAATGTATATAGTTTCGGATTGATTTTCATTACTCAACTTGCGAAGAATAATATCATGTAAATTAAGATTATTTGATGAATCGTGATAGCAAGTTGTCATTAACGACAGGGTGGATAGATACCTCATCTCCGGAAGCGGCCATACATGCTTCGGCGTTCATAGAGTCTCGACCATGGGGTCATTACGAACATCGATGAGCTGTCCAAATAGCCAGACGGGTTCCGGGGACTGTTGCATGTTGGAACGTCTCGAAAGATGTGTGCCGGGGAGTTAGGATACGGGGACCGGTCAGCAATAGACTCCCGGAGGCTCGAAGTATGAAGACGACCTGAGTTAGGGCTGCTCAAATCGTTGACATGGCGTGGACATGGCAGCCAGCTGAATGTTTCACGAGGCGACAAAAATTGAGGATTCGATGGCGCAGGTGATGCCACCAGTGTTGTCGTTGGGCTGCAAGAAAGAGCGCGGTGACCTAGAGCGGTAACTTGCCCTCGTCTCTCAGCAAGTGCTTGGTCATCAAATGTGAAATGTCGTGCCTGGAGGAGCTGGTCAGTAGTTGACTGATGCTGCATTTTGGGTTCCATCCGATTAAAATTCCTTTCGGAAGGATTTGACGAGCTGGTCAAGAATCTCTCCTTGTGAGGAGCCCCAGAGATGGTTTTGTCGAGCGGCTCGGTCATAGCGCACGCTGGTGTGCGATCACTGCCATCCAGGAATTTTCTATGTATAGGTTGGCTAGATTTGACCAACCGCGTATACTCGGGCGGGGATCTTTCCGATTTTCGGGCGGATGGATAGGTCTCATGATCCAGAAGCATTGACTGTGACGAAGGGACATTCGTGCTCTGTCTTTGGCTGCTTGCGTGGAGGCCGGCGGGACGCCCGTCGATCCAGATATCGATTTGGTCCGGTCTGACTTCTCTCGGATGAATCTCTCTACCACTCCGGCATAACCTGGTAGAACCCGAGAGGGCATGGTAGCTCTCTGCAGCAGACAGGCGTTGCCTGTCGTGGTCATTCAATTTGCGCCGCTTCCCAAATTGCTCGATCTCTTCCGCCGAGGTGAATGCTATCTCCAATGGACGAGCTGCAGAGACAGTAGCCCAGTCGGGATCTAGGAGGAGCTGACGCTTCACTGAATCTAGATGGGATCCAGATTTGATCGACACGGCGGGCAATCGAGGCGGAGGTGAGGCTTGTTTCCTGAGTGTTCAAGGACCAGTAGTTAGCACGGAGAATACCCGGGACAAACAGGCATGGCGGCAGTGCAGGATGTTCAAATTTGGCAGTTACTCCACTGACTGTGACCTGCCATCTGTTGCCACGTCTTGAATTTCTTTGCCGGCGGCTCTTCCACAGTCTCCAGTGCTGGGAAACTCTGGACATCCCGGAAAGGGAGATAGATGGCGAGACGACCTGCCGAGGGCAACCTGGCGGGACTTTGCGAAGTTTTGGAGCTGGATTTTTGACAGAGCACCCTGCCGTGCCGAGCGATGCAACTGGCCTCCTGTCCAATTCATGGTGGAGCTACAAAGTTCACAGATCAGGGACGCCGATGGTAGCTAGACCCGATCAGACGATCAGACGATAAGTGATAAATGATAAGGCGATAAGGCGATAAGACGATAAGACGATAAGACGATCGATGGTGGATCCGTAGCAAACCAGGCAAACAGGTCACGTGCACGACACACAAAACCGCCCTCGAAATTCGCATTCTCGTCTCATCCCACGCATCTCCCTTGGGAGGTCTTGCGACCATCACCCTGCACTCTCCAGGGGTCTCCACAGGTAAGCCGCCTCATTTTCGAGTCTCTCATGCACATCGGCCCCGCGGGACCTAGATGATGAACAAACCTACCCAAGCATAGTTCACCTGAAATCTTCGGATTGCTGAACGACAACCTTTATCCATCTTTTTTTTTATCTGATATTCAAATTTTTCCACTTTGTGTTTTCTGGAATGTGAGGAGTTCGATAGTCGCTAACGCAACTCCACAGGCACTCCACATGGGGGGATTTGGGCCGAAGCCCTAGGATTAGGAGATGAGGTCAATCTGCATTGCTGCCCAACGTGGGTCACAGGCTCGCCCCGGCCCGTGTCTGGAATCCATGGACCAAGCCTTGAATCTGGTGTCATCCGCCTTTAGTTGTTAGTCAGATAGAACACATCGCATATTCCTATTCTAATTCTCAATATCCTAATGCGCAAAAGTACCGTAGTCCCTGTTCCCTTTGTTTCAGCAGGACCTGGTCATGTCGACGTAATCTTCCTGCTCTCGGTCAAGACTGGCCCTCGGCCTCATTCTCCCTCTCTTCTCTCTTTCTCGGTCGGGGATATCTCCGTAGACCTATGTTTTTTTCTCGACACCTCCTCTCGTCCGTTCCGCAAAAACCCGCCAGGATCCAACGTGGAGGTCTCTCCACCAGCCATCTCTTCCAATCCCGGTCAACACGCGACGACGAACCTGCCGATCGTCCAATTCGGTCATCATCATGCAGCGTCAGCCCTGCTTCTGCGCCAATCATCACCGCACAAGTACCCTTGCCAAGGAAGAGAACCGCCGACCTCGTCTCACCGCTGCGACGGCAGAGCGTCTCCACCACTCGGGAGCGACCACACGCAGGAGTCTGCAGATGCCATCACCGCTAGTTTCTCCGGCCCTGATCCACTGGTCCTCGATGCTGCCAGCGCTCTGCCAGCCTGCACTATGCGTCGCGGGCACACGCCATGTTGGATAGTCCCACTTCGAGACAGCGCACCGTGCTTTTTCTCTTTGAAAAAGGCCGCTTCCCCCCACCCTTCCCGGCCTCCGTTGCTTTTCTCCTTTCTTCTCTAACTCTTATTGACCTGAATGAACCTTGGACTCTTCTACTACACTTACACCCAACCATCATACAACCCCTGATCGCCTACTCAACCCCTGGATCTTGGACAACTATTTGCTTGCATCTCCCTGGTTGTTACTGCTGCCCAAGGACTTCTTTTATCCATCATCCCTGGAACAAAAAAAAGGATTTGCTTTTATTTTCCCCAGGCTTTTGATTAGTCTGCATATATTCGACAAAACACAACAGGTAGTCCCCGTCACACTTTTCTTTCGTGCTTCTCCTATGCGTTCTTGTCTGTTCTATTCTTGCTACTGGACCTGTACCGTCGCCTCATGTTTTCTCACGTGGATTTCGACATTGCAACTCAAGCCCCTGGATTTCCGTGGACCCTAGAACCCCTGACTTCCACCTTGCTGCTGCCACTGCCTCGTTGCAGTTCAAAAGAATGATGACTGCCCCCGGGCATTGTCCTCAGCATCCGCTGAGTGACTGGACTCTTTATTGAGTGTTGCTTAATGCTGCATACACTTAAATCGATACTACCACTGGATGACTTTGCCTGGACCCGTTTTATTCTGACCCTGGAATCCCTTTCGCCAAGCCTGGTGCGAAGTGGACGGATGACTACTATACTGCCCTGGACTTGCCCTTGGAACCTTACCTGGATATATGCCTGCCTATCTGGCCCTTACAAATGAATGAACTATCCCTGGAATCATCTTACCGTGGCCATTTGCTCTTCTGCAATGTCGATATAAGGACATACTACCCATGGAATCACTCGAGCATTTATGTTTGCTCTCCATCTATACGGACTTTGAAGCACCCGCTTCTGGAAATGACTACTCTGGCCACTGATAATAAGGATCCGTCATGCACTCCCGTGCTGACTTACCTTGAACTGACGCAAATATTTTACCCCGGAATCACTGGACAATGCGATACACTCTGTAGCCCTCGCTATGATATGAACTGGCCCTATTCGACATGAATCCTGGGAATCGGCTTTCCCGGGACACCTCACTGGAACCGACTCATGCTCCGACCACTGTACTCTTAGGCCTCTTTTGACCCCGAACCTGGATCATTCCTGTTCTTTGAACGGCTTCGGTGCGTCCAGTCACAGTCCTCGACCGCAGATAAAGATTGCTAACAGCCCACAGGTTTCCAACCTCTGCTGGACCTCGGAGCTTTCTCGTTTTTTTTTCTTTTTGTTTTTTTTTTTTGATTCTCGTTTTCAACTCTTTGAGTGTAGATGACTGACTTGAACGATGCCTTTCAGTGTTTAGCGAAAAGCCGCCCACAATGTCTCCTAGGGCCAGTAACGAGCCTGAACGGGTCTCTTTCTCTCAATCCAGACATGCCTCCATGGCTCAAGGACTCACAAATATGGCCTCCAGATCTATCCAGGATGATGACTTGTCAAGCCAAGACACTTCGCTTTTGTGCTCCATTCCCACAGCCCATGGAAACCCCCAGGACATGAAAGAATGGAATATGAATACTACAGAATCTCTCGATCAGGCCATGTCTTCCAAGGAATCTCCTCAGGTGCAAATGCTTTCTTTCTCGCTGTCTCAGCACTTGATGACTCCTACTGTTGGACCAAATGATGTGATGTACACAGGAGTGGACTTCCCAGCAGTCCAAGACTTGCATGATCAGCGAGACTTTTACTCTTTCGTGGACCTATCTTCCGTGGATAATGATGTTTGCGGGCAAGCGAGCTCTCCAGATGATGCTCTTTCTGTCGCGCATAGTTCTCACACCGATGATGGTCACTACATTGTCTCTCACGAGCCGTGGAATGCTATGATGCCTGATGGCCAATATCCTGGCACCACCCTGGACCAACTCTCGTCAAGCCTCTTCCAGACCGTCCCAGTCTCGCCTCCTCTGACGGAGGCTAGCAACGACATCTCTGTTACTTCTTCTTGTTCCCATCCTGGGTTTCCTTCATACATGGCCGCTGATGACACATTCCTCGGAGACTTCACAAACTCGCCCATGGGCAGCCACGGCATTAACCCAGCAGATCCTATGTTCCCTAGTGCTCCTCTGAGTGACAAGGACCCCAACAGGTAGGTTCAAAGCTATCCACGTGTGAGGCATGTGTATCTAATCGCCTACCCACAGGACCATTAGGCCTACCAAGCAGTCTCGTCGTGGACCTCTGTCAGCTTCTTCCCAACCACAGGTCAAGGCTGAATCGGAATTCTTCCCCCTCTACCTTCCAGAGAGCCACACCGCCAGAAGTCCAAGGATGGTGCGGAGTCTCGCAACCCGCGAGAGCACCAATACTATTCCATGCCTACCCAGAGTGATGGAAAGTACTACTGCCCGTTTGCCGTTGGAGACAAGGCCTGTAACCATCAGCCCACCACTCAAAAATGCGCTTATCAGTAAGTTCTCCTTGACATGACCCCATCCGCTCTGTAATTAAAAGCTAAGTGTCCATTTTAGCAAGTACCTGGATTCTCACCTGAAGCCCTACCGCTGCAAGGTCCCCACTTGCCTGGAAGCCCAATTGCGTTTCTCCTCAAACGCATGCCTGTTCCGTCACGAGCGTGAAGCCCACGGACTGCATGGCCATGGAGACAACCCTCACCTGTGCCTGTGGGAGGGATGTGATCGTTCCATTCCCGGATTCGGATTCCCGCGTAGATGGAACCTGTACGACCACATGCGCCGCGTGCATGACTACACCTCTTCTGAGCGCCACAGCTCACCAGAGTCCTCGCCCATTGGGACTCCGGCCAAAGAAGAAGGAGACCAGCCGCAAGAGAAAGGTCACTGGTCCCACTCCGGCGCCAATCATGAAGCGCACCCGCTCCGTGCACTCTCAATCGAACTCGGCCAAGGCTACTAGTGCGCAGCACGGCCAGCGGCTGCAAAATGCGGAGCGCAACTACTACAAGTGCCGTGAGCGTCTTGTTGAGGAGCTTCGCAACATCTCCCCGCAGGATACTTCCATGCATGAGAAGGTCAATGCCAGCCTTCAGGAGCTGTTCACCCTAGGCCTAAACTACCGCCACATCGATGCCAGCCAGGCTGTTTCCCAGATGCCCAATGGTATGCCCGTGTGAAGAAGATCCGGAGCACTGTCATCTCCTCCAACCGGAGCGGAATGCAGTAGGGAATACTCATACCTCGCGAGGGATCCATCGTTTCAAACTCTATGACTCCACAGAGTGAATACACATTCCTACGCTTCTTTCCACGGAAAGTAATTTTTTGACCACATTGGAGAGCTGGTGACATTGCCCTTTACACAAGGAGCAGCCACGGTTTGATCCTACAGCCGAGGGCACAAGGAGCCCACCAGAGTCGTGATCAATGGACCCATAGAGAAGATCCACAGGATCTGGAGCCGGGCACTCCAAGCACATGAAGTCCTCGACCTCGATTCCCATCAGCAAGCCTATCTGGCTAAACCTGGGGCAAGGCATCACTCAAGTGAGACGGAAAAGAATAAATTGAAGATAGGTGGTCAAACAGCCACTAGAATCCTCGGAAAAGGGGAAGACAGAAAGGGGGACGACTAGCGCGAACGACAGTAGATTTTTGTTTCAGCATTGATGTTTGGATTGATAGATCAGTTTTGTTTCTTTTGGAGTTGATTACTGAGTTGAATTGATTGTTGATATTTGCACAACTTGACCCTTGGAGTGTAACGAACCCAGAAAAGGAAAGCCTGTCATAGTGAAATGGAAGTCAGAGTAAAAAAAAAAAAATTGTTTCATAACCTCGTCAAATCATGGCTAGTCTATACAGTTTTATCCGAATCAGGATGACCCCTCTCTCTGGTTCATCCCAGCACTGGTCTAAATCACGACTACGCGTCCGCATCCTCGCCACTTATATTCGAGTTCAAGAATCGAACAAATGCATCTGGGATCTGTTCCTCTGACAATCCTCCAATTCCCGCCCCATGGCCATGCCCAATATATTGTCGGTTCAGAGTTATCCACTGCCTCCGCAGTCTTTGAAGCTTCGGCAGGGCCAAAATACCACCTGCGCCGGCGAGCTCGTCGGTTGTACCAGTGGTCGCAATATGTGCCGGGACAATAATCGGAATAGATGCACCAGGCACGTCGATCGTGATGCCGTTGTAATCTTTACTCTGCGCCAGGGCAGCCTCGGCGGACGGAGAAGATTGCGTGAAAGTGCGGATGGCTGTTACAATAGCAGACGTGCGCTTTTCCATCGCATACAGAGCGCCCGAGTCCGTTGCGACGGCTTGGACCGTGGCCTGGTGAGGGATAACCTTGGGTCGCAGTGACTGCCCGCGACCAAAGGCTCTGCCCGTGGTAGTCGTGCTGGCGACTTCAGAAATCGTGGATGATGCGAGTGATTCGGTGAGACTGGTCACAGAGGGATCCAGAGGTGCCTCGGCGGATGTCAGGACCACCCCTGTGAGAGCTTGGAAGATATCTGCCGCTGGAGGTTCCTTGTCTTCCCACGGAACGGTGAATAACGGTTTGTCCCAGCGGCTGTGAGTGCTAGGTTCTTCGTAACGGAAGATGAGGTTGTTGAGCAAGTCTGGCGGGTACGGCTCCTCATCATCGATGGACTGAGCTTCGCCAGACACGGACGTTTTCTCGGATGCCTGTGAATCGCTATTCTGTGCCAGTCGCTTCAATCGAGCGTCATTGTTGGCGACGCACTGGTCGATTGGTGTTCCCACATGGACCTAAGCATTGCGGGTTAGCCATTCAATTGCTCGTATTCCATGGATGCAATTCCAAAGCCCATACCACACAGCATGTTGTCCCCGCAGCCTTGGTCTCACACCAAAGCTGATATCTCCATCCCTTGATATAATTCATCCCATCAAGGAGAACAATACTGTCCTTTGTCAAAGCCCGCTTCGCGCGCGCATACGCGACACCACGCGCCTCCTTCTCCGTCCGTGCATGGTCATATACAGTCCGCGGGTGCGACCTGTCATGCGAAGGGACAATGTGAACTTTGTACCGCGCCTTTAATGTGACCGGCGATGTAGACTCGGATGACGCGAAGATCTCATCCTGCACTTTCTCGATCAGGGAGGCGAGCTGGTTTGCACGGTATGTGAGACCGGAGCAGGGATATCCGGTGAGTATCACAAGCTAGTATTTTTTTTTCCTCTCGTCAGTGATGGCTGTGTGTTGACGACTGTGGCTAGCTAGACCTACCGGCATCGTGGGGTTGTTGCGATGTTGAAAGCGGGCGGGAACTTTTTTTTTTTTGGCGGGGTTCAGACATGTGACTCCACTTTGTCGAACTTCGAGCTTTTTTGGCCTCAGAGTTATTTGGTCTTGTCAAATGTAGATCATTGTGTTGAATCTCCCCTAGCTACCTATGTAGGTCAATACGGTGTGTCAACATGCCGCGTGAGGATCGGGTCGGCAATGGTAGTGTGGGCCGATGCATCGATCGATGTATAGACCTCTTTCCAGAGTTCGGATGTTGAATCGCGGAGAGATTCCGAGCCTGGACCTACTGTAAAGACGGACCCAATGACGGAGACATTATCATCAAGTCCAACTCGGTCCCACCTAAATTGCAGTCGAAGAGTCCAGGAATGGCTCGTTCATCCAGACGAGGGCCTTCAGCACATTGTCCCTCGTGCGGAGTTAGGCCGGGGTTTACCCGCCGAATGTGTCATCCGGATTTTAGCTGCTCAGACTTCAACAGGCGATGCTCGGCAAATGCTGCTCTCATCATTCTGTACTAGATCATTGTGTTGTATAGAAGATTTTTATTATTTTTATATATTAGTAACAGTAAACAGGATAGTCACAGGTTGGAGAGTCACCAAATACCAAATAAAAGGCATCATCTCTCTAAGCATCCCAATCGAAGAAGCGGAGAGCCCCGGAATCAACGGGAGTTCTGCATCAAGTGAGGCGGGGCAAACGCCATGGAATCGAGGGTGGAGATCCCCAGGTCTGAAGGCTTAACACCGACCCTGGGTTCAAATCGGGATCATATTTAAAGCTCGCCTCTTGCCATGGTACATCTACCCACCAATTCATCACCGATCGAGAAACACATTTTCCACAGCCAAAATGGTCAAAACACTCCCCTTTGGTAGTATTCAGGTCCCTTCGCCAGGCTTCGGCGCGATGGGCCTCAGCTTTGGTCTGGGTAGCAACCTGAGCCTCGAGGAAGCCGAACCCGTGCTCTTGAAGGCAATCGAACTGGGATGCACCTTCTGGGATACCGCCGTGAGTCACTGGCTATGTCGCGAAGATCAAAGATAAAGAGATCACTGCTAATATGGAGATAGGTTGTTTATCAGGCTGGTGTGAACGAGAAGCTCCTGGGAGAGTTCATCAGGAAGCACAACGTCCGCGATAAGATTTTCAGTACGGCGATAATTCTTGCGATAGTAGATGGAGACTGACTCTTCCATAGTTGCCTCCAAGTGTGGCTTTGATGTTTTTGGAGACCGCTCGGTCACCAACTCCGCCTCTCACATTAAGGAGTACATCGATGGTACCATCGAACGACTAGGCTTTGCTCCGGATCTCTACTATTTGCATCGGATCGATCCCAGTATGTTGTACGAATGATATGGCCGGTCACATGCTTTACTGACTAGTTCCAGAAACGCCTCTCGAGGAATCTATCCCCGCACTGGATGAGATTCGTAAGGCAGGAAAGACCAAGTACATCGGCCTTTCGGAATGCTCAGCTAAGACACTGCGCAAGGCCAATTCGAGTAGGTCACCTTGCTGCTCAGCTTTAACCTCTCTTCTGCTAACATCCACAGTCGCCAAGATCGATGCCGTCCAGGCTGAGTACTCCGCCTTCGAGACCGTTCACGAGACGGACGGTCTAATTGAAGCTTGCAAGGAGCTCGGAGTGGCCTATGTCGCCTACAGCCCGCTGGGACACGGCTGGCTCGTCGACAGCTTTGACTACAAGTCCCCTGATGACTTTGCACAGGACGATTTCCGTCGAAACTGTCAGTAGTTCCCTCCTTTGCTTGTCAAGATGGATACTGACTGGCGATATTCAGCCCCAAAATTCCAAGGCGACAACTTTTACAAGAACAAGGCAATCGTGGAGGAGATCAAGAAGATCTCCTCTCGGAGAGGCTGCTCCGTCAGTCAGGTTGCCCTCGCCTGGGTTGCTGCCCAGGAATGATTGCCATTCCCGGCACCACCAAGGCGAAGCGCTTGGAAGAAAACTGGGCATCTCGAGACATTGACTTGACCGATGAGGAGAAGCAGGAAATGCGCAAGATAGTCGATTCTGCCAAGCCCCATGGTAACAGATATAATGAAACTCACCAGGCGTTGGTGGGACACTAAAGCAAGCCCAGTCATGGCGGGAAGATTTTAATGGTCACGCACGTTGGCCTTCTCGACCGTCTTTCTACACGCCTCACCGCTAGAAGTGGTTGAAAGAACAATGTAAATTTTTTCTTTTTTTTTTTTATGGAAGCCTCCAATGCTGCATTATCATCAATCCATGCGAGTGTGGATAATCCACAACTCGTGTCTATACAACTATTTGTAGATGCAAGGGTATCATTTCAAACTATTTAAGTGGTCTTGAAAGCTGTCTCCTCTAATTGATCTGGTGCCCATCGAAGCTCGTACCCAAACACGGTGCGTCGGATTTTCTCATCCTAAGAGACAGTTAGTCCACCTACTGCAGCGTCAGTATGGGTTGTCACTTACACCGGGATCATTCTCGAAGAGGACTTCCCCCATTAGCTTTTCAAAAATTTTGGTCACAGTAAATCCGCCCGCTTCAGCCAATGGAAAGAAACGCTCCGTTTGGGGCAACAGCCACGGCTGATAGGCTGTGAAAATGACCAGGGCAACAGAGGTCGAGTTTTTCTTCAAGGTCTGTTGCATGATCTTGACGAGGTTTCCATGCTCACGGTGAGCATAAATCACATCGGCCATGATCAGAACGTCGAATTTGGCTTGCGTTCCATCTGTGGTAGGGGGAAGATAGGCAAGAAGGGGTTCTACTGGGTTGCCCCATTTGTAGCCTTCGACATAGAGCCGCTTTCGAGACTCTGGGGCTTCGGGAATCAGGTGGGCGGACAGATCAGCATTGTACTGCATATTCTGCACCAAGTCCGGGTCATGATAGTCGGTCATCACCACAGTACGAGCGCCTTGTATGGCGCTCACGATACTTGGAACACCGGCCGCCGCACCGATCTCGAGCACGTCCTTGTCTCGGATCAATTGGTCGGTATGCTCCTCAATGTAGTGTGAACTTGTCCGGCCGGCATTCCAGAGAAGATTGCCCTGTTAGGAGGTTAGATTTATCTATCAAGATCCGCAAGCTTTGCCATTGAGGGTGATGGGCAAGTTTCTCGCATGTAGTGAAGCCATACATAGAGTGGGTGACTGCCCACGAGACGCACACGCACTGTCTCCCCGACAGCATCGTGTGCTCTGCAAATGTATGCTGAGCCTCCTCGGGATAAAATCCCTCGGGATCCTGGAACAAATCCCCTGTGCTCAAATCTTCTTCGGCCATGGTGGCTGTTTTCTCCTTTATTGCCCGCAAGAAGAAAAATATCGTTTATCAAATTTCTTATCGGAGGCGGGGCATGTTCTGCCTAAGGCAGGAACGGTGTATCTCCGAAAGCATCATGACGTTGATTGAGCACCGTAACATCTAGGTGGCATCTCCCAAAGTTTGGTGTGGTCTAGGTGGGATCAAGATCTGTCTATTGTACGACGGGATATTTTCCCATGATTGGTATGAAAGCGCGGATCTCATTGACCTATAGGTAGATCAGGAATTTTGGGATCTCCCAAGGATCGATCCTGGAATGTAGTCCCGGGGCGACCAATTAGGGAATACGGGGATCCCTGCTCAAATGCCGCGAACTTGGCGTACGTGCTGTGTCTGGCCCATGCGAACCAAGCTAGGATCTAGTCAAATAGCCTAGGCAAAACCTACGACACGAATCATGAACGCTACATGTGCCCGTCATGTGACTCTGACCGAGGTGTCGGTAATCCTATACGGTAATTTGCCATGACAGATAACTCCCGCCGTGTGGAGATGCGCGGAGATACATGTATTGTAATGGGTAATCTTCGGATCGACGCCGCGATAGGATTCTGATGATTTTCCACTCGGGGGGAAAAGCCATCTACTCTCAAGCCTAAACTTCCGGTCTCCTTTCCATTCATACCACCAACTTCCCACTTCCCACTTCCCACTTCTGACTTCCCAGACGTCATTCCCTAAGCGATCTGGGAAATTCCCTTACTTCCACCACTTCGAGACCTTACATCTTGCCCCAGATTTCCGGTCTCTTGCCGACATTACTGCTGTCATCCGGGGGTGCCGTGAACGCTACATTTTTTTAACTGTGGCTTCACTTTGATCTCTGCGGATCCCCAGATCCAGACAACTATCACTTGCACCAGACTTACCAGCGCCACTCAGCATTAAATAGTTTCCGTCGCACCATGGACTCGACGTTACGATCAACCCATGCTCCTCAAGACCCCGCTCGGCCCTTCTCCACCACCTCGACCCTCGCGTCCTCCAACCTCACCAACAACCTAGTGCAGTCGTCGAGCCCTTTTAATCTCACCTCCAAATCGTCTACTCAGGGCTTCGCTGCCCCCCTTCAACCTGCCTCGGCCGGTATTTCACAAGCCGCCATGTCCCAGACGCAGCCTCTGTCCCAGGCTCTGAATGACTCGTCTCGTTGTGCCGGCCTACCAGTCGCTACCCAGAGCGACCTTGCCGGGGCGATTCCTTTATCGGAGACAGTGCCCGCAAATCACGCCACTACCGGATGCTATCCACACCAAGTCGAGGGCCTGGGGGGTCCAACAGCCACTGCGCCATTTCTGCAAGACTTTAGTCTTGTGGCCGAAGCTGCCAAGCGAGCGCAGATGGGTATCGTCATGCGTGATCTCGAAAGCGTTACCTTGTAGGTAAGAGATCAAGGCGAGGGTGGGCCCCTAGAGGAGGGTGTCAGAGTGACCTCTACACCCCAACGAGCCTGGACAGGATTCATGTTCTATAAACTTTTGCTTTTTGTGTGTGTGCCTCCGGCGTCTTTTCCGGAGCTTTTTGAGGGGGGTTGACTTACGGGTCTCCGCGGATATAGCCATTTTGGAAGGGTTCTCAGTCCTGTTATCCGGGAGAATAATCCCCTTGGGTCTTGGCGTTTACAAGCTCAGGCGTTCGGTTGGCTTGCATTTCCACATCCGTGCTTGACAGACCTTATACCACCGATATACTTGAGAGACATTGAATATCACCCTTTTTGTTTGGAATCATAGTCCACGTCGTCCCTTGCTTTCTCATCCAGGTAAAAGTGGATAGTCTCTGCAGGGGGCAATTCTGGCGAACGGTTTACGTCTAGGTGGGTACTTGAAAAAAGGCCTTGTACTTATGTCCACCTCTCACGCCCCATGCTGGCGTCCTTAGAGGCTGTGTATGAATCAATACTAGAGCTTAATCTGTATCTTACCGCTGAACACTTTCTCTAGAAACGGCTTCATCTGAGCATTTCAGAGAATCTTCCACACCATGAAATGTGACACGTTCGTTCTCGAGGTTGGAGATGATGTGATGGAATCAAGTCACCGGGCTAGCGCCCCCCAGTCTTATGGACATCTATTTACCCCTCACCCATCACACCACTTTCGAATTCCAGCAAAACAGATCTCCGATGGAGGAATGACTGGTGTCGAGAAGAACACGTGAATGTACTGAAACCCCACGATTATAGATATAAAGCTATTTCGAGGTTTTGGGCGTTGCAACAAGAACGGTAGCAGCGCTAGAACATTCCAAGTGAAGGATGGAATTCTCCATGACTAGATGAAAGATACACTTCCGATTCCGAATATTGATCATGTCACGATGATGGATCCAACGAGACAGAGTACGTTGCAACATTGGAATTTAGATCAGAATATAACTAACGAGAGAACACCGAGAAGGATGTAATGCCATAGTGCCACGCATGGAGGGGCGTGCTAGCTAAAACAGCAACGACGCACCAGCAACGGGTTGAAAATAATCACAAGTACAAATCGAGAAACTACCTCCAATGAATCTATGGAATTATGCGCCGCTGTCTGAATGAACCATTCGAGCAACTCTTGAGCATGATCCGACAAGCTGCACTGACTGGAATCTTCCTGCCCTTCTTCGATCCGAGACATCTGGCGCACAGACAGAAACAAGGGAATTATATCAATTCCTTTAGTGCTATGGTAGCAAACAACTGGATCACTCTCATTTCTTCTCTATCGAATGGCCGATCAACCAAGTCCTGTAGGATCGGTGGGCTTCTTCATATGATGGAGTACTTGCCAGATCGAAGGCGATATGCTTGGATTTGGCAAATGCACGGTCGCTTGAGCACGTCTTCGACAAGGGAAGCCGGGAGGATCTCTCTGATATCCCATCTCACTTTGCGCTTTCGTGTCTTTAAATTTTTTGAATACATCGTAAGTCACCGTACCTCGCTATTTGAGTACTCGAAGAGTTGCAGGCGATTTGTAGAGATCTATTGTAAGGTCACACTCAACACCAAATTGTGCTTGCGTGTCGGGTCAAAGCTCTTACTGGTCATTGTATTTCTGGACAAGCTCCAGAGGAAAGAATGGCCAATCCTCGACATCTCTTATGACTTTCTCCAACTGTCTTCAACCCGTCAACACACAGGGCGAACTCTTGCACATTATATTCCCGTGCTTGTATGTAGATAAGTGAGTAGAGCCCGTCCATTAGGCTTCTCAGGTTCAGCTCCCTCTTGCGAATTCATACGGACATCGTGCATTAGAAGTGCTAGGTCGCGTCGGTTCGGCCCACACTAAGAAGTCAAGTCCAAGCCTTCAGTATAGATGTTGCCTCTTTCTTGACACGTCAGCTTTCGTATCTCACGTCATCTCTTCCTATTTCTTACTTGGATCTTATTCATACATGGTTCCATATAATATGGTGCTTTCCAACTTCGCAGAAATTTCCGACTTCATTGACCCCAGCAGCGATATCAAGGCAACATCTTTTACGACTAAGGCGTATCAAGCTGACTTTAGAAGCCCTCAAACAATATTCTTACTTTCTTGTGATATGGTGAAGATACAGGAATACAGGTCAATCCTGAGAATCAATTGGCCCGATATTGGTCCCTTCTGTGCGAGTCGACCGTCAGTCGACCTCTGACACTGTAATTTGAAGCGCCTGATGTCAGGTTCAATTGGGCTCCTATCTTAATAGTGACCATAGATCGGGGGTATAATTCTGATGTCAACATCCCAAGGCCGGGAAAACTGGATCCATGGATATCTCGGGTTCTAAAAATAGGTTTCATACTTCTATGGATCTGGGCGTAAGTTTTGGCTGGCACGCTAGTTATTCTTATCTTTTGCCCACTTCGAAGATTTCAAGGTTCCCAATGTCTGATAAGGCATTCGCAAGATCCAGACTAGGAGCCACGGATTCCTAGGCCGATGCCCTTGCATGTTGGTGTCTAGTCGAGCTCGGCCTGCCAGCATGACCGGGATCGATGTTGTCAGTACGCGGCAACCAGCACCAGGTTTCCTGGCTACTCACAGACCATCTAGTCGCATTGAAACTGCATGGGCTGCATATCGTCCTAGCCTTTAAACATGTCTACAGCCGACTTGGGCAATGCAGCCATGTAAAGCAGTGTCAAGCAACCGAAGTCATCCTCTTCATGACTCAGGAACCGGGTAGAACCATGTGAGAATTGGCAAACAAAGCGCAAATGAATCCTTGGGCGATGCGGTCATCAATCTCGCTGCCAACAGCCGGCGCTATTGAACCCAGGCGTCTATACATGTCAGATGCTACGAAGGGGGTCTTCTACTCAAGCGGGTACGGTAGTTTCTCGGGCATAACCGAGGGTCAGGGCGTGAGCGTCTGAACGTCCCGTCATCAATGAGATATCTCAGGACCGTGCGAGATCGCGCAATACGAGGCGAGAGGCACAGGTGCCGGTACCTCGCGTGAGATGAATCCACATTCCTACCAAGAGATGACATCAGAGATGAGACAACACAGGCATAAGGAATGCGAACGTCATTCCGAATGGCTGGATGAAGGAATCCTCCCAGAAAACAATCAGGACCATCGTCCATCTCAGGGTAGCGTTAAATGAGTGTGACAGGGGAAATTCGGAAGTCCACGCCACAGTGTGGAGACGTGTCGATCGCGAGGGTTGCCGCCCCTGGATTTGGGGGGGGTCTGGGGAGGTGTGGTCTGCAAGTCAGTCACCACAGTAGTCTAGATAGAAATCAAGATCCTGGACAATCCGGTACCAGAAGAGTGTGTAAGGTTTTCACAGGGATGTTGAAGGTAGGGGAGAAGTGACAAGGAAAGAGTCGAGAAGAGGAGTGAGGAGAGAATAAAGTGGGAGAGCACCTTTACGTACTCAACTTCCCCCCGTTGATCCCGTGTCTCTTTTTGCCCCCATTCATCTTCCTCCGCTCTCTTCTCTCTTTATTTTCTTGTTCCCTTCCTGTTTCAACTCCTCCTCGTGCGACACCCTAACGCATCTTCCGACAAATCACCCTCCTCCACTTGCCTCCGTTTCATCTCAGGATGAATGCCCCTCCAGGGTTTGGGTACCCGCCCGGCGTGTCGCTGGCGCCGACAGGTGCGTAATGCTCGCGAGAACGACCTCTGATTGCTGCGATTGCTTTGATAACCCGGTTGCTTGTTGCGTTGTGCTGCGGCCCCCTGACTTTGGTTCTATTTGCTTTTTAAATCGCCCCCTTATGCCTCGTTGCACGACATCGGGAATCCAAAATTGACCAGATTCCATCGCAGGCAGTCAAGATTCGCCCACAGCAGCCAACTTTGGCTCAAACAACCCTTTCAGAAACCGTGCTCTCTCGCCGGCCAACGGATCGACCACCAGTGCTCGTCCAGAACGTCCCCGATCCACCAATCCTTTCCTGGACGAGACCGACGCGCTCTCACCGCAATCAGCCCCTGGAATGTCCACAGGTGCCGCCTTGTTCTCCCCGGTCGAGAAACAGGATATGACTAGCCACACTCGAGAGCTCTTCGTATGTTTTTTGCAGAGAATCTGGGGGTTCCATGGCCACTGACTTGTCGCAGGAGAATCTCTCAATGAAGCCCGCCCCCGCTCCCGTTCCCGCTCAGACTATGAATAGCGCCCGGCCAGCTCCAGATGCCTCGAAGATGCGCCCCGCACGAACAGATCGCCTTGATCGTCCTGACCGCTCCGACCGTACTCGCACTTCGAGAGAGCGTTCGTCTGGGCGCCCTGCGGAGTCCAAATCAAAGGATCCTTTTGATATCTTCGCAGACCCTCCCAAGTCGGGTCCTCGTGAGGCCACTTCTCGCCGACCGCGCCGAAATTCCGAGTCGTCGGTGATGGACCGGTCTTCAAAGCTGTTTGATGATGACGACGACAAGCGTCGCCGCGAGCGACGCCGCGAGCGCGAGGCCCGTCACCGTGATGGCAAGTCTCGATCCTCTCGCAAGGACCGCCGACTGGACATCATTGACAAGTTGGATGTGACAAGCATCTACGGTACTGGCAGTAAGTCTTCCTGATATCGCAATCTGAGGTCATCTATATATTGACCGCCAACACAGTGTTCCACCACGATGGTCCCTTCGATGCTTGCAACCCTCATCGTAACCGCAAAGGCTCAAAAATCGCTCCTATGCAGGCATTCCCCAAGAACTCCAGTAACATGGCATTGGGCGGTGCCGGTCCGAACAACTCCAATATTGACTTGAATTTATTCCACGGTAGAATGGAGGAGGGCTACAACGACTTCGCCAGTTCCGGGGTGCAGCGAAGTGGCACGGTCAGCTTCGATCCCCTCCAGCGCGTGGAGCCCGTTCATGGAGCCGAGAGTCACGGACTAGGTACCAGCACCTTCTTGGATGGTGCACCCGCCAGCCGTGCCGCTATGGCGCGTCGCCAGAGTGAAAACGAGCAACAGCTTGCACAGGGTGGAGGTCTTCAGCGTAAGAAGAGTTTGGCGCAGCGACTACGAGGCAAGAGTAGTGCTCGTGAAGGTGGTGGCTATTCCTACCCAGCAGCCCCCGCAATGGGCTCCAGCCACTCCGCCTCCTCGCGAGGCAATGAGAAAAACCCATTTTTCCAGGACTATGACGAGGAGTGGGACAAGAAGGGTTCCCGTATCCAAGAGTCGCGTTTGGAATCTGAAGGTGGCCGGATGCGCTCGTCCAGTAGCCCCAAGCAGCCTACTGGTCTAGAGCGGAAAACCACCAACGATCGTTACGACGATTCCAAGCTCAGTTCTCCCGGTGGTGGTTTTTTGAATCGGATGAAGAGTCTGCGCAAGCCGCGCCCGGAGCGCCCTGCACGCCGTACTAGCGATTAAGGTGTCTGCTGGGTATAGCATCAACTTTGCATCTCCGAGTTGTTCAACACCGGCGCCGTCCAACCCTGCCTCCGTCCCCATCTCCCCTTGGGAGACTGATGATTTTTCTTTGTGTAATACCCAACATGCGCGCCGTCAGCATTCTGGCGCCTCGAGATGGCGTTGATATTCCCTGGAGTCGGTCTGATTGATCTAAACTGTTTTGCTTCTTTTATTTTTATCTCCTGTTCCATCTGAGGCAAAAAAACACGAAGCCGTGGTGTGCCACCGTGTTTGCAGCGAAACTCCTTGTACGTCTCAGCCGCTTTGCTTCCAGGAATGTATTATCTGAGCACATTTTTGTGTCTCATAGCATGACCTTGGTATAATGGCGTTCGGTAACAAACGGTAACAAACTACATTTCATTCGCATTGAATCGTTCAAATGCTTCGCTGTAATATTGGGATACCTGTGGTCCCTCCGACTGAACTAAGCTGAGTAATATGAAGTACATCGTTTACCTCAAAAATCTACAGGCCGAGCTTCTGGATCACAATCTTACTGTGGCATTCAGGCAAGCAAAGCACATCCGACATCAACGAGTCACCAAAGAGTCTGAGGCTGTTTTGATCCAGCGCCTGTGTGCTGTCCAGGATTAGATCTGCGACAACTTTAAGTAGTTCAAATTAAATAGCCAATGTGACTATTCTTGGTAATGGATCATCGAGTAAATATATAGCGGCATGTTTCCCTAGCATCGAGTCCTGCTACGTCTTATTTGCCTCAAAATTCTAGGTGCAACTTGGAGTGCCATAACATCCCTCCAACGCCCAATCCTGGCTACCAAATGGATGATTTCGATAATTTCATCGTCAACTCCGAATTGGGGAGGTTTAACCCCCAACAGCCCTTGCCAGCGTTATGAGATAGCTCTCCGCCTACGAATTAAGACAACCGACCACGGCGGCGACACAATAAGTGACATGCACTCTGGCCTTCACAGCGAGCTTTATCACCACCTCAAATTCCACAATTGAGCAGAAGAGCTGACAATTTTCTCACCCTCGCAAGGAGATTGGTTACACGCCAGCGGCGTCCTATCATAGTTGGGGAACTTCTGGGAAGCGCCGTGGCCAGTGCCGAGACATAAACACGCGACAAGTTCGACTGATACTTCTATAATTAGTTTTCGAACCTGTTTTCCGTCGCCGGAAATGGCTGGATCTATGAAGGTGTAGGCACGGATTGAATATTACTACGTAGGAGGTTGCGCGATTGCGGCGTTGGAGAAGGCTGGCTTGTTGACGCAGAGCCTTTTTGCTTGATGAGTCAATAGAACAATTTACGATGATGCTAGTATGCTTAGACTAAGGGGAGCTTCGAGGATGTCGTGGGTTTGAGAGATATGAGAGATATCATGTTCATTCATTAAATCATGGCCTAACTAGCGAGGCCCTTGCAGTAGCATCAAAATCAACGCCATGTGCACCAGATGCAAACAAAGTGGTATTTTAATCGAATAAACCGCAACCTGGACATCGAAATGTTTACCGCGCCGCAGATACATTTCGGGGCACTCGCAGGTTGGGTTGGGCAACGCCAGCACGGCGCTTGGACTGCGGCTTAGGCCTGGAGAGTGTGTACCTGGAAGGAAGATAGATATCAGCAAACGAACGTATCTCCCTGGACGGAGAGTATAACATACTTGGCAAATGCACGGGAAAGCGCCTTCTTGGCGCTGACCTTTTGGCTGCCAATGAAGGACTCCACAGTCACGGCGATCGCGCGGTCAATGTCCTGGGCAGAGCAGTACTCGGACAGACGCATCTTGCAGAAAGATTCCGCAATACGCATAATGGCTTCCAAGTGACGAACCTATGATAGTATGAAATGAGTAAGGGCGACAATCAAGATTAACCAAAGAAAAAAAACATACCGTGATGGGATAGGCGCCAGTGGCCAGCGACTCGCGGCGCATGTCTGCAAAAAGACGGGCGACCTTGTCCTGGTCGATCTGGTACAGCTTCGGGTGGCAGTGCTCGCGGGCGTAGAGAATGTACTTCCGTAGCAGCTCCTGAGGGATCTCACCCTCCTTCTCTTCCTCGGCCTGCTTCTGCTCTGCCGCACGTCGGGAGATTTCCTCCTGAGAGGGGGGCATACGACGACCCTCCCTGTCGATACGGTAACCTTCTGCATCAATGAGCTGACCGTCGTTGTCGACCATATCACCATTCTCATTTCGCAGAGGACGGAGCGGGTTGGCACGGTGGTGAGACTCGATCACGAAGTTGGCCAGACGCTCATCCTCGGTGGGCTCGACCAGATCACGCACCACGCAGAGAATGTCGAATCGAGACAAAATAGGCTCGGTCAGTTCGACGTTCTCGGAGAAGGGTTTGGTACTGTTGTAGCGACCACCTGTCGGATTGGCAGCAGCGACGACAGCACAGCGAGCTTGCAGGGTTGTTACGATACCAGCCTTGGAGATAGAAATGGTTTGTTGTTCCATGGCTTCGTGAATGGATGTGCGGTCCTGGTCGTTCATTTTGTCGAATTCATCAATAAGACAGGTACCACGATCGGCCAACACCAGCGCACCACCTTCCAGGGTCCATTCGCTGGTCAGGGGATCACGGCGAACACTGGCCGTCAAACCGACGGCACTGGCACCCTGACCGGTGGCGAAGACGGCACGGTGAGCAGTCTTCTCAACGTATTTGAGAACCTGCGACTTGGCAGTACCAGGGTCACCAAGAAGAAGAACGTTAATATCACCACGAATCGACATCTTGCCTTGCGCCTGCTTGCTAACACCACCGAAGAGCGAAAGCGCGACGGCAGTCTTGACGTCGTAGTGGCCATAAATACTGGGTGCCATGGAGCGGACAATTCTATCCACAATATCAGGCTCACGAGAGAGAGCCCGAATCTCGCGCTCATCCTCTTCAGTCAAGTTGAAGCCAGCAAGCTGGTCGTGAGACTTCACGACATGATTGGCCTCGATGATAGTAGCGAAAACGGGGAATCCGTTCTTGTTGTTCAGCTGCGCGTCATAGCTGTTGCGATAAATGCCAGTGATTTCGATCTCATCACCCGGCTTCGCCAGATCAATGAGATCGGCCAGAAGGACGACCTCACGCTGACGAGGCAGACGACCAGCGGGAACGGACCCAGGAGACTCCTGCAGAGTCAACTTCTGGTAGTTGCGGTAGACAGTCTTCTCCGAATTGACGGTGAAGGGACCACGGGACTGGCAGTTCTGGCAAAACGAAATCTTCACCTCCTGGCTGGCCTCTTGCTGGAAGGGACCCAAAGTGATGCCACACTTTTGGCAGAGGAACATCACATACTTCAATTGCGGGAAGACACCGGTGCGACGAGTGACAACACCGCTGACACGAACCAAACAGTTCAAGTGAGACTGACGCAGCTGCCGGAGGGTGTAGATGATAGGCACATCTGTGATGCGCACGTGGATCTCGTTGTGAATGTCGTGGTACTGTGGGTAATGGAAGAGGGTCACATCGAGGGCGACTTGATCGAAGACCTTCAGAACTTCGGTTGGCTCGTTGGCGAGGAAGTAAGAAAGAGCAGCTTTGGTCTCGCTCAAATGGGCGTAAGATACCTCCAGTGAGGCGGAGTTAACCTCACCAAGGGTCTTAATACGGTTTCCGTATACAGACTGACCACTGGGGTCGATGAACTCGGTGAGGAAAGCCTTGAATTCCCGATAAATGGAGCGGAGAACCTGAGGCTGAGTGACCCAATCGGTGATGTTGGCAGCCTTGACATCTGCCAATTCCTCGAGAGACAATTCTTCCATACCCTCATCTGCCATGTCGATGTCCTCACGGTCTTCGTCGTAGTGATGGCGGCGGCGGCGAGGTTGGCGAGACAGATCCATCTCCACATCATCTTCATCTTGCAGGAAAGCAGCGGGCATACGGCGCCGGCGCTGAAGTTCCCGATCTCTCTTGTTCAGACGAGCATCAAGTTGCCGACGAGCGGCAGCATCGAGTTCATCATGGTCTCCGTCATCGTCAATGTAGGCCTCGTTCTGGTACTGATCCTGTGCGGCATCGTGGTAGTCCCGCTCGAAGTTATCGCCGAACAGATCAATCCCGTCCTCATCCTCGGCCAATTCATCCACGTCGTCAATATCAGGAACAAGCTCGGCCTCTTCATCATCATCTTCATCATCGTCAAATGGCAGCGCAGGCGGGGATGAGGCTAGGGCCATCGCTGATCACATTGTCAGTATGTGCCCATGCAAATTCTGCCAGGATGAGGAATTCCACATACGACTGGAAGGAGGCAACGGCGCTGGTGAAGACATATCCTCCTCTCTTTCGCGCTTTCGAGTGTTGCCTCTCGGGCCGCGATTTGCGGCCGAGTCACTCGGTCGGAGGGGACTGCAATACATTAGCCGTGCTGAAAACCCTCAATGTTGACACTTGGAATACTCACTCCATGATGTGTGTGAGTGCGTGGCTCAATCGTCAAATTTGGGACTGATTGAGCAATTCTAGATGGGGAAATACAGAGAAAGAATGGGGGTTGGGAATGTGCTGATTTTCTCGCTCGAATGCGCCTAAGGACAAGTTTGAAAACGCGTAACGCGTCCGACCGCGTTTCAATTAAAGTCATGTGACTGTTTAGTGTCACTAGTCTGAAGTGACGCCAAAAGCGCGCATTTGTCGGCGATGTGATAGAAGTGTCGAATTAGGAGAATTCGAAAATCGGTCCATCATTCGATTCGAATTCACTCCTCGGAGACGACGCGCGCTGTAGCACTTCGTTCTGGCTGCAAATAAACACCATTGCAAACAGCCCAAACACTGGACTTGCCGCATGGCAGCAACGGCCCGTTTCTTCGTCCTGACACAATCTCGACACACTTCCACGTATAGCTACCATCTGAAGATAGCTGCAATGGATGCTTCAAATACCACGGACGGCAATGTGACTTCCAACCTCGCACGACGTGAAAGCCTCGGTTCTCAGAACTCTCAGACAGCAAAAGAGTACGCGCTTCCTACGCTTCTATGGAAAGACACGTATCTAACGATGAACAGGTTTATCGAGTCACAGATTCGGCTTGAAGCTGATGCGCGCGAAGTCCTGCCATATGTGAGCGGTTTCTAAATAAATAGAAAGCGCACGCGAGACTGACATTTCATTAGTCTTTTGATTCATGCACGTATGCTCTAGGTCCATTACGACAGAATCTATTTGCCTGCCTAACGTGCAATCCTCCTCCCTCGAACCCCGAAGATCCTTACACACCTGCGGCCGTTTGTTATTCTTGTCAAATATCCTGCCACAGTGAGCACGAGCTAGTAGAGCTGTTCAATAAGCGAAATTTCGTTTGTGACTGCGGTACTACTCGCCTGCCATCCCCATGTACTTTGCGCGAGGATCCAAAGACTGGTCAAAAGCCCGTCCAGTCGCAAGAGGCGGCTCCTGGTAACAAGTACAACCACAACTTCCGCAATCAGTTCTGTGGTTGCGGTGAACAGTATGATGCGCATCAAGAGAAAGGAACAATGTTCCAATGCCTCGGTCTCGGGGCGGTCGAGACTGGTGGCTGTGGTGAGGACTGGTGGCATCCGGAATGTCTTATTGGCCTTCCCCGGGACTGGTACAAGAGCAAAGTGAGTGAGAAGCAAACGCCTTCCGAAGGCAATGTCGCAGTGGTGAAAGACCACGTCCAGCCAGTAGACGATGATGATGATGAAACTCCCCTCCCTCCTGGGTTCCCTGCCGAGGATGATTTCTGGCAGCTCATCTGCTTCAAGTGCATGGACTCCAATCCGTGGCTGAAGCCGTACGCGGGTACTCCCGGGTTTCTTCCCCCGTGTACCAGCATGGTGGAATGAAGGATTCCTGTACCGCGAAGACGACAGATGACCAGAATTCAAAGAAACGGAAGGCAGACGAGGGCGAAATATCCCCAGAACCCTCCACAAAGCGCATCAAGGATGAGTCGCAATCATCAACATTGGCTCCTATCAAAGAAGAACCATCCACGAAACCCGAAGACTCAACCGAAGCTCCCAATGCCGATACACCGAAGACCCTCTCCCCGCAACCCAAACATGCTTCTCTTCCTACCTCCGGTCCGCTGGGATCATTCTCACTCTTTGTGGAACAAGACTTCTACGATCATCTCTGCCGATGTGCAGAATGCTTTCCTAAGCTTGCGCCGTATCCGCAGCTTCGTGAAGAAGAGGACACCTATGAACCTCCTCTATCTGACGATGGCGAGGACAATGCCGCCGCAAGCACCGGCACCGGCAGTCTTCTGGAACGCGGCGAAGCAGCCCTAAGCAATGTGGACCGTGTGCGTGCCATCGAGGGTGCCATGATTTACAATCATCTTCGTGACAAAGTAAAGGATTTTCTCAAGCCATTTGCTGAAAGTGGCCAGGCTGTTAGCGCAGATGATATCAAGGGTTACTTTGAGAAACTGCGCGGTGATGAGCAGGGTATCAAAGACGCTGCTGGTCAGGCCGAGACGATGGGAGGACGAGCCGGCGGTGGTGACGGCGATGCCAGTGACAGCCGACGTGAGCAGAGCGGTATGTGATAGGTCCTCCTATGGCAAATATTGCTGTTGGCTTACTCGATGCTTCTAGGTTTTTGAAATGCGAAGATCGCGAGAGATATGTTTTTCTCTTAAAAGCGAAGCAAATGGGAAATAAGGTGCTAACGGATGGGATCTAAGGGACGGACTCTATTGGGCTGGCTGTAATGTTAGGCGCATCATTATACTACGGGCAATGAATTCACGGAAAAAAAAACCAAATGCATATTCATCGAGGTATCTGGGGGAACCGATACCCTTGGTTAACGCCAAAGCCAGAGAGAAGCAGAATGCTATGAAGACAAGATCTAGCTTGGCCTATGCATTTCCAATAGTAACAAAAGATGGGATATGTCTATACAACAGATGGAGATCATTCTTTGAGTCGCTTCGCCGCCCTCAACAAAGAGTCATCTGGTAGGCCACTGCGCTTGGTGCCGGGCAGACTACCGGTGCGCATGTCATTGTCGTCCTGTGTTACCCGGCGATGTGGGTATTTGCTTTCGATGCCATCGAAGCAGTTTGCACTGACAGATCCTCCGTTTGAAAAGTAGGGGTGCTCCAGAGCTTCTTCCGCAGTTATTCGCTTCGTCGGATCATATTCCAGCATACGAGATATCAGATCAAACCCATCGGCACCGGGTGTACCAGCACTGGAATTCGCCGAGTAGCCGCCATTCTTTAAACAGCTCTGATACCAGCCTTCGAGATTTGGGCCTCGGTGGAAGTGAGCAGGCTGCCTGTGGAGGACCAGAGATTGCAATTGCGTATATTCCGGCATAGACACAAGACCTGGCCAGGTCTCCTTGCGGGGAAGTCCGAGAATCTCGACAATCTTCATCATTTGATTGCGTTGGAAAGGAACTGTCTTTTTGCTGTCCATCTTAGCTTCCTCGCCCTTGAAAATGGGTCGGAGAGAGAGGAGCTCTGCGAAAATGCATCCTACGGCCCACATATCAACAGCAGGGGTATAGTGCCGGCTACCGAGAAGAAGCTCCGGGGCTCGATACCATATGGTGACAACCACTTTGTCACCAGTGAACAAAGAGTTCAGGGGTTTGTAGAAGAGACGCGCCAGACCTAAATCACCGATCCGAATGGCACCGCTTGAGGTGACCAGGATATTGGCTGGCTTGAGATCACGATGCAAGACCCAATTTGTGTGTAAATAAAGGAGCCCGTTCAGTAATTGAAATAAGATTGACCGGACCATCTTGGCGGGTATGGCGTGTCTTTGGGGCTGTGTGTGGTGGTGAATGATTTGGAGCAAGTCGTGTTCCGTGTATTCGAATACCATGAAGATACATTTGTCTTCTAGGATGATCTCCTCCAGCTGGACAACGTTGGCATGCGACAGCTCGGTACAGAGCGCCATCTCTCGAATCGCCGACTGCGACAGGCCGGTATACTGGATGGTTTCGCCTTCCTTGTCGGGCTTGAACCTGGTGACGAGTCAGAGCTGGCAATACTCGGTAGGATGATTGGAAGACGTACTTCTTGATCGCAAACTCGCCTTTGTGGCCATTTTTGCCAATCGCTTTGTATACTCGTCCGTAGGTACCGCTGCTAATGAAACCCACAATGTGATATCGGTCTCGAACTCGGACTTTGCTAGTATATCCTGCAGGTCTTCGGGGTTCAAGCATCTCTAAAAACAGTCTCGAGCGTCAGCACTTGTGACAGATCGCGGTGTTGCCAGCCACCATCAATCAAAGGATACAAGCGTCATTTGAGGCGAATCATAAGAACCATGCAGATGAAGATCGCAAAACCAAAGATGCAGGCCAACCACCGCAGAGTCAAGGGGACAAATTACCCCGAGGATAGAAGCTTCCAGCATTATTAAGAAGAGGAAAGCCTTTCCCAAACATAGTGAAAAGAGAAGATAAGGTCACGCTAGCAAAGAGAGCAAGCAACACAGTAACCAAAAATCAAGTATTTACCATCGAAGGACTGCAGGTTCCGCTTCAAATTGGTTCTGGCTCGAGCAGAGATCGAACCGGAGGAAGGCGGGTTCGTCAGGCTCATTGGGTCGTTCGGTCCATCGGCATCTCGGGGGAGGAAGGGGGCTCTCCACACGTTTGGAGTTGTTTTGGAGAAGGTAAGTGCGGAGTTTCAGTGGCTTGTCAGTGGGTGGCAGGGAATGCGACCGGATATGATGGAGGCGAATGAGAGGAGTGGAGGAATTGGGGATAGTGAGGGGGGAAATTGGCTAGAGATGAAGCAATTTCACAGGTGATTTTATCGCAGGTCCGCTGAGTTCGGGCGCTTATCGCTATCACCGTGACATATTTGAAGAGGGGGGGGGGGCGGTGTCTAACGTCATCTCCTTCTTTAGTCCCCCTTGAATCTCCCACTTCCCATCTACTTTCAAATGACCATTAACTGGCATCATGGCGAGTGACTCAAGTCAATCCAGGGTCACGCCATACTTGATCTATCTCGTATTTGTCACGACCTTAGGCCCTCTGCAATTTGGTTACCATCTGGTACGCAATGCGTCCCTACAGGTCCAGCTCACACTAACTCCCGTGAATAGGCCGAGCTCAATGCCCCTCAGGCAGTCGTGACTTGTGAAAAGAAATCCATACGTCCATCTTCCTCTTATGGCCTACCGCAATGTCTCCCCATGACACCTTCAGAATTTGGTCTGGTCTCCTCAATCTATACACTTGGGGGACTCGCTGGGGCTCTGCTGGCAGGACCCGTGTCAACGAAATATGGACGCCGCTTGGCGCTGCAAGCAACAACAGTCTTTTTCATTCTAGGGCCTGTGGCTGAGACCCTAGCACCGGCCCTTCCGCTCCTGGCCCTCGGCAGGTTTCTCTCGGGAGTTGGATCGGGCGCAGCTATTGTAGTTGGTCCTATCTATGTCTCAGAGATCTCGCCTCCAGAATCACGTGGCTTGTTCGGTGCTTTTACACAAGTCATGACCAACGTGGGCATATTGTTAACTCAGACACTGGGGTACTTCTGGAGTCGAGACAGCCTATGGCGAATTATTCTTGCCGTGGCTGGCGTGATTGGAGCATTAGAGCTCCTAGGGCTGCTCATGGTTCCTGAGAGCCCAGCATGGCTTATTGAGAATCATCAAATGAGCCAGGCCCGCAAGGTATTGCAGCGGATCCGTGGCCGAGATGCTGACATCGGCCCGGAGATCGAAGGCTTGAGAACCTCGGGCGCTGGTCCTGCATCAGACGAAGAAGAATCCCTGCTGGCTCCAACAGGCAATCAGGCTCCCAAACAGTCCGTCACATTTATGCAGGCCATTCGGGATCCGTACTATCGGCCCGCTATCATCGCGGTCGTGGGTGTGATGATTGCCCAGCAATTTACCGGGGTCAACAGCATAATTATGTATAGCGTTTCCCTGCTGCAGAGTATTTTACCAACTACTGCGGCACTACTTACCGTGGGCATCTCGGCGATTAATCTTGTCATTACACTGGCATGTTCGCCTTTGCCCGATCGTATCGGTCGAAAGACCTGCTTACTGCTCAGTATTGGGGGCATGGGCTGCAGCTCCATTCTTCTGGCCCTAGGGATGCAATTCGATCAGAAGATCGCATCCGCAATCGCGGCACTCATGTTCGTGGCTTGTTTTGCTGTGGGACTTGGCCCCGTTCCTTTTATTCTGGCGTCCGAGCTTGTGGGACCTGAGGCGGTTGGTACAGCGCAAAGCTGCGCACTGGCGGCCAACTGGACGGCGACCTTTATCGTGGCCCAGTTCTTCCCCGTGCTCAACGACTCTCTCGGGGGGCATGGAAAGGTCTACTGGATTTTCGCAATCATGGCGGGGATTCTAGGCTGCTTCATCTACCGGTGGGTGCCGGAAACTAAGGGCAAGGCCAATGCAGACGAGGTATGGGGCCGCGTGGATCGACGCCAGGACTAGAGTGATTAGACAAGGCTGTCCCAAGTCTTGGTAGATCGCATATCAGCAATTAATCAATTCCGATTCCAACCGTAGACCATGCAAGCGTTGAGGATGCGGGGTAGTCGTGGCAGCACATTTCGTGACGAGTGGATCCCTCGACAATGCTTCGACGCTTGACGCGATAGATTGATATAGCATATTGCCTACGGATTGTTATAGACACGGAGAATCCAGATAAAACCCGGACGGAAATGAACACCTCGGACCCACGGAATGGCGGTGCACAACAAGGCAGTCGAGTGGGGAAGTGGATCGGCCCTCAACTTGACGTTGTGTGGGAGAACATCAATTACTATTGTTTCTTGCACCCACTTCTTTCCCCTTCGCTCGGTCGCTCTCGAGCCTTTCTTGGTAAATTCGGCCTTTTCCATCCCCTGATATCCTAAATCCTCTCAATTGCCTTCCAATTCGATCCGACCGCAAGTGTTTAGCTTTGTTTAGTACCTGGGTGACAGTTGTCTTGGCTTCGTGCTGGGATCGACCCGAGCAGATTGCAGATCGCTCAACTGGGACTCAAGCCACATCTTCCAGGGATTGTTTGAACAGGGCCAGAACACCCGATTGATCCTGTCTCCCTCTCAGCCTCTTTTCTGCTGCGTCTCCCGCGACTCTTCGGCACTTCCGCTGCTGCCTACCCATCCGCCATGGTCCGCTTACCGCTGCCACAGAGGCTCAGCTCGCACTTATCAGTTAGAAGCTCGAGCTCGACGCCTGGACAGAGCAGAAGTACGAGTCCGATGCGCTCCGTGGAAAGCAAGCCTCTCCTCATCAAAGTGTCCGTGATTAAGGTAAGCGAGCTAACGCTCCGGCCCCGCGCCATTCAAACACCAGCTAATTGGAGCGTCGCGATTCGCGTAGGGACGAAATCTTGCGGCCAAAGATCGAGGTGGGACAAGTGATCCGGTAAGCCATCACCATCAAGGACTTTCCCGGAGTATCCGACGTGCTGATGTGCGGGAACAGTATCTAGTGGTGACATTAGGAGACGCGAGGCAATCAACACCAACGATAACGAAGACCCTTAACCCGGAATGGAACGTGTCGTTCGAGATGCCCGTGGTGGGGGTGCCCCTGTTGGAATGTATCTGCTGGGATCATGACCGGTTTGGCAAGGACTATCTGGGCGAGTTCGACATCGCATTGGAGGACATTTTTGAGGAGGGGCAAATTAGCCAAGAGGTCAGTGGAAAGATTACACCCCGGCTGGGAAGCAATGAACTTGAAAATGGCTAACTGGACGAAGCCCAAATGGTACACCCTCAAATCGAAACGACTATCGCAACGCTCGAATCGAAAGAAGAAGAAGAAGGACAGCGATGTCTCGGGAGAAATTCTCTTGCAATTTTCGCTCGTCGACTCTGCGAATCCTACTGCAGCACCCTCGGACACATATCGCAAATTTAGAGGCCTGGTGTGTACTGGCGAGGAGGATGATCAGCTTGACCAGATTCCGACTACCGAGGACCTGGACGATTTGGACGAACAGGAGACTTCCGATGAGACGGATGATTTAACGAAGCCGGAGATTGTTGAGAAGCGCCGACGGCGCCTCCGCTTGGCACGTTTGAGACGCAATTCCTTGGCTGCCAGGGCGTATCAATTCTCGGGCTCTGGAAGTGGCGTTCAAGGTATTGTATTTATAGAAATAATACGGGTGACTGACCTTCCTCCGGAACGGAATGGTAAGTGGATTCTCCATCGATACTGAGCACTGGTGGTTGACTTGAATACTCAGTAACGCGAACGTCATTTGACATGGACCCCTTCGTCGTCACATCTCTGGGGAGAAAGACGCTCAGAACACCCGTTGTGCGCCACAACCTGAACCCTATCTACAACGAAAAGATGGTTTTCCAAGTTATGAAACATGAACAGACATACACCATCAGTTTTACCGTGATGGATCGAGACAAGTTCTCAGGCAATGACTTTGTCGCCTCTGCCAATTTCCCTCTGCAGAAACTCATCCAGTCGGCCCCAGAGGCAGATCCTGAGTCTGGTTTGTATCATTTTGTTGAGACTGACGAGCCAAGCCCCTTGCCCAAAAGTACTTCTGGGTTCGCCGTCAGCCCGTCACCATCTTCTAAGAGTCTCTCCAAGATGGGCCGACCTACATTGAAGACAGGTAACTCGGGAAGCTCGGTCTCTAGCCAATCCATGTTGTCGATTCCTCCCAAGGCTCCTCCTACATCTGTTCCAGAGGAACCGAGCTTGAATGTGGATAGCAGCACCACTCTCCAAATTCCCGCAACACACCCCATTGACACTAACGACCCTGCTCCCCGACAGATGAGGAAGGCTTCCGGCCCTACCTGATTCCCCTGACCCTCAAGAACCGAGACAGATGGGAAGACAAGCATTCCCCCGAGCTGCACGTGAGAGCAAAGTATCTACCATATAGCGCACTCCGACAGCAGTTCTGGAGACTGATGCTGAAGCAATATGACGCGGATGACAGCGGCCGCATTGATAAGGTTGAGATGACCACGATGCTTGATACCCTTGGATCCACTTTAAAGGAGTCGACCATCGATAACTTTTTCCACCGATTCGGGGCTGAGAACGAGCCCAGCGACACTGCCGACTTGACTTTTGATCAGGCTGTCATCTGTCTGGAAGACACCCTGCGGATCCTGCAAAAACGGAATTCCGTCTTACCACCCCTTCCCGGAAGACCTGGTCTTACATCGTCTGTCGGAAGCCAAGAAAGTGAGGAGCCATCCAGCAGCAGCGATGAGCTCGCTTTAGATTCCAGCACCGTCTTGCCATTAAATACTGACCCGCACGACACAGCTGTTCCAACGGTATCCAGCGACGAACAGCCCAGCTCGAACGATGACGAACTACGGCCCGATGACCTCGGAGATGAAAGAGGAGAAGAACATGTTGTAGAAATCCGGGAATGCCCCCTGTGTCACCAGCCTCGCCTTGGAAAACGATCAGATGCGGATATCATCACTCACATTGCCACTTGTGCCAGCCATGACTGGCGCCAGGTCGACAATCTCGTTATGGGCGGCTTTGTGACATCCAGTCAAGCCCAGCGGAAATGGTATTCTAAGGTCATTACCAAGATCTCCTACGGCGGATACAAGCTCGGGGCCAACTCCGCCAATATTCTTGTCCAGGACCGGATCACAGGCCAAATCAACGAGGAGCGCATGAGTGTTTATGTACGTCTCGGAATCCGCTTGCTCTACAAGGGCCTCAAGAGTAGGGACATGGAGAAAAAGAGGAGTAAGTAACTTCGATTCAATGTTGTCGAAGAAAGCTTGTCATCTAACACGAGACTTCTCAGTTCGCCGTGTTCTGCGCTCCCTCAGTATCAAACAAGGTCGGAAATACGACGATCCGGCGTCGACCAGTCAGATCCGGGACTTCATCAATTTCCATCAATTGGACATGTCAGAGGTCCTCCTGCCTATAGAGGAGTTCCGCAACTTCAACGAGTTCTTCTACCGCGCATTGAAACCGGGTGCTCGCCCATGCTCTGCTCCTAATGAACCTAGAATAGTTGTGTCCCCTGCCGACTGCCGCTCCGTGGTCTTCGACCGAATGGATGAAGCGACCAGCATCTGGGTGAAGGGCCGAGAATTCTCAGTCGAAAGATTGCTAGGCGATGCCTATCCTGAGGACGCGGATCGGTACCGCAACGGCGCACTCGGTGTATTCCGCCTAGCTCCTCAGGATTACCACCGATTCCACGTTCCTGTGGACGGAGTCATGGGAGAGCCCAAGACCATTGAGGGCGAGTATTATACAGTGAATCCGATGGCTATCCGCTCTGCACTGGACGTTTATGGTGAAAATGTACGAGTTTTGGTTCCAATTGACTCGGTTGCGCATGGCCGCGTCATGGTCGTCTGTGTGGGAGCCATGATGGTTGGTAGCACGGTGATCACTCGCAAGGCGGGCGAAAAGGTCAGCCGAGCGGAAGAGCTTGGGTACTTTAAGTTTGGTGGCAGTACACTCCTTGTCTTGTTTGAGGAGGGAGTGATCAATTTTGACAAAGACCTTGTGGATAACTCCAAAGGTCCCTTGGAGACCTTGGTAAGAGAGAATGACATGCGTTTCCCATTTATTGGTGCTAATTACTTTTGATCACAGATCCGAGTAGGCATGTCTGTTGGCCATAGTCCCAACATGTCTCCCCATGAGCCGGATATGCCGAAGAAGGCAGAGAACGTCACTGAGGAAGAAATGCAAGAGGCCAAGCGGCGCATCGAAGGTAGCCTGGCGCCTCAGAGCGGTCGGGCCACCTTCAGCGCCGTCCCTTAATTTATGTTCATCATCAACTGGACTGGGCTCAACTCCCGTCCGCATCGGTTGCCATTCCTTCGTTGGACATATGAATGTTTTGCAGAACAGGCGTTTGTAGATTTGGACACAGCGATCATCTAGCAGCATCCGCGCATATTTGCCATGGTACATTACGATCATTCTATTGGAAATCAGTTAAAACTATCGCATTTCAAGTCGTTTGTCCCAATTCATTATGAATCCAGTAGATGTAAAATTGCCTGAAATCCGGCACTTGCTTCGTTGTATTTTGTCGAGATGAAATGCAACTATAGAGGGGGCGGCCCAAAACGGACTAGCGCCCCACGCCGACCAAAACAACCGCGTGCTCGAATCCCTCCAACCCACCTTAACCTCTACCCTTGCCGCCCGCAGCTACACTTCTTGCGCATTGCGGGCATTGTGCTGCTGACGTTTGCGCAAATTCGACTCGACTCTCCCTCCGTTCCTCTCACGTATCCGACTCAATCCCAACCGAGCATCCATCTCGTTGAACCGGACAACGGATGTCAAGTGCTGACCTGCGCCCACGCGACAAGCTGTACTACGTCGCGACAGCTTTTAATCGGAGGAGGCTTGGCTCTTAATTCTCATCCGAGAGACGCGCAATTCAAGTCTTCGGGGATCACAGTCTTCAGAGATCCTTCAACCCAACATCCACCTCAACCAACGACCCAACGTGAACCGCTCTTGACATGAGCATCGCGGTCCTGGCGCCTACCTTGACCAAAACAAAGCGCCGCGAACCGCTGGGGACGATAGGAATGGCGGCTTCTCAGGCGCAATCGCGTCCCGCGCCCGCGTCTGATGGAGCCGGCGGGGACAAAAGGGCACGACGGACTACGCGGAACAGCACGAGTAAACAGGGCCTGGAGGAGATCACGAATGACGGTAAACGCAAAGCTGGTAAGTGCTATAATACTGACAGGGGAGTCTGTGGGGATCATGGACCGAATACTGACCCCCCTTTGTGTGGCGACAGATTATGTGGAGGACGCAGACGGATTTCAATTCTCTATCGTTCCAACCAAGAAGTCTCGGCCATCGCTCGAAGCCGTTCCCGAAGTTGCACATTCAGACGTGGAAAATGCGCCTCCAAAGTCAACACCACGCAGGGGACGACCTCCGAAGAAGAGAAACGTGGAGAAAGCAAATGGAGGCACCGTGCCGGTCAAGGGACAAACGACCGAACTCCCGTCAAGAAAAATTACGAGGGGAGCGGTCAACGCGGCAGACACCGAGCAAGAACCTCAACAAGACAATGCGACAGGTCCATCACAGACACGTGAACCACACGAGGACCAGCCCAAGAAACAGCGCAAAAGGGGGCGACCTGCAAAACCCAGAAATGCTGAACAGAACGGCTTTCAGTCTCCTGACCCACCTCCTGCCGGTACCAAAATTGCTCTACCCCTGGCTGACACTCCGGTCATTCAGCGAAATAAGGAGCTGAGAGGGGATAAGGCGGGCAAGGGCCGGCGGCGAAGCAGCTTAGATTTGCGGGGTCGGAGAGCCAGTGACTTGATCGATTCGGGTGCTTCTAACGGTAGGAGCTTTCTCGTGAATCCATTAAGAAATGAAAGCTAATAGATTTGAACAGCCTTGCCTCATCGAGAGGTCAGCACGGCTGATTTCTATAAACATATCGCCGACGGGGGTCTTCCTGAGCCACGCAGGATGCGACAGCTTCTGGTCTGGTGTGCAACACGTGCGCTAGGGGATAAGCGCTCTGGCCCTCACTCTGACGATCAGAGTGCACGGTTAGCTGGTAATTTCTTCCGATATGTGTCCGCGCAGAGGAAGTAAAGCTGACAAGTCAATAGCCCGTTGGATCCAAGACGAGTTACTTAAGGACTTCTCGACGAACTCGGAGCTCTCAAACTGGTTTAGTCGTGAAGATGTGAATCCCCCAACAGTGGTTGTTAAAAAGCCGAATCCGAGGAACGTGCAAAATGCAGAGAAGATCAAGGATCTAGAAGAGCAGATTCAAAGGTAGGCAATCCATTATGCTGTACAGGGAAAACCAGGGCTAATTGATTCAACAGGCTTCGAAAGGAGGGACAGGCTCTCAATGCACTTTCTATGAAACCCCCTATGCGCCGCATCAGTGCAAAGATCCCTGATTCATCCGACCAACCGACATCAAAACAACATCCCAAGCAAGCTTCCGATCAGATCAACCCCTCTCTCCTCGACCCTGCACAACAGGCTATACTCGCATCATTGAACCCTCCACAAAACCCCCGACCCCAACCAGAAGAGGCGTCTTCATCTACGACCCGAGCACCTATGTCTCCATCAGCCGTCTCTGCCCGTCTTTCCCGCATTAGTACTGGTCTTGCGCCAACACTGGATACCTTTGCGGCCGGCATTCATGATATCGAGATGTACAGGACGACCGCAGATGCAGTCTCGTCTCGTATCCTGCGCACATGTGCACAGCGTCTCGAAGAGCGTGACGCATTCAACACCCAGCAACGCCTCGCAATTGAAGGCGATGACGACGAACGGCAGCCACCTTCTCAGCGAGGCGAGCGGCCTCGGGACATCGGCCTCATCCTAGGGGCACTCAGTCGAATCGAAAGACGGTGATCTGCAAATATTCCAATTCTCTTACCTTTTTCAGCGAGTCTTATATTCTCCCCGTTTACCATTTTCTTCTGGAATTAGCGCTAGGGGCGGCCACGGATTGACTTTTTGACGATGATCTTGACGAACTCACCTGTTCGGGTGGGTGGTATGGCGCAACGAGGGTCGGGATGGGAATGCATTGCAATCTTTTCGCAAGCTTTGGAGTTTCAGGTGTTGTGTGATGTTTAATATACCGCGCGGGGGACTGGATCTGGATTTGTTTTCTTTTGGGTCGGCATTGCCCTGGAAAGCGGGCTATTAGCAATTCTACTAGCATTGAATGGACACTTGAAGATACATCGCCGTCCTAGGGCCAATCTAGGACTACCAAGGTACCGGTCTCCGTTGGTTTCCACAACTAGACAGAACCTAGATAAGTGGTGGCGAAATAAGCAGACAGTTTCCAAATTCGTGAGCCCTTCTATCCCTCCTACAGTTTTATACATACAGTTCTGGTAATCTTGAAAGTTACGTTAATGTTGTGGATGCTGCGTCGACGCGTACTTTTGCAACCTTGGGCCAGCGCTGGCTCGTACATCGGGAGGAGCGGGCATAGCGACACCGCAAGGCTCAGGGAATTTTTCTCGATCACACTTAGCCATTCGCCGGAATGATTCATTCTTTCGAGATAGCAGCATATGCTCTTGGGTATAAAGGCATAATCACACGACTTACAAGGGGCATATTACTGACTGCGTATTCCCATTTTGCCTGGGACACATCAGCAACTATACACTTCCCCAAGGTCTCCACTTCTACCATCTCCAGATGTTCCTCGAAGACTTAGACTTGGACAAAATGATCAACCCTTCCAAAGATATTAACGTCCCCTTGCGCTTCGGAGCCTGCTGCAAGCAGTGTTTCAAACAAAGCTCTATTGGTCCAGATGTCTCATCCATGGATGGATATCTAGATATCCCTTGCAGCTGCAGCTGCGGCTGCGGCTGCGGCTGCATCTGCATGACAACATCCATATTTTGACAAAGCAAGACGGCAGCAGATAGAAGACACAGGATGACATATATCCTATCAAGATGGGTAAAGTAAGTTTATCGGAAATATCGTCCAATAGCCGCATATAACGATGTCGCGTCCTACAATATATTCCACGTGGAATATTCAATCTGGCCTATGCACCATCTCCCTCTGGACGCGATCGCATGCAGCAGCATGGCTAGATCAATGGACCCGCGAGGACGGTTCGCAAAAGCTACGGATGGAATCAGGTTGAACGACAGATGCACAACGCGAGATCTTGGAACGTGAATTGGTTGGTCATGGCTAGGCTGGTCTTCCGGTCTTCGTGTCCGTGTTAGGAAGGACTCTTTTCCCGGGACTTATCCTGGTCGGTGACTAGCTGGACACCTTACCGAGGGAATGGTATTGGATGCATTATTTGAATTTATTTCAAGGGTTCGGAGAATGTCTTGTCATTCGTCTTCTCAGCTTGTTGCCTCGCGAGCTAGATTATATATACGAAATGGTATGCATGCCATATAGTGTTGCTGCAAAACTCTCGTGCTAGCTATCTGGTCAGTGAAATTGAAGCTATAGGCTAGCACGAGGTCCCGATATCACTGGGAGGTGGCTCAGACTGCAGCCCGAGAATGAAGGATAGGATGGAGACACTCATAAGAAGATCCCGGTGCACTTTATTGCGGCCCGCATTGGCGTCATTTCATTATTAGGTGATGAATGATTTTCTGACAGAGAGTTATCTCCCAGGCGTTGTAAGATATGTGAAAGTATGGGTGGATCGGAAAGACATCAACAGTATGTCTCAGCCGGTCAATCTCATCGGAATGCAAGTGAGCTGATGCGTTGGCGGGTCCAGAGGAGTGAGAAGATCAATCAGGCGGGGCACTAGTTCAAAGTCCCATGCATAAACTGTGGATCAAAACGTGCCATATCTCAGGCATGTCCGATAGTCGTGTATGCTCCACCGAGTGGGACATACCGTACCCAAGAGGAACCACGAGCCAGGATGCGAGATTCGCACTCTAGATTGATTCATTAGATCGTCGGGACCGAGACGTGTAAACTTCATCTCAACCTCGGCCTAGTCGGATATAAGGCCTATTCACTGCGCATTGCTAACTGCAACCCACCACCATTCTGATTTTGCAGCCACTGGCAGCCAATGAAGAAGACTTACCAATGCATGGGTCTATTTTCTTCAGGACATCCCCAGCCTGGGCCTCAATACTCTTTCTTACGCGGCCTTACAGGTAAGAAGATGCGTGTCACTGTGACGGAAAGACCATACCAGCACGAAGAAAGTCAGAATTGGTCCCTGCGTTCAGGTAGGACCGCCATCCTCGGTAAATCCAGGCGAGCCGTGGAAGGAGGAGCTGTGCGACCCCGAAGGAGGGAGCGAACTGTGATACAGAGGACGTTGCGGTCGCATCGCCGCAACGAGGCCACCGAGGTGGAGAGGTGCAATTTAGTTCTCGCACAAATCTACTCATCTAGGCTTGCGAATGGCGTCAAATCTGCAGTGATACCGAAAACTATGACGGCTCGGACCTTAGGATAGGCATAAGCAGGAGCCGAGCAACATCCAAGGTTCTGGCCCGGGTCAGACCGATTAGAGGGGGATCCAGGGCCACGGGAAGCTTCAAATCTCATCGCAAGCAGATCCCAACTTCGACTTTGCTCGCTCGAGGGGCCAACCTGGGTGGTACAATGACGCGCAATGCCATTTTCAGGAGACACCCGTTGACATCATGCGAGCATCGTCTAGGGCATGTGCATGAGTCCGTTACGGACTTTGGTCTCGCCGAGCTGTCTATGGAGCAAACAGGCCAGACTTGCTGCGTTGTACCGGGCAGAGAGGCACAGATTGATTCCTATGTTTGAACAGGGTACTTGCCTCCGAGTCAGATTCCTTCCGATGGCGTCTCGATTCGGAGTCCTGAGTTACGTATGCTATCCACTGACCCCCTAACAGGTCCACTCGGTAGATCTGTCTCAGGAACGAGGCATCTTGCATAACCCCTGATGTCCAAAGAAGGGGGGGGTGGAGGCTGATCTGGACAGGTTGGCAATCTGATACGTCTTCCTATCTATCCATCAAATAAGTCGCATCATTCCAGATGTCTAGTATGATTGATGTTTGGTCAGGGAAAGCCAGCACAACCGCCACACCAAATATCATCTGGCACTGTGTCGCTATATCCTGTCGCAGGTCGAGGATCATCCCAGACTCCACTTACCTTGCAGGAAGTCCGCCCTGTTCATAAACAGCTCTTCAAAGGATGCCAAACTCTGACCTGGGTCGTTCACTTCACGGTGACTTGTGGTACCTCATGGCCTCCGTGGAACCGGAACTGTCTGCTGGTTCCTTTGACAATGCAGCTCGGACTCAATTCCCCCTTGGCTTTCCTCCCTGACCTACTAGGGGTGAATTGGATTTTTGAATTCCTGTCCCATCGCGCCATACTGCTGATCCGGAAAGCTTCGATCCCTTCCTCGATAAGCTACAGGCCGGTCGATCCTGGTGCCGTCCAAGACCCACGGGTCCTGGGTCTTAGCTTCGGCGCGACGCCTCTCCTGGCGGAGACTAGAGAACTAATTTCTTTGACTTTGAAGATTATGACTGGACACCGAGCCCATACCATGCACCGAATCCCGGGTGATTTATCATCGTGGCGACATAAAACCTTCCCAGATGGGCGTGTAGGAAACCGGCACGGGAGAGCCATCTTCCCCCCCCTCCCCTCAACGGCTGCATGCCCTCAAACTAGGCAGTCTTTGAAGATTCAGGCTCATGTGGTCCGTGTAATTCTCAGCTAAACGGCAGCTGTTTTTAGCCTGTCTCTAGCCGCGTAAATAGAAGATGCACCCGCAGTCTTGGTACCCAAAGATCTTCTATATCAGTCTGTCCCTAAGTCTTGCAATCCTTCTACTCCCGTCCCCGATTTTGATTTACCTCGATGCAAATATTTCTTATTATGTCTTGGTGACACAATCGTCATTCTTGGCAGCAGGACTTATTCATACCTCTCCCTGCCGTGACAAGCGCCCTCCAGTGTACGGGATCGCATCAACCCTTGTGGCCCAAGACTACCTTCCATTTGCTGCCTTGTTGAAGTGAGTGTTGGGAGGCTTGCCCTTGCCTATAGAGCTCCACAAGAGCTTTTGGATAGGAGAGCTGGCGACGTGACCTCACATAGCTGACCTTGTTGCCAGGCTACAGTCGACCACTCAAGCTCGAGCTCGAGATATACGATTTGTTCTGCTATTGGTCTTCGAATTGATTGACATTCAGAATTGCAGAGTGTGTTGGACAAGATTGTAGTGGCATGAAAGACCAGGAGGTGCCCAAAAAAACAATAAGAAACCAGAAGGAAATATAGGGAAGGAAAAAAAGAAAGAAAGCAGAACTCATGGCGGGGCCTTACTTCCACCTTCCAGTATCTTGCCATCCGGCGACTGATCGACTGGGATCCAACAAACCCTTCCCATTATTCGAAAACTCGCCGTTGAACGCGTCGAGAGATGGCTCACAGGCCCAGCAAGCGTATCAGAAGCTCACGCTGGGTGGCGGAGCCCAGGGCGCGCATTGGAATGCAAGCATTCTCAAAAATACCAATCGCGTCAAGTTCACTGTGAACGAGCTTGAGCTCAAGGAGCCCCCAAGTGGCCACTCGGACCAATCCCGACAGGACCGTAGGGGCTACTCTTTGCTCCCTCGAAGGCCTCTGCCCACCGCCAACATTCCTCGTGTCCAGGATTGGAGCAGTGGAGATCCGCAAAGAGGGAGATCAGCAGAGCAGCGGAGCTCTACCGCGTCAGCCGATGTCACCGGCTTGACGATCGACAGCAAGACCACCTCGACGGAGCCAGGAGACTATGAAATCAGTCCCAGTCCCTACGACAAGGGGCGTGCTATAACCTATGCACAGGAACGGGCCCAGCGGCTTGCATCCCTTCTCTCTCGAAAATCTCCGAAGCAAAGTCCCCGCTCCAGCCTTGCACTATCGACTGCATCCACTCCTCCAGAGGCCCTATTTCTTTCTGAGGATGGGGATGAGCTTTCTTTGATCAGTTACTTTGAGAAGCATCAACTCTTTGACGAGCTTACCCTGATCGACGATGAAGCTGGCTTCATAGACGGGAGATCTACACCGCACAGCTACGAAGTCAAAAGTACTCTGCGCCAAATGTCACGTCCCGACCTTCACTTTTTGACTCGTTTTCGTCCTTCCTCTCCCGGTTCACTGTCCGGCCGAGGTACCCCGTCTGAAGATCGGGACTCCCTCGAACGGCCGAGACATAACCGCGGAGGAATTCTTTCTTCAATACTCAAGCTATACGACCAGTCCGGTCAGGCATACTATTCGGGCCAGGGCCAGTATGGCGAATCCCGACGGGGAAGTGCCTCCACCGACTACAGCAGACGTGGTTCTTCCCCTGATGACGACTCGGTCTGGAAGGCCAATCGCCCCAAAAAGTGGTATGAGAAATCATCTAGCCGATCCAGCACTTCCCTTGCCGGCTCTTCGATCAAGAATATCTCTCCTGTTGGTATCCTCAAGCGGTCTCGCAGCAGCAATGCTGTTGAGGGAGGCGGACGTCGTTACCCAAAGCCCCAGCTTGAAGATGAAATACGAATCACCATTCACATCGCTGAGCTCCTTCAACGCCAGCGGTATCTGATCAGGCTCTGCCGAGCCTTGATGAAATATGGTGCTCCGACTCATCGTCTGGAAGAATACATGCGAATGACTGCACGAGTCCTGGAGATTGATGGCCAATTCCTATATATCCCAGGCTGTATGATTATCTCCTTCGACGACGCCACCACGCACACGACCGAAGTCAAAGTCGTCCGATCCAGTCAGGGAATCGACTTGGGCAAGCTGGCCGACGTCCACGAAATCTACAAGGAAGTGATTCACGACGTGATCGGGGTCGAAGAAGCCATCCAGCGATTGGATGAGACGATGAAGAGGCGGAGCAAGTATCATATTCTGTTCCTCATCTTTGCCCACGGCTGTGCAAGCGCATCAGTGGGACCGTTTGCCTTCAATGCTCGGCCAGTGGACATGCCCGTTGCCTTTTTGCTGGGCTGTTTACTCGGTGTGCTGCAGCTGATTTTATCGCCCAAGTCGAGCTTGTACTCGAATGTCTTCGAGATCTCGGCTGCAGTGCTGACCTCCTTCTTGGCTCGGGCATTTGGAAGTATTCGATTCCAAGGGGAGTCTTTGTTCTGCTTCTCTGCTTTGGCACAATCTTCCATCGCTCTCATCCTGCCCGGTTATACCGTTCTCTGTGCTAGCCTGGAATTACAGTCACGAAGCATTGTGGCAGGCTCAGTACGCATGGTGTACGCCATCATTTACTCCCTCTTCCTTGGATTCGGCATCACCATTGGCACTGCTGTTTATGGCCTGCTAGACCCCGAAGCCTCAACAGCCTATACGTGCCCCGCAAGCCCGATCACAAACGAATACCTTCAGCGAATCCCCTTCGTATTGATCTTCACGGCGTGTCTCGCCATTGTCAACCAGGCCAAATGGAAACAAATTCCCATTATGCTGGTCATCTCTCTGGCCGGCTACGTCGTCACTTATTTCAGCTCTAAGCGATTCTACTCTAACACACAAGTCTCGAACGCCCTCGGCGCGTTCGTCATTGGAGTCATGGGCAACTGCTACAGCCGTCTCCGCCATGGACTTGCAGCAGCAGCCATGCTTCCCGCAATATTTGTCCTGGTACCCTCTGGTCTGGCTGCTAGCGGATCTCTTATTTCAGGCATCACGTCAGCAGAGGAGATGACTCGGAACCCATACGCAGTCGTAGCCAATGGAACACAGGGCTTTGTCGACGCAGCGAAGAATCTCTCAGCCGACGAAGCACGCAATCAGAGCTACGGCGTCGTCTTCGACATCGGCTACGGCATGGTCCAAGTCGCCATCGGGACTACAGTTGGTCTGTTCCTAGCTGCACTAGTCGTCTACCCATTGGGCAAGAAACGAAGTGGTCTATTCAGCTTCTAGCACCCCTCCGGTCTTCGGGTTTCTCTCAGACTTGATATCCAATCTCTATACTCACGTCCACGTTCTCCACCTATACCCGTTTTCTAGTGTCTCGGCCATAACGAGACTCTTGAACATTTCGCATCCCGAGCAAGCCCACAAGCCACCACAGGCTCGCCCTATCATTTATACCCTCGACCTCAACGGAGACACCCTTGTCTTATTCCTTTATACCGTGCTGGGAGTCTAGAAAATCGTCTATGTCACTTCTTTCGTCCTTCGCCGAAGAAGTCTGTACCGAGTCACGGACACACGGGCGCACGTCCGGACATACATAGAAGCCACGAATACACGAGTCCACGAAATTCTGAAAATCATCGAGGCCCCCGTTCTGCGAAGTTTCCTTTTGATTTTGATTTTTCTCTGGCACGAGTTTAGGTTTCCGGCATGATTATTTGCGGTGGGTGTTTCAGCGGAATTTGCATTTGAGTAACAATTTGTTTGATTCGGTTTAATCATGTTGCTGTTCTTCATTCTCGAACGTTGGATCTTTTGCTGTATACACGCTTGCTCTTTACGAGCCAACATAGTCTATAGTAGCTTGTTTTTGACTCCATCATTTGATGCACAGTGTAATGTCCTTCACAAAAATTGTTCAGCTGTAAAATAATACCTTATCGATGATGCATCAGGACTCAGCAGGTCGATAACTTTGTCAAGCCATCCCAGATGGATTTGGGAGCAGACGCAACCAATAACATTGACATGCGGATAGAACCTACGATCTACAGAGCAGCACTCATTACAGACTACACAGCACCAGAGAATCAGCTGCGAAGCTATTTATTGCAAAGGCCCCTGAAGAGCAGCGGCCATAGGGTAAGCTGGTACATAACCGGATGCACGAGAAACCCGAGAACCACGAAAAGAGAGACGGCGGCCTTGCCCGAAGCAGGCATTCCAGAAGTAAAGCTATCGCAGCCCGAGTTGAAAAGACCAGTAAGAGTTCGACCGTAGCAACGCCCAGGAAGGGTGTGGATACGACGCCAGGGAAAAGAAGAGATTTATGAAAATAGTTCAATCAAGAATCAGAAGATTCATTGCAGACTGATGCAGGTCGTCATACACGCACGCACGTATCACTGACAAATGGTCAGAATAGGAGGAGTGAACGAAGGAGTGGAAGGGGCCACAGCGTCCCCCCTATGTAAGAAATGTAGGCTGGGCAACAGAAGGGGAAAAAACGAGGAAACGAGTAAAAAAGTCCGCCTGGGAAGAATAAAGTCATACGTCGCTGTCACATGATGTTCGGCATTACATGATAGGGGTCTTGCGCTTTTCAGCGCTGGACAACACAAGCATAGGTGTCTTGCGGCGCTCTGGTGCTTGAGCCTGCTGTTGCCCCTGGCCTGCAACGACCGACGCCACGGAGGGTGAAGAGGTGCCTGTCGGCGAAGAAACATGATCAACGTGAGCATCGGTAAACTTCGATCCAAAGTAGCCATCCTCGCTGGTTGGAGTGGCACTAGAGTAAGGGCTGTCAAGAGAATTCCGGTCACGACCAGTCTTCTCCTTGCGTTCAGATCCAATAGCACCATTAGCTGCAGCGCGGAGGCTACCCAGGCTGGGCTTGCTGGAGAGGCTACCACTGCGAACAGTCGCGTCATCACCGTCGGAGAAGGTGAATTCCTTCTCGCTGGCTGGTGTGTTGGTACCGCCACTGCTGTTGTATCCGTAGCTACGAGTGTCGCCTCGACGCTCAATTCCAGCACGAACCAAGTTGTGGACGGCGCGGCGTCGCTGGCGGGTAGCGAAGTTTTTGCTGCCCTCGTACTTGGAAGTAGGCTTCGCCACGAGATCCTCAAGGGACGGAGGTCCACGGGGCTGACGGATCGGGTGCTCACCAGCACGGGAATGACCGGGGGCAAAGGTTCCAGTGGCAGGCGTAGGCGGCAGAGCCGCTGAACGAGGGCCGTTACCGACATTGGCCTTGGTAGTGTCGATGTTTGTCTTCAGCGTAGGGTTGAATGAGGGGCTTTTCCTGTGATTCCGGCGGAAACCATTTGCAGACTCGACTGGCGGCGAAGGTGTTCCACTAGGAGGAGAGGCTGACTGCGAATAGTACAATTGAGAGGGATGCGACTCGACGGGAGGGGAGATCTCAGCACGGAACTGAGGCGCCTGCTGGGTTGACGAGTGGTGTTCATATGGCTGAGGTGTAAGATCCTCCTGAGTGCTATTGTCCATGATGTAGCTCTGCTGGCCGGTAAGAGGATTGTAGACGCAGTACAAGCCGGGCTGGCTAGGAACTGGCTGCACAATCGGTTGCACACCCTGCTGGAGCTGCTGCTGGTATAATCCCAGGCCAGGGATGTTTGTGTTCAGCGAGGGCATGGCCTGTTGCATGGCCTGCTGCTGATGAAGCGACATGCCTCCCATGCCTCCGAGGGTGAGACCCTGGAATTGCTGGGCGGCAGCGGTGACGCTGATCAGTTGCTGTTGCAGACGCTGCTGCTGTGCGGCCAGGAAGAGATTGGTCGACATAAGTTCTGCGTACATGTTCTCATCGATACCCGAGTCATCAAACGTGGGAGGAGCGAGCACCTGCTCCGGCATCGTGTACATCGGACGAATTTGATTCTGCTGCTGCTGCGTGTTCATCCCATGGTTCGAAGAGTACCGGTGCTGCGGAAATCCAGCTCCCGTAGCAGTCTGAGGAACCCGATCCATCCCTCGATTGGATCCATGGAAACGTCCAGTGTCCATACCGGCTTGCTGCTGGTGATGCGAGGGAATGGTGGCGGACCTAGGGGCGGTTCGTAGGCCAGCTAGGAGATGCGAGCGGCTGGTGCGCGGGGTCGAAACCGAAGCGGACTGTTGCGATTCGTCGATAGTGGCCACCTGAGGAGGCATACTCAGGCGTTTGATGTGAGAGCCCTTTCCTCTCGAGGCGAAGCCGGAGCCCGGCACCCCGAGGGAAGTGCCATTATTGAAGTTGTTGTTGTAAGTCATTTGAGCAAGACCGCCAGCGTCGATACTCATATTCGTCGAAGAATAGGCGGAAAGTGGGTATGTGCAAAGGCTGTAGCGGATGGGATTGCGTATTCAGTTTCCGTTACAGATCCGCAAGCGCTCGGGATCAACCACGAAGCTTCGAGCTTTTGATTCCCGAATGATTAAGTGATTATGAGGTTAATGGCAAAACGGTCGAACAGTCGAATATCAGAGATATTATTCGAGGGGGTGGATTGTGATGACGGAAGTCGCCAATTCTAAGGCACCCGTCAGTGAATAAGATCCCGGGATTAGGCAGATGGGCTTGCTTACCACAGGTGAAGATATGCAGTGATAGCGAATGACTGGCTCAGTGATGGAGAATGCCGATGCAGGATGCCAATATTATCAAACTGTACAGCAGAGTTGATTTTTCGGAAGTGATTCGGTAACAGTAGCCGAGGGTGCGATTGGGGTGAAAAAAACAGGCGATAGGAAGGTGAAAAGCACCCGAACGGGAATTATGGAAATATAGAAAGGGGGTTTCTCTAGAAGACTAGACGAAGGCGGGCGATGGTGGGAGATGCTCTGCACGTCCCAGACGAAGAAAAAGAGAGAAAAAAGAGTTGACGCGAGGGTGAAGACTCGGCGAGAGCAGCAACGCGGGCAAGAGCACGTCACAAACGAGCCAGAACGAAACGAAGCGATGGAACGTCGAGATCAGATCCAGTCGCGAGCGTGAATAGGCCGTACCTGAGGCACGAGGAATCGAAGGTTGGAGACTCGGGGCTAGACGCGAGGTCTTCAGGGGCGGAACGAATCGGAGAACTATTTGCAAGAGCGGAATTTTTTTAAATTTAGTCTTTTCCCAAACGGTGAGAGCTGCGAATAAAAGAATGCAGACGGGAAAGGAAATAAAAGAAAGAAGTGAAGATTAGAGGAGGGAAGAAAAAGGATGAAGGTGTGAAAGAGAGAGAGCGAGAGTTTGGGATGAGAGAATGGTGTGGGGAATCAATTGGTGCCTTATCAACCAGGCATCCAGGAACAACACTATTCTTGTTCCGGACTAGTGCAGGTCATGGGTTTGGACAATGGCTTTGCCCTTCTCTTTGTCGTCTCGTCGATTCCTTTATTCTGCCTATTTCTTTCAAAACTTCAAAGCTAAGGGAGCTCGGACTGTGGCAAAGCCCTGCGCTAAATTGATCAAAACAAGAGACTTCGAGTGAGCTGAGTGCCCGTCACCATCCAATCAAGCGCCCTATGTGACAAGGGTTCTGGGCTCGTCACATCTCCGTCCATTCAATTGGTTGGGGGCCGCTAGCGCCGCCCCAACGTGGCTGCCATCGTCGCCATCGTCCTCACATCGGCGTCTCACATCGCCCCTAGAGCCGCTGCCCAGAGCGCAGGTACAGCCAATGACCACTTTCTCGCTGAGGCTCTACAAGGCATACTCGGAAACACACTGGGGATCCGCATGTCATCAATGAGGGAGCGTGACCATCGGTCAGATCGGTGTTCGTGGCAGAGCACAACCATTGTAGTTCAGCGTGATTGGGATCTACGATGGGTGCAGCTGATCCTGCGTGTCAGTCAAATCGTGTCGCGCGCGTTACTCGGAGGCTTGCACAATCACCGCGCTTCGATTTACTGGCATTCAGAATAGATTATTGACGTCAAATCGCTTAGACTAGACCCCCCTCTGGGCCGCCGAGACTTCTGAAAGCTTGGATTCATTGCCGTATGTACATGCTGATACAGATGCCCCGTTGAAAAGGGGACAATGGCCCTCTGAGCCTGTACAGCCATCCCAGGACTTGCACAAGTTCCCTCGGTTCGAGTGCGAAACAAAAGTAAGACAGATAATGCACAAATTAATGAACTCAATAAGGGTATCTGCTGGTCAAACACTGCAAAAAGAGGCGTGCCAGATGGAGAAGCAGAGCAGAATGAAAGTCGTTAGAGATACAGCATCAGGTGAGAGTCCCTGGGGCCCCTGGATATCTACTTGTCGGGGACGGGCGCCGCCGACATACAGATATCCACGGGCACACCGGTACCTGAGGGGAGGGTATGTGCTTCATTCTGTAGCTGTCGCTCTGGGTCCGGAGACGCACCCTTACCGTTCATTCGGTCGAATTCGAGGGTCTCTGCCAGCTCGGCCGCCATTGGGTCAAGCTCTTCTTCCTTCAAACCCGTAGCTAGAGCCACGAGTTTGCGGTGCACGTCGAACTTCGTACTCACACCTGCGTCGGCTGTTTGCTGAGCCAGAGCTCTCACCGTGTCGCGGCGCGTCTTCTGGGCAGCACACAGCTCGCGTGCGAGTTGATAGCGATGTAGGAGCTCCTCTGGTCCAATTGCGGACGCATCCGAGGTGGAGGAGACTGGGCCTGAAGCAGCCAGTTGAGGGGAAAGAGCACGTTGGTGTGTTTGCTCGAGTAGAGACTCGTAGCTGGCCCGCAGCTTCTCATATCGCCCCATTTGGCTTTCACTAGGCTCACACTCTGCCTCTTTGGCGGCGAGGACTGAGACTTGCTTCTGGATCTTCTGACGATCCAATTCAAGCTGTTCGAACAGTGCTTCGGGATTGGCAATATCGTTTGAATCTTGCTGTTCTAATTTGGAGTTACCATAAGTTGCCGCAAGCTTCTTGTTGGCCTCGGCCATGATGGAGCCAATCTTTGACAGTAGATCGGACGTTGCAGCAGAATCTACTGGCGGGGCCATAGACTGACGACCCGGTATGAGATCGCCGCCTGCACCATCCAGATGGTCGTTGGCCATGGTGACAGACGACGGGGCCGGCGGGATATCTTGGTCGATATTGTGAGAGCGTTGAAGCATGCTGTTGGCGGTCTCCCCTTTCTTGTTCATCAGGTCGCCAGCCCGAGGGCAATGATTGAGCAACATGTGTACTAGACGGAATGCACCGTTGCGAGCAGCCACCAGAGCCGCAGTGTCGCCATTGTCATCTTGACAGGAAAGCAAAAGATCCATCTCCTCCTGAGAACATGTCTTGCACAATTTGTCCAAAAGAACCTCGCAGTAGTACTTGGAACTCTTCCACTTTCCTTTGCTGCGAGTAGTTTCGGCAATATGATGGAACAGAGTCGCCCCAAACCAATCTCGGAAAGAAATGGTGTCCAGCAGAACATCCAACAGAGCAGGGAAAGTTCGCTTCTCGTAGTTGTTGGTGAACAGAACAGCTCGAACAAGCGGAGTCTCTTCGTGGACTGACAGTGCCTTCACATTGGCGCCCCTACGAAGGAGGTTCTGAACAATGTCCAAGTCACCCATCGCACATGCCCAATGCAAGGCCGTGTTCCCAGAATCATCGATGGGTCGGTCAATTTGAAAATGGGCCGGGGGCTCTGGAGGTTGAATGCGTGTAGCCTGTGGAGCATCGCCCACAGTCATGAAATAGTCTAGAAGCTGATCACCATATATGATGTGCTCCTGCTCACTGATAGACATAACGTTTGCCTCATTCATACCACGTTTGCGCTTACGTCCTCCGTGCTGAGACATCTGCAGCATATCTTCATCAGCAACCATGGACGACGACTCGATCGTCGCTTGTTCGAGGGATTCGTTGTCATCAAATCCCGCAGTCATTTCGTACTGCTCGTGCGGAAAGAGTGGCCGGGGGGCCCATACTTCGCTGCGGTTGAACCACATTGAATATTTCTGTCGCAGCAGAACGATTAGTAGATTTGCGTGGAGCCCTCGGCTTCGAAGCAGCCGACGAGTGTTTCGGGGCTGGCGGGGGGCTGCGATCTCCAGCAACGTATTCGAAGATGGGAGCTAGCTTGTGGAAGATGCTGTTGCGCTCCGCAAGCATCCGGCCCTCTGGTAAAGGAATCCATGTTCCTGAGAATCATGGCTGTGAGCAAATTTTCACTTCATCCACCGTCATCTTCGAGCTTCATACCCTGATATTTGCCGTAACCTCCTTGCACTTTTTCATGCACCCCCTTCTGCACCTCTCGTTCGAGAATACGAGTTCTGGCAGGCTTATCAAAACCGGCTGCCTTCAGAATGTGTGTTGCATTGACCCAGTCATCGCCTCTCCGTCGCATCACACTATCACCATCAATCTTAAATTCGTACACCGGAACCTAGAAAGGCACTATTAGAACATCGCGAATTGGAGACAACAATTGAAAGTCGGACCCCTTGGGACACTAGATGATGGAACAATAGGGTGATAGACATACACTGCTGTAGGTAGCCGAGTAAATATTCTCCATTCCCGCCATGATGAATATCGCCGGGAGTCGATGATTCGGCGCTGGCTACTTGAACCAGCGATGTTACACGCCGTTGGCGCCCGTAAATCCCTCTTGGATTCACAAGTCAATTGAGTGACAAATGCTTCAATGCCTGATACATTGCACGACTGAAATAGAAGGGACACAATTTGAGGTGCAACTTGGGTGACATCTCAGGGACGCGCAGAGAGACGCGATGCCGCGTAAAGTGGATTATGATACGCTAGTCCTCATTTGGGCCAGGTCACGTGCCATGTGCGATCCGATCAAACGTAGGCGGAAACGCTAACCTCGAAGTTCTGCTCGTCGCTCCTCTCTTCCCCGCGCCATTACCCCCCTCAATTCCCGCCAGAATGACTGTTGTCGAGTCGGTCAAGAATGCCGTCGGTCTCGGGGAGACCACTGGTAAGCTTTCCAGCCATTGGATACCCTCAACGCCTGTGACACGAAGCTAAACCCTAGTCTAGCAACCCGCCAGGAAATGTCCGAGGCCCGCCTCCCCCTGCAATACAGAGACTCGTGCGCGCACCTTTTGATCCCTTTGAACCGGTGCCGACAAGCAGAGTACTACCTTCCGTGGAAGTGCGAGGTACGCAATTGAATATCCCGATCATCCGGTCACTCGATGCGTCTTAGACCACTCCATCGGTGCGACCCTTGGCTGATACCAGCTAATTTAAGTTCTATTCAGGATGAGAGACACTCCTACGAGAAGTGCCAGTACGACGAGTTTAAGAAGCGCGTGGCTAAGATGGACGAGCTTCGGGCTGCCAAGGATGGTGCCCGTAGCAACTGAAGCTGCTCTTTGCGTATGTGTTTGCGCAGTCAGGACTGCTGAGCCAGCAGCAGGTTATGTACATAGTCGATATATCGAGACTGCTCATGGACTGCCTTTTGGCGTTGGGATCTTTTACTTTTCATTTTTTTGCATTTTCCGCCGACATGGACAAGCTAGGATATTCGTTGCCTTCTTACCTCGTGACAGCTGACTCCTGACTATCAATCTGATCCTGCAGACGGTGTATCATCTTGGCTCTTCACCCTTCATCCGAGTGAAAGGTACAACCAATTACACAACGGAGCTTTGGAGCTGCTCTGCTCAAGTAGGTACCAATGGATGTGTCAGCATTCAATTCTGACGTGATCCCTGTAGCGAAATGTGTACTCGTGTCGATAGAATGGGCGGCATGCGTAGATCATAACCTATCGTGCAGGGACGCATTGTCGCATTGCTAGAGATGTGGCGTGTTCAACGGAGGGATCGGGTTTGGAGCACGGTATGCGCCCGTGACTCTACAGATATGCCGAATATCATCGCAACAAGCCAGGTTTACATGGCGCGGGGGAAATATAACCGAATCCCGGTGTTTCGACGTGTAGTGGTATAAAACAAGGTAAAAGTAAGCAACGAACTCTTCGGGCGGGATTGCGGATTTGCTTAGAAATCGAGTGGGAACCGATACTTTTCCCTATCGCCTGCCCCGCAGTGTTACGGCCTCTGAAAACTTCAGACAAGAATTGAAGAGAATCACGCGGAACGAGATGTCCGGGCGCGCACTTTCTTCTGTTTAACACTTGGTCCTTTGGCTCATAACTCTCTCTGCCCCGCGATTTGCAGTTGGTCCTCTCGACAACCCCGCCCCATCTACCTCCCTCGGAGCACATTGCGGAGTTGGTCGGCACGGCTCAAGCACAAGCACAATGGGTCTTCTGTGTGTACTTCCTTCTGTTCACGGGTTAGCCCATTCAAAGTACTAATCTTGTTATTCAGGGCCCTTGGAACTGCCTTGGAATGGCCCGAGGCCAAGAAGAAGGCCGACCAGGTTCGCCAGTGGGGCATTGAGGTATGTGCATGGAGGGGCACCGTTGCGGATCGCCTCAAGAGCACATCGGTGGGGCATACAATTGACAGCGGCGCAGCAACTACTGGCAAATTGGCGACGAGCCAGAGGCAAGGAAAGAGATGCTCTGCTCTGGGGTGATGAGGTATGTGGAACTACTCGCCGCCAGAGATACCTCAAGCTCACACTTCATCATGCGTGTAGGTCGAATATCTTGTGGTAGCGTTCGATGACACAGCCAAGAAATCACGGTTATCTCTGGCCCAAGCCGATATTCTCAAGTCCCTTGCGCGGGACGAGGCCCTGTGGAAGTCGGGAGGCAGCAAGAATGGTGACAATGGGGAGCAGTAAGTTGGGCTTTCCGACAAGTATGCTTGCCAGTTTCTGACTTCTATTAGCGAGGAGAGAGGAACCTCCGCACTTCCACCCCGAGTTCGGGCGTTTTATGCTCGAGGCCACACCGGGGAGCCCGTGGGGTATTGGTTTTAAAGATCTATTGAAGGTGGAGTCCAACATGAAGTGGAGGTCAATCGCTCATTTTGATTTGTCTTGGCCGCTACACAATACTGATGCTTTCTTAGACGAGAAATTGCCAAGGCACATATGGCGCCGAATGAGTCTCCCTTGACCCTAACCACATTCCCGCGGTTGGGAACAAAGGATGATTATATTCAGCCATACTACCCTCCTTCGGGACCAGCGCTTCGTTCGCAGTTCGTACCTGATGAGATTGCCAATCCTCATATTCGATTCCCGACATTGGCAGCGAACATCCGGTCTCGGAGAGGTCGCAAGGTGGAGTTGAATGTGCCCGTGTTTAAGGATGTGAATACTCCCTCGCCATTCAAGGATCCTTCTGTGAACTACGACCTTCACATATGGCCCGAGGATGACGATGTTCGCAACGGTGCGGCTAAGGACGATCACGTTTATATGGATGCCATGGCCTTTGGCATGGGCAGTTGTTGCTTGCAGATTACTTTCCAGGCAAAGAATATGACCGAAGGCAGGAAGCTTTATGACCAATTGAGTCCTCTGGGGCCGGTTCTTTTGGCTCTCACTGCCGCCACGCCAATCTACAAGGGATTTCTTGTGGATACCGACGTGCGATGGAATCAGATCAGCAGAGCTGTGGATGATAGAACCCCCCGAAGAACTTGGTGAAATCGTGAGTCTTGTCGAGTCAAGTGATCCTTAATGCATGCTTACTTACATCGTGGTAGCCCCTTAAAAATGATCGGTGGAGGATTCCCAAGTCTCGGTATGCTTCAAACTCGACTTATATCTCTCAAGATCCTCGGCTGCGGAAGGAGTATCTTGATCCGGATCTGGTTGTCGATGAGGATATTAAGAAACGATTAATTGAGGGTGGCATGGACGACGTACTTGCCACACACTTCGCACACCTCTTCATCCGCGACCCGCTAGTCATCTTCTCTGAAGACTTGGAAGAACTCGACCTCGAGAAAGGAGATCATTTCGAGAACCTCCAGTCCACCAATTGGCAGCATATGCGGTTCAAGCCCCCGCCTTCTGGGAGCGACATTGGCTGGCGTGTCGAATTCCGGCCCATGGAGATCCAAATCACAGACTTTGAAAATGCCGCGTTCAGCATCTTCATTGTGCTCATCACCCGCGCAATTCTCAGCTTCGACCTCAACTTCTACATCCCTATTCCCCTGACCACCGAGAACATGGAGACGGCCCATGCTCGCAACGCAGTTCTTGACAAGAAGTTCTACTTCCGTAAGGATCCGTTCCCACGACGAGTGCCCAAGACTCCTCAGCAATCAGCCAACGGCAGTACCTTCTCGTCAAACACCTCTTCGGCCGTCAACACCCCGCCACCTTCTCCTCCCCTTGGCCCTGTCGAGACCGAGTACGAACTGATGAGCATCTCGGATATTATCAATGGCTGTCCTGACGGCTTATTCCCGGGCCTTGTTCCACTTGTGGAGTCGTACCTTGACAGCGTCAACGTGGACGTCGAGACACGATGCTTCCTCGCCAGCTACCTCGACCTCATCCGAAAGCGCGCCGATGGCACTCTCTGGACCGGCGCGCGCTGGATCCGCGAATTTGTTGCCAAACACCCTAGCTACAAGCATGATAGCGTGGTTTCCGAGGAGATTACCTACGACCTCGTCAAAGCCGTTGAAGAGATGACCGCCAAAGAAGGTCGTAATGGCAGTGTCGGGTGGGAGCTCCTACGGGGCAAAAAGAACTAGATAGAATTTAGTTTTGCATCCGCATCTGGGGACATGTAGACCGGGAGATGCAACATCCATTCTTTGAGACCGTAAATGAATCTGCTCACAGTTGTGCTCCCCATAGCGTGTTTAGTTGAATTCCGGAGTCGATTGTTTTACGCATATATATCCTTGCATTTGTTTGTCCTAAATCCAAATTTCTCGTTTCATTGGTTATGTCAGGTGTACCGATATATAGTAAACGTGTACCACTACGGCGAGAGCCGAGATCGAGATGAACAAGGTTATACGAGACCTAACATATACAGAGGGAGTGAGTACAACTACCTCATTACCATTGTGCTTCAGATGGAAAAAGTGGAACTTCAGTAGAAACCTCTCGGGAGTATCCAGGCCAATGCAAGTCGAGTGCTAATTATAAACGGAAAGCAAAGCTCAGCTTTGCCCAACGAGACTTTTGACGAGAGCCTACTCGTTGCAATTCACCAGGGTCTGCTACGTGGATGATAAAACAGGATACATGTCAGTATCCACATAGCCAAAACTAAGATCCATGAATATCATGGGGGATGTCAAATAACTGGAAGACTGATTTATGACTGGTGGCAGGAGCGTCTTACGAGAATGTTAGGACTAAATCATGAGAGTTCATAACTTAACATATTGTCAAATTCGACATCTAAACCCTCGATGGTGTAGTTGGATATCACGTTCGGCTGTAATGGATACATATAACCGAAAGGTCACCGGCTCGATTCCGGTTCGAGGGAACATTTCTTTTTTTCGCCCATCTGTTTTGTACCTTCCACGCCAGTGTTAGCTTTGATCTACGCACTTGATTGTTTGCTTTTTCCATATTTCAGTATCGCAGTGTCCACCTAGAATAGAAATTGACAAATTTGCGCGCTCTTGGCTGCTTGTTCTTCAATGCGGTGTTTCAAAGTGAAACATACGAAGTCAACGAGCTCCAAAGTCCTCTGACTCAACTACTTGGTTTTACCTCTACACATGTGTGGGCCTCTCATAGCTCAAATAGAGACATACTATGAGTCTCAGAACCAGTCCATCTTACCTAGATGCCTTGGCGACCCCCACGGCCGGATAATCCTCGGTGAAGACAACCGCCACCTCCACCGATCCAGGCATTCATCCGCCATCCTTCACGGGCTGTGATGTTACTTCTCCACATTCCAGGCCGGCGGCGCTGGACGGGAAGCCCCCCTAGAGTAAGACGATTGGCTCTGATCTCCGCTTCCCCGTGATACGCAGTGTTTTTATCCAGATTTTGACATCGCCTCATCAGACATATCCTGTTTCCAAAGGCTAATTACGACGTACGGCAATCGTCAACGGCATATCGTGTATCCTTTGTTGTCTACTCGGGACACTCCGTCTCCGGGCTGCAGCAACTTCCTCCCAAAACGAGTGCTGATCGTCCCCTGGTCACCGCGAGGGGCCCTGTCCTTCCCCACATGTGTAGTATCCCCGGATCTGCCCCGTAAACACGAATAATTTCCCCGGATCTGCCCCCGAAACGTGTATATATGCTTCCCGTGGACTCAGAGGAGGGCGGACTAGAGTAGCTTCTCCATTGAATGTCTCTACTGAGAACACCATGCTTGCATCTGCTGTCGGATTCCTCGCTATATGGGGAGTGGCATATGCCGCTCCTAGGCAATCGCCTCCCACCGTCACGATTCGCAATGGCACCTACACTGGTGTCTATAGCCCCGGGTACGATCAGGACTTCTTCCTGGGTATGCCTTATGCCCAGCAGCCTGTCGGAAACCTGCGCTTTACAGTGCCACAGTCATTGAACGAGAGCTGGAGCGGGGCGCGTGATGCGAAACAATATTCTGATATCTGCGTGGGCTATGGAGTGCGTACCTCATCATTGTCTTTCTCTGTTTATTCTTGTTCGCATTGAATTGGGATGCTGCCCCACTTCACCGCATCCTTGCCTCAGCCTCCATGATATCTAGATCCATAGCTTCATCTCTAGAATCAATCATCTATCATATCTCTCATCATTCATCTTCCATCTTCACAGGTTATGAGCCCTCTGCTCTGTTGAGGCTGTTTAACCACAGTCCAACACCCCTCACCAGTGCTTTTCACCTCGCCGTCGCCGACCTCGCCGCCGCGAGTGTCGTGCGAAGGCCTTTTGTCATTTAACGACCTCGACCAGAGGCATTTTCCATCAAAGACCTTCATTCAGGCACCTTCTCCGGTCTCTCTTGCATCTCTCTGTCGCCACCATGGCTACGGACGACTACGGCAAGATCACCGACCGTGTGGGGAAGCTAAAAGGCTCCCAAAACTATTCCAACTGGCTATTCAAACTCAAGCGAGCTCTTAAGTCTCGCGGTGTACGCCACTGGGAGATCCTTATCGGTGAGGATCGTCCCCAATTCACTTCTCATCGCACTGTCCCCAGCGAGCGCACGCTTCGTGAGCATATCGCAAAGGAACACAATGACAGGGCGTTGCGTGAGCATCGACGACGACCACGCTCTCTTTCAGGCTCTCATAAGGATGATGAGCCGCCGGCCACCATCTTCCCTGACATACTGTCTGTTCAGGAGCTTGAGGACTTCATTCATGAGCATTACGATGAGCCAAACAAGGAATTTCAAGAGTGGGAAGCTCTTATGTTCACAGTCCTTGACATCTTCGTCTCTTGCCTCGATTACGACCCAATGCAGCATGTCAAACAGACTAAAGATACTTCTGAAGCCTTCAGAATTATTGAAAAGCTGTACGGCCGCCCCACACAACAGACTATTGCCACTAAGTGGGCAAAGCTTGAGTCTACCGTCTATAAACTAGGCCTGCAAAGCGCACAGTTTATGGCAAACTGGCAGCGTGCCTACGTGGAAGTGGACCAAGCACTGGGCGACGAGTATCTTCCTGTCGCTATTCAATTCTCTATGTTCGTCCGTGCCGTGGGCTTTCACCCTGATACTACGGTTTGGCTTCAGGGCACCCAGAAATTCGACCTCAAGGACGACAGACTCATGGAGAACGTCTTCGCTGACTTCGGCACTGCTGAGGACCAGCGCTATAATAGCACTAAGCAACATCTTACCCTTTCTTCTAACACTACGAAGAAAGGTGCTTAGCAGCAGTCCTCACAGTAATAGACTTCTCGGCAGTCCTCTTAGCAGTCTGGTCACCAACAGAAAGACTATTCGGGCCGACAGCAAGGTTATCAAGCTTCGCAGACTTCCAACAATTAGGGGGGGTAGCCGAAGTAAGTGGTTTTGCACCTTCCATAACAGAAAGTCGGCATATTCCTCCGAGCAATGCTTCCTTAATCCCGTAAACGCTGGCAAGTCCTTCAATAAGGGCACCACCACGGCCAAGGCGACTGTGGAGCTTCTAATAAGCCCTGAGGATATGTTTATTAACACTGCCAATGTCCAGATCGATTCTATCGATATCTCCACAATCTCCACGGCGAATGCTAGTCTCAATCCACTTCGTTAGATGCTAGATTCGGGCGCTTCACACTATATAACGCCAAACCGTCACGCTTTCATCGAATATTCCCTATGCAGAGTCCCCGTGAAGGCTGCAAATGGGAAACGCTTCTATACTCAGGGCCTAGGCACCGTCAATCTGACCACGCTCGGCAAGGACGGCCAGATCATCAGTTCTATTATCTTGAAGAACGTCTGGCACGCCGAGGACCTCGAGAATTCCCTCATATCGTGTCGCACCATGTTCCGCGACGATGGCATTGCCTGCACGCTCTCTGACTATGCAACCCTTACAAAGGTTAGCTCCGGTGAGGTCGTGGGCTATGGAGACGCCGACAATGATCTTTACTGGTTGCGAACTGATTCGAAGCACCAATTGGAGACCTTCTATGCTTCCGCAACCTTCACGACGTCCGCCACGGCTTCAGTGGTGCGAGCCATGCCTATGGAGGTTAAACCTATCTCTATGGACCTCGCACATCGACGTTTCTGTCATGCAGGCGAGCAGCGCGTTCGCCGCATGCCTGCCTTCGCGGAAGGCATCAAATTGATCAAAGGCTCCGCCCTGAAGACTCCATGTCCTCCATGCCTCGCTGGCAAAGGTCACCAACTTCCGTATGGCGACAACAAATCCATCCGCGTCCGTCCAGGCGACTCTCTGCATATTGACGTCTGGGGACCTATTTCCATTGCCACCAAGGAAGGCGAGACCTATTTTATGTCTATCACCGATGAGGCGTCCCGTTTCTGCTGGATCTTCCTTATGAAGGCCCGTACGGACGTCGTCAAATGCTACCAGGTCGTCGAAAGCTACCTTCTTACCCAGTTTGGCTACCAAGTTAAGTCAGTGCATGGAGATTGGGCCAAGGAATTTATCGGTCCATTGCAAGCCTATCTTAAGTCCAAGGGGACTACCTGGGATGCCTCACCGCCGTATGCCTATCAATTGAATGGCATCTCCGAGATCAAAAACCGCTGGCTCGTCGAACCACTTGTTGCGGTGCTCACCGAGCACCAGCTGCCGCGATATCTATGGGGAGAACTCATTCAGGGCGTCAACTACACCCTTAACCGTCTATGGCATTCCAAGATAGAAATGACTCCGTACGAGGCACTGCATGGACGTTAACCCAACGTTTCCAACCTTCGTGCCTTAGGCTATCAAGCCTGGTATCTCATTCCCTCGCAGCGCCGTGAAACCAAGCTTCATCCACACATGGCCGAAGCCCGCCTGCTTGCTTACCAGACCGATGGTATTTACCGTCTGTATGACATCAAAACCAAGAAGATCGTCATCTCTCGCGATGTCATCTTCCAGGAATTGCCACCCACTGATCTGCCGAAGCCGTCGTATGATCTGGATGCAATCCACAAGCCCTCGCCTGATCAGGCTATGAATATGGACGAGATGGAGCGCCAGCGACGTCGCTTCGCCCCTGCTGAGTTTCTTCCATTTGCCGACGATTATCATACTGACCAAACCTTCGATATCGACCAAATTGAAGGCTTCGCGGAACACTAGGACGATGAATTCATTGACTATGCTGACACTTTTCGCCGAAATAAGGCTAGATATTCCCCTCCCGCAAGCCCTCGCGACCGTCCTTCTAGTGCTCCCGAGCTTAATCCTTACCTCCCACCAATCAGCGATAGTCTTTTCAGACACCTTCAACACAGACATAAAGGAGTGGAGGCACAAATTGAAGGGGGGGGGTGTACGGGATTTGCAGGCACCACCACCTATTCCCGTACGGGTGGGCTTAGATGTGAATGATAAGGCCTTAGATACTGTATCCTTTAGTCCTACATCGACCCTTCATGATCAGGATAAAGTGTCTTTGCACCCGTCGGACCCTGATTCCACAGGCCATTTCACCAGTCGTTCCACCCCATCCGGATGTTTTTATTCGACGGTCGGAACGCCTTGCAGCGAAGCATACCCTTAAAACTCATGAGCTTTAGGTAGAAGAATCTTCTATCCTCATAGCGCATACCGTCCTTCCTGCGGTCGATGAGTTATTGCCCTCTCGCCCCGGCGACCCTTACACCCCGGACACCTGGACTGAGGCCATGGCTTGCCCCGACAAGGCTAAATGGCTTCAGGCTACACACAAGGAATTAAAAAATCATACAGACAATGGAACATGGCGCATCATCGACCGCGAACGCAACAGAAAGCCCCTCACCTTACGCTGGGTCTTCCGCATCAAGGATGACGGCACATACAAGGCTAGGTTGGTGGTTCGTGGCTTCCAACAAGTTCCAGGCCGGGATTTCCTCGATGTCTACGCCGTCACTGCCCGTCCTATGAGCTTCAAGGTCTTCATGGCTTTGTATGCAGCTTATTCATGGGATTGCCATCATGTTGATATCGTGGCTGCATTTCTCAATGCAGACCTGAAGGAGTCTATTCAAATTGAACTTCCTGAGATTGTGAAGGACGACCACCCAGGCAAAGTTGGTCTTCTTATGCGTAGCCTTTACGGCCTGCGCCAGGCTCCTCTTGAGTGGTATAACACCCTCAAAGGCGTTCTTCTATCTCTTGGCTTCACGCGCACCCATGCTGACTATTCTGTTTTCACCCATACGGGCAAACGCATACATATCCTCGTCCATGTGGACGATATGCTTCTTCTGTCCCCAAAGGGGACTGGTTCCATTGAGCTACTCAAGGTTGTCCTTTCGAAGCACTTCCAGCTCACGGACAATGGTATTGTGAAACGTTTCCTGGCAATAGATATCGTGCACCTCGCCGGCGACGTCTATCTCTCGCAGGAAGCCTACATCGACAAGATTCTGTCTCGCTTCACCTTTTCTTCTGTCAAACCTATTCAGACGCCTTTCAACGATAAAGAGGTTCTTTCCCCTTACGATTCCGGTGCTCAGGCTACCCCACAGATGGTACAGCTTTACCAGGAGCAAGTCGGCTCGCTCGTGTGGGTGGTGGTGTCCACTAGGCCTGACGTCTCTTGGGCAGTCTGTAAGCTTACGAAATATTCACATAATCCGTCTTCTCTGCACTTCCAGGCTGTCAAACGAGTCTACCGTTATCTGAAAGGCACCAAAAGTCTATGCCTTCATTTTTCCCACCATCCTGCGGTTGGTCTAGCCTTATTCGCCTACGTGGATGCCTCATGGGCAAGCCCGCACGACGATAATCGGCTCTCGACCACCGGCTACGTCTTCATACTAGCCGGCGCCGCAATCATCTGGCAATCAAAGAGGCAAACCCTTATCACCCTCTCTTCCACGGAGGCTGAATACGTTGCGGCATGCCTTTGTTACCAAGATCTATCCTGGATTCAGCTCATGCTTACCGAACTGGGCCATCAAGCCCTCGTTCCAAGGCCGACTGTCATTTATAAGGATAATCAGGGCACCATTGCCCTCGTATCTTCGGACAAATTCACCACCCGCTCCAAGCACATCGATGTCAAATATCATTATGTGCGGGAGAAGGCTGCATCCAATGATTGCCTCTTTCAGTACGTCCCCACCGCAGAGCAGGCTGCTGATAGCCTCACCAAACCACTTCCAATGACCCTTTTTCAGCGGTTTGTGAAGCAATTGGGTTTGGCATCTATTCCACAGCATACCTGACACTTTTACATGCTTACACACGCTTCAACATTAATATTCCAACCACATTTTGATTCGACCAATGGGAGAGGCGCATTTCTATTGAAAATAGCCCCAGGAAGCTTCTTGTCTCTCATGGAGCCCGCTCGGCGCGAGGGGGGTGTTCGCATTGAATTGGGATGCTGCCCCACTTCACCGCATCCTTGCCTCAGCCTCCATGATATCTAGATCCATAGCTTCATCTCTAGAATCAATCATCTATCATATCTCTCATCATTCATCTTCCATCTTCACAATTCTAATTGGAGTAGACGGATTCTATCTGGTATCCCCAGTCTGAGGCTTGCTTGACTATCAATGTCATCCGCAGCTCGTCTGTCTCCAAGAAATCAAAGCTCCCAGTGGGAGTTTGGATCCATGGAGGTGGTTTCTACGAAGGCTCAGGATCGGACGAGCGATATAACATGTCGGCGATAGTGGAGAATGCCGAGAAAATTGGTATGTACAGATGTGAGTGCAACTCTTGTGTATAGTGATTCTGAACCATTCAGGTAAACCCTTTATCGCCGTCAGTCTCAACTATAGACTCTCAGCCTGGGGCTTCATTAGTTCGAGCCAGGTCTGGGGTAGTGGAAACACGAACCTTGGACTGAGAGATCAGAGACTGGCCCTTGAATGGGTGCAGGAGAATATCGCTGCTTTTGGTGGTGATCCTACTAAGGTTACCATCTGGGGTGAATCTGCCGGAGCCATGTCAGTTGGCTATCATCTGACAGCATATGGAGGCCGAGATGACAAGCTATTCCGAGGGGCAATCATGGAATCGGGCGGGTCTATCGCTGCTATTCCCTCCAACTATACTACGTTCCAGGCCACCTACGATGAATTGGTATCAAAAGTGGATTGTGCTGACGAAGTGGATACACTGCAATGTCTGCGTGAAGTTCCTTTCGAGACTCTTAATTCGGTTTTAAATGGCACCGATGGCTCCTCCGACTATAACTTCATGCCGGTGGTAGATGGGGACTTTATTCGGAATTGGGGCAGTATCCAACTGAACAGGCACGAGTTCGTCAAGGTTCCTATTCTCGCTGGCACGAACACAGATGAAGGCACTGCCTTTGGACCAACCGGAATTAATACTACGGAGCAGTGGTATGAATACTTGACTGGTAAGGTCAGTGCAACGATAAAAGCACCGCAACGGCTAATCACAGGAGTATTTCCTAGATGGTGGATTCGACTTCCAGACACCCCCATCTGTTGCAAAGGAGATCCTCAAATTATATCCCGACGATCCGGCTCTGGGGATCCCAGAATTCCTCGGCGACGAGCGTATCCCATCACAGGGCTACGAATGGCGACGGACATCCGCGTTCGCAGGAGACTTTACCATGCACGCGAACCGCCGACGCCAGTGTGAAGCCTGGTCGGAAACATCTACACCGGCATACTGCTACAGATTCAATGTACACGCAGCCGACGTGCCACTCCTCGTGGGAGCAACCCACTTTGAGGAAGTTTCCTTTGTATTTCACAATATTGCTGGGCAAGGTTATCACTACGGGAAACCCTTCGCCGGCGTGACGCAGTCATACATTGATATCAGCACTATGATGACCAGCATGTGGGCATCCTTCATCCACGACCTTGACCCGAACACGGGGGTGGTGAATAAGTCGGTGCACTGGGAGGCATACGGAACGAATATGCCCGTCGACCTGTTCTTGGATGCCAATACGACTAGCCACATGGAGGCGGATACCTGGCGCAAAGAAGGCATTGATTACATCATGAATAACGCAAAGGCCTTCTGGAGATAAGCAGACTTTCGCAATATACTTGGAAACTATGTACACGAAGCTGCTTGTCTAATTTTTTTTTTTTTAATATACGAGCCTTTTGAATGTTTACCAGCGGTCTGCCCATGTGGCCACCATCCATAGATTACAGTTTCCAGGCCCGACAATCCATGATGATTAATTTAGAAAGCGGAGACCAACGTGCTCGATAAGCGATTGTTAATCTATTGTCTCAATCTTGGGACTTTCGATCCCGCTAAGTGTATCGATAATTCCCAAAGTTCGCTAGTCGACCCACAGCATCTCACACCAGCCATCTGAGACCCTAATATCGAGATATGATTTAGCAGAAACGATGTAGGAAACTAATCTAAAACATAATTAAGGCTAGTTCCGGTTTAGAGCCCAATTCAGATGACGCCACCAAATCCCGATATCGGCTCCGACGGCTCCGAGAGGACGTTCTAGACTTAGGCTCGTGGAAGAATCTCGGCGATGACTTCTCCTGAGCCATGGACTTGTAAATCGGACCCAAATTATGACGAAGCTCGAGAAGTTACCGTGTTGAGCTTCTTGCGGATACTCGATCGGAAGCCTAGCGATCAAGATCGTGCGCGTGGGGCGGTCGCGCACAAGTTGCTCCCGTGGGAGAGCCCCATTCCCGAGGCAGTAAATTCAATAATACTTTCTCAGACTGTCCCACTTTGTCGACCATTGAATCTACCCGCACAACCTATATTCGGATATTAGAAATCCAGTAGCCTGGAATTCCACCTTTGAGTGTGTACATCCACCTCGAAACGCAACTCGTGCACGCGCAGAAGGTGGACACCCCCCCGGTCCCTCTTAGGAAAGATGAACGCGATGAGTGGATGGATCGAAGTTCCTCGTTAAAACAAAGGCGCTTATTGAGTGGGGCATAAAAGTCACGAACTGCTTTCGGTTGTTTTCTCCGCGGGCAATCGATTCTATGCAGCGCCCGAAGGAACCTGACTCGCAGACATCCGGGGGCTCGGGAAGTGACGTGGCCTTTACAATGGAAATGAAAAGCCCAATCTGATTCTCAGAAGGCTAAGAAAAGTCTCACCGCTCGAACAGGCAACCGGTGCGTCTGGGTTGCAAAAGGCAACACAGGTGCACCTGAAATCCCACGTCACCTAATGAGGGCTGGAAGGAGTAAGGATCAACTCGAAATCATGCAGAGGGCAGATCAGATCACGAGAATAGGCCGTGTAACCGTGAAATCGAAGATCACAGTGGTATAAGGGGGGAAATCATGCATGACGCATGCCATGGGGGAAGAAGATCTCGGTGCATCTTCCCGCGATCTTGCAGGTCTAGAGCGAGCTGGTACCATGGGACGCCTAAGAGACGGTGAGTATTGAGAGTGTACAAGGGGAGTATCCTCCATGCCCCCTTTCTGACTCTGTGCCTCTTGTGCCTCTGTGACCGAGTGTAACATGTGCACGTACCAATCTTACCAGAGGCACCCCGTTACCCATACGTCCAACGGGGCTCGTACAATCCCTGAGAATACTGAAAATCTCAACTCAAATAGTCGACCCAAGCCAGCGGCTCCTCCACACCGATTCCCGCGGACATCGGGCCCCAGTCTTCAGGTCTTTGGTTCAATGACGACCCACCGTCCTCAGCCGCCGCTAGTGAAGATGATCAGGAATGCTAGGGAGGAAAAGAAAAAGCGACTATTCCTTCTTGAGGAACAAAAGGGGGAGAAAAAGGTCACACAGTTCTGATCGGGAGGCATTTGTGATTCCCCATGAAGTAGAATGAGGTCCGGTATGGTTGCGGATAGAGCTGCTGCCGAACCCTAAAGTAGTTCGACGAGATCGAAGCAATAGAACACACCACACAGATAACGCAGAGAAGGGCCACAGAACACATAGAGAAGATCCACACCTACGGAATAGTGCGGAAGGCCCGAGAGCGCGGTAAAATACTGATCGACCGATCGTGGCCGTGGCCTTTTCATAGGTAGACCTCGGTGTTTGGTAAGCTTTACCAATTTACCAATTTACCAAGTATGAAGCCACAGCCACCAAGACTCCTGTAGCCCGAACCCGGGACGTTCCCCGATCCCCGATCTGAGCCAAATTTGAAAATGAACTATACAGGATATCCAGGGGACCCCTCGGGTTCCTCTTTCGGGTTCCTAGTCACAGTATAGTCGATTCTCGATCCTGTTTTGGGAAGACCGGTGGTGCGCCACAGGGGATGATCGGACATGCGAGAACCACGCCAGTGGAGATTGGAGCGTAAGTTCTTCGGCAATGCTCGCGAGCCACTGACACCGGGCATCGAATGAGAGTTCAGTAGTCCCCTGCTCTTTGATTTGCGCCCGCGTCCAGGAACATACTACCGGAGCTTAGACGCCACTGGCCCCGTTTCGCCTTCACGGTCGCAACGAGACACGATCGGACTTCGCCGTTGTCTCTGATTCTTTCTTGGGCCGCAATGTCGAGTTTTTTTTTTTCTTCGGAAGGACTACCGTTCGGGGGGCGGGTATCGGGTTAGGTGGCGTTCAAATCGCGATCTCGGCCGGCGCCCGGATGTTGGAACGCGATGCGCGATCTGACTAGAAAGATCTACCAACCTCGACTGGGAGTCAAATTTCATAGCCAGGACCAGAATCCTATCTTGTAGTATCTGACGAGGAGTAACGATTTTTGGCTTACGCTGATCGTGCATGCGGGTTCTCATCTATTCGTTCCTTGGCATTTTTTTTTTTTGCCTCTTCTTTTCTTATTCGCTGCCAAATCATTCCTTCAGGCGAGTGAATAATTAGTAATTAGACAAGAGGCTATGACATGATGGGTGTTCACAATTCTTATTGGAAAGCTTACAGCACAAGCCCGGTCGGGGTTTGAACGGTGTACGGTCAACACATGACCTACAGTAGGGTGTTATGATCTCCACAGGGATGTGAGGCTAGAGAATTGTCCGCCCTGATTGGGGTACTGGATCTGATCTGGCAGTCATATTGGTTACACGAATCGTGTGATCGAAACCATTGGACTCGATCCTGTTATGGTACACGGTATGAAAATGGTCATGTACCCGACTCCGTGGACGCCTAAGGAAGTATGTCTTCTGTGTTGGTACTCAATCCGAGCCTTGCGGGAGCCGAGGTACAGAAAGTCAACGTGAAAAATACCCACGCGTGAACTCCGAGTATCTATGCGCTGTCGCGAAGGCTCAAAAAAACCACCTCGGTAATTTCAAACATTACAAATACTGCAATGGATCGCGATCGCTGCATATATCCCTGCTAGCGGCACTTGGGCGATCCTTCAGTTCCCCTGTATCCCGTACTCCGCTTGTCGTTCACCGTTCTTTCAACTGGAGGTAATGTAAGAAAAAAAAATAAAAAATAAAAAAAATAAACCTCGCAGATCGATTACCCAATGAATGGACACCGATCTCTCCGGGCAGGGGGTTCTTTCTGGGGACTACAGTAGGCTTGCTGTCATCCCCATGACAAATCCTGAGACGCGCCACACGCCCATAATTTGGATTAGCGGGGTGGCTCCCGTTCCTCAGGCGGTCTGGAATATCTTTCTTTGATTTTTCTCATTATTTTTTTTTTCCATTAATTCTGAATTCTGTAATTTTGGCGTTGGGGTCTGGTGGAGGCGTTGGAAGTATTTGAGATTCTGTCCGTAGATCGATCGCGGGTGGCCGGGGCCTCCCTGCGATCTCTTCCTTACGGAGATCTTCACTTTTCCAGCACCCGAGTCTAGTATGCGTCTATCGGCTATGCGAGGAGGCCGTGAAAACTATTTGACACTCCAAGGTTTTGAGTTTATGTATCTCCGATGTCTGTTCTCTGGGGTTTAGAGTAGGCCGCCTTCCTCATAGGACATAGCACAACTCCCGTACTCTGTACTCCGCCCTTCCGCGAGCCGTGCAGTCTATCACATAAACGGAAACAGATGATCGCCGCCTAAAGGAATTTACTTTCAAAGCTGTCATGGCGAGGCCACTTCTACAATAGTCGAAAGTCGACGGTAAGCGAACATTCGAGAATCCATATTTTGACAGGCGGTATAGTTGCAGTGCCTCGCTCATAGTTCGGGTGAACCAAACATTCAAGCTCGGCCGCCAGATGACTTCATAACCGGACGAAAAGCTAGGCCGAATCAACTCAAATCCCTCGTGGCAACCATACTTGCTCCTTTGGGCGAACATCGGACCTTATCTCGATTTTCATTCTTGTTGGATCGGTAACATGCAATCCAGATTCATATTGCCACCGGCACAAAGATTTCCAGATGTCAGATGTCAGATGTTAGATCGTGATTTGATTCTCTTCGTACAACGGTAAAGAAAAAAGCAACATTCATCCAATGTAGGTCGTATGCTGGGAGAACCAAGATCGTACACACATCACAACGCAAAATACTCAAACACGCGCAGAGAGAGGCTCGGAGACACATGCAGGGTATAAAAAAACAGTCTTGAAAAAAAAAAAAATCAGGCTCATCCGGTCCGAGACAAAATAAAATGAGGGTAAAATCTATGCTTTGAAGCCGGGCTCCCAACGCTGCGAGGGTATTATATAAGGGCACCAATTAGGAAGGTCCAAAAAAAGACACAAGATCAACGAAAAGAAAAATGGAAGAAGAAACAGAGATGCCCGGGCCCAACGAGTGAATGAACGGAACACACACGTTATCCGGAAATGATCAAAGAATAATGGCCACTGAACTCCTTTTTGCCTCCTGGTTCTATTTCCCGCCTTGTTCCAACGCCACATGAGAAAATAAAGTAGCAGAGAAAACCAATTTCAATGACTGGTTGGCGATGCGGAGTCAAGGTTCTTGGGCTTTAGATTCGATCCCAGGGTCGCCGCTTTGTTCGCGCCCATTTTTCGTGTTAGCTTGGCGTAGTGAAGCCCGCACGCGTTACACAGCGTTCGGGCACCATCTGGACCCCGACGCCATTCCGGTGTTTCGGCTCGGTTACAGCTGTGGCAACGACCAGGAGGGGCCGCCTTCTGCAAAGAAGAACATGTGGTCAGCCACTGACAGCTCAAAAAATGAAGAAGACGTGGAGTATAGGACTGAAGTCAACCATGGTGACAAGTGACAGCTTCGGGGAGTAAACGGGCAAAAAGAAGCAAAAGATCAAATTAGAACAGGGGCAATGGTCACTTACTCCACGCCGTTTTTTCGAGTCCGCCCCGGCAAATCCACCTGTACCTTTGAATTCTTCTTGATACATGGCCATGTGCTCGTCTTCTCCGGGCTTGTAGGCCTTGCGTTGTGCCAGCTGTTCCGCTAGAGCTTGTTCTTGGTTGACGACCGCCGTCCGTATCCGGATGAGTGCATCTTGGTTCCGACGCTGCATATGGAGCATGTCCTCCACTTCCCCGAGAGAGGGCAGAGACCCTAAGACCGGGCCAGACCGTTGTGTCTGGTGTGCACGAGCAGCGTAGTGCCGTGAAAAGTCAAGTGTTCGGGTGCTCATCTCCGAGATCTGTGCCAATGATGTAGAAAAAGCTGTCAGCCCACCCGTTCTCAAATTTCACAGGTCTTGACACCAAAATCACACTCAGTTGATCGACAGAAAGCAATTTTCCATGTTTCTCGCCCGCTGGCTGACGTGGGGAAAGGAAAGGAAAAAAAAGAAAAGCAACCGAGGAAAATTCATACCTCATTCAGAGATGTCTCCACATCGTACACGTCCAAATGTCGTTTTACCGAATCGCTATGTGGCTGACCAGGAATCGAGCGACCCACGAATCCACCCTTGACCTCTTCCACGCGTGGTGCACCCATGTATCGGTTATCATAGGGTGCCGGAGGAGTATGACGTGCCGTTCGGCGGCTGAGGGTAGGAATAGTTGGGAGGGAAATGTGTGTAGCCATTGGGGGAGGCGACGCTGCCGGCGGATGGCGGCGCGCTGTACTCATAACCGGAGGAATTTTGGGAGCCTGTCACCGAGGTAATGCCGGTTTTGGCGCTCTGGGTCGGTGACTTGCCGGTGCTGAGGGAGTGGAGCGACGGGTTCCGTGAATCGGTCGTGTTGATCGAGGCTAGACTGTTGCGCGAGGCCTCAGTCTGGAGTTGATTCTGGTGGGGGTAGCCCGCTTCCCGCAGCAGGGAGCCCGAAGCAGGACCATTAGAGAAAGGGTTGGGGGGCCCTGACGGGCCTTCCGCGGAGCGCCCGACCAGATGTGATGGCGGTGCAGCGTGACCAGGTTGTGATTGAGGAGCGGAGGTGGGAGCGGGATAAGGAAGGTCGAGGGCCTCGTGAATGGATGGGAGGGATTGGCGGGGTGTGGCCTTGTCTTTTTCATCCTCGATGACCCGGCGCGACTCTGGCGGTGAAATGTAACCGGGTTGGGGTGCGGCGTTGGTCGCGGGCGCGTAGGAGTAGGGTGATTGTTGACCGGAATACATGCTGGAGGAGTGGAGGGGGATGATGGGCGATGAGATGGGGTGTTTGAATCCCGAGTCCTTGCCTCTGAAACCACCGAGGGCGGGCAAAGGGTCTCTGTCGCGAAAGTCAGCATTGTCGTTCAGACCGATGAGCAAGCCAAACCAACCTGTGCCTTGGTGCGGCTTCCAAAGACCCCATCACGTACTTTGCTAGAAGATTGGGTTGCGTGTCACAACAGAGCAGTCCTCATCGACCGAGTATGCAGTGCCTTGGAACTTGGGAATCTGGGTCGGTGGGAAGGATGTCAGGTGGAGGGGGGGAAAGCGAGTGAAGAAATAGTCGCGTTGGCAGCGATCCGATCTCAAAAAGAAAAGCCAAGCAGCGAGATTTCCCCAGTTCGTGCGAGTGCCGGAAAGATCGGAGAGATGCGAAGTTCACGTAGGAGGGAACCGAGATCCTCGTGAACCGAAGTTGAGTGTGGCGCGGGTCTGCGATCGGGCGAGAGAGAGAAAAAGTATACTACTCCTTTTTCTCTACCACTGTTTTCTATCGGGAGGTAGCGAGTCTTCTAAGTCGGGTCCGAAGTGTCAGGAAACAATGATAATGACAGATAAAAAAATAATAAAAATCAAAAATCAGTCCAAAGGATCCTAGATAGATCGTGATGGGCAAGTGATGCAAGGGATGTTGGACGGGTCGAATTGTAACGTGGAGGGGGGAATGTCCAGGGAATGCAAATCCAAATATGAGGCGCCAAAAAAGATGCACGAGGTGGAATGGAGAGTTAAATAAAGTCAGATTTCGATCCAGCGATCGATATATGAGCGAGACAGAAAGAGGGGGGGGAAGGAAAGCCAAAAGGACAGGGGATCGAGGCTACTTCGTTTCGGGCCTCAGATTGGAATGAACGAGTGGGTAAGGTATCATACAGTAAAAGGAAGTTTAAAATAAAGAGAATTATAAAGGAATATTAGAAAAAGTAAAAAAAATACCAAACGGGAAAAATGGAAAATAGAGGATAATCTAAAATTGAAAATAGAAATAAAAAAAAAATAAAATCCAAAATATCGGAGGAATCAAGTGGATCGATGAGAAGCGGGTACCCCGAGTAGAAGGGCAGTGGAAGTCCCAAGTGGGAAAGGGAGAGACCTACGGTAACTTAGTAACCATCGGTATAGGGAGGCCACTGGGTAACTTCAAAGGCCAAGTCACTCAGGTCAAGGTGACTCGGGAGGTCAGATACCAAGAAATTCGAGATCGGTCATGACCCCGTTTTTCTTGGAGAGGCAAATTACAATACTGGCGAACTGCGGATCGGTGGAGATGGCAATAGTACCTATCGTGTTGACTCGTCCCTAGTTGCCAAGGTGCCTTCCTAGGCTACGGAGTAGCCTAGGTGTAGGTACAGGTGTAGATGTAGATGTAGATGTAGGTGTAGGGGTAGGTGTGTGTAGGCAGCCTGGCCTACTCCCATCCTATCCTACTTATTGTAGGTGTCTCTTCACCTTAGTACGACCTTGCGCAGGAACACCGGCGTACAGGTACACCGGTGCAACGATACTCCTGGACTCGACGGTCAAATCGATTCTCTCAGGCTACCACGCGCAATCACTGATTCCTCACTCGCTCCATAGCTGTCACGTGGAGATCTCGATTCCGGCCTCGGGCGCCAAGTGTGTTCAGATCTCGTTTCCCACGGATCGATGTTGCGGGTACTGTTCCAGGGCTCCCGACTGAGGGCTCGGTGTCAGGAGCATAGTACCTATAGTACGTGTACACCATACCGACTCGGGTGCCTGGATAAGCAGATCTAGCCACGACATGCCCTCAAGATCTGAGGAATGGAGGGGGGGGGGGGGTAAAGAAGCCACTGTCACACAACCCATCCGTATTAGAACCGCAACTGGATCAATGCCGGGAATCCAATGAAAGAATTATTGGTACAGCTTTCCGATCTCCCGTGGCTGAACATGTTTTACTGTCGCGATCAACCACCATCGATCGCCCACTGAGGCACCCGACGTCACCAAACACCAGGGCATCGAATGGACGGCGCACACTTCCCCCCTACAGCAGAGACTCCGACATTCAGCCCACCTCGCATGGCACAAGCTTTGGATCGAGATCGGACTACACCAAAAAGGCTATTGGCTTGATCGCAACGCCATCTCGGCTCTTGCGAAGGTAAATGGGGAAGAGCCCGGTGACGTAGCATGATTGAAGGTCATCGTCCGTCTGTCCTTGCCGGTTCGGGTTTCGCGTACCTTCTGTGCCGTCTCTAGCACATGGCAAACAATAGGCAAAATATGGAAATATGAAAACATGGATTTGTTCCTTTGTTGTTCCCTGAAGCTGACCGGACAATTCATGGCCATCTTCTTTCGCTTTGGCCCCCTTCCAGACTTTCTGACCACTATGTCACCTCCCATGCGATTCGTGCTATTTTTCCGCGAGTTTTCCCCGCCCCCCCCACCCCTTTGCCCCCTTCACCCTTGATCCCAGTCTGAATGATCTGGGAAGATACCGGGTCTACGGTACCTCCGCCAGCCTCGCATGAGAATCTCATCACACGTTAGTTGAGAGAGGGGGGGCGTCTGCGCACAGACGGGACCCATAGCGGGTTCATGGCTCCTAACGGTCGGCCCTGAACCGACTAGTCGCAGGGCCCAAACGTTACAAACTTTCTCTCAAGATCTTCCTGGATCTTGGTTCGACCCTGGACATCCGCTCTCTAACTTTGATCTCAGTACGATGACTCGATTCGATCCAATGGTTCGTGGCACGTATTGTATCTGCAGTCGGTATGCAAATGAGGCGACCTCCTGTTCGGATCGGATCGTCGAAACACGGGGGCTCGATCCAACGCGAAGAATCGATCTACATGACTGCATCGCAGCCGAGCCAGCGCACCACCCAGATCGCAGCGTTTCAGCCACCGAGCGATGCGTTCTGTGCGCCTGAGATTTGAGATTCGGATCCGGTGCATGCACGGTAGGTCACCTCGTTGGAATCTGCTCCACTGCATGTGCGCAGAGTTTGAACTGTCTCCAAAATCTCTTTGCATGTTGGCCCGGCTTCCGCCGCAGGTGCGCAGAGTCGAGAGATGCTTTCGATCTGAACTATCGCAATCGTGGCCGGTCGCAGATGCAATACGCTGTACTGAGGGATCCGGTCGCGCGATTGGTTGAACGGTGGCGGTTTCGACACGGAAATGCACGCCGGAGCCGCCGGCTCCAAGGCCTTGGTTGCCTTGTTTTTCAGAGGCAGCCATGCATCCGCCCACCAACGCATCCAGAAGCTGAATAGTTTTGCACGCTAGCAGACTTCGTGCTGGGCGCAACTTAGCTGTGGGGTGGGTGGTGGGAATCGGTTCTTAGTTGGGCCACCGTGAACGCGCCGTAAACCCCCCCCCCCCAAAAAAAAAAAAAGTTGAACAAAAACAAAAAAACTATAAGCATAGCCAAAACCTTCAAATCCTTCCAGCTACCGTGTCATTTAGGAGTATACACACTGAACTCGCCCGAGAAACGAAGCTAGCAAGGGTCTGGGTAACAAATATCATCAAGGCTAGTCCGTATTCCCGACTACCAAAGCTTCTAGTATGATCGACCATAGGGGGGGCTGCCGAGAGGGGCACACCGTTAGGACCGTTGGACGCATGACTTGAGCTGAGTAAAAAGGCTGGGAGCTCTGCGAAATTCACCTATAAGATGGGGAGACAGTTGGGAGAGTGGGACCAAGGAGTCCATGGAGTCCATGGCTAGCAGGCCGATCAGATAATCCTGACCGTATGGGAATGGGAGCGACAACGCCTTTGCTTCTTCAGGAAAGAGATTAAGATCCGATCCCAATTTGAGACCTTTTGGGGGGGAGTTCACTTTTCAGATGGACTCTGCTAAGCTGGACCAAAAAGCGATAGCTGATCACTGCGGAATCCCACATTCTCCAACCTGCCAGTATGTTGGCCTCACGTCGGATTGCACCCATTGACAGGCGTGGAAAAAATGACACCCCCAAATGGAAGAGGAGAAAAAAAAATAAGAAATGGAAAAAAAAGGGGTGCCACGACACACTAGACTCTGTCGACACCTACATGAATCAGGGATCCATCGATGCATGGTCGACCCGCCTGGGATGGCGGTTTCAGCCGTTGTGCAGCTGCAAGAAGCCAAAGTCCTGCCACCAGCCCAACGAGCTCGACATAGTCAAATGTCCGGGCTGACGCCATGGATCGTCAGGGATCTTGATTTTCACGTGTGTGTGCCAACCAGAATCAGAGCCGAAAATCGATCATTCATGCCAGAGCCAAGGGATAAGGGGGTTGCTGGAATTCTCCGAGCTGTGGGGACTCATCCAGTAATCCCGCGCGAATCTCTAAACTCGAACAGGAAACTTGACAGCTGTGCCCGGGTTGCGAATGAATGGCCCATCTGCAGGTCTCTAAGAATGACAGACTGGAGTCAAGAAGGACCAAGGAGACCACCAGGGCAGTCCTGCAGCAGGCCAGAACGGGCTCGCAAGTCACATCAGAGGTCATGGTAGTACGATCTTACGACTTGACGGTGTTAATATCCCTGCCAGCCCCCAAGGAGCGCTATTGGGAAATTCAATCTCGATATTTCTCGACTAGGACCAGGGTGAATGACCCCGAACTGCTCATCGGGACCGGCTAGGCTGTGTGTTAGATCTGGCATGTAATGTATACATTGGTATACATTGGTACACGGGTAACATGCCTTGATACTAGCTCCGAACTAATTGCCAACGGCTTGGCTCCTCATCGTGAGGCGTGAAGGCACTTAGAAAGGTTTGTTGACCCGCCACCGCCATCTCATCTAGCTTCCCAGTAGCCTCATCCACGAGTCAGTCATCTCAGGGCTGCCAAAAAGCAGGTGGACACAGAACAGGATTTTCGTCAAGTGGAGGAAAAACGGCAAGGGGGGGGGGGAGAGCCACCACAGCACTGTGATTCAACGGCAGCTTCTGCACGTTCCAGTTTGAAGTCCTAGCACAGCCACCTAACACCTCAGCAGACCCGGGAAAGGTCAAGGCCGAAAAGAGACTGTATCCCTCTTCAGCCTATAGTCCGTCCCGTTGGGTTGGTTCGGCCATCTCCCGAAGAAAAGTCAGTCTCTCCGATCAACTGGTGGGCTTACTCGAGTCATGGGGTGACGCTATGGTGTCTGATGCATTGGATGCGTGAGACGTTTAGGGCAATTCCCCATAACGGGGGAGAGGCGCAGTACTAAAGGACTATAACAAGCCGGACCGTTTCCAGACCCACCGCAACAGACCGCTTCGATCGGCGGGGAGGACAAGATTTCGGCTTGACCGGATCAGGAGGAGAGGAGCAATAGAGCAGAGGAGATGAGAGCGCCAGAGTCGATCCGATGAGTAATGGGTAAGATTGACGCTCGCTGCCGAGATTCCCTGAGCCGTTTTCCCGCCATTCGAACAATGGGCCCGGAGGTTGTCTCCGTTTTTGATCCACCCCCTGCACCTTTTCTACTCCTGTCGTGTTTCTCGTCGATCGCACAAATCTGCTCATTTCGCGGGTGTCCACTAGTGACTCTTGTCTCCTTCCCCTTGAAGCATTTCCATACCCATGAGTTGAGCTAGCTATTGGCTAAGAAGCTGGGCAGGTTCATGCGATGAGCTTCTTTCCTCGTAGCTCCTGCAGCTAAGGAGGAGGGGGGCCGATTGGGGGGGGGCTGTGGTACTTGAACCGAACCTGTTCCCTATTTTTTCCTCGTGCCAGTTCTCGTGGAGACAGAAGTCGTCCTTGGTTCGAGAGGGAGGGGGAACCCTTCAGTGGAGACGGACTTGCGCTGGCCATTGGCTGCTTGAACACTTCCATTTTTAAGTTTGCAGAAACTTAGGAACGTGAAAACTTCGAAGTACACATAAGATGGATAGAAATATGTGACGTTACGGATGATACGGCGATATATTTCCTGTTGGGAATCACCATCAAGTTTGCCGTTAGGTAGCTCCGCTGTCATTGAACTCTTCATCTGGCGGCTCTGGAAGGCGGTCAAGGCGGTCTGGACGGCTAATGCAAAGATCCATTTACCGGCAGCTGCCAAAATACGCAAGCGGGAACTTGCGTCTGCAGCGTGCGTGTGATATGGCCTTAACATGACATGCTCAGTGAGAACTGCAGAAGACTGAAGAGCGCGGGGCTTCGTTCATATTAATTTGATGATTAGTTTTGGCTTGATTGGGATGAAGTGATGGGACACGTTCTCGTACTTGGCACCATTATTGGAGTCTTTGGCGTATTTGGAACAAATCCCTGTCCATAAGCCCAGGAGCATAAATACTTTATAGTTTGCGGGGTCTGAATGTCCCCTGCACTTTGACGTTCTGGGCTGTTTCAAAGTCCGGATAATTATAGCATGGTGAGCGCTTAGATAGATTAGAGTCCATAAGTGTTTAGGAAAGTTGGCCCTCAAGCCACCAGGGTTTGTCGCAAACCAGGGGCGTCGGACACAACCTTGATTAGGATCACCCCCCTTGTTCCAACAGAAGTACGAAGGACTCAACTTTCGAAACTATCCCGGGTGTTTGTGATGCATGAACACGCGCGAGGCTGCTCAGACCCTGAGGAAGATGAACAAAGTACGCGGAATGTTCCCGGCGCCATAGACTGTCATGTCCCAAGTCGAGACAGATCGCCGTCTCAATATAGTTTCGGCCGGCACTACGAGGCAACTGAGGACTAGTACGTATCAAGCACGAAGATCGAAGCCTATCATATGCAGGCGTGGGATCCTGCAGATGTATGTCTAGTGTAACTGACACAGAACCTTTCGATCGCTGAATCACAACAAGTACCCAAGAGCTCACAAGCTCCCTCGACAGGGAAAAGCAGACATCCCGATGTTTAGTGCTCGTGCGAGACCGATCGACTATCGACAAAAACTCGTTCGTGGCAACTTGTTTTGATACAGTAGGGCCTTTGTCTACCATCGGAATGAGGAAGCTAGGCTGATGGCAAAGTTGTGACATGTCTCCTGTCAATTTCTTGGCCCCGGTGTAGACCAGGGCCCAGCGGCCTGAGGCATGCCGAGCATGTCTCTACTGTACTGAGCATTATGTGACGCGCACCCACTGCGCACTGTTCAAGATGACTGAGGGTTCAGTAATCGCCACAGCAGAGGCCCACCGGAGACGAATCGAGCAAAACGGATAACAATAAAGGATGCTCTCCTTTCGATCTTTCTTTCCACGATGGATATATACCCGATGCTTCGCGATAAAAACTCTACTCGCCGTTGGAGCTGGAGTAGCCGGATTTTTTTTCCCAGGTTCAGATATTGATGTTCTCGAAGACGGGCGGGCCATGGGAAACATGGAGCAAATAGTCGCATCCACTCTTCGCCCCCCCCCCCTTGGCGGATCTCACTAAGAAATTGGGAAAGTTTGTGCGCCTCACTGACTAGTGGCTGGTAATCGACGATTCTCGCCGGTGTTCGATGTCTAATCTCCGTGGAAGATGATCTGAAGGATGATGTATGTGAGGGCACATGTATGAACGATATGGAAGATCCGAGCTCCACGGTAAAGCGGAAAGTGTTAACCGTGAAGCTCTAGGCTCGACGGTGGTTGATCTGCACCCTTGACGAGGAAATCAACAAATAGACGATCTAAAGTTGGAGATAGGGATAGGAAAAGAGATTTCTTAGATTTAGGCCACATCATACGGAGACATTCAGAAGCAAGCGGCTCAAAGACATCCCGATCACTCTGCTCCAGAAGGGAATTCTCCGGTCCCGCGGGATTTGCAGCGAAAAGCCGAAGGATCGGCAATCTTCAATCAAATCAACCAGCGCGACTATCGACCAGACACATGGCAATGGAGGCCCCGCACCCGATCCACGTTCGAATCTGGGCATGAGGGCCATGACAGCTAAACGGTGTCTTTCTCTCGGGGACTTTTTTTCTCCACCGCACCGCTTCGTCATCGGTAAAGGTTCGCGGGCTCCACTTCAGATTCGAGTTCGAGGGCAAAAACCCACTCCTACTCCCCCTTTTTTTTTCTTTTTGATTCCCGGGTTTCTCGACTCTCGTCCATGGGAAGGGGAGGGATTGGGGTGGCCGGCCGGGGACCTGACAAGGTCTGGAACAAACAGGGAGAACTGTCCCGACCTGATGGGTCCAATCTGCCTTATTTACCAGAGTGTCCGTGGTGGCTGGCCGATGGCGGATGTGGAAATCGTCCTAGTGCCAACTGGGAAAGACACTGTATCTGCGCATCGGGGCCAAAGAGGTCCTTAGAGCGGCGATCTGGCCTTGACCCTGATGGACCGTACGTTTGCCTCTCAGTCGAGCCAACGCTTATGTCCCCATTTGGGTCCGTACTTTGTGTTGTTCGGTTCTCAACCAAGGAAAGGAAACGGGGAAAAGAAAAAAATTCTGAAGACACAGGTCACGATAGGATCGATCTGGGGGTTCATGTGTTACCGAGGTCTTGGTCTTGGAGAAACCAGAATGTGTTCCCCGCTGGAAGAACCCGCCACTATCCATCTTCAAGCGGGGAATCCTTGGACCAGACCCCGATGCCCATGCCTGGTACCTTTGTGGGCAGGAGACCAGTGAGATGCGGCAGGGCGGAAGGGCTAGTCAAGAAGCGAAGTGCATGGGCGAAGTTCCTTTGGCCAGCGTGCAGCTCATGCAATGCAAGTTGCCGAATGTAGAAGGCGATCGAGTCCATTCCCAATATGACATCTCGCTGTCCCCATCGATGAGGACAAGCCCGCGGACGCTGTGCCCAGAGTTGGCATCTGCTGCAGCAATCGTATGATTTCCGTTGTTTAAGCTTCGCCTACGGTTGGCGCCATGCCTTGTTTCTGGGCTTTGTTTTTGATCAATAGTATCATATGCAGTTATCTTACTGGGGCTCGATCTGCGTTAGTCGCAGGAGGCAGGTGTAGATGCAACGCGCTATGACAGTCCATACCGGAATGAGAGTAGTCTTTGGTCGTGTCTCTTCGTTGATTGCGAGATGCGTGGCCAGCTAGTCGATCGATTGATCGTGAACATCTTTATTGAATACGAAGGTCTCATTGTTACTAGGGTTCTAAATATGGATCTAGTGGTTTGGCTATTCAAGTGTTCCGTGCTGGGAGCGGAGATCTCTACATATACATCTCATCTGAGGTCTCTCGCCACACCGACGTGGAATCAATTCACCGAAGACAAAAAAACAGGGCATCCTGATTTCTGCAAGGATTAAACTCTCCTTGAGACAATTGATCGACAAGAACTGCAAGTCTTGCCTTGTGGTTGCCTTGGCACGTGACCAAATATGTACAAATCGAAAAGTGACCGTGTTGAGGTCACTGACCTAGCCTCGTTGACTCTCTGACCTGTCACCTCTCTATAATCACCAATCACGTTCGCCAAGAATGGCATCTCTCATTTCCTTGGCAGAGATCCCCACTGTCTCACGCCTGTACCGGCTGAAGAAGCTAGTCCCGGCATCTTCATCCAGCAACATCCCATCTCAGACCATCAATGACATCATCTCGCTCATCCGCTCCGACATCACGAAGCTGCAAGTCGACGGTATCGTCAATGCTGCTAATCAATCTTTGCTCGGCGGTGGTGGTGTCGATGGTGCAATTCATCGAGCTGCTGGTCCCGAGCTGCTTGATGAATGCAAGGACCTGGACGGTTGTGACATCGGGGATGCCAAAACCACTGCAGGTTACCATCTCCCCTGCAAGAACGTAATTCATACTGTGGGCCCCGTCTACCAAAAAGAGAAGCGCGGTGACCCAGCCCGTCCGGAGATTCTGCTTCGTTCGTGCTATCGACGTAGTCTAGAGGAGGCGGTCGAGTACAATGTGAAGAGCATCGCATTTGCAGCTATCAGCACAGGAGTCTATGGTTACCCCAGTGGTAAGGCTGCACTGGCTGCTGCTGATGAAGTGCGTAAGTTTCTGGAGGCACCTGGAAACGAGGGCAAGCTTGAGCGGGTCATCTTTTGCAATTTCGAACAGAAGGATGAGAATGCATACGAGGATGCGATTCCGTAAGTCACCTCCATGTTCGCTTCTGGGATCAAGAGTAGAAGCTAATCTTTGACAGCCAAATTTTTCCTCCTACTGAACAGGATCTGCCTGTCAACGACTAACTCACCAAGGCAGCTGACAAAATTCGGGGAAAGATTTGAAAAGAAAAAAGGGTTGCCGATAAAGCCTCCAATAAGGTCACTGGGGCAGATACTGCCAAAGATCACTTCGAAGCTGCCCAAAAACCTGCCGTTCAAGCTACGAACGTCTCAGCCAAAGATGTCAGTGAGTCTTCCCGTGATGACAAGAAGGCTGCGCGAGCGCACACCATGACTGCATTGGCACAATACGCAAAAAATTCATACTATGTCAGAGCTTTTGCTTCTTTCTGGCAATTCCTGGGGACATGCATCTTGGACTCCCCGCCCTGTATGCGTAACGATTTGAATGACTGATGGAGAATTGACAGAGGGTTTAACAGAGCCTTGACGGAGGGCTGGGGTTCCACCATTGGGCTATCGTTACTCCAGGATCTCCCATTACCAGCCTGTTCGAGGAATTCCAGTAAAGGAAAATAATAATTGTCATTCCATACCCTTTGCACAATCGTAGAAGAAATCACTTACCAAGACTAAGCAGCGTCAGCTGCCTGGTAGCCGGTGCAAACACAATGCAAACAACAGCTCCGCTATCAATTATCGACTCCGAAGATCGCGCGAGCTTCAAAATCCCCTCGAAATCGTCGCATCCTCCGCTAATTGCTCCCCAAAAGCTTTAAAGAATGGTCATATGATCTGCATCTCACTTGAGTTATCCTCACCAACCCAAATTCCGCGCCAACAGCTCCGCACAACACCACCAACATGCCACCCCCAAACCAACAACCCTCAAAGCCCATGCGCATCCTCGATCCATACGAGGCCAAGAGACTCTCCAAGAAACCCGCCACAGCAAACACCGGTCCAGAACTACAAAAATATCCCTCATTAGCCGCGCACACCACTGCAGGCCCAAGCCTCGTGCGCAAACGCTTCCTCCCAACTTTCATATCCAGCATACGCGAGCGCTATGCCGCCCTCCCAACACCAGTCCGACGAACGTGTCGCGCGCTCCGAATATTCGGAACCCTCGTCCCAATTGGCCTTTTCTTCTCCGAACACGTGGCGCGACTGATGTGGGTGCGCGGGCCGTCAATGACACCATACCTAAACGAAGACTACGAGCAGACACAGACCAAGAGCGATATGATACTAGTCAGTATGTGGCCGTATGGCGCGACATGGCCGTGGCAAAGACAGATAAAGAGACGCCTTGAGCGGGGAATGGTGGTGACTTTCCGGTATGAGACTCTGGATTCCGCGCGAACAGACAGCGAGACTAATAGTGTTTTTGCAGGTCACCGGCCAATTCTTCGCATGTCGCTATCAAGCGCGTTGTTGGACTTCCTGGAGACCGGATTACGACTCGGGAACCGTGCATGAAACGCACTCAGATTGTTCCCTTTAACCATGTTTGGTTGGAGGGCGATGCGGAGGATCCGAAGAGGACGCTTGATAGTAATACTTACGGTCCGGTGAGTATCAGTTTGATCACAGGCCGAGTGGTCGGTGTGATATCCCCACGCTTCCGGTGGTTGAAGTGGCAGGATTGGGAGGCAGGGAAGCTAGACGACGAGGAGAACTACCGACAGAATGTGCGTGACCGGGTCTTGAAGGAAGCCGTCCGAATGGAGGAGCCTGCATTTGAGTGAAAAGAGCCAATTACATTGAGTTTGGAATATGCGATGCGTGGATAGATTTGTGAACATGTCATAGTATTATCTTCAATGGCGAGCTCTGATGTATAAAATATAGAACCTCCGCGATACAAAAAACATGTAAACCCAATGCTATGCGTGTTCGTGCAAGGGAAACGAGAGAATAAATGACATTATAGAGAAACAATGCGGATGTCTTCCTGTCTCTCTTCTTGAAGTCTGTCGATCTCTGACGAGATACTCAGCACCCAGCGGTCTTTCTCGACGCGGCTGCGTGCCTTGAACACGATGGTACGACCGTGCTTGCCCAATGTGGAGACATGGTGGAGAGAGCGCTTGGCTTCGCCCTTTGCTCCTTTCTCCTGGGCGCGGAAAAAGCTTTTGCTGAGAGGTTGCCAGATAACAAAAGTGATAGACGTATCCTCGTCGCGGCTGGTGTAGGTGCCCGAAGTGAGATACACTCGCGGCAGAGCGTGGAGACCTGGGTTATTGCTATCGAATGTCTGGTTGGCGTACAGCAAATCAGACTCAGTGGCGAGTCCAGAGTAAATGTAGCAGTCTCGAAGGTCGATAGTCGTTTCGTGCTCTTGGTGGATGTGTGGGATCTGAACGCCATTCCCTTTGCGCAGCGTGCTCCGGAAGACAAGAAGTTGCCCGGCAGTAAGGAGCACATTGCATCGGGTAAAAGTAGCATGCCGACGCGGTTTGCGATACAGATGGCCAGACATCTTGATCGTGCGACAGCCCACTAACGAGCAAATGTTGTGGAGGTGAGGCGAGGCCTCGGCCTTCTTCACCTCCCACTTCTTCGCGAATTGCCCGACGATTGACTCCATTTCCTCATCGATGTCCAGCAACTTGAGGTTCCGTTGTCGCACGGCCTGGAGCTCGTGAAAATCGTCCGCGTTGCGTATGGTCCAATATTTCACCAATGCATCCAGCCGCTTGACCCACTCATCTCGAGAGGCAGTGTCGTACGCCTGCAAGCGAACCACTAGGCCATTGTCCAACTCCAGTTCGAGTATTCTGTCGTCGTCGAACTGCTTCGTGGAACCGTCGTCTCGTCTGGAGTCTGCTGCTTCCGGCTGGAAGTCCACAGCGGGACCTTCTGAGATATTAGGGTCCGCGGGACTACTCCCGCGCTGAATACGGCGCACCTCTTTCACTCGACAAAGATCGATATAACCATCTGCACGACTGGTATTGTGCACGTTTCTTTGCAATTGGGCATAAGCTTCCTCGTCATGCCTTTGAACAAAATCGGGGTTTCCGCTTGACAACCACGCAATGTCACCATCCAGGATTGGGTATGGATTGATCTCCCAAGAATTCGGCATCTCATCCATGAGTTGGCGATAGGTTGGTACACTCTCATCCTCGCCTGTCGGAATAAGCTTCGGCGGAGTTGGCGGCCAAGCCTTGGCTGGCCTACAGAACAACAAGTAATGATCCTGCGTGAAGAAGTACAATCGCTTGAAAAACATCTTGTTCTTTCTTTGATGCACACCCTTCTGAGAGGTAAGTCGGATCAAGAATCCCTCGACCGGCGATGGCTCCTCTTCCTTCTTGCCTGCCTGCTTTATCGTGGTAGAATAATGATGGCGAGGGCGCAGTTCAAGCTCATGCGACGATTCCATTGCCATCGTCCCGTACATGTTTTCCTCATTAGACCCGAAGATCCACTCTAAACGATCATACCGTTTCCAGGCAAGACCCATTTTCTCCGTCTTAGACCAAGCGCGCAGAACATCTGCCCATTCAGGGCGGCCCTCGAGAAGTTCCATACAGCCGCGGATAATGGATTTGGCGGCGTACCTCACGTCCGCCGTAGATCGAGTCACGAGCGTAGTGTGGCGATTGTCATCATGTGTTGCTCCGAGATGAGCCTCGAGTCGTTCAAACGGATGTTTGAATACCAAAGAAATCCCAAGATCAGGTACGTTGATAGGTAGCTTGGTTGGCCGCTGCCAGCCTAGCACTTGTCGAATAAAAGTGTACCATTCAGAAGCATGAGCAGTTGACTTAGGACGGATGATGTAGATTTTGGTGCCGCGTATGCGAGGATGCCAGACCACGAGGGTCTTATCAAGAGCAGAGTAGAGGTTGACATTAGTGTTCCTGTGATTTAACTGGATCTCGTAGTAAGGGCGGGTTTTGTTATTGATCCTCTGTGCGTCAGGAATTACGCGTGTGCGATACATTTGCAGAGCAAAGGGTGCGTGCTCCGCCGAACTCTTCCGACAGACAACCAAATACTCTCGCCACTTATCCACATTGCGAGTGTCCATCCGGAAGCTGTCATTCTCACTGTAATCGGAAGGCAAATCCTCTTTGGGCGTCTCTTGAACGCTAACAAGCATTCTCTCAGCTTTGACAATCTCCCCATCCTGTAGTTTTCGTCGACGAGGACGGTTCGCGGCAATGGTATCTCCGGTCTTGGCGATACGAGAGCGAAGCCTTTGCTGTTTGTCTTTCATATGTTTCGCGTTGTATTTCGCAACTTTCCTGGTCAATCGCTGGGGCACGTTCCTTCCAGGCTCAAAACTTTCTTGGCGCGCTTCATCCTCATTCTGGGGCTCTTGGTGCTCCAGCGTGAACCGGGTTGTGCCAGAAATCTTGCTGGATTTGTTCTTCAACTTCTGCTGCTCTTTGACTTTCGATTTGAACAACGGCGTAGTAGATTCGGTGTCGCTTATTGCGGCAGAATTGGTAGTTATCAACGGACTCTGGCCGTGTTGGCCTGCAAAGCTCACGGCCTGCGATGCTTGCGATTGAGGTCGCTGGTTAGGAATCTGCAATCCTGGAGCATGTATCGTAGATGACGTTTGATCTGTTTCTGCGGAACTAGATTCAAATTCTCTGGCGGTCACAAAAGACGAAGATCCAATCGTATTGTCGTACACCTGCTCCTGTCCTCTTGATGTTGCTCTCGGCGTAGCATTGGAATCTTCATCTGAGATATCATGGTCTGAAGGCCCTTCATCTTCGATTTGCTCCGCTGCCTCCGTCTCGATCCCTGTAGGCTCTGTTTCCTGTGTTTCTTCAGGGTGAGTAAGAGTGCGAAGCTCGCCCGTAGGCCCATCGCTTGACTCTTGCTCGTATTCTAACTCGGCTTCTGTGTCATCCGGTTCGGTTCCAGAATCTTCATTGGTATGAGTGAATGTAAGAGCGACCTCCTCCAACGTAGGCGGCGAGAGAGCAGCCTGATTTTGATCTTGGCTCTGGTTCTCGCCAAGTTGACTGTAGTGAGTAGAAACTGGATTTGCATTGAACGACAATGTGTGGGAGGTGTAGTTTTTATATCGCAGCCGAGATTTGTACCAGGATTTGCGGTGTCCATGGATCCAGCCTTCAGGTATCGGTCCGATGAAGAACCGCCTGCTTGTCAGGTGTAAATGATGAGCGGAAGCATGGCGCTGTAGTATATCGATCAGTCTTCGGGCGGACATCAGTCTTGTGGGGTTGGGATTGACCTACCAGCTTCAGATCGGTATAAGACCCAGGCAGTAGACCATGATATCGCTCAGGCTCCGCTGCATGGGGAGCTTCCTGGGCCGAGCTGTTGGCCTGATTGGAAGCACTCATGACACCAACGTGATACCAACCGAGCGGTGGAATTGGACAGCAGCGGGCTGCACATCAAGGGATGAATCCAAGAGTGGGGAGCTCTACCAGGCACAAGAGGAACTGCATAGCGCGATCGATCAAATCGCGGTGCAACCTGGTCCGATGACGTCGTGGGTGCAAACATCGGGCCATGTCACGTGAGAGATTGCTGTGTTTGCAACATTTGTTGACAGTCCGCGGGCCCCGCAGCGAGTGATTGGCTTGCGTGGCATGCAGCGGTGAGAGAAGTGCGGGACAGTTGTTGATACACCTACACCTGTCACTTCTGTTTCTTGTTTTCCTCTCCAGTTAATTCAATTGATTTTCATCATGGCTGCTGTTCCCGCTGACGGTACCTGGTTCGACACCCTCAAGAAGTCCTTCGCGGACGTCCCCATTGACGCCGCCAACGACGATGCCATCTCCACTGCCGAGTTCCTAGAGGCCGCTGAGGCCCTAGTGTCCCTATTTGGTGAGTACTATTGAGCTTGCTGCAAGCTGACTTGATACTAATGCAAGGTGTACCCCAGATGTTATCGGCTCTGCAGCTTTCAGCCCCGTCAAGAGCGACCTGACGGGCAACATCAAGGTCCCAAGTCTCCCTGTTCCCCTCCGCGATACGGACAGGTGCTGATATCTACATAGAAAGTCAGAGATCGCATGCTGGCTGCTCCTGCTGAGTCTCAGACTCTGCAGGAACTTGTCCTGAATGAATTGAAGACTGGCAAGCACACTGCCACTGAGGGTCTGGTCTGGCTGGTCCGGTGAGTTTTCCTACGTACTTTTGCACCCTTCGGACACTTGGAGATCCACCACTGGAATATGTCACTGACCTCTTTGATATCAACAGCGGTCTCGATTTCACCGCCCAGGCTCTCCGCCACAACCTTCAGAACCCCAAGGACGAGTTGTCTACTTCCTTCCGCCATGCCTACGGCGGCACGCTCAAGCCCCATCACAGCTTCATGGTTAAGCCCATCTTCAGCGCTGCCATGTCCGCCACACCGTACCGTGCCGACTTCTACAAGAAGCTGGGTAGCGACCAGTCCAAGGTCAACACCTCTATGGAGAAGGAGGTTGCGGCTTTGGAGAAGGTTGTGACCATCCTGAAGACCTTTTTGGCGCGCAAGGACACCCAGTGGAAGTAAACTGCGCGGAATAGAGCTTCTGGTCTGATTGTCAGAAACGTCTGCAGTGTAAATCTGATGTGTACATATTGGCCTGGATCTGTGTCTCTGAGAGCACGTGAAATTCTTCGACATAGCGCGATATAGCGAATCCACTTTAACTTTGGCTGCGATCACTGTTCTCTGTTATTGAAAACTAAGAGATCTTTTGCACGTATGAATAGTGTAAAGAATGAGCTCAATTCTTCCAATGCTACGCACAGGCCACTGGTACTTCGCTAAGTGGGCATCTTTGGACCAGTTGGTATGCTCGCCAGTCGAGTTCATCAATCAGCTATCAATCCCGAGTCCATGGATCATATAGGCGGCGTTCGGTAGTTCTTAATAGCCTACTGTATTCTGAACACGGCTCCTCACGGGTAGCCAATTACAAACTCACCTGAAGGGGGTTAGCAGGGGCCACTAGGAACCCTGCGTTCAGAATGACGCCGATTCAAGATTGCTGAATGAGTTTCTCCATTCTTGGGCATTGCTCGTCGCGAAAGGCCAATGGATCCCCGGCAATTACTAAAGATAGAATCCCGAACAACATGGGAAGGTTTGAGTGGATCGTCGCGATGCGCATCTGGTAAATGAAACGTTCGATCTTCAGCAAACTCCCAGGTCTCATTTAATTTCCAAGTGCCGCGGTGATTTGTCTATTGAAGCTACCATGGTTGTTCCACTAAGAACCAGCCAAGACAATGCTATTGTCACATTGCATGATGGACGGCTTAAAAGGCCTAGATCCAGACACCACTGTCTTGGACCGTGCAAGAATCAGGGTATCAGGACGATCGCCCCGCCTAAACGGGCCACTGGAGGGGTGGGGACGACAGAATGGTCAGGTAATTTCCGGTCTGTCCGCAAAGATGCCGATCGTGCCTCGTTGATGGTGCGGCGGAGTCGTCTCCCTGACGATCTATGCTGGCGTTGTTTTCTCTCAGCCTTGCTCCCCCAGTAGTGCTCGGGATGGATCTCAACAGTGATTGCCGGGCAATATCTATTGGCGATCTCGGTACGATGCATCGAAAGCCCAGAGATCGCAAGTACCAGTCGTTCATCAATTTACCGGACCACTGACCTAGTCTAGCCCTTTTGAGAAATCATGCTGCCGGATGGGTCGCCCGTACCCATGGACAACGACACTCTGGCGGGCGTATTAAGCTCACCTGCCGCGGTTCCGACAGCCCCTGAGGACATAACAGCGCGTGCCGGGCCGGGTCCAAATTTCCCTACCAACGTTGTGTGCACGTTGTGTTCACGCTAAGGTGGGCTACGACCTCTTTCCTGGACTAGAAGCACCCGAACGCAGCCTAGCTCTGCTCGGCTGCGTCTGGGGGCGCATCGCCAAGAGCGCGGTCCCACTTGGGCGTATGTTAGCCGATTCTCTTTTGCGGGTGAAATCGGCAGCGTTTTGGCAGGAAAAACTTATTCGAGTCATGTCGCCGGGCCTCGTTGGCAATGAAACCGACATGCATGGAAATATGTCAAGCTTTAAGAAGAGTCAAGTTGCACGCAAGGTGGAAAGTGTTTCATACGAGAGTTGGATCAGCAAACTTAGACTTTCTTCCCCACATAGCGTCCATGGATGGACCTCGACCCTTCCTCGTTTACGCAATTATACTTTGGGAAAATTCTGGAGAAGTGACATCTACATTGGGACGGGATTTAGGCAGCCTCCGAGAGCCTTTTTGCACAGATCGTAAAGAGCAGCCAGATGCATCTATGGAGTCAAAAAACTTGAGCGTGGATGGAACTTGACACACGGATACCTCCACGGCTCGTAGCTCAATAGCACGAGGTGAACATTGGCAGATACTTCGATCCCACCTTATTCCGTCCCACTCGCCCACTGTGAATACCTCCCGCGAGCCTCACAAGAGGTTTGCGTCTAGCACGGAGAAGGGCGGACCCGCGTTACGGCTTGACCCCGTTGCCACTTGGAAAGGGCCTATGCTTGGCTTGTGACAGTCTTTTCTGTCCCTTTTCCCTCCTTTTCTTCTCGTACTCGGTTGACATCGACATCTAACCCTCCCGACCCCTGTCGCTGGCTCACAGGTCTGCAGGTTGAGGTGGAAATCATGAATTGGGACTGACCACGTCTTCTTAAACCATCACTATGTTACCGCTGGAGGGTCGCAGCGAGACCATCTTCATCGTCACTACTATCTTTTTGGGTATCTCATTCATTGCGGTGTGCTTGCGATGCTTTGTCCGGATCAAACTTGTCAAGGCCTTTGGCTGGGATGATGCGCTGATGGTTTTTGCCATGGTACTTTCGATGTCTTGGCTGCATGCGCGCCCCTGCTAACATGATCATTAGCTCTTAAACATTTTGTTCGCACTCGCCGGTATCACTGGTGCGCTATATGGAATCGGCCAGAAAACCGACGTACTTAGGGACCGAAATTCGATGGAAACGGCCATGTTTGTATGTCTTTGATCAATTTCCCATGGACGGGATCATATGGGGTCATGGACCGCATCTAACATTCATCAGTGGTGGTGGCTCGGTCAAACCACCTATGTCTGGGTCGTCGCCGTCGCAAAGATCTCGATCGCCGTGGCGCTTCTCCGTCTCACCATTGCGAAAACCCATACCATTATCCTATGGGTCGTCATCGGCGTGACCACCGTCATTGGTCTCGTCTTCTTTTTCATGTTGACCCTGCAATGCACGCCCGTGTCGTTTTTTTGGCAGCAAGTACGACTGAAACTTGACCCGACAGCCGATGTTACCGGTCATTGCATGAGCCTCGATAGTATCATCAGCATCGCCTACGTCTACAGTGTCACCGCCACATTGTGCGATATGACGCTTGGACTCTTGCCAGTATTCCTCGTATGGAGTCTGCAAATGAACGTACGGACCAAGGCCGCGCTGGCAGGCATTTTGGGTATGGGTTGCATGTACGTTCCCTCCACTTATCTGGTATCATCGTTCCATGCTGATTCATCTTAAATTTAGTGCTAGCGCAGCCGTCATCATTCGCATTCCATTCTTACATGACTACAAGGACCCTGATTTCCTATGTGAGTCTCATCTCTGGATCATTCTGGATCGCCTCAGGAGGCAAGGAGGCAGGAGGGAAACTGAACCGATACTAACAATCTCAATAGATGCGACCGCTCAGATCTCCATCTGGTCTAATGTCGAAGCTAGTCTCGGTATTGCTGCCGGTAGTCTGGTCACTCTCCGGCCACTCTTCCGCTGGTTTCGCGATTCCAGCTACGGCGGCGGCACTCGAACCAAAAGCAAGCGGACTGGAGCCAGCCTACCACTATCCAGTGTGAATGCTGGACGGTCAGGGGACCCTTCTGGACCGCAGTATTGGCGCCCGGACTTGGATCCGGAAGATACTCAGGCCGTAATTACCACCATTCATACCTCGAATCGTGGAAGTCGCACGAGTAGCCAGGAAGATCTGAATCCCAAACATAATAACGGGACCTTCTTTTCTGGCGTGAACGTGCAGAAGACGTTCTTTGTTTCTGAGGATGATTCTCATTGATGAGACGGGGGTTTGTATATTATACCAATTAATTTGAAGTTAAAACAACATCAGCAATTGCAAATACCTAATACAGCCAAATAAGAATTTCTGTTAAGCCACATTAAATCGACCCAGGTACATCAAGCCCGCATCGTTCACCTTCCACTTTTCTCTCGAACGCTAGAATAACATTCCAATGTTAAGGATTATCAGATAGGCATATAGATCGATGCGAGATTAAGGAGCGACTTCCAAAATAGACTGCATCGACTCCTTGCATATATAGTGTGGACCCTCCCATACTCGACCATGTGACGCACACTTCTACCATTTCCGAGCTTAATGCTTCATAATCTCGTTTAACACATCACCTTCCACCAAGCCCTGCCGGGCTAGCTCAATCGGTAGAGCGTGAGACTCTTAATCTCAAGGTTGCGGGTTCGACCCCCGCGTTCGGCTATTCCTACAGAACAACCTGAGATATTTCTTTTTTGCCTCCAATCCACAATGGAACGAGGAACAGTACCCTTTTTCTCTCTGCTTCGTATTACCTTCTAATTTTCCTTGCTTTTTTTTTCTATAAAAAAAAAAGGCAGGAATTCTTCCATGGTTACTCTCAACAATTGCAAGAGGCAGCTAAAAGCGGAAGAGGAGCTTGAATTGGGGTTAACTTGTCGGGCATAGTTACTAGATCCTTCTATTTAGATGTCTTCTTCTGTAGGTGATCAAGAAATGTTTGATCAAGAACATGAGAAACGTGCATCAGAAAGACCTCGTGCCGATATAACCCTGGCCAAAACTGTGTCAGAAGCTACATTCCGTCCAAGAGAAACCTCTATCTGTACACACATGTAGAGAGAAAATTGTGGAAGCCTTCCGGGATTCGCTATGTTGTTTCCTCCAGGGACTGAACATGAGGTAAATTACGCGAATATCCACAGTCCAGTTCAATGTTATAGCTATTTCATTTGATCATATATCCCGAACAAACACCAACGCCCGATGCTATGCATATGTCATCGAAGAAGCTCAAGAACGCCCGGAGAATAGCAAGGATGATAGACACAAAACGCACACAAACCAAAAAAAATTGGAAAATAGAGAGCTAAAAGATAACGCGTCATGCTTCTGTGCAGGATGAATGAATCGACTGGTAGCTTAAATTAAATTAGGTGCTGGCCGGCAAAGTGCCAGTGTAGACGCCCTCAAAATCTAATCCGGAGAGCATTCTGTTCACTTTGTCGATTTCCCGGCTAAGATCCTCGACATTCACGGCGAGACTGCTCACTTCGTCGAATTTGCGTCGTCGGTTCGCATCGGCGATCATTTCGGAGACAAAGAATTTCTGCTCTTCTAGCACAATTAGACGCTCGCGAAGAGATTTCTCTTCCGCTTCGAGGGCGGAGACGGCACTGCTTGATTCGCTAGCTAGGCTGCTGTTGCTGCCGCTGGTGGCAACGCGGTTGTTATATTTGATCGATGCCAGAGCCGACTCTTGCGGTCGAGGAGCCGGTGACCCGTTGACTGTGGTCGCTGGAGAGGATGCGCGACTGGGGATACGGTCCGTAGCGGGAGAAGCATGCTTGAGAACCTTGGGGAGGGATTTTAAGGGTAGCATGTGAAGGTGGAGGAAATTGCTGGCTTGTTGGTATATAGCTTTCTGTAAGCGCTGCTGAGTTGGTGACTGAGTGGGTAGGTCGCGAATACGTCGAGCTGCGACATCGTACTTGGCAAATGAGTCCATGAGTCGCTTGCGGACTTTGGACGCTTCTGCTATATGGGTAGAAGTTGGTGGCCGTCTTGGATCTCTGTTACCACATTAGTAATTACACAAAAACCCTGGCGGGTAAACATACTGTAGTGCAGAGAGAAGTTTCTGAAATCTGGGAAGGTGTAGACGGATGCCTCTCTCGAATTGCATCAGATTTTCGTACGCTCTGACTTCAGCAGGTTTCCGTGAGATATCCGCCTGGAAGTCTCGTCGGTCGAACAATGTAGTCTTGCAATCTTTGCAAAGCCTGACATCGACATTGATCAAGTTTGCAGTTGCGGATTTCTCGGAGGCTTTCAAGATGTCAGATATCATTTTATGAAAGGGTCATCTAGAAACGTACGAGGGGCAATGCTCAACTCCACCTCACTAGAGCAGCCAGTGTTTGGATCACCACAGACAACGCGCCCGCAAGTCCTACAATGATGTCTCCGGAAGGAGTAACCAGAGAAGTCTTGTTGACAAAACGGACACCGAGAAACACTTGCATCGTCCTGCCAAGTCACGATACTTTGTTCTAAAGTCTTCCGCTGATCACTCTGCCACGCCATAGAGAACAACTTAGTTGCACTATTATGTACTTGATCTGGCGGTAGACTAGCCAACAATTGCGTGAGTCGGGTCAATCGCTTCTCAAGTCGGGAGACTTCCAGGAAATCCTTGTCGACCGTCTGCTTGCGAATGGATTTGAAAGCCAAAGTTTGATCCCTTGTCGTGCCTGATGTCCATCAGCATGATTTGCAATCCCAAAGGTCGGAACCCCTTACCGTTATGATCATTGTAGCCCTCCCTTGACTTGTAACAGGTCTCGCAAACTCGCGCCCAGATACCCCTCACGGGTTCGTGGTGCGCAGACCGCGATAATTTCATTTGGTACATAGTATGCTCCTCGCAGAAGAGCTTACCACATTTCCGGCAATTGACGCACCCATTGGTGGAATTTAGTCGTTTGCCGCAGGAGGGTTCCAGACACATGTCATATAAACAACCGGCTTGCCAGTGTTCCTTCGTAATGAGGTCTTCGGGATCAAGAACTTTCGGGGTCGGATTCGTAGTCAGGTTTGAAGCTTCAGAGAGTCCAGCATGGGCCCCAAATGGGCGGCTTGAAACCGAGGTCGATTGATTCTCGTTCGATTCGAAGACGTCCAAGCCCTTTAGCTTCTGATTGAGCACAGCGAGAGGCTGGAATTTCCTCGCTTTCTCCATCTGGACCTTGAACCAGTCCTTGACCTCATCTTGTCTGTCGTCCTCTAGGTTTTGGTGGATGTCGTCGAGGTGCCTGCCGGGTTGTTAGATGACGCTGCAGAGATGCATGGGATCGAGCGAGAGGTGGAAGGTACCTGTTAAGTTGAAGTAGAGTTACCTGAAGTCAGTCAGCATTATTTCCTGTGCATCAGCAAGAACGCATAAGTGAGGACAAACATACCATCTCCTCATTGCAGATCGGACAGGTGAGCAGAGCTCCGGGAGCAGCCGGGGCTGCAGAAATGGAGGTATCGCCATTCTCAAGAGATATACGCGACGTGAGATCTTGGGTCGCCGATGAAAACTGAGACACAGAAGTCTGCGAGCTGAGGGAAACACTGCTGGCGGTCGGCGACAGCACCCTTGGCTTCGGCTGCGGGGACGGGGCAGATGAGAGCGCGCCCGGAGTGCCCAAAACACGTCCTCCGCCCAGCGTCCTCCGGGACATGGTCACGAGGACATGAAAGCTAGGAAACGTTGGTTGCTTGACCGAACATCAAGTTGGCCAGATTCAGAGCGCCGCGGCGGTTAGGTTAGGTTGAAGCCGAATGGGTTGTCCGCCGTGACGATGCGGTGGAGCCTGGCCGAATGCCTGAGGCAATACTCCCGCAACTAGCAGCATAACAAAGCCAACGTAGGCAGAAGTAAGGGATTCTTGGTCAAGTATGATTGCGATAGGTCATAACAAGCTTAGTTCTGAACAAATTTGACAGTCTCAACTTGGCAGGAGTCTGAAAAATGCCGAAGACGTTGCTTGTCAGGTGATCTTATAGTGTTTAGCCTCTTTGGGAACTCTATCTGCCCCTTTGGCTATGATACTTAGACATTGGCTATTTTCGCTGTAATAATGGCGACAGTGGAAACTCTCGCCTCGGAAAGTGATCAGCTTCCCGGAGCACAGAGTGAGTTAGTCACCCTGGCGCCCTGAGCTGCTCACTGAGTAAGAGCTACTCCCTAATCGACCCTGAGTTACTCCGTAAGTAGCCTAATCGCTCTCCGAATTTTGCAGCCGACATGTCTTACCTGGGGACAAGCAATACAGTAAAGGATGTGATCATGCGCTAAATAGTATGTATGTGATCGACTTATGAGCCGCAGGGTCCGACGGGTTATCGAAATAGTTGGCCTGCCTGTATGGCTCGAAGCACTCGCTCAGCAAGTGCCAAGGATTGACACACACTGCGCACATGGGATTATACACTAGGCGATTAGTTTGCTCTCTTGTAAGTGCCACCTCTGGAATCTTCGCTATATAGTTAGAACTTCGGGACACGCCCGAATGTTCTGTCTGGCGCCTAATGAGCTTTTGTGAAAGATGATTCAACCGGTGATACGTCGACGCAGGATACGCAATGGCAAGAATGATGAGTGGGTAGGATGTTAGATTGCTAGCCTAGGTAAGGAGATCTAGCTTCTGTCTGGTGACCGGGGGCCCTATCTATTGAAAAAATGTGCAGATATCAATCAGCTGCTGAGAGCAGGCGGGCCCAAGAAAATCCATGGGCGTCGGGCTCTCTCAGTAGGAGGGATACGCTCTCAATAGGGCGCAAAGGGACGTGATTTCATCAGCCAATGCGCTGGCATACTTGGCAGCTAAGTCAGAAGTCACAAGACCTTCCCAAAAAGTAAGGCTTGCTTCAAGCTGAGTGTCCCAGTCGTCTACTTCGAGAACGACAGAATGCTAGATAGGGGTGGGATGAGAGCTGATTTCCAGCCTCATTAAGTCAAGCTTACATGATGAGGATCAACACTTCTCACCATCTCCAGCTAAATATTTTCATGACCGCCGATACTGGACTGATCGATCTTGTGCTTTCAGAAATAGGCAATTGTGTCAAACGATCGAGTGGACACAGTCGAGGCGTGAGATTGATGGGCCAGAGACTGGATGTAGTCATAGTCAAGTCGCTTCAGCAGCGATTCCGCAACCGAAGCTTCCTCAAGGCTTTGATTCAGATTCACTCGACGAGGGGTGAAGTTTAACAAAGGCCCTGTCATTTCGTGAATGTGAGGAATGTCAATGTCTCGTCCACTCAGAACAAAACCAAACCAAACGTAACATCATCAACACCCAGATGACGTTGAATGACCCGCGCCCAAGCAAGGCGAAAAACACTGGGCAAGGAAATCTCTCGGCTCTGAAGGGCCTCACGCATAGAAACGATAGTGTCACCGATGGGAACCACACAGGTACGGAGCTCACCATGTCGCTGACTAGTTGAAGGTCCTGAAACCACCAGGGCATCTGGGCCCGTTGGAAAGTTGTCTCTCCAAAACGCCGTTGAGCTAGCCACAACTTGTGAAGCAAAAACATGGTCAATCAAGTCACCATAACCAACTCCCGGGGAAGTATTTTCCATGAACCCGCCTTCTATACCCTTCACAAGATCTTCAAGTAAAATTTTCACCGTTGCCACATCTACCAACGCATGAGTGATCTCCAGCAACAACAGTAGATCTCCACCACTCTGGCTGTAGATCGTAAGTTGGTGGGTCGCTTTGTCCGGCGACCATGCAATAGGGCGTGGACGTATTGGAGCTACCTCCTCATTTCCTTCGACATGAAGAATTCTGGATTCCAGCTCTGTGAACACCACCTGATATTTCACGCGGCCAGTCGTATCGTTCACGAAGATAGTCCGTAGGGTAGAGTGGCATTTCACGACCTCACTCCATGCCCTACTTATATCCGCATGGCATATAGTGCGTGCGCGACTCTTGACCCGGAATGCCAACCTCGGGGCATAGAGCATCGGATGAAAGGCTTGCTCGGTGAGCATCAGAGATTGGATGGGCAAGATAGGATATATGTCCTCTATTTCGTTTCCCATGGCTGATTTCACTAAGCTGTCGAGATCTTGGTAGGTCAACGAGACTCGGGGAAAGTCGCTGGAGTCGACCCAGAGAGCATGTCCGGTAGTTCCGTCAGAAACTGAGCGAATTCCCTCATGCATTGCTCAACCCGGTCGGTATGACGCATCTTCTGATTGTAAATGCATGAAAGTCCAATGCGTCCGTTTTGTACCTGGACAGCAAATTCAAGAAGGGCTAGTCTTGGCGCCTCCGGTGACATATCGGCTAGTTCACCATCAACCTGAGCAATCTCGAACATGCCATCAGCCCGCTCTAATTGCTGAAAGAATCCCTCAAAGTTCAACATGATCTCTGGTCGTAACAATTTGTGGAATGCATCTCTTCCCTGGGGGTGAAGGAAGGTGGAGGAGAAGAATTCCCAAACCGTTAGAGGGAACCCGCCGGCGACAGTCTCGGGCACGTCGGAGGATATCCGCAATGTCTGGGCTAGTCAGGTCTCCCAGTACTAAGCCAAGGACGGGTATTAGAGTCGTGAACTACCCAACAGTCTGCGTAATGTCGATCTCCGGGAGCCAAGGCTCTCTTCCATGATGCTCCAGAAAGATTGGGGGTAGCTCGCGGTCAGAAAAAACCCGCTTGAATGTAATCACCAGCGCCACGATGAGAATATCCTGGAGTTCGAGCCGTCCGTTATTGGCACAGAGAGCCAGAATCTTGGTTGAGCTAGCTGAGTTGATACTTGCTGTGTATATTTTGGCCATTCCGTAGGTGTTCGCCTCGTCAGCCATTCCCCAGTAGTCATACCGTGGCACAGGCAGCTGGGCAAAGAGAACCCGGTCAGGTTGGAGGTTAGCAGAGGACCATTTCTTCTGTTGGAAACACCATTCGGGGAAAGAAAGTGAGAAAAACGGTGGTAAATCCTTCAACCGAAGGAGAAGCTCTAGGTCTTTGAGGATTATCCGCCAGGAGACAAGATCGATGACAAGGTGATGAGCAGCAAGAAAAAGATACTTTTTGCCTGCACATTTGAAGACTTCACAAGCAATGGCAGGTCCTTTACCGGGGTTAAGCCTCTCCCGGCAAGCCTTCGTCAATGTCGGAACAACGTCCTCATCGACCGGAACTTCATGTAGCCGAAGGTTGTAGGAGCTTTTTACATCCCCAGAGATGTACTGAGACCATTTCCCTTTCACGGTCCCTGCTGAATCTGGCCCGGAGCATGTGATGTCTGCTGACGACCGTCTGGATTGCACTATCCAATTCCTCAGGTTCAATATCGCATTTAACTTGTAGTAAAAATGAATGGCTGAAGCCTGGGATGCGCTTAGTAGTGATGGTATCTAGGAACATCTGCTGAATAGGCGAAAGCGAGTAAGGTCGTTGAGTGGTAATTGCCTGGCTCTCCTGGCTTGTTTGTATGTCGGGACGCGTCCGTTGTGCAACTTTTGAGAGCATCTTGAATTGTAGGACGTCTTGAACACTTAGGGACAGCCCGTGGTTGCGGCATTGGGACACCAACTGCATGGCCGATACGCTGTCCCCACCAATCAGGAGGAAGGACGTTCTCCCATGTATGCACGACACAGGCACATTCAGAAGTTCGGACCATATCGTTCGGAGAGTCTGCTGCATCGGTGTAAGAGTAGTAGTCTTGTCCTGAGGTAGAAAGTGGGACTCTTCGTTGAAATGGTTGATTTGATCTCAGGTGGTTTCCGACATCGTCTCCACACATTCGACAAGGTGTTTGCGATTCATCTTTGCTGCAGATGACAACGGCATCCCTGCCACGGGAATCCATTTGTCCGGCACCATGTAGTCGGGCAGCCGCTCGGAGAGCACGGTTCTGAGGCGGGTTATTATATTTGCAGCTTCTTTGCACAGATCCAGCACTATCTCCTCGGTTTTAGCCTCTTCTCTAGCCGGAAGGTTGCGCAGAGTGAATAGAGCCACCAATTTCTTTGCGAACGGCCCCTTTGTCGGTTGTATGATAGCTTTTCGGTCGAGTCCGTCATGAGAAATTTTAGACTCGATTTCCTCAAGCTCAAGTCTTTGACCACGAACCTTCAGTTGCTGGTCTTTGCGGCCAAGATATGAAAGAGTCCCGTTCTCGTTCCACCGCACGAGATCTCCTGTCTTGTACATGTACGCAGATCGAGGCACCAGATCAATCGACTGTCGCCAGGATGGGTGGTCAATGAACGCAGCTGCAGTTCGGTCTGGATCGTTCAAATATCCCTTGGCGACAATGGGCCCTTCGACAAGCAAGTCACCCACCGTTCCGAGAGGTACCAATCTATTATGGTCATCTGGATCCACGAGCCAATGTGCACTTCCCAGGGGGTGCCCAATTACCCCGATATCTTGTAACCCCTGGACGTGAATGGCAGCGCAGAGGATGGAGCACTCAGTCGGGCCGTAAGCATTGACGAGTTGAACCTCATCTTTCCAAGCCACAATCGCTGCGATGGTGATTTGTTCTCCTCCCAGAACAAGAGTCTTGAGAGAATTGACGTCCTTGGGACTAAGTATTTGTACGACCGACGGTGTGAGAATCGCCCAAGTGGGCTCATACTTACACATTGCCTGCTGAAGGGAATCTAAACACTCTTCCTGCGAGGGAGTACAGACTGTACCCCCAGCCAGGAGTGTTCCGAAAATCTCAAGAATGGACGCATCAAATGAGTATGACGCAAATTGTAGAGCGCGATCTGAATCATGAAGTCTCAAGGTCTTCGCCGAGCTTATCAAACTTGTACAAATAGTCTGATGCTGAATCATAACCCCCTTTGGTTTTCCTGAAGAGCCCGAGGTGAAGATGACATAGGCAACATTCCGAGGAGAGATGGGTGACAGCAATGTCTCAACGGTGGCACTGGAAACATTGGTAAAGAACTCCTCATCCATGACCACGTGTTCAATATCTGCCCAGACGTGGCGATATTGGACAGATGTAAGGACGAGTCTTGCATGTGTTTGTGACAATCTCGGCCAGCCGCTCGGGAGGGTGGCGAACATCCAATGGCACAAATGCAGTCCCAAGCTTCAGCAGTGAGATCATACATATAACGGCGTATGATGACTTCTTCAAGCATAAAGGTATCATATAACCGTTAGAAATGCCCAATGCACGAAATCTTTGCGCCAATTGGTCGGTGATTGTTGACATCTCAAAGTACGTCAGACTGGCATCCCATCCGCACAATGCAGACTTCAGCGGACATCGAAGCGCCCAACAGCTTATCAGATCATGAACGGTTTTTTCCTGAGATTCAGGTGCATTCGAGTTCCATAGGGTGGCCTGTAGCCGGTCCTGTGCACTCAGCTCAGATATCAATCCAAGAGACCGATTGAGATCGCCTTCTGTCAAATGATGAAGAATGAAATCCCATTGTTGCAGCATGCGGTCCACCTGATGAATAGACACGATAGAAGAGTCGAAGTGGGCGCGAACATCCACTCTTTTCTCCTCGATCAGCTGAGCCTCAACCGTTAACGTGCGGCCCACAATAACCTCCTCCGAAAGAACGAGGCTGTCTTCTTTGAATACCCATTCCGACACAGAAGGAATGGCTGGTTGGACCACAAAAATTGTTTGGAAGTCACATGCCCATGCTGTCGACGGCGAAAGCTTTCGGATTTGCTGTAAACCGAACGTCTCAAACTCCAAAACTTGAGAAATGCATGATTGAACTTCAAGCTCCGGAGGCCATCGGGCTTTCCGTCAAACAATTCGCACCCCAGGTGAAGGTCATTGGTGTGGACATTATTCGTGCTGCGGAAAGCTCCGAAACAAGTGGTTTTCTATGTCGTTCCTCAATCGCAGACCAGCAAATCAAATTGTTGAGCTCACTGGCGGCCGTGCATGAAAACCGGCATGTCAGCGATCATGATTACGGAGATAAGGATTTCATGACAGAAGCGATGGATGCCAATGCAGGGGTCGTTGATGAAATGATCATGGTAGAGCCACTGGAAATACAAGCCGCCGTCAAGGACACGTTCCGAGAAACGCGGGGCATTGTTGACATCAATGGAGCATTGGCAGTAGCGGGTATGATGAGATATGCTTCAAAGGCCTCCAAAGAGCCATCGCGGGGTTGCAGTCATTTCAAGCGCTGAAGTTGACTTTGAGGATCTCAAAAAGGTGTTGTTTTAGCGTTCTGCTTATAGAATAGCACAGATGCTCTAGGCCTTCGAGAAACAGTGCAGTACGCATAGCCAGGTCTGGACTCGGAGAAATTTGACAGTCTCTCTTGTGTAGAGGTAGCATGACCAACAATCCGTATAATGACCAACTCAAATGAAGTAACTACAATGCATCTCTACTCGATGATGCCCACAAAGGTGTTACGCGTCTTAGAAATCTACCAGTGTCTCCATGAATCCATGAAAGCGAGTAGTTCAGTACTTGCTTGAAGCAACTAGCATTGCCCTATACTATCATAAATGTATCAAACGGCGGACTGAGACAGCGGCAGGGGCTCCGGTAACCCGAACAAGGCCTGAATTATGCGCTTTTGCTCTTGTTGATGGACCAAATTCTCCCGAACATTAGCTATGGAGAGTCTGGACGAATTCATACGTTGAAAAACGCGCCGGAAATCATCTTTGATATCCTCAATATGCTCGATCCCGACTGACAGACGCATGTGGTCTTCCGTGACGCCCGCGTCGAATCTCTCTGAATCCGTGAGCTGCTGGTGAGTCGTGGTCCAGGGGTGCACAACTAGGGTCTTCGAGTCTCCGAGACTAAGACATAGCGCATTCCTATTAGCCAAGTAGCCTTTGAAGTAACTTGAAAGAAGAAACATCCTTGGTAGTGTTGATGATCATCTGAAGCTCATCACATAGCCTGAATCCTGCTGCTTTGCCACCCTTGATGCCAAACGAAAAGACTGCACCATATCCCCGTTGCAGATATTTTTTGGCATGCTGATGACACGGGTGGTCTTCGTTACCCAGATACCGAACCCAAGCGACTTGTGGCTGTTGCGCGAGCCACACCGCTAGTGCCTCGATGTTGCTGGCATGACGGTCACATCGAACGGCCAGAGACTCCAGCCCAATAATAAGTTGCTGAGCCGCTTGGGGACTCATAGTACTGCCGATGTCTCGGAGGACCTCAAATTGGCAGCGCATGGCGAAGGCGCGAGAGCCAAACATGTTCCACAAACTGACCTCGCCACTGCCATCGTCAGCGCTGTTGGCATGGAACTGAGGGAACTTGTCAGCATGAGAGCCCCAGTCAAAGGTCCCGGCGTCGACAATGACGCCTCCCAGGGTGGTTCCATGGCCTCCGATCCATTTCGTGGCGGAGTGCAGGGCAATATCGACTCCGTAGTCGATCGGTCGACAGTAGTAGCCAGCACAACCGAATGTATTATCGCACTAAGATCTCTATTAGCATTTGAAAAGTAGTAAGAGACACCAGGATCAGGTACGGACAATCAATGGAATGCCATTGGCATGAGCAATCTCCGCTAGGGCTTCAAAATCGGGGACAGTATACTTCGGATTGCTAATACTCTCCACGAAAAGGAACTTGATCTTTTCATCAATCAAAGCTCGGAAGTCTTCTGGATCATTTGAAGGGACAAAACGACATTCAATTCCCAATTGCGGCGCGAGGACCTTGAACTGGTAGTATGTGCCCCCCATGGATCGTTGACGTCGCGACGATGTTGTCTCCGACACCAGCCAATGCCATCAAGGTCATCGAGACAGCGGCCGTTCCCGATGCAACTGCACATGCGGCCACTCCCCCTTCCAGTGCCGCCATACGGTTCTGGAACAGGCTCACAGTAGGCTAAGATAAGCACGAGAAGCTTTGTCAGCCAGCTGCATTTCATCGCCGGCCCGGCCGGCGTGACTTGTCCTTACATTGGTTATCCGGCTGTAGATGCCGAGTTCTCTGATATTCAAGAGACGCACTCCATGCTCAACATTATTGAATGCAAATGCAGCAGTGGTGTAGATGGGCACCGCACAGCTATTCAATGCATCGGGAAAGGCCCTATGGCGTACCACATCAGCATTTAGCTTCAGCCAAGGCTTGCTGCATTAGACGGACCCAGCATGAAGTTGAAGTTTCAAACCGCTGAGATGCAGGTTTTTCCAGCATGATGAAGAAGTCAACCGTGAGAAGTTGTGGTCGGTAGATCTACGGCCTGTTGATTCAAGCTAAACAATTTCAACTGCAATGGCCCTTACGGGGAAAGTGTCGTCTTGAGAGCACCATGATAAGTGACTTCCTAGGGAGATCATCCGGAAGAGGGAACTAAGAGACATGACTGTGCAGATCTAGCGCAGCCAAGGTTAATCTCAATGGCAAGATCAGGCCCCTCGTCTAGCTCTAACACATGGTAACATCCGTAACGTGGGGGCGAAGGGGTTCGATATGCTGAACTCCGCTTATTCCGAACTCCAGGTCTATTCCGAAGGCGGGAATGCGCATCATTCTCCCTTTCCCCCGACTTGCGGCGTTTTTCCCTCTCCGGTCATAGTCAATGTCGAGGAACAATTCTGTCCATATTGAGCCCTCATGTTGAACGACACATGGACGCACATAATCTCCCAAATCCTGGGCTGGACTTATTTCATCCTGTGGTCGCTGTCCTTCTACCCGCAAGTCCTGCACAATCACCGCCGCCGTTCAACGGATGGCTTCTCTGTCGACTTTGCAGTGCTTAACATCCTCGGCTTGACCGCATACACAATTTTCAATGCCTGCTTCCTCTTTTCGCCGGTTGTGCGGGCCCAGTATACTCAAAGGCATCCCCAGGGCGCCGAACCGACCGTCCAATGGAATGATTTCGTCTACGCCCTCCATGGAACCCTGATTTGTTGTCTGATTGGCAGCCACTTCCTCTGTGCGAGGTTCTGGAACTTTCAATCTAAGTCACAACGGGTGAGTATCTTGGCTCTCGTGATCATTGGGGCATGCGTGGGGGTGGTGGCCTTGGCCATTCTGTACGTTTGGGTTTCGCCGTCGTGGGAATGGATTGACGTGGTAAGAAGGCATCCGGCCGATCAAATCTCTAAATAGTTCGATTTGTGCTGACTCTCATATTCACATAAGGTCTATGTGGTCGGCATGATCAAGGTGTTCCTAACCGCCGTCAAGTACACTCCCCAGGCCGTAATGAACTATTTAAGGAAGTCCACGACAGGGCTTTCCATTGTCGCGATCCTGCTTGACCTGGTGGGCGCTGCGCTGTCGTTGATGCAGCTGGCGCTGGACTCTTCGTTGCAGGCGGACTGGTCGGGGACCACCGGAAATATTGCCAAATTCCTGCTGGGAAACATGACCGTCCTATTCGATTTCATCTTTATCTTCCAGCACTTTGTGTTGTATCTGGAACAACCGGCGGAGAGGAAGCCAGGGCTATCAGAGCATGATCCTCTCCTGGATAGTAGTAACGCGCCATAGATACACACAATCAAATGGTCTGAATTTCTCCCTATGTCTGCCACATATGAACGAGCAACGAAGCAACTTGTATCCGTGGTTCATTCCCTTATGGAGCTGATGTAATTTGGAAGAACGAAACATAATAGTCCACCTCTGAATGAGGCATTGCGGAATGACGTCCACTCCATGACCAGACCCTCGTGTGTTTCTACTAATCTATACGGTGAGCAGAAGCGGTATCGGATGTAGTAGTAAGTACCACCCGAGTCGATGAAAAGCTTAGGTGACACTATAGCTCCATGTATCACACGAGAAGCGTTATTTTGTACTACCGGGCAGTATTTGATATATAGAGAGTCAAGCCCAAGCAGGGCAAAAAAAATATTCTTCCCTCATTTATGGTTTGTCTCAACTTCAACTACCGAACTTTCTGTCCAGCTACCCTCAACCACCGTATAGACAGAGCTTCTTCAAGATTCACCACATCTCACCACAAGCAAGGCCCGGTAAGCCTATTATGTAAGAGCGGGCCCGATGTCTATGGAGCGGTAGCGCCCATGACAGTGGAGTCCTCCGGCCATTTCATCGGGAAAAAGGGAGACATCAAAGCCTTGACCAGATTAATCTCTAAGCCCATCGTTGAGAGAGCCTGGAACAGTCTCCTTTGACAGGTATGTATCGAAGTCTTTGTTGATCTAGTACTTGCGAAAGGCAACACGAAACGCACAGGCCGTAATGAACATCAGCCCGGCAACTACTGACCACAGCACGACCAGCAAAGGGTCTCTCGCAAGGGGTGATAGTGCCATGCCTAACAAGTAACCTAGCCCTGCTGTCCCGATATAGCACGCCTGCAGGATCGATTTCATGCTTTTTGGGGCGTGGGAATAAGTATACTCAGAGCCCGTGGGCCAGCAGAACACTTCCGCTAGTGCGATGATGATGAAGGTGGGGAGCTGCCACAGCACATGGATGCGGTTCGGGATCTTTCCGCTGTCTGAGGCCTCGCACTCAAGGGGGTGCGAGTAGCAGGGCCCCGTACGATAGATAAATGCCTGCACCGTGGCCGAGTATGCCATGGCCACAGACATAATGACAAAGCCCAGTGTGATCCAGTCCACTGCACGAAAGATAAATTTGCGCTTCTGCAAGAACGGATACAGCTGTTTGTGGACGATGAGTCCGAAAATCACATAGGCTATCGGATTGGCGGATTTGATCAGATCGTTAGGGATTCCGTGAGTTTCCATCTGCCCCGCCTGCGAGATGGACACCTGGGCTCCTTCTGCCATGCAGACCCAGAAGATTGGCCATCCGATGCTTTTGGGGTTAGTCGAGCTCTACACTTCGTAACGCGAATCCCGGTGGTTGGATGGGGAGGGTAGTCAACGCACCAGATTTTAAAAGCTGACAGGGCATCCCGCAGCTCTACAATAAACTCCTTATCCCAGGGGACCACTCGTCCATGCGTCTCTAGTTGATATTGCGGCAGAGCGGCGTTGAGCTTAAAGCCCCCTCGGACGGCATACCACAAGCACCGAGCAGCACGAGGCAGCTTAGAGCCTTGGACGGGGGGATGGACTGGCCCAAGCATCATTAGACCTATTGACACAGCTCTATGAGAAAGATTTGCAAGACGCACCGAATCTGGATTTCGCCACATGGACGATAAACACGCAAAGGATCACCGCACAGAGATCCAGCAGATAAGCCGACCAGAACCCGATGTGTTTTTCCATCAGCGTAGTGGCGATGCTGCCCAAGGAGCCGACATTGACCATCCTAGCCGGCCACCGCCTTTAGCTGAAGTCTCCCGGTCTCTGCATAGGGCACATGGCAACCTACCAGTAGTAGAGATTATAGATATACTGAATTGTGAGTTCACGGTCTTCCACAACCCGTTCGCCCCGCTTGGTGACTCTGATTCGCATTTCATGCTCCGTGTACTGATCCGCTGTTGTTTGATCAGCCTCAAGGTACGTCCGTAGTATAGTTGCGCATACCGATGAATGGCTGAACGGAAGCTTGGACCCCTCCGAGACCGACAACAATGAGTAGAGCACCCGCGACGAAGCCAGGAATTACGATCCCGGACGAAATCTCGGAGGGAAATGAGGTTGCGAAGAGGATCGTCGACCCTATGGCATAGATACTGGAGGAGAGCAGAAGGAAAGAATCAGCCCATGGTGCGACACATGAATCTCAAGAAACTACGAGGCACCCATGTACATACCCCGTGAATATCTGAAGAGCCCTATACCGACCTAGGCATCCATCGACGAGGATAGAGGTCGGTAGCGGGAGAATATTCACCAGCACGGTGAACGCCAGATTAACCGTAGTGGCTCGAGATTTGCCCAGATCCATTGCTCCCGGGACTAAGTCATTCGGTCCATTCTGCAGATAGTTTTTCGGGCTTGTGTTAGTAGAGGCAGTGCCCATGGCGTAGAGACTTGGAGAGCGTATACTAACGAAAAAGAGTTTGCGTTCCATAGTACGAGAATCGCTCGGCCATTCCTATAGTGGCCGCCTACCAGACTCGCATGGGAAGAGGCGCCGACACATGGCGTAAGTTACGAATCTCGTCGTCGGATGCCAGACTACCCTCTCGCGTGGGGGCCATAATCCCAGACTCAATTTTGGCTTCAACCTTTTCTAGGGGCTCATCCATGGCGGAGGTTCTTTTGTTTTAGAACACCTGGACGTGAGTTTGTTTTAGGGATTCAGAAGACTCAAAATTCAAATCTAGGCAACAGAGCAAGATCGGTGCTTGCTCGAGGCAGGTTTATCGGCATGAGATCGGAGTCGAAGCCGGAGTTCGGAGTATTGACACATCATCGATGCCGAGAGGTCTCCGTAAGATGACGATGAGGGATCTGACTTCCAGACACCCAGAATGGTATTTATTCAAGGAGAGGGAAGCCGTAATGTATCAGCATCATATCTCAGCGACAATGCCGCCTGAAGTGTGTATACTGATCGATGACACTCAAAATGGTAATATAGATTCTTCTCCCGATGAGCCACTAGAACTCTGTGCCTGACATTTCACAGTCCACGTGGAGATTGTAGCCACCAGCCTTGAGCCGCTGCAAGGGGGAGACATAACTGAATGCAGTGTGTTAACGGCTTTGGTGCAGCCTTTGAGACAGGAGGTACTCGATAAAATCCGAGCCTTGTTTCCAGGGACCCGATCAATGCTGGTAATGGATGCCGGCTCGGACACCCCCACCAAGGCCACCCTGGACCCAGCCAATATTAGCTCCATCTGCACATGTCTGGGCGATCAGAAAGGCCAGCAAACCGTCCTTTTTATCATCCCCAACCGAGAAGGGTATGTGGTTCGCAGTGATCTATTCCAGGATCGACTGCGCGGTTGCCCAGGGATCCAAAAGGTGGTCAGCCTCGTCAACCCCCGGCAATTCGTCGGTCCCCTTCCAGCCACGGCACATTGTTTGGCAAAACCCATCGAGTTGGCCGTTTGCTGCATCCTGGTCGATAGTGTGGACGAAGGCTCCCATAGACAGCTGTCAGATCACATGCAATTGCGGCTGCGAGAGAGGCTCTCATTGCAGTGGCTGTCACCGACGCCAATTCCCCTACGCAGGCTTGCTGTGGTCGGTGAAGTCCGCCCAGCTCATCTCTCTTCGCGATTCTTCCAGGCCGCTCGAGCCCTGGAAGTCGAGGTAGTAGCCCTAGGGCCCCCGTGGTCATTGGCTACAGGATCCAGAATCGCGAAACGACCCAGACCGAGAAGTCTTCATCGAATTGGATCTGACGGTGGATGCTGGCCTTCCGGATCAGATTGTGGCCGCGATTCAAGACCACGCTGCCGAAGTCGATGGAATAATTACAGTGACTGAATATCTTCTGATACCCGTCGCGCAAGCCGCCGAGCGACTGGGTCTCCCCACCTCACCATCCACGTCGTTCATTCAGTCCGTCAATAAATACCAGACCCGCTTGGTGGACAGTCCAAGTTCCTGCCGTCTGGTCTCGAGTCTGGATGCTTTCCAATCTCAGCTAGCATCTGAGGAGGAAGGAATACTTCCTCCTCCGGGCCCGCCGTGGATTGTCAAGCCCTGCAATGGCTGGCATAGTCTAGGGGTCGCCAAGGTGACCACCAAGGAGGATCTAGTGGCGGCCGTGGAGAGAGTCGCCAAATATGCCGCCTACAGCCGAGATATGGCAAATACAGAAGATCCTCAATGGCAGACCAACGTGTTGATTGAGGAGTACTGCGATGGACCGGAAGTCGACTGTAATTTCGTCTTGTGGGAGGGTCAGATCCTCTTCTTTGAGGTGGTTGACAACTTTCCGTGTGCCGGTGACACCGTAGCAGAGAGCATGCAAACCACGGAGAATTTCAAAGAATCACAGCTAGTGTTTCTCTCGGCCCTGCCACCATCGGAGCTGGAAACGCTGAAATCCTCTCTTCACGACACTATTTCGCGTCTGGGCTTCCGCTCCGGGGTCTTCCATGTCGAGGCTCGGGTGCGTGATTCGAGTTTCGGTACCGAGCCGCAAAAGACGACGAGACGCTAGACTTACGTCCCAGCCCGAAGCCTGCGGCACACCGTGCGACAGTCTTCCTGATCGAGATCAACGCCAGGCCTCCAGGCTATGTGGATACCTGCGCCAGTTACTATGCAAATGGGGTTGATCTATTTGCGCTCCAAATCCTGATCGCACTTGGAGACGATACAGGTCACGAGCCTTGTCCCAGCCATTCCATTCTCGTCCACACGTTGTGGTCTCGGCGATCCAAGCAACAAAGGCCGGGATTGTCGCGTCGGAAGATCCTTGGAAAGATCTTGCCCAGAAGAATCCCACGTTGATGCGCAATGTGGTGCATCATGTCATGAGTTTTGGCAAGGGTGATCGGATCGAGAATCCGCGGTTAGACACTACGCCATGGCTTTCAGCGTTTACTGCATACTCACTAAAGAATCGTGCGGACGCATTGAGATTATGTTCACAGGTTAAGGGGGAGTTTGAGTGTAAGTTTGTTTAGATAGACTGAGCCCTGCTTATTTGCGCCCTTCCATTGCGAACCCTCCAAAGCAAAACCAAGTTCCTCGAAAGTCTTGAATCTTCTTGAACGAGGTGATCTTCATTTCTTTCATCACAGCATTTGGCCAAAAGAGGCCCCAAAATCTGTATTCTCGAGCAATTGAATCCCTTCCAGATCCATGGAGAAAAGACTATCGAAGTCGACGTCGAAGTTGTGCTCAGTATCTCTATCAGATGCGGGAATCTCCAATCGCGGCTCTAGGATTTCATCTAGAATACGAGTGAAAATAGCCGCAGTCCGGTTAAAGTAAGTAGAGCTTGTCTGGTCGGGACGGGCCATGGGCTCCAGATGCGAGATGAACACACTCAGGTTGCGAATGAGAGAGGCTTGCGATCCCGAGTAAAGCATCGGCTGGCCTGTCCGGGCCTGTTTTTGCAATGCTCGAATAAGCACGCTGGCGCCTGGAACCCCATAAAGAAGAATCTAGCCAGACTCGAAGGTTAGTATAAGTAAATTTCGATGAATCTGAAAGAGACGCTCACTATCCAGGTAAAATCGCGCTGAATTGCAACCGATCGCTCCCACTGTCGGCCCAAGGTCAAGACGGTGGAGATTATCGTTGCACTCACGTCAAGCTGGGAGGCACTCGTTTCGCCTGAGTCCTTGGTCAAAAGGCTCTGGACCAGAAACTCATTATACAGATAGGCTAAGTAAGAAATGAGAAGCATCAATTTCACACTGGTAGGCAGATCTGTTCCCCAGCACTCCAGTGTGTAATGAAGATGCTTGGGCAGCGAATTCCAGGCTTCATTGCAGCGACGAGATACAGACCTAACAGGCAGTCGATGAGTATGACAAGACAACCGCTTATGCTCGGACATCGATGGTAAACTTACATCAATTGATCGGTCCTTTCTGGGCTTGATTTCTGCAAAGAAAGCTCCAAGATTTCTTCTCGAAATGTGCTGACGATGAATCGCAATCGTATCCAGGTCGCTCTTTGGTAAGCCTTTTTCATGCTCCACCCCTGGGGATCCAGGGAGGTCTGAACAGCCTCCAGGTTTTCGAAGTCTTCTGTTAGTACATGGTCGCTAATGTCGAGCGGGAGACAACAATCTGAGTGTCGCCATGAAATTCGTGGTGGACGTCCAAGAAAGGTCGCAATACCTTTATCGAGTTGATAGGCGGCTGCGAAGAGCCTCCGTCGAGATTCTAGAATGAAGAGCGGCAGTGCCGTCGAGCTAGCCGTGTCTCTATGCACGCCCAATTCAAATATATTCGTTGCAAGCTCGCCAAGGCGCTGCCAGGTGATCGAACCTAGAATAAGCTCCCCGTCAGTGCTGGCTGCCTTTGAGCAGAATCCGAAAATGGGGACCCACTAGAATCACTGAACAATAAACTCGATAGGAGGAGATTCTCGTGCACGAGCCATAAGGTCAGGTCATTCAAAATAGTCAAATGCCTGCATACATGCAAAGCAACATCACAAGCGGCGAGCATTTTGCGAAAAAAATGAGCTTGCGACTCGGCATTGGAGGTACTGCTACGGGACAGACCGAAGTAACTGGCGCGACCCGCAAGAGCACAGATGATCCCGATAATCTCTAAGCGAAGCGATGAACCAGTGAAGCATTTGTGAAACATTTTCCCAGTGGCATCTTTGGGAATTTGGAACGTCTTTGCCGTGTTTTGGATAATAGATGCACTAAGTGCAGAGAGGTGCTCGCTGGTCCCGTTGTCGGATAGGCTTTCGAAGGTGATCTCAATCTCCGCGAGGGCATTGAGGATCAAAGGAGACGCAATCACCGCAGTTTGCGTGACTTCGTAATACTCGTGGATGAGGTGTTTGATGGTAAGGAAGTTTGTCAGACTGTGAAGGACTTCGGAGACCCTTTTCATCCACAAAGGGCTTGGGGCGATTACAAGGCCCCCACGCCCACCTTGGGCAGAGTGTTCGCCTGCATTAGAAATCAAGTCGCCATCATCTTCCGGTCCAAGTACAAAGCTTGTAGGGCCCAAATAACCCGTGGGTAGCGACTCCCCCGTCCGAGGAGTGGAGTGGATGATAGACGGAATGTCTGCCTCTGAGCCCAGCGTTTCGGAGCGGGACTGGGGATTCACCAGGGAGTCTGATGAACGGGAACAAGGCCTTCTCGCCCCTTGCGCATCAGCATTTGATGTTAGACCGACCTGCTTGAAGATACCTACAGGTCAAGCGGACTATAATCATCCCGTCGTCTCCTATTGGCATTGGTCATAGGTTCCGGATGGTAGAAACACCGATCGGCGGCGCCTCGTTGCTGACAGCGATTGCACACGGGCAGTGCATGATCGCATCGGACTTTACGTGTGCGACAAGGCTCACAGGATGCCAATTTGCCATTTCGACGGCGGGAGTTCCTAGGAGAGGATTATCCAACCATTCAGTCAACAAAGTCTAAGAGCTGCGAGGCCACAACTGACATCTTGCGTGGGATGATCGAATCCAAGTAGGGAATCTTGCTTGTTTCTCTGTCTTTGTGTTAAGTCTCACCGCCTTTTCCCTCTGGCTTTCTCTCTCACTTCATGTATTGTAGCTTCTTCTCTTACTCTTAATCATAGCTACAATCCATCAATTTCTTATCTTTCTTTTCTCTATCTCATTCCTTTGCTTCCAGGTAGAACTCAAATCATATCGACGATGTTATGCGGCACCAGGAGAGTCGGGTCAATTATTTTGTTCACTTCAGGTCAATTCGACAGTGAAGGTTCTTTCCCTCTAGGGCTTCGGAATATCGGGGTTCAACTCCGCTGAAATGCAATCTTCGGAATAGGCTATTTGTCGGCCCCGCAAGAACAAATATACTCCGTCGGACACGCCAGCCACGACATGGATATTTTCAAGGAAGCGGAACTGGATGCAGTAAGTATGCACTGAAATTGTGGCAAAAGGCTGTCCGGCCAGTGGCGCAGTTCGGAGTACAATAACCCTTTTTCTTTGTGATTCATTTGGACAGCGAGACAGCGGAAATAAAAGGAAAGTTGACCCCACTAAATCTAGAATATATTACAACCCTGACCGCTTTTCGCGTTTTTTCCCCCAGCCTTTGGGTCTTGGGAATGGTTTCTATTTCCCATTCTAAATATCACTTCATCGAATCAAAATCGCAAGTTAACATCCGCGCCGAACTCCAGCAAAGCCTTGACCATCCTAGTTTGTCCATTCTGAACCGCAAGGTGCATGGCAGTCATTCCATGTCCATCTACCATCAACAGAGTCGCCGCAGCCCCGTGCATAAGCAATAGGCGTCCTGCCCTTTCGTGTCCTAGGGCCGCAGCCAGATGAAGAGGCGTCCGTCCATCATTATCCCGAGCTTTCACATCGGCGACATGAGCCAGCAAAACCGAAATCATCTCTTCATCATCCAGAATCACCCCCTCATGCAACAATGTTCGACCGGGGGCCCGTCGATCACAAGAGTTGGTGGTCAATTCACCAGTAGGCTTATGGGAGAGGAGGTTCGGTTCGAGCAGAAACGATGTATCTGATGGAGGGAAGGCCAACTGTGAACGAATTAGTCGTTTGGAGGAAGACCAAGACGAAAAAGGAAAGCGAGGGGTTCACAATTGAAAGGTGATCTTCGACTTCACAGGTCAGTGAGCGGAATTTATCATCATGTGCTGTTGACGGGGGGCTGCACAGCCCCTTGGCATGTTCAGTTGAGCCAAGAAATGGGCCGGAGAAAAGATCATTACGATTCGTGGAGCATGAGTCTATGAGCGTATCAACTTCCAACCCGGATGGATTGGTCGGAGAGAGGAGAAAGCCCCCTTGCCTCGACTGCGGATTCACCAGATGCTTCGAGGCATTGGATTCATCCTCTGAATCTTCAAGACTCTGTCGCAGCTGATTATACTTCTCTAATTGCTGTTTCACGGAATTGCCTGCAGATAACGATAAGGGTTGTCCCCTCAAGGTGAACTTTAGGGAGAAAGAAGTACAACTCACGATGGTTTCGCTGGCCTGTCGATTGCGTGCCCCTCGTTGGTCTTCCTTGGACATTTGACTAGGGACTGGCGTCGCTGATGGAGTCGCTGTTTGAGGGTATCCAGACCCCGGAAGAGCAGGGAATTGGGACGAAGGCAACGCCATTGTCGCTCCAGCACAAGTCGTTCTTGGGCGAACATAAACAGACGGATCATGCGCGGTTTGTTAGAATAGGCTATACTACTTGTGTCTAGTTCCATGATGCAGGTATAGAATCCTCTATTTTTACTACGTTTTCACCACTGAGCAGCCTTCCGCGGCCAGAAGTACGTTCTTTCGGGCCAACCGACGGCCCAGCCAAGCGAGCGGGGGAGTGAAAATGATGGACAGGGTCGCAGTGGAGACAGTGAAGCGGTACGTAGAGGGGCCACTTCAATGTCGTTGGTTAGCTCTGGTGGAGCCGGGATATCAGGGTAACATCTGGCCTTGGCAAGACTGAACTCACAGGAAACCTGAAAAAGAAACCAAAGACCAAGTACTGTGAGATTACTGTTGAATTGAATGAGAAAACCCTGATTTCCACTGCCCAGATCAAACTTTTAGTACCTATCCTCTTACGCACTTGTGCTAGTTTCTATGATTTTGACTCAGATTTCATGCTTGCAAGAGCTTAGCACTTTCAGTCTTAGGTCCTATCCTTCAAATCTTGTCATTATCGTAGCTTCATTACATGCTTTATACATTGAACCATAACTAGTGCCAAGCAAAAGGCACTTCAGGGACGGAGCCAAACACCAAAATCAGCACCTACCGAAAGCACGTAATTTTTCACACGTAAATCAGCAGATGGGCCTCTTGGCCCCAAAAACCCACCATGGAGGTTCTTGAACCTCGTGGTGGTGATTTACACGTGTCACCTCTCGTCCCATTACCCAGCTCCCTCCTTAGGGGGAACGCCGAACACCCCAACACCGCACCACTGGCTCTCTGAGGCACTCGCGGACCCATCGATCGACCTTGAAACACCCCAGGCAGAGCCAGAACACAATCGAACCACTGATCGGGTCACCGAGACCCATAACGGAATCAGACGGAAGGCCTCCCAGGTCCTAGGCCGACCGATCCTAGACGCGGGCATTCTTGATACCGGCAAAGCACTCGCAGGTCTCCTGATCCAAGTGCAAGACGCTTATCAGAGCCGTCTGCAACAGATACAGGCGCAGCTAACAGAAGTGCTACAAAGCTGGAGAGCTGAGCAGCAAGTCCGTGAAGACCTGCATGCTGGACGGATCGAGACACTTAAACACGAAGTCAATAAGCTTCACAAAGAACTCAAGGAGGCTCAGCAAGCCACCTCGTATAGGATTCCAAAAGTATCTTACCGCAGCAATCTAAATAGTTCTAAATAGGTTATTTTCCTAGAATCAAGGGGCAGTGCCTCTTAGCGAATTGAGGCCGAACGCGGGTTAGCTAAGGCGTGTATCTTACGGCTACAAACTTTCGAAAACACTATTTCAACGTTCGCTAAAACATCTCAATACGCATCGATAAGTACTGATCGTGACTCATATATACATCAGCGGTCGCTGTACGGAGACGGAGCCGAGTTAATATAAAAGGAGCCGTATTCCTCGTCCAGAAAAAGTCAGGACTTGTCCTCACACTGTCCTCACACTCTGATGCATTTTAGTATCCCTCTCTCATCTACAGGCTTGAGAGTCTCCGTGGCCATGGCTATCGCTACAATGAGCCCAGCGATATAAAATTGGCGCTCCTGGTAGGACAAGCTCTGCGTTATTAACTATACTTCGCAGAATAGGCTCTGCGATATTGACTATACCTCGTAGAATAAGCTCTGCGATGTTAACCGTATCTCGTAGAATAGGCTCTACAATATCAAGTGTGTCTCGTAAGATAGGCCCTACGATATTAACTATGCCTTGCCGAATAGGCTCTGCGATAATAACTTTATCTCGTAGGGGTTACTACGATAACAAGGCTTCTAGCGACGCGCAGGCGCCTCTCTGTGCTGTTAGGGACTAGTATTCGAGTATTTCGAAAGTATTCAAAGAAGCAAAGACCTACGTAATATATTCATCTTCTTTATAATCCGAAGGTTAGGACGACCCAAGATAGATATAAACCAATCACTAGAATCGTACAATTCCGGACTGAATCTTTTTCATTATCGGGTGCCGTGTTATCGACCCTCTTTAATAGTTTGCGGTACGATAGCCCTCTCAGCGCAAAAAAAATACGTATACCATAGAGGCCTAGAACGAACATAAACGTGTGTTGATGAGCATTTTAGTGAGTGTTAAAGTGAGCGTTGATAGCAATGATAATAAGGAGTGCTGATGGTGACTGTTAATAGTGACTATTGATAGAGGATTTTAACGGTTGATGGTCTCAGTTCATGTGAAGAAACTGCCGATGCTGATCACCGAGCGGTGGGAGCGGTCTAGTGGTCGAATTGCCACTACACCCATACACATGGTCTTTACAACCTGTTCAATTCACTTGGCCATATTATGGCGCGATTCGAGAAGGTTCTTTAGGGAACGAACCGTCAAGCAGTTAACAAACAGTGAAGGGCGAACGAACAGTCAAGTAGTGGCAAACGGACAGTTGACTTCGATACTAAAAACGCCACATAAGAAGCGGCAAATGACCCTGATTCTGATCTCAAGCGGGTACAGTATGCTGCAAGTAGAGTCCCATAACATGTCCGAGTCATAAGTGAAATGTCATGTAGCTACCAATATTATTGAATAATACAAAGACCCTTGTGGTCGAGCCGGAATTTAGAAGCTAAAGGATCGAAGCGCTCAAAGTCATGTTAGAACATCTGGATTCAAAACAATCTCAACTAACAGATCAACACTAGTGATACGTCTTTCATAGAAGACGCACGATGCAGCATACACTCTCACAGAGAATCAACCAACTACCCGTCAAAGAAGGTCAAGAAAAGGGCAATCTTCTGGATCGGCGTAGAAAGTTCCTTTTAGCCTTTTAATCACTAAGCAACGCTCCTCCATGGTACGGGCGTTTTGCAGCTTTGCTCCACCTTTCTCACTCGCGCCCTCTTTTGTTGTCTTCCAAACCCACGTCCCACCATCCGGGGTCCAACCGACCCGAACATAATCATTAGACCTGTTATTGAGCATGCCGAAGATTTCGCTTTCAAACCATGCCAATTCGCTTGGCCACCATGTTGGGCCAAGACGTCGCACTGTCAGAAGTTAGAAATATACAGCGTTTCAATGAAAGCTTTCTTATCACTCACTACGATCGCAATGCGCATTCTCCTTTTGCTGCCATTCGGGATCGGAATTTGTTGGACGCCGCGTATTGTTAAATGGGTCCAATTCCAGGAACTCTATCGCCACTCGGCTAGAGATATCAAGCGTATAGATTTCGCCTTGGGAGGGCCATCCTTGGACTGTCGTGCCAGGCCCAGACGAATAATATGCCCAGAACTGCGGCTGTCGTGGAAACCAATTCTGAGGGGTAGTATGGAAACCAATTCTGAGGGGTAGTATGGTCACTGCTCACTTCCTGAAGCACGTCCGAGTGCATAGTGGGTGGTTTTTGAGGGGCGGAGCTCTCCGACTTAGTTTGATAGCCTAGCCAACCAACTGTAACTGATATAAGCAATACGATCACAGTCCACCAGTTCAGCATTTTCCAGTTTCAGAGACAAATAAGTCAGAGGGGACAATATCAGGGATCCGGAATATAGAGAGACGTGTGCCCTCAACCAAGAAGTAGCGTAAAGTTTAGGCAGACATGATTGCAGCTTCTCAGTGATTCACAAGCCAACAAACAAGTCAGCAGGTTCCGCCAAGATGATTCTGCGGTTTGCAGGATCGTTATGTTAACGAGATGTGGCGTCCAATGAAACGTGCGATACAGTACGTGCCGGTCTCGTCGTATTTTGTCCATTAATCTTGGCCCTTTTTAACTAGCCCTCATCCAAATACTTAGACGTTTTGAGTGATCATTTAAAGTAAACTTCCTCACCTAATTTGTGATTGGGACCTTCCAATCATAACCCTAAGTGAGTGATGCGCAACTTGGTTAAAGTGAGTAGGACAGAAATTATTGGCTAACCGACAAGCCCTTCTCCACCTAAAGCCTAGGTCCGTGTTTATCCCAATAGTTTCACATTCCTCAGGTCCGCGACGAAAACTTATTTCAACTTCTGTGAAAGGACAGAGTCTGACCCATTCCGAGATCTCGGGGTAGACCGGAGAACTCGAACCTGCTACTCTTCAATGGTTCACAGTTCCCTGGCTCAAAATACTAATGCCTGTCCTTTGCTATCCCGAGAGGGGCTTATTGAGTAGCCAATCATTTATTATTGCAACACAGAGTAATTTCATTTTGACCGAGTCCCGTAAATTGAAGTGTTTTCCGTTAATCATCGCTAGAATCCATTAGTAAAAAAAATTCCCGACCCCCTTCCTTAGAAAGCAGGGCAAAAGCGATTATCAATTGCAAAGTCCTACCGACCTGTGGCATTGCTCAATACCCATAGCATGTTCCTGGGGGCAGTGGTCGCACGGCGGATCAGCTACGTGGTAGAGGCCATAGGATTGTTACCAAAGACCCATCTTGGGGGGTCGACAGGGGACCTTCACAGACCACGCGATTCGCAACATGATTGACCGAGAACAAAAGGCCTAGGAAAAGGGCAAGCTGGTGGTGTCACTGCTGATGCTAGATGTATCAGGAGCATACGATAATGTTTCCCACGAGCACTTGCTCCATAACCTCCGAAAACGACGACTGGGTCGGCTCCCCCCTGTGTGAAGGGCTTGTTGTCTAATCGGAGCACGAGAACCTGTATGCCCAATTTACCGTCACCTAGCGTTGGGATGTATTCTCCTTCGGGTCGTCCGCCTGGATCTCTAGTCTCTACCTCGGTCGATTGGATCGACTCTATAAACGGTCGCAAAATACATCTACATTTGAACTTGGGACTCAGACTAGCCTTTTGAGGTACCCTCTGGGGATCTACAAACTTCTTGCAAATCAACAGTTAAACGAATGAATTGTAATTGGTAACGATCGTGTTCAGCTCGCTTCAGGCCAAAAGAGTGATGCCTTGTTATATATTTTTTTTTTTTAATTTTTTGATCTTTTCACCTTTTTTTTTTTATTCCTTTGTGTTCGTCCCATTGCCTCGTCTTTTCTAGTTCTGGGAGAATTTATGGTTTCTTGGCTGTTGAAAGTCGTAAAATCGTGATACACAAGTGTGGATTAAGGCCCACAACTTCCTCATATTTATAATGCACCCTATTTACCGCTCAACATCGCGGTGATAGCTGGTACCCGTAATGGGATTGTCGTACTCCCGATGAACGTGAGTGGTTCCGTCATCACGGCGGTCAACATCTCTGTGTCGGTAGACGCCTTTGTCATTAAGTCGCTCCCGATGGTGTCGTCGCGAGGAATCGGTTCGGTAGTCGAGGTGCTGGTCGTAGGCGCCGGTGTCTGGATCGTAGGTTGTTACACCATAACCGGTGTCGTAGTCCGTAGTACCATATGTTGTGCCGGTATTATCATAGGTGGTTCCGACCCCACTGTAGTCGTATGGGTGGTTGTAGGAATCGTCGTCGACGTAGCGGCTGCTCATCTTGTTGGCGTGATCACTTCCGATGAAGCTAATAATAATGAAGAATGTTGTCAAGAAGAATTTGTTGGAAATACGGAAAGTCTGATCATGAATGTAGGAGACGAGCACCGCATGTCGAGTCTTATATTAGTTTGTGTGGCGTTGATATCACGAGTATGACTTTGTCTGACATCACATTACAAGATATCGAATTGTGAACTATGAGGCAAAGTGGATAATTAGAATGACGAAGAAAAAGGTGACCTCGAAACACGGTTGGACCCTTAATAAATCGACTTTCGGGGAACGAGTTCCAGACCATCTTCTCGGGAGGCGGATGATGCCAAGCTGAAGGTTGGGGGATCCACATCAGCAACTCTCATATACATCTACAATTGAGAAAGAGAGGATAGAGACTATTCCAGATACTTAAATGTCATCATTGTTTGAACAGGATTGAAATATTCATCAAGAAAGCAAGTACCGATCGCTCTATTGTCATCAGCGACTTTTACATGTTTGCATTTAATGTTATGAAGAGATGAGGCCCCACTCACTTACAAAACCGAGACAATAGATCGAGAACGTCAAGGATGCAAATGAGCGTACCTTGGAGCTTTCGCGAAAAGTGCTCAATGTGGCAAGAGAGAGATTGAGTGCAGCTTGATCTTGCCACGCTCTTCGAAAGCCAACCAATTGTTTCGCGGAGGTCCAACACATGCGACCAAATGCTACAGACAATGCTCAACAATGATGGCGTACCGGACTTAATCGTACGTTCATTCTTGGGTCCAGAATGGTGCCATGTAACAGAGATTAGGAGAACAACAAGACCATTTCGGGAAAGCCTATAATTTCTCACTGCAAATCTGCTCCTCGCATGTCGGATCTCAATGAGATTTTTGAGGCAGTACGAGACCTGAAGAACACATTCGAGATGTGCAAAGTGCTTGAATTATAAATATGTTTTACAGCCACAAAGTTTAGCTCATCCAATCTTGCCCATCTGCAAACTGGTTATTCATATTCAACTCTCCCGACCCAGCGGGGCCAAAGAGTCCGACAGGAATTCACTAGCATTCATCAAGTCTGTACTTCCGTAGACAACGCGGCGGCGGCCACCAGCCGATGCGCGGTTGGCCGATGGGTTGCCGTCGGGTCCAGTCTGGCCGCTTGTTCGGTGCACCCAATCCTGCAAGTTACCATACTCGTCCATGCTGCCACCACCGACTGTGAAGACAATCGCTTCGTTGAAGGCCTGGCGGCGCTGGCCGAAGCTGGCGCCGGTGCCGGGGCCTACACTACCCATGGTGCCGGGCATCTGCTGGTTTCTTGATGCAGAGGCGGGAGGCATGGCGCCGCGGGCATTGGCGCTGCGAGGGTCGAAGTATAGGTAATTTTCTGTCTTCGCGATGGCGGAGCTGGATGCAGCAGAGGGATCCATGATAGATTCAGTGATCTTGGTCACGGTAAGATCCTTATTCGCAGGCAAAAAGTTCTTGACCCCGGAAATGAGTGAGTCGAAATTGGCACCGAGGGCGCCGGAGGCGATCCTGTCCGTAAGACGGTTGGAGAGTGAGGAGAACCCACGGAAGATGTCGTTGGATTGCTGTTCGGGAGCTGCCGTGGTCATCATGGTCATGCGGGTGATCTCGCGGACCTGGCGCACATAAAATAGAGGAGAGACGTCTGTGACGCCGGCCTTGGTCAGCGCCTCTTCGAATTGAGTCATCTCAGTGCGGCTCAGCTCAGATTCTGTGCTAAGGAACCAGATGATGAAAAGGCGCAGCTTGTCCTGCGGGTTGCTACCCTTGGTAGGATCATTGATCAGCTCAAGTAGCTGTGCCTTGGACTGCTTGACAATATTCTCCTCCAGCTCGAAGAAGTTGTCCAGCTGACGGTCTTTGATGCCCTTGAGAAGGGCAGTGGCGATATTCATGTGCATATCGAGAACGGATTTGCGCTCACGCAGCTCCGGAAGCAGGGTGATGGCAGCCTTCAAATGCTGTGCGGAGGCACTGGTATCATTTTGGAGATCTTCAATCGAGGAAGCGCCTGTCTTCTTCGTAATTTCGTTTGCGTCCTCCTTGTACCGTGTCAACTCAGCATCGATATCCTCGGCCACCTGAGGGAAGGGCGCTCCGGCATTTCGCTGCCAAAAGAAGTCGCTGCTGTTCAAATCGTATGACTTCTTGGTGACCTTGCCCGAGTCCTGCTCGTCCGTGTCCAAAGTAATACGATTCAAGCGCATTTGAAGTACGTCCTGTACGAGGGACTGGTATGTCCAGGAGTGTGAAAGCATGGGAACCAAGTCGACGTTCCGGTCCATGATGATCAAAACAGGACGAGCCGAGGGAACCCCAGGCAAGGCCTTCTGGCTGCCTGAGAACAAGTTGTCTTTGGAGTTGAGAATGTGGTCACGCAGTTTCCGGTCCAGCTTGGTTGCAATCAACTCCGCGGCTCCACCCTTCGGGCATCGAATGATAGGAATGGCACCTGCGCTCTCGTTAGATCTTGATACATTGCACAGAGGAACCAACTAACCCATTGTGACGCTCACGCTGAACAGACCACTCACCACCTTATCCACGATTGCGTCCAGATCCTCATCGTTCGTTTTCGGGCTGTTGATCTTGTAGTATGCATCATTTCCAAGGCCTAAGCTGAAAAGATCCGGCTCGGCCACAATGAAGTTGAGATATTGATCAAACACTTGAGCAATATTTTCTGATGCGCCAGAAATGGCAATTTGAGAAGCAAAGTCCTCGAGAAGGGGGCGGGGACGGAGGAGAGGAAGTTGATGTAGGCTGGAGAGTAAAGGCCCTGGGAGAGATCGCGCGTGATCGCCTGGATATTCGCAGCATTCGGCTCCACCAAGTAGACAACGGGAACGTCAGGAATGGGATATCTTTGAGAATGAAGGCTTCTATACACCGGGATACTGTTAGCGGTCTCCTCGAATCAATGTGAAGACCAGAGCTTTGAACCTTACAGATGAATCGTGATACCCCAGGCGCGGAGGTCATTGACTCGAAGGACACTGCTGATGACATCGCGGCCCATGCCATCAAAGACCAGGACCTTCCAGATGGGGTCGCCATCTTCATTCAAGATTGGGGTAAAGTGAGAGACCAGACCACCATGGATGGACGAATCGTGAGAAGCCTCATCGGCGGGACGAGGGTCATGGTTCAAATTAAGAAGCTTCTGAATGGAAGCTATAGTGATCGGTCAGTCCGGGGCAATCGCCGCGGGGGAGCATGGCATTCACGTACCGACCTGGCGGTCTCGGAGGGACATCGGATGCGCCATGACAGAGCAGACGCCTCAGATATAATTCGAGGATACACTCTTTTTTTCGCAGCAGCTTCAGCACATGTACCTGCCCACAAGGAAGTACGGGGAGACTAGGATGCTCAGTGTTGACACCGTCTCTCGCACTGCGGCTGACGTAAGGTATGCAAACCGTTCAAAGGCGGAAGATCACATGCAATCCAAGGCAGTGTTTCTGTTACCACCGTACTGTCATTTATCGCTTCCTTCTCACAACCAACAGCGGTACGGAGACGTTACATCTGTTACAACGGATACAGGCAACCGCCCAGCGCCAACAGCTTTTCCTCCTTCCACCTCACCTCTCTCCCTCCATCTTCCATCCAACATCACTTTCCCCCTTTCCCCCTTTCCCCCATCCCCCATCCCCCATCTTCCATCCCCTCGTTTCTTCGTAAAGCGAATGGCTATTATGCTAGAGTGGCTCTTTGTATAGGAGCTGTTTCTCTTCTCTTTCTCAGGAGGCTTAAAGCTTAAAGCACAGAGAGAAGCCAGAAAGCTTCTGCAGGGACACTTTGAAGTCAGAGAGAGAATACAAGTGAGGAAAGACTGGAGACCAGGAAGATCCACGAAGATCCCGGCTCTGTGATTGATATCAAATTTGCGGCGTATTACGCTTGCAGCAAAGCCGGCATATTAAAAGGTCTACACGATCAGGGAGACGCCAACTCGCGTCACTCGCATCCCAGATTGGTGCCTGAGGCAACCTATTAAAACATCCGTGCATCTCGCAGGAAGAATTTTCATATTCGTCAGGTACGGGAGCATTCATCGTCAATAGACGTCTCCATCCTCTGCCTAGCTGTACTTGATTTGCGTGATTCTTATTCAAAATCGATTTTCTTCAGCTTCAAGGTCCCCAGCCAATCAGAACTCTCTACCCCACCCGGATCCGGTCGAATTTCAAACTCCGATCTCCGATCCACAAACAGCAGGCGGTGAGAAGCGCACGTGACCAGACAGTAGCTTAAACGCGTCGAGAGTGATCGAGTGATCTTGCTTGTTGATTGTTGATTGTTGGGGGGGTGAGACCAGGCATGGAGCAATCCTCCGCTCAAAACCCTTTGCAGGGTCTTCCACATGGTACAGGCCATGAATCAATACCGCCTGATTATTGGAATAGCCTGGATCCGATCTACGACCCGCAGCTCCAGCTCCAGCAACCACAAGGGCAGTCCACACAAGCTCCCATGGGGATGACTTGGGATCACCATATTTTCCAAAATCCTCAGCAGTCTCAGTCGCAGCAGCAGCAGCAGCGGCAGCAAAGTCATTTGGCCCCGACCGAATCCAATCATGCCTTATACATCCCTGAATCTTGGCAGGCCAACCCGCTACAGGCTCCGGCGCGAGGTTATTCAGTTTCCTCACAATACCAGTCTCACCAACAAGCCCCGGTCTCTCACTCTCAGCACACACCACAGTACCATCAAGATCAGATGACTTTCGACTCGCGGGCTATGACGAACGCTACGGAGAGCTCGACTTTTCCCTCATTAAACTACCAACAATACTACCCCCAGGATTCCTTCTCGGGACGTCCGCCCCAACAACAGTCGCAACACACCATCTCTCAATTCCCAATTTCTTCCGGGTTTCCCCAGGCTTCCTATTCCATTGATCTCACCGACGATTTCTCCAACCTTCAACCCCGTGTGCAGCAGCACATCGACCCGGGAGCCGTCTTTCCAAACCCCGATCCACAAATATCCCGCCCACCATCCCACATCCAACCCAGCAGTCTGTACGGAGCTCCTGAGTTTCAACACGCCGAGCGAGAGGCGTTCGATTTCTATCAAAATGGGCTCTCTTTGCAACAGCCACAGTTCGGCACAACACCCGTAAATGCAGGACCAACTTCTGGTATGCTCACCCCATAATTGTTTGATATCATGCTTACAAAGTCCACAGGATATAATAGGGCCACTGGGCTCCCTCAACCCGAAGTGGTCATCACAGCGAAGAAGTCGACCAAGAAACCGGCAGCCAAAAAGACAGGACCCAAGACACAGAAGAAAGTCCAAAATCAGGCGGACAGTGACAGCTCCGATGATTCGAAGCTTGAGATCGAAGCTCCTGACGAAGCATCCCCTCTCCCACCCAATCGCCCAAGTGACCCAGTCGAAGCAGGTATATATGATTCTATGAAGGCCGTGTGGTCACCGCGGAACAAGTGGCCCTCCGCGGATAAAGTGAAAGGAGCCCTGGTCGCGTTCAAAGACGTCATCAAAGTGCTACGAGACGCCTGGAAGGATCAAGTACAGGCTATGAAGCTGGCAGAAAATCAAGGGGATAACGCCAAGGCAGCCCAGCTGAAGGAGTCAGTGGCTTTGCAACGCCGCATTATGGATAAAATTGTGGATACTGCCCTGACCGTTGGGCATCCCACCATCGTTGAGAAGTATGAATCCCCTCTTTTGAAACCCTTTCCACACCCCTTTTACTCCCTTTCTACGTGGTTATCGTGGCCATAGATGTCGGAACCAAATGAGAACTTCACCAGTGTAAAGCCTCTGTGATCATGAAATGAGTCTTAATCTTGGCTGAATCAAGAGCACTCTTCATGGCTCTAGGTTCAACACAATTGATGTCTGAACCAGAGCCATAAGGGTAACTTCTGGCATAGCCTAAAGCCTTCAACTATTAGATCATTCCCGATGTGCCGTGAAAAGCCATCTATCAGACTACCAAGGCGTTTAAGATCAACTCGTCCCTGCTCCATGAATCCCAGTCACTTCATGTGATCCCTTCATTCCACGTATATCCTATCCAATTGCTAACTCTTGTCTCTCCTAGGTTGGGTGAGCATCCATTGGCTTTGTCGATCTTCTACTCGTTTCTAGTAGACCGTTTCCAGGCCGCAGACTTTGAGGGCTCTTTGACGGTCAACATCTTGAAAGTAAGCAACCCCATTCCTCGAAGTTCTCAGTCCAACTGACATCATTAAGCTTCTTGTACGATTCGTTACTGTCGACGAAGAACTCCTTCAAAAGACAAACATTGCCAAGTTGCTTCCCAGATTTATTAAGAAAGGCGGACCATCAGTCAAGGAACTTGCACAAAAGATTCAGGAAAATGCCGTAGCCTCCACAAAGCGGAAACAGCAGTCTGGTAAAGAAGATCCTTCGTCCAAAGGGTCTGGTGCAGATTCTCCTTCAGCAGAACTCGCGGGGGCCAAGCGTCCCCGTGAAGGCGAAAGTAACCACCCACCTGCTACGAAGAGAATGGTTGTTGGCTCCAATGCAGGGAAGCCTTCTACAGCCGCCAATGGGTTGACTAAAGCGGGCGCTTTAAATGGAAAACCAGTCAACGCAGCAGCTCCGCGGCCGAGAGCCAATATTGTCGCTCCCAAGCCATCAAGTCTCTTTGGTGCCTTGAGTTCTGCCTCCAAGAGACCGGGAACTACAAATGCAGAGAGAGCGGCTGCGCAAGCGGCTGCGAAGCCTGCAGATAACCAGGAGAAACCGGCACCTCCGCCCCCCAAGCCTGCATTCTCCTTCGGTGACATTATGGCCGATCTCAGCAAACCCAAGGAGGTCGTCGTTGCGAAACCTGCTGAAGACAGGCCACCGGAGACAGAAGAAGAGCGTGAAAAGAGACTGCGAAAGGAGGCGCGACGCAAATTGCGCGTTACCTGGAAGTCCGACGACTCGCTCACCGAAGTGCGACTCTTTACTCACGACCCGGACGAAGAGCTCGGGCCTGGTGATGGCTCCATGCGTGGCATGGGGGATGTCAAGGGAGAGGGAAGTGTTCTTAAGCTTCACAAAGACATGGATGAGCTTGAAGAAGAAGATCTCGGCGGAATTCGAGAGACCACTCTCAATGAGTACAGTGGTCTTTCCGAGGTCATCATCGAATCTGAGGAGCAAAAGAGTGCGAATTTCATCAAGCGCGGAGGTGAACAACAACCTTCCAGTCCAGAGAAAGCGGCCCAAGAGCACCGTGAGTCAACTACCCTCATGGTATTCTATACTTCTCCCGCGGATGTTCCACCCTCGCCCAAAGAACCTCCTGCCCCGGAAGCCGAAGAGATCGTTCTGGAGGAGGTTCCGTTCGGAGAAGTCCCAGACCACATCAAAGCTCGACAGGAGCGGTACTTCTCTTACATGAACCCGAAACCTGCCACTCCTGCAGCGGCCCCTGGGCAGCCGAACGCCGCTCCGGCTGGCACCTTCGACATTTCCAATCTGCTCAAGATGATCCACACTGGACAGCAGTCGCAGTCTACTCCTCCCCCGCAGCCTCAGCAACCCCCGATGTCTGACTTGGAACGAACGATCAGCATGTTCCGTCAACAGCAGACTCAGCCTGTTATGCAGCCTCCCCAAATTCCAATCACCCAGACGGCACCCCAAGCGCCGGTCGCTGGCGGTGTAGACTTCGCCCAGATTCTTAACGTCATGAAACAGTTCCAGAACCCTGCAGCAGCATTTGCCCAACCTCAACAAACACAAGCAAGTATGGCGCCAAACCTCGGCGCCATGTTCACTCAGTTCGCTGGACAAAACCAGCAGCAAGCAGGTGGTCCTCAAGACCTCAACAGCTTCGAAGATCCAGAGCGCAAGCGAATGCGCGAGACCAGCCAGTACGAAGACTCCTGGAGCCGAGGCAAGCGCACCAAACAAGGCGACTCCAAACCGTATAAAGTCGGATTGGTCCCGTGCAGGTTTTGGGCCGAAGGCAAGTGCAGAAAAGGTGAAAACTGCACCTTTCGCCACGACAGCTAATTCACTTTCTGGAAGACAAAGAAACATCTTCCACTGGACTCCTTACTCTAATATGCGCCACGACACCCTTACCTTTCCCCCCTCCCTGTTTTTTGCACCCATTAATTCTTGTATCTTGTTCTTTACTTTTCATATCTTGTCATGGCGATGCATCGCATACTTCTGGGCGGAGATTACATGGCGTTGAGAAGGTACCTGTGCAACTCAAGACCTCAACATTGCATCATTACCCTGTGGACAAGGGCGTTTCCTCTCTCCCTGCATTTTTCTTTCAAACCTCTTCCATCCTGACGTCTAGAAATGATCTGGTTGCCTTCGTCGGTTTGGCGTATCCAGGCTTGCATTTTGGGACGTGGTGATCATCTGATGGCGCATGAGTGGGATGAGAAATGTACATTAGGATATTTTATCTTCTTGCAATGGAGTCTCAATGCTGAAGATCATCACCTGATTTACTCGGATTCGATTCGATCGACGTAAGATTTTCCAGTCGCTTCTCCTGGACGGGGACGGAGCAACGGACGCAAAACGCTTCCCTTAAATCGACTAGACATAAGTCAAGGAGCCCGAATTTCCACCCCCCCCAAAAAACTAAGGAATCATTTTCAAAACCCAGTGGACATCACAATGAATACAACTCTGATCTCACGGCAGCCAAGCGACAAGTTCCCTGATACATCCTCTCGAGCGTAGACCGCATGATCTCCAAATCAATGGACTCCTTCTCCCAAAGCTTCAACGTTCGAATTGACAATCTGACCAGCGCCGGCCAATTATAAGGCAGATTGAGAGTCCACCGGGACGGATTCGGAGCACTCTGCTTTTTACTCAAAACCGCAGCCATGATCTGGATTGCAGCGCTAAAGGTAATGCGCATGCAGTTCCAGATCCACTCATGGCGCCAATTGTACCATAGTCGTGGAATGAGGCGGACGCAATTATCCAGGGCTTTTTGGGCTTGGTCGAAAATCGTGCTAAAGATTTCGTCGTTCTGGATGTAGGCCGGTAGGGATGGATAGTGCAGGGCGAGGTAGAAGATGGGACGGTAAATTTTCTCGAGACAGAAGTACAGACGGCCTCGCATTAGCGACTCGAGGTCTTGGTTCTGTTGTTCTGGATTAGGGAGTCCGGCTTTTGACATTTGGTACCTGGATGCTGGTGAGTGAAATAGTCTAATTGGACCAGATTTTGAAAAAATGGAAAATGGAAAATGGAAAATGACTAGACGTACCAGTTGAATACTACACTCTCAGCTTGTCTTGTCTTTTCGACAATGCTGGTGATATTGGTGATCCAGGCCTGCTCGCCGGACCGCCACATATCCTCCAGCATGTCGTTGACTGTTCGGCGATTGCAGATCGAGCCGATATAGAATCGCCATCCCTTTTCCTCATCGGTACTGCTAATTTCGGGCGATGGCATTGTTGAGATCACATCGTCTACCATGCTATCTGGTGAGTTGCTGGTAGTCTTTGGGAATTTGGGGAACGGGTCTGCGTATCCCAGGTTTTCGAGACCACTGCTCCAGAGAGGGAGCTCAGATTGCATTTCACTGTAAGTCTTAGGATCCGTTGATGAATGAAAAGAGTTTGAGCAAATGAGAAAATTAAGCACTCACTGTTCAGCTTGAATGCACGACCAGTAAAGTCGGGATTCGAGGTTGTGATAGTTGACGTCGGCAGTCCACTGTTCTCGACACAAGGACCGCAATCTCACTTCTAGTCGGCAGGAGGCTTGCTGAAAGCAGAACCAGGCCTGTAAAGGGCGCATGGCATGTCTATGATAGAAACCTGCAAGCAAGAAACATTGTATGTCGGTGGGAGACGTATGTAAAAAGCCTAGCCTCTGCTTGGCAGCATGGAAGTAAGCTTCGGCGAGTTCGATACTAGCATCGCACGACGGCGGCTTCTGAAGCCGATCTAGATCTTCCGGGGTATTATGTGGCACGTAGTCGGATGTGCAACAGCCCAGAGCGCATGCAAGCAACTAGTGGCACAGTTAGCGTGCGACAACTAATTGACGGATTGGCAGTGTATTAGAACACGCACCACTTGGCACGACGGTCCGTCCCATCCAAGCCCCTGCACTGTCACCTCGCGGGCATAGCGCTCGAGTTTCTCGGCATCAACTACGGGATTCCGGCGATGGACCAAATGAAGATACTTTCGAACGAGAATCTGGATATCCTCCAGGAATGACCCAGTGCCTGCCGGACGCAGCAATGAGAATTTGGACTGAGCTTGGCTATCCAAGGAGTCGAGGAGAAACGACCGAATGTGCTTCTCTGCATCAGTGACCACCATTTGAAAAACGGGCCAGCGAAGCATACATTCCGGAGAATTGGCTGCATACAAAGTCAGTGGATCGTGGCTGTAGACTTGCTCGGCATTGTGTCCCCGAAGTGTCTGTTTTCCTTGGACGGAGTCGGCGACGGGGCTCGAATGGGGCATGGTCGAGTCGAAAAAGGAGCCTTGAAGAGATCGACTGGACGAGATGGTGGATTCATTGTCTTGTTTGATTTCCTCGAGCATAGACGTAATCTGGTGCAGGCGCTGAAGAATCTCGGCGTTGGCTGATTCTAGACCGGGTCTAATGGAACATGGTTTCAGTCTCAGTCTCAGTCTTAGTCTTAGTCTTAGTCTCAGTCTCACGCTGATTTAGACAAACACGGAGAAAAAACAAGCCCACCACTTACGCTACTCGTGATGAAGTGTCGGGATAGATGCAGTCCACCCCTGCAGCGCACAGTAGCTACAGATGGGACGTCCATTGTTGCACCGCGTCTTGCGTAGGCGGCATGTTTGACATGCGGTCGGAGCCCTCGTGCGACTGTCGCGCTTGAAAGGTCGGGACTTGCAATCCATAGTTCAGTCGGGGATCACCGGGGAGCATCGGGGAGAGGATATGGGAGGTTTCAAGAGCGCAGACGGGCCTGTACTTAGAGGGGACAGTCCCTCGAGTGTGCCCCGGGACTAAGAACAAAGAAACCCCATTGCCTCGTTTTCCCAAACCGGCCAACTTCATCTGGCTCAACGGTGGCGTGCCTCGATCGGGTTAAGGGAAAACTCTCGAAACAAAGAAAACGGCGTGGAGGCACCGTGATGGAACGGGTCTGAGCGTTGACTCTTGCCCCCCGGGTGTGTTGGACCTTGGCGGTGCGCGCAAGGGCGGATTCTTTCTCCCCGATCGTGGAGAGGTGTGACTGCACTGGAAGCAGCCGGGGAGCGGCTCGAGAGGAGGGAGAGTGTGTCGGGGACATCTTCGTGGCTCATGCTACATATGAGCATCTAAAGACTTGGACGAAGGTTGTCGGCCCGATTTCTAGGGATAAGTGGGGATGTGATCCGAGACCTATGCATGAATCTGAATTTAACTTGACTAGTGACTCTGGAGGTGCTATGGTCCAGATCGACAGAGAATCCCCGTAAGACAACCCCCATCGTCGGGAGACACCTGAGAGATCAATTCACCGCGTCAAGAGTCGAGGTGGAGGTGTGAAATCTGACGGTGAATGGTACGATACACATCTACGAAAAAGAAACTGTGCGGAAAGAGATAGAACTCGTCCATTCAATCATCACGATCGCTAACGTGCACGGAAAGTCACAAGCTCCGGTGGAGTACATGTACAGAAAATGGGTGCCCCGAAACGGTCACGGTCAAGCACAAAATAGAAAAGACACAAGAGAAGTCAAAACGCCGAGGGAAATGCAGAGGGAAGATCGGGAAAAGGATTAATCTTGCCGGACCTTTCTCTTGGTCCGCCTCGTCACGGGAGCTTCGCATAACTCCGACCAGGCGTCCTCAAAGGTAGTCTTGCGTGGGCCAATCTGTCCTTCGTAAAAGTTCAGTTTGCGCGCGACCTCCATGGCACCGGTTCCCAGGCCCACGGTTTTGCCCATAATAATGCACTCGGAGACACCCTCGATCAGATCAGTGCGGCCGGCACCACCGGCGTCGAACAGGTGATCGGCCGTCTTCTCGAAGGAGGCCAGTTGGAGCACACTGTCACGCATCTTGGCCAGACCGAATCGAGTGATACCAAGCACCTCACCCTTGTAGGTCATCACGTCAGCGAGAAGCTGCATGTGGCGAGGATCAATGTCCATGTCCTTCATGACTTCACTGATTTCGGTGACAATCGTGCTGCGGGCGGCTTCGATGCCGAGAACTTCGCGTGCCTCCATGACATTGTTGGTCGTGGTCTGAAGACCGTTGACACCCATCGTGTTCATGCAGGCGCGCAGACCGTAGCCTTCCACAAGCAGGGTGTTGGTAGTAGAGGTTTCATCCGTCCGGATAATGGCCCGGTGGGCCAGAGGGTGACCCAAAATCTGAATGTTGGGCAGCATGCGCTTCAAGTGCTTGAGACGCAGGAAGGGATCGATGCTGGTAGCGGCAATCTCCGTCTTGGACAGGCCTTGCTTGCTGGTCGGATCGAGATCGATGATGACCTCAATCGAGCGCCGCGTGGTTCGGAATTTCAGATCCTCGCCCTTGAAGCGCTTGTGGCTCTTGATAGCGGCAAGGATCTTTTGCATATCGAGCTCAAGCTGCAGTTGGTTGATCGTATCCCAGTTGATCCGGACTTTGAGGGATGCCTCATCGCCAGACCACCTCTCATTGATGTACTTGATCACATCACGAAGATAGGTCTTTTTCGATACGTCCCTTCACAATACGCGCCGCAACGATGCTGTCCTTGGTGACAAGATCACAAGCAACGACAGGCGTACTAATCTCTCGTGAAGCGTTGATAATTTCCTTGATACGGGGCACACCTTGGGTGATACTCATACCGGCGACACCAGCGAAATGGAAAGTTTTGAGTGTCATCTGCGTACCGGGCTCACCGATAGACTGAGCACCGACCGCACCGACGGCATGGCCCGGTTCAACCTGTGCCTTCTTGTACTTCAGCAAGCACTCAAGAATGAACGCCCTCAGGGTCTTTTCTGTCAGCTTTCCAGTGTGGTCCAAGCCCTGCCGGCTTCTCTGGTCCGATGGGTCAATGTCACCACCACGAGAGACAAGCTTGTCGGCTTTGGTAGACACGTAGTGTTCAATCGAGTCCAGGAAGTCACGGGCACTCTCGAATTGGTCAATGCCATGATCGCTCCGGTCCATGTAGCCAAGCTCGTTGCCCAGCAGGTCCTTGCGGGCCAACTTGGCACGTTCTTTTCCGAGCATCTCCTGACAGACCTCCATGATTTCAGCAGGCAACAAGCTTCGCTCGTCGTTGTTGTAGGTGGTAGCCTCACAGTGGATGAAGGTGCGGTCGAAGTGGACCGGCTTGGCTTTGCCTTCCATGTCGACCGGGTCCAACTTATCATCACCATACTGGAATTGCACAATTGCAGACGATGAGTTGCGCACGGTGTCGTCATACTGCGTAGACAAATCTTCAAGAGACTTCATCAACCGACGAGACATGTAACCGGTTTCGGCAGTCTTCACCGCGGTATCGACCAGACCTTCACGACCAGACATGGCGTGGAAAATAAATTCAGTGGGCTCGAGACCAGAAAAGAAACTGTTTCTAACGAAACCCTTCGAAGGAGGCTGACGGGCGTTCTTGGGGAAATGAGGCAAGGTACGATCCTGGAAACCGTCCTGAACACGCTGACCACCAATAATTTGTTGACCGACAAGAGCAACCATCTGGGACACGTTGATGCTGGAGCCCTTGGATCCGGACGTGGCCATGATCAAAGGCGAGTTGTATTTGCTGAGCTGGTCAATGCACTCGTCACCAGCTTGCTGACGAACTTTACTGAGAATTCCAGAAAGCTGGTTCTCCATCGTCTGCAATTCGTCACAGCCAGGGTACTTCTCCAAAGTACCAGCCTTGTATTTGGCGATGACTTCGTCACAAGCTGCGTAAGCGCTTTCCACCAGGTCATTCTTGGACTGAACCAGCCTTTCACTAGGATAGACATCTCCAATACCAATAGAGAAGCCCATGTTGGTAAACCATCTAGCAGACAGCTTAGAAAGACGGTTCATGCCCTCGGCGGCCGCTGCAGGCCCGTAATCACGAAGCATAATGTAGAACACATTGTCTTTCTTTCCGGAACCAATAGTAGACTTATCCATCACACCACACATGATCTCCGAGTTGCGAATGACCAGCCAAGCATCATGTGGATCCAGGTCTTTGGGTCGGCCGTCCTTGGGCATCTTGAATTGACGACATTGAGCATCGAGGTTGACCAAGACAGGGTCGCTCTTGTTGGGGTGCATCATGATGTTGAAAACCTGCTTGCCTGTCCAGAGCATCTGTGGCTTGACGACTGAAGGGGGAGGAAGATCAAACGGTGTTTCAGGACCCAGCATGTAGAGACAAATCTGACAGAAGGAGGCACGGTCAAAGAAGTTATCTTTGCTACTTAACAGGAAAGCAGCACTGATGAAATCCTGAATAGCGGAAATAATGGGCTCTCCGTTCTTGGGAGTGGCCAAGTTGTTCTTTACTCCCATCAACTCCATGGCCTCGGCTCTGGCTTCTTCTGTCTGCGGGACGTGCAGGTTCATCTCATCTCCATCGAAATCAGCATTGTAAGGGTTGCAAACACATTCATTGAGCCGGAAAGTTCGGTGAGGTCGGACTCTGGCAAAATGAGATAGAATACTGAGCTTGTGAAGAGAAGGTTGTCGGTTGAAGAGCACAATATCGCCGTCCTCAATATGACGCTCAACCAAGTCGCCCTCTTGCAGGTCGTTGGCAATGTGCTTCAAGTTACCATACTTCAACATGGTCCTGAAGTTGGAACCCTTCTTGTATAGGTAGTTCGCTCCCGGCCATTTCTTCTGTCCATTCCGCACACGCTCCTGCAACTTTTCCTTATTATATCGGGTCACGCGCTCAGGATAGGTCATGTTCTTTGCAACCAGCTCTGGAACTGCAACCTCATCGACCCTCAAGTTCGGGTCGGGGAAATGACTGTACGGCCAGAGAAGTCGACACGCTTTCCAGACAAGTTACCACGGAATCGACCCTGTTTACCCTTGAGTCGCTGAACGAAGCCTCGAATAGGCTTTCCCAGATCTGCTTTGTTCAGACCTGGTACGTCGCTGTTGATGTAAACGGCAATCTGAAGCTGCATGTAGTCCCAGCATTCCATGATTGTTTGAACGGGGGCACCCTTCAGCAGAGCGTTCTTGAGGTTAATGTTACTCTGAACGATATCACCCAGCTTCGCAGTAAGATCATCTTCTGTTGAAGCGGCGTCTTGTCCTACAGATGGGCGAATACAGACGGGAGGGGCAGGGATGAATTGCCAAAGGAACATCTCCGGGCGCGCTTCTTTCGGATCCAAAGCCATAAGTTCACAGTCGGTATCAGAGATCTTCTTGAAGAGCTTGAGCACACGCAAGGCATTCATGTCGTCCTGTGCTTTCTTGAAATGCTTCTCAACCTCGGAGTTGGAGTGCCTAGCCTCGGCAAAGGTGTCGTCGAAAGCTGTTTTGCTGAGCGGAGGAATCTTCTTGACAGAAGTCGAAGCGTTGAAGGCGCGGAACTTATCGTGGGTGATTTTGAGAGCGCTCGTACCGGCCTTTTTCACCACTCCGTTGATCGCACCACAGTGGTCGCATACTCGAGTTTTCCGGCAACGTTCGTTGATCCGCTTGGCGATTTGTGTCCGTCTTAAGTTGTCCAGACCTGGGCGGCGCATTTCACGCAGGAAGGACCGCCGCTCTGCCTCCGGAAGGAGAATGTGCGAGCATTCTTTGCAAATTTCCTGGAGGATACCAATAACGCGCTTGAAATAACCGACGTGGAAAGCGGGTAGAACCAATCTGACATGCCCAAAATGGCCGTTACACTCTTTCAAATGGAGTCCACACGTTTTGCATTCAGAAGTCTTGTTCGAGATACCCATGCGCGCATCGAGAGGACCATGAGCAACTACAGCGCGGTCATGTTCGAGGTCGAAAAATTTCCTGTCGGAGACCTCCACCACAGCTTGACCAACAATATCATCGTTTGTCCTAAAAAAAGCAAACGCGAGTTAGCGACTGACTTTGCGCCACGACATTGCAGGTGAGTCATGGAAATGGAACAAAAGACGCCCTTACAGTACACCGAACTTCAGTTCCTTTATGACTTTAGGAACACGATCGATGACCTGGGCCTTGCCCAGATCAGTCTGTGCTCCCTCTGGAGGCTGCATCGCGCCGTTGTCAAGTGCAGAACATGGCAAGGTGACTCAAGCTAACGCGATCGGCACGGGCGGCTGTCGAGCTGCCAAATTACCGCGATTCGGGAGATGAGGGACGATCAAAGATTGAGGACCGTGGTCCTTGTCTGTAGACGAATCCTCCAAAAACCTGAATTTTCTCCGTGACAAGTAATGAGGTAACGTTTGGCGATGAGACGAGAAAGAGAAGAAGAATAAACGGCGGGGTCGGCCACGAACTTTTTTTTCTGCCGGCGAAGCTCTCACCGCTTGGAGGACATGTATAGGTGTAAGGTGAAGTTCGAAGTAGCTGCAAGTCTCGGTATTGTACAGAATAGTATATTTTGTTTATGATACAATTATTTGGCTAGGAAGGCCTGGAATGCCTTGTGTTCAATCACCACATTTCCGACGGCCTTGAGCTTCTTGCGGCCTTCTTTCTGCTTCTCCAGCAGCTTTCGTCGCCGACTCACATCAGCGGCGTGCAGCTTAGCCAGAACGTCCTTGCGGTATGGCTTGATGGTTTCACGGGCAATAATCTTTTTGCCAACAGCAGCCTGGATGATGATCTCAAATAGCTGTCGATCGACGTGCTCTTTGAATTTGGTGACCCATATTCTGCCCTGCCGAGCGACCTGGCTCATGTGCATCAGTCGTGACACAGCGTCCACTGGCACTTTGTTGACCAGGAGCTGCAGCTTGACAATATTGCCCGCTCGCCAGGCCGACTCTTCATAATCAAGACTGGCGTAGCCTTTGGTGCCTCCTTTGAGCTTGCCGAAGAAGTCATCAACCAGATGCGCCAAGGGTAGCTGATACTTCATAATAACCTGACTGGAGGTAAAGTATTCAATACTTTCTTGCTCACCCCGGTTAGCTTCACAAAGCTCAATAACCTTCCCGAGATACTCGTCAGGGAAGGTCAACGTGGCCAACACATAAGGCTCCTGAACCTCTTGGACCTTGAGACGCACACTATCGTCATCGGGAAATTTGGCTGGATTGGTTATGATTTCCTCGGTTCCGTCTTTCCACACAACCTTGACCGGAACGGAGGGCGGGGTGATGATAATACTGGCGCCATGCTCCTGCTTCAGGCGATCTTCAAACACTGAACAGTGAAGAGTGCCCAAGAAACCCATTCGGAACCCTGCACCCAAAGCCTCAGAAGACTCCTTTTGAACCGTGATACTTCGATCGTTCAGCATGAGCTGGTTGATACTATCTTCCAGATGCTCGAAATGGTCAGCATTCACCGGGTACACTGCCACGAAGACCATGGACTTGGGCTCGATGAACCCAGGGAGTGGCTCGACATCCTTTTCCTGGCCAACCCTGGCGAAAGTGTCTCCGATCTTGGCTTCCTTGCTTCGTTTCATACCGGGGTTGAAGTAGATGTAACCGACCTGGCCTGCACGCAGAACGGTTTGAGCGGTTTCGAGTGGATACATGATTCCGACCTCGCCCACGTAGTACTTGAGACCCGTGGCAAACGAGATGAGCTGCTGACCTGCGCGCACCTCGCCATCGAAAACGCGCACCAGAAGAATGACACCTTTGTAGGAATCATACCATGAATCGACGAGCAACATACGGAGGGGCTTCTGAGTGTCACCAATGGGACTGTTTAGATGTTAGCAAAGGTCCAAAGTACCAAAGGAGATACAATCCACGTACGCAGGAATCTTCTCAACAACTGTTGGAAGAATAGCCGCAACGTTCAGGCCAGTTTTGGCCGAGACTAAGACCGCATTCTCGGATTCCAACTCGAATGTGCTTTTCATCTGTTCCAGAGCCCGCTCCGGATCTGCTGAAGGCAAGTCCACCTTGTTAATGACGGGTATCAATTCGAGACCCTGTGCGAAGGCCAAGTAGAAGTTGGCGACCGTCTGCGCCTGAATACCCTGACTGGCATCAACCAAGAGCAAGGCTCCTCCACAGCTTGCATAACTGCGCGACACCTCCGCACGGAAATCAACGTGCCCTGGGGTATCCACCAAATGTAACAAATAGTCTTCGCCCTCATGGTTGTATATCATCGTACACGTCTGCGCCTTGACTGTAATCCCTCGCTCTCGCTCAACATCAAGCTTGTCCAACACCTGCTTATTCATTCCGGGCTTGATCGTGCCAGTAAGCTCGAGCAGCCGATCGGATAATGTGCTCTTGCCATGGTCGACATGTGCGACAATGCAGAAGTTGCGGTACCGTTCAATGGGAATGGCTGCAATTCGTGATTCGAGATCTTTGTCAGGCGCGCTTGCTTTGGACCGAGCTGCGCTCCATGCTGTAGAGGTTGTGAAGGATCGGAGGTAATTAAATTGGGAAGGGAAGCCAGCCGACGACTTGAGGCTCGCAGCCGGGGAATACGGCGCTGCGCTCAGCCATCGGGCTAAATGCAGACATCCCCGCATCAGGATTCTCGCGGTGACATGGACAAGGGTAGTCCCTGTGGTTGTTCTACGAGCACGAGCAATTCGAGAAGGTGACTTGACTTCGCTCCGAACGGGGCCTGCGGAGAAAAAAAACGGGCTCGCGGGCGGTGACTCCGATCGCTGCGGCGACTATCGACATAAACAAACCTCGGCCTCCCTCTTTTTTCTTCAACCACACCCAATGCCGGACACCAAAGATAAATCCAAGGTGCACAAGCTTGCCATCAGAGGTCAGTGACAATTGCTTTTCTCGTGATATCCCAAGCTTACAGGCTACCAGGATCGGCTAAGCTTGTGTCTGAGTTCGTGAGTCGTCCCCCCCCACCCCCCACATTGAAATGTTGAGCTTGTGTGCTAATGGAGACGCAGTTTGAATACTCGATCAATTCCATCCTGTGAGTTTACCCTGGAACATTTCCAAAGACTGGGGCTCATCGCAATTACTACTTAGCTTCCAACGTGGTGTTTACCCTCCCGATGATTTCACAACGTAAGTCCAGCCCGGCACCCCACTCGGCATTTGGCAGATGATATTGAGAGGAAGACTGACAATTACCAGTGTCAAGAAGTATGGTCTCAACATGCTCGGTTCGTTCCTCGGCCCCGACCCTCTGCTTCTGCCGCGTATCACCCATCTGACCCACAATAGTGTCGGCCGATGACCAGGTGAAAGCCTACATCAAGAAGATCATGTCACAATTGAACAGGTGGATGGTTGGCGGGAAGATCTCAAAGCTTGTGGTCGTGATCACCGATAAAGAGACTGGCGAGCACGTGGAGCGCTGGCAGTTCGATGTATGTTCTGTCTTCTCGTTCTAAGGTCGCGCTTTTCTGACAGTGGTTGCCGTATAGGTTGAGATATTCAAATCTTCCAAGAGCTCAAGTGCTCGCAAAGCTGGTGATAAGGAGAATGCAGCTCCTGGGTGAGTACCCAGATTCCCAGAGGGTTTGATGCACAAAGACTTGGCTGACCGACTATTTGCAATGCTCAGAGACGCGGCCTCGCAAGCGGAAGAGCTCACTGAAAAGACTGAAAAGGAGATCCAAGAAGAAATCCAAGCCATCTTCCGTCAAATTACCGCCTCCGTTACCTTCCTCCCCGTTCTCGATGGAGACTGCACCTTCAACGTCCTCGTCTACGCCGATGCCGATTCAGAAGTGCCGGTCGAATGGGGCGACAGTGACGCAAAGGAGATCAAGAACGCGGAGAAGGTTCAGCTGCGCAGCTTCAGCACCAACAACCACCGTGTCGGTACCCTCGTCAGCTACCGACTGGCAGACTAAGCACATGGTGCTTGTTATGATCGGATATGAGAAATTATTCTATGCATTGGCGTTCTGAGGGGATGGCGATTGTCAATTTTATCACCCGAGATATGATGTCTAATGAATACTGCATGATATCTACAGTCATGGTTGTCACGATTGTTCTTTGTTTCTGTAAAACCAGGGCAATTCCGTAATCCGCGGGAACCACTCGTTTCCTGCCCCGCCATTCCAGCAAACCAGTTGCTCCACGACTTTCTCCAACCCTCGGTTGAGGAAGACGCGCTCCATACCAGGCTTCCAACCTCTGACCTTCCGTTTACTGGCGAGTTCATCCCCGACTCCGTATAGATCTTTCTTCCACAGTCCAATTCCTCTCAAGGCCTCACCCTTGATTAATGATTCTTGCGATGTGACATGCTCTGGAGGATCGAAGCCCCACACCTCAGCGTCTCGGCTTCCATCCGTCACAGCAGCTGGTAAGTTAGACAGTAATCCAATGGCAGGGAAATGGTATTCCAAGAACCGCGTCGACTTGAACTTGTGCGTGAAGACGGCGACAGAGTCTGGGTAATATCCTGTGCACAAGCGAAATTCCAGCAGCGAGAATAAGACATTCTGATAAGAGTCTGTCGCACGAGGCTCTATGATGATCCTCTCGGTGTCGATCTGGTGAGCCATGTTGAAGAAATCATTGTCTCTGACCAGGTTCTGTCCGTCAAGTCAGTACACCCAGGCTCCATCTGTGCCATCCATGGTATCTTACGAAGTATGACTGTGCCTCGGAGAGTTCTGTCCGGGGTCGTTTAGTGGGACCGCTGTCTGTAGTTTTAGCGTTGCATCTAGACCCTAACGGTAGTAATTCGGAAAGCCCACCCCGAAAACACCAGCCATCCACCGGGAGAATCAACCAGTAATTCCACTGCGGCCTTGGCATGTTTCATGAAAGTGTCGGTTTCTCCCTTTTGGAAGGACTCTATTAACCTGCACCTCATCAATTGACATTCGACCAGGGGTCGATCCGGGGGATATAGAGCGGACCATTCATTGTCGGAATGGCCCCGGTTGGGGCCTCCCAGATAGATCCCGTGGCAGCAAACCACGATGAGGCAAGACCGATGCCCGGCAATGTGATCCATGCTGCAAGGGTTGAAAACTTTGTGCCCGGGGTTCGGCGTCCAGGATCCTGAGAGGCTAGACGTGCCGAGGATAAGTTACGAGCGTCGCGTGGGGGAAAGACCAGTGCGGGTCTCCACGTTTTGCCGATCCGAAGTATACCGTGTCACCCTGTTCTACGCTCGGGAGGTGCCATTGCTCGCCATCTCGGCCATGCCGACATCTCTCTATAGATATGGGCCGACACCACACAGGATGAAACAGGCTCACGGGAAGGCGTCCGGGTGCTGGCCCGCTCAAGCCAAAAGCGATGACCTATCGGCACTAGCTGAGAACAGGGAAACCCTTTCCCCGTCTACGCTTGGACGGCTTGAGCACCGTCGGCGGGGCTCCGAGAGCCAATCCCTCATCACACGACCGACAAGAAAGAACAGGGATGAGCTCTATCGCTTGACTTCAAAGTCAGTCTGCGCTGGTTGCGAGTCGACCGCCAAGCCCCTAGAACCGTATCGAACCATGTTCTCTGCCAGCTTTGCCGCGTCGTTTGACGGGAAGTCTCCTAAATTGCTGGACAAACGCATGATCCGGCCGTGACCGTCATACCTGCGGGGCTATGACCTTTCTTTGGCCCCCCCTTAGTGCTTAGAGGCTTGCCGCTGGGCAATTTTTGGACTAGGTGCCAAGTTTCCAAACCCTCAAGATTACCCCCGGGGCGTTTCTGAGTTTGTGACTTACCCCACGGGGATTTTCTTTAAATTCGGTGGAGTAGCCATGTCCTCCCCACAGGGTTCCTTTACAAGATAACTTCAGATCTGCTCCAAGCTGCGAGTGCTCCATCGCCATGTCTGAAAAGCCCACTTCTGGTGTTCTAGCTCACGATGAGTTCATTTCTCAGTCTGCAAAGTCGGACCGCGCCGATGCGGGAGGTCCTCGTCAAGCTGGCGCTCTGAATATTGTTCAGAATCCTTTGACGGTGAGCTTCGTGAAGCCGCGCGATGAGATATGTTACTGACAAGAGATTTCAAGACGGTGACAAAGGAACAAGCTGTCATCGATGCTCACGCTTTTGCTGAAGCGCACGGTATGCCCGAGCATGCGGCGCTGTTTGGCCGGGCCGCTTTGGTTGCACGAGACCCTGATATGTTTGAGACCCTCGGTGAACTTGACGAGGAGGAGCGCGCTGCACTCGTGTATGAGCGAGATCATAAATGGCACGGCCCCGTCATGCTCTGGTATTCTATTGGTCTATGTGCTATTGGAGCTGCTACACAAGGTTGGGACCAGACGGGATCGAACGGAGCCAACTTGTCTTTCCCCAAGGAATTTGGTATCGATGGCCAGGGAAAAGACGAGTGGATTGTGGGCGTTGTCAATGCCATTATTTTCTTAACGGCTGGACTCATGTAAGTTCCCGGTGGCATTCTCTTTCTCTGAATTCCCTTGACTGACATGCTTTATAGTGGTGCTTTTATCGTCGATCCGCTGAACCACTACCTGGGTCGAAGAGGCGAAATTTTTCTCACGGCTTGCTGTCTTACTGCCACACCAATTGGTTCCGGTTTCGCGCAGTCATGGCAAGGGCTGTTTGCTGCACGATTTGTGATGGGTATTGGTATTGGTGCGAAGAACGCCACAGTCCCCATCTACTCCGCCGAGATGGCTCCGGCTCGGACTCGAGGTGCTCTTGTCATGTTCTGGCAGCTTTGGGTGGTTGCAGGTATCTTCTTGGGATTCGCGGCCAACGTGATTGTCAAGAATACCGGCGATATCGCGTGGCGTCTTCAGCTGGGTTCGGCCTTCATTCCCTCCTTCATCCTCATGTGTGGTATCTGGTTCTGCCCAGAATCCCCTCGCTGGCTCATGAAGCATAACAAATATGCTAAAGGATTCCAATCCATGAACCGCCTGAGAGCTCATCCGATCATTGCGGCGAGAGACTTCTACTACTCGAACATCATCTATCAGGAGGAGTTGAAGGAGGCTCGCGGTTCGGGCTACTTCTCTCGTCTTTGGGACTGTTTCGCTGTGCCAAGAATTAGACGTGCCAATTACGGTGCCTCGACTGTTATGATTGCTCAGCAGATGTGCGGTATCAACAGTAAGTTGCCTCTCTTCTTGCATCGGTCACTATCGCTGACTCCTCCTAGTCATCTCTTTCTACAGCTCCACCATCTTTGAGAATGTTGGCTATTCGGCTACTCAGGCCTTGTATGCGTCGCTCGGCTATGGTGCTGTTCAAGTAGTGTCGACCATTCCCACTCTGTTCCTCATTGATACCAAAGGCCGAAGGACTCTGACCTTGATTGTGAGTAATTAAGGCCGCCACAATTGACCGTGACTAAACGTGCTATAGACCTTCCCCCTGATGTGCATTTTCCTGTTGGCAGCCGGTCTCTCTCTTCTGAACCATAGCGGCAGTCAGGGTGCGCAAATTGGGCCAGTCGTCTTGTAAGTTCTAGCATCATATTTTGACCGATACTTGGCTAATTACTCCATACTAGGTTCGTCTATCTCTTCACCATCTGTTACTCTTTGGGTGAAGGTCCAGTAGCTTTCCAATATTCAGCCGAGGTGTTTCCCACTATCCAGCGTGAGCAAGGTATGGCTTGGGCTGTCTGCATCAACAACACTTTCGGTGAGTACTTCCATGCTTGAAAAAACCGTAACTTTTACTAATACATTACAAAGCCGGTATTCTGAGTTTGACATTCCCTCGAATGAAGACTGTGATGACTCCCACTGGAGCCTGTAAGTCATGTCTTGGTATCTTGCCTCCTGCCAATAGCTAACAATGAACTTAGTCGGATTCTACGCTGGCCTCAACCTCATAGCCTGGTTCATGATCTTCTGCTTCGTCAGAGAGACTAAGCAGCTCACCCTGGAGGAAATTGACCGTAAATCATACTCTCCTAGCACTCCGTAATGACCACCTACTAACATCTTGCAGAGGTTTTCTCGGTCCCAACGAAGAAGTTCATCAGCTACGAGTTGACAGTTTGGCTGCCTTGGTTCATCAAGCGATACATTTTCCGACAGAACATCCCTAGGCCGCCGCAGATCATTGCGACTGCCAAGGAGGCCGATGAGGCTCGGAGACTCTCTCAAGTTGAGCCCTCGAAGGCATGAGAAGGGAAATATCATAATGGTGATTTGGTAGGGGAGGCAGATTGGGGATGGATATTACAATGATTGAACGGACGTACCAAGTTAATGACTATCAAGGAAAAGTCCTTGTATCGACTCAAAACTTTTCCAAACTCTCTTCCCGTAAAGGTGATAGCGCAGAGACCTCGTACAATAGTGCAAAAGTTAAAGGGGCAGCTTTAAGAGCCAATCGCTAGCCGCGGGATTGACATGATCCTTGAGGCTCAGTTTAAACCGCCCCCACGCGGTGCGTTAGACACGTCAGCACCTAGTTCGCTGTTCGCCCCTTTTCTTATCAACTGTAAATATATACCCTGAAGGTGCCACTCGTGACAGAATGATCATCGCATCTGCATTCTCAATTCAAAAGGCAAAGATCTAGCGCAGCGATAAAATGGACCCTCTGACGGCCATCGGCCTGGCAGGGAACATCATCTGCTTTATCGACTTCTCGTTCAAGCTACTTTCTGGGATGAGCAAAGTTCTGGAGTCCTCGAGTGGGATGACACCAGAGAATGCCAACCTCAGTGCTCTGGTGGAGGATTTGAACAGCGTCGCCAACGACCTTATCTCTGATGTTCCCGCAAGAACCGAGAACGAAAAGAAGCTCTGTATCTTAGCCACTGATTGCCATGCTTTGTCAGGAGAAATCTCTCAGACTTTGAAAAAGCTTAAAATTGGCGACAAGAAATCGAAACGGCAGGGCATGATGGTGAAAATTAGGAGTATGCGCAAGGAGAAAGATATCGGAGCTATTGAACGACGGCTACACGGTTATCAGTCAGAGATCTTGATCCGATTGCACGTCATGTTCAGGTTTGTAAATCGAAATCAACTCCATTCATGTCTGTAAATGGAACCTACTAATATGCAGATAGCCAAAAGAGCGACAGTCAGAGCTCGATGGTCAAGATCCAGCTGGAAAATCTTCGAAGCGAGGGGAAATTACTAAGAAGTGAGACGACAAGGCGACTGGACACTTTGCATCAAGACATTGCAACTCTCATACAAGCGATGTCCTTAGAAGTACCCCGGAATGGATCCAATACGATTAATAAAGACCCTGAGGATGAGCCACTCGTCAAATTAGGGGAAGCCTTGTCAAATCTCCAGTCTACGACACGATCAATAAGCTGGCAAAACCACATCTTGAGCCGACTTATCTTCCCATCAATGTATAGGCGAGGAGACAGCATCGAGGACCCTGAAAACGGAACGTTTGCCTGGATGGTCAAAGAGAAATTTGACTCGCTGTCGGGGCGGGATTCGATTTGGGAAAAGCGAGTCAAAGAGCAAGAGAAGATGCGAAACAACACGCGACAACAATTCTTGACTTGGCTTAACTCCGGAAGTCAAGTCTTTCATATATCTGGCAAAGCCGGTTCTGGAAAATCGACGTTGATGAAGTTCCTTGCCGAGTCTCCTCGAGTCCAACGGGAGCTTGAACACTGGGCCGGGACAAAAAGTTGGTTCTCTCCAGGTTCTTCTTCTGGAACTCCGGAGATAAACTTCAAATGTCTCTTGAAGGACTGTATCGAAGCCTCCTGTTCGAGACATTCATCCAATGTCCTGATTTGATACCACGAGTTTTTCCCACTCTATGGGAAGGATTGTCTACCGGTGTTGCGCCTCCGCAACAAACACCGCTGCACTTCAAGGAGATCAAAGCAGCATTTGGACGGTTAGTTCAAGAGAGTCAGTCATTCGACGCTTATATATGTTTCTGGATCGACGGTCTTGATGAGTTCGAGGGCGATGAAGTCGATCAATGGCATTTGGCTCGGGACCTCCTACGCTGGACCGAGTCGAAGCATATCAAGCTCTGCGTGAGCAGCCGACCCCATATCCCCTTCATGCAGACTTTCGCAATCGATATGAACCATCAAATCAGCATACACGAGCTGACTAGAGAGGACATTCGTCAGTTCAGCTTGGCAATGTTCGAGAAGGACCCAAACTTCCCCCGTGTTCAAGGTTCATATCGAGAGCTGATCTCGAAAGTCGTCGAAGATGCCAACGGCGTATTTCTCTGGGCGAGACTAGTCGTTCGATCTCTTTTGAAGAGTATCGGGTATCAAACCATGGCTAAAGGTTTAGAGAAGCTGCTCACTTCAATGCCGAAAGGGCTTGATGAGCTTTTTGACCAGATGTTGAACTCAATAGATCGAGATGATCGACCACTCTCTGACAAACTGTTTCTCATGAGCACCGGAGATTTTGGGCTTCCCGGGAACAGGCCAATCATTGGTAATGCCATGGCATACTCAAGGCTAGAGGATTTGGATGATCCAGGATTTCCCGAGAACAGGCCCATGCAATTCTGTCCGATATCAGAGATCGACGAGCAGGTATCTCGAGTATCATGTATCCTGGACCGGTTTTCTCGCGGCTTGCTAGAGATGAAGTCGAATGGAAACCAGGCAATACACGGTCACCAATACTTTGGACATGATGTGGATTTTCTTCATCGTACCGTACGAGATTATCTTGTGAACACACGACGGGACCAGATGCAAAGACGTGTTCCAGAATTCGATGTCCGAGTCGGTATTTTCCGCCTATTGCTGGCTGATTACCAGTTTGCTTGTCCAACGTGGGAAGACATACATCCTCAGAGGTATCTTTATAGCCCGCCCATTCGGAGGCAGCTCGACGCCTTATTCCGATTTATAGTAGGAGCCAAGGGGTCAGGCCAAATCGACATGTTGCCCGGATTTCTTGAGCAAGCTTACGATGTTACGACAGTCCATACTCAACCTGCGAAGCTTTTCGATGGAAAGCAATATAAGAAATCATTGTATTTGCGGGGTCAAGTCTTTGGAACACTTGATCGCAACGACTATCTTAATGTGATGGAGGTAAACTATCCACTCTTGCTTTCTTTGCGCGACCGTGAAGCTGGGTCTTCACTCATACCTGCCTCCTCGCCTCCTCGCCCGTCTAAAGAAAGAGAATTTGTCATCCGGGCCAAATGTGCTCCTGGTGGCAGCATTAAATAATCGAAAGGACTTTGTGGAGGAGCTCTTGCGTGAGGGTCGGTCCCCTCAGGAGATGGTGGTTTTGGAGCAGATAGACTCGAGTATCGCCAGCGAGGTATCCGAGATCAGCGCAACTCCAGCGAGACTTGCGTCCGTGGGACTGCTCTTCATACACCAATATGCCGCTGATCTCGTCCGGGGATTCCCCCAAAGTGAGATCCAGCCTCTGATACTCCAGACCTTCCTGGATTGGGGTACTGATCCGGATGTTGAATTTACCATAAGCGAGGGACCGGATCAGAATGATTGGCAGGAGAGAACCCTGAAAGACTCTTTACTCTCAATTTACTGGAATTGATGGAGCTAACAGCGCCATCTAACTTGGAGGCAATTCGGTCAAAGCTGAGTTCTATATCTCTGAATACCGAGCGCCGTGACTTATTCCAGCGTGCTGTCGAAAGAAATCCAGCACTCGCCTCTTTCTGTCTGGAGAGTAGCGTCACCCCGACCGAGCGTTTGGTTGTCCGGTTTTGTCACCGTATAACTTGAAGATATCCCAAGCGTGTCTTGAAATTAGGTGATCACGTTTTTATTCAACGAAGCTTCAACATCATCAAGTCAACTTCGAAAAGCCACCCTCCGGCGGCTGCAGCCAATTCCGCTTATCATAATCCCACCCCTCAGCTCCTTCAATAACATGGAATGTATACGCAAACCGACTGTGCGGACTAGTGTTCTTCTCACTCTTGTGCAGCACATTGCCATGAATCAGCACTAACGACCCAGCCTTGACGTTCAAAATCTCCAAATCCTCATCCGCAGGCCCAGAGACCTTCTCCTCATCCATTCCTCTCGGCAACATGGATCCCCGATTCTCAATAAATTCCGTCCCTTGTCATCGGCCTTTCTCACGAATCTCCGCGTGATGTGCCCGCCTTTGCGACCTTTGTGAGATCCTTTCCAGAACCCTAGGGTTGCGTTACCTGGTGTTGCATCCCTGAAGGGCATACCACCAGCCTACAGCGGATGGAGGGTCGGTGTAAAGGAACTCGGAATCACGGTGCGGGGGGACGGCGCCGCCGATGGAGGGTTGCTTGCAGATGACCATGCTCTGCAGAACGCGAGGGTCCGAGAAGCCCAGGGAGCGTGCGACGGCGGCATTGCGCTCGGTCAAAGAGATGGCTTTGAAAGGCGGAGAAAGGGTGTGCAGAGAATGGCCGATCTTGTTCACGGCGAGATGCTTAGGCTTGATCAGGGCCGCGCGGCCGGTCAGAGGATCGGGCTCTGTGGTGAACGCTTCCGGCTCGAAGAAGAAGCGGATCTTGTCGCCGGAGTTCAGGAAGTAGTCGTCGCCGACGTGGTCGGCGGTGTCGTCGCCATCGCCGGTGGTGAATTGAGTCAGTGGGTGCGTCTCGAGGTCGAAATCATCAAGCAGAGTCTCGGTTTCTTTTAGTGCAGACTCAATTTCAGACTGGCTGAGATAGTCTGGAATGACGAGGAAGCCATTCTCCTGGAAGGTAGCGAGCTGTTCAGGAGTGAGGCCGGCCATGGTGGTGAAGAGAAGATGTTCGAGATGTGTTGGAGATCGGAGATTTGAAGGCGCGGGGAAACGTCGAGAGATAAGCGATATGTATCAGCGGCCGGATTGGCTACGAACTGCCAACTAGCGTGTATTAACGCCACCCGAATAACTATGTGTTGTCGAGTTACAATGGAATGAATTTACTGCTCGGCTTGAGGTTGCTCCGCTAATTGCTGATTCAAAAACAGAAGAATGGTATCGTTTCTCATGACCATCACAGGTCAAGTCTTCATGTGTACATGGATAACTGAAATTCGAAATGAACCTGAAACCACTAACGCCGCCTGTGCTGGATATCGAAAAGAGGTAGTCAATTACAGTCTGAAGTGTAGCCAGAAGATGCCGAAAATGAGAAGTTGACCACCGTGGAGCACGTAATACATGAATCATAAAAGATTTTTAACTGGCATAGCCCATTGACGCCGAAGGCCGAGGTGGTGCGTATCTCCGCACAGCTCGACTTGGACTGCAGCTCGCGGAACCGATGTCGATTGTGCTGAGCTCGCGGCTTAGTGCATCCATTCCCGGTCGACCTCCCCTCACGTTGCTGGATGCAACCGGGTAGGCTGGTGCTCCTTGGGAGACCGGTACCTTGGAAGGAATAGGCGGTCCAGGGCTGTAGTCATATAGCGGCGAGCGAGCGCTGGGCGTGGGAGAAACCGAGCCTCGATGGGAGGAGCGAGGTCGGTCAGCAGATGTCGGGGTGCTGTAGCCACGACTATGTGTGACACTGCTATAACTTTCTTGTCCCCGATCAGCCCGAGGAGGAGTGCGCTCCACGAAATCAGAGTGCACAGACGGATTGTATCGCCTGTAATCGCTTGAAGTGTCGGGAGTAGTGCGGAATCCCACGCGCGGCGGTGTGCTTCGAACAGGCGTGTCGTTGCCACGGGATGTCGGCCGGGGTGAATTTTTGAATCGAATAATGACCTCCGGCTTGCGGTTTTTTTTCTCCGGCTCAGGGGCCCATGTTTCTGTGGGCAGGTGGTCCGAGGGATCAATTTCGCGACCATCATCACCGATGATAGGCTCATTCGGGTCTCGAATGGATTCAAACTCGGACCGAGACGACACAGTTCTGACTTGCGATGGCATCTCATGTGCAGGGGAAACCCCCCGAGAGCTTGCAGGCCGGGAATGGTGATTGAAGGAGTTGTAGGAGTCGGGGAGAAAGGGACAGAGGAGCCTGCACGGCTATCCGAGGATGAAGGTCGAGGGCTGACCGATTTGCGGGTAATCATCCGCGTATCTGGGCTCACCGACCTAGCTTGGCCTGCTCGGCTTACAATAATGCCTGAATAATCGTCCATGGGCCTGGGAGATGTGCGGAGAGGGTAGATGGGAGCCTCGTAGTGTGAGGGCGCCGGTGCCGGTGCTACTTCAGGTTGCTGAGCTAGCATCATTTCATCGTCGAAAAGTGCACTGCGTCTCCGGCCGCTTCGATCTTCATACACCGCATGATCGGCGTGACTGTGGGCCTCGAAACCGGCGACCAGACTCGCAGGCACGGAAGGATTATACGGTCTATATGAAGACGGCAACTGGGTGATATTTGGAGATTGTGCTGATGGTGCCGCCGATGCATGCTGTGCCATCCGAGAACGGTGAACAGGCGGCGGGGGCGGCGGCCTGTCAAAATCTTCTTCATCTTCCACACTGGGCTGCATTCCAGCATACTCTGGATGATATTCGTCAACATGGGCGGGTGGCAAAGCTTTGAAGCGCGGCTGGTATCGAAGATCATCCGCCGGCCCAGATGATGAACCAGGACGGCCATAGTTTGACGGCGCAGGCATGTTGTCCGCTAGGTGTGGTGAAAAGGTTGAGACTTGCCCAAACGTCACGGGATTCACATTATACTGGGGTGAGGCCATTTGACTATAAGCATCCTGAACTTGTGGAACAGCATCATACTGCATCCTTGCATCCATTTCAGAGTCGAAAGGTGGCTCTGATGCCGACCGGTAGTCACGCGAGGGAGGACGATCGTAGTCAGGGTGACTGCGTGGTTGCTGAGGACGCGAGTCGTATACGTGGTTAGGGGCCTCGGGGGTATGGTAAGGGGTTTCCTGGGTGTTGCTTCTCACCATACCCGCAGCAGGGAGGGACGGAGGAGCACTCCATTCCCGTTGGTAATCATCGGAGCCGTCGTAACCCCCTCTAGGTTGCATGTCAGAAGACGGAGCATATGATTGGGTATCGTAAGAGGGTTCGGGTTGTCTGGGAATATAGGAGAGAGGCTCGGGTGCAGCAGCTAATGGCATAGTCTGGGCAATGTCACGGACGGCTGGCCTGGCCGGCATGGCAGGCATGGGGTGGTGCAATGAAGGTGCTGACTGGACGTGTTCTGGAGCTGGAGGTCTGGCAGGAGTGGCCCCAGACAGGCCTGTAGGCAGAGGGCGTCTCTTGACCTTTTCCAACTGACGAGGACCAGACAGTCCAGACGCGGCTGAAGCTGTAGATGCTCCAGATAGCGCGGAGCTTGTCGACGGACTTGCAACTTTGCCTTGTGCTCTTTCGGCTGCGCCTTTGCGTCGTTCAATCACCGTCTCGTCCTGCTCACGGGTATCGTAATATGTCATCTCGAGGCGGACTTCACCGGCGTATTTGCCTCGGCTCTGAAGGACGTGCCAATGGTCGTTTTGGCTGCCGCCGGGAATGATCAAGTTCTGCAGGTCGACCCAGGTCTCGCCAATTAAATCTGACTTCTTGTCATCGTTGAATATTGAGAGTTTCATTCTGAAGTAATCAGGAGACTCGTGTACTGTAAATCGAAGCTCGTGATCCCTACAACATGACCTGTCAGCTCCACTGAATGAATTCGGGCGTGGTCACGTACCATCGAGGCGTTTGCCCACCTCGCAGATCTGTAGGAGTCTTTTTCGCCTCTTTACCCAAGCGAGCGGCACAATATGGGTTTTGCTTGCCCATCGTTTTGCGGTTGGGTAGGTTCTTCGCTCGGTCGACAATGGCGACGAGGGTACCAATGGCAGGCCCATCGACCGACATGTCGGCGAAGATACCCGCAGCATGGTTCACGTTAGTCTTGGAGATTTTAGACATTATGGCGCAAATACTCTCAACCTGTGAAGCAAACGAGAGATATGTGCGTGAACAGCATCGGCGATGTCTTGGAAAGGAAGAAACGAGGGGAGAAAAGAAAGATAAAGGTGCCTGACGGAATGTTTGTGACGGTAATCACAGTATTCGAGGTGGCTGGGGTCGGTTGGATATGGGTTGCGATTGGCTGGTTCCCCTGAGCAAGTGTCTGGACATGGGGCTGTCTGACTATACGTGACAATACACATTATCGATAAACAATGACGCTTGACCAGTCACTATTCACTTCGTTTGCTTCAAGTTCTGGTCAAAAGCTACGCTTCTCCACCATTTTCCAGCCTCTAACACACTTGCGGCCCAGCTGATGTATATTAAGTCTCCATGAAATGACTCGTGAAAGCTATCTTTGACCTGAGAATTCGAAATGGTGGAGCCGCAGCGTCAGCTTCGATCACCCCAGCCACCCCGATCCACCCGATCGAAACATTTCCGACAGGAGACAGGGAGCGTGAGAGCAACGATTGGCGACTGGTCCAGAGCAGTGATCGTCATTGATCAATGCCGCTGTATCTGAATCCGGTTTCAGTCAGTCGAGGCCTCGAAACTGTTAAGACATCTCTTCACTTGCAAGGTTAAAGCTGCTGCGTCGCGCCCCTCTCCCCCACTTGATCTGCCCATTGCCATGGCGACAGCCAAAGCACTTCAGACATCCCACCGCCAGCCGAATTGCCGAGAAGCATAGCTTTGATTCGCATCGAGATAGCCTTGAGCTGAGACAGGTCTACCGATAACCTCCCCCTGCAGCCTTTGTCAACCCAAATTGTGCTGCCTGCCTCTGCCTCGAAGCTCGGGCCCGCCAAGCCCGGGCTGTGAGGCTACTTCCATGCTCTTCTGGCGCGCGACTTTGAAATCGTTCATATATACAGTCAAGTGTAAAAACAGCTTCCCGAGCATATTCTCCTGGATTCTTTCTATCTAGGTGGGGTAGCAGGACAGACAGCCGATCTAGCTAATGACAGTGAATGCCTCGTATTGACTAATGGTGACTGTATCATGCATTCAAAAGAATAATCAACATAACGTAATCCACACCAAGCTCGCCACCACACCAAGCTCGCCACCCCATCCACCAATTCTTTATTCATGAAGCTTTTATAATACCACAACGCCTTTATATTCAATTTCAGACCTTATCCGGGCATGCATAAGCCCTATGACCAGGCCTTCTACATAGACTACATGCGTATTGACGTCTACTGGTCTGATTATCGGTCGCTGAAGCCCTCCGGGTGGGTGTTGCAGACACCACCCCACCACCTTCTATACCACCTGGTAGACTAATGCCTTGCTCATAGGCTTTATGAACGAATAAGCCCTCATCGCGCTGTATTTGCCTTTTAGGCAATGCCTTCTTTCTCTTTTTTTTATAGTTTTCAGCCCGTAAATCGACCACTTCTTACTCTAATAGAAGGATACGCTTTATGACTTGTTCGCATGCCTTATAAGCCTGATTAAAGACCGCTTTCGTAGGCGTAGGTGGGCTATCAGACCGATACTTTATAAGGCGCTTAGCTAATACCTTATGTTTTGAAAGCTATTTAATATTGCTTAGTGTTTCAGGGCAATAGATGCTTGATCGGCTTAATAGTCGGTCTGATAGTGTAGGCGCACGAAGCTAAATATTAAGCTTATTAAGGACTTCTGCCGCATTTAAAGGTATTAAACCGGTCGCTTTGAATATATTTTGAATGCTTCTAGCCTGAAATGCGTCTTCGCGTGCGTGTGGGTAGGCTACAAGGAAATCAAGCTTATCGATATAATTTATCCCTATACGCGTCTGTTAGTCTACTAGGCGACCGTATAATCGCTTAAGGACTGCGAAACAGCCTATATCTAGCGGTTATAATAGATACGAGCTATGCGGTGGCATATATATAGGTATAATATTATGCTCAGTGCACAAACAGTCGAATTCAGGCGTAAGATAGCTTCTATATCTATTAAGGATTAATAGCCTATACCGACCACGCCACCTACTTACGGTTAAAGGGATAAATAAAGTCTTAAGCTATCGAAGCCTAATAGTATCAGATGTCCACCTATTAGGGCTAATTTCGAAGCGCTAGTCCTTTAGTGTATTACAGAACTATAATTTAATAAAACGCTTGCCTTTAAAGATAATTAATAGCGGCAGTGCCTAGCCTAAGGTATTAACTATTTCTACCGCAGTTACCTATTCACGATTGCCTGGCTGTAAGACAGAGCGACGGCTATAGTATTTAGCTCTTATAACTACCCTTACAGTAGAGACTAGGCCTATTACGAAGCCTGTTTCATCGAAATTATAGATATTATTAGGTAGGATGCTATAGCGTTTAATAGTCTCTTCGACTAGCTGAAACCAAGCATTTAATCCCCCCGGATCCTCTTATTCTACACGCGAATAATTATACCGACGCGAGAACCTTATTTAAATAGCCGGTGTCCGCTTAATATAGTTTCCGACCCAATTCACGCCAACCGCATCGGATCCGATCGCCGCAAGAAGGATATTGGCCGTAGTGCGTACCATAGCATGCCTTAGGGCTGCACCGCGATCGTCTATAGATAGAATCTACTGGGTAAGCGTATCCTCGTCTAAAGGGGTCATTTTATAGGTATAGGCGCGTGTGGTAGCGATAGAATTGCGGCCATTAATACGGTCGCGTAGTGTAGACCGCGGGACATCAAAGACGCGTGCAGCAGCCGTAATAGAGGGAATATCTTTATTCTGAATAGCCTTAATTGCAAGCTCGATTCTACCCTCTTGCTGGATAGAATCTTGCTTATTTTTAGATCGATTTGGTGGCATGGTAGGCGATTTAAAGTGGTGGGGGACGCGAAGAGACAATAAATTGGATGGGGTGGCGAGCTTGGTGTGGATTACGTTATATATATAAATTACGTTTGAAAATGTATTCATTTAGGTATTGTTCATCTGATCTTTACTTTAAGCTCAATTTAATCACACTTTAAATACCTCTTAATAAAATTTTACCACTAACACCTTTAATACTGTATGAATTACATTAAATCTATCTCTTCGTATCATGGGCCGCCAAGACGCCCATGGGCCGGCCCGTCCATGGACAGAAGAAATCGGCCCGTCCATGGATGGGCTGGGCCGGCCCATGGGCCGTATCAATGCCTAACGGATGATATCCCTCTTGACCATAAAAAAACAAGGCTTGGATGCTACCTATGAGACCTACGGTCTCCGGAGGTAAAATACCACATTATCAGTTCAACATATTCCGTTACTTAAGAATACTGACTAAATTGGGATGCGCCTCATCCCAAACACTCCCGAAAGTTAGGGCAATAAAATCAAGTGATTTGATACAGGCATCTCTCAGCGTCCAAGCACCTAAAATCCTTCGTCAAGTATTAGCAAAAGTCTTATTGAGATAAATTATGTGAATCAAGTTAGATAACTCAACTTACCAATTAGGCAGTAGCGCGTTGAAGGAGATAGGCCCCAACCTTGATGAGATTGCCCGCTATGCTTACTTCAGGTTTTGCGGGAAAGGGACTTTTGTTTTCCCAGACTAATGAGCCACATTTGCCGAAAATTGTGTCCCAGACATCTGCCACATTCTCGGGCTGTACGTTTTGAAGAATGCCAGGAAACTTGTTCATTATGGTGACGGGCGTATCTTGCATCATGCTGTTCGCAAGATCGATGACCGTGTCTTTATCTTCGAAGTAATAGACCGTTGGTTGTGGGGTCGTTGCTACCTCGGCCCGCTAAATCTTTCGAGTATCTTCATAGATTCGCAGTCGGTACGCCATTGGTGCAGGATAGAATATTAGAAGATATTATTGAAGATGTTGTCCCATTTAAGGGATAGAGGCATAGAATGACCAAGCGCTCTAGCTCTCATCTATATCATTTTTGGAATACGCTACTGGCGAGTCTTTAACGTAGGTATGGATATTATGTAGTGGAAGAGATTTAATGTACTTGTATTCTCGCACAATCAATGCCAAACCTATAATCATCAGAATGACGTGATTGCACCTTGGATCAACAATATCCAAGATAGTCTGCATCCAGAAACTGTTTGCGGTAGATAGTGTCTAGAACTTAGCCTAGATTTATGAAATCCACGTCTGCTAGAAACTCACGTTTGGCTAAGACTGTGCAGTCTAGCTGTTTGCATACAAACGTTGATCTGGTCTAGACCTCATAACGCTAAAGTAGTTGCGCGGATTCATTGATGTCGTGAAGCTTAATTTGACCGAATGGTACTTTGACATCATAATAGGCATTCACAGCCAGATTTCCCACGTTTGAAGCCTACATGTCAAAATTATCATGGACAAGCGCGGATGGAAGGGCCCCAGCTGAGGACAATATCCCTGCTGATTGGGTGTCGGCTCGCAAGATTTTTCCCTCCACGTTCTTCAGTAAGGGCACATGGGACCCTTTCACCTCCCGACTATTCTGCGCGGAAAGCCCCTAGATTATCGGACCAACCATATCTGGATGAATACGGGAAGTAAACAGGGGAGGGACACTCGGCTACCTCAGCTTCTTCCGGTGGAAGCGTACACATATTGCCCACTGGCTACCCTGGCGCGAACAGGAAGCTTGGCTGCAAGCCATTCCCCGCTGTGTGAGCTGGCGATTACACCCGCTGAACATATGAAATGTATAAATAGGCTTATTATGTCCGTCCGTATGATTACCGCTCGTTTCCCGTTATTTCCATCTCCTCTAGCTCCCCCACCAACGTCACGCAGGCTGTCAGAGGCCGCCGCTGCTGTCAATGAATGACCGTTCAGCGGGCACCTGGATTTAGCCGTCCTGTTGAATAAAACAGCAACACAACAACAACAACCACCACCACCACTTTGAAGTCCGTGATTCGGAGCCATTTGCTGCAGCGCCCACACAGTTAGCCACTGGCGGAAGGTGCATGAGACTACAGGGGTTGGAGGATCTGGGCATTCCACTGAGTCACTAACTCTTCACTGAAGGTGTCTCTGCTCTGTCCGGACAGACCTATAACAAAGTACAGTCGGCGTGGCGGGCGGGAGACCCACTGCCTCACCGCAGCATCGATAACGCACGCCACAAACAGTGGTGTGCGACGAGCAGAGATGAGTTGGCCACATCCAGACGCAGTGCCAATGCTATGGCCATGTCACGCACGTCTTGCCTTTGTGTTGGTGGCATTGGCGTGTCTCGTCGCTGGGGCTGCCGCCTCATGCACCGGTCAGTCGGACAGTTGTGCCTCCAACCCGAACCCCCTTTGGCGCTTCAGTCCCGTCAACTATCACGTCGATACGTGCAACTTTAAGTGGAGGCGAGGATGCACCACCTTGGACAAAAACGACAACCTGCAGCAGAAACCACCGCCCTTCTCTCTATGCGATGCATTGCACAGACCTGCAGGGCGGCTGCCTACCGACGCCTACACGCTGGCGTTGCAGCAGAATGACTTCGCCCCGGCCTCACCTAACGTCACGCTGCACGGACTGTGGCCCAGCTCCCAAGGTGGGCGCGGATCGAAGAATCAGCCCTATGGCTGTGAGCATGGTGAAGAATTTGACGAATCGTACCTCACGACCTTTGGAACCCTGTTGAGTTACTTTTGGCCGACCGACTCGAAATTCAACAACACCATGGAGTGTTTCATCCTGTCCGAGTGGATGAAACACGGCACATGCGCTGTCATACCTGGTGCTGATGGGAGTGCGTTTCGCCTGCCACAGGAGGCATACTACCGCACAGCTTTCGTGCTGGCCAATGAGTATAACGCCAACCCGGCTCTGCAGGAACGGTTGCAGAATATGGAACCGCTCATCAGTGCCAGCTGCGTGCAATGTGGATATCTCGCCACAATCGGCTGGACGGACAACACGGTGAATAGCGTCCCGAGGATGTCCGACGATTGCATTGATCAATGCTTTGCATGCGGTGACTCCTGGACCACCTGCCCTCCCGCCAATCTCGACAGCACAGTCTTGCTTGGCCCCACCAACGCACCCACGCCACCCCAGAATGTTCCTCCTGTGGGGTTTGGGATGCCAGCCCTGTCAGGTGACATAATCTCCCCATGGCAAGGCATATGGCGTTCGTTTGGAGCTGAGCAGCACGGGTCTGGCAAGTTCGAATTCGCTCAGACTTTCACGGAGGACACTCTGACAGTCACCACCGACAGCCCTTACCCAGAAACGTGCGCTTATGAGCGTCGATCCCACCGAGAAATTGTCTTGCAGAAATGTGGTGCGAATCGTCACTTGGAAGACTGCCTGGTGCAGCGACTGCCAGACATCGGTGGCCTCGAGGTGGCCTTCTTGGCGTGTAATCACACCGGTGCCCCGGCACCTGTCGACTTCTACGCTGCAATGGACACTCCCAACTGTGGCAACTTCCTCATGTTTCGCTGCAAGCCATCCTCGGCCGCGGGTGTGCCTTCTCGCCCGTCATCACCCCTGCCGCCGCTCCACTGCAGCACTGGCCAGCGGCCAGCAAGGCGTATGAGCCCTGCCCTCTGAGCCCCTATCAACCGGGCATTGCCGGAGTGCCTCCGGCGCTGCTGGGCTCATGGCGCTCGCTCCAAGTATCCAACCACTATCAAGTGGGTCTGGCTCGATGGAACTTCACTGCTGACGGCCAGGCATCGCTGGAATGGCCGAATTACCCAGTCGCGGAGTGCAGCGCTACGCAGTCACCCATTCAGAAGATGGCCACAATATGATATTCCTCGCCAGCGCCAGTGGCAGCATCACCACCTGCCTCTTCCAAATTCAATACCATCCGGTATATTCCTACGCTGTGCTTGGTTGCGGTGCGACGAATCGACTGGCGCCAGATGATTTGGCGGAAAGCTTCCTGCCGCCGCACACGCAATGGGCCATGGGTCGATGCAACCCATGCAACTTCCACTGTACCTACTCCTGTGGCCCTGAGAACGACTACTGCGGAGCCGGATCATGCGACCCGGCCAACTCGGTGCTATCCACTCATCCCTCACAGCCACGCGATGTAACAAACCTGCCCAGGCTACGCCACAATTGGTGCACGCCTGCTGACTCCAGCTGCTGGCCCACCAAGGCAGCCATCCAAGAGCTGGAGCAAGAGTTAGGTCCCAATGAAGCACGGCTCGGTCTCCAATGGACTAGCTACCCCAGCCGCAGCCGGCACCGGTGCCGGCCGGCTCCATCAACAACCAATCCTTTTATGGCCTGGGAGATATGCCTATGGGGTTCAAAGCCTTGTATTATTACGAGGATGTGGATGAGATGAAGCGCCCATGCTTCAAGCCATCCAGCGACTTCACAGCATGGAACGACGCGTCGTACATGTGCAAGGCGGCTCTCCGCCAGAATGAGTACCGAGATTGGAATCCATTCATTGTGGTGTTCCCTCTCAACGAGCGACATGTTGCTAGCGCCTTGAGGTTCGCCGTCCGTCACCGGTTGTGCATCTCCACCTCCGGTGCAGGTCACGAGTACAACAGCCGCAACTCCTGCCCGACCGGCGGAATGCTCATTCGGACCATTCTGCTCAAAGACAAAACTTTCATCCCCAGCTGGGAGGAAAGACCCAGTCCTTGCTCCGAGCGGTGCATTCAAGTTTGGTGCAGGCGCAGTCTTCGCCGAGATGCACGCCTTCTCCGCGCAGTACAACCGCGTCATCGCGTCGGGCTGGTGCTCCACGGTCGGCATGGTCGGCTTTCATCTCGGGGGCGGCCACGGCCCCTTTGCCCCCACCATGGGACTCGGTGTGGACAATCTGCTGGAGATCGAAGTCATGCAGATCGGTCAGGCCGCGAACGGTCAACCGTTAGTCCACAAGAAGGTGGCCAGCCGACGGCACAACCCGCAGCTCTTCTGGGCCATGCGCGGCGGCGGTGGAGGCGTGTGGGGTGTGATTCTCTCCATGACCATCAGGGCACACGCCGTCCCTGACGGTGGCCTCAGTCACGTCTTGATGATTCAAAGCGGCACCTTCTGTCCCGATTCGAGTCCGTTTGGCTATGAGTGGCTGAGGGCCATGTGGAGTCGATTCTCCGTTTGGACGCTGATGCTGAACCACAAGGTCAGCACGCAGGCAGCATTCTTCATCGACACCTCCAAGTATACGACGGGCGGTCTATGCGCAGTCACATGGCAATTCAATTTCGAATATTTCTACGCGGGGGGCCAAGCAGAGCCGGACTACCGTCTATTCCGCGACCGACTCAAGGCGGTGCTGGAGGTGACGACCATGGTGGAGCGTAAATTCAACTCGGTCTTTGAATACGTGCTCACCATGCCGTCCGACAAATTTCTGCTCGCCGTCGGTAACCCCCTCCCTGCTCCACACCAGCCTTCTGATGCTGCTACCGGCTCCCAAAACTCAGTCTTTGTCTCGCGACAAGCCATGAAAACCAAATTCGCCCCAACGATGATGGAGGTGCTGGATATTTGCGTGGCATCCTTGATGAATCCTGACCCAACTTCGCCGGATGCAGCAGGGCATCGCTGTGGCTTTCACTACCTTTACACTTCGTTGACTGGCAATTTGGGGAGCCCACGGCCAGACGATACGGCCATCTCACCTGGCTTCCGCTCAGCCGTGATGATGTGGAATGCGCGTACCTTGTCCACCCAACAATCGGTGGACACTTTGTATGGCATTGGCCAGAACAGCTATTTCTCTGAGAGCTCCTATGTCATGCATAACTGGACATCCCGCTATTGGGGCCAGGCATTGTACGAACAGCTGCTGGCCATCAAGAAAGCGCACGACCCGGGCGACCATTTCTGGTGCCATCACTGCGTCGGAGACAACCCAGACGATGCCTACGGAGACCCGCTCAGTGATGCACCTGGTTTGGTCTAGATCACTCATAGCATCCGCTGCACGTTCTTGTCATTGTCTCTTGTGTCTCATCATCCCATCCGCAGCTGGTTGATCAGCCTGCTTCTGGCTGCTGCTCTCTCTTCCCCCCTTCCTAGTGCGCCAATGTTTCTCTCCCGCCTCAGCCAGAGTGTCTGACCAGCTGCTGAATGTCCATCGCTCTCACCAATACTACCAGGGTTGCTGGCGCAGGCATGTCAACAGCGGCTGGATTTCCAGATATGCGATATGGTCTAGATCATACTAGCTGTATAGCATGTAACCTCGCTTCTATGGAAAACAATTAAGATGCGCTATCCACACGTCATCATGAGGCGGCGCTCGATGAAGCTGAGAGTGGCAATCGTTAGCTGAAGTGGTTCAGGCGATTGCGAGAAATGTTCAGCGAAACCCCCTAAGCCAAGAAGTCTGTAAAGGCCCACGCTTTTTCCGTCGGATTGTCCGTCTTCTCGACTTCTACATCGCATATCGTATAGTTGGGACCGACCTCAGTCCTTCATCGATAAGCACAAGTGCATTATAACTTGCCAATTTATAAATTGCCGATCTCTAGCCATCCCACCATATCCGGCAACAGTCCACGTCTGTCCGAACTTCCTGAGCTCATTTATTCAAACTGATCAATATGGTTATCGCCACTCTCACAATCAACCCAGAAGGGGCCGAGTCAGCCCCAAAGCGACGATGGGAACAACGCGTCGACATGCACATGTCGGAATTCAAGCTCAGTATGAGCAGCGGGGACCACAGCTACTTCAATTCACTCCGCCTCCAACATGCCCTGAGCCAAGTCGACCATTCTGCCGTTCTTGCCGCTGCCGCGCCTCAAGCCGGTGACGATGTCAACAAAACACTCTGTTAATTGAACATTGGCGCCTGTGAAGCACACCAAACGGCGTTCAACGCCCTTCAAACCACCATTATGGGCATTACTAGTGACCCAACGCCGCAAACGCGAAGGCCGACTGGGAGAAGAAAATGGACGATCAGGCCGCTGCGCAAAAGGCTCAGGTCATCGCCGCCATTGATGATGCCACCAACAGGGCTAAGTTGGAAATTGACAAGCTTCCGGATGCCGTTCGGCCCGCCGCGGCTGATGTCTACGTCACGGGCGCGAGCTACGTCGCTGGAGTTCTTAATACGTTTATGAGCGCCGTCAAGAGCGTTCTGGGCAAGCTCGCTGATTTCATCGGTGGCATTTTTAGCAGTGTCACCGACGCATACAATGCAGTCAAGGATGCCGTCAGCGGTGCGCTCTCCGCGATTGGGGGCTTTTTCGGTGGCATTTTCGAGGCCGAGCCAGAGAAAATGCTGACCGGTGCTCTTAACGGAGATCCCAACGCTCCTATGACGAACAGTACCCCGGAAGGTTGCTACACAGGCCTGCTCGCCTGGCCGAGCTCAATCAAACTCACAGCTGCCTCTCGTGCGCTGGGGTACGTGCAGGATATACTTTTGGACAAACGATATGAGATCACAGATGACGAGATCAAGAAGGATAAGAGGGCCGTTTCCAGCAAGACTGTGTTCAGCCCTTCGAAGGGGACTGCGAGCGCGGAGCCATTGAAGAGGGTCTGGTATGAGGTTGTTGGCTCGCTCGGAAATGACGGACATTATATTCCATACATTCCAAGTAAGGTGACCGTGCATGCGTTCTGAGTGATGCGTGGTGTTTCATCGGAGGATACTGTACTGGACCGTTGTCTGTAGGATTTCCGCTTGCAAGTAAGCTCAAAGAGCACAGTATTTGTTGCTGAGATTCTGCGCTAGTCTTCCAATTTGGCCACAATTCATTACCGTTATGATGTGCTTAATGCTATAGTGCTATACCGATGTGGCATCTGATTCAAGCTGTACACCAGCGCCCAGCTGCTACCCAAGTAAGCAAATAACGTATATTTTTGCCCGGTCCACGCAATCCCTATTGCCTCAATCGCGCGTATTCCGCAGACCTAACCCAGGCATGTAGTGCTTTCGGGGAACCCCTACGATCAAAGAACTTTGGCGGATGGCTTTATCTGGCGGATAGTCACAGACATTGAGGTCCGTGATATAATAGAGTCAACTGACTAGCTCCGCTGTATGTGTAAGCCCCCAGCCATCGACATGGATGCGCCGTGAGCGGCTTCATAAACCTTAGATTGATTATCGCTGACTTTATTATCCTGTTTCATAACGTCCCTTTAATCGCCAGACACGTGGAATTCGACCGTGGGATCCGTCGTGGGCACATTGGGATAAGCCCGGTAGGGGTACTGGGTCGGATGCTGCAAGGTAGCCAAAGAGAGGTCTTCCTGAAGTGAATCCCAGAGCTCGTTTGAGACGGGCTGGGATCCTTGTGGAGCCGCGTGGGAGTGGTGGCGGGCGAGGGTGGAGGGAGTTGTGGGTTGGTAGTAGGGTTCGAAGATTATCCGAGCGAAGTCAGGAAATTTGGCGAGACTTTCTTCGGCTGAAGACCCATTGAGAGTAATATCCATTGCCATCAGCGCCCCTGTTCGTGGTTAGCCTGAGGCTCCTTAAACCTCTGCAAGCCTGGTCCGAACAGACAACAGGGGAGGTCACTTACCGACGCTTGTCCCTGTGCACAGGTCAGGGACATCAGCTATCGAGATACCCCCAAGACGCTTTTCCATTGCCCTGAATCAGGGCAAGCTGTATAATTCCCCGGACTTCGCCGCCATCGAGACTAAATATGACAGGGCCTTTGGTCGGAGGCAGCCGGCACATTGTCAAGTTGAAGCTTTTTGCACATATAGGACATCGAAGCAGGTCTGTATGATACTCTGCGCAAGACCCTGCGGTTCCAAAAATCACCACGCATGTATCACAGATTGCATGTTTGCAGGCATCATATGCTCCGGTTGCCGGCACATGCAGAAAAAGCATGCTTTGGTCGAGTGCAAACCACCCCAACGACGATAGAAGCGTGCCAGACTGTGGGCCATGACGGCTGCAGCCAATTTTTTCGGGCTCATCTTTGTGAAAGCATGGACAAATTGTGCGAAAACAGCTCTACAGTGTCTTTCCGGACTCTCTGATGATTATCTGAGGACTGTTCACCCGTTCTTCCCCATTGTCAACCGCCCTCTCTTCGCCGCATAGTATCGGGCTTTTTTCGACAGCAGTGCGCGGCCAGGTGATAATTGGCTTGCTATCCTAAATATGATATTTGCTATTGGGGCTCAGCATGCCTATCTCATTAGGGCTCTATGGCGCGGAGAGGATAGAGACTATCTAACATATCTAACCCGGGCCAGAACCCTGAGTATAAGTGGCCATGACTTATTTAGCTATCCTGATCTTTAATAGGTTCAAGTGGAAGGATTAGTTGCATTTTACCTACTATCCTCGGACTAGATCAATCGGTTAGCCAAATACTTCTATTAATGATTAGCTATAACACCTGATATCGCTAGAGAGGCTCGCTACCGAGTCTGGTGGTGTCTCTATATACTTGAGCATCTTCTAGGTATAAAGACCGGTCGGGCTACTTGTATCCTAGGTGAAATCCACACTACGCCTCTGCTACTTCCCTTTAAAGAAGGTGAGCTATTAGAACTAATAGCCGCGGAAACCCTCAATGATACACACCTTAGAGATAAGCGTATTAATAACGTTATAGAGAGCGCTCCAGTCCGATATATACCTCTTAACGCAACTAGGGGCGCGGAAGCCACGCCTTAGCACGCGTCGCCAATAACTCGTAGGCGAAAAGCCTCCCTTTTAGCTTTAGTCTCTGCCACCTTTACTACTGCGACCTAGCGCTTATATTCTAGGAAATTGTGAACGAGGTGTATTCAGTAGACTCTATAATAGTGCCGTAGGCTTATATTATGAAACGCATTGGAGAATTAAGGGTTTGGGTTGACCTATAGTACTATAGTCTCCTAGAATATCTTAACTTACCGGAGAAGAAAAATAATAGCCCTAATTTAGTCCGCTATAAGCTAGCTTTAAACCTCTACTACTTAAGTGCACGTATCACGCTTAGGCGTCTATGTCTCTGCTGGCGCGATACGCAAAGGGAAAATCTAGCGGATAGATCGACCTTCAGCCACGATATAGCAGAGCTGACTCTATAGTCTGCAAAGCTTATCCTTAATCTTGTCCCGGATAAGCGAAACGTCATTAAGCTCTACGAGACATCCCCGTGGTAGCGCATCTTGTACAACAAGTGTACGCTCATTTTGGTCGTGCAGACCACCGCGTTGCTAGTTGGCCACCTAGGAGAACTTGCTATTGTTCCCGGGGTACCAAACGTCTGATTCAGGTGGTAGAACCAGACTTGAAAAAAAAGAAGCGCCGGCTGTGAAGTATACTCCTGCCCGTACTGTTCTACGCTGAGGCCATTATGCCAAATGGGTCATCACGGAGATGAACGGCATGGTGCTTGGTCGTGAACATTATGTATTAGCGTGAAAATTCTAGAGGCCAAATTTGTCCACCCGAAGGCCCTCGGCACTAAGATTTACCAAATTATTGGCATTATGGATACTTGCGGAAGGCAACAATGGGTGTCAAACGACTGCGCCTAGTAACTGTCACTAAGGAGAGCATTTATAAAGCCTTTATGAACGGTCAGCGCCAGTTCGCTTGCGTCAATGCTGGTCATTGTGTTACGTCTGTACCAATCAGTCAACTTCTAGTCTTGTCTGGTGCCGACAGCACATACCGTGTTTGCAGATTACCGATATACTGATCTGCGGATAGGCATATGCTCCTGAAACAGAACGCAATGCGAAGATATGGCTGGAATAAATCTCCTTCGGCCAAAACTGTGTCGTTGAGGACGATGCCGTTTGCATGCTGCCTTCGACGTCCTTGCCCCTGCGATTCGAGTCGTTCCTCGCCTACCAACTAGGCCCTTCAATACCTTCGAGGCAAGTCTGTACGCCCGCTGGATTTGGTACCCGCCGCACTTGGCAAAAAGACCAAGAACCGATGCCACAGAGGAACCTGGACGTACGACCGATCCAAAGGAGGATGAGTATCCTCCTATCCGGTAATTGTGGTCTACATGGCGATATTTAAACGGTAGGCGAATACCAGAGGCGGTGGGGAAGAGCTCCAAAGGCGAAGATCAATTCGTGTGTCACAAAGGGTAGAGACAAAATCAATCTCTTAAATCTCGTTTTATCCTCCCACGTAACTCTATTAAAGAACATCTGGCGGGGTTGATATTTGTTCTGTCTCCTTTCCATGCCGTTCCCCTCCTTGTAGGAGCATTTCTGTACTTTACATCCTTCAACTTTGTGAACACATATGAGACACGTCCATTAATTTCATATAGCACCTTCTTTCGTTTGTTTTTGTCCCCTAGGTCTTTGATGTGTCGTTGAGTCTCTTCCTCCAGTACGCTTCGACCTGCCCGCTTTATCAGACTGCCCTTTGAGCATTTTCCAACTTCGGTAGGTAGTCCTTTCGATCCAGCCTTCTACGTAAACGGTAGTCCAGATGCACAGAGTACGATACAAAACTGCAGAGTATGCAGACACGAGACTTTGTCAGCAATGTTTGTCGGGCTTAGCATCGCCAATCTGCTCTGATACGGAATAGTGGATATAGTGGCTCAACCAATCGAATCGCAAAAGGTCTGAATTCTCGTATCTGCCAATTAATAAGGCGGCCGAATCCGACTAATACAAATATTCGGCCATTTAGATGTTCCTCCTCCGAGGGTGCTCCACGCTAGGTTACTGCTTCTGCGACACAATCCTCAGGTTCAGGATCGGAGCGAGTCTGGACGAGTCGCGACTCCCAGCGAGGTCCTTCCGGTGGCGTCGTTTGAAATCACCTGGTGAGAGAGGACATGCATCACCTGCCTGGCTATAGAATAATCTTCCTGCCGGCCTCCAAATCCTCAATCTCCTTCTGCAACTGCCGTCGCCTCCGTTTTGTGAACGGATCTTCTCCTGCAATATCTTCCAATAGTTCATGGGAGAGACCACTTACCCACAGTGGCGAGAACAGTTTCATTGGAGCGAGCGGCCCAGTTACCAAATAGTAATCTGCTGCTTTCATACAGGCCTCGAAACAGTTACTCCGAACACGAAGGGACTAAGAAAGTGTGTTTTCTCAGGCGCTATCATGACGACTATTCCCCTCCTATCGGGGGTCAGTATCAATGCAAATATTAGATCGACCATAACTAATGGCCTTTAGCGACCAGGACTTTGCTCAGTGTGAAACTGCAAATGATCCATTTACAATCCGGCTTGTACCAGGTATGTTGATCCATAGGTCTAAGATAAATATAAAAAAAAGAGGGAGCAACATTATTCATATCCAATATTACTTAAACCTCAGTCCTCTTTTCTTTTTTTTAACTCTTACTTTCACACTTTCATACTCTCACATTCACCTTTCACATTACACCTTCCTTACATTACACTGACCTTGATTCATCCTCTATTTCTTTCACTATGCCGCGGAAAAAGCCCGACCCCGACGAAAGTCCCAAGGACACGAAGATGACCAAGGATACGAAGATGAAGGTCCCAAACTGGGTTCGAACGGATATGATCTTGGTAGGAGAGATCTATCTTCTAGGGAGAGGGAATGGGTCTCAGAGTCCGGTTTCGGTGAGACTGTCTGGCTTATCGATTCGCCTATTACTGGATCAGATAGCGTCCATGCTGGCGGACGGCCTATTCACTACTTTCCCGGGAACAATACGGGTACATTCCCACGGGGATTCTCACCCCCGATTCCCTGGAAAGTACAATCAGCACTTTAATCGATACATTAACCCAAGGCGGTTCCTGAGACCCACTGATCTTGATAGCCTTCGTATGCGCCAGGCAACGTGCTATTAAAAGAATGCTCCGGTAAAGTTATCCAGCAGCGTTCCTTATATATGCCTGGGCCATTTACATTACCTCCGGGGAAGGTCTTCGACCGGTCCCATTGCTAAGATACTGATGTCCGACCACCAAGGAGTACGTGTCGAGTCGCTACAGCGCTTCACGTCAGTCAAACCGATGCAGTCAAGATAAGGTACTTCAAAGCGACGCATTCACCAGTCTCGACCTGATCACTTTACGGCTCAGCAAGGCATTCTACGCCCTCTCATTTTTCAACCATCAACATGAACTTTACTGACGTGCTGTTTGCAATTCACGCATGCCAAAATTTAGGGGGGAAGGTACGCTCAGATGTTTTTGCTCTGAAAGATTGGAAGATAGTTCAGTCCCATGAAGATGGACACATGTACCTGTGGATATGCAATTTTCTCCGATGTGGATAAGAAGGCATGTGTGGCTGACTCAAGGAATCTATATGACCCCCAGGTACTGCATGCTTGAGATTCCGCCCAGGGCTCAAATAAGCAATGGCAGCTATTTCGGAGCAGAACGAGCCCTGAAATCTCTCACTCCACTGGATCAGTCTTAGTCCTTGGAAGTTCCCAAGAGCTCACAATCCACATCCTGTAAATATTCTTAATAGCTCTCCCAATAGGCCGCCTGGCCTAGGATGCCAATGGAAAGCAGCGTCCAGGTCAAATACCTTCTTCAACTTTAACCCCCCCCCCCCAATCGAATATATTGACAGTCACTGGGTTCCAATTCTGATCCGGAACACTCTTCTTGGCGCAAACCTATAATCTGGCGTCGTATGACCATCATAGCAAGCATATGGACCACTCCGTTCACGGGTCTCGTCCGTATTACTAGATAGCCCTGTCATCGCCCGACCATTAGTAAATAGACTCGTGCTACTAAATGGAGATTCCGCGTCACCCTTCACCCCAGGCCTCCCTTCATCCCAGGCCTCCCTTCATCCCAGGCCTCCCTTCATCCCAGGCCTCCCTTCATCTCTAAAGCCGCCTTGGTCTTTCTCCCAGAGTTGAAAAGGTCTGGAAGAGACGATGCGAGGCTGTCTTTGGGGACTTTCAGAGGCCAATTGGAACAATTTCGCAAGAAATCGGTGGGTGAGAGTAGGGCATTGCATGAGGATGTGACTGGTCAAAAGCTAACAAAATTAGGAACCGATGCCGCTGAATCCGCAAGAAATTGCAGAGGCATGCGGGTTCTGTAGATACCCTGTTCAGCGCAGAAAGAACCATGTAAATTGAGAGTTTGAGCGTCAGACTCTGATGCCTTGATGTCTTGAAGACATGAGCTGATGTCAAAACGAAGACCACTCGACCAAAAATGCCAATGACACTTTTAGTGCTTAGATAATCGTTATTTTATTCCGATACCCCCCCTTAGGATGCCGCCTATGCTTTAGCGGTATCCTACTATATAGAAGTCTCCTTTATAGATTTTTGCTATGAATTCGGCCTTATTTCTGAGGGTATCTTAAGTAGATTTTTTGCTTCTAGCTATATTAGGGTAGTTTATCTAGCTCTCTTAGCTAGACCTAACTACTAAAAAAGGCGTCCTAATAAATATTTATAGGTAGGGGCTATAGCTTCACTAGCTAACCGTATAACTAATACTCTCCCTCTAGCTCAAACCAATAACCACGCCTGACTTAGGTAGTGCGAACCGGGCTCATAACTGTCAAAACGAAGACCACTCGACCAAAAATGCCAATGACACTTTTAGTGCTTAGATAATCGTTATTTTATTCCGACAGCTGATTAATGCCTCAGGCAACAAAAGCTACCGCCGCCATGCCCAATTGGGCAGGCCGAACTTTTTTGATCGGCAGAAAAAGATCCTCATCTTTCACGATCAAAACGCTTTTGCGAACCACGAGGTTTTGGCTCATTTCTTTTTCATTTCTTGGCCGTAGATTGCGATCCGCGACCAAACTTAATATATCATTATGGCGGCGCCCGTCCTGCCTCTGCAGCAGGTGAAGCTCGCCTCGCTGCCCTCAACCCGCTTGACGCCAGAGCAGCAGTATTGGCGCACCTTCAAGAACCCCCTCCTGATTCCTTCTCCGGCCAATGGACCTGTCAATCTCATCACTCAGCCCTCAGTTCCTTCTTCCGCTTCAGCGTTCCCCTCCCTCACACAACCTCCGGATGTCTTCACAGTGACCACTGGTGCCCGAGTCCAGATCTATTCCATTCGCACGCGCAAGCTACTGAGGACAATCACTCGCTTCGATGATATAGTTCGGGCACGGATGTCCGACCAGATGGCCGGGTGGTGGTGACTGGTGACGATACTGGTGTCGTGCAGGTTTTCGACGTCGGCTCGCGCGCAATCTTGAAGACGTGGAAGGAGCACAAGCAGCCGGTCTGGGTGACCAAATTCTCACCCAGCGACCCAACCTCCGTTTTCTCCGCCAGTGATGATCGTACTGTTCGGTTGTGGGATCTTCCCTCGGAATCTAGTGCGCGAACCTTTGTCGGCCACACCGATTACGTGCGCACTGGTGCTTTCATGCCTGGTTCAATGGCTTCATCTGGACTTTTGGTATCTGGTTCCTACGATCGTACCGTGCGCATTTGGGATCCACGTGTGGAGAGCCGTGCTGCCATGACTTTCAAGATGGCTGCACCCATCGAGAGCGTCCTGCCTATGCCTGCCGGCACAACGGTTCTGGCTGCCGCCGACAACAAGATCGCGGTCCTCGACATCGTGGCTGGAAAGCCCCTGCACATGATTCAGAACCACCAGAAGACAGTCACTTCGCTTGCACTGGCATCCAACGGCGAGCGCCTGCTCAGTGGTGCTCTTGATGGACACATGAAGGTCTTCGAGACTACAGGGTGGAATGCAGTTTCTGGATCTAAGTATCCTTCCCCCATTCTGTCGCTCCAAGTCATCACATCCGGCATGGCACACGAGGACAAGCACATTGCTGTTGGTATGCAGTCTGGTCTTCTCTCGATCAAGACCCGCCTGTCAGGTCAACAAAAGATCAAGGAGCGTGAGCGCCGTAAGGAAATGACCGCACTTTTGGAAGGAAAGCTGGAGGAACACGACCGACAAGTCGCAAAGAAGCAGAAGCTCCGCGGCTCTGGATGGGACAAGCGTCTCCGTGGTCGTGACTTCATTGGAGAGGGAGTGGACATTGTGATCGAGGGTCAGGACAGCAAGCGACGCAAAAAGGAGCAGCAGTGGGAGAACGATCTCCGCAAGGGACGGTACTCGGTCGCCCTAGATCAGGTTCTGTCAACGAGTGACAAGACCGCCCAACTCACTCTCCTCACAGCCCTGCGCCACCGCTCGGCTTTGCGGACCTCGCTCAAAGGCCGCGACGAGGTTACTCTGCAGCCCGTGCTGCAATGGATCTACAAGCACATCCGTGAACCCCGCCTAGTGGATCTCAGCGTGGAGGTCGCCCTGAACTTGCTCGATATCTACTCGGGCAACCTGGGCCAGTCCGCTCAGATCGACAAGCAGATTGAGCGGCTACACCGCCGAGTGCGTGATGAAGTGGAGATGGCGCAGCACGCCTGCCAGACAAAAGGAATGCTGGACATGTTGAAAGCGAGCTAAACGTGAGTCCTGTACGGCTTGGAGTTTTTGGGCAGGTGTCTGGGATTTACCATTGGTGCACATGGCGGGCATTGATCATTTGTACAGAATTGCATAGAAATAAAAGTCTGACTGGATACATGAAGTTAATCCTCATATACTAGCCCCGATTTCCGGTAATGGATACCTAGGTGTGCATGGCGTGCTCCGGTGTCGAGCTCGGAGAAGTATCCGAGTAATCAAGACCCTCAGCCAAAGCACCGGGAGAGACTCCAACCCAACCTATCCTGACCTGACCTAACCTTACCTAACTTGAGGCAAGGTCCAAGCGAGAGAGATCTCTTTCGATCTTACAACGTTGCATCCCCAAGTCCTTCATTTTTATCGCCTTACCTCGAGATCTAGCAAGATCCGAAACACAAGACATTCCACACCGGATATCCTTTCGGCTACGACGCTTGGCAGAAAAAAAGAGGATTCGGTAGCTGCCCCGCCCCTCTTCTCCTGAGCACCAGCTGTCCCATCTCCACCCTCGGCTCTATTGTGGGGATGGTCGAGACCGATTGATTGGCAATGTCCTGATGAAAGAAAATTATCCCAAAGCAGTCAGAGAACCACGGCACAGTCAGCACGTCCGGACCCAGAAAATCAATCACGTCACGTTGCCATCTTCATCATGGCGTCCGCCTTCGACGAGGAAGACCTCTCGATCCCTCTACCTTCCTCTGCTACTCCTCGTGAACGTGCCACTAAGCCCATTAACCCCTCCGCCATGGCAATGCCGCCGCCTCGCCCGACCGGGCGAGCGAGCCCTCGACGCAGTCCCCCGCGACCACGCGAGACATGCAGCGTCTTGATCAGTATCAGACGATCAAGATACTCGGAGAGGGTTCCTTTGGAAAAGTGAAGCTGGCCATTCACCAGCCCAGTGGCCGGCAGGTCGCCCTAAAAATCATCTCTCGCCGCAAGCTCCTCTCTCGGGATATGGTCGGTCGTGTAGAGCGAGAGATTCAGTACTTGCAATTGCTAAGACATCCTCATATTATTAAACTGTGCGCATTGCTCCTTCCTTCTTTTCCAACGTTGTGCGTTCCCACTGACTCATGCCCCACCTTCCCGTAGATACACCGTCATTGCCACCAAGACCGACATTGTCATGGTCCTCGAGTACGCCGAACGAGAATTATTCGACTATCTCGTCCGCAAAGGAAAATGTAACGACGACGAGGCCCGCAAATTCTTCCAGCAGATCATCTGCGCCGTCGAGTACTGCCACCGACACAAGATCGTTCACCGTGATTTGAAGCCCGAGAATCTGCTTATCGATAGCCAGAAGAACGTCAAGATCGCCGATTTTGGATTGAGTAACATTATGACAGACGGAAACTTCCTCAAAACCAGCTGTGGTAGCCCGAACTATGCGGCCCCCGAGGTGATCTCTGGAAAGCTCTATGCGGGACCTGAGGTGGATGTTTGGAGTTGCGGTGTGATCCTCTACGTGCTGCTGGTGGGCAGATTACCCTTTGACGATGACTATATCCCGGCTCTGTTCAAGAAGATCGCTGCGGGTAACTTTCACATCCCTGGATATATCTCTCCCGGGGCTGCCCGCCTGATCCGAGCTATGCTACAGGTCCACCCGGTGCACAGAATTACCATTGCGGAGATCCGGGAAGACCCATGGTTTACCAAAAATATTCCCAAGTATCTGGAGCCCCCGCCGGAGGAATACATCGCTACAGGAGTGGATACGAATAAGCCCATCGATGCCGGCAAAGTTGTTCCGGGCAAGCCACTTCCCGTACAGCTCAAAATCCATCAGATCGCCGTCTCAAAACTTGAGCGAAGCATGGGATATGACAAAGACGATATTGAAGACGCGTTGCGGCACCCGGAGCCTAGTGCTATCAAAGACGCATTTTCCATTGTTGTTGAGAACGAGATGATGCAGACGAACTGTAGGTATTTGAGATCTTGCTACGTGAGACATGCTAATCATCATCACAGCCCCAACAGAAGATAACTTGATGGTCCAGAGTGTTTCTCAGCCAACAAATGCTTCCCCAGTCGCTGAGCGGGTCCTCGCGCCGAAAGCTCAAACCCCTCCAGCCCCGGCGCCAGCGCGCGCTCCACCAGTTGCCAGAACCCCCAGCACGCGGCGTGCGCATCCGGAAGACTATCAATCAGGCGATACTGAAGACTTTGAGCCACCTCGTGTGAGCCATGTCCGAATTTTACCTACAAGTCTGCCGTATGTTCATGACCAGCTCATGGAACAACGGGATCGTGAACAAAGAGCCCGGCAAGAAGCTGCTCGGGCTGACCCCAGCGCCCCTCAGCAAGAGTTATCACAAGATGATCAGGCCCTCTCGGCCCGGGCACTGAAGCCTCACTCGCGCAGTGTTGTCGATCTGGATAAGTTGCGGTTTGAGCCGCCGATTGGCCATCCTATCACCCAGCAGCCTAAGAGGTCTCGGAAGTGGCAGTTTGGCATTCGTTCCCGAAATCAGCCTTATGAGGCGATGTTGTACTTGTACAGGGCCATCGCTGCCCAGGGCGGGATGTGGGATATCAAGCCGGTGGAGTCCGGTATGTTCCCTGCTCCCGTATACAACATAACCATGCTAATTAGATGAAGGCACAAATATTGGACCCGATGCAACCCCGGACCCTGCTAAGCCAAAACCTCTGCAGAGCAAATACCCAGATCTACCCTCAGACTATTATATTCCCAACGACCCCTGGTTCATTCGTGCGCGCCTTCTGAAGGAGGGTGTTAAGGCCCCAGGTGCCTCGACTAGCGTTTACAATAGCCGCAGTGACCTGGAAGAGCTTCGTCGTCGCTTCCACATCTCTGGTATTTCCGTCCCATTCGAGGACAAGGACAAGGATGGGAAGACCTCTACACCCGAGACCAGCACACCCTCAGCCCCTTCCTCTGCGAACCAACCCGGTGGTCTACCAAGCATCTCCCACGGCGTTTGGGTCTTCCTAGACATCCAGCTGTATCAATTGGAGGAGAACAACTACATGGTCGATTTCAAGTGCGACGGCTACCAAAATGTGATCCGCGCCCAGAGCGACACTGAGTGGCACCCAATCAGCAAGCGCCTCAAGAATAAGGAGAAGGAGGTCACCAGCCCGTACCCGTTCCTCGATGTGGCCTCCGATCTTGTCGCCCAGCTGGCTGTGGCTAGTTAGTCTTGACACCGACGACCATGATGATCATCATAATAATGCTTTAATCTTGTTAACCTTTCATTCTTGCTGGGGGCGTGGCATGTTTGTATATTGGGTCTGTTCGCATTTGGTGTCATAGCAAGCGTATCTTTTCGTTGATCTTGCACATCTCCTGGAGTTATTTGCCTCATAAGAAAATGCTTACTCCTTCTATGGTTGCATATATATATTCTGTAGTCCTGTTTTGCGTTTAGTGTTTGCCTTGATTGGGCATAGTTGCTTACATGTCTACGGAGGAGCCATCAACGGAAAGATCGATTCGTTATGCACTATCTAGGTAAGAAAAGCCGGGAATTGGATCGGCATGCCTGAGGAAACAAGGTCGAAATGACGCCAAAGTGAAGACGGGATTGGTCAGATACATGTCTAATGTCATTCAATGTGAAATACCATTCAAATGGCATTATGAAGTCGATCCAGGGCAGCTAATGAAGGGCAAATTCGAGAGCCGTATCTAGCGTCGCCCTCCAAGAGCCATAAACGCCATGATATGAGAGCTTACCAAGAAAGCCCCTTCACTTCTTTGGCTTCGCAACATTTGGCTTCTTCACTGCACCATGGTTGTCGACACGGGAAACCCCGCCAGAGACCTGGTTGGTAAAAGTGCGCTCGGATCGGCGGCGCTGGCTGGCTGATCGACCACTGTCCGTGCCAGTCCTACCGATCTCACGAGCAGGTGCTGGAGCGGGAGTAGGAGCATCATCCTGGTCATTAGTAACCTCCTCGTTGTCCTCACCAGCATGGTCATGTCTATTGCGAGCGTTATCAGCGTGACCTTGATCATTTCTTGGATGAGTGGCCTCATCAACGACCCAATGCTCAAATACAGGAATAATCTCAACATCCGGGAAGCGAACACGACTTTGCTGCTGGCGCTCCCGAGTCTGTTCACCAGATCCATGCTGTCCAATTCCAGAAGATGCAGCTTGCCGGCTCTTCTCCTTCTCCCGCACCTCAGCCATCCACGCGCGAATCCTCAAGATCAACTGCCGGGTGTCGGCGAAATTCATCTCGCGATTTGTGCGACGGTGAAGCCAGTCCGGGGCAGGCGAGGTGACTGCCGTGGGGTGCTTGCGTCCAGTTGAGAGACGATCAGCACGTCCAGGTGTCTGACCCCCGGCGTTTGCATTGGTTATTCGAAGCTGTTCACGGCGACGAAGGACAAGTTGGAAGCTACGAACACCACCCCAGGATTCCATGCGGCTCAGTGATTCCAGAAGGAGCTCGCACTGGGTGAAGGGCCACTGATCGGCGCGATATCTGGCACGCTGGTAGTGTTTCCGGCAGTAATGGGTCCAAACCCAGCAAGGAAAGAGCTTCGTTGTGGCTTTGTTGCGGCCGAAAATATGCGAGATGACCTTGCGGTAGTGCATACCGTCCGGGGAAGGTTTCATCTTACATGGAGTGATGAACTCGCACTTTGTGTCCTGGGGGACCTCGAACTCGTGTGGAGGCTGTGCGTTGGAGCCATCTGTGCCGCCCTCACTCACCCTATCTACTTCCTCCTGAGGACTATCTGGGGGCAACATGGATCGACCTAAGCCATTGGGGTCGAAGTCGAAGGATAGGCTCGGCAGGCGGAGAGATTGTCTGCTTCCGTTGGCATCTGGAGAAAGGCCATGATCACAGCGAGATTCATCGATTGGTGGAAGGACGAGATCTGGAGCTACGAGAGTTGGCGATGAGAAGGTACCATTCGAATGAGGTCTCGGACTGTTGACAAACGTATTTGAATCCCGGATCACTCTTCTTCTCTCCGCTCGGCTGGCCTCATTTGGATCAAGAATGTTGTTGTTGAGTGGTCTTCGCATGAGGGGAGAGGAGAGGTAGGCATCGTGATATTCCGGTTCATATTCAACGGGGGTCAATGCTTCCTGGATCGACGCAGGCTTGGGAGGGCTTGGGGTGGATGGAAGGTTATCCTCAGGCCTAGGAAGAGCTTTACTAGGAGTGTGTGGGCCCATCTCGTCGGAGATGACAGAAGAAGATGCTGGTGTTGTTGACGGTGAGTGGTAGAGGTGGACGGTCTAGAGATAATATTTGATGAATGACGAAGGATTAAGGATGAAGAAACTAAAAGTGACAGGCGGGATGAGGAGTTATAGGAAAGAGATGGAGAACAGCTTGTGAGGTTTATACTCCCTTTTACTTTGCGGAAACTTCCCTCAAAGTTCGAGTCCTCGCCATGACGATGGAAGTCAATGCATCAATAAAATTCATCAAGGCCAACCTACGCATTGCCAAGTCGCGGATTTGCAAAGTGAGTGAGTGGTTTCCAGCTTCGCGATACAGCACTCTCTCAAGACACCCATTCCTGTCGTCGATCATCTTTCCCAAACAATTTTTTTGACCTTCGAAGCCCAGGCATGAGCACACCTGCTTGCTGCCCTTCCCTCTTCCATCTTCTATTATTCCCTATATCAATCCAAGGCATGTGCGTCTATCTTGGGGCTGAAAGAAAATAATGAATAGGTCGATACCCACGCTCGAACAAATGCATGTCAGGTCAACAGCTGCAGACTTGACAGCAGAATCAAAGGTTCAGAGAGATGTCAAAATCCCGTTCTCACGGTCTCTCTGTACGCAAAACACAATCTCACCAGTCTTTGGACATGCAAGGAACACGACAACTACACTGGCGAAAAGTCTGCCACTTGAAAATGATACCTTGAGCGATACAATGAACAGTGTGCCCTTGTGGACAGAGGTAGTTGCGCTTCGAGAAGTCCTTTTTACAGGTCTTTTGATAGGCCCTTGCTATGATGGAGCACAACAGGGTCTTTGAGAGTGGATGCATTCGTTGCATCCGCATCATTGCTATCGATAGGCCTGTTCTGTATATTTGTCTGGGTTGAACTGCTAGATGGCAACCAAAGTAATGACCTGTGGTATCTGAGCCTCGACATGAGGCTACTTTTCTTAATCAATTGGGAATTACTCCAAGCTGAACCAGGATTAGATGCAGGTAGATCAAAACGAAAAAAAGAAAAAGAAAAAAAGCAACTGTATGAGTTTTCCCATACCGGGAGTCGAACCCGGGTCTACCGTGTGAAAGACGGTTAGGCTAGCCGTTACCCCATATGGGATGCCTAGGGTAGATGTTGCCCGCAATGACATAATGATTATAACTGCTCATCGTTGGATAGCATCCTCAGCCAGCTCCAATTAGGATGCAAATAAATGCGTTCAAAAAACCCTTTCGCTTCCGAATATTCTCAGGACTTGTTCAATTATTATGTTCAGGGTACTTCCGATTCTAACATTAAGAGTCAAGTTCAATCGTCGCTGATCACCAGCGAACACAATTCCCACAGCTAATTTTCAAGGTTGTAGGGCTAAGGTCATGATGGCCTTGCCTTGGCTTTAAAGAGATGTTGCTTTAACTCGAGGTAGCGATTCAATTTTCTCGCAATGAAAATGGACGCATCTTCAAAGGGCAATTCAAAATTTGACATCCCCAGCAATTCTTTCGTTAAATTTGCATGATCGGCTCCATCTGCTCGATCTAGATCGAGTTTCCATGGTTGAGTCCACCAAATCAAGGCCGCCACACCATTCCACTCAGTCGGAAAATACTAAAGCCACTGTGAGCAGGTGCATAGTTTCTGAGATCGATATCACAGTGATTCGTGTCTCGGAAGTCTAGCTTGACACACAATTCATATGCTGGTGCTTCAGCACAGATGGCCAATGGGACGCCTTCAGCCTCGGCCCGCTCCAAGCCTAACTGGACCAGCTTGGAGCCGATTCCCTTACGCTGGCAAGATGGCTTGACACACATGTAGACAATCTCTGCATTGCAAATGAGCATGATTCCGCTGTATCATCAATTGATGCACATACCAAATCGATCGATCCCTTCCGTTTCCCGGGAAATTTGTCTGGTCGCATTCATCACCTCTCCGAAAAGACCGGGATTCAATCCATCTGGAACTACTGGATAGGACTCTCCCTTCTCTGCGTCGGCTGATGTATCCTTCGCCGGTTGCTTCCGTGCGAGAACAAAGTAGCCAATGATCTCGTCGGAATCGGAATCAACTGCTTTGAAGGACTCCATCGATGGATCGGCATATCCACCCCTGACAGCACTAGTATACATCTGCGTTTGGACCGCGTCATTTGGCCAGTCATCAAAGATGAGACGATTGATACTTAGACACAGTTTAGCGGAGTGAATGAAACTGGCTAACAAGGGGAGGTCTGATTCCGAAACAGGGGCGATAGTGTAATTTTGGAGCCGCCATTGTATTCTTCACAAGTGAAAAGTCAAGGGTCAAGGCTTATGTTCCTAAGATGCAGCTTTTCGATGTTGCATTATGGGGATCAAGAATCAAGATTAAAGTATTCATAAGTGGACAGGCACCTGAGTTTTGGCTTTATCGGTGACAGGCGCCCTTTAGGCCACCATAAACAAGATAAAATGACAAGGTATTTATTGCAGGCAGCAAGTGTCTATCTTGGCTTTCCAACGTAGGAGAATAGTCATCAGTATTTGCGGTCCAAAGATCCTGGAAATCGAAGGTTGCCGTCCGGAGCGGGGTATCTCTGCCTAGTACGTTAATCTTCACCCTTAAGGGCAAGTCCTCGGTTTCATGATTTGGGGACGGCGGTGAATACGAAAACGAGGTGTTTCTTCACCAATTTCCCAATCGAGTAATGGGCGTCCGAAAATGCCGGCAACTGAAGTCCGATTCAACGACTGCAAAAGCCTGCAGGATCTGATTGCGGTAGTATTGTTAGGTAGTGTGGTGGCTGGGTGGAAATTGCGGGGTGAAGCCAGGCCCTGGATACCCTGAAACTAATCCTCGATGGGCTATGCGCCCGCTGCGATTGCAGGAACGAGCCTGGAATTAAGCATCTCAGCTCCACTTCGGTCAGAGTTACATTCAATCTCAGTAGTCTCACCTGGCACCGGAAGCCAACCATTTGCCTGAAATTGTGAGTCTGACACTGGGATCGAGTCAGATTCGCCGCACAGGCTTACTGGCAGTTCTGTGGACGCTAACGGAAGGCCTGAAGCAATGCTATAAATGGAGAGGAGTCTCTGCACAAACTGATCTTGACTAGAACGAAAATCCTGCTAATTCTTGATAAGTGGATTCATCTCTTCCCTCTCAGCATGAAGCCTAGCGTCTATACACTTCTTGGCCTAGCTGCTGCCAGCCAGGCTTCACCTGCTGAGAAGCGAGCAGGTACAGCATCCGCCTTCAGCTCCAATTCTGCCGGAAACTACAAGTTATCTGCCATCGCTGCACCCGTTCAAGGTGCGGGTAGTCCTGGCTCCGAGTCCACCTGGAAGCTCACCATTGATGATACAAGTTCTGGTCACAAACAGACAATCGTGGGATTTGGTGCTGCTGTGACTGATGCAACCGTGACTTCGTTCAACTCGCTATCCAGCTCGAGTCTACAGACACTGCTGAACCAGCTCATGACCGGGTCAGGGGCTGACTTCTCTTTGATGCGCCACACCATCGGAGCTTCAGACTTGTCCGGTGATCCAGCATACACCTACGATGACAACGGAGGCTCGGTAGACACATCGCTTTCGGGCTTTAACCTTGGCGACCGTGGAAACGCGATGGCTAAGATGTTGGCCAAAATGAAGTCATTGCAACCCAACCTCAAGATCTTCGGCTCTCCCTGGAGTGCCCCCGGTTGGATGAAGCTGAACGGTGTCATCGACGGCACCACAACGAACAACAACCTGAATGACGGCTATTTGAGTGGTGGTACCGGAACCTCGGGATATGCCAGTGCGTTCGCGCAGTACTTTGTTAAGTATATCCAGGCCTTCAAGAACCTTGGCGCCCCTATCGACGCAATCACTATCCAAAACGAGCCTCTGAACAGTCAGTCAGGATACCCAACAATGTATGTCTATGCCGACGAATCTGCACAGCTCATTCAGAACTACATTGGTCCTGCTATCTCCAAAGCCGGCCTCAATACGGACATCTGGGCGTACGACCATAACACCGATGTCCCTAGCTACCCCCAGACGGTCATCAACGGTGCCAGCGAATTCGTCGACTCAGTCGCCTGGCACTGCTACGCCAACCCAGTGGACTGGACAGTCCTTACCACCTTCCACAACAGCAACCCATCTGTGAAGCAGTACATGACCGAGTGCTGGACCCCCTCGGGAACCTGGAACCAAGCAGCCGACTTCACCATGGGACCATTGCAGAACTGGGCTGTCGGCGTAACAGCATGGACTCTCGGCACCGATTCCAGTGACGGCCCGCATCTCTCCAGCGGTGGGTGCGCTACCTGCCAGGGCTTAGTGACTATCAACAATGGAGCTGTCATTTACCAACCGGCTTACTACATGATGGCGCAATTCAGCAAGTTCATGCCCCCCGCGCCATTGTCTTGAGCGGTACCGGTAGCTACACCTACTCCAATGGTGGAGGTATTCAGTCCGTAGCCTCGCTGAACCCGGATGGAACACGTTCTGTTGTCATCGAGAACACGTTCAGCAACGACGTATATGTGACTCTCACCACCAAGGGTGGCCAGGAGTGGAGTGGTAATATCCCCAGTGAATCGGTCACTACCTGGGTGCTTCCGGCGTCCAGTTAAAAGGGACGTTGTGGGTCAATGAAAAGAGGCAACTGTGTTTATAAGACTTCAAGCCCCATAGTTCCAGGAAATGACGATCACCATTCGTAATACCACCAGACGTACGCGAACTTTTGATTCTCCCTCCAGAGCTGTCAGCCAATTCCCATCAGTTGAATAGTAGGCTTGCCCTACAACGTATAATGAAATATAAGAACCGCTTCTACACTGAGCATATTGACTCTCCGATGCCCGATGAATTGCCGCAAAGCACCCCTCACTTAGGGCTTGGCACTGCACGTGATCCCCTCTTTCTCCCCTTGATCGAGTACATAACAATTACAAAGCAACCATTGTAAATTGATGAGCAACTTATGAAAAAAATCTACGTTATATGAAGAGAGTATGGTAAAGAGATGCAATTGAATAATCTTGCGTCTAATATGCAGGGGTCATTATCATGCTCATCGAAGCCGTAAAAGGCCGGGAGCGTAGTCCCGCTCCCTATGTACAGGAGCATCCCAACAAAAGGGATGGGGAGGGGATATGCAAACAGACAGTACACAAATCACTTTTTGTACCATCAATTTTGTAGTAACATCAAATCATCAAGGTGAGAGAAGGCAGGTTCTTTTCGCTGAAATAACAAAGCAGAGGGAGGTATCATTCACAAAACGCCAAGGGTATGCAATGGAAGGAAGGCAATGGGAGGAGACACGATCACTGGGCAGCAGTGGACAACTGGTTGTGCAATGCCTGAGTGAGAGCCTCCTCCTGGCGTTTGCGTTCCATTTCCATCAAATACTGGGCGTACTTGGAGCGAGGGTTGTGAATACCGCACTCGGTCTTCTGCTGGCCCTTCCAGCGACCGGAGCGTTCGTCCTCGTCGGCAGCGACGGGCTGGGTCGAATGCCAGTCACCGACGCTCTTGTAGCCACGATCGAGGAGTTCGTTGTAGGGAACATTGTTCTCCTTGACGTACTGCTTGACCTGATCAAAGGACCAGTTGGCCATGGGATTGATCTTGATCAGGCCAGCCTCATCAACCTCGATGACGTCGAGGTCACCACGCTTGCCACCCTGGCTACGACGACGACCAGTGAGAACGGCGTGAACGTTCAATTCACGGTAGGCACGCTGTGCAGGCTCGACCTTGGCGACCCAGTCGTAGAGCTGGTCGTCGGCCTCCCAAAGGCGAGAGCCATACTTGGACTCGAATTCCTTGGCGTTCTCAGCACCGGCGGGTTTGTACACATGCACGGTGTTGTTAGGATAGCGCTTCCGGACACGGTCGACTAGGTTCAAAGTCTCTTCGAAGTGATGAAGAGTGTCGAGGAAGATGAGGTCGACCATCTGAGGCCGAGGCACCTGGAGCTTAGAGAGCATGTCCAGAGTGACAAGACCCGTCAGGCCAAAGGCAGTAGTCTGGAAAAGGTGGGGGAGAGATGTAATGCACCATTTCAAGATTTCTATAGTATCACACGAGTCAGATTTAGATCATTGAAAGCGGGGTTAAACATGGAATGAAACCATAGAGACGACATACCCTGAGGCTCGAGGAACTGCAACTGGCGGTTCAGAAATTGGAGATGGGGCTTAGTGAAAACGATTTCAGGAACATATTCTTCACTAGAAGAGCCACCGCTAACATAACCAGACTCGGTCATGTTGTCTCTCGAGTCGATGGCACCCTCGACATCGGAGGGGTAGCTGATTGGCATCTTGGCCGGCATGGTGAGGTATGCAGTGTTGTATAGGAAGTATAAATGTAGACAAGCGGGATGGAATGAATTGTACCACACTGCAGGGACGGGGGACACCAAAGAGAGCTCGAAGATGGAATTTCAGAGATGACAATGGCAAGAATATAAGAAGAACCGGGGCAATCACGACATCATTTCGGATGTTCGTGCCTGGCAACTCATCCGACGGACGGCCTTTGCCGTCTGTTTTGCCGGATTCCAATCACATCATTCTGAGTTACCGCCTGCTCGATTCGGCGATACGGCTGAAAAATTCGATTCGGGCAGGTTCTGAGGAATCACGCAATAACTGCGCAACTGGTCCGTGTGGATCCCCGAACCATATACAAGGCAGCTCAATAGCTCTTGCTTCCAGACATATCCGGTTCTGTGGTCTCCCAAATGGGTTTAGTAGAGGTGCCTCGAGATGATAAATCACCCCAAAGGGCGCACCTCCCCTCCACGAGCCTATCCCTATCCCCGTCGCTGACCAACATTGGTCCCGGGGTTAGGTTGGGTCACCCTGCTGCCTAAGCATGATGTTTAGCGGTGTTCGAGAAGATCGATCGAAACTGGATTTTACCCCGATCCCCGTAGCTTGATTGACGTCGACGTGTCATCGCTGGAGTGTAGAGTTGCCCTATACAGGCTCAACATCCCTAACGTGCTCCCTGCCCGCATCGAACGGCCATGATGTGATCAGGACTGCCGCTGACCGGGGCTTATTCTGCCTAGCGGTGAACGAACTCGATCCCGTGACGAGGCGTGACCGAAGTCAGGTGACCGCCATCGTGCACGAGCCACGTGCCGATCACGAACGGGTTTTTGTGAGGGGCATTAATGTTTCGTGTCGCGGGCATATCTTGTTTACTCGTACACCATGGATTCTAACGCCTCCCGCCAGCGACCCTCTCTGGGTCAAATGCGTAGCAATTCTTTCATTCAGGATCACCAGCAGTATAAACCGCCCCTTCCGATCAGCCAAAACATCGGTGAAGTGCTGGGAACTCAGCTGGATGAGAGCTTGGCTACCTTGACCAACCCGATTCACCCTGATCCGCAGAGAGTTCAGGACAGTGGTATCATTCACAGCATCTTCCACAACCATGCCAACCCCCTTCCGCAAGGCACTGCGCGCATTGTCGCGACGCTCTTCTACAAATCTTCCAAACCCGTCCACCCCCATTTCCACCCCGCCGCGTCGTTCAATGCCGCAACCGGCCAGACACTACAGGCACCCAGAGTTCCTGAAGGATCCGCCCCGACGGACGATATGGAGAAGATTCCGCGCGAACCCCCAGCGCCGGAATCTGAACCGCTGGACCACCTGTATGGACCGTACGTGTCGCAGCTCTGCTTGACTAACTTCCTCCAAACTCTTGAGCAACTCCCGACACCATACCAGCGCACCAACACTTCACACCGTTGCTTAGACCGCGAGGACCAGCCTCGCGTAGTTGAGGTCACATTTTCCCCGCCGCCGGACCCTGAATACCTCTCCTTCGCAGATCTGCGTAAGCACGAAAGCATTTGGCGCTTCGAGCGAGAGTGGAACGTCGAAGTTGTTCTGCAAAATGAGAATGTCTTCCGCCGGCATAAGCGCTTGGCCGTATTTGACATGGATAGCACATTGATTCAGAACGAGGTGATCGACGAGATCGCCAAGTTTATCGGTGTGGAGAAGGAGGTCTCTGTAGGTGTTCTAGATTCATGTAGACAATGCTGGCAACAACTAACATTTCAGGAAATCACCGCGCGTGCCATGAACGGCGAGCTGGACTTCACCGCATCCTTGAAGGAGCGTGTTGGACTTCTCAAGGGAGTCCCCGCTGACGTTTTTGACAAGCTCAAGTCCGTCATTACCATCGCCCCTGGCGCCCAGAGAGCTCTGCCGTGCATTGAAGATTTTGGGTTACAAGATAGCCGTCCTGAGTGGAGGTTTCCAGCCCTTGGCCGAGTGGCTCGCTGAGCAGCTTGGAATCGATTATGCCGTTGCCAACCATGTAAGTCCCTGATGAGAATCACCCCTCAAACAAGCCTCCCTAAGACCTTTCTAGCTCGAAATCGACGAAACCACCCAAACCCTCACCGGACGACTAGTCGACTCCAAGCCCATCATCGATGCCACCCAGAAGCGTGCTCTGCTCACTTCCATTGCGGCCGAGAACAACATCCCCATCTCCCAGACACTGGCTGTCGGCGACGGGGCCAATGATCTCCTCATGCTTCACGCAGCAGGCCTGGGCGTCGCCTGGCGCGCCAAGTCCAAGGTCCAGCTCGAAGCTCCGACCCGTCTGAACGGAGAAAGCCTCGTCGACATTCTCCACCTAATTGGTCTGGATAACGAGGACATCATCGAGCTGGCTGCTGCAAATAAATAACCGTTCTGAGATGCATTTCGCCTACTTCTCATGTGCGAGTGAAGGTTTGCTTTTTTGAACAGATGTGCCAAACACAATACCCACTTTTTATGCCTTCGGGCTTTGATATCCAGTTCGTCGGTTGTACTTTCGAACACTGCTCGAGAGTGTTCGACATACAGTAGTTCTTCACTATCTTTCCTCTTTTCCTAGGCCCGGTTTTTGTGGTTCGTGATCGGGAAGTTGAGTAGCGTGGAGTTCATTGGAAATGAGGTGTTCAATAGCTTCCCGGGCGTGCGCAATTGACGAGGGGAAGTCATATACTCGGGATGAGTCTCCTGCCAATAGTACATAGCTTACTGATACATCGTCAATGGTTACGAATGAACACAATGAAATTTTTCATGGTATATGACTGTATTCAAAGAGCACACGAGACCATGAGCTTGCAGTCATTCGATACCCGAATGTACAGAAACCCGTTGATGGTGGTACAAGACACTTCAGTGTTAATGTTAATGTGTTGAAAGATCGAAATGGAGAAAAAGAAGAAATTTTAAACCCGACCCGAACCAGACCAATGCAAAACTCGGCGCCAAAACATGAATTCGAAATGAGGCAATCTGCCATGTCTATTATTTGTGTTGTGTAGCAAAGTCTTAGCGGGTGGCTTCCGCCGTGGCGATGGTCGATTGATCAACGGTACCCTCAGCAGTGCCGGAGCCACCGCGACGCTTCTTCAACACGTTTTCGATGAAAGCTTCGCCGGCCTTGTAACTGCTTCGGACCAGGGGACCGGAGGCGCAGTACAAGAAGCCCATGTCGAGGGCACGCTGACGCCAGGTCTCGAAACGGTCGGGGGTGACGTATTCCTCGACAGCCATGTGCCGCTTCGTAGGACGCATGTATTGGCCGAAAGTGACAACATCGACATCTACAGCGCGGAGCTGGCGGAGGGCATCCCAGAGCTGCTCGTCCGTCTCGCCAAATCCGAGCATGAGAGAGGTCTTGGTAATGAGGTCGGGACGGGCTTCCTTGGCAGCCTTCAGAACGCCAATGGATTGCTGGAAAGTGGCGCGGCGATCGCGAATAAAGGGGGTGAGAGCCTCGACAGTCTCGACGTTGTGGGCGTAGACATCCAACCCAGAACGCGCGACTAACTTGACCATTTCTAAATCACCGCGGTGGTCACCCGTCAGGCACTCTACCAGGACGTTGGGTGCTTTCTGCTTGATTTTGATAACCGTTTCGGCGAAGTGGTGAGCACCGCCATCTGCCAGGTCGTCTCGGTCTACGCTCGTCAGAACAACGTATCCGAGGCCCCAGCGCGAAATGGCCTCGGCTGTGTTCTCGGGCTCATGAGGGTCCAGCGGGGCGGGAGCACGGTTGGTCTTGACACTGCAGAAGCGGCATCCACGCGTGCAGGTATCGCCCATCAGCATGATGGTAGCCGTCGCAGCTTGCTTATCGCCGCCACCCCAGCAGTCGGAGATATTTGGGCAACGAGCCTCCTCACAAACAGTGCTGAGATTTAATCCACGAAGATCCTTCTTAAGGCGCTGATAGTTCTTTGAGTCCGGGATGGGTGTCTTGAGCCAAGAGGGCAGACGAGTCATTTCCTTCTTGCGGCCGGCCGGGCCGACCATGGCGGTCTTCAAGGCATATGCTTCCGAGGTATCAAGGGGCTCTTCCTTGCCGGAGACAAATTCGGAAAACGAGGGACCGGCATTCAACTTATCGCGAAAGGTTGTGGCTCGCCGCCGTGTGGTTCCTGCAGCTGTGTTGGAGGTGGCGGAAGAGGCATCGGTGGTGGCGTAGGTTCGGTGGAATGGCGGGATGGTGGATGAGACCGGAGCAATGGTCGCTCTCACAGAGCTCACAGAGGATAAATGCCGTAGGCTTCTTGCTGGTGCGGCCATTGTTGTGTATGTGGTTGGGAAGTCACGGTTGGAGGATGGCGGATGAGATAGTAGGTCGAATCTATTTCCGCGGGAAACCTGAGGCAACCAATGACTAATCTGATCGTCCGCGGCAATCGCAACTCCGAGTCGAACGGCTCTTTTGGTGAGTCTCCACATGCTTTTATGGTTCTAATGGTTGCTACGCTGGAAAAGTTGTAGTCAGACAATCTTGATTACACTTTGCCAGGGTAATATCACTCTAATTGTACAGATTCCATGCACCCAAAAAACAAAATATCCAAAGAGCGAATCGCAATGCAAGGGTATGAAGGTAAACATCAGGAACAAACAGGAAAGAAAAGTTCGAGTCAATCGAAAATAGGGAATCATTGATGCTGAAAGGATATTAAAGTCATCCTCTGGATGACTGCAGATAGTAGAGGACCAAGGAGATGATGAAGGCGACGTGGAGGTTTAAAGAAACAATGCTTAGACAATATGAGGGTCGTCTTCGGAGGAGCACCTAGAAAGAGAATCAAGGAGAGTAGTTAACCGATTTCAGTGTCGAGGGAAACGGCGCGTGAACGATATTAGGGCCGTCCTTTGGATGATGAGCGCAGAGAGCAGAAGGTCAAGGAGAGTATGTTGTAGATTTGGACGTGCAAGGAAATAACGTATAAAGAAAGACTCAGTGATGAATATTACTTTCAAATACTTGAGTGAGTACCTCGACAGCAGATTTGAGGGTATCATCTGCTCGACCGCAGATGGCGAATAAGAGATTGTCGATGATGCTTTCAACTTGCCGGCGCAGGTCCATGCTGCGAACACCGAGGGCGCGGTCTTTCATCCGGCCTGGGGACCCGGTGGGTATTCGGATACCGAGCGTGCTGTAAGCCTTGGCAGGAATGGCATCAACCGTGTAAGGTTCGCCGCGTGTCGAGATAGATGGTTTCCGACGGTGAAGCGTAGATAAGGAAACAAGATAGTTGCGAGCAATAAGCGCAGCACAGAGACCGTCGAGAAGATTCTCTGCAACTTGAGGAAAAATAGTTCGAAATGGCCGAAGTAGTACCTTTTCATCATTTCGGCGAAGATAAACAATCACAGGAGACGTTAATCGCAGCATATGGCGAGGGAAGTCTTTGACTGAATGGTTAAGTTCACCAAGGGTCCACTCGTGGTCATCGAGAGTCCATTCTTGGTCCAATAGTCGCCGTTTCCCTTCTTTCTCTGAAGGATTTGATGTGTTGCCAGAGGAAGCAGTCTTCGGGGATGATGATGCTTTGGGGCTGACACTGCCCGATCGGATTTCCGGTTGGGGTGACCTGTCGCGCTCTCCCTGCGCAGATTCAGGCCTCTCGCATACGACGGTAGACGTGACACTGTCCGAGGTCAATGACCCCGGATCTGTGTAAGCATCGTCATCTTTGCTGTCTGAATAGATATCCATGGAGTAGCTGGATTCACGGGTACCATAGCCGCTGTCAGACATGTCAAGCGGTGTGTCTGGGCTGAAAGCAGACACCTCTTCCTGTCGATGATCAGGCGTCATTGGAAGAGGGTGAGGTAACAATGATGGAAGAGGTGGTGGTGGTGGGATGGGTGTAGCCGTAGACGGAGGCATGGAGGGCGAGGACTGCCGCGTTACTTCAACAAGCTTGGGCTTTGAAGCGACCGCGAAGCGCTGCAGTTGCACGTGAGCATGGTTGGTCTTAGATCCAACCCAGGCTGAAGAACTTACCACAGGCTCCTCCAAGGCCTTGGACCCAGGAATGAAATCCAATTTTGGCATTGGCGGATCTGTTTCAACAATCTGAAATTTGCGACGATTGAATTCTTTGGGTGCCTGGTCCTTATCTTCCCCTGCTTCAAATGGTACGCCCTGCAGCCACGTCTGACAATACGAGAAGTTGGTGGGGATCCAACTGGCTTCGCTTGAGACAGTGGCCGTCCGCGGCCGTTGAGGTCTCGGAGAGGTGCCTGGGACGATTACGTTGGCACTGAGCACGGACAGTGGTGATGCGATGGAGCTCTTGGCGCCATTGACAGGACTGTTAGAGGCAGCGCGCGGTTTGTCATGATTGAGACTGGCTTCCTCACATTGTCGAATGAGATTGGAGTGAGCTTCGTGAACATTTGTCACGTCCGTCCTTCGCCTCTCTTCCAATGCTCGTGTCCAACCAGGCGGACGGTAGGCTTTGTAATGGATTTTTTCCTCCATTTCGAATGGCAGCGTAGGCTCCCCCGATGGTCCCTGCTCTGGCTCTTTCATGAGCTCCTCCATAGGCTCGTCTGAAGTGTCATCGACAAGCTGTCCCACAGATCCTTGTTCCGTATTCTCAACAGGCACCGGAATAGGCTCATTCAGAGGCTCGCTGGCAGGCTGCTCGGGAAGCCCCTGCGTCGGGGTATCCTCATCACTGTTGGTGTTGCTCTTGCATTCAAAGGACGATGAAGAGTCCACACCCGCACTGGCGGGCCGCGAGTCTGAGATCGGGGGACTCGGAAGGAGACCAAATGCTGACATATTGGCGACGGTCAAGTTCTGATCTGATCGCCATGTTCGTAACCTACGACCGGCTGGCGGAGGAGGGTCTTTCAAGAAAGTGGGAAATGAACCATCACATGAAGCTGTCGCCGGCGATGCTCCCGTGGAGGCCGGAGATTTCGGTAGAACTAGCTGGAAAGGCTCTTTCATTCTGCGCACAGAACGAAAAGGTGAGATACAGACGGGGCTGCGAGTAGCGGGCCGCCTTGTTAAACTTGTGGTATACTCCTGCTCTGGCCGGGCGAGAGCCGAGGAAGGCAAGAATGACAAAGAGCTCGGAAATTGCCTGCTCCTGTTCCGGGGCTGATATGTGGGCGACCATCGGCGTGGCGATGGCATGCGGTCCTCAGTAGTGATAGTGTCGTGGCTCAACGCCGACGAATGAGAGCTCTGGTATTTGATATGTGTTTCGATTCGAGCCGGAAAACATGCGTTAGTCGGCATTGTAGAAGCGGCGCAGTCCATGGTGGACATAGCGCGTTATTAGGGAGAATCTCAATGCTAAGCCCGATTTGAATGACGACGGGGAAAAAAGCAATGAGGATGTAGCACAAGTGCCGGATGAGAACGAAATGCAGCAGGAACCGGACCAAAACAAAGCAACCTCTGTCTATGCAGGGGCTCAACTCTTCCTTATACAACAAGAGCGCACAGGGTTTCCAGGTGGGATCAGGGTCACCGGGGCAGAGAACATCCCTTGTCAAGGAAGAAGACTCCTGCCATGAAGAAACCCGGGTATGTAGAGAGGAAAATCGCCCCTTCAAGGTATTTTAACGTTTCCTTAGGCACGAACTGATCTCAGCTGCACCAGGCACGGGCCAACATAGTAATAAGGAGAATGGAGCTCGCGTCGTCCTTGCATTCCGCGAGATGGGGTGAGATCCTGGACAGTGAGGGTGACGATTGGCCCTAGATCCGGCAATCCAAGCAGATGCAGGCCGTCAACGTGGAAGGACCGTCGGCCTGTCGCGCCGTAAGCGTCATAGTTCACTGGGGATGGAACATTGTGTGGACTCGCGGAATGAGACAACCGGGATGGGGCGAGGGGGAACAGGGCAATCATGGCGATCCGAACGAATCATAGGGACAGAAACCCTTGAGAAGGGCAACAAGGTCGACGGTAGGGTGTATGTGAGTGGATCTTCATTGGCGTTGTGTCTCGTTGCAACAGCAACAATCGATGATGAGTCTCCCTGTTCGTACGGGGGTGCCATCCCTTGCATCCGTCTAGCTCATGCCTGGCGCTTCGCCTGAATCGTGACTATATAGTCCAAATGCTCCGCCATGGCTGAAAGAATCTGTCTCTCCACCAATTCATTGTGAATGACGTGGATTGGGCTCATCGTGCAACCCTCGTCCATTTTGTATAGATGGTGCAGATTCCACCTCATCGGGCCTTCGGGATCTGCTTGGACAGGTCGAACGGGGTTCCTTTTAACTTGAAAATGGGTTCGCGTAGTGGTTTGATATGTCATTTCTGGACGTGCTCTGTAGGATTTTAAGATTAAAGAAGATTAAAGTCTAGAATCAAAGTGCCCGATCGAAACCTCGTAGAGTTTGTCACTTATCACATTGAACGATGCTGTGCATTTCCCGGTGGACGGGGCGAGCCGCCTGCAAACACTGCAAACACCATTCTTATCGACTTTGTCACCGGAAAGGAAAAAAATTGGGAGCTTGGGCTCCATTCTTCTTAGTCGCATAACTCGACTTGCAGGCCCCAGGATGCTCTCCGAGTCGTTCGTCGCGGCTACCCTGGCCTCCGCTAAAACTGCCAGCGCCACTCTGCGCGATGTCGGCATTTGCGTGCAGGAATACCTGCCCTCTCCCCAATTGCGATCAACTTTGAAGAAGAGCTCCACCAACCCCAATTGTCTTGCCGTGAGCCCGTCGCATATCTTCGCTGCCCAGGCGGAGAAGGCGGTGGTGCATGTGTATAGTCGGGAGAAAGGAAACCAAGAGGCTCTGGTGCCGTTCCCGCAGCGCATCCACAGCATTGCAGTGGCCGGAGGCAAGTACGGCGATGTGCTGGTTCTGGGAACCGAGGGTGGTGGACTGATCCTGTGGGAGGTATGACTTGTTGACAAGGAGATTCTCGATGTATCACACTGCTTATTTGCTCCTATAGACTTGTACCGGTCGTGTTGTGGCCACCACCGCCTCCCATCTTCAGCCCGTTACTTCTCTCACCGTCGACCCCACCTCCAACTTCATCCTCTCTGGCTCTTCCGACGCCAGTATACACGTCTGGTCCTTGTCATCCATTCTATCTTTCTCACGACTCGCCCCAAGCGGGGACCGTCAGCCCCCCAATGCCCCGATTCGCACTTTCTCGAATCACCGCGCCGCTATCACATCTCTAGCTTTCGGGCACAGTAATGGACGGCACAATATCGTCGTTTCAACGGCGAAAGATAATACAGCGATTGCGTGGGACTACCAGACTGGACGTGTCATGCGAACCTTCCTTCTTCCTTTCTCCGCCACTTGTGTAGCATTGGACCCAGTCGACCGTGCTTTCTACGTGGGTTACGAGGATGGAAGTGTCCAGTCGGTTGGTTTCTACCGCAGTGAATCCGTGCAAAACCCGCTCCATGATCCCTCTCTCCAATCGACCCCGGCGCAGGCGTCTGCCGAAGACCGATGGCTCCCACCTTCGGCCGAGTCAGGCACCGTCAGGGCCGTTTCCCTGTCGTACGACGGAACAACATTACTATCTGCACATGAAAATGGAAGGGTTCTATCGTGGAACATTGCGCGACGCAAGTTTGCGACCACAGTTGCCGACTATACACACCCTGTGACCAATTTGGTTGTGCTGCCTCCTAGCGGACTTCCCACAACACAACAATTGAAGCGCATATCGCACACCGTGGTTAAACCTCGCCATGACAATGCTTTCGCCGATCCGGCTCACGCCCCCGGCGCCGTACCAGTGGACTACGTGTTTCACACACACCTGGTTGCTCCGTCGCAACCGCGCCCTCGCACGACAGCCGAATTTACCCAAGCACTCACACACACCTCCTTCCCCGAATCTATGATTGAAGAAGGCCTTGCAGAATTAGCGGCGCTCCGTCAAGGTGGTGGGGCGCAGGTCTCCCACGTTACCTCCGCAACTCCAGCCCTTGCCGATGATTCGGACGCAGCCGCCCGAGACAACCACGTCACAGAATTACAAGCCGAAATCGCCATTTTGAAAAAGAAGGCAGCGGCTAATGACACAGCTCGTCACGCTACCGCCGATGAAGTTGTTCAATTGCGCTCTGATTTGGCCCAGCTGCAGGATTACATCAACGAAATGCACGGGAAACTGGAAGCAGGTCAGCATGCCAAGGTGCAGCGCCATGCAAGGAAAGAGGAGCAGGAAGCGAAGAGACGTGAAGCTTGGTTCGCCGCTGAGAAGCAGGGGCGCAACGGCGACAAGGTCATGCAGAAGATGGAGATCGATGATGGTCTGCTCACTGGCGAGTCTGATGACCAAAGAGATGAGTAGTGGGTATCAAAAAGTCATGCATATTGGGTTTCCTACATTCTGGACCGGCGCTATTGGGTCTCTGTCTATATGCTCTCAGGCAATTAAGCCTCTCTTGATGAATACCAAGCTGAATGAATATTGAAGATGATCCCGAATCCTGAGCTTCTTGTCATACATTTATAGTCCGACTGTAATGTAGAGAACATCTATAGAGATACCTTCCCAGTCCTTTGCTTCTTTTCTCGTCGATCTTTGTCTAAAACACCATGCAAAGTCGACCCTTCAAGTCCTTCCCCTGATAATGCTCAAACATCTCATTGATCTGCTCCACGCCATAGGTCTTCTCGATATGAGATCTGCACCGATTTTCGGCATGCAGATTAATCATATCCTGACTTTGCTTAGGCGTACAGATCAACCGTCCCCTTACCGTCTGCTCCTTAAAGCTCAATGCAAACGGATCGACTTCCAGCATCGTGTCCGACGGCAAGCCAACATCAACCAATACACCACCTTTGCGCAAGAACTGCTGCGAGAATCGGATGAGGTGACGCGCCTCGGCATTGATAACCACACGGTCCACACCGGCATTAGTCTCATAGAATGAAGACTGCAATTCCTCAATCACTCGCTTCTGCGCATCCTCCGAATCAATCACGAACGTCTTATCCGGTCGAAGGTGTTCCGGAACCGACAGAGCCGTCTCGATACCTTCCTTTCGATTATCGATCGCAATGACATTAGCACCTAGCGCCTTTGCATATTGCACGCCCAGGTGGCCCAGTCCACCGATCCCAACCATCGCCAACCACTGGCCCTTCTTGACACCGGAGGCAAGAAGCGCACCGTAAACGGTAGCACCGGCGCAGAATAGCGGTGCAGCTTCATCCCACGGGATAGACTCGGGAATCTTCGACACCACTCGGGCGTCGGCCTTCATATACTCCGCGAATCCACCATTGATCGTCAAGCCAAGCATACCAACCAGCTTCTCACAAAGCTGTTCACCCTGATGCTTGCACGCGTTACATTCTCCGCAGAATGCATATGTATTAATTGACCCGACACGATCACCGACGTGAATGTTTGATTTCTCTGCGTCGGATCCAACTTTGACGACCGTTCCGGCCGGTTCATGGGATCCGACGAGACCGGGCTTCGCGCCTGCGGATTCGTAGACGCCTTGCATTACTTGGAGATCTGTGTGGCAGTAACCAGCCGCGGCGATTTTGACTAGGATATCATTTGGACCGAGGTCGGATGGGACATCGATGTCGCGGACCTCGTAGCCTTTGTTGAAGTCTTTGACGACGGCTGCCTTCATGGTTTCGGGGATTTGGTCTGCCATGATTGGATGTGTGATATGGAGACTGAGAAGACTAGGTTCGATGGAGGGACTTTGGTGGAATTCGGATCCTACATTAAATATGTTCTATGGGACTTTGAAGCTATGGCAGAGCAGAGGCTGGATGATTGATATTGGACGTCATCTCGCAGCAGAGAAATTCTTGTTCTGAGAAGGAGTGCCGAGATAATCACCCTAATAGAAGGGAGTAAGTTGTTCGTTTTCGTTCGATTTGCCAAAGCCAATGCTGTCGAATGCTGGGAGAGGTGCTTCTAGTCAATTGGTTGTTGGGAGCTTAATCACCAAGTATGACGCCATCGTTCGGTCAGATATACCTCGTCGCGCATTACATGAAGCACTCTGATGATCGATTAACTTGTTTGTAGAAGAGGCGGAAATCTTGGATTTTGATTAATTCTAGAATCGTGCGAAGGTCTGCAATGTAATCTATTTTCTATGTTGCGTTTCATGTCTTGCTTGTTCAGTGCAACCGACTCTTATCAATCTCAAAATTGGATGATCTGTAGGACTTGGGAATTTGGAGATTTCCAAGCTCATAAAAGCAATCTATCGTCCAATCCTCTCACTTCGTGTTATATGGGCCAACAATCGGGTTTTGGCGGTCTTTTGATTCAGTTGCCACTTTGGGTCTGGCGGTCCTTGAGTGGACCAACCCTGTTCTATTTAACCAAACGACGGCTTTGATTAAGGATGCTCTAGCCAGGAACGATTTGATTATGGAAATCACCAATAGCTGGGTGAAGCTTCTGCAAGTTCCACTTGCACACACGGGGCTCCCAAGTGCGGACAAACATATGTCTCGTTGCCATACACAGCCTTCGTCATACGCCCCACTATTGAGCACGTTCTGGAATTCGACATGCTACCCATGGATCTCTTTGACGCACTGCCCTTTGGTTGATGTTTGACTGGTCTCTTACCCCAGCTCATAAGCCACCCCCGAAGCCCCACGTTTGTCCAGACGCGCCGCAGGAGGCGAGGATGGCAAATTGCAGCACGAATCGCCACGCCAAATCCCTTTTATAAATACTGTTGTCTCTCCAAATCAATATATAGGATGGACTGAATACATTTTATTTAAGGTTGAGAGCGCCCTTGAATGAATTAATTCCAAAACAATCAGCTTATACCCTGGTGTAGTTCGCCTACTACTCAATCCCCGCCGAGATGTTTAATTCCTACAGTAGTTCTTCCTACTACTTCAGCTCCACAACCAACACAAACGATGGAAGCACCACAACCGGGCACCGACATGCAACAACTTCATATACCGACACTGACGGAAGCACCGTCGTCCGCACAGCAACCCAGGACCTCGGCCAACCTGCCGTTGTTGAAGAGCGCCGCTATGACCGCACAGGGCAGGAACAACTCCAAGTAAAACATCCAGATTATGGAACATCAGCCGGCGGTGTCAGGCGCATCACTGATCTCGACGAAGACCCCTCAGGTCTGGATATCACAAATGCCTATGGTGGGCCTGCGCAGCTTATAGATGAAGCTACCTCGTATGACCTGAATACGACTCCGTTTGGGACGAAGAATCATCGGTCGAGATTCTGGGGCTTATGATGAGCATATGGATTACGATACTGCTGGTGGAGCCAGCCATCATCGGGAAGTGAGGGATGCGGGTGGACGCATGTTCAAGCGAGATCTTGATATCGATGGGACCGTGGCGAGGGAGCATCGCGAATACGAAAATCCAAACACTGGAGTCAGGCTCGTGAGGAATGAGGATGTTGATGTCTCGGATGTGGTTTAGTGGTATCGAATTTGAAAATGCTATGGGCTAGAATTAAGAAGATAAATATTGAATGAGCAGCACGCAATGAGCTTCATGATGTGGGTGTCGTATAGATATCTAAACCGAAAATATGTTGGATGGAAAACAGACTAGCGTAGACGAAGACGTCCCTCCGACCAGCGATTGCGACCCTTCTCCCACCAGCTTGGAATCTCATATGCCCAATGGCACAGCATACCGGCAATGAAACCAACGGCATCATTCTTGAACCCGACCAGAAGTCCGACCGTAATCATCATGACCGTCCAGCGACGCTTGCGCTCTTCATCTGTAAGCACAGGACCAAGATGTTGGCCCGCAGACCCAAGAGTACTTTCCGCTTGGTCCAGATCCCGAGCGCCAGTGGTGTTGAGACTCTCACCGACCCCGACCAATTCCAGACCCGCTGCAACGACCATGACGCCCAAGAAGGCAGCAGGGAAGCGCTTCAGAAGATCAACCAGAGTTTCGCCGAAGAGCAAGCCGATGATGAGCTTCAGTACGCCGAGGAAAACAACACTGGCGCCTGAGCGTGCGCCAAAGCGGTATTGAGCTGCGAGACCACCGGATCCGTGGCAGACAGGCATGGCACCAAACCAGCAGCCGAGAAGGTTCATAGCAGCCACACTAAGACCTATGTGTGTGATCGACGGAGTCCGCACATTCGGCAGCAGATCATGGGACAAGTGCACGACAGCTACAATCGAGTTGAGAGTTGTTAGAGGGATCTGGCCAACACCAGCATCCAATGCACCAACTTGCCACTGATGAGGAGTTGGGATCACAATGTATGGATGCCAGATTTCGAAACCGGGCATGTGGCCAGCCAGCACAGTACGAATGATGGCAAACACGAGGCCCACTGCAAACAGTGCCAGTGCATATGGTACTTTCCGATAAACGTTGGTGACGATCAAGGCGACAAATGCAGCAATGGCCCAGATGCGATTGTCGGCCCATGATGGGCTGATCCAGCCCAACGGCTTGAGCATAGCGCCACAGGCTGAAATGATCAGTGACAGACCCGCGCCGACCTGGATACCCTTAATCACAGGGACAGGGATCGCATTTGCAAACCAGCGAAGGAGACCAGTGATACTGAAAAGCAAGATACAAGCACCGACAAAAATACCTGCTGCCGCGATCGACCCGTTCGAGAAATTGCGGGCAATAGCTACAGCTGCAATCGCCTTCATAGGCTGAACCGGCAGTGGTATTCCAAAGAAAAGACCCGTTAAAATATTATAAACCCCAGAGAACATCAAAGTACTCGCCAGCGATACCGTGCCATTCACCGCGAGTGCAATGGCGATGGGCAAAAAGGTACCAAGGTCGCCCAAAGAGCCTGAGATTTCAGAAACATAGTGGCGCTTGAAGGTTCGCAGATTATGCGCCGAGATCTCTCGCAGAGTCTGGGCGGTCATGATATGTGCTTAATCTCAAACCTTAGGAAGTTGAGGAAGATGAGTAGTCTAAGGAAGTTGTGGAGTGTAAGTGAGCTTCTCAAGATCGGCGGGTTCCGCCTTGCCCCGCATTGACACCGTGCTGCCAACCTGGTTTGTAAGTGGACGTTCATGCCGTGCCACAAATACATGTTACTGTGAGTCGGACACTGCCAAATTGTACCTTTGTGTAGTATTGCATACTCTGAAGTCTATCATAGTATATGCATGGGACGCCGGCGAGATTCTAGTGACATCCCGTGGACTCCTTGTTAGGTACAGTGCTTGCTTGTACTGAGCGGAGGGTGGCTTGGGTTGGCTTTCGTTGGCTCGGAACCCTATGGATGAGTTGGTTGCTGCGAATGTCGTAACTAATAAGCAGTTCCGGAAAGGGATCATCTCGCGGATGATGATGTCTAAGTCCCGGATTTTCATTCCTAGGCTTCCAATAGTCGATGGCAAGATATTAAAGTCCAGGAGACTATCAAGGCCGACCTAGGCAAGATAATTGGACCACTTGAGCTCGTGGGGGACCGCAAGACAAAAATAGTATACTGCAGGAAACCATGGATTATTCCGAATTCAAATACGTGGATACGAAAGTATGATGATATTGGGTCTATCTCTGCCGAAGAATAGGCCACGAAATAAATCTCGTTAGACAATCGATGGGTAAATTTGGGTGCTGGGTGGCCCTGGTTCGAGCAATCCTGGTTCATCCGGGTTGTCCTCGAAACCCAAATCTCGCCAATTCCTTCAAGGGATGACTTGCAAACTGCAACTTGCAATTTTTCGACAATCCGTACACGTGGAACAACATGATCGCCGGAACCATGACATAAGAAGCAAATTATCCACGCCTCTCCCTCAGCATGCGCCCTTTGCTCCTAGTACCGCTGGGATTTGGCACCCTTGTGTGCGCAAACACTCCCACACTCTCCATCCCGACCTCGAGCCCATCTAAAGCGGTCGCCGTCCCGGCAGACTTTCTCAGTTTTGGGTTCGAAACAGCGTTCCTGCCTAAATACGACAATGATTTCTCAGAAAACGTCGTCAACAGTATAGGTTCCCGCATGAGCAAGCCGCTCATCATCCGCGTCGGCGGCACCAGCGGGGACCTCGTCCGCATAAAGGAGGATCTCACTATGGCTACACACTGCTTTGCTGGGCCGGGATGCCCGGACAACAGCAAGGACAGCTTTGACATCGGACCAAGCTATTTTGATGGATTCAAGCGATTTCAAAACGCGACCATGACCTTTCAAGCACCGATGGGTCGTAATATGGACATGCGGCATACCATGGCCTACGTCAAGAATGCGTGGAATGCACTTGGACAGAACCGCGTCGCGGGAATTGCGCTCGGGAACGAGCCGGGCTTCTATAACTGGACAGCAGAACTGTATGTGACTCGTGCATTAGAGGTCGAGGATGCAATCACGGAAGAATTCAACCTGAGCGGTGATGCCGCAGCTATATTTGAATTGGGCGATATTTCCGACCATGCCTCGTCTTCAAACATCCCTTTTGGCCTGTGAGTCTTCTTTCATTGCCCCTTTTCGACCGTCTCGTTATCTGACTCTCATTGCAGAGATGCTATTTTCAAGAATGGCCTTAACAAGAATGGCCGGGGGAAGTTTGCAGCTGAGCATTTCTACACCATCAATCGAGAACATTCCTACTCCGTAGAGACGTTGCAAGGTAAGAGTATCAGTCTCTCTTATTAGTGAGGTAGACTGACAGACCCCAGACACACTGATGAACCACGCTGTTATCCAATCGCGGCTTTCCTCCTACCAACCAAGCATAGATTACGTCGAAAAGAACGACCCAGAAACAGCCTTTGTCCTGTCAGAGGTCGGATCAACTCTCCGTGCCGTCCCCATCGACTTCGCTGGCGGCTTCGGTGCCGCCATCTGGGCCGTGGACTTTCACCTCGCGGCTATGTGCCGCGGTATAAAACGGGTAACGAATACTCAACGTCCCGAAGCTACACATGCGTTTTGGGTTCCCGACGATACAGGGCCGGCCACGAAGCGTCCAATCGTGCAGGGTATCTTCCCAGCGGCGGCATTCATTGTTGATTTTATCGGATCATCCAATCTGGGCAGAGCAAGCGAAATTAGCCTGTCAGATCAAGACCATTTCACGGCGTATGTGATGCATGGGCTGAACTCCGGTCTGGCGGAGCGAGTTGCACTGGTGAACATGAAAGAGTGGAATGAGAATTCCAACTCTGTGAGAGGGAGTGCGACCGTCACGCTTGAAATTGGTGAGAATGTGACCACTGCGACCATGCGGCGAATGCACGCCGATAGAGGATCTACAGCCGTAGGATATGATTGGGGCGGCCCCAATAATAATGTATCCTACGCAGGAGAGCAGTGGACATATGCCATAGACCTAGGCAAAGGGCATTACACAAACGGTTCATTGATCGAGGAACTTGTGAGTGTGAGTGATGGTAAGATTGAGGTGACTGTGCCTGACACGGAGGCGGTCCTTGTGTACTTGAAGTGAGTATCTTCCTGGCATTCTACATACATCCAGTTCTGAGATTACTTTGCACAAGATATGGTTCCAAAGAAGAGTCTAATATGATGACGACTTCATCCAAGAAGAACGGTGGTGTTCGTGGTAAGGGTGGAAGTGTATCATTGTTGATCATTGTTGCATTCTCGGCGGCGGCTTTTATACATTTATGTAATACAAACATGCCATCATTTTCATGAAAAGTTTTCTGTAGAATCACCAATTCAAGAGACATGGAAAGCCCGAGAGACATCTCTTCTGCGCAGTGACCGCCCAAAGGATGCGTATTGTGCAGCATAGTGATCATCGCCAGATCGGACCCCTGCTCACTTTCTGAATGAGACCAGTCTAACTAAATGAGAAGTGGGAAGGAGTCTAGTCACCCGATTTAGAAAGGAAGCGGTGTTGAATCATCCCTAGTGCTTCGGGTCGTGCCTCAGACCGTCTCTTCCATACTTGCTCTCTTGGTCTTTGGTGACAAAACTAGATGCCTGGATACACTAGACAAGGTGCATAAATCGCTTCTCAAACCAAATTCGTCTTTTAAAAGCTTCTATTCCAACATTTTACTAAGGAGACATCATGCTCAATCGCGATAATAATTCCACAGGCTACCCCAGAGAATCCCAAGTCAAAGGTGCAAACAAATTTCCTGAGCTTTAACGGATGGTAAAGCCTCCATCAACTCGAATGTCAGCACCATTGATCATGCCGCTGGAGTCCTAAAAAGGAAAGAATGAGCAGATGACATCACAATAGACAAACATGACATACCTGACAAAGGAATAGTACCGATTCAGCAACTTCCTCGGGAAGTGCAAACTTCCCAGTCGGGATATTTTTAAGGAAAGCCTCCCTTACAAAGTCTTCTCCCCAAGCTTTCTGACCTAGAGCCGTCCATGCTACAGTAGGTGAGACAGTGTTGGAAGTGATACCACGACCTCCCCATTCCGAAGCCATGCTGCGTGTCAAACCCTGGAGTGCAGCCTTAGAAGCACAATACGCACCATGACGATGCAGTGCTACGTGCGCCGCCTGCGACGAGATGCTGACGATTCTTCCTGGCGGCGGAGGACTAGGCGAAGATTCCGCAGCCTTCGAGGCAGCGAAGTAGAGACGTGCAAAAGCCTGGGAGCAAAGCATCGGTCCGAAGACATTGGTTGTCAAATGCTTCATGGTCTCCTCCGGAGGGGTGATCTCCATGTCACTCAGAGACACATACCCAGCGGTGTTGATTAGGATGCTTGGAAACGCCCTCTCATTAACAGGTGAGAAATCAGGAGAGACCATGTCCTGTTCAAGGCTTGTAAAAGCTGACTGAACAGAGTCCGGGGAACGTGATATCGCATTCATATGTTCGGATATCATTGATATCAGAGCCTCCACCGTAACCCTGCTCAAGTAGCTCATCTCGTCGAGCGGCCTCAAAGGGAGCATACAAAATCGCAACACGAGCACCTTGCTGTTGCAGTTTTTTGCCGATACTTGAGCCAAGTCCACCTGGCGTATGATCGAAGTTAACTCTGGTTTCCCCAGGTTTCGGTGGCTATCACTTCTCATCCCTACCTAGACCTCCGGGGAGGATCGCGAGTCTGCGACCAAAGGCCATTGTCTCGGTAGATCACTCAATGATGGACAGTCGTAATTCCGAGAAGTTGAATGCGCAAGGGGATAATTCGAGCAATAATGGTGTCAGCACGGGGCCAGACCCCAGACCCCTCAAATTCGAGGGGGACATGCGCCCGCTTCAGGCAAGGATCGGTGTTCTCGCCGGGGTAGCTGGCGTCTGACGTCAAGCATCTCCACCTATCTCATTCACGAGGGTAAGGAAAGAGGAAATGGTAGTGAGATACCTTTATTCATTTCAGATCTCCATTTTTTTTCTTTGCTGGACTGCTGTGGCTTGCTGTGGCTTGCTGTGGCGTGATGAGCCTATACCGATAGTGCAAGCCATGTGGTCAATTTAGTTTGCACCCGCTCAACATCGGCATAGGTGAAAGTTCATACACTATGAACATGTCAAACCCCGTTTGATAGATGCAACAAAAACATAACACGGATTTGAAGAAAAGGGATGGTGGTTTATTCATGACGTTTGAGTGGTGACACTTGGCCGTCCTCCTCCCTAGCATCATGTCAACTTGGAAACGAGGAGACAGACTAGCCTCAAAGTTAACGATTGAAAGGGAGTCACCATAGTACCTTTGAGAGTGTCAGGTCCTTCACATTGGAGTCCTTGGATCATTTTGGTGATTATTCCGAGCACCATTTTCACACCATTCTCACACCCGCCACGAACTGCCGTATATAATGCTGATTCGTCCCAATGACCCTCGCCGATCAAGATTGACACCGGGCAAATAAAGACAAATGGATCGTTTCCATCTGGTCTACTTGATCCGTAATGTGCAGTCTCGTATCGTTGTTATCGACGTTCTCAAAGTTCGGATTCATTTCAATGTTGATGAGATCCTTGATCACGTCCATGTGACCATATCATATAGCACTTCTTATTGCATCCTGAGTCTTCTGTCATTTTAAAGAGCAGCAAATATGCCAAGTCGGAATAAATGGGCAAGACCCGTTAAGGCCATGAGCTATGGCCTTGACGAGTAGGTTCTGTTCAACCTTTGCTTTCTTGACTGAAAGCTTTGCGCTTGCACTGACATGCAGAATTACCCCGAATCGGTCTATTCTGGCAGCCCATGGGAAAGCCCATGAATATACGTCCTAAGAAGGATTGGAAATAGAGGTATCGGTTGACTGCAGGGCAAACAGCAGCGGTGTGCGTTCACGAGAAAAGAATGACGTCTTTCGATGACTACAGGTAGGATTATACGGCTAGCAGAAGTTCATCTGCCCAGCCAAGCAAAACCATTATAGAGAAGATCTACCGAGGATACGAGACATTGAAGAGGAAGAGAGAGGCACATGCAGTTGATTCTCCTGTCGGGGAAGTCCAAAGCTTCGCCTGATCAGGGTTAGGCTCAGGTTCCCCGATCTAAGATTACTTTCTCTGAGTTGTTAGTTTTAAAGCTTGAAAGCATCAAATCATATAGAAGATTACGCAAGGCGGACCTGAACCGCAAACTTCGAGTCCGTGTTTTTTGGGCTTACATCCAATTGCCGGTTGGTAACGGGGAATGCCGCTTTCTGGGCCAAGATAGGAAGGCATCACTATCACCCAGATGTCGTTCTCAGATACCGCTTCCTCGCCAGATCGAGGTCGCGACATGAAGTCGTCGCAAATACTACGTCTACATCTACAACTACAGACTACAGTCCGCGATTCGTTGCTTATCCTACCGAGTCTCAAATCCCATCAACCCGGGGGGGTTAATGAGGATATGACGTAGACTCCGGGGACATGACATCCATCCTGTGGGAGACCCTTCAGCGCAGAACCCGGAGCGAATGGTGTCGTTCACGGGATTCTTTGGCACGTTTGGGTGACGTGTAGGGTTTGATAGCCTTGCGGCAATATCGAAAGACCAGCATGCGCCCCAAGGACTCACCACAGGATGAGATCAAGCTTTTAGGAGCTATTGTCAAGGATCAGACCAGTTGACTGACAGCAAATCGCGGACCTATACAAGGGAAACGGTCAGTGGTGTCCGCCCACGGACAAAATCCAAAAAGCGAGACACCGAGCACGGTGGAGGGAATAAAGCAAGCATGTCCTTTCGCTGGTATTGTCCAGATCAAGTTCTAACGGTAATTCTCAGAACGAGGCTCACTTTACAGCGAAGCCTCGAACACCCGTCATGCGCGCTTCTCGAAAGAAGTATACTTACCCGCTCCCCAGTCGGGGAACTGAGTACCCGCATCATCACGTAGCTATAAACTTTGGCTCAAGATCTCTGTCGACCCAACATCCCCCAAGCTCACCTTCGTTTAAACTGCGTTCGCTTCCGCAGACGTTTCAATCTTCTCCTGCGGTTGAAACGAGGCATCGGTTTCAGAAGCCGAATCGGTAAACTTCAGATGCCCGAACCAATCACTCGAGGACTTGCGCCACCACTCTGCGAGCGCAATGATCGTGACACCACCCATGATGACAATGGCGTAGTTGAACAAGCCGGGGTCTTTGTCGATCGAACTGTTCGAGTACTCTGGAGCACAGAGCACCGAAAATACGAACCCGTTCCAGATGAAAGTAACGACAGCTGCCACGACACCAAATTTCCCCATGTCCCAGAAACCGGCACGGAAATTCTTGCGCGTGATAAACGCTCGACCAACGCCGACAAGGCCGTAGGCTGCGATGGAGCCTGCAGCAGACGTTGAGATCAGACTGGAAAAGGCCACCTGCGATGGCAGCTGTGTGCAAAGAAGAAGTGCCGCAATGACTGAGATGAAAATGACCGCGTTATGGGGCTGCTTCGACTTTGAGACCCGTGAGAGAACATTACTGAACGGGAATACACCATCACGAGCCACGGCAAAGACAAGGCGAGACACTGCTACCAGAGAAATCGAGGTGTTGAGAATAGCGCCAATCATGGAGATAATCGTCATGACAACGTGCGCACGAGGTCCCAGGGCCATGGCATACATGTTGATGAACGGCTGAGGAGCACTCGTGTTGTAGAAGGTCTCGATAGGCGGCATGCAGAACAGGAACAGGATAATGATCGGGAACCCGCACATGGCGGAAGCAACAGTCGCCCAGAAAACACCCTTGGCAGCAGCCTTCTTGGCAGAGACAGTCTCTTCCGCGACGTGACCCGAAGCATCCTCACCCACGAGACAGCTGCCAACCAAGAACCATGACAAGACCCAGTTGAGGCTAGGGCTCGTACCGCCACCGTTATATGTTGATGTGAAGACGAACTCAGCCGATTGGAATCCGTATGTCTTGGACACACCGATTGGGAGCCAGATGAAATTGAGAAGCATGTCGATGATGATGACAATGACACCAGCACGGAACACCCAAGAGTACCATCGCGACGGAAGGAAGTTCAGCGAAGTTGCAATACCGAGGAATACCAGTGAGAACGCCCAAGCGATAGCACGCGCCTTGACATCCGAGTTGGCAATAGGGAAGGATGTGTCCGGGTTGAATACAACGATCTCCGAGATTAGGTAATTTGCAACACCGAACGAGTCACTGGCAAGGAAGGCTGTCCAAGCAACAAGTGTCCAAGCAGCAACCAGAAACGAGACAAAGCGACCGACCCGTCCACCGCCCCATGATCGGAAAGCCCAGTAGTAGATTGACCCCGCAGCCGGGTACGCAGAACAAGCTTCAGCGAGACAAGCAGCGGTGATGATGGACAAGACACTACCGGAGACCCAAGAGCTCCACCTGTAAGAAATTGTTAAAATGGAACTGTCGGCAGGCCAGACGTGTGCACTTACATAGCAGCGGGTCCACCACCACTCAATGCGATGTAGAACAGCACGCGAATTCCACCAACGCAGTAGAGCGCGGAGAATGAGCAGGCGAAGTTATCAAACGAGCCCCATCCACGTTGTAGAACGGATTTGTATCCAAGCTTCAGCAGATCACGGTCATCCTCGTTCATGAAAGACGAAGCATCGTCTCTGTGGCTCGGCATGCCTTGGTCGTTCTTGGCTACATCCGCGGCAGCAGTTGCGGCAACGGTATCGGCGGACATCGCGGGATTGGATTCTTTGACCTTCGACGCGAGAAATCCGAGATAAAACAGAATTCTCATAAACGGGAAATCAATGATTTTACACGACAAACAAGAAGAGAAAAAAAACGAAGTGCTCGACGGGTAGAGTTTTCCGGTCGCGAGATCACGTGGGGTTGATCCGTTGACCGAGTGGTGGGTTTATGGCGTATTTGGTACTTGATCACTGGCAGTAGCCGCGAGCTTAAGGTTTTGGCGACCACCATTTAATTATCTGGGTCCACGCTGGCTTTGTTAGCTAATTGATTATGGCGTAGCGTTCTCTTGGTTACCCCGGGGAGGCTATTCTTGGACCTCTGTTTGGGTTTGGATATATATGAGCCTGACAATTGTTTAGTAACGCGTGGACTACGTATGTATAGAGAAGCGGTACTCACGCATTAGCGAGACTGATCAGTCAACAAGTTAAGAAAATGCGAGGGATTTTACATGTTATCCAACTCGCTCTTGGTATTTTCGACGGAAAGTACGCTTATTAGCATGGATTTATTCAATATATATTGTATATTATCTTAGATAGGACTGTTTGTAAGGTTGGACTTCTTGTCAAGACTCATAGTTGATGATAACTGTATGAAGAAAAGTGTTTCTGGGACAGATCTCACGATCAGTCTCATAGCTTCCTTGGAGATTTCGAGTTCTTCAACAGAGATGTGTCAAATTTGGCAGCACGCCGATTGTTCTTGTCTGTGCCCTCCCGAGTCCAATGGTATAGTTGGCTGTTAATAGCGTCAAATCCCCCCATAGGCCAGGGTTCCCCACGGATTCGGAGAAAGGCCGCAATGGAATCCTGGTTAATTATTGGAGCCTCGCTGTACATTGTGAGATCAGCGCATCAATAACCGAATGACCAAAACATTCTGAATGAGAAAAGACCCTGAATATGGAAGGTGGCAAATGCAATGTCCCCCACGTAATCTGTATGCCCTGAGCCGTTCTAGCAAGGAACCTACTCGTGAACCCCATGCTCCAATTGCAAAAGGGATCATTCCTCGCCCTTGGAGTATGAGCCGGTTATTTCTCCATTTCTATGCTCCCACGGAATGAACAAAAGTGGAAATTGACGATTCAAGTTGTGTCTCGGCCGATCGGCATCTCCACAAGTCCGGGGATTCAAAGTTTCGCGAGAACCATGGAAGGCTCCCAAGCTCAACTATTAAACACCGGGACATTTCCGCCGCTTCCTCATTCTTTTTCTCGCTTCCTTTGTTGACGCAGAGACCGCCTAGAAAAAAAGTGCGTGCCATGAGACACATAACACCCTTCAATGCCGGCATTATCCCCCACGGGCGATGGTCCCGAAGGGCTTGTTGGAGGCTACCAGGGAGATAGCACGGCCGTCAAAGTGATCATGGGAGCGCTCATGGCCATTGTTCTCTACAATGCAGCCGAGCTCATCCTACTAATCCTCATGACCTTCCATCACTATCGTGGACTATACTTCTGGTCTCTCACGTTATCCACAGTCCTTGGACTAATACCGGACGGAATCGGAAATATTTTGCACTTCTTCAGCATCGGGCCCTTATGGCTGGCACTCACGATCTCGACTGTCGGTTTTTACTTCTTGATTCCTGCACAATCGGTGGTTCTATACTCGCGACTCCACTTGGTGTTGTACAACCAAAAAACTCTTCGATTAGTGCTGTGCGCGATCATCTTCAGCATCGTGTTCATTGCGGTGCCAACCACCATAACCACATTCGGATCTGCATTCGTGCAGACCTATCCCTGGAATAGAGCCTATACTATTGTGGAACGATTACAAGTGGTATGGTTCTGCGTGCAAGAGTTTACCATATCCTCGCTATACATCCACGAGACAGTCAAGTTACTCCGACTCAATCCGGAGCGAAACATTCGCCGCAGAAGAATCATGTACGAACTAATCGCGATCAACATCGTCATCATTTTGATGGACGTTGCCATAGTGTCCATCGAGTTCCTCGGGCTCTACTACTTGCAGGTGCTTCTAAAATGCACCATTTACAGTATTAAACTCAAGTTCGAGTTTGCTGTGCTTGGCAAGCTTACTGCTATCGTTGAGTCGTCTCACTCAGATTATGTTAGCACTTCTAGTACCTACCGGCCAGCCTTGATGAATATTATGCAGCAACAGTCCCTTGGATCGAGTCTGGCGCCCACGTCGACGATTGGACTATCACTTTACGGGACAAAGACTTCAAACGTGTCGCCTATCTGAAAACGACTCCTCTTCGGCCCACAAGTCTTCGAATTGCAATTGAACGTGTTCATCATGGTTTATGACAATCCCCTGGCTTCTTTCTCGATATTCTTTCTAATTTTCAAGCAGACGGTGAATGTCAGATTCATTGCCAACATGCCCAAAGAATTGTACCCGGCGGGAAGTCTAACAGTCACATACTCGGATTACAAATAGCCGAGAATCGACTTCACGGACTGCACAGGAAGAAGAAAGAAAAAGAAAAAATTGATACCATGAAGAACTTCCTCAGGATGTCTTGTTCTTGGCATTGCTGAACTCCTCAAGAGGGCTTCTTCGGACTTTGAAGCCTACATCTTTCGATTGAACATCTGTGAACCACTTGAAAGAAAAGCATTGAGTCCAGAGTCCAGCTGTATATCATAAGCTTCAACCTCTTCTCCCTGTCTCCCTTACCAGTTCAGCTACCCTGCCTCCGTCCGGGCCTAGACTCTTCACTCACCTGCACATCTGATGAGGCCACAGTACTTTCATTGATTCTAACAGTTTGAGTAAGTTCGTATTGCAGCAGAAAGTTCATGCAAAAGGCATGTAACGTGACCCGAGAAGTCTTCCGATGTTTTGAGTTTCGTTATCTCATATTCTAAGAATGTTCGTCATGAACCAATCAATGGCCACCACAGAGCCAGATTGTGTATACAAGAAGATTTGAAGCCTATCTTTATACCTTGTCTGGACATCTTTCATCAAATCAAGGCACCTAGTTGTTGACATGCGAATGTTTTGCCTGCGCTGGGAGCAGCTACACAGGCGGTGAACCCATTCTGCCCATAGACCACCGACTCGCGATCGCCTCTGTCGGCTACCGCGTAGTGGGGCCACTGTGATAGGGATCACTTTGTCTATTCATCTATATCGATCTTCCATGTTCAATATTCTCTGTCTCTCGAAAACTGATAGTCCTCATCAGTGGAATGTTTCGATATGGCGCTCTCTCTGCCTCCCGAAATCCTCGACCACATCTTCTCTTACCTAACATCCGAGTGGCAGGAAGAATCCCTGGCTTCAGCTGGATTGTTCAATGTACAACAATTCAAGTGGCATATTTACGCAAGTGTCTGCAGACAATGGCAAGCTTTTGTGGAGCGAAAAAATTTCATGGACATACATCTCACCCCTGCACGGCTCCCGGAATTTTGCCGAATATTCGGTCTTTTGAGCCCTGGGCCCTCAAGTTTGTCCAAATATCGACGCCGCCTACTCAACAGTCTGACTTATAAGGTGGTGCTTCCAGAGTATGATGTGGAGGCCTGTGCGCGAGTTGAGAGCAAAACAGATCGGGACCAAAATAGCCAGATCTTCACGGACGGCGTAAAAGCCCTCTGGGAAGTTCTAAGCACATGGCCTGAGAACAATCAGCGTCCGCTCTCCTTGAATTTATGTGCTCAATCCCCTAGCGATCATCTAGCACGGCATGATAGCGATGCAATGCTCGCTCGATTTCGAAAAAGATTCGAGACTGGGGACATACTTGGCGACAGATACGAAAATTCCTTCCTGGAACTGAAGGAGGACCTGAGACGACCGATCAAAATCATCGATGAATTTATCATCGAAACAATCATCTATCGGCAGATCACCCCAGTTGCTGCATTCCATATCATATCTCGCCTACCTCGACTGAAAACAGTCAATCTTCAGATCAATGATCCTGAGTTGAACGGTGACAAGGAAGAGGCATTCCGAGATCGGCTACGTCAGGGTTTGTCATTCAAGGCACTAGGATGTCCTATGCTGTCCACATAACCCCACATGTGCATGTGGTGTCACTGACTCGAGATCTAGAGTTCTCTGAGAGCATTCCCGACCTGCCTCAATCCGTGGAGACCTTTAGGCTTGACTACGCTGCGATGCCCCTCTACGAGAAACGCCCCGCGTTGCAGAGGTCCCCCCCCTGGGCGTGACAGTCTAAGTCTGGCTCTACACAAGATGAGCCAGCAGCTGGTGTACCTTGAATTGCTGAATATCATGATTAGTCCAGAGCTTTTTTGGTCAGCTGGTAGTACAACAATCTGGCCCAAGCTGGAGACTTTCCATTTGTCTTTCGCAAGTGCTACTTGTTCGGGAGAATGGCTGCTCGAAAAAGACCCAAGATGGCGAACCCAGATGGTCAATCCATTCACTGGTGAAATCGAACCAGATGACGTTCCGCCCCCCGATTACATGCTCCCTGATGTGTTCCGCATCAAGCCCACTAAAGCTATCAATACATTGTATGTTGCTGCTGGGCAGGCTGCGCGGCGTATGCCTCAACTCAAGTCGATGAAGGTCGTGTCTCTTGCCTTTACAGTGGAGGAGAACGGCCTGGAATACCTTTTCGACGAGACGGCCGAACACTGGCTTCACTATCAACGGTCTGAAGGCAAGGCCACATGGATTAGTACCAGTGAATTCCATCCCTCAAATGAAGTCCGTGAGACCTGGAATGAGGTAGCAAAGAGCCATGGGCATTGCGGGGCTACCATTGAGGTTGGTGGATTACCATGACTTTCTGAGCTCAACATCTGTGTGATCTCGCTGACCACATTGAATTCCTAGAACTTGGGTTTCCACGGCAGAGCACCTCATTGGGAAGATGACCCTCGGGATTTTGATGAATCCTACAGGGAACAAGAACAGTGCTTTTCATGGGATAATTACCAGGAGGATGATCATCAAGAGTAGTCCATTTGATAAGAGGCATTCTCTAACTTTGAATTCTGGTCAAGGACAATGGCCCATACAGTACTGGGGGTTTCCTATGATCCGTGACAGGGTTTCTTGGCCATCGCTTGTGCATAGAAGCTCGTGTACGCTTGATTCGGGTGTCACGCGATCACTCAATATTGAAGATGCTCGAGCCAGAGTTGTTCTGCAACTTCCGCGTCAGGTCTATTTGGCAGATCGACAGAACAACACCGTAAGACTCCCAGTACATTCTTGAAGTTTCCTTGCTGATTGGATAGGATCTTCATGCCTGGCATCTCGTGGTTCAAAAAATGGAAAGGGCATGACAACCCGTCAAATTGGGACGATAAACTGGAGGCAAAACAGTTGATGATATGCAGAAGAGGAGAGGGCAGAGGAAAGATCAGGCGGCGTGTTGATTGAGAACCCTCAATCAAGATCGAAGGTTCCGAGAGAAAAGAGGATGGGGGAACATGCAGTTATTCAGGAGCAATTCAGGTGCGTCTAGCTGATCTACTCTCTGTGTTATCAATATCGGAGCCCCGAGCTGACTGACCTGGGAGCTTTAGATTATGCCTAAAGCATCATCGATCAATGCATCCTGTGGAGTCCCCTAGACCTATTCCTTTTCAGCGTACGGAAAACGCAAAAGGATCTTATCTTATTAAATGTATTACAGAGTCATTTCTTCGGACTTGGTTGTGTCAGTCGTCAGCTCGAGCAGTGAAGACAGACTTAGGAAAGGACAGTACTCGGTAAACATCTAACCCAGCCAAGGATAAGTCGGTCACCATCATGAACCGTCTGCAGTAGACTCCGGCAGCTAATAATATATAGCATGGAGGATCCTTTCGGCCTGCTCTTCCATTTGCTTCTCCTTCTCCAACCTCTTCTTCCTGTTCTCTTCGGCCTTCTGTCTCGCCTCCAGGATCTTGCGCACCTCTTCGTCTCGGTTTTTCTGCGCCCATACGTCGAGGAGCTCTTGATTTCTAAGGCACCAAATGACAAGGTCTCTTGTGGCAAGGGTATCTTCCAAGGCACTGTGTCCCTTTTTGCCGACTTGAATGTCATCTTTCAGAAGTTCTTTGACCAGGGTCTTCAATCCCCATCTACGGGTCAGGGACATGTTTAACGGGAGAAGAATGCTGACAGCCTCCGAGGTGAGGACTTGAGAATCCACAATCTTTGAATGGTAGAAGCCAAGGACCTTGAGATCATTTTGGAGAGCATGGCCGATGAGCACGGTGTCTGCATCCACATACTCCCACAAAACTTGTCGGGCATGTTGCCATCCATTCAAGGCTCGCCCTTCTGCACGGGCACGATTCATTTCGGCGCAGGAGATTCCACTGTATCGTGTGTTCCAGCTCCTGACTCGCTTTGTCGGCTGCACGTAGTTGTCGATAAGAATCTCGCTAGTGAGGAAGTCAACTGCAGTCAGGTATGCCAGTTCCCTGTAATTTCCCTCTACCTGCACCATTTCGCAATCAAGCACGACAGCTCTTCTATTTTTCTGGGACCGATTTGGCAGATGCTGAGGCGTGGGCACGAAGCTTATTGACGGAATTACGGGTGCTGGAGAAGGACCCGTCTTGACATTCGTCCTTTTGGTATTCTTAAAATGAGGCTTTTGCTCGGCCATCTTCTTGGGCACAGAGAAAGTGCCAAGTCTATAACCCTCGGTGATGAGGACTCGGTCTGAGTGACATCTTGTCGACAGCTCTTGAAACAACACGTCTTGCTCCTGAACTTGAAGCATGACATGGCGATGTATCGATTGAGCTTGAGAGAGATCCGTACCTACGAGCACCTCGTCAGTAAAGAATTTACAAAAATGACTTGGCCACATACAGGTGTCTTGGACCTCGGCGACAGAGCCCAATGTCGGGAGACGAATTGCGAGACCTGAAAATCCTAAAGTCATCGGAGTTGAAGCCCTTGGCAGTGGATTTGAACGTTTTTGGACAGCTTGGTCTATAAGATGGACCATGTCCTGGCGGGCTTGATCCATTGCCGGGCGTTCAGGGATTGAATGCAGAAACAGCTCGGTTTTTGAAGCCGGGGATTTGGAACTGTTCTGCCGAGATTTGAGATTTTGCTTAGGCACGTCTTCAACTTGAGGCTTCGTGGCAGAGCGCTTAAGAAGTTCATCACGCTCATGTTGAGGAGCCTGGTGCTTTTTTGTAGCCGGCCGCCTAAGAATAATAGGCGACGCAGTTTGATGTTTTGAATCCGACGGCTGAAGAGAGTTCTCTGTGATTTTGGGCTTTCTAGGAAGTGAAGCCGCAGTCGTCACACTGGCCCGTGTGGGCGAAAACGAAGATCTGTCGGAATTCAGATGTTGTTTATGGTGCTTAATGAAGCCCTTAGCGGTTTGAAAACCTCTGTTGCAAATTGTGCAATGGAGATCGTGGCCCTTGGCCATGAAGTGCGCGCTGACAGCGCCCTGGGACTTGAACCCACTCTTCGGGCATTTCGGACATGCCCAAGTCTCTGCCTCTGCTGGGTAAGAGTTTGACGCCATATCGACGGGTAATTCAGGTCACTTGAGGAATGATGAGACTCTGGTCAAAGTATGAGCATTATCCTGAAGACAGCGTGGTGAAAGTCCACGTAAATAGCTATCAATCCGAGATATGCGGGTTCATCCCTGTGCACAGCGTGGCAAGTGCGGATTGGAGGCGAACGCTGTACCTTTTTCACTGCGCTTAGCGCGATGCCTTGCGGTCTCAAGTGGTTAGCAGCAATGTCCCGAGTCTTTGTGGAGTTGTGTGTATCTTGGGGTTGTTGACGCGTATGGGAAGAGTCATACACACAATGGTGGGGCCAAGTTCGGAAGTCGCGACGCTCATCACTACTGCGGCTTCGGCATGAACTCACGAGCCCCGTGTTTCAGCGCAGGGCAACACCTGTAGACTAGGATAGAATGGTAACTATGAACGCTTAAAGGTAAGCGATACGTTCATGCTGGCTACGAGGCCAGCGTATGCGTTTTGTTGATTCTGGGATAATAGCGTACAAATTACATTGTGAACAGTAAAAGGAAGACTCGAAGATATATATGAAACCAAATTACTCCAAAACCCCCAAATGTAGACCCCAAATGTAAATGTGCATGAAATATTCATACAAAAGAAGAGAAGGGGATACTATAATACACAAAAGATCTCTGAATGGAGCTGGAAGCTTTCCTTCGGTTCCTGCACAGGCTCAGCCCTTAGTAGACTTGTAGCCACAAACGGGAATCTCTTGACCTGCCGCTCAGATATCACGGAAATGCGAGTAATAGAAGGTTGAAATATCACTCGTCAAGAGGTCTTTCAGTGAGCGCGAGTCCAAGTCTTTTTCTCAGAATTCGGAGCCCAGGCCACCCGGGTGGTTCTCTAGCACCTGGTAGCGGTACATCCGTAGCCCCGCACCTAGACAGGAGCGTGCATGCTCAACCAGCTCCGCTTCGGTGTAGGTGATCAAGGTTGCGCCCACCATTGCTCGCCGAACCTCCGCCTCGCCGCACCAGCTCGGGATCCGCATATACTCTCGGTGATCCGGCATCACCTTGAAGCGATCCACAATCCCCGCACAGCCTTTACAGGTGTATAGCTGAACGGCCTTTGACTGGCCGCGGGGAACAAAAGGAAAGCTGACATTGGCGGCGTTATGGTAGACCCTGTCGGTGATCTCAGCAACTATGGTGTTATACCTAACATCCTTGGGCGGCTCAGTTGGGGGCGGTTGGGTTGGATCATGCGGGAGCGTGCCAAGCGTGGCATGGCGCAGATGAGCGTACAAGTGGGTTTCAACCCGCTGCAAAGTCGATGACGGGTTCGTGGAGTCCAACGATTGCGCTTCAGCAATGACATCGATCGCCTTGACTGAGCCGTGGACCTTGAGTGCCTGCCGCAGGGCGGATCTCACTGCTACGAAGACTCGGTGTTGGGCTGGTTCAAGTGCGAAATATGGCACGGCATGGAGATCAAATAAATTGAAGAGGTCCCGGAACCGAGGAAGCCGAGCGAGATCGTGGTTCTCGAGGTTGAAACACCGCTGAGCTTCCTGAAGATAAATCGACCAAAACCCTTGGTTGTAACGGAGGCAGTTCGAGCAGACCCGCTCAACGGTAGGCAAAAATAAATGAGTTCCATTTTCGCCACACCCCCGACACTTGCTCTGATGAAGTTCAAGTGAAAGATCTTTGAGGGATACCCGTAAATGAAGACGCAAGGCACGCAGCACGGGAAAGATTTTCGGCACCTGAGTCACCAGGGCCCGATAGTCGTTGTTCCCAGCCACGAGACGGTAAGCAAACGAGCACGTCTGGCAGAATCGAGAAACAGAAACGTAGTCCATCAGGGGCAGGACAATTCCAGCCAAGACATCATTCGGCAAGCTCGCAAGGTTGCCCAGCTTGGCGCGATCCTCGGGAAGTCGCTCGACATGAATAGGCACGGTGAAAGTATCGTGAGGGCACTGTTCGGGGGGCACGGAGATCTCTTCAAGAGGGGCCCGAACCTCTTGGGAGACGAGATCCATGAACTCAACTCGGTCCCATTGGTCGGGGTTGGTTCGTTCAGCCCAGTCAGGGAGCCCGATCAACAGCGAGACTATGGCGGCTCTCATCAGCTTGCTAATATGAGAAGAGATCATGACATGAAACTTGAAACGAGACACGTGAAGAACTCTGGACAATCGGGAAAGTCGAATGGATTCAGTGATGCAATAGGAGATGGTGAGCTCGCGGCGATGATGTACGCAACGGATTGCGTAGAGCAGGCGGGAAACAGTGGAAGTAAGAAGACCGAAAAATGGAGACGCGAGGGCAAATGAAATGGCCAGGGACAAAAGATAGCGATTGAGAAAGCGAATGGGGAAGATTGCGAGTAAACGCGAAGCAGACAAACGTGAACACGTACAGATGCGCGCTTTCTGTCCACAATCAACCACAAACGAAGTAGATCTCTCGATCAAACATGGGTTTGAGATGAAAGAGGCTCCAGTCGGCTAACAGTAGAAAGGCAAAGGAGATGTGACGATCGAGGTCGTGCAATTAGGAAAAAAGCCCTTCATTCATATCCTAGGACTTCTCTACTCCACTTCCTCCATAGGATTTGCCAGATGGTCTGTTCTTACGATGTAGTCATCTTCGTCATCATCTACCAGACCATTTGCCATATCTTCATCGCCATCAACCGAGCCATCAGACTCTGCTCCAGCTCGCGAGTCTTTGCCCTTCTTGATGCTCTTGCCTTTGCCTTTGCTGCTTGTGTTGGACTGGCCCGATGCACTCCGGACAATACCTCCAGGCCATTGCTTCAAGCCTTTGATACGGTCGTGAATACTTCCTGGAAAGCCGTTTTCACCATTGGTCGTCGGGATTTCGGAGAAACTTGAATCGCCCAAGCTGAATGCCTCCATGGCCTCTGCAATCGTTTGAGGAGCAGCGGCTGCAGGATCCTGTTTCTGCTTGTCGACAGACTCAAATGTTTGCCGAATTCGCTCGAAGTGTTCCAATTCCTTGGCACTGCTAGATGTGAGACTATTTTCTTCTCTTCAGGTCCTGTTAACGACGTACCTAACACTGGGAACCAGCTCCCCCTGTGCCTCCATAAAGTCCTCCTCCATGACTGTTACCGAAACGTCCTCCGGAGTGGCCAGGTGGTCAAAGAAGTACGCAGTGGTAACAGGTCCACCAGGCAGCTGCTTGATCTTTTCATCAACAGCGGTAGACTTTCGCGTGATGGCTTTCAGCATGGCATCTCCACAAAGAGCGTACAAATCAGCACCAGTGTACGTCAGTGGAAGCTTCTCGGCCACCCGATCCAAAGACACGTCTGGATGAAGCGCAAATTTCCTGGTAAGCGCCTCCAGAATGGTCGCCTGCTTCCTGTGCGTATCTGACACGCCCAAGTACAACATTTTGTCGAAACGGCCAGGCCGAAGCAAGGCCGTGTCCAATAGATCCGGACGATTAGTGGCGCCAATGACGAACACCCCGCCACTGTTCTCCTCTCCACCGTTCATTCCGTCCAGCTCAGCGAGAAGCTGACTGACAATACGATCCATAACGCCACCGCTATCACCCTGATTGCCACGCTTAGGCGCAACGGAGTCCAGCTCGTCAAAGAACACAACACACGGGCGAGCATCCCGAGCACGCTGGAAGACACGACGGACGTTGGCTTCGGATTCACCGATATACATGTTGAGCAGCTCCGGGCCCTTTACGGAGAAGAAGTTGAGAGAGAACTCAGTAGCAATGGCCTTGGCAAGCAAGGTTTTGCCGGTACCAGGGGGGGCCGTAGAAGAGAATGCCGCTGCGCTTCTTCATACCCTTTGCGAAGAGCTCCGGACGCTCAAGCGGTAGCTGGATAGTCTCAATCAGAGCATCCTTGACATTATTCAATCCACCGACATCATCCCAGCCAACATTGGGAATCTTGGGAGCACCGATCGAGTCGGCGAAGTTCTTGCGGGCTGCCTCGACAGCAGTATCAAAGTCCGCCTTCGTCACACCGCGAGCATTATCGCCTCCGGCGAGCAGAACATCCCGGAGAAACACCTGTGAGTCTGGTACTTGTTTGCTGGCATCCTCGGCAAGCTTCTCAAGACGGGCCGTCCTAGCGGCAGCGGCACGCTCCACGACATCAACTAGGTCGCCGGCAACCAGCGCAGCAGTCTTCAGCGCCACCGTTCCTAGCTCAACATCGGCAGCAAGCTTGATACCACGTTCCGTGACCGCATTCTGTAGAATACCTTCACGCTCCTTTTCTTCGGGAGCTCCCATTTCAAACTCATGGGTGAACATGCTTCGGATGCCTTCAGGGATCTCTTCAACGTCGCTTGTCGTAGCAATGATGACTCTAGCTTCGTTGACAATCTCTGTCATGGCCGTGACCATCCGGTCAGCGGTCAATACCTCAATATGCCGAATAAGCAGGGCGGTACAGTTTGCGCCGCAGTGGAACGCCCTTTCAGCACGAGCTTTTAGGTAGGCCTCGGTCTTGACATCGCCGCCATTAGCGCCACCCTCGGTAAGGATATCATAAGCGTCAATGGGGAAAGTGTGCAGACCGATATCCGCACAGGCTCGAGTTGCGACAGTCGCCTTGCCAATGTGTCGCTGTTGTGACTTGATGAGAATGACCACAGGCTTCATCCCCAACTGAATTGCACGAGGGCTTGTCGCTGCAGCCATCAAATCCCGAATTCGTTGTTGCAGGGGTGCAACGAATGGCTGAGGTGACTCCGCAAAGATCCCATGCGGCGCTGGTCCATTGCTGATAGCTTTAGGAATGGTCTTAACACCCAGCCAGTACTCCCAACCATTACCCAGAATACCGGGGACCCTGGAGATATCGCTACCAGCCTGAACCATACGAGTACTTGTCGGGTCGATAACTGCGACACCACCCCATTGATCCTCGCCAGTCTCCTCCATTTCTTCAACGGCAATGGGAGTCACTTGTCCGACACGGAACCAAGCGACACCAACCTTACGAGCAACAGTGTTATCAGTGCCGGAACATTGCCCCAATCTGATAGTAATTTCGTCTTCCTGGTTTGCGTTGTTCCCGCCAGCAGTACCGGAGAACACTGCCCTGCCAAGCCCTTCATCAACACTGATGCCGACAAGGTCGCCACTCTTCAGTATACGGCGGCGAGACTCGAAGTATTGTTTGAGTCCAGCGAAAAGAGCCGGTTGGAGAACCCGGTCCATGGATAGCGGTGTCGAGACCTTCATAAGGTTTACCTCCTTGGCCAGAGGAGGATTCTTGGCCGAACTGTTCTTCATATGGTGCAACAAGCCTGATTTCGAGGCGCTACTGGCCGACGTAAATGTCATGGGGGAGATTCGAAGGTACTTAGGATTGTCGATGTTGCTCAACAGCAGAGGCGGCACAAAAACAGAAGGCGTCAAACGTGTCTGTGGACGTTGTGAGAAGCTTGATCTGCGGTCGCCTGAATGGTTAATAGCATATCGAGGCTTTGGGGATGGAAGGCCTGGCAAGCCGAACACTTTAGCTGGCCGCCAGTCGCCAGCATCCTCCGGAGAATCACGGAAGCTACCAAACTTGAGCGACGCAAACATGTTCAGCTGGGGCTCCTCGGTCGCTTCAATTCTGACCCAGTCACCGGAGAAGCAGCCGATCTTTGCGAGAGTGCTTATATCGACAAAGATAAAGGCATCGACGTCCTCGTCATCACGAGGTCGAGGGTGAAGCACCTCGTTAGGGACTTGTTGCAAAAGGCCTTCGACTTTGAAAGTCTTGCCGCCGCTTCGGCCTGGGCGCATAGTCGCCGAAGTAAAATTCGAAGCGACAGAACCAGGGGTATGTACGCCATCGACTCGACGGCCACCTGCGCGAGGGGTAGCTGACGTTATAGATGACATAACGCCAGAGGGGGCTTGAGGAAGTTCGGGGGCTGAAAGGGAGATCATATCTTCAAGGGAATCGTCTGAATCACTAGCGGAACCAGCGGAGACATCTGTTTCAGAGTCTTCTGCCGCAGATGGATTTTCCATCTCGGTCCCGCTCTCGCCGGGCTTCTCTTCCGCGGCGGAGTAGAACTGTTCATTGGAAGTATCATCGGCTTCATCTTCTGCAACTTGTTTGAGAAGTGCATGTCGCGGAGGAAGCGATTGAGGTGCGCGGTGACCTTGTGAACGAGCTTGTACAAGAACGACTTTTGTTGCCGGCATCAAAAGACCTTGCGAAACGGGTTCACAGAATGAGATCCTCGCCGGCGGAGCTGGCGCATAGGTGATAGGATGAGGTGGAAGGGGAAGTGGGAGTACATCTCCCATGTGAACGATGCGCTGACTAGCCAAAGCTTCACGTACAGCTGCCGTCAATCGCACTTCAGCATCCGCCACTGCCTTCTTTGAATATCGTCTCGAGTCTGCACCTTTTCCGGCTTTAGGCCAGGCTCCGTTCGCGCCATGTGCGTTAGACGTGAAACCACCTCCAAATTTACTTTGTACATCATCATGATTACGAAGAAGATCCCGCTCCACTGTGACGAAGATGGTATCCAGATGCAGTGGAGCAACATCCAAGATCTGAATATCCACAGAGCGGTGTGTTTGCAAAGAATTCCGCGATGAGTCAATTTTTCCTAGCGCTTGGAGGAACGGCTGGAGAGAGTCGGCTGAATCGGGGAATAGAACAGTCGAATGCGCTATCTGAGTATGGGACGTCTGCACTCGGACCGGGAGAATAGTCCATGCTTGGTCCTCCACAGATGACGATGTCGGAGTTTGTGGGGAAATCGCAACATAGAGAATGCCATCGCCGGTCGCAACACCTACACCACAAAACCCAATTCAGTCAGCTAAATCCGATCGAAATAGGTAATTGTTTATTGCTTGGTCAAATCTACCTTGGAGGATTGGTTCCGCGAACAGGTCGTTGGCCAAGTCTTCGGAAAGCACACCGACGTTGCCACGAAGCTGAGGATCTAGAGCAATGCGAGCGGCGACCGGGACCTTATTGCGCATGCGCTTCTTCCCGGTCCTTTTGCGACGTTGTCTGAGCTGTTGGGAGCTCTGCCCGTAGTGATCGAGGTCCATTGCGCGAGGGACTCAATTGCCGTCGGAGAAGATGGAAAGGAGGAATGTCGGGAAAAGGGAAAGTTATGGTGTACAGGATCTAGATCTCTAGATAGCCCGATCACATTCAGGCAGCTTCAAAAACCAGCTTCGTCGGACAAAGAGGAGAAGATGAGCGGCGGTTGGAGAATCCGGGGGAAGTCAACACGCGGGCATTTCGGCACCGCCCGACATTCTGCCACTTCCGAAGCCGAGGTCCAAATGGCTGTGACGGTGTCAATCAGGTAAAGCACCGTTGAGACGGACGCACTTTCTAGCAGATAGGGATTAGAAGCTTCATACAAGGTCAGACATTACATTGCATTTGATTCAAGGGCTGCAAGGATGGGTTGACTCAATGCTCGCCGTCGTCCACGCCGCAACACCATTGGCCGCTATCGGGGTTGCTCTGTGATCCGGGCCTTCCCATGTAACTTGATCCGCAATTTGCCATAAACTTCACCTACTCACATCCTTCTTGTGAAATAGTTCAATTTGAGTAAGGCTCTAGTTTCAATATTGATGTATTTTGGATCCATATATATATTATATATTTCCTTAGGATCTCCCCCATGAGAGGCTTAGTGCTTGTAAGTCGCTTTTACAAGTTCATAACACTAGGTGTGTCTGAAGGCCTCATAGCCTTACTAAAATTCAGGTAGGAAATATCGGTGCATGAGACTTTTTCGCACAAGAAACGAACAGCTGGTACTTGAAAACTTAGAGGTCTGGACTACATCGCGGATACAGCTTGACTTGTACCCATTGCTTCGCTCCTCGGTATGTGCAATTGTAATCCATGGACTCGGCTGGGCTCCTGATTGCAGACTCAATTAGCGAGATCACTATAGATTCAGTTCCCAGGTACATACATCGTAACTGTTTTTTCTCCTTTCACAGTGCCGAGTTTGGCGGCTTGTCGACTGCCCCACTGAATAAGGCTGACCCTTTCATAGCGGGACTGGAAAATCTGCTATAGTTACATAGGTGTTAGCAAATAAATCAGCACGATAAATTTGGGCGATGGGATAGTGAGTTACCTTGAATACATTGTCCAGCTGCACAAGAGACGGTGCCTGGTGAACATCCTCAAAGAAAGCACCCAAAGCCTCTGCGTCCTCGATAGACTGGCTTGCACCTTGTCCTTGGGTAGGCAGCATGGGATGGGCGGCATCTCCAATAAGAATGACACGGCCCTGATACCAAGTCACTAAGGGATCCTGTGTGTCGTCAGACTTGTACCAAGCAAAATTATGGGTCAATTGTGCTCACCATGTCACGTAATTGCCATAGTCCAATATCCGCTGAGTGCCTTCAAATGGAACCAGTATTCTGGCCTCTAAGTCAGATGAGCTGTCTTACTTGAAAATGTTGGTGATCCAGCTAGGAAACTCTGCAAATATCTCAATCATCTTTTCCAAACTTCCTTCCGAGACCCACGATTTTCCAGAATTTGGGTCCTCGTTCATCCTCTCTGTAATTCTTGTCAGCAGATTGTCAAGACGGGCAGGTAAGTATACTCTACCGTCTGGTACCAACGCCGTAACGCCGTACACATCACCTTGCCTACCTGGGCCCATGACAAGCCGGCACCCGGCAGTTGTGTGCTACAATCATTGAAGTGAATGGCTCGCGGGGTTTGATTCTGCAATAGAATTGGGGTTCCTTTTCTTCGAGCACTTCCGTCGGTATCTAGATTGCTGTTGATCAGCCTTTTTGCATCTTCAAATGGGTGTGCAAGTGCTAACCATTAGGTGGTAAGCTGTATTGGGCTATCAGTAAGATTCTTAATGAAAGGGGCGTGTGAGAGTATACCAGAGGTTCCTGTCGGCATAACTGCAGGTTCACCGCTGAGCACATATTTTCGCAACACGCTATGTCTATTGTCGCCACCTTGTTTAGCCTTGGATTAACTCAAATATTTGTGAAGAAGTTCTCACATTCCGTCTGCGCCAATTATTACATCGGCCGTCAATACTTCACTACTCTCGAGAGTCACATTTCCCTCGACCGGGTCGCAAATGACTACTCTTTGATGCCACCCGAATGGTTGCCGGGTCTCCTCTTCTAGTAGGACTAGTCGCAGCCGACTTCAAAGCTATGTGTAAGTCATTTCGGTGCCAAAGGATGCGGTCACCGCCATATTCAGTCTTTGTTAAGAGTGGGACTTCTTTGACGAGCGCTCCGTCCACATCATAAATACGAGAAGCCCTAGTCGATTAAGCCACGCGCTTCTTCCATCTCTTTGTCGAACTTCCACGTCTTGCGCATGATCAGGGAAGCATTTGGCTGTAGGGAAATCAATGCACCGATTTCGCGGTTCAATCGCGACTGCTCCAGGACTGTGATTCTCCGGTTGGAGGCGCGCAGCGCGATTGCGGCCGTGAGACCAGCAATACCGCCACCAACGATGATCAGCCAAACCGTCCACATCCTGCCCACAAACAAACCCCCCCGGCTATGAACCTTCATTCTCAGATTCAAGTCAATTAAATTCCACGAAATCGTTGATATTAGCCAATAAACGTATCTGCATGTAAAGTTCACTCCCGCTTCAGGACCCGCTGGCTACCGATTCGCTTGAGTACCCACCACGCCCACTTCCCGAGTGGGCATGCTCTTGCAAGTCAACAACGTCCGAGTCACTGATGGAGATACAGATGATTTTCTAAAAGATGGTTCTTCGTTTCAAATACTTTCTTTCCAATTCTACGGACGTGGTAGCTGTTTGCACGATCATCACGGTCACTTATACTTGGGGCTCTCGGGCTTCACAACCAGCAGTAGCTCAAAATACACCTCATGTTTACACCGGACAAGGAATCTTCAGGCTTTTGAGTCTGTTTTTGGGGTTTGGCAAAGTCGAGTCCCTGGAGATGAAGACCGGGAGGTCGTCCTCAGAGTGTCCACAATGACATCCTCCACGAAATCGACACATCCTTTCACTACATTCGGCAGCAATAGGATAAGATTCGATCTCTGTTCAGTGCCTGCACAATTTGAAAAAGCTTACCATATGACGCGGGTCAATTCTCAGGGGTCAGCTATGGGGCGAGAATGAAAATATCTTCTCAGCGAGGCCACAAAGTGGAGAGTGGTCAGATATCCTTATACCCAAATTTTTGCCCAGTCATCATCATGTTCACATAGGGCAATCTCCAGCGTCAGATATACGGAATTTGGATACGTAAAAGCATAGTCCAGTCTCCAGGACTGGCCAATGATGCATTGTTGGCCGACCCTGCTTCACCTGCATGTACCGCATTAATTCACCGCTCAACGGAGCTGATCCTACCCTGGTAGACATCCCAAATATCATGACAGTGCGTTTGCAATCCATTGATTCCCAACTTAAGCCTAGATTCACTCGTGAGGCTTGCTAGATCACTTAGGCCCACAATATGTCTGATTCTATCTCAACTCCGTTTCCTATCGACAACATTCCCTTTGGGGTGATTTCGACGGCCGACAACCCCGCCCCAAGATGTGCAACAGCACTTGATCACGATGTCATTGATCTGAGCGCTTTGGAATGCGATGGGTTGTTTGGATCTATCCAAGGCTTTGGCGAGAAGTCAATTTTCTCCAAGGTAATCACCAATTACCCCCCGAGAAGGCTACTGATTTCGACCATCCTTCCGATCCTTCTTTGAAAGTCCAGTTACAGCTTGACTGACTCAAACATCACAGCCTTACTTGAACGATTTTGCATCTCTTCCCATTGAAAGCCGTCGACAAGCACGTCAAATCCTGCGTGACAGCTTGCCTCGTCTCCGAGAAGATAAAGCCAGGGCGAATCAATACTTCATTCCGCTGGGTCTTGTTCAAAATCACTACCCGATGCAGACGTCCAACTTCTCTGACTTCTACTGCTCGCTAGAGCACGCCCAGAATGTGCCATCGCCCAATCTCTTTTGTCACCATATCAAACAAGGCCAACTGAGCTGACCGTTTACAAAGTGCTCTGCAATCTTCGGTCTTTCCGAGTCACCCAACTGGCGCGTCATTCCGACCGTCTACAATGGCCGCACATCTAGCCTAAACGTAGGCCCTGCTTTGACTCGTCCGCACGGTGTTTTCAAAGATGAAGCTGGGAAATATGCGTTCATGCCAACCAGAAAGCTGGACATGGAACTTGAAATGGGCGTTTTCATTTCCAAACCTCTGAATACTGGCCAGATTCTCAATATTAAGGACGTCAAAGATCATATCTTTGGGTTCGTGATTCTGAATGATTGGTCCGCTCGAGATATTCAAGCGTTTGAGATGGCTCCTCTCGGTCCGTTTCACAGTAAGGGATTTGGGACTTCCATCTCACCGTGGATCGTCACTATGGACGCACTTGACTCGGTGCGGAGTGCTGTTAAGGTTCAACAAGAGCCCGCGCCAATGCCTCATCTTACTTGGCAAGGAGATAGTGGAGGTGCTACCTTCAATGTTAGTCTCTCCGCTCGGGTGATAAGTGAGTCAATTCATCGTACATGCCGGTGAAGGTCTGAACTAAGAGAAACTAGGAAATGGGAAATCCTATGATCTTACGGACACGAACCTTAATGAGCTATATTGGACCCCGTATCAACAGCTGACACACCTAGCAAGTGCCGGTGAGGGTTTAAAGACAGGTGATATATTTGGAACGGGAACTATTTCTAGTGCTGTATGTCAGCCATTGATCTATTGTTTCTCTCACTCTTGTGAAGATTCTTGCTGACATGTTTTGACGACTTTAGCGCACAGATGAGAACGGAGAAAAAAGGGGCCTAGCGTGCCTTCTGGAGCGCTCGCTCCCGCATACCACTATATCGACTTTGAAACAAGATGGGATCGAGTGGTTCGAGGATGGCGATGAGGTTATCATGGAAGGCTGGTGCGTGAGTGGGCCAACCGGGTCCAAGTTTGGATTTGGGCAATGTCGGGCGACCATCGCTCCAGCCGTCAATCTGGGTATCTAAGTATGATCTAGCAATGGTCAATAAGAGCTTTTGATGACTCTGTTCAGTACAGACCATTAAGGGTCTGAGCGTAATTTGATCACCAACCGCTCAGCACATGCCCGGGAGTGTCACGTGATAGAAATACGCCTAAGCAGCTCACAGTAGGCGATGATCACAAATGAACGATGCCTGGTACACTAAGGTCAATGAAAATGGTGGTATTGAATATTCAAGGAGCTTCGATCGCGTTACCACGGCCCTAGTACCATCCAAGGAAAAGGCCACGTCGGCCCCCGGATACGGTATCTAGGCAGATTCATTACTGGCATGCAATCGTGATGGCGGCTGACGATAACAAATGGCCCGGGGTATCGAGGATCTAGATCGAGATTATGAGAATCCCGAAAGGCGTCTCATAGAATTTAATGCATTTGCCTCTTCTTCACTTCCCTAACCCAGGCGCTAAGCCTACTAAGGTTCAGGCCTTGACCCTGTGCGGTCTCCACTTGGGCTTGCGAGATGGGGCCGAAGGTGGCGAAGCAGTGGTGAAATGCCACAGTGACACCTGGCGGCAGAAACGCGCCAGCCTCGGCGGCCAAGATTCAGGCAGACATGGGCGTGCGAGGCTGATTAGAGAAAAGCGCGCATTGCATTATTTTTTTTTTCTGGGCCGAACCACCCGGGAGGCTCAATTCACGTGTGGAAATGGGCCCACATCTGAATCCAGAACCGCCCCGAAATGTGGATCGGACTTGAGGTTCCCCCCGGATGTCCTCTGACCCCGTTTAAGGCTGAAAGTTGAAAATTCTGGAAACATCGTGGAGAGTGTTGAGGCAATCATAACACATTGTAGACGGTAGAAGACGGGTGACGGGGCTATGGTGATGTCAACTTGCAGTAAAGGAGCTGACGACGCAGGCAGTCATGTTTATGGTGAGAACAAGACGACCCCTGGTCGACAGAGAACTTAGTTCAGCTTTGAGGCTCTCGTTTACGGATTCCCACGGAGCGATCAGAAACTCCGCGGGCCCCGATTGCTTCCATTTTAAGAGTCCGGTAATTACCGTAATTTGGGATTACCCTCACGAAGGGGGGTTCCGGGCGGTTACCGCACTGCCGTCATCCGAGCCAATCACACTGCGTCTAAGGCAGGTGAAGTTACCTAAAGGAACAAGGTACGAAATACGTGAAACGAAAAACGAAAAGGTCAAAAACGGCCAACGACTCAGCCATCGCGGCTGATACCTATTTGGGCGTAGCGTCATTCGTCTATCAGGCAGACACCAACGCGACGTCGCCGTCATCTTTCTCCCTTTACCGGTGATATCTGTTCGATTTGCGATTTTGGGATCTTCCAGCTTCTCCATATCATATTCCGTTGTCCGCTGTATGCCAGATTTCGCCCGTCCTTTCGCCCGTGAATTGCTGCTTGCCATTTGACCCCTCTTTCACCGTACATATCGGGGCTTAAGATAATCCTATCGCGCAACATCGTCACTAGTCGTGTACCCTCTCGCAAATTGCCTTCACTATCCCACCTTCGCTCCTCGAGCCTCTTCGAGTGCGACATCGATTGGTCTGGGCGCTACCACTTTGCGAAACTTGCGCAAACTCTGCTGCTATCCTGATCCGTCGGGATACCTCTCTTCCCAGGGCCCTTTTGTTCCTGCTGCTGCAGAGCTCTATCAAGGCCTTGGTAGACTTTGGAAGAACGTGGGCGATCTTGGTTTTTTAAAGGATCGCCGACGTATCCTCTCTGACCCGTCCGTACGTCATTCCTCGAATCATCTAGACGAGTGCTGGTGAGTCACGGTGATTGAGCCAATCATCCATGACAGCCTGTTCATTCCAGACCGAGAGTGCCCGAGCTAATATTGTGCTTATGTAGAGCTCGTCCAATATGACCGCTTCTCAGCTTGAGCCGGTCCGGGTTCACCCCCGTCGTCGTCCTGTCTTAAACTCGACTCTTCCCACATTGGACACCGAAGATGTTTCGTCTAAGATGTGTTTGAAGAAGGGAGAAACTTTCAACACTCCTACTTCTCCCCCTTCTGCTGAGCGTGACCCTATTCTGAACATCCGTTCCCTGCCTCGTCGCTCGCCTACCTCGCTTGACGGTATCGCAGCCAGCGAGCAGCGCATGGCCTCTATCTTGGAACGTCTGACTTTGGAAGACGGCGCCGACGATTCAAATGCCAGCCAGGACGACTTCTCCCAGAAGAAGTCTGAACAGCCTGTGCATTCCCATGAATCTGATAGCGGTTTGGGCTCATCTGTTAGTAGTGCCGAGTCCGTTGACGGCAAAGGTGTGTTTTCCTCTGACCTATGTACGCAGCATAAAACTCACCTCCCATCAGTGACTGTGGATGCCGACGGTTCTCAATCGGCTATAACCGGTCCGATTCCCGCCGCCAAGGACTCTTCGCGGCCGCAACTTGGACTTGCGGCCTGCAAACAAATTGAGCGCTTTATTTTGGTGCCATTACTGAAGGAACCTAAGTTGAAGCCTTTCCACCCACTAGTCCAGAGTGTTCCAGCTCGGATTGTGAACAAACAAATCACATGCCTCAGGGACCTTGAAAAGACTCTTTTGTGGCTGGCGCCGGTAAGTCTCACGTTGTTTCATCTCAATGCGTTTCACACTTTTATTGTCTCTGCTTGTAAAGGGTGTTCTCACTGGAAATTCCCATATGCTTTGCCAACTTGGGACAAAAGGGTCGCCTAGTAGCCCAATGATGCAGGTCGTCATTGGTGTCAATGTTGACCCTCCCATTGTCTCGGCCTTTCTGATTTCTCCACTTCTTTTCCTTCTCCCTCTTCTTCTTCTTCTTCTCGTCACCTGTGATCTGGAACTCGAGGGCTCACAAATCTTCGGCTGGTCCAGAAGCTTTCAACCTTACGATCCGCCTATCTCAATTTCGCCGAGTTCACGATCCAGTGTCTTCATACTTCCGCTTCTCACTTGAACGACCGCGACCAGCGACTTCCCGCCGACCGCCCGTATACTAACGGCTACTTCCTTGATCTTGTATCGCAGGTTCGACGCTACGCTGCCTTGATTCGTTCCAACCGTGAGCGGGTTGAAGCAGCCCCGGCCCAGGAGTCTCCAAACTCGAAGGCTGAGAAGAAAGAGCCCGCCTTGTAAGTCAATGTCCGCTTGAGAATCCAACCCCCTGGGTGGTCAAACTAATTTAAGGCAGCGTCCCCACTGCTACTCTGGAAGGCGGAATGTCTCAAAACGGGAAGCCCGCTGAACTTGTTGTCGTCCAGGAGGACGGCAAGGCTATCTCAATGGCCACTGGTCTACCTTATGATACGACAACCCCTGCGAGTTTCAAGCGCGCCGTCAGCTTTGACGAGAAGGTTGACGAGGGCGTCCAGCGGTCCATGGCACGACGCAAAAAGAATGCTCCTCCTATGGACATTAACCAGAAGTGCAACCACTGCGACAAGGTCTTCAAGCGCCCGTGCGATTTGACGTAAGTTCTCACAATTGCTGCCTCTTCATTGATCGTGCTTGAGTGGCTAACATCCCGCAGCAAGCACGAGAAGACTCATTCGCGCCCGTGGAAGTGCAGCGAGTCTACGTGCAAGTATTTCGAAGTCGGCTGGCCGACTGAGAAGGAGCGTGATCGTCATGTTAATGATAAGCACTCGGATACCCCTAGCCTCTACAAGTGCCAATTCCAGCCCTGCACTTATGCCTCGAAGCGTGAGAGCAACTGCAAACAACACATGGAGAAGGCCCACGGATGGGTGTACGTTCGCTCCAAGAACAATGCCCGTGGCGGTAGTACTGGCAAGCGTGGCTCGTCGGTCCAGGCCACCCCTGGTACCCCAAGTGTGTCCACTCCTGCCTCTCGCTCCGCGGACTTCTCCACTCCCTTCTCGGCACCCAGCGCCTCGCCTCAAGAACCTCCATTCTTCCAGGACAACGTGCCATTCAACTTCAATGATCCTCCTGTGCCGGTTCGCAGTGACGATTTCCCTCCTCTTTTCGAAAATTCTCCTTATCACACCTCGTCGGTCGGCATGGGTAACGAGTTTACTTTCCCCACTTCGATGAACCTCGATGCTTTCCAAACTCAGTTTGAAGCGGGTGAACCGGATGGTCTCATTCCGGCCCTCGAGATGCATCGCCAGTCGATGAATTCTATGTCTATTCCCTCAGCCGAGTCAGTCCCGGACCTCTTGGGACCCTCCATGTCCTTCGACGGATCCCCCCATGGCTACCACCGATAACAGCGTCACTTTCGACCTTGACTGGAGCCGATTGGATTATAATTCCATGCAAGAGGACGTGCAGGCTCTCAACATTCAACTGCCCACCCCCAGCTCTGACCACAGCGGACTCAAGCCCTACGTTGACAATCCCATGCGCGCCACCAACTATATGGGCTACGAGGCTCCCAGCAAGGTCTCCGGACTCTCTCCCAATGCCCAGGGCAACTTAATGCTGTACTCCCCGCGATCGGGCCAGGCTGACGAACAATACGATTATCGATTCCAGTCTCCTGCTGGCAATGATTTCACCCTCTACGATCAAACGCACCGTATGAGCATGAACGCCGGCTCCCACGTCACGCCGCCGATGACCCAGCAGGCATCTCCCGGTCAATACGCCCCGCAGCCCCAACCTGCCCAGCCCATGTTTCCGCCTCTCGACCGCGATGCCGCTCTCCAAGACATAAAGTCGTGGGCTGAACAGTCTCAACATGGCAGCCATTACGACCCTTACATGGGTCCGAATGGAGAGTACGAATACATGAAATAGGCGGCTGGCCCTCCATTTCTTTCTTCGAGCGATGATTTCCCACTCAGCAAGCGATACTCCGATGCGACGTGTTTGTCTTCTTTTCTTTTTCTTTTTTCATTTGCAATATTTGCCAGTACGAAGTTTTCAAGGCATCACGCCTACGGTGGCGTGATGCTCATGGCTTGTAATTCTCAAACCGGCAATCCCGAATGGACCTGCATGCCGCTCCTCTCGCGTTATCGGGATGCGGCTAATCAAGATTCATCTATCTCTCGAGGGAGACTGTCTTAGTGTGCGAGGATTAGTCTCAATAGCCCTACGGTGCAGCTCGGGGATTTCTTAATAGCTTTTAATGACTCAAGGAACATCTGCAATACTTATGACCTGATCTGGGAACTTCGTAGTATAAAGTCTTGCTTTGCAAATTCATTTATGATTAAGTGACTTCACAGATTTCTGAATAATGAGCTCGATAAGTACCCTGCGATCTCGAGTACAGATCTACTTAAACAACTCCTGCCACTGACGCTGCCAGGGCGCCAAGTTCGCCCCGGTGATCGATAGCCTATTCAGCCCTGCTCTGAGCGCCCCACGTTACCTCCAAGCGGACACCGGGAGGCGACAGGACGCGTCAGGGCTGGGCACATCATCATAGGGCTGATACTAATGCAAGTGCGATGGATCTCCGTGCATTGATGGGCTATCAAGTAGGCAGCCAGATATGTGGTCTCACATACACCCCATCTTTCGCTGCAGCCGCTGTCAGCTCATACCGACATGCAATATTGACCCAGAACAATGAGGAAGTGAAAAAAGACAGAGAAAAAGAAAAACAATCCTCGTGAATGATCCACGCAAGGCGGAGCAAAACCCGCCTTAAACGAGCACGAAATCCCCGGGTCTGGCTTCGGGTCAGCTACTCTTAATTTCCTCTTGGGTGACGACATCAAATCGCCCCGCTTCCCCTGTGTCACCTCATCTCGTCATCTCGTCATCTCGTCCTCTTGTCCTCTTGACATCTTGACATCTTGTCACATACTCTACCGGCGCAATTCTCACAGGGATTCGTTTTTCATCGCCAAGGAACGAATTTCCTCAGGCGAGCCTTGCCCGCATTACGGGGCTGTGGTCGGCTATCGAATCTCGGCATCAGCGTGCGCCTAGGCAGACGAATTTCTCCTTCACTTCGAACTTCTTAGACCCCGAAGAGGCTGATTTCTTATCCGACGGCTTCCTAAGGACACTTTGAAGCTACATAAACTATGGAGGCCACGCGATCGCCAGAGCCCGCATTCTCCGGTGGAGCTGGACATGTGTCGGGACAAGATGCGACCCCGCCAGGACAGATCCTGACGGGCAAGCAGGAACATTGTAAGGAGGTATGACTCGTGGCAAAATGCGACAGCCTGCTAATACGAATTTTATTTAGATCTCAAGCGTGAGTTGATCGGCCGACAAGTTCGCGCTGAAATCTCCGAGCTGAACTCACCCACGGCGCTACAGCGATTCGGCGCACCATTTCGCTCCGACTTTGGTGAGGTCGCGCCCGTTGACTCGGAACTTCCTATTCTTCGCTACATCTTCGTGCATCATGTTCGCAACTTTCCCTTTCTCGACCAAGCTCAGGAGAAACAGTTCTGGCAGGACAAGCTACAAGTGGTGGGTTTGCCCCAGTCTCGTGCGAGGGAGAAAGTGATCATTGACACACCCGCTAGTTTCTCGAATCGTTCGCCAATAAGCATGTATCGTCATCGGAGGATCGGTTGGAGGAGACAAAGCGTAGGAAGCTGGCACGGAAGTGCGAGAAGCTGGTGGAGCTGATGATGGTATCCGGTGTCCCGACTGCATCGGGGTACGAGGAGCGTATCCAGTTCTCTGAAATGGAGGTCGTCGACCGTGGCGCGAATGAGAAGGGCTTGCTGGTCAATATGCCCGAGGGGAATGCTCTCAATGGCTGGGATGTCAACGTGGCCGCCGTTCGGGTTACATCCGTGAAGCGCACAGTGCGTTATCATCAGCACGCTGAGTTTATCATTCGCGTGCGAAGAGACGCCAAGGATGATATCTACGTCGGCAAACGGTATGGAGAATTCGTCAGGCTCCACCGGAGGCTGCGTACCGAGTTCCCTGGCAAACACTTGCCCCCTCTGCCTCGCAAGAACAAGTCCTCGACTTCCTCCAGCTGGTTCGGTTCTCATGACGACGATGCTTCGTCCGTCTCTTCTCTCTCGACACAAGACGCGAGTATTTCAGATGAAAGGACATCTACCACCACCGGCCTTAACTTGGCACCCGGAACTATCCATCGATCAGTGTCGAAGGCATCAATGCGTTCAGCCAGGTCACCGCGTGCGTCTGATGTTTCCAGAGAGACTGTCCTATACAGAGAGGAGCAGCGCGTTTCGCTACGCGCATTCCTTCGAACGCTCCTGCAGAATAAGAAATATGCGGAATCCAAGTCGGTGGAGGAGTTCCTAACTGCAAAGCCCATAAAGTTGAACGAGGAAGAATTGATCGATGTTGAGCGACGAAAGGGTATGGATGCAATCCGCATTGAGGAGCAGAAGCGCTTTTATGAGATTGCTAGGCAGCGCGCTGCGGAGCTGGACGTTTACATGGAGAAGTTCCGTCGAGATATCGTGGAGAGCAGTAAGTGACGCATAACATGCATATCAATCTGCGAGAGGCTAACACTCTGTCAGACGGGTTAACAAAGCTCTTTGCTGAGATCAAGGAGAAAAAGACTATTGCAGAGCTGAGCCCACAGTATCAGAAATTTGCCGAGTGGTTGCGTATCGAAGTTGCCGCCACCGTGTACCACGTATTCCTTGCCGAGGATAACTCTCCTGAGATGTTTGCGCAAGCCAAGAGAATTCATGGCCTTGTTCCTTATACCCTGATGAAGAATGTGATTCGCATTGCCAACCCTGCTGCTGTGATGACTGGTGTTCTCGATCTTTTCATGGCTCAGCCGTTCGGTTCGCGATCGCTGCTTCAGCGCATTTTCTCTTTGACTTTGAATGAGAGCATCAAGGACTTCCAGAAGTCAATTACTTCGCTGGTGGCGAAGGTCGAGGACTCGGTCCTGACCGATAAGCTGAAGAACTACGTGAACGCGGATGAAATGGTCAAGAATGAGATTCGCGAGGAAGCTGAAGCCGAGGATGTTGATATCATCGTGGCCATTCTTCGCTCTGAAAATGTCTCGCCAGAGCTTGGCCCGGAGCAAATCGGCAAAGTGTTCAATGGCTGGGTAGCATGGAACAATGCCGTGGACAATGTGGACCTGGAAATGCAACAAGGCGCCCAATGGTTCGCTCACTTGAAGCAGCTCTTGAAGCTCTACACCCGGCAGCGGGACAAGGCCATGATGCTTAGCATTGTTGAGGAGCCCACTACGCTCCAACTATTCCGCGACCTATTTACCATCTTCTACGAGCCGCTCGTCAGGGTCTACAAGTCTGCCAATGTCTACAATAGTGTCACCGACTTTGCCAAATTTGCCGACGACGCGATCGCCGTCATCGAAAGCGCCCAGCGCCAGGATGCTTCTGCAGATCCCAACCAGACTGTCCAATCCTTCATCGACTTATGCGCTCGTCACCAGGACAACTTCTACAAGTTCGTCCACGAGGTACACCTCCACGACAATGGACTATTCGGATCTCTCATGTCATGGATCGAAGAAATTCTTGACTTCCTGCGCAAGGGCCCGAGAGGAGGGAAGCTCGACATGAACGCCCTGTTCCAAGGCGCCGCAGGCGTCGGTCAAATTGACAGGGACGTCGCAGTCAGCGAAATAAATGCACTGGTCAAGTGGCACGAGGATCGTAAGCGCTGGCATCTGAATAAGACTCGCCAGAAGATGGCCGCCGAGGGCACTGGGAACGATTCGATCCCAGGCGCCACGACCTTCAAGGGTAGCGACTTTGGTCTCGACGAGGTAAGTGTTTCCTGCAATGTTGACCCAAATAACTCAAATCTAAACTCTCACCAGGCTGATCTGGAAGACCTCACAATCTCCGACGAGGCCTCCGACTCGGAAGATGAGGAATCGGCTGAAGACGAACAAGATGACCCGATTGCGTCTGAGCGTCGCCGACGCATCAAGAAGCAGGATCAACTGCGTCGCACAGCCGGCGAACCCGTTAAGCCAGATGTCGCCGAGCTCCTGAAGCTCCAGGAGCCGTTCGTCGTCATGCTTCGGCATGTGCTGGCAGACTAGACGTCTGCGTTTGAATTCACGGTGTTGCTTTCGCTCCTACACTACCGTGCATGGTCGTTTTGCTTTTTCCCTCGATACAATGATGGCCTTGCAGGCTGGGTCCTGATTATCATGATGGGTATTCTGGATGGTTTGACTAGAGATGATTTGTTGAGACGCATCATAAACTGCATCTATATCTATATTCTACATAGAAAGAATTGATCATAATTCATGTTCATTGAGCTGATCTTTGTCAGCATTTATGCGATGTGTACAATTGTAGCTCTACCATTGTTAAGAACGAGTACCGCCTGCCAGCCATGTCAGGACTGGGCCAAGTATTGTCGCAGTCTCTCCGCGACATCATGATGACCGTATTGAATTGCCGCATCCAGAGGAGTTGTATGATCAACACCATCCCCTAACGTCGGCTCTATGTCCTGAGCCTCAAGCAACGCATCAACGGCCTGCAAATTGCCAAAAATCGCAGCCTGATACAGCGGCGTATGGAAATTATCATCCTGAGCATTCACATTCGCTCGCCACGGCCCCTTTAACAGATACCTCACAATTTCATCATGATTGTTCGCCGCCGCAATGGCAAGTGGCCTTGTCCCGCGCACATTACCCAATTCGACATTGACACGCTCACATTCCAGCAGCGCAATCACCATTTCCCTCCGGCCATGCTTCGCAGCACGGAACAATGGCGTATCATGTTCCCAGCTATCACTGAGATTCGGATTAGTTTTCTCCCACTTGCACAGATACCTCACGATATCAAGATGGTTCCGCTCCGCCGCAATAGCAAAAGCGCCTCGCCCATGCCCATCGCGCTCCCCATTCGGATCAAGCTTGCTCCCGAAGTATGAAACTAAATACTCCACGATATCCAGCTGCCCCACGATCGCGGCATGAAAAAAAACATGCTGGCAATGCTCAGCTGTATTATCACCTTCTAATATACACTGAACATGCGCCGCAAGCAACAGATCCGCGTCAACATCCAGCATCGCAGCCCTAGACAACGGCGTCGCGCCCTGTCGGTTCATCACACGCGGATCAGCCCTTCCCCGCTGCAACAACATTGGAATAAATCTCGGATTATGTTCAACGGCAACCATGAGTGGCGTATCCCCCCACTTATCCTCGAGATTGACATCCAGTCGTTCATCATCTAACAACGCGCGCACGATCGCCATGTGGTTCTGCTTGATCGCCCAAGATATCGGAGGCCGTATGTACTTCCTATCCCGACTATTTGGATTGATATCTTCGATTGTGAGGAGTAGCTGAAGCGTTTCGCTACTCCCATGATACGCGGCGAGCATGAGAGGAGTACATCCTTTAATGCGAGGATCGAAATCGGTGAAAGTTTGGACGTCTGCGCCGGCAGAGATGGATTTCAGGACTGTGGTTTTTTGGTCGCGAGTGGCGGCCCAGTATAGTGCTTTTCGGTTTTGCGATGCATCTCGTGTGTAGAGGCGCGAGTTGAGGAGGGAGTAGAAGCGTGTCGAAGTGCGGGCGAGGGCGGAGAGGTCTCTGGGGCTGGGTAGGCACTCGAATATTGTGATTAGGAGCTCGGTTGGGAGGAGGAGGAGAGAGAACTAGGTTGATTGACCATGGCCGGGGGAAGTCATGGTAGCATCTTTGATTGATCGAGGTGAATGGGGTGACTTTAAGTGTATGAAATGGGCTGAGTGGGATGGGTTTCAACGTGGGGTGGACATGACGTCGGTGATCTCGGTGCGGCCTGCGCCTCATTTTTTGGTTTCACTTAATGACGCTGGTGTTTCAGACCATGTGGACTTTTGGGGCGTCTATTTGAGACATTGAAGCACGCAATCGAAGTGATTGGGAATTAGAAACAAACCATATCACTTCATCGATGGAAGCGAGAGATTTCGTTGAAAGCGGCCATAGTTGGGTAGCGATAAGATAAGCAGTTTCCATGGCGACGTCTTGTCTGGTCTGAGAACATACTGATCCTTCTCCAATCACTCTTGGATTTTACATACATTCAGGGCATGCCACCATGCTCTCTCCTAGCAAAAGAGCTCCAATGAGCCCGCGTAACGCGGTGGCCTTGAAGGGGCTCTTCCAAGATGGCATCTGGATGTGCAACTGCCGGGAACGGCTGCCCGCGGTGAAACGAGAGACGAAAAAGCCCGGGAAGAACCAAGGACGATACTGTAAGTATAGCCAGTCTGACGCATTGCTTTCTGTGGGTAATTTATGCTGATTCCAACAGTCTGGACCTGTCAGAACCCCCCAGGGAAACAGTGCGGCTTCTTCCTTTGGGCTGATGAAGCTGAAATACGTGAGAAGGAGGCCATCCTTGCTAACTCTCGCTCCGAGCTCGACAACCGTGATGCCAGCTGTTGCACTCCTTCCAAAAAAACATACCGTGCAGGCAACGGCCTTTTGACGCCTCAGACCGAGCATAGGGTGATTGGTGTCCCACCCCGCCAGTTCAAATCACCACCGCAGAGTGCAAAGGCGCGGATGATGACCGAGGATACGGATGAATTTGGCTGGCATGTTGATTCAGAGGAGAATGAAGAGTTGTCTGAGGTCTTGAACTCAACGCAGAAGATATTATCTCAACCCAACTTCAACCCCGAGACGCCGCAGAAAGCAGCCCGCACCTCGTCAACGACGTCACCAGGAAAGCGTAAGCTATTCGACTTTTCACACGACGAATCAAGCAGCACATTATCTCCACTCGCAACACCGTTCACATCACGGTCCGGTCGACATCTCCCATCCTCGGCCGAAATAAGCATGACGCCGACTCCAACTAAATACAGGGATGTGCTGAGCACAGATTCCAAGTCTGATATGTCGAATTTGGCACAGCAGGTTACTGCAGTCCTCGAAAAGCATGATGTGGTACTGCCTAATGAAGCGCGCGACGAGCTTCTGAAGCTACTCAATACTCACGACTTGAAGTTGAACGGTGCGATCAAAGGTCGGGACGCCGTGCGCACAGTACTTGAGAAGGAAAGGACTCTTCACAAGGAGGAAAACCTGCGATTGAGTCAAGAGAATGTGAGGTTGAAAGAGCAAAACATGAGTCTCGAGGCGCACAATGCGATGCACCTGTCTGTCATTGATTCCTTCAAAGAATGATCACGCTGAGACTTTTCTCTTGACACCATTTTTAATCTTCACGTTGAACACTGAACTTTGAACCCTCATCTTTGATTCTCAAGAATTCGTTGTTCTCTCACGACCTCTAATGATTTATGACTTTGGTCTCTCTTGTCAACCCTTCATGTTTTTATCGATGAGGAAAATTATCGTCAAGGCGGTATCAAGACTAGGAAAATCTGGACATTATTTGTATCAAGAATCAAAGCAGCCTAAAAGTAGCCTTCAGTAAATCCCTTTCGCCTATGTCTACGAAAGAACAAAAGTGATGAATGGTGCAATGCGGCTCATAGATCGCCAATGGCGTCACGTGGTCGATATCGATAAGAAACACAAATTATTCGCCCAATGCGCCTTTGCCCAGCTACATCCTCTCAACTTCAAGTTCAGGCCTTCGCCTTCCCTCGATGGAGTCGAACAGTGACGTGCGCCAGCAGGCTCACCGCGAAATTCCTGAAATGTTCCGTCCGCCCGTCAACCGCGCAATGCGCACACTGGACCGGTCATTCTTCCGCAAAACGGTGCCGGTCTCCGCGGCCAAAATCTTCAAGAATTCAGAAATCTCGCACGTGCGCAAGGTCCTTGGAAGTAACAAGGAGCTGCTCGTTCTACCGCGGTTGAATGTTGTGCGGGAATTACAGGATCAGGATGGTGTTAAGAAGGCACTTCTACTGCGCGAGGACATGAAGCATGATGGTGAGTCACGAGGCCTCTTGGTCTTGGTTTTCGAAGTGAGACTTTGATGCTGACTTGAATGCACAGACAAGTCGACATGGTCGCCTACTGTTACGGAGTTGGCTGAGAAGGGCACCGTGGCTATCATGCCTTACAATTTGGAACTTGACTACGACTCTTGGACATACGGTATGCGTTCGATATATGCGCGATATATATGCTATAGTGCTGATTACCTTCAAGCTGAGATCGCCGCTTCGATCTTACCGCAAAATGAGGAAATGCCCGAAGTCCCTCAAGGCTTCACGCAAGTGGGGCACGTCTGTACGTTTCTGCCCGACTGAGGGGGATATTGAATCTTTCGAACTAACTCTCTAGTGCACCTGAACCTCCGATCGCATTGGTTGCCGTACAAGCACATCATTGCTCAGATTTTAATGGACAAGAACCCCGCTATCCGTACCGTGATTAACAAGACCGAAGATGTTGGCTCACACAGCCAGTTCCGTACTTTCCCCTTCGAGCTACTGGCCGGCGACAACGACCTGAACGTCATTCAGCATGAGCAAGATTGCGAGTTCCGATTCGACTACTCGCGTGTTTACTGGAACAGTCGTCTGGAGACTGAGCACCGCCGACTTGTGGAGAAGTTCCAGCCTGGACAGATGGTCTGCGATGTCATGGCGGGTGTCGGTCCCTTTGCTGTGCCTGCAGGACGTAAGCGCATCTTCGTCTGGGGTAATGACTTGAACCCGCACGGCTATGAGGTCATGCAAGATGCTATTCAGCGTAACCGCGTTCAAGACTTTGTTACTCCGTTCAATATGGACGGTCGAGAGTTCATTCGCCATTCGGCAAAGGCCCTTTTGGAAGCTGAGCCGGTCACTGTCACTATCGAAGGTAAGAAACGCAGAGAGAAGAGGAGAAAGACTGAGGAGAAGCCGGAAGAGGAGAAGCCTTCGCCACCTCCTCAGGTGTATACTCGCCCATCTATTGTCGACCACTATGTCATGAATCTCCCCGCCACCGCCATTGAGTTCCTTGACGCATTCCAGGGTCTTTATACCGGCAAGGAGGCTCTGTTCGCCCCGCAAACCTCTCAGCTCCTGCCCATGGTCCACGTCTACTGTTTCTCGGGACACTCCGAGAACGAGGTCGATGATCACATCGACGTTTGCCAGCGGATTTCCGAGCGCATTGGCTATACCATCACCCACGAAGACCGTGTTGGGGGCAGCGGCAATGCTGCTATTGAGCTTGACATTTACAATGTCCGTCTGGTCAGTCCGAACAAGCAAATGTTCTGCGCCAGCTTCCGCCTGCCCGCGGAGGTCGCATTCCGAAAGGTTTAAAAGTTCCAAGTACATACGATGTTGCATACCAGGCGTTTGGAGAGATTGTTTGCAGATCTTAAGTGGTTTAGCTGAGCTATCACTGAGCTATAATGCAGACTCGATACCCTAACCAGACCCTCCCGGAACAGACTTCGGACTGAACTTCAGTCTTCATGTACCGTAGCCTGGTAGAACCAACCGACTTCTTTCCTAATCTAAAGGGCGGTGTACTCACCGCCATTTACTGCCGGGCGACCTGCAGACTTTCAACCCGCACAGAAGCCTCGACGACCGAACGCATCGACGCCCGCAGCCCAATCCCCCCCCAATCAACCATCGCCGAAGAGTGCACTGCGCTTTCGCACTCTCCTTCTTGTCGATCGCAAACATGAGCGTTCAACTCCCCCCGCCCACGCACCGCAAGCGTACCCTCCCCCAAGGCGAGCTCGAAGCCGCGTCTACGCTCAAGCTCGGTGCTGACCAGCACACGCACACACTGTCACTCTCCGAAGCCCGACTTGTCATTCACAAGGTGCTGGAGAACAAGCGACGCGGGGGCAACAAGTACGAGGAGCCGGAGTATGTCGAACTGCCACGCTCGGAGCCGACCGACCACTCACAAATGACAGGAACTTGACCAAGACACTCGACTATTTGGACGTGTTTGCGCGATTCAAGGACGAGGAGAACATCAAGGCGGTGGAACGTCTACTCAACTCACATACGGAGCTCGAGATGTTTGAGCGATCACAGCTGGGTAAGTACCAATGACTTGGTGCCTGGTGGCCTTGGTGCCTGATGGCCTTTATGCCTGAATCCCTAGATTTCCCTCTTTTCCCGAAAAGTCCCCTGTGGCGTCAGGGAGGGCCCCGCTCCAATCGCATGATCCATCTAACCCGGAATTAGGCAGTTTGTGCTGCGACAATGCCGAGGAGGCGAAGTCGCTGATCCCCAGTCTTCAAAACAAGATCACGGATGCCGATCTCCAAGAGCTGTTGGACGAGTTGACCAAGTTGCGGAACTTTACAGAATAAGACTATGGGGATGGGGGTCATGGAGCATGGAGTTGGGCGTTTTCTTGCTAGCATTTCCATTTTCTGGAGGAATTCCGGGGTTCAGTCGGGGGACAGAAATCAGGAGCCGCGTCGGGGTTAAGTGTTTTCGAGTAAGAAGGCACATGTGCCGGGGATGGCTTCACATTCTCCGTTCTCCACGGCGGGGCGCCGTTCGCATGTTTAACTCTCTCCTCTTGGGGAGATCTGGTTCCTTGATTGGTTCTGCCCATGATGTTATCACCGTGCTCTGATTGGTCGTAGGTTTACTCGTGCGAGTGGCTGTTCCAATGTGGGACCGTTGTAATGTTCTAAATGTACCAGGATGCGATCCCGGATCCCCTTACACCAAGAAACCATGATATATTCTTAGGTAAAAAAAAAGGGGGGGGGGGGGTCCGGATCGACCGAGTCCTGTAGCCTCTCGCATGTGAGAGATATCCCTGGAACAGCAAGGCGGAGTGTCCTGGAGTTGGGCGAAGTACCGTCGACGGTCGGATTGTCTGTACGTAATGCCGGGGAGGCTCGTCCGGGTGTCCAATCAGCTCGGGGGGTCTTATCAGAGTTGACAATTTCGACTTCATAATTCACGAGTAATTCAAGGCCTTCACAGGCCCAGGGCCAATTCTCGTTACGAAACCGAATCGTTGATCGTCTGGGTCCTTCGGGTAAGCTTCGCGCTTGCTCTATACTTGCGATGTCATCATCTGTCTTTTTCCTTTTTCCCTTTTCTTTACTATGACTCGCACCTCTAACAGTGCACTTGTCCGGACGTTGACACTTTTTCTTTTCTCTTAAGAGTAGGAATGACGGAGAGAACGATCCGCCATTTGATTCTCTTGCAGTCTTTGGCGGGTGCTTCTGCTTGATTTTTAAATCTCGGGTTCTATACTCTGATCATCCCTGGAGATAGCAACCTTTTTTTTTTCCCTCTCTCCGTGATAAGGGCATATCTGGTGAGTCCATCCCGTCCATCGGAGCACCGTCTTATCTAAAGTCGGTTAAGAGTGACGACGAATCTAACGCTGTGAGCACCAGAGAACCCCCCAATCGGATTCCCCAGAGTGTGGAGTTGGCTGCTGCCCCGGACTCTGTCAGGTTACGTGACCGGTTTCAATCGCACGGCTATCAATTCTCTCTATCTCCTATCTATTCCTTTATCATTTCACGCCCCCCATGGCCACCGTCATTACGATCCAGCCTTCTCCAGCGGGTTCGGCTGCTTTTCCCACCTACTCTCAATCCGTTTCTCCCGATTTACGACGAGCCCTGACGACGACCTCGACCCCGAACCTGTCTCCGTCCCCCATCTCCGTCCACTCGACTCTATTGGGGCCCAGGGCCGGAATGGGCCTAGCTGCGACGCGTGCCTTCGACGAAAGAGCAGGTGCGCCATGAATGAGATGGTCAACAAGTGTTACTCGTGTGAATTTCACCGCCAGGACTGCACTTTTACCCTGACCGGCGAGAACCCTACGAAGAAGAGAAAACTCGACGCGGCGGAGCATGCGGACCCCGTTAAACGTCCCACCCCATCTTCTATTTCCAAGGAGGCTCCTCGCCTGCACCAGGGCGCAATGATCCGCCCGGGCTTCTTCAATCAGTCCACTCAGCACATTGGCATGACCACCGAATTGGAACCTGCCTTGCTGGATCATCTGCCGCTGGACGAGTACGATGAATTCACGGTCCATTCCTCCCGGATTCGGAGGTGTGCGGACGACGGGACCTTCATGAGAGTCGTCAACACTGTTCCCATCGGTGACTCGCAGGTCGTGTCACTAGACGCCATTGAGAGCCTGGTTGCTCCCTACGGGGCCACGCTGATCGAGAAATTCTTTGAGCACGTGCACCCCTCCTTCCCCATCCTGATGGAAGATGCCTTCCGCCAATCATATCGTGATCGTCGCCAGTTGTCGCCACTGCTCTTGGCGGCCGTGTACGTGCTGACCTTGAAGTTCGTGGATGTGGGTGCGGCGACACAGACAGCGCGGAAGCCCGATGCGGCCCGGCTGGAAAGCGCGGCGTTGAAATTGCTGCTGGATTCTCTACCGTTCCCGAGTATCTCGACGATTCAGGCTGGGTTATTGTTGACGCAGAAGTCAACTTTGGCCACGGCGTCACTGAATGGTCAGTTGGTGACCGCAAGCTTCGAGCTTGGGTTGCACCAGGATTGCTCTAATTGGCGGATGAAGACCTGGGAGAAAGGCCTCCGGAAGCGACTTGCATGGGCCTTGTATATGCAGGATAAGTGGTCCTCGCTTGTCCATGGCCGCCCCTCGCAGATCTTTGCTTTTAATTGGACCGTCAAGGATCTCGTGGAGCAGGACTTTTCCGATGCGTTCTTGCACGGTACCGACTCTGCACACGATGAGGCGGCTGTCGGACATGGACCTCTCTTGTTCTGTCACATGGTCGCTCTTACGACCATCTTGTCGGATATCCTGGATCGATTCTACACCCTCCAGGCCGTGGAGGATTTCCGAGCTGCGGGAAATCAGCGCACGCGGATCATTCTGGAGAAGGCTAAGCCGGCTCAAATTCGCTTAAAAGAATGGTTCTCCTCCTTGCCGGCATCCCTCAAGATGGAGTCCTCAAGCGGTGAGCTCGTGGAGACTATCACCGACGAACATGCCCGCAATGGCGCTCTTCATCTTGCATACTTTGCTACCGAGATCACCCTCCACCGCTGCATCGTTCGTTCCATAGCAGACAACGGCACCGATCCCTACCTCGCTCACATCTGTCGCTCCGCTGCCAAGACCCGTCTCATCTCGGCCATGGACTTTGTGAACCGTCTGCGACCAGCACACCTGCGATCCTTCTGGCCCGCTTCCGCACGTACGAACTTCTCACTGATCGGGTCCTTTGGTATGTTACTTCGTATCACTGCACCGGCCATGGAAGAGGCGGAATTCTACCGTCTCCGTCTCTGTGAGTACCGCTGGACTCTCAGTGTCAGTCACAAGAATGCTGAGTTCATGAGCTTCGCACTCGAGAGCCTCGACAACCAGACGATGCTGGACAAGCACGTCCCGGACAAGCCCGGCATCGACGAGCTCATGGCATCCTCGGCGAAGCAGCCCGCTCGTCAGAACCATATGTCGGCCTACGATGACGCTCTTGCCGATACCGATATGCAAGCCACAGGGCCTTCGTCCTCGGTCATTTCGGGTCTGGCATCTCCAGCTACATCGGTCAGCGAAATCGACGAGCAGGACACCTCTATGCAACCCCTTTAAACCTATCATCTCTATCCCTCTACCTCAACCCTTTACATACTTTTCTCTTCTTCCCATGTTCACCACCCTCCCATTCACACCTCTCTCGCACACGACCCCTCACGATCTGATTTACTGGCGTTTTTGCACATCTCAAGGATGATGCACATGATGGATACTTATTGAAACTGATGGCATGTACTCATGTAACTGCAAAGTGCAGGCAACCCTTTGCAAGGCTTTTGGTTTTTTTTTTTCCTTTTTGGAAATTACGGACTAGTCAGGATTGGATATAGACAGGACTGGACATAGATCGCATCATGAATCACGATCCATATTGATCTCGGAACTTTTTAACAGAAAACAGACACTCCATTACTCCAGAATATCCGGCACACACGCCTTGGTGACCTAGAAGAGTCTTCAATTAGAACCTAGTCTTGCGTTTAAGTAATCGAATAATTGTTCTGACCAAAAGTTTTATAGCCCAAGCCCTTCCACGACAGGGTACTTACTACAAGCAAGTCATCTGCCATGTTGTGACCCCATGATCCAAGACAGGCTACGTTTCTTGATGACGGGGACTTTCTCTTTCTCGCTTTTCAGCCCAGGATCGAGCAGCAGGCTGGCCTCATTCGCGTTGGAGGTTCAAGCAGAGCTGCCGCTCCTCTGACACGCTCTCCACAGTAGCATTTATTCCGTACTTCACGGCATACAACAAGGCACTTTCCCGTGGTCGATTATGAAACTTGACATCCGGACTTTGCTGGTTGCCACGCGTATCGTTTCAGTGACTGGAAACCTTGCTGTTGAGTGAACGTTGAATGGCTACCAAATACAAAGAAGCGGAGCGTGATAAACCCGCCAGCTAATGGCGACTGAGTCTCAAAGAGCTGGCGGACAGTCCAATCATTGGTCAAAGTTAAAAAGGATAACGCCCACAGAGTCTTAACAAAGCCATCTTAAATGTGACCCAGGCTTATAGACGGGCAGCCCAGGGGCCGCTCTAACAGTATCTAAGGAGCTCAATTGTGCTTGCGGCACGCTGTTCTACTAGTCTGGTTTGTGCGCTGGACGGAACATCATCCAAATTCACGCTAGGCCGGGCTAAGCATAGCCGGACTGACAAAGTCTGGTGTTCACACTTAGAGTATTCACCATCTGTCGCACGGGTGGAGGTAAATGTGGGCGAACGGGGCAAACGTGGCAATGATCTTTACTGAGGAACCCCAGAAATGACGCAATAAGAGGGCCGTTTGTGGCTGGCGCTTTTGGCTAATTGAGATTAGCGTAAACTGTAATGTTATGCGGCAGCCGGCTTACCGAACTAAGGTAACCTATAATAAGACTTACAGTGAGTTGCTAATTTATTCTGGGGACAATTAAGTTCGTTGGAACTTGGCATAATCCAAGTTGCTCTGGGCCATACACTGTTTGCCCATCGTCATCTTTCCATACTTTAAGGTCTATCGCCCTGCGAAAATTACCCTCGTTATACATTTTCCTTCACGTTCTACCTGCCATATGTCATACATCTCGCGCGATTCTTTAAAGCAAAACTATCGTGCCCCGGAATGCTTCATTTGAATCCCCAGCCCGACCTCCGCCTTTTTCTGGACATGTTGGTGTCCACCTCGAATCCGACACGGTTCGTGGACCGCTTCCCTTTTTCAACCCAACGCAAGCGCGCTTTCAGCTGGACGAACATGCGCAGCTGCATCCCAAGTTGCTCGAGGACAAGATTCCGCATCCCTATGCAACCCAAGTCGCATTGCCTGGCGTGGTCATCAATTGGAGGTCTCGAGACAATCGTAAAGGGCGACACCCGCTGGGTGTCGACTCTTTCCACCCGGACTCAACAGCAAGCTTCCGCGTCGTCAGCCGTGGCCTGTTGCGTATGTGCACCGAATGCCCATACTGGGACGTTTCCTACCTAGTCGGCGTCTTTTTCTCCGTCGGATGCCTACTTTTCGTAATCAGTGGCCTGTTCTATTGGCTGCCGCTCGTAGCTCCAGCCTCCGAGTTTTCCACCGAGACCACGGCTGGAGACATACTTTCATTTGTCGGAGCCACGCTGTTCCAGATCGGAGCGGTTCTTCTTGTATTTGAAGCGTGCAACGAGAACCGTACGGGATGCTTTGGATGGGCCCTCTACCAAGCTCTCAAAGGAGACGATAGTGGATCCCTCGGGGATATATTCGCCAAAGCCGACGTTTATAGCTGCCAACATCACCACCAGCGGAGACGCAGGCCTGATTCAGTGAGGCAGCAGCTGCCCGCCCCGCAGCAATCACCCCCGCCGGAACGCCAATGGACCTGGTGTCCTACCTGGCACGAGCTGAAGACGCACTATTTCCACGAGATAGGATTCATGGCTTCCATTTCAATGTTCGTTGGCGCTACCATATTCTACGTTTGCGGTATATGTACGCTCCCTTGGATATATAACAACCTGAGCATGGGTGTTCTTGAGGGCGTGTACTATCTGACCTATCTTGTGGGCGGTGTCTTCTTTATTATTTCCTCGGCCCTGTACATACTGGAGACCCAGCCAACTTGGTACACCCCGGCGCCACATCTGCTAGGGTGGCATATTGGGTTGTGGAACCTGATCGGGTCTATAGGCTGGACCCTGGCGGCCTCGTTTGGTTACTGTACCCGCAGCTGGTGTGCCTATCAGAGCTACTTGACCTTGACCTGGGCCTCTGCCGCTTTTTTGATTGGTAGCATGCTGCTTTGGTACGAGGCACTTCAAAAATATCCTGTGGAGAAAGTGAGATAATGTCTGGACTATGTCTTTTGAGGGATGTACCATGATTTTCGTGCCCAAGGACTTAAAACTCCCTGGCCCTTCACAGCTTACAACCATGCCTTCAAATTGCCCTGCCTATATCGATGCGTACGTCGCTTGCTTGAGAGCGTTATGAACGAGATAAAAGCTCAGAGTAGGCCAACTCACAACTGAATAGCCTTGATAGCCACCTATCAAGCAATTATCGACAAGCTATTCATTGCTGTACTCTTGTGCTTACTTGACCTAGCCAGAGGACGTCTGCTTTTCAAGAGGACCAAAAAGGTGTATGATTTGATCGCCTGCATATGGGCTAGATGACAACGTGATAGGGGCTAGCTGGAAATGCATAGGCATTCCCTGTCCTGTATCGACATCAATATCCTATACACGTAGTTCTTGATTCAGGATGTGCTGACCTAGCCGTATGTCCAGCCATCCGGATGGCATTCGACAACGCCGCACAGTCTTCTCCTTTGTCAGTCATTGTATAGACGCCTTGGTTGCCGACATTGAGTCAAAAACAAGGAGCCACAAGGAAGCTTAACAGCGGCAGCCCGCATGAGGATTAACGACGTCCGCGAAGACTCACAGACCGGGTACACGAACGAGACATCCTAGTGAATATCAACAAACCTACGAAAACACAGCATGGACGCCATCAACAAGGTCACTGATTGCGTATCGGCCGCAAACTTTGTGACGCAAACTTTGTGAGTCTTGCTTGGACAATGTTGCCAGAAGTTGAAGAACGCCACAAGTTTCAGTCATGGGAAATCAAAAGCTGCTAAGAAGCTTGATTCACTGGTCCGCAGCACTCAGAAGGAGTGCTTCTTACCTTTTTCCTTCCGTCGATGAACCTTCATTAATTACTTAAAATACAAATATATTACGCCGAAAGCCTCAGCATACCTACGCGGTCAAGAGCGCAAAGACCACAGTTTTGGCCCTTTGGTGGATCGGGCCCCCAACTAGCCTGCCAAAATGAATCATTATCATCCGGACAAATGGGATGTTATGATTATCAATTATGCACATTGACTCGGGTTATCTCTATGAAAAATGAGGGAAACAGATAAGCAACGAGAACCCCGACTCCGCTTCCTTGAGGAAGTAAAATCGGAAGTTGATAATTACTTAACTATCGGCTGCCGTAAGTGGGGCAACGGTCGGGAACGGATATCGTTCTCTCTATCTTCCAGTATAGGAATCATGTCTAAGTGACTTATTGGCGATTCCTGGTAATGACCAAGGTAGCTAGATCTTCTGGGAAAATAGAGATATACCAAATACGGAAAGCCAGAGAAGGTCTCACAGAATTGGCAAGCTGTCTGTGACTTGACGAATATGGGCGAAACAATCTAGAAGGTTGCAGAGGAACAGCAGGAAATTGAGAGTTCTATGTCAAGATACAAAACTATGGTTGGCGCCGCGAAAAAGGACTTCTGAAAACAGTCTTATGGATGAGTCCACCGAATTCCATGAGCCGGTTTACGACGTTGTCCGGGCAAGAAACCAAATGCAGACATTTCCGTCATAGTGACTTAACTATCGAATAAAGTGAAGGATTAATGTGGATTCACTGACGAGGCGCGAGAAGTCAAAATCTTAATTTAATGCCTCACTCTCTGGCGCGAAGGATTTTTAGCGCAAGTTACGGCCACATGTCGACGACTGGTCGGGCCCGGCTTATCAAAATTATGTCACTCCTGCGTTAACCCCCGACATGAAATCTGTGCAATAACAAGAAAAGCATGGGCAGCTGTAAAATGTGAATTTGGGTATTATCTGTTCCCCAACGGTTAAATAACGATCAAAGGTCCATTCACTCGCTCAACAATTTTCTCCCGTCCAACCGACCCCCTCCTCCTTTTCCCGGCCCTTTTCCGGCAAAAACATAATGCTATCAACATTTGATGAGCGGAAGCCTTCAGCCCGATCTCTATTGGGCCTGGCTATGTCCATATATGGCCGTATTAGCGTGTTCGCGTTCTCTTATACGCTCTCTCGGCTTCTATTTGCTCTGGTACTCATACCACCATATCTTGTCAAAATTTCGTTTCAGGTGCTGCCGACTATTCTCAATAATGCTAGTTGTTTGTTGTCTGCCAAAGGTCTGGGGCGACTAGTGACAGACACAGCTCGATACCGAGCTCACGCACAGCACATTGCGAAGCAACAGCTAGACGGAACCTTTGTGTTCAGCGAAGCTGACTTGCATCGGGGTGTGAACAAATGGACGGACCAACTTCAGTGGGCTGACAAAACAGAAGAATTTACTGTGTGCGGTGCAACTGTCCGTTTCGTTCACCTGAAGCCTTCCCACGATGCCGAATTTGGTAGCAATGGCATTGCTCCTCGCCATCCTATTGTTTTTCTCCATGGTAATCCAAGTTGGACCTATATGTGGAGAAACGTGAGTCTTCCCAACTACAACTTCATTTGTGTAAAGCGTCCAGATGGGTCTAACCGGTGTCTACCATAGGTGATTCCCCCTTTAGTTGATCAAGGCCACGAAGTTTACGCTATTGACTGGCTAGGCCATGGCCGGAGTGATAAGATTGCAGTTCCCGAACTGTGCAATTTTGAACTGCATATGCGGACTTTGAGGGAATTCTTCTCTTTCACAGACCTGAAGAATGCCACGGTTGTTGCGCACGACTGGGGCGGGTGAGTTTACCATGTCCCTATTCAGATCCTTTTATGAATCTATGATTGACAAGGATCAGTTGTATCGCCCTGTGTACGCTACCTTCACTTCCTCATGGCACATGTACAGGTCTGTTCTTGCTCGACACATTCCTGCCACCTCGAGTCAGCGAGATGAGCTTGCACTGTGGTCTTCTCTACGTGATTTGGTTCTTGACCGGAGGCATACTGGGTCGATATATCCCTGAGCCGGCAATCATGTACTTCATGTATCCTCACATTGCGTTGAGTGATGTTGAAGCCTATGCTGCTCCCTACCGGGAGATGCCTATATCAGCAAAGAGCAGCGTCTTCCGGTTCGGCCATATAGTTCCAGGTACGCCACGGACGGTGCTGCAGTCTGTCCGATACAAGAAATTCTGGAAAATTCTCGAGGGCCTCTGTGGTCCCAAAAATTTTGACATCCTCGATGCTCAAAGCCGTCTTGCTATGCTTGACGACAAGACACGGGAATTCTGGGGCCGCGGCGCAAACAAGAGCTATTTGAAAACGGTGATCGCTTTCGGCAGCAATGATCCTCTTTTGATTGACTACAAAGATATTCTTTTAGAGACTATCAACGCTCGACTTATGGTAGACTGGGCTGTGAATGGCATTTGGCTGGCTGGTGGAGGTCATTACCCGACGGAGGACAAGCCAGAGCATATTGCCAACCTTGTATCGCGGCTCGCTTACTCTTGAGGAAATAATGACACTTATTTACTGAGGGAATATTGGAAAGAATTTTTCAATTTAAACGTTCATTCTTATGATCAACATAACATAGCCAATAGATAACAGTGGAAGGTTACCCAACTCACTGCAGTATGCCGCATTCAATGATGGTGCTTTGATGATGTTCTCTTCACATGCACCATAGGCGCCGTTGGGCGGTGCGTCTCCTCGAATTATGTTTCAATACAGTGCAATATGCCTCATTTGTCAAAGTGGTGTTTTTGACACTGTTTCAAATCATGATTACAGTCTTCCTTCCTTATTCCGAATTACCAACAGATCTCTGAACTTGATAAATAGCACTTAGTGAAGACCAGTCGATATATGTTTCAGATCTTCCGTGTGCTTCAATAAGATATCCACACCTTCAAGGAGGCAGTTTTCATGTGAGACCTATTACGCTAAGAGATTTGACACATATTCTGTTTTTTAGTTCAGGAAGAAAGTCTCCGATGCGTATTGCCTAGCATTCGAAACGATGCCAATCATTGCATTTGCTGTATACTGAATTACATAACCACCTTATGTCTTAATATATTTCCCCAAATACATCAAAATGTCCGTTAAAAAAGCCCGTTTCATTTCTCGTCTAATCCCCTTGAAATTTATTTACCTGCCGCACTGTCGAACGCGGTCAAACCTTAAACCCATTGTGACGTGACGGAAGCTGGTTGTATCTTACTGAAGCCAGTTTCTTGCAGGACAGTCACATTGTGTGTCTTCGTCGCCTGTTCTCAAAATCAGCTCGAAGATCAGTAGTCTTGTGTCCGTACTTGCCTGCTTGGGTATTCGATTCATCATCCTCCATGTTGCATCTCGGCCCGAGACTTGCGTTAGGAGGTATGGCGTTCATTTACAGGACCATTTGAAGCCGATGAATATTGCGCAGAACGGCCTTTCTGAGTGCCCGTTGTTGACGGTAGAGCATGACCCCAGCTAGCCAACACGAAGAACACCCATTTCCAGCGGTAAGGGTTACATGCGAGAGCCAGAACTATCCACGAAATAAGCTCGCTGTATGTGAAGAATTCAAGAGCACCCCCTGGGGCACGCTCTTTCCACGATCGCGTCCAATCAACCCAAAGACGCATCCTTGCCGGCGAGGGCCTTGTAGTGGGATCGACAAGGAACATTATCAGCATGCGAGTATAAAGTCCAATATGTATGTTTCCAACGGTGCCAAGGCCGTTGACATATGTGCAGTTGTTTGCGCACACATCCGGATGCCCTGGGGGAAACGACTGGAGAAACCAGTTTGGTGGAGTATATGTAGGGTTGAAGCATTCATCTGGCAAAAAGCCCAAACTGGGTCGATGGAACCCAGTAGCCATAATGCAAAAGTCGCCCTTAATTAGTTCTTCGCGGCCTGGGCCACCCTTAGGAACGCCCTTCTGACGGTGGTTGAACAGAATGCCATTTTCTTGAAACTCTTTGATATCCCCACGATACCAATTGACCCGACCTTCGCGAACTTGATTCAGAATGGCGTCGTTGCACATAGGTGTTTGGGTATATAGACCAGCTTTCGCCGGTACAAGATCGGTAAGGTCGCGATAAAAGAACTTTTTCAGGAGCCATTCTGGAACCCACCCTAGACTGGTCTCCCGGCCAAAGATGTTCATTGCCAGCATTCCATCGACTAATGGATTGCGGGGTATAATCCATTTGTTTTCCTGATAGCTTAATTAGTCTCGAATTATTCCTAGATTTATTGAGATATAAGAAATGGGAGTCTCACGCGAGCGAGGATACTAATCTTTGCTGGCTGTTGCGGTACTGCGAATTCGATAGCTTCAATCGCACTGGCTCCAGCGCCGATCACAAGCACATGCTTGCCTTTGACATCGTGGCCAGTCAACCGGGCTGAATGAATGATCGGACCGTGAAACTTCTCCTGACCGGGGACATGCGGCATCTTAGGATCACCACAGGTGCCAGTGGCTGCCAGTATTCCATCGAATTCTCCATAAGATGGATCCTGGACATACCATTTGCCACTTTCTTTATCACACCAGACGGATTCGACCGGGACATTGAATCTAGTCCGATCTTGCAGCCCATAACGCTTCCATAGATTCTCAACCTCTCTGAGGATGCCCTGACGGTCGGGGTACCCGCGTCTAAATCGGACCGACGGATGAAAGCGATACATAGCACTGTGTATCTGTAGACTGGATGTATTGTTCACTTGCTGTTGCATAGGGGCAAAGTTAGTCATTGAGCAACATCCATAATCAATTAACTGAAGCTGAACCCACGCTCCATATTCCGCCTAAATGCTCACGGCCTTTCGCCTCGAAAACGGTCACATCGATGCCATGACCCACACAGTGAGCAGCGGACGATACTCCCGTGATACCGGCCCCTATAATTGCTATACGAGGTCCACCGACTCTCGATTGTGGTTGGCGTGGATTTGGGGCAAAAATTTGAGCGATTAAGACTTGAAAGACTTGGTAAAGCCAGTTGATCAAAGTGTTCACAAGTCCCATGATGTTTGCCTTGTTTTAGGCCAATGCTAAAATGAATGCAACTATTTTATCAAATGAAAAAAAAAATGGCTTTGAGCCGAAGGCTATATAAAGATTCAAGGTTCCCTTTAAGCCCCACGCAACTGGTGGTACATTACAATAACACACCAATCGCCCTTATCCTTGACATTCAGCACAGACCATGATGACGTAAGAATTGTTGCTTCACCATTTCCTCAACGCCTTCGCAGCTGGATGAAGAAAACAGATTAAGGTTTGATAGACAGACGCATGGGAAAGCATGTGAAACAGTTGACTAAGAAACGTCTAGACCGACAGAATCCTGAAAATCGGCCCCTTGTGTAGGTCGTGATAAGCCTCAATGACATAATGAGAAGCGTACGACCCTGGCATTACAGGGCACGAACATCTTTGAGGTTGGGTCTCTATCCTCTTAAAGTTTTTTCATCGTCATACGAGTCGGGAATCAAGGATATACCTCTTGACGTCAAGATAAAGATTTTCCATTTGGGCATAGGCCATTTGCGGCCGCGATTTGGCCCGAGCGTTGGTCAAAAGCCAATCACTGATATTGAGCCACCAAGCCATTGCTAAGATTGGACCTAGCATTCACCCGCGGGTGGAGGGTCCAATATCTCGACCCTTGAGAGGGTCACTGTCAGGAACGCTGACTGATAGCCACATAGTATACCCACACCGCTCCGAGTATTAGTCCGCCAAATCTTAATACTATCCTACACACTAATATAAGTCTTGAAGTTATTTAGTATTATTTCTCTACCTACGCTATAGATTCCTCGTATGAAGCTATTAAATAAGGTAGTGTAGTGGGAGAACTGGTGACATAATGAGCCTATGTGTGGCCTCAGGCATGATTTAATGTCTGCAGTGCATAGTACATCTCCAGACACACTTAGAGAGAGACAAGTCATCTACCCAATTCATTCAGGATTCACCCAATTTCTTCTATTCATGATGCAGCATTAAGATTATCCAGCAAGGCCGCAACAGGGCATCAGTACGGCCTCATCCAGCGTCCTCTACACCAGACAGGCAGTGTGTGTGTGTGTGTGTTGTCCAGTCTGCATCGCCAGACAGCCATCGAGCCGTTCCCATTTCAGTAGCTAGGCTACCTATAAAGCCTCTAAATCTCGAAAAAACGCGAAAATTACCTCGCTAGCGGATAGATTTAACATTCCTATATCTTAACTATAGGCGCGTCTCCAAGGTCGTTAACTTTATATACAGCGCTTTATTGTAATGAAGCGTTTAAATAAATTCTAAGAAGTTAAGGAGAAAAAGAAAAAGAAAAAGAAAAAAAAAAAGAAAAAGAAAAGAAAAAGAAAAAGAAAAAGAAAAAGAAAAAGAAAAAGAAAAAGAAAAAGAAAAAGAAATTGAAATTGAAATTTTTTTACGATTACCTCCGGAGCCCATCGTCTCTAGAAGGGGAGGTAGTTAGAAGGAATACTAAGGACGAGCGGTGAAAGTTTACCCCGTAGTGTGATAAGTACGTCTCGGACCTAATTCGTACTTAAATCGAGAGGGTGAATCAGTCTTACTTCTATCAACATACTAGGCTCCAGTCCAGACATCCTTCCTTACTTAACCGATAGGCCTTCTACCCTGAACACGTAGATCCTTTACACAAACACCCGAAGCAGTGTAGGTATGCTATGGGACTATTATTACGAAAACAATATCCGGTTGCACGGCCCCGGTGATCCGGCGATCATCGGAGTCGGATAACAGGCAGTAGTCTACCATCGGACCCGCATCCCATTGGCAACACGCAACCTGTCCCCACATACTGTACCCTACGCCTCATGGGATGTGGTCATAGCCACGAATCATGGATAAGAAGTTCGTAATAGAAACCAGGACAGCCTTGCTTTCCCCGCCTTTCGTTGATGATACCAAGGATACACGGGTCTAGGATGGATCTTGAGATTGAACCCACGATAAGTGAGCAACATAATTGGGTCCAAATGATCATGACAATGCGTCCTATCTGTGGCTCCGACGGTTTCCCCGATAACGGAAAAGCGCGGCACAATCTAAGGGTTTATTACCGAATATCCGAGCGAGGGTGAGCGTTATCAAGGAAGATGAGGGGTAAGGTTCATTGTCATGTTCCATCAGACACTATTTCTTCCAAGGCACCGCGACGGGAACCAGGCTTTTTCTCTTGGACATTCAGTAAATCCGAGTCTGATATAACCAATAATCTACTACACAATCTCCAGCAGTCTTCAATCAAAATGGCCCAAACATGGGATCAGAATAATCTACGGGCTCGCTTTTGTCACTCGCTTTCGGAAATGTACAAGGCCGAAGTCCCCTTTATATGGAGATCTAGTCGACGTAGTCCTCGAAGCAGATACACAGGCAATACACAACAGTCAGCAAAGCACAAGTGTCATCCACCCAGACGACGTCTTACCCTCACGACATCGAGTTGAGCGACATGGAGCCATCCGGCTTGGCACCGCCCACGAGCTTAGCACAATTCGACGCATGTTTTCCGTGATGGGAATGTACCCAGTGGGCTACTACGATCTAAGTCTTGCTGGCTTCCCAATGCATGCAACCGCATTTCGACCGAGATCTCAAGACGCCCTGTCTCAACATCCTTTTCGTGTATTCACCACAGTCTTGCGAATGGATTTGTTGACGGAGAAGACGTGGGAGCTAGCTCAACGGGCGTTGAAACAGAGAAACATTTTCACCCCGCGACTTCTTGAGATCTTGGATATGGTCGATGAGAAGGGAACCTTGACACCAGCAGAATGTTCCGAATTTATTGAGAATGGTCTGGAGACTTTCCGCTGGCATTCGAAAGCAACAGTCACTCTCGATGAATACATGCTTTTGAAAGCTGAACACCCCTTGATTGCCGATATTGTCTCCTTTCCCAGTTCTCACATCAACCATCTCACTCCGCGTACCATCGATATTGACTTAGTACAGCAGTTGATGCGAGACCATGGCATGCCCGCCAAGGAACGTATCGAGGGCCCTCCGAAGCGGAATTGCCCCATCCTTTTACGACAGACTAGCTTCAAGGCTTTGGAGGAAACAGTCTACTTCCGGGATCAATCCAACACCTTTGTGAGAGGATCCCATACCGCCCGATTCGGCGAGGTGGAACAAAGGGGATACGCCTTAACGCGGGCAGGACGACAGCTCTATGACAAAATCCTGGACCAAGTCAATGCAGAAGCCGAAAAGCTCAACTTGAAGGGCAATGACTACGACAACACTTTAGAAAGCCACTTCAAAGCATTCCCCGACACTCTGTCAGAGCTACGCGAACAGAACTTGGCATATTTCTGCTATCAGCTGACGCCAGCTGGCGAGCGGATGGCAAAAGATGACATGACAATATCCAAATTGGGAACTACTTCCGTCAGTCTTCAAGTTCTATTGGACAAAAACATCCTAAAATATGAACCCCTGACCTATGAGGACTTTTTGCCCTTGTCGGCTGGGGGCATCTTCAACTCGAACCTGGGCAACGTCTCTCAGTCTAAGCAGCTCATTATAAGCGCAGAGCCTGATCTCGATGGGTTTCAGCGCGCATTAGGAACACACGTTGCGGACGAATTCCATCTCTATGCTCAGATGCAGCGGGAGTCACTCTTGCATTGTAAACTGCATTTGGGATTGGAGGATATCATCGTAGAGTGAGCATCATGCCATGATCTGTTTAGAACTCACAAAGTTTAATTATTTACATCAATTGGCGGCGTTTCATTTTAGCCTTTCCTCCGGCGGTAATGGTAATTATGAAATTCCACGTCCTTTTTTCGTTCCCCGTCTAATTTTCCCGATTTAGTAATAGTTTAGCGCGACTCTGAAAACCCCACGTTCCTTATTGAATGGCCTGATGATATAAACGGCTTGAGAGGAATAGAAGACATGTAGTATGATTCATTGACTCAGTCTAGCTGTGCTTGCCCGGGTGGCACCGATTGCGCACATTTTTATGTACATGTGTTTGTCACATTCCTATTCAGGTGATCCAAAATAGTCTTGACCAGGTCCAGGCTTGGCATCTATGTCGCTTGGAAAAGATTATATCCTTTAAATTTTCACAATGCACATTGATTCGCAAACTCGACTACGGACCGAATTTCGAAAATCCGGGGTCAGCCCAGACCGTTGACTTTTTTCTGGCATGGGCTGAGGGTCATCGGAAGATGCCGATGCTCTGCCAAGCGCCTCTACTAGATATAACCTTAGGAGCTGTCCGCCTGGCGCGGCCGTCTGCTTTCAAAGCCATTAATCCAGTTCCTATGACGAACAACAAAGTCCCGACCAATCCGTGTAGCCCGAATTCCCTATTCCCGACGGTACCGACCGAGAACCGTGGTGAAAGGAGCCCTTTCGAGCGATAAGCGAAACTCGGCCGGTCTATGATCGTGCCAAGCCGAACCGGTGGCGCCAGATGCAGCGGGAAAGCCGACCCATAATTACCCTATTTAGACCCACTCTTGATGGCCGAACTTGTGCCGTGCAGAAATCCTGACGCGGAGTTGCCATGTGATTGACAGATGCCGGGGCCGAGTTCTCCAGAATCACCTACGCGGTTCATCTCAAGCGTTGAGATTTTCATCAAAATAAACATTATATATAGAGAATGGCGCACCTGCCATCGGTGCTAGTGTCGAGCGCCTCCACTTCAGAGCACCGAATGGCAAGATTCGGTCTGCATGGAGTCTACTGCATCGCCACATGAAAATATCTCCTGGCGTATTTGGGTTGGAACTACAACTACTGTTGTTCCTGCTATCATAGCTGTGACACTACGATTCGCTGCCCGCTATGTATCTCGCGCGGGTTTTTGGTGGGATGACTATACCATTTTGACAGCTCTGGTAGGTACTTGAAATTCAATTTGGGTTCATTTCAGATTCAGATTCTTGGAATGAAAGGATGACTGACATAGTCAAAGGCCATCAACTTGGCTATGGTAGCTGTTAGATGGTCTCAGATTCTACTATGGGGTGCAGGTCAACACGCCTATGACCTTCCAGTGGAAACCGTCGAGGCTTTCGCAAAGAGCTTCTTGGCCGTTCAGATCATCTACTTCACCAACGCTGTGTTCACCAAAGCTTCTCTGCTTTTCCTATACTATCGAATCTTCGGTATTATCAAAGGCTTTCGTTGGGCTCTCGGGACAGCCGGGTTCCTCGTCATAGGATACTATATTGCATGCGACATCACATCTATTGCTGGGTGCTTGCCTGTGAACAAGTTCTGGGACCCATCTGTGCCCGGAAGATGTATCAATCAAGTGGAATTCTTCCGATACAACGGAGTCGCAAACATGCTTCTCGATGTTGTGGTTCTTTGCCTTCCGTATCCAATGGCCTGGCGCTTGCAGGCGACTGCCCGGCAGAAGCTAATTCTGACCGTCATGTTTCTTCTGGGGGGATTGTGAGTTCATACTGATTGACTTTAAGACTCGAGAACCAACAACTAATCATTCTTATAGCGTCGTGGTCGCCTCAATTCTTCGAGTCACAAGCTTCGACTTTCACACCTTTGACGATCCAACCTACGTCAACGCAATGCCTTCCACATGGTCTTCCATCGAACAGTCCGTGGGAATTATCTGCGCCTGTCTACCTACCCTTCGTCCTCTTCTGCGGAGTTGGTCTGGTAATCCAAAGAGAAACAACACACATGTCAGAAAAAGAACTGGTTGCGTTTTCCCCAAAAGAGTCCCCTTGATGGGCCGTTCGTCGCAAGGTGATGAGGAGAGCAAGTCGGTCTCGCCTGTTCCGCCAGTTGCTCCAGTTCAACCGGTTCACGTGCGTAGGCATTCTTAATTTGAGCTGGGTAGTTTCAAAGGCCTGTCTCGCGAGTCTTGGACACCAATGCCATCTTTGAGTCACACGAGTCCTCTTTCTCAGGTCTTGGAGGGTGGAGAGCAGGAGCGGCTTATGACTCGTCCTGAATCATTTACTTGAGATGTTTCCTTTGTCTTGCATTATAGAGCCTTGCTATTCTCATGATACCCCATACATGCCAAAAGAATCGATCACGTTTGAACACATCAATGTTTTCACACGCAATAATCGTGAGGAATGAAATCAGACTACGGAGATGATTTGAGTAGCCTTTGCATGAAATTTCGAGTTCTTTCTGTCAGACTATATTTAGTGGTGCTCTCTGAATTCCCAAGAATAAAACCGTTCGGGTTTCTTCTTCGTTGACAAGGTCTATAAGAGTTCCGTTCATTATACACCCCCCTCCCCTCCCCCTGACCAAGCTTTGGATGCAAATCACACCAACACACAGATACATGGTACATTCAGCGTATCCTGCCCTTGATAAATTCATTCGGCAGTATGATCAAGACACTGGGACCTAGTGTGAGATGACAATTGTTGCTCTTGCTATGGGGTCCATGGCTTCAACGGCGGTAAGCTCATTGGCTCTATCTACACTCCTTCCACGATTGCTTTGCGGAACACTCATCGATCGAGTGCGTAACTTGAGTTTCTTTCAAGAGGCCTCCATGAATGGCACCAGCCCAATGTCTTGAAAGAATAGCATGGCGCAGAGAAATATCTTCTCCTATTCGAGAGACGTAATCAGGACGAACACAATCATGCAAAAACGAGCTTTTACTTGTAGCTCTTCTCTCCCGGGCCACTATTCCTATTGCCGGTTCAAATATGAACACCCCGCCGCTATTGACCCAGAACGGCTTGCGCATCCAGTAGATATGGATCTGGCTTTCCAAGCTTTCAACTGGCAACGAGAGATTTGGGCCAAATCGGCCATGCTGGAGGTCACCAAGAGTGCAGATTACTTTCCTGGATTCGACATGTCAAGTGATACCCGATCCTTAGAGTAAGACAATGATATACTACGCGTCGGCGAGGTGCAAAAGGGGACAGCAGAGGTTCCTCATCGCCCTAGCGATTCGGCGGTGCTCTTGTTTTCGAAGTTAAGGGCTTGCGAGTACTTAGTAACAAGAATATTCTACTCCTCCCTCTTGGCCACCCACAGTAAACAATCTGAGCTTCTGCTAAAATTGCAGACGAGATCCTTCAGTCAAACTCGATTGAAGCAAAGCTCACAAAATCCTTGTTTTGAAAATCCCAGTATCCGTGGATAAATTGAATGATGATAAAATACAATGCACACAGAGATTAGCCAAAATCCATCTATCTGTACAAAAATATGCTGCAAAGAGACCCAATGCATCACATCTCGGAATCAGTCATCATGACTGTCAATACACCGAGATAACTTCCCCTTCCCCCAGAACCTAATCATATCATGACTTAGCCTCGATTTTTGTGGCCTCCGCGGTATCCTCAACCACCACAGCACCCTCCTGCAACAACTCCTCGGGAGACTTGATTCGCACATCCATCACCCGCATGAGGGTGTAACGGTGCTTACTCTTAGCGGTCTTGGTGTGTCGCTGTCTTCGCTTTGTCTTTTCCTTGATGCGCAACGGCTCAGACTCGACGCCTGTCACGCGCACCCGGCACTCAAACAGACGCTCGTCAACATGGGGGGAACCCTTCAATGTAAAATCACGCGAGCCGAGAGCGGAGGCTCGGTTGAACCGGAGGATATCGCCAGTCTTGACCTTGGGCATGAGGAAAGGCAGGCGAATTTGGTCACCCTCAGTCAAGAGGTAAGGACGGGCGTGCAGCTCGGCAACAACATAGTGTGGCGTCTGGCCAACCAGGTGCGGAAGACTAGACATGAGGGACTTGGTAACCTTGAGGGGAGAGTCGAAGGAAGGTGCAACAGGTTGCTTCTCAATTGGAACGTCGCGGCGTGTTCGGGGGGTGATAAGTGTGGTCGGGTCGAGCGTGCGAATCTTGACACCCTGGTGGGCATCAGGCTGAGATGTTTGCGCTCGGGGAGTAGCGCTCAATGGTGTATCAGGGTTGGGGGACGAGGACTGAGATGAGGCTTCTTGTTGCGATGCCCGGAGCAACGCGGTCTGGTGCAAGCATGCTCGTTGCTGCAGGGGACCTGCTGAGGCGGTGCATCGTAGGTCGGAGATGAGGCTCCGCAGAACAGAGCGTGAGAACATCTTTGCTGGACTCTCCGGGGTGCTCTAAGGCGAATTGCGGGAGTAGCTGTGTTTGGGCTGTCGAGATGCAAGAGCGGATCTCCGTTTGGTCGAGAAAATCAGCGACTGCATTTGTGGCCGCTCCGGCAACCGTACAGTCACGTGGAATTCATACTCTCTGAACATTTTGTCTCTTTCGAAGATTTGTGAAGCGTAAGGACTGATGAGTTAATTTCCTACAGCCTTTGAACTCATCTAATTTCAATTACTTGATAAACGCCTCTTTCTTTATGGTAAGACCTGTTTGTTGTCCAAGTGGTTGTTGTCCGAGTGGAGCTAAAGTCCACTGTTGTCGATAAGACAGTCACGTGGCCGCTATCTCTGCCGCCGAAACAACTTTTTCGGTGCCAATTAGATCTTGCAGCAAACTCCAACTTCTATCATCCCACCAGTTCTGCTCATTCTGCATTCATAATGGTACGTCCCTGGAGTATACACTGTGTCCCTGCTCGTTGTCGCACAGAAGCTAACGATTTTCCCGCCTACAGCCTCAGAACGAGTTCGTCCCTCCCCGCCTACCACCCCGATAACCAAACCCCCAAAAAACTGACCCTAATCAGGTACATCGAGCGCTGGCAAAAGCAGCATGGAAAGCGGCTGGATCACGATGAGCGTATGCGCAAGCGTACAGCTCGTGAGTCGCACAAGGCTTCCTATGACGCGCAGAACCTGCGCGGTCTGAGGGCCAAGCTGTACCAGCAGAAGCGCCACAAAGAGAAGATTCAGATGAAGAAGCGCATCAAGGAGCAGGAGGAGAAGAATGTCAAGTCTGCCGCGCCCGACGAGCCTTCCAAGACCCCTCTGCCCCAGTATCTGCTCGATCGTTCGCAGGCTACCAACGCCAAGGCTTTGTCGAGTGCTATTAAGGATAAGCGTGCTGAGAAGGCCGCTAAGTTCGCCGTTCCCCTGCCCAAGGTGAAGGGTATCAGTGAGGAGGAGATGTTCAAGGTTGTCAACACTGGAAAGAAGACCCACAAGAAGTCCTGGAAGCGCATGATCACCAAGCCTACTTTCGTTGGCAGCGATTTCACTCGTCGTCCCGTCAAGTACGAGCGATTCATTCGTCCTATGGGTCTGCGTTACAAGAAGGCCAACGTCACTCAGTATGTTCTCATGATTCTCTACGTCAAGACCTTTCTTGTAGGGGGCAATACCTGGTGGGAAACAAATGTGCTAACAGCGGTTTTCCAGCCCCGAACTCGGTGTCACTGTTCAGCTTCCCATCCTGTCCGTCAAGAAAAATCCCCAGAACCCTCTGTACACCCAGCTGGGTGTCTTGACTAAGGGTACCATCGTCGAAGTCAACGTTTCCGAACTTGGTCTCGTTACCACGAGTGGTAAGGTCGTATGGGGTAAATGGGCCCAGATTACCAACGTGTAAGTCCTAGCAGTCGCGCTGCCACACTCAAGAAAAGATTCTAACACCACCACAGGCCCGAGAACGACGGTTGTGTCAACGCAGTCCTTCTCGTCTAGATCTGTTCCGGCATTCTTTCGATTCACACTCCTGGCAGACTCAGACTCATCTCTCTTCGATACCACCATGCCCCCGGGCATTCCTGTGATTGAGTCGTTCCGTGCTTCATATGGTTGACATAGACCCTCCCGTTTTTTCTCGGTGTTTCTGGCGCAGTATTTGAATATCTGGTCTTTGGACGAAAAAGTATTCCCGCATACTTCACCCTTTTGGGGTTTAGTTAGCTAAACGCATATCAAAGATGAGTTCATGATGAGGTTACCTTGTACGAGCATATGTTTAAAGAATTGTAGAGGACTTTGATTGAGTCTATCAGAAAAAGGGTGGAACATCGATATGCCGAGATCAAGTTCTAAACTTGGATGAACAGAGTCATCAAATGCGGTATCGACAGGAAACCTCCGAAGACCTCAATGCTTCGCAAACTGCAAGCGTACAGTAGGATTCGAAAACAGATGACCCCTTTGGACACTCACGCTTTCTTCCTCTTCTTCGTAGTCTTCGTCTTCATCTCCCTCTTATATGACGAAAGCTGTACTACTGCTGTGTTAATGCTGTAGAAAACTTACCCCGGAGATCTTATGATCTGGCTTGATAGACTCCAGCTGTCCACTCGTTCTCCGCAGGCGTCCTCCATCTACTCCTTGCGTAACTAAGTGTCGTGTTATTGAAGATAGCTAACCTGGTAAGCTATTAAGCTTCTCCTTTGTATTACCATCTCAGGGATCGTACTGCCCAAGGCACCTACTCACCAGGACTAGTTAGCAACGTGTGACAGCTAGTGCCCCTGGAGGGGTACGGCCAAAGTAGGGAGTTAGGGCTAAGCTAGAGAGTATAACTGTATAGAGCTTATAAGTGCTAATTGCTTCATGATGATGCACCACCGATGTACTTCTCGCACCATCGGCTGATTCTGAGCGCTATATCTACCCAATACATCTGCTCCTCAAAAATGTGTCCATGGGAGGGGTAAATGACTAGTTCGAAGGGCAAGCCGTAGCTAAGTAGTGCGCGACGCAGGCCCCATGCCTGCGATATAGGGCACCGAGCGTCCGTCTCGCCGTATAAAATTAGTATAGGTAGCATAATAGTAGCTTTCTCAAGATAGGCTCGCTGTGTAGCGTCTTTAAATGCCTAGAAGGCGCTCGCAGCGCGATTACGTATATCTTCGTAGTCTATATTCCAGGCTATACCGTCGCGCGAGAGTTTAGGCTCGAAGTAGGAGCTAAGGTCGGAGGTTAAGGCTATAGTATCGATGTCGCAGATGCTAGCACCAGATACGGCGGCTCGGAATCGCTAACTACCGTTATATAAGTCGTTACTTACACTACAAAGATGTATTAAAAATCCGCCTTGACTCTATCTACCCATTAACAGTCTTTCTTTGTCCGCATAACCCTAGTCTATCGCGCACTGCGTGAGCGCTATTATATCAGAATAATCATATACGCCATGCCCGCTGATAGAGTAGAACGCGAAAGACTGGCTACGTCCGCTACTTCCACGATAGTTCGGCAGCAAAATTCCGAAGCCGAGCGACAGCAATTATAGAGTAAGCATATAGTAGTAGGTGTTGAAGGCATTGGTGAGACGAGTGTTAGGCCCGCCCTGGATAAGTACCGCGGTTGCTAGCGGGCGACGGTGGTCGCCGACTGAGGAAGAGGCCGGGATTAAATAGAGGGTATCTAGCTCGACCTCGCCGTCCGTTAACGTGCACGTCAAAAACTTACACGTCCCGAAACGACGGCCTGCGAACTCTTGTCCGTGATTCGACATTCGCGTTATCGCGCCATCGGAGGAGAATGTCGTGAAGACCTCGACAGGGTGGTTAACGTCCGAAGTTGCAACGGCAAGGACAAACTTATTATCGATATCTATTATAGCGTCGAATACTTCGAGCTCCTCCTTCCTACTATATAGTACCGTGCCGTCGAGCAGATATACGTAAGACTCTAGCCGGTATTATACCTTAACGAAAATTGCACCACTTTCGCCCTTAATAAGGCCGATAGAGTTATCTTCTACCCCAAAACATACCTACTTATACAGGTGAGGTTTAGTGGTAGGGTCAATCCGATAAGCGCCGAAGCCAGCGAATATCTTGTCTGCGGGAATACCTCCGCAAAAGTATATATTCCCGTTAGCAGCCCATGTTAGGTCAACGACCATTTCAGGGAAGTGGCACAACTCTTCCACGGAGCTAAGGCCGAGATCAATAGCTGAGATAGTCGTCCCGGTAAGGTAAGACTCTTCGATATCGGGCGATAGGCAACTTAAGAAACCAATGCGAGTCCCCTGTGGGTTCTAACAGACGCTCTTTACGTGCCTGTCGAGCTTGGCACATAGGACTCGCTTAGTACGCAAGTCGACGACCCTCAGACGCGTAAATCGCCAATCCTCGCCCCAAGCCCGCACGTTATGGGCGCCGTCTCCTGCCGAGGCAGATTGGACCTCCTCGTCGGCCGAGAGGAACGCAACGTGGGTGCCATCAGGTAAGAAGGCGAATGCTTCGATTGGACTTGCGTTCTGCACCGGCGTTATCGGGTACGCCTCACCCCCCTATTACAATGGTAAGAGATATATAGCCCACTTAGCGCCGGCACCCGCACGATCCGATATAAAGGCGACCGCTTTTCTATCCGGGCTCTATGTTGGGGCGTAGTCGCGAAAGAGGCCTAGGGTGAGCTATACCGAAGAGTCTGCATAGCCGGCGGAGGCTAGCCATAGGGTGGAGACGGTATATTTCCCTTTACGATAACCCTAGGTGAGTTCAGTTAATTACAGGATCCTTAAGCGGTCTGGGGAAAGCCGGATGGTCTTTGGAATTTCGAGGTCACATAGGGACTGGATAAGGTGTTCGTGGGTTTTGACCATTGCGAGAATGTATATATCCGTAAACTTGAACAGTCTATGGGCCTTATATCAGAACTAAACGGTTAGTGTATTAAGTATCAGTCGATGATAGCTAAATTTGGATCGGCAGATAAAGCGACATAACGAAAGGGGGGGTTGTGAGGGGGTTGGAGGCGTTAGTCGTGCCACTGTATATCAGATTTTATTGTAATATACAGTGTCGTACACCATGCAGCTGTTCTGGAAATAAAAGGGCTCCAGTCCTACGACTCGAGAAACAGACGGTCATTGTCTGGGCAGTAAATCGTTTTCGAAGTTGGTGTATGGCCACGGGGTGTTTCGGCAAGTATGGTCTGCCCCATGCCGGAACCTGTGATTACGGTAATTCTGGTGATCTGCCAGAAATACGGCAAGAAAAGATGGTGGGGACTCTTACTGGCCGAATCTAGTTTAGCGCTATCTGGGTGGAGAAAGCCAGTGTGTCCGAGGGTTAAACTGTTTTCGGATTCTACTGTAAGGATGAAATGAAAGTCATATACAAAGATGAAGATTCACACGCTGCGCTGAACCGCGACTCGACAAATCGAGCAATTAAACCGTCCGGGTAATACACAAGGGGATGAAAAATGAATCGAAGACAGTAGGTAGTCAAGATGTCAAACAGATCAAGCATGGTCAAGCTTGGGTCAAGCTTGGGTAGAAAAGAAACCATCCAACACCAGTCATGAAGTCGTTTGAACAAGGAAAGGCAGGCTGATATGAGAAACAAAGGAAATAAAACCGACCGGATAGGGTATCAGGAATTTTCTTCCTCTAGGGCTGATTTGATTTTGGCGAAGAAACCTGCAGGCCATGCGGCAAGCTCTTCTTCCTTAGGAATGCCTCGGACTTTGCAGTGATTGATAACGTTGGCCAGGATACGTCCAAGCATGTCCTGAGTGACAGGCACGGCTCCTTCAAGCTGGGCGTCCGGGTGCAGGAAGGGGTCACGGGGGCCGAGCATTTCTTCGATGGTAGGCCGGAGGGTCTGGTCACGCTGCAGGCAGCGTTTAAGGGTCTTGATCAGTCCCGGAGGAACAGGAACACCGCCAACACCATGGGCTGGGAAGTCGATCTTGACGCGAGGGTTTGGAATGGCCATAATGCGTTCGTAGTATTTAGCAATTTTGGCGAATGGGGGCTGTCCATACACCATCTTGTACAGAATGCAGCCCAAACTCCACACATCGCTGGGCTTACCCAGTTTCATAACTTTGCCAACGCTTGCCGGCAGTCCGAGTGATGCATTTGAGTCGATCATGGCTTCGGGAGACATGTAATTCGGGGTGCCAACTTGTTGTTCTCGGTGGACATTCACAGTATGGTCTTGAATGGCGTTGGCAATACCGAAATCGATTAGTTTCAACCGTCCTTGGACCATGAGGAAGTTGGCCGGTTTCAAATCCGAATGGACGATGTTGTAGTCGTGGACGGCTTGGACACACTCAAGCATCTCTTTCCAGTAGAAGCGAGTAAAGTTAATGTCAAGAACCGCGTCTTCGGCGTTGAGTCGATATACAAGGATTTTCTCCAGATCGGATTCACCAATCTCCATCAGCACACTAAGACAATGCTTGTCCATGTTGAGCTCCCAATCAAACAGTCGCACAACACGGTCAACATTCTCGAGCTTTTTCAATAAATCAATCTCGCCTTTGTATCCAGTTAATGTAACTGGGTCGACATCTTCCAAATTCACACGCTTGAGCGCGAAGATCTTATAGTTCTCGGCCATCACACGATACACACGAGAGCTACCACCACGCCCAATACAGTCGAGTCGAGTAAAATGCTTGTGGTTGATGGAAACTTGGGTTCGTTTCTTTCGGGATTGAGATGCACCGCCATTTGCTGTGGCCGTCTCAAGCATGGACATTTTCGGGGTGGGGGCGCCGGCCGATGAGGCGTGTTGTTACTCCTCATGGCAAGAATCTTACGTGGTGAATTTCCTGCCGGTGTCTCCGCCGCATCTTTCTTATCGGTATCGTACGCGACCAACAACTTCTCAGGCTTGTCCAACAGGTTCAAACCCTGGGGTTTTGACCGTTTGAAAGTGGGCGGTGGTTCGTTTTCTTGATCCCTGACAGATGGTAGGGGTGGTAAAGAAGGAACCTTGAATGCGGGCTGTTCCCTTGCGCCGGACGACCTTGCAGAGTTGTCTGAGGATCCCGGTGTCGACTTTGATTGAGACCCATAAGATTTGGGCGACGATGATCTTGAGAAGAGACCCTCGCCTGTTGCCATGCTTGCTGGCTGTTCTGTGCGACGGTGCTCGCTTTCATGTGGTGGACTAGGATCAGCCCATGAGACCTTGGGTGACGATGCTTTCCGGGACTGATATTCAGCATGATCATAATCTTCATGCTCTCGAGCATCTTCATTCAATGGGTAATTTCCTTCATTGTTCTCTTCACTTTGCCGGCGCAAAACGCCTCGGCGGGCAGGTCCATTCAAAAATGAACCAGTTAGTCGTCCAACTCGTTTCACTCGCAGAGAACTCTGGGGACCAACCTCGTCCGCGTTGCGACCACGCAGCACAGAGGATGATCCGACTCGAGATATCGGGTCATCATCAAGTGGCGACTTTCGATCACTATTAGACCGATCGGCGCTTCTAAATTCATCGCCCGAGTGACGCTCTGTAGAGCGTTTCACAGATGGTGAGACGGAAGTTGGGGAGCGCGTACCGCTGCGCGAAGCATTGATCCTAACACTTCGAGGTCGAGAAGCAGGAGTAATGAAATCATTGGGACGGTCTTGGGCCTCGGACTCGGCACTATGGCTGTTTGATAGTGGAGAGCCTTCGCGCGAGAATCGCGAGGCAGAGGAGATCGCGCCGATGCGCACAACTCTTGGGGCAGGGCTTCCGTCGGAGCGATCATGGGGTGAGGCGTTCCGTGGCGATTGACTGTGTTGCCTTGCACTGGCGGCTGATCGTCGCTCGTACGAAGCGGCTCGACGACTCGGCGAAGAAGCCAATCCATCTCCATCCAAAAGAGCCTTCACAGACGCGCTGAACTTGGGTTCGGGAACCTCTTCATCGGAGCTGTCACCGCCGGCATAGTTTCGTGGTAACGTTGTTTTGGGGTCGGCGTGGAGCGCCGGAGACGACCGTCTGGAACCCGAATGTGAAACCGCGGATCGGGTCATGGGCCGAGATGATTGTTGATAGAGGCCGCTATGATACGCTGAAGACAGGGAATTTGGTGAGGCCATGGCGACAGCACCCTACATTGAAGTCGTGGATCAATGGGGCGCCTGGCCAAGTGTTGTCGATTGTTTGTTGTTCTCAGTAACGGCAGGTCCATCTATCTCGAGGTTCCATCGCGACTTGGCGCGGGTCTGGGCTGTCACGTGATTATGGTTGCTATGGCGATTGCCACAACAAAGAATGCCTCGTTAGACGTGTAGCTGGGATCGCTGCAATTCGTGTAGTTCTTGAATCTACCGAATAACTCCTTAGTTGGTCCTGAGGCTATGAAGCTGTGACTGCGCCCGGATCCATGATTACCTCGACTCGTGGGCTGGTGGATCTTTAGGATGTGTGAATAGGTTGCTTCAACAGCTAAAGTTAATAGCCAAACGTTTACTCGTTTTCTCCCAGACCATCCTCAAATAGACTTGGTTGTCTACTGAAGTAAAATTGAGGCCCTGATATTTCAGGGTCATTAGGTAACGCATAATACATTCAATGAAGCTTCGGTTAACTCTTGAGCATGAAGAGTCGGGTCGGGTTGACAACTCAAAATATATCCGCACATATAGTTGGGACAGGCATTCCGCCTCAAAATATCGCAATGTTTACTCTTTCTAATCTTGAGTTTATATATATAACGACGGTGAAGACTGTCGATACTAGCACTTTTATATTGATAAAATTTGATTATCAGCTTACCGATATCCTCGGAGAAAAGCGTATTGACAGGACTGGCAGCCGAAGCATGCGATGGATACCTGCCGAGGCACAACCAAAGACCTTGCCATCTCACCCTACAGCTCGCCCTGCAAGGTTGCCCTTGCAGACAAGCGAAGGTAATTTCCAGGCGGGGCCCAGGCACAGGTTGTTCATTGGCCGGGACTTCTCTGGGCTGCATCGGCTCTCGCTTCCGAGAATGAGACCTCGCAACTCCATCACGCACAAGCACATGAGGCCTCGGACTGCGCCCGGAGAATTTTTGTTACTATTGACATTTGACATTTTTCTTATTTTCGATTCCCAATCTCCAATATCTAACAACTAATATCTCAATTTTAACCCCCCTTTCATGTACGGTGCAATGCAATGTGAAGTTGATTGGTGACAGGACTGGACAATGTCAAGCATAAATTTCCGTGTGATGGGCATTACATCGGCCGAGAGGCGATCCATTCAACCTGGACCATCCCGGCTCGCGTAAGTCCGAATTAGGCGGTGATCGACACTGTACGCTTTCTTTCAAGAGTGGTAGTAGTCGTACTTCGGCTTAGGATTATTTTTGAGAAGGAGATTCCCTATCTTTACTCGAGAGGCTGGAAGAATTTGATGTGTAGGATATGGACCGAGGTACACAGTGGTGTGATTTGGAAGGGCGATGGGCAGAACAGTAAACCAAGCCGACCAAAAGAAACTTTACGAGCGGAGGATTCCGCAACACGATAGTGTAGAAGCTAGACATCGACGAAGGACTAGATTCGGACAAATGGTGCCAGAATGAAGCCTAAAGGGAGTCGGGACTCGGCCGGGGCAAAGACAAGCCATGAGAGACACGACTGCGCTGCAGCCCAACGGGATCCGAAGCAGGTCACACTATCTGTCCCACCGCTGCATGAGATTTGGAATTGGACTCATCACGAGTGAGCTCTGACCCAAGGGGACCATTCACAGCTGTTGGGGGAGACCCTCTCACGAACTCATCATCGAGATCGAGTGAGACAAACTTACCCACTCTACTCTCTACTTCAAACTCACATTGTCTCGCCATGAGTCTGAACTCTAAAGATGTTATTTTCGGATGTGTAGACAAGCCTGAAACAGCGATCGCCTCATGATCGTCCCTGAGCCACCCCCTCCTTCAGGGTAGTGTCAAACGAACCGGTTCCTGATCCGAAATGTTTCTGGGCGCATGAGGCGTTGCGCTAGTTTCATTTAGACACAGTAGTCGACGGGACTAACCACAAAGAAGCTTAATCAGCCAAACATGAGAAAATCAGATTTTAGAATTACTGGCTTAAGCATGGGCACCACATACTTCGAAACAGAGCACTACACCGAATACCGTCTAGCTGAGAAAAGACCCACGCCGGGGCCGTGATGGGACATGGTACCCTGGCCTCTTTGGCCAATGCGAGCCTTACCCGCGGACTTAGTGCGTGCAGGGCTTAATTTCAGGGGAAAAGAACTCCTCGTCCAACTCTGGGGCCTCTCCAGGAAGCCTTTCTGCACAAATGCGATGCCAGACACCGGGTTTGATGGGGGCCCCTTCTTGCTGCAGGAGACAGCACGGTTGAAAAGTTGACTGGTGGCGTCGTCTAGCTTCATTTTACCCTGGTATCTGCTCAAGCCTAGATTCCAGAGCCGAGTATTGAGACCCTGCGGACTGAGGATTTTTTTTTTCCGCCCAGTCCAGCAAACGTAGACCTGGTCACTGGAGATCCCGCAGTTGTAATCTATCCCGACGTTCTACCGTACCGTGGTCGCAGGAGGCCAATGGTCATCAATGGAGGAGTAGGGAAAAGTCCCAAGTACACAAAGTCCTGTGTTGGAGAAAAAAAAATATATCGAGTTGTTGTTGGATGGTCCTTCACCACGACCTGATAGCCACTACCGGCACAAAGCACCTAGTCAGTACCTGCTCCGGGGAAGGGTGACTTTCTCGAGAGAACCAATTTTTCAGACCAGGCAGAATAGCCACCAAACCTAATGGTGCCACCTTTTCTATAGTTCGACTTGTTCCTTTTTCACCAACATTGAAAGAAGCAGGAGTCTGCGTCTGAGCTAGTCTTGATGGCGTAACGTGCATGGACTGCACATGCCTGGGCCACGGATTCCACTATTCCCCGGGCTGCGGCAGTCGTGTATTGGGCGGGCTTCGAAGGAGCCAGTCCAGAACGGGGCACTAGATTGCTCCTGCGGTAGTTGGCAGGGACCGGACAAATCAGCCAACTTGTCACGACTCGAAATAGGAACCAAGAAAAGAAAGGGGAAAGTCGAAAATAGCACGCTAACAGTGTTTTTCGGGACCTGGCCCCGTCAACGGCCGTGTGGGTCACGCCGATCGTTACCCCTGGCAAAGTGGGCAATGACAGCATCTTCTGCCCTGGGATCCTAGTCGTTTCCTGCTCCAGTTCTAGTTTCGTACTCGTGCCTGACTGTCTGCGCAATTCTGGAATATGCGCTTGTGATCTCCAGGAGTTAAACCGCTCCAATTCGAAATGGCAAACACGGTTCTTATTAATCTTCTCTCAATGGGCTTCAGCACCCATGTCGCTGAGGATACATCTCGGGCTATAGTCTAACACCGTCTCTCAAAATCGCCACACCGGACGGCACGAGTCGGACGTTCCACTTATGCTGTAACCAGCTGGTGGAGTCTTCCTGCCAAGTTTGATCCACTTCAACCCTAGCAAGTTTAGGTCTCTTCCGATATCCGTGAGCCTAAGGGGGCACCGTATAGCTCGGATTGTGGACTGAGAGGCTTCGAGACCGGGGTATAGCTGTTTGTTCCGATGGATCTTCTAGGGTGGTCTGCACTCTCGCTCCAAGAAGATCAGGGGTATATAAGACTCGGTGATCTTCGCCCTCTTTTGTTTGCTTCATCAGTCGTTTTTCTCATTCTCTTTCCGTCCAGTCTATCGTTCATCCATTTAACGGCAATCGTGCCCGTTCTCTGTCTTTTGCTTTCTTGTTGAAAGGACGCTTTTTCTTTTTTCTTTTTGTACACATATCTTATAGCCTCTGTGCTATACACACTCGCTGAACATGCGTTCTTCCCTCGTTATGCTTGCCGGTTTGGCAAGCTCCGCTCTCGCTTATCCCACAGACGTGGCTGCCGAACGCCGGACGTTCGGACTCGTCTCTGAGCTTCTCGGTGGTGCTACCCACGATGTCGTCTCCATCCTTGAGGATGTCCTCGGTGGCCACTCCTTCCACAAGGGCTCCGCCAGCCTTCTCGGTGGACTAAATGCTCAGGGTGCTGCGGCTCTTGAGGGTGGTGCTCTGGGATGCAGTCACGCTAACATCCACGCCTCTGCTCGTGCTCACTTGAAGACCTGGTTGTCTGGTAGCGTGAGTATCTCCGGCTCTCTCAAGACCTCTCTTCTCGCCTGGTGTGAGGGTGAGGTTGACGTTCTTGCCACCGATGTCATCGCCGCTCTGGCTGTGTACATTCCCTCCTGCGCTGAGCTTTGCGCCAAGGAGTCTCTCTACGTTACCATTGACGGCATCTTCTCCGCTGCTGAGCTTGCTACCGACCTCGTCCTGAGTGCTTCCGCTCAGCTTTCCCTCGGTGCCTGGATCGACATTGCTGTTGGCCTGGACGCTGACATCAAGGCTGGCCTCAGCGTTTGCGCTGGTGGTGGTCTGATCACCAGCTTGGATGCTGGTGTCAAGGCGAAGCTGCTCGCCTGGATCACTGGCGGTAGCTGCTCTCTCGATGCCAGCCTCAAGGCTTCCGTCCTTGCCTGGCTCCACGGCCGTCACGGTGGTGACCTTGTTGCCATTGGTGAGCTTGGTGTTGATGCTCTCAACACCATCTCCGTCGGTGCTTCCGTGGGTGTCTTCGTTGGTGAGGGAGGTGCTCTCTCCGTTCACGCCCAGGCTATGCTCGCCGCTTTCCTCGACACTAGCATCGCCGCTGACATCGATGCTGATATCCTCCTCGGCCTTCAGGCTTGCGCCAAGGGCGACCTCGCTACTGCTATCGAACTTGACGTCCGCACTAAGCTCGCTGTCTGGCTCTCTGGCTCGAGCTGCTCTCTCGGTGTTGAACTCAAGGCCGTTGTTCTGCTCTGGCTGTCTCTTGGTGCCACCGCTGATGTTTCCCTTGACCTTGTTTCTGGCCTCTTCGTTGATATCACCGAGTTCCTGAGCGTGACTGTCATTGATCTCCTCTCCGTCAACCTCCGTGGTGCCCTGTCTCTCCTTGCCTGCGGTGAGAGCCTTGACCTGCTGTCGTTCGAGGCTCGTGCCGAGCTTGCTGCCTTCCTGTCTGGCTGCACCTCCATCGACATTGGCGTTGACGTTGAGCTCATCATCTTCGAGTGGTTCACTGGCTGCAGCATGCCTGGTGCCCCTGCTGCTTCTAGCTCCGCTCCCAGCCTGCCTTCCGCCACTGCCAGCATTATCTCCAGCGTTCCCTTGCCCTCCGGTGTTGCTCCTACTGGCTCTGCCTCCGTCCCCAGCGGTTCCGTCCCTGGTGGCGTTATCCCCACTGGTGGCTCTGCTCCTTCCGGATCCTCGCCCGCTGGCACTATTCCCTCTGGCACTGTCCCCGCTGGCGGCTCTGTTCCTTCCGGCACTAGCCCTACTGGCTCTGTTCCCGCTGGTGGCTCTATTCCTTCCGGCTCCTCGCCCGCTGGTACTGTTCCCTCTGGCACTGTCCCCACTGGTGGCTCTGGCTCTACCGGCTCTGGCTCTACTGGCTCTGGCTCTACCGGCTCTGGCTCTACCGGCTCTGGCTCTGGCTCTACCGGCTCTGGCTCTACCGGCTCTGGCTCTGGCTCTACTGGCTCTGGCTCTGGCTCTACTGGCTCTACCGGCTCTGGCTCTGGCTCTACCGGCTCTGGCTCTACCGGCTCTGGCTCTACCGGCTCTGGCTCTACCGGCTCTGGCTCTGGCTCTACCGGCTCTGGTTCTGGCTCTACCGGCTCTGGCTCGTCTGGCTCTGGCTCGTCTGGCTCCGGCTCGTCTGGCTCTGGCTCGTCTGGCTCTGGCTCGTCTGGCTCTGGCTCGTCTGGCTCTGGCTCGTCTGGCTCCGGCTCCGGCTCTGCTGAGACTACCACTCCCTGTGAGACTGAAACCAGCACCTGGGTTACCTCTACTGTCATCTCTGGTACTCCCTCTCCCGTTACCGTCACTGGCGTCGTCCCCGCTGGAACTGTTACCGTTGGTGGCTCCGGCTCCTCCCCGGCCACCATCACTGAGACCAGCGTCTACACTACCCACACCGTGGTCTCTGGCACCACCTCCACTATCACTATCACTGATATCATCGGCGGCTCGGTCCCTACTGGCGCTGCCACTACCTTCTGGGAGACTGAGAGCGTCTGGGTGACTTCCACTGTCATCTCTGGCTACACCAGCACTATCACCGTCACTGGTGGTTCCGTCCCCGCTGCTACTGGCTCTAGCTCCACTGGCTCTGGCTCTGGCTCCGGCTCTGGCTCCTCTGGATCTACTGGCTCCGGCTCTGGCTCCTCTGGATCTACTGGCTCCGGCTCTGGCTCCTCTGGATCTACTGGCTCCGGCTCCTCTGGATCTACTGGCTCCGGCTCCTCTGGATCTACTGGCTCCGGCTCCGGCTCCTCTGGATCTACTGGCTCCGGCTCCGGCTCCTCTGGATCTGCTGGCTCCGGCTCTGGCTCCTCTGGATCTACTGGCTCTGGCTCTGGCTCCGGCTCTGGCTCTGGTGTGGTTCCCTCCGGCTCATCTCCTGTCGAGTCCGGCCGCCCCTGTGAGACCATGACTGTGCCCTACGTGACCTCCACTGTCATCTCCGGCACCACCATTCCCGTCACTGTCGCCCCTACCGGTACCCCCGGCAACGGTGTGTCCCCCGTCGACACCAGCTCTGCCCCCGCCCCCGCTGTGACCAGCGCCCCTGCTGTTCCCTTCAGCGGCTCTGTCACTACCACTGAGACCCAGACTGTTACTGTCACCGCCACCGTCTGCGGCTGCGAGTAAGCGTCTCAGCCAAATCACTATCCTATTTCCTGCAATATACACCAACTCTATTATTGTTTTAATCTCATGACAAGACGACCTCCAACCCCGTGGAATGGCCTTGCCTGCAGATCTTCACATCTCCAGACTCAGGTCGCTCATACTAATCCCGGTGGTATGTAATCGCGGAGCTCATCAATGGAGCTCCGCCTTGTCCTGTCTGTATTTATCTAATCCTAGATCAAATCTGCTCTGAAGTCTTCCAGCCCGTTCTGACATTGAATCGCTTGTTGTATTATGAAGCCTTCATGTTGCTTTCGTTCATTCAATGAAGTACTTTCCTTAATCCTTGTCCATTGAAATGTTGATACTTGTCTTTGAAAGTAAAGCCCTGGAGGTCTTTTCATCTTGCAAATGTATAGTTATGTTCACAATCGAAAACGGCGCATTCTGTCTCAATCTTCTTCCAACAAATTGCTTAAATTGCTAGCACGCTAGATATACATTTGACAGGCCTTTTTCCTTTCCATGGCTTATTTCTTCCATGGACGGCCCTATGACCATTGGCGTTTATAATTGGTCAGGGAACGCTGCACCTACCTTCCAGTTGGACAAAAGAGGAATTGCAATCAGCTGTTCTGACTAATTGCCCCTATGACTAGCTTGGTAAATTGGCGCCGAGCAAAGTTTGACTGCTTAGATTGTCAATATTGAGATGATCAATGCAATTGAATATTACGGGGAGACGAACGTCAATTCACTAGGCCATTTCACTGGCATTCTCCATCTGTTTGTCATCCGAATCCGCAGGCTTCTTGCCAGGAGGATCTTCTAGCTGAGCAGAGCCTTCTTTCTGATCAGTCAACTTTTGTCGTTTTTCAGGCGCAGACAATGAATTTTCACGCCGTTTGCGAGTAGAGCTATCGTATCTGTCTCTAGAGTCCCGCCGATGTTTTTCTCCGGGGACTCATGCTGTGACGACGATGACCGCGAGAGTTACTGCGGCTCAAACGACCACTTTCATGGCCCTTAATTTTCCGGCCCCTATCGCGGGACTGGGATCGAGAACGTGAAGGTGATCTGGAGTGAGAAGAATATCTTCTACGCCGATGGTGTCGTGGTGGAGGGGTCACGCTGCGGGAGACGGAACGCGGTCTGCTTCGGTCTCGTCTGGAAGTAGGTGAGCGTGGTAAATCACGGGAATTGGATCGATTGCGATCACCGTAGTCCGGGCTGCGTCTCTTTTCTTCTCTGCGGCCTCGCCGTGGGGACCTAGAGCGGGATCTGCGACGGTCATGCCGGGGTCGACGAGGGGAGCGGGATCGTGAGCGGTTTGGAGAACGTGAGTAGGAGGGAGAACGGACTGGTCGGCCTCTGTTTGTGCTAGACGGAACGTAAGAATCGAAGTCGCGGCGAGGTGGGGGTTCACGGTATCGATCACGGCTTCGGCTTCGGCTTCGGTTTCGGGGCGGTGGTGACCTTGAGAAGTCCCGTCGGCCAAAATCACGGCCTCCACGACCACCGCGCCTGCCTGATCCGCGGTCTGACCGCTCTCTTCTCCTCAGATCCTCCATCTCGCGTTCGCGTGTTCGCTCTTGCTCCCTTTGTCTTCGGCTGGCCTCAGCTGCCTTTTCAGCTTCGACCTGTACACCCGGTAAGTCAGATGAGCTTGTATGTTCGAGAGTCGGAAAAACCTGCCTTTTCTTGCATGAGCTCAAGCTTCTTGGCTTCCAAAAGCTCCTTTGGAACGCCCTGTGGGTTCTCTTGGCCGCTCAGGCACAATGACCACAGTTCCTTGCAGAATTTGGAGGTATCTTTGTCGAGGAAACCAGTGAGTTGGATTTGTAGTTCTTTCACGTTCGGCTAAAAGTCAGGGCGCAATACATTAGCAGGCGAAACACGAAGCTAATGAGTTGAGAGGTGTTGGCGCTTGGAGAGATGTACATAGCGAGAGCCTTCCAAGAGGTTGAAGCACAGCTCAATCACAATGTCGTCTTCATCTCCAAGGATTTCAGAGATACGACTAGCAATCCATCTGTCACAGAAAGCAATTAGTCAATGAAACGTGTCGCAATCGGTATCTGGGGAAGGCGCGGGTACTTTTTCATCACTTCTATGTTCACCTTGGTCATGTCGACCTTCCGAGAAAACTCGGGAGGGAACTTCGTGGACTTCAGCAGCTTCTGGTCCACCGGAGTCGCCATTTTCGCCGAAGGTCAAGGTGTTGTCGAGGATGAAAGAAAAGAAGCGCGTGAGATGCTTTGTGGATGTGAATGAGCGGTGAACTATAATGCCGTTCGATGGAAAGCGGTGTGGAGACGGCTTTCGAAGTAAGTCATTTTTGGGCTACCTTAAACACGATGCGGAAGGATTGGCAAAAGATTGGAATAACCTCACCGCCAATGTTTCTTTCCACTATGGAGAAAGATTGGATCCTCACAAAGCTTCCAGCCCATTCTGGAATGAAGTATCCATAAGGAGCACATGGTGTTGGAAGATCCCCCAAGCACACGGTCCAGCGAAGATGCCTATTCTGGCGAGGGGCATAGTATCAACATTCGAGCCGGCGCTTCCTTCAAAGCCCAAACTTTGTCCAGAGAAGACAAGGCACGAAAGCCACTCGAACATGGCAACGTCATCCATCGAAGCTGATCATTTGAATTTGCACTTGCCGCTTTGCTCGTACCGATTGCTGACGCCGCGGCCGGATACAACCGTCTGGTCATCCCCAGATATAGCCAAGCCGTCCCATACATTTGCTCGCGAAGAGATAATGAATCATTGAAAAGGCAAGATTAGAATATAATAAATCAACCAAGACACAGAAGAAGACACAAAACAAAAAAAGAGGAAAATGAAAAAGAAAAAGAAAGGGCCCGAACCGCGATTCGAACGCGGGACCTCCTCGATTCAAGATTACAGTAGTAATACCGTAGTACCCAAACGAGGCATAATACCACTATACTATCCGGGCGAGATATATTCATTGAGTCAAGATCAAGGTTCATGTAGTCCAAAATTATAATGCATTTTAAGAAATTAGACATCTCATTTCACAATTTGAAACGCGCGATCAACCTGTGGGCCATCGTAACAGGCTCCATTCTCTTTGGAAACCTCTGTGTTTTGTGTTGTTCAGAAAGCAAGTAGTGGTCTGCTTTGGTTTGGTTGAAACAATCTCAATTTTTGATTTAATTTTGCGCCAAAAAATCGAATGTCGACTCCCGTTTATTGAGCGTCGCCATCAGATGTCCATATGGCCAGTGAGATCGACGTTTTCACGTCCATTCACCTCCGGATGCCCCAATCTGAATCCGGACACGAACAATGATAATGATTTGCCGGGGGCTCAGTGTCGGCATCAGAAATACCTTTGTTTTACACTATTCATGCCGACGCCGCAGTCTGCGATAGCCCGGTCCATCCTCCTAAGATCTTCCCAAGATACTGTGCTATTCGAGTTAAGAAGGAGATGCCAAAAGCTTTGTTTCTTCACCGGACATAATCGGGGAAAACAAGACGACGTCACGAGGTATTACAATATGAGGGCCAGACTTCAATAGTCCTGTACAAAACGAACAAACTCGATGCATGCAATCAAATGGAAAAGATTGCAATTGAAAATTAGTCATTTGATGACGTTCTAGACTTCTTACTCGTTCTGTCTGCTGTTGATCATCTCGCCTGTTCGGCCGTTCGAACACCCGCTCGTTTATATACTTAAGCCGGAGATCGAGAAATCTGGAACCCCACACGAATATGTTTTGGCTATAATACTGAATCCCCGCAACTCTGTATTCTCGTATGGGTTACACATCTTTCCAATAAAGATGTCTTCTCATATCCTCCTTCGAAACGCAACCATGCTAGTCCCATTTCATGAATCAAATGACTACGTGGTGCCTCTGTGGGGCCATTCGTTATTGATCACGCACAATAAAATCGCGCAAATTGGACAAGATTTCACTCCTCCCACTGGAGCGGAGATCATTGACTGCAACGACAAGTTCATCTCTCCTGGCTTCATCGATACGCATCACCATCTATGGCAGACGCAATTGAAAGGGCGCCATGCCAACCAGACCCTGTCGGAATATATGCCGAATGGCCCGTTTCAAGCTCTCAAGTCTGGGGTTGATGATTTTGAGAGGCTAATGAAGAATAGGCTACATGCAAAATTCCAACTATGAACCCGAGGTTGTTTTCTGGGGTGAGCTTGGAGGCTGCCTCGAAGCCTTGGATGGAGGTACCACGACGGTTGTAGATCATGCCCATGTGAATGTGTCAGCGGCTCATAGTAAGTTATTGTCTTGTCATGTATTGTCAGTTCCTAAGATTTTTTCTAGCTTCAAATGCAGTCGAGGCGACAGCGTCATCTGGAATCAGATCCGTTTTCTGCTACGCACCGACTATGCGTGTCAAAACCTTCAAACCCGATCTTGCCCTTGAGGGTGGCCTACTGGATGAATGGGTCATTGATTCTTTGAGGTACCTGGGTGCGAACGCTCCATTTGGGGATGGAAGGATCCACCTGGGATTGGCTTTTGATGGTTTCATGCTATCGAAGGGTCGGGTTGTCTCTCTCTATGCAGAAGCACGCAGACTCGGAGTGAAGCTCATCACCACTCATTATGTAAAAGGACTTTTTAGTGAGTGACAATGATAGAACTCATTCTTCTAATCAATGCTAGCTGTGCAACAGATGACGACTCAGTTGTTGACATCCTCGACTCGTATGATCTTCTGGGACCAGATATTCTCCTATCCCATGCCACCAATCTCACAGAGACTGATATCTCAAAGCTTACTCAAGCAAAATAGTGGATATCCACGACGCCAGAAACTGAGCTGCAAATGAGTCACGGAAATATCGTTTGTTTCCGAGAGGGCTGCACCAAGATGTGGCGCTTTGGGAATTGATTGCCACAGCAACGATTCCGGCGACATTGTCTCACAAATGCGCCTTGCTTTGCAACATGAGAGGGCCTCTCGCAACGAGCAGCTCACCAGTAAGGGCAAAACAACACTGTCATTGAATCTATTCGTTCAGGACGTGTTCCGCCTTAGCACTAGACAAGGATCACGAGCCATCCAGATGGACGATAAGCTTGGATCGCTTGAAGTTGGAAAACCTGCAGACCTTGTCATCTTTGAAAGCAACAGCCCAGGGATGGTCTGCGCATCTGAAGAAGCTCCAGTCGCGGCTATCGTCCTACATTCATCGGTTCGTGATATCGACACTGTGATTGTCGATGGTCACGTCAGGAAACGCAATGGAAAGTTGTGTACAGTACAAATCGACCCATCCATGAAGGGTGTGAAAATTCCACGCCAAAGTGTCGAGTGGAATGAGGTTGCCAGGCAGCTAACTTCTAGCCGAGGACGAATTCAAGACGCTATCGCAAAAGTAGGGGCTATTGAGCCCGAACGTTTGACCAAGGCTTTCACAAAGCTTGCGCACATCAACGGGAGTAAGCTTGTGAAGTTGTGAAGGGCTACGCCACGTGCTACTCCAATTGGGTGGTATTGCAATATAAGATTATCCATGCATTGTCTCAATAACTGGTTCCATTGTACAATTTCCTGAGATCCAGAAACGAAAATCCACAGCCCCGATGATGGCGATGAGCCAAAGATTTCTCTTGATATGTTTGAGATCATGACTAAAATTTCAGCGATGACTCAAATCGTTATAGAAGAGGTATCGAAGCACAGCTGAAAGCCCAGCGACAGTTCGGACATGTCTCATTGCAGTCAAGTTGACTAGGAGGTTTTGAAACCATGGGAAGTATTCCGAGCAAGATTTCAAGCAATTGTCGAGAAAGCAGCTCACTTGTCCAATATTGGAAAAAACTTAAACAAATTATTAGTAGCTCTTGCATTGTCCTTCAAATATCGGAGGTGCCGACAGCCTCAGGCTGAATGAGCGAGGTGTCACCTCGGCTCTGACCTCCGATGTGTCACCTATAGGGACATTATAATTTGCTGGAACATCATGGCTGTTCCATCGAGAGGAGCCTTTCTCGAAAATAGCTGTCGCTATCGGACAGCAAGACTTATCTGACAGCGATTTTCTTCAATCGTCAGTCTGCGTAATCAGGAAGCTGATGATGTTAAAAGGAGACAAGCAGGATTTTGAGATCAGCCAAGGTACTTGCCAGTTTTGAGAATTAATCATGCAACTCATGCAAGTGGCTCATGCTCAACCCCGGGTAGTTGCGCCAGATTAACTCTATATCGACAGATGACCGGTCTCAATTTTGAGGACTTCAATCTCGACTCTGGACAAGACAGAAAGGGATTGGAGGAATCATCTCTGATATTTAACCCACTCTGGATGCCGCTTTATTCTGTCCATAGCGCTCGGATCTTGCCCGCATATTTATCAGTAATTTCATAATACTTGCAGCTTGAAGTGACGATTGATCCGAATAAAATATACGTGAAACGGTTCATCCCCTGCCCCGCATGTGATGTACCTGATCATTACCAAAGCTCCTATATCCTCCGGCCGGATCAATTTGATAAGACAATGACATCGCAACATGTTTCGATGTCGTAGAGACAGACTATTCCGTCACCGCAGGCGATCTGACCATCGCCGAGCTTGGGTAACGTGCTACAGCCGTGTAAAAAAATGTTACATTTTCCATGAACCCGTGGTGCTGAACACCCAAGAATGGAGTTATTCCTGGTTTTTCCCATGACATCGCGTGCGGGTAGACTGAGTAGGTTGGGTAGATTGGGCGATCCCTCTCAGAGATGCCGATTTCAGTCACCTACGTACCCGAACGACGGTTCGTCAACCTCCTCAGGGCGATCCACTTCGAGCCTTAAATTGAGTTAGAATATCGGGGCGGACCCACGGGGCGACTTCTTATTCATTTTGCATCCCTTCAACTTAATTCCTGCGAGTTGCCGTTCCGCGACAACTCATAATTGAGGCTTCTCACCAAACGTTTCAGCATGACACAAAAACGGTCTCTAGACCTAAGGTTCGGCTAGATTGTCTGGGATCATGGGCCTGTCCGAAATGAACATGGCGCTCGCATCGGGAACTGCAGGGATCGGCAGAGCGCCCCGCTGCAAAAAGGTTGAGCTGAACTTGCCCGTTGCTACCATACTCTTTTTGGGGGAACACGGGCTCCAATATGTACATCATCATCGGTTCAAGTGGAGAGATGCTGGGACAAGTGCTCGCGTAACCCAACTACCACCTGGCGAATTGGGCCTCTTCAAATCGTGTGGGGCGATCGCAACTCGGCCGTCTAACATGGTTTAAATATGGCCAGGTCCTTGGAGACATTGAAGAGCCTCTCTTCCCTTTGGCAATTTATCATGGCGTCTCAGACTCGCAATGTCCTGTTCTTCACAAACAGTGAGCTAGGTCAGTGCAATGTGGCCCTCGCGGTGGCCGAGGAGTTCCTGCGACGTGGGAAATTCAGGGTACATTTCGCCTCATTCAATGCAGCGGCACCGCTGGTACAGGAGTTGAACACGCCTGTGGTCGACACCGATCGGTCTGCGGAGTTCCATGAAATCTTTGGTCCCAGTATGACGGATCTTGCTGTCCGAAGTATGGTTGGCCTTCTCTATCACCCACCAGGAATCAAAGGTGCCACAGAGGGCTTTATCAAAGTCAGCAATGTAATGTCCAACTGGAAGCCCACGGAATATGCGCGAGCTTACCGAAGCTGTCTCGAAATTCTCGAGAAAGTGCGCCCGTCCGTGGTGGTGATAGATCCGATATTACACGTTGGGTTGGATGCGTGCGAGAAAACCCCTGCTCGCAAGGTGATTCTTTGGCCAGTGCCAATCAAGGATGTCGTGGTTCTGAATCAACCAAAGGCTGGTGTTTGGTGGAAGTATCCTGTGTAAGCTGCAATGATTTCTATTGATCACACTGCGACATCATCGCTGATCTCTTTACAGAACGGGATCAGGCTACCCGTTTCCACTACCCTGGAAGTTGGTTCTTTCAAACATCTATCTGGTTGCTCGTGTCGGAATGGCCCTGGCCTGTGCAAAATCCGTCAGCGATGAACAAGACACCGAAAAGGCGCAAGAGGAGCGAAGCCCATTCCCTTTGAGAAACGCCTATTCCAAAGACACGTTAAGCCTCACGCCAGCATTCCCTGAGATGGATTTCCCGTTCCGTGTTCCAAACAACGTCATCAGCTGCGGCCCGATTGTCCGACAATGCCAGCCGCTTGCAGTTGTTGACCCAGAGCTGAGCGCATGGCTCAATAAACCAACAGTCCTGATCAGTCTGGGATCGCACGTCAAACCTTGCGAACAGGTTGCCGTGCAAATGGCGAAAGCAATCAGGAAGATGCTCTACGAGTATCCGGACATGCAGGTCTTGTGGAAGCTTCAATATAACTGGGAAACTTCACCAACATTCCAAAACGTCCTCGGCTCACACATCACTGCTGGCTCGGTGCTTGTGACTCCTTGGATTCAGCCGGACATCATGTCGGTTCTGGAAACAGGTCAAATTGTCGCCTATGTTCATCATGGTGGAGCAAATTCTTATTTCGAGGCTTGCAAGTACGTATAATCCTCCATCACTTCCGACAGATCATGATGCTGACCTCGAACTAGAGTCGGTGTTCCCCAGGTGGTCCTACCCCAATGGTTGGACACCTACGACTGTGCGACACGAGTCGAATGGCTAGGAATAGGAATCAACGGAAGCCGAACCTCGGCGCCAGGCATCGACGCCACTGAATTCGCCAAAGCCTTGATTCAAATCCTCCGCGACGCAGATATGCGTTCAAAGGCCAACGTCATGAAAGAGATCTGCAGCAAGACCGAGGGACGAGTGATGGCTCACGACCAGATTGTGGATTTTTGTACGATGGAATAGTCACGAAGTACCAGATAGAGATACCCGATCCCTGTGTTTCTTGTTTATATTAATAGGTTCTGCATGCGTTGTTCCCGGTGAATGAAAAAGAGCCAAAACATGATTTTAATGAAGTTATTGTTCCATGATCGTGATTATCTCATGTCACTCTTGGGTATCTTCTAGCATTACTCAAGCTGATCACGCAAGCTCCCTTAGTACCCGCTCGACCCCTTCACGAGCCTGTCGTAGTTCTTGATCGACTTCGCCATTGGCATGTCGTGACTTGACTTCGTAATGAAGCTCGACCAACTCTTTTGCCTTCCGCAGGTTATCTTTCTTAGCCTGTTCAGCTTTGTCTGCGCCGGCTGTAGGATTTTCAGTAGACGCGACCCTTGTATCGGAGACATCTGTGCCAGCGACATTCTTGTTCACATTCACAAGGTTAAGTCCTTCATAATGGCCCTATGAAGTATCAGTGTAGCTCATGCGCGGATGGAAGTCGTGTCGTGATGCGCAAGTTTCGAGCTCTAAGGTGGGGCACGAAGGTCTATTGATCGAGGCGTGGATAGTACGTACACAAACTCTTAAAGATGTGATGTCGGACAAAATTTCAGCCACTTGCATTGTGAATGAGGCGCTGGTTGCAGATGATGCGCGGTACAGGAAGAGATGGAAATGAAGTTGCGATGACGTTGGAAGGGGATGTCTTGGCGGAGAAGTGCACTGCCGATAGGTGGAGACATAAGACACGTTATCTAGATCTTTTCTTCACAATTCAAGCAAGCTGAAAGATCTGATATTATCTTAGTATTAACAATTTTCAATTTTAAAAGGTATTTCCCGGAACGCTTTTGGACGCCCGGCTTGTCGTAGAACGTACAAACACGTAGAGGTGGCGATGAATCAACCTCTTTAGGCCCCCATGGTACGAATTAAGAAGAATACAAACACAGTCAAGAAGGACAAATGAAAGTAGATTGACATTCTCAATTGTAACTCCTACATTCCATATGAGAGCAAGATATCTGCGCAAAGCTTGACCCATCCGATCTCTTCCTTTTGCTCGAAATGCAAAACCTGCATAACTCCCATCAAATACTCTTGGCCTTCGAATCAGCCTCCGAAGAGGACTCATCATCCTCAGAAGTCGTAAGGTCATCCTCCGTGAACGGCAAATATGCAACAAACCGATGTTTTACGGATCCATCAGGCCACAAAACAGATCCATCCTCATTCCGATGGGCCAGAGCAAACTTCTGATTTTCCATGTACTCTTCCTCATTCAACAAGTGCTGGACTTCATGGCTCAGTCTGGTCCAGTTTCGCTGACCCTTCCTCACGGCGTGGTCGAGACGGCGACGGTAGAGTCGGTCATCGCAGCCTGAGATGAATGCATTGACGAGGATCTCGTCTTCGGCACGGGTTGGGTGGGATTGACGGCGGAGATAGTTTGCTTCATCGTAGTAGGATTCAAGAGAGCGCTCATTCTGGCACATCGAGGAGAGGGTCATTGTTATTTCGGGGTTGAGCCAAGAGGGGAGGTGGGTGGTGGGAATATCCATGGGGGGACTGCGTCGCAGGTGAATCCTCAGGGTCCGGTACGGATGCAGGCTGGTAGTTTGATGCTTCGGGGGTTGCATCTTCTGGTATGCTGCAAATAGTATCGAGCTCCGCGATACACTTCAACAAGACTTTGTTCTTGTCTGCAAGGGTCTGGTCGGATTCACAGAGCGGAAGAACCCTGTTCTTGAGTTGCTCACGAAGATACTGCAGACGCTCCTCGGTATAAGTATTATTGGATTGCTTGATGTGGTCGAGAGCAGCGACAAGATTGGTGAGGCTTTTCAGGTATTGTTCAAGATTACGAGAGTGCTTTTCTGTTTTGAAGAGCTGGCTTTCCACTTCTCCAATATGTTCGATGAGGATCTTGTTCTCGCGACGCAGTTCGTAGGACCACAACAAGACCTGTGGTGCGACAGATGGGCCTCCCGAAGTGTTGATTGGCGACATCGCCGAGGACGCGAGCTGTGGCGTCAGGCCCGGCTGGATAGCAAAGTTGTTGGGAGGGTTCAAATGGGGTTGACAGAAGAATTACACAAGGGGATGCAGCTGGAAGTGAGAGGAACGATAAGGCGAGTGTGCCTGGTCTATGAGTACAGTACGCAGGGAAGACACCTTGAGGAACAAGTGACATTTTGGCCCGATCTATTGATTAAGTACGTGGTAAAAGCGGCATCCTTAACCAACCAGAGCGAGCTAGATACAAAGAAAACGGAGGAGAAAATGCAGGAAAAGGAAAACCGTGACAGCAACAGAAAGCATAAAAGTGTCACATCTCCAAGGGTGCTGGGGCATAGGAAACCATAACGGTGGCCCCAGAGGGCAGACCAGCGACATCAGTTCACACAGGAAAAGGCCCGAACTGGCCCATCAAGGGCCATTGCGAGCGGAAATGCGTTCAGAACACAGAAAGCCACTTTTAACGCAGGTTCTGCGATCGTAATCCGCATCAAGACATAAGAGGGAGTTAGGGCGTTTAGATGAGGTCAGCAACGTTCATGGGCATCTCCTCAATCTGGGTGCTGTAGAACTGCTCGATCTCGCGGAGCATGCGAACATCGTCAGCGGTGACGAAGTTGATGGCAACACCCTTACGACCGAAACGACCACCACGACCGATACGGTGAATGTAGTTCTCGCGGTTGGCGGGAAGGTCGTAGTTGATGACCAGGGAGACCTGCTGGACATCGATACCACGGGCCAGAAGGTCAGTGGCGATCAGGACACGGGAGGAACCGGAACGGAACTCCTTCATGATAACATCACGCTGGCCCTGCTCCATGTCGCCGTGCATGGCAGAGACGGTGAAATCACGGGCAGTGAGCTTGTCGGTGAGCCAGTCGACCTTTCGGCGAGTGTTACAGAAGATGACGGCCTGGGTGATGGTAACGGTCTCGTAGAGATCGGACAGGGTGTCGAGCTTCCACTCCTCCTTCTCAACGGCGATGTAGAACTGCTTGATACCCTCAAGGGTAAGCTCCTGCTTCTTGACCAGGATACGGACGGGGTCACGCATGAACTTGGTGGTGACCTCGAGGACGTCCTGGGGCATGGTAGCGGACAGAAGGGTGACCTGGGTGGACTGGGGAAGAAGCTGGAAGATGTCGTAGATCTGCTCGGTGAAACCACGGGACAGCATCTCATCGGCCTCGTCGAGGATGAACAGCTTCATGTGGTCGGTGCGGAGAACGCGACGCTGGATCATGTCGTGGACACGGCCGGGGGTACCGACAACGACCTGGGGGCCGTCACGGAGGGCGTTCATGTCCTCACGGACGTTGGTACCACCGATACAGGCGTGGCACTCGAGGGTCATGAAGTCACCAATGGCAACAACGACCTTCTGGATCTGCTGGGCCAACTCACGGGTGGGGGCGAGGATCAGAGCCTGGCAAGCCTTCAGGTTGGGGTCAATCTTCTGCAGGGCGGAGATGGAGAAGGTAGCGGTCTTTCCGGTACCAGACTGAGCCTGAGCAATAACATCGTTGCCTGACCACATGTTAGGCGCTTTTTTGCAAGACTATTCAAATCAAAGCAACTCACCCTTGATAATGGGCATGATGGCGCGCTGCTGGATAGCAGAGGGGCGCTCGAAACCGTAGGCGTAGACACCTATTCACCAGTCAGGATTTTCTGCACGTACCCCGCCGGAGGGGGTTTTGGGGTTTCCCCAAAGGAATTTCACATACCGCGAAGCAGCTCAGGCTTCAGGTCCATCGAGTCGAAAGAGTCGGTGATCTCATCGTAGTTAGACTCGATCTGTCCTGTAGAATGCGCAGTGCGTGTCAGTCGTTGATTCTTGTGCCATGTCTCCCCTTTGTGCTCGCCACTAAAGTCTTCAGAGACCGCGATAAGAGCGAAAAGGGCTCAAATCGCCAGAAAATGGAAAATAAACATTTCACTTACCCTCGGGAAGATCCTCGAGGCCCTTGTCGTTGGACATATTGGCGGTTGAGAGACTGGTGATCACAAACGACTTGTCGTTGTGATCGGGTGGGGTGAAAGGATTAAGCGAACGTGCCCGTAGGGGAAAGTTCGCAGGCGAGGAGAGGTACTAGTATCACAGCTCTTCAAGAAAGAAGAGCACGGGAGATGTACAGGGGTTTGAAGTGATATGTTGTTGTGAATGGGTCACAAATGGGGTGGGAAAAGAAGGAGGAAAAAATCGTCGGCGGCGGACGCCATTTGCTGCGACGCTTTTTTTTTTTGCGAAGTGGGCGGGACTCACCGCCTGCCGCTTGTGGGTCTTTCCGTTGCATTGCAAGCGAACAGTGTTTGACTGCTGCGCATTGTTCGGACCGGGTTCCCTATGGCTCGGCCTTTTTTGCCTTTCATTTTATTTCTTTTCGTTTACTTTGATCTTCTAATCGTGCTATTTCGCGGTATCGCATCTAGGCTGGGGCTGTTGGGGGGGCAACCCGGCAGAAAAAAGGAAAAAAGAAAAAACTTGAAGCCCTAAACCAAAGTGGCGGACAATGCCTGACATCACATCGCTCCCGAGTTATCCACCTGCCCAGTAGGGGAGGTGGCAGATGAGGCTATTCCCAGCCACCCGTTGGGTGTCAAGCCTAGCGGAAATGCACTTCTAGCTACACAGAACTTGCGTGGCGCTATTGGTTCTTTCCGGTCCATACCCGATGAACTAATCTTGCTGCTGCTGGAATCCTTAGATGGACCCAGCTTACTGCGCATTGGCCGGACATGTAAAGCCTTGTATGCATTTACACGTGCCGAAGAGTTGTGGAAGGCCCTGTTTATTGAGTAAGATCTCCTGTCGTTATCATCAAATATACAACCTTGGCACTACCCTATGCACATTTACGGGGCAGGCATATGGTTGGAAAATCAATACTCTGATCATTGAACATAGTACTGAATATTTGTCTAGGTCACACCCAGCGGCATTCACATGGCGAGGCACATGGCGCTCAACATATCTCAATTTACCAGCATCCAAAGTACCTGTGGTAGACTGCTCGCATCTATACTCCGATGCTCTATACCGTCCCTTTAATTGTGCACACATTAAGTTGGATCCATATGTCACCAAGATTCCAGCACGAAACCAAATCCCACGACTCTCAGACCTCTCGCCCGAGAAATTCCATGAGAAATGGGCAGACCGGCCATTCCTCCTGACCGAACCCATCAAAAATTGGCCAGTATATAAGGATTGGTCGGTCGGCACTCTGCTATCTCGGTATGGTCAGCGCACATTCCGCGCTGAAGCAGTTGACTGGCCTTTGCGTACCTATGGGGACTACATGGCCGACAACGCGGACGAGAGCCCGTTGTACCTCTTCGATCGATCCTTTGTTTCTACCATGGGCCTCTCTGTCGGTCAACCAGACACAACCCCCGATGCAGCATACTGGCCACCGGCTTGCTTTGCTGAAGACTTCTTCTCCGTGCTAGGCAATGACCGGCCCGATCATCAGTGGCTGATCGTTGGACCCGAGCGTTCCGGCAGCAAGTTTCACAAAGATCCCAACGCCACCAGCGCGTGGAATGCAGTACTACGTGGGCCCAAGTACTGGATCATGTTTCCCTCGGGTGATAAGAACCCACCACCGCCAGGAGTGTTTGTGTCTGAAGATTTCAGCGAAGTCACTTCTCCCCTCAGCATTGCCGAATGGCTGCTCGAGTTCCATGCTGAGGCACGACGCACCCCTGGATGCATGGAGGGGATCTGCGGAGAGGGAGAGATTCTTCATGTGCCGTCGGGCTGGTGGCATCTGGTGATCAATTTGGAACCGTCGATTGCCATAACTCAGAACTTTGTTCCTCGAGCTCATCTCGGTGCGGCGCTGGACTTCCTGTCCAACAAGGCTGATCAGGTGTCCGGGTTCAGAAAAAATGTCGAAAATCCTTATCAGAGGTTTCTGACTGGAATGGAGGCTGCATACCCAAGCATCCTGAAGAAAGCTCAGGAGGAACTCCAAAGGAAGGCAGAAGGGAAGAAGCGCAAATGGGATGATATCGTCCGTGGAAAGGCGGAGGGCTCCGAAGACCCGAATGGCGGTGGCTTTAGCTTTGGATTTGGAGACGACAGCGATGTTGAAGTGCCATGAAAATCACCTTGGAAACAATTGAATTTTGGACTATTTAAAGATACCGAGCAAAGAACAGACAAGCGTCACAATTTCAAATAATATAAGAATCATCCTTTATGCGAACATCTGTTGAAATGATGCAATACAAACGCCAGGACAATACAAGGCGTGGGTCTAGTGGCAAGCAACGGACTTGGCAGCAGAGGTACCGTCTGCGAAACCCAGATATCCAACGAACGCGCCAACTGCAACTGCGAGCATGATCATGCCGTTATAAGTCATGAAGAGAAGCCTATCGCGAAGCCGGTCAGGGTGGTATCAACAGCCGTTGAAGCTGGGATCACCTACATGATAAAAAAGCTGTAAAACACCTGAATGGCATACAAAGCTGCCAGTGTGATTCTTCCCTGGCGTGCCATGGCAGCCCTGTTATCCCTTCCTACAAGCAGTGGTGAGCGCTCGCCACTAACGGGCCGAATACCCTCCGAGACGTTGGCGATAGACTGCCCAAGAATCCCATCTTCTGCAGAGCAAGACATCAATGAGAGCTCGCCACAGCATGAATGTGGCAAGGGAGGGGTTTATAAATAAGCATTAACCACCTTGCCAACGTCACGGCCCAACATTGCTTTCGGTATAGATGCCCTCGAGTAAGGAAATGGGAGACCTACCTCCGCCTGTAGTTGAAGTCACAGGAAAAGAGTTCATTCGTTGGTAATGCGCAGCTTCATATCTGCGAGTCGCTGCGCGGACTCCCTCGTAGCCTGCTGTGAGGAGGACAATAAGGATGAGCGAGAGGATGAAAGACAAAGGCCCGGTGACGCGCCACCAGCGGAAAATGATGCAAAGATTCTCAAACGACCAGGTGAACACCATCTAAAGGAAGGGCACGGTTAGCTCGAGCACTCTCTGGCATCCTGCAGAGTACTTGCATTCATGTTGCACTGGCCACCCATGTCCATATCGCCATGGTCCATACCGCCGTGACCCATGTCATGGCTCATATGCATGGAGTGATCCATGATTAAAATGTAGCACCGAGAGTAGGAAAGATGAAGTAAGTCTCGCGCACTTAAAGTCCAGAGTTACCCCAAGATATCGTGACCTGACACCAGGTAAACACGAGGGGCGATGGGATGATGACAGGCATGCAAACCGTGCAAACACTTGATGGCTCGATAAGGATCTCCGCCGACAGCTTCACCTTCGCATTCCCGCATTTGCTGCTCGCTCTGCTCGAATCGGCTCCTCCACTGCTGCATGAAGCCTACTACTCACATTGTTTGACATCGTGCGATATTTCAACTCCCAAGATGGCAGACACTGCCCCGGCCCAGACTGCCACGCCCGCGACCAACGCGCCAGCAGCACCAGCAACTGGCGCAACCGCGGGAACCACAAATGCGCCCGCTGACCAAAATGGCACGAGTCGCGGGCTACCATACTACGAGAAATTGCGCCGAGAGCTAAGAGACACGATCGCGAACAAGCGCGCGATGGACAGGTGCATGGTGAGTTGAGCCTCCGCGCGCCTTACCCGATTGCGACGAACGGCCGTCTATTGAGCGCCAGCATTCAACCCCCCAATTCTTTACAACAAATAATGCAACCTAAGCTACGAAAAAGACCATGAGCTAACTGTGCATAGGCCCAACTTGAAGACCAAATTCACCGCTTCGAACAATCCTACCTCGAAGAAACAACCGCCGGAAACATCATCAAAGGCTTCGACAACTACATCAAGGGCTCATCAAGCGGCTCCAGTCTGGGCGCCTCCGGACTGAGTCTAGGCTCTGGTGTCGGCGGACGCCGAAAAGCCGCAGTCACAGATGCAGACCGGGTGTTCTCTAGAAGCTCTGCGAGCTATATGATGGTATGGGAATCTCTCCGTGCAAAGACTGGAAAAAGACTTGCCAGTACTAAGATCTATCGATGCAGGACTCTCCTGGCCCTTCGTCCGCACAGACAACACCCTCCCACGCCGCAACCCCGACCTCAACTACAGGCGGTAACATTCCTCTAAAGATTAACGGTGACGGCGGTGCGAAAAACACAGGTGGTTCGTCAAAGAACAAGAAAAAGTCATCTGGTGGATCGAAGAATACAAAGGGCAAAAACCAGACAGATGAGTTCTCCGATGATGGGGGTGAGAAACCGCCTGTCAAGAGGTTGAAAATCAGCTACGGCAGAGATTGATCTCTGTCTTTGTTTTTGATGTACTTGAATCTTGCATTACGTGGCTGGCGTTCTGGGTGAATAATTACGGAGTTGAAGTTCAGGCGCGGGACAAAAGGCGTCATTACTAAAATGTATATCACGAATTTTTGAAAGACTTTATGTGAAAAATTTGTTCAATTTTTATTCATCAATGTGTCATAGCGGCTGAAAGGACTGTGAAAAGGGAGGACGGAGTAGCTCAAATGGCAGGAAAAAGCGAACAAGGCATGTAGGGCAGCTTAAAGCTGGAGCCGGTAAGTAGCAATCTCGAACGCTCTTAGCTGAATATCCACCGAAATGGAATCGTTAGCTTGCTGGATGAGTAGTTCCTCTTCATCGTCTTCGAGGACATTGCACTTCCACACGCGCTTGACAGGTAAAGAACTACGGAGAGAACCCCGGGCTTTCCCGCCAAGAGACTCGTAGACGCGCACAATCACGCTCCGACCAGGGCGAGTGGGGAGACCACCAGAGGAGACATCCTCATCGTCTTCACCGCGCTTGACAGCATCCATGATAACAGAAGGCGCGCCGTGGATGGAAACAGCGTCAAAAGCGGCATTGCAAGCAGCCGCCTGAGAGCTGGCCTGCTCTACGATCAGAGGCTGATTGAAGTTGTAGCCGGCACGAATGGTCCGGTCGTCGAGAGGACCGGTATGGGGAAGGATGGCATAGCGAATGACATGACGGCCCATGTCAGCGTGAGCATCTGGTGCTTTGGGAGCCCGCAAAAGCGAAAGACGCATCAGGTTGCCGCAGGTAGCGAAGCCATATTTAGAGTCATTAAGGATGGAAATCCCGTAGCCGTGCTCAGAGAGGTCAGCCCATTTGTGGCAGCAGACTTCAAATTTGGCCATGTCCCAGCTAGAAAGGATTAGTATTTCAGATTCTTAGAAATTGGAAGAGTACATACCTTGTGTTATAATGGGTTGGGCGACGGATAATACCGTACTGGGTCTCGTAGGATGCCTCGGTGTTGGTCACGTCCACAGGGAACTCGACCTTGAGGAACTTCATAGTCTCATGCCACTCTACCTCGCTCTCGAACTCGACGCGCGAGGGCTCAGAGGAGACGGAGGCGGCGAGGCTGATGGTGGTCTTGATCCAACTCTTGTCACTGATCTTGGTGTGGCTAACCAGACTAACGCGATGTTCGTCGTTCTCTGCGAATGACAGTCTTGCCGCTAGACAGCTCTTTTCGAGACTCGAGGTGGAAGACTTCCACATCCCAAGCTTGCCAATATAGAGGCTTGTCATCGAAGATAACCAGCTGCCCGACCTTTCCACCCTTGGCGACAATCTCTCTGTCCGCTTCAACATCATACAGCGAGGTGATAATCCCATTCTGCACATCGACTTTCAGTTTACCATCTGTCAAGACGGAACACACCAGGCTGGATCTCGGTCACCGTAACTGCGGTATTGGCCTTGAAATCAACCGGCTGGCAAGAGAGAACTCCAGTTGAGCCTTCAGCCAGGGCGTACTTGGAGCCTTCTGATTTAGTCAAAGCCTCGGGGATCTTTACCAGCTCTGTGCGAGGCCATGGTAAAGTGTTCAAAGCCACGAGGTTCTTGGCATCACCTGGACTAGTAATTCCCAAAAGCGGCGAGAGCATCTTTGCGCAGTCTAATGCCGGTCTTGAAAATCTCAGCGTAAAGTTTGTCTGAGTCGTCGTAGCACATCTCGATTGAGCTACCGGGCAAGCAGTCGTGAAACTGGCACAGCAGAACACCTTCCCACATCTCGTCAATTTGCTCCTTGGGATAATTGTACCCCTTGTCAGAGCCACGGAGGGTAGCAAGGGTAGCCAAGAGCTCAATTTCGCGCAGCAAAAATTCGGACTTGCGGTTGTTGCGCTTGTTATTCGCCTGCGTGGTGTAGGTGCCCCGGTGCAGCTCGAAGTAGAGCTCGCCATACCAAGTAGCATAGTCAGTACCATCTGTGGCGTTTGCCTCCAGCTTGTCGAAGAAGTCGTCGACGGACTCTCCCATCTTCACTCGTGGGAGTGTACCAATTTTGTCACTAAGACCGCGGCATCGGCGCAATTTCTCCAAGTGCTCAAAGGTCGGGCCACCACCACCGTCACCCTTGCCGAAGACCAGCAGAGAAGTCTTGTCCTTATCCATGGACTTGTGCTGGGTGACGCTGCGTTTCAGGTCTCCAAAGTGGGCTTCGGCGGTGTATGTTTCCGCGGGAGGCATGTGGCACATCACCTGGCTACCGTCCAACGCAACCCATTGGAAGGTAGTATGAGGGAAATTGTTGATATTGTTCCAGCTGAGCTTTTGGGTCAAGAATCGGCTCATGCCAGCAAGGCGACAAATTTGAGGAATCTGGGTGGAGTAACCAAATGTATCTGGCAGCCAGAAAGTGGTGGATCGCTTTCCAAAGTGGCTTTCAAAGAATCGCTGGCCGTAGAGAAACTGTCTCACCAGTGACTCTCCACTCGGTAGGTTGGTATCGTGCTCGACCCAGCTACCACCAATCGGCTGGAAGTTACCCTTCTTGACCCAGCGCTTGACACGGTCAAAGACACTTGGATAGTATTGCTTCAGCCATTTGAACTGCTGTGCCTGGGAGCAAGCAAAGCGATGCTCGGGGTAGCGTTCCATTAAGTCACACTGGTTGGACCATGATCGAGCGACCTTGCGCTTGGTCTCAGCCCAGGGCCAAAGCCAGCAGGTATCGATATGGCAATGACCGATGGCGTACACAATCGGCTGCGTATCAGTCTTATAAACGTCCGTCGAATCGACTTTGTCACCGAGATATTTTTGAGCAATCTTGCGGGCTTCAAGGATTGACTCTTGGCTTCCATCGCCAGCAATGAATGCATCAATTATGGAATTGGCTACCATGTTAGCTTCATGGGCCTCCCAGGAATCACCCGGAAATTCGCGAGCGGCATCTCCAATGATCCAGAAGTCGTAGTAAAGTGCGCGCGCATCCAAGTTGACAGCGGTGATCTGTGCCTTGCTGAGAACATAGGTTTTGTCCGGTCGAGGTGGTTGAATCGAGTCCCCTCCGGGGGCGTTCCCCGAACATGCCATTGCAGGCCATTTCGATGTAAAACATATGTTCCTCACCGTCACGCCATTCATCGGGAATGATCCATTCAATTCGTTCTCCACCACCAGTCAGACCCTGCAATGGCCGGCCGTCTGTCGACCACACCAATCCCTCATTGTTTGCATCCCAGTGAAACTCCAAACGTTCCTTATGGCGCATTTCCTCGGGTATCTTAAGCCGGATTCTGAACCAATGGGTCGACCAGCTAGGACCAAATGACTGCCCGACAGAGGTCGGCTCGAACTCTTGGGAGGTGGCTTCATTGAAGGACGGTCGCTGAAGGTTTGGGACCGAGTAGACGGACAGGTTGACATGATCTTCGTCGGAATTCACTGCTTCGTTAAATCTAGAAAGCAGATTTTGGCCCTCATATTGTCCCGTAGATGTGAATTGCTTGAGTCGATCGGTGTAGATCTTGGTGATGCGCTGGCCGACCGGTCGCTCGGCGAGCCGGGGTAGCGTGGAAGCAGGAGCGGGGGCGAGATGCGGAGTTTCCCCACCCATAACAGCGATGGAGGCAATGTTTGTTGCTTGATATTGAGATTTAGATTGAAAGACAGCCGAAGGAACAGGATCCTCAATGACTGGCTGGAAGAATCGAGGTAGGTCGCGAGGAAGGGAGGAAGTCGAGTTCCTAATGCGGAGGTCTGACGGAATGCGGAGGCGGTTGCGATCGGCGGGGCCAAATGTCTCAGGCACTCTCCACTTATCCATGGATTGGGATTCCGTCTGAAATCATACTAGGCTTTCATGTCACTGCGTTAACTTCAATACTATAGTACGCAAAAGATAGATAACCTATATTACAATCATTTCACATTCAGTTCGATCACCCAGCGACATCAACCGAGATATTTCATGTACTTCACAAACTCTTCGTCTGCCTTTAATCGCCCCCAATCCTCATCTCTAAGGCAGGCTTGAACCGCTAGATGACCATTCGGCGACTTTGGCATCAAGTAGATCAGACTCTCCACTGGAGTGAAGCTCGGTCGGCGTACTGCCTCGGGCTTGCCAAGTCCCAAGTTGAAGTCAAGGTCATAAGAATTGATCTTAGACCATGAGCTTAGTGCTATGCCGCTCAAAATATCCACACCCGCCATAGGAGAGGTCTTCGTTTTGTCTTTTGAACGGGAAATATAAGTAAGAAGAGACCTTGTGGCGTACGCCAGATCCCTGTCCTCCGAGGTTAACTTAGCGCGAAATTCTGCAGCAGCTGTGCCCAAAGGCACATCTCTTAGGTTTTGCAGCGTGTTTGTGCTATATGTCATATTCTGCAGCACACCGGGGTATTGAGCTGGAAGACCCACATGCTGCCGGACATCGATTGCGCGGGCGAAAGTGGACTTTGTATCGGGTTGTAGGCGAGGGATTCGGGCCCTGGATATGCGTTTCCATAGGAAAGCACAGATAGTATCGTCGGTCGAAACGAAGCCGTCTGAGAGGGGTCGATGTTGCCAGAGACTTGAGCTCTGCCAGCGAATGGGCTGAAAAATCCAGATACGCCCAGGTCGAATTAGGGGGTTGCGATAAGTTTGGGTCACTGGCAGATTCCTCTGGCTGGGCTAGCATCTGGGGAGCCAATTCGGGGCGGGGTTCATACGGCTCATCCAACAAGGAGATGGCCGTGGGCCGGTCAGGGTTACCAAAGGACACCTCCTCCTCTGTAAATTGAAGGCCGTAGCAAGCCTTTGATAGCCAGTCAATAATCTGGGCATGCCCCGTCATGTCCATGACATTGTGCTGTGACATAGAGGTGAGAACTAGGCCGCCGGCGATAAAATTCGCTTGAATGGCGAAGACAAACGCGGACTCGGATGCGAGACCAAAGTTGATAGGCAGGTCCAGGGTAAGGCCGGGTGCGAATGTACTTTCATCCAGCAGTGAGCATGGATAGCCGGCTTTCCGGAGGTCTTCCATTGTCGGGGCGGAGGCGTCTTCTCGGAGATCTTTGACAACAAGTGGAATCCTGTCCGAGGGTACAATGCGATATACACCCGTATTCCCATCACTAGCGCCTTCATTGATGACCTCACCAGCCAGCCATGGAAAGCTGTCGCGCAATCGGTCCATCCCATTCCTCAACGTAGAGAGGATGGCATCCGGAGAGGAGGTCTCGGCAACCGGGAAGACGGAGCATAGTTGGGTATAAAGTTTGTACAGAGCAGGCTGTTGACCTTGCACGTCAAGGATGTTTTGTTCTGTCATTGTCTGAATTTTGACGCTGTTGATCATGAAGATGAAGAAGATAATAAGTCGTATATATAGAACGACCCCCGAGTCGACCCCCAAAAGCCCGGGCCCTGTCCGGCCCCACTTTGAGCCACATCACCTGGGCATACGGATATGCGATTTCTGCATTTATCATCTGGCTGGAAATATGACTTTGCGACGTACACATCTTCACGCAAGGTTGGATCCCTCTTTCTTCAACACTCGTACAAAATAGGAATAAGCTCGTACTCCGCACTGCTGCTGACATACCCAAAGACATTGCAAGTGCTGTTCCGGGCAAGTTCAGGAATCTACGTGAATTTTCCAGTGTACCATAACATTCAAAACACTGATGAGGATGCTCTTGCAGAGAGATTGAAATCTAGAACCCACGATACACGTCGCTGGCTACCTCCATGAAGCAATTCCAATCAAACGGTTATATGAGCATGAGGCCAAGATTGAGCGTTTATATACTAAAGCTGCTCTTGAGATGTCTCGCCTCTAAGTGTCAGACACCTACGTCCCTTTCGCCCATTCTTACAAGCGTGTTGTGGATGGAGGAATCTACCTGTTGACCAAGGAAAATTTTCGCGGCTTTGAGAGCGCGATAATGGAATGATCGGTGAGCGTCAAGACACACAAGTGAATGAGGAGAACATGTTGCAGTGTGGCAACGTCAACACACGAGCAGCGAACAAGAGGTTTTTAAAAACGTGTTCCAACTAGTCGTTTTGATCAAATTTTACCCATTTGTAGAACCTTTCTCCAGCGCTGGTTCCACAAGAGTCTAGGCCAAGGTAGTAGTTCAAAAATCTTTTATGAAGGGTCAACTGGGAGTCATTCATTGTCGGGGGATCGGTGCCTGACCCTGCGGGTGCCACGGTTCTGGGGTTGCGGAGCCCGCCGTTGTCCGCACCAGCGATCCTTGCGGTGCCAAATCAGCAACTTCGACCGACTGAAGCCTCATAGACATAGAAGTAGTCCTGAGTGATAAATTCAGGAACAAATGTGTTAGCTGACACGTTGTAGCCGCAAAATACTGACATAGAATTCAAGCCTCATCCAAAGAACTACATGAGTCTCTAAATACGCTAAGTGGGCGATCTCCAAGAATCACACGATCGGAGAATTTAGGAGTATTACGTTAAAAAAGTCTCTTATACGATCGGCGCGTACGCCATTCGCCTAAAAAACCACGAAGAATCGTAATATCGCGCCAGCGCATCACAGCTGACGTCTGTGCAAGAGAGTAAACGGTGAAAAAGAAAGGTCAAGGTGAGCCAGATCAGTCTTCGAGCATGTGCATTACTTGACGATGACCAAAGCTAGCATCGATTCACACCGATGCAGAATCTACAGTGTTCCAGCCCAATGTACCCCGGGTGTTGACGCAGAGAACCTCACCAATCAAGGCCCAGCAATTCCGCGGTACTACCCGCGCACTAACTGCATTAGACCAATCTTTTACACTATAGCTCGCACTGTAGGATTGAAATGCTCTTTCCAGACATCACGGCCGGGAAAACCTGTTCATTGAGGTGTCACTAGCTCGACTAAAATGTGCGCACGACACTATTCCGGGCTTCGGCGTCGCCCTCTTGGCCTGTGAAGAACATATTAGAATTTGTGGCAAAACCTGATTTCTCGTTTAAAGAGTGTTGATGGATCCTGCTGAGGAATACTGCCCATCTGGAAAGAAATATCTAGCATCACAGTCTCTAATCAATCCTGACTTTTAAGTTTCAGACCTTTGTCGACAAGCGATTTCTTCGTTTCGAGCCTGTCGCTAAGCTCTTCACGTCACGCACAGCTTCTCATTGTCAACTAGATCTTCGAAAATCTATGATTAATGGAACAGCTCATTAACATGAACGACCTGAAAACAGCCCAGCCGGCCATTACAGTATGCAGCCAACACAGTGTGGAATCGCAAGCTTCCACGCCAATTGCTTCACAAATCCCTTCGCTTGTTGCCTCACCAACAGGCCATCATTATGAACCTCTGGCACCAAGCATACCAAACTCAAACACATCTCTCAAAAAAGACGAATTCAGACATCTGGAGCATGTCGCCCAACCCGAAGTGGTACGAAAATTTGCTAATCCAGCTCCGTTGGGCTTATGCGCATTCGCACTCACCTCATTTGTCTCGAATGCCATGAATTTGTACATGGCAAATGGCACAATAACGGGGATTAATATTGGTTTGGCTTTGATCTATGGTGGTATAAGTCAATTCTTAGCTGGAATGTGGTATGTCAGACCCTCCATGAGTTGTGTTATTGGACCTCGATTGGGTGAAACCATGGAATAACACGAACCAGGGAAATGGCCCTCGGAAACACCTTTGGCGCGACTACTTTCTGCTCATTTGGGGCTTATTGGATCACATTCGCCACTCTATCCGAGATTGATACCACCAATCCCGTAGTTGAGAAAGCAATCGAGTCGTGTCAAGCTGAGATCTTGATGGGGATATTCATGATGGTACGTCGATATCTCCTTGTCAGGATTTTGTAGCTCCTAGAACCCGTATTCTGATCATACACACAGGCATGGTTCATCTTCACAACCCTCATGCTACTCTGCACACTCAAATCCAGTATCGCCATGTTCCTGATTTTCTTCTTTCTTGACCTTAATTACCTATTGCTCGCAATCACGCATTTCCAGTGCGGCTCATCTTCAGCAATGATTGCTGCGGTGCAGAAAGCCGGCGGGGTTTGTGGTATACTGGCGGCGGTCACTGCTTGGTACAATGCCTTTGCTGGTGTCTTCGACCAAAGCAATGGATTCTTCAATGTTCCTCTCGGGCACTTTCCTTGGTCACCTGTTCATCATGTTCACCAGGCGAACAAACACAAAGACGTGTGAAAAGACATGCTCGAGGAAGAGTTATTGAAGAGTTGAAAGGTTCGAATCATTGATGGTAAGTACTGATCAGATCAAAACTCCGAAGTACTTTTCTCTCGCTGACAAAAATTCAAGCTCCAGTCGTGCAAAAACAGGTTGGGTATTCATGTTTAATGCTTTTGTTCGGCATACTATCTTGCCCAGCCCACTGTGACCGCTACAGAGTATTAAGAATGTGCAATCCTTCGGCTACACCACCGGAGGCAGGGAGGCTTCAGCGCATTGTCATATTGATGGAACTATCCGCTTGGGTCCATTGGACAGATTAGTCCATGAAATATAGTCAGCGCTGATCAGAGATCGCCGAGCCAGGCAACGAATAAGCGCAAGTATTCTGAAAACTTATCAAAATAATTTATATTCGAATTTTTGAAAGATCATCTCTCTTAAATTTTCTAAAGCAGTTGAAGTAATTGGCCTTCCATGTGGATTCTCGGTAAATCCTATGAAACTCGCATATGTAAGTCGCAAAAAGAAAAAACATACAACAGCAGGGATTCGCTAGTGGTCACCCACCCAACTACTAACCAACCGGCGTGTGGCTTATATAATGTTATTAGTTAGTTGGGTGTCGCCAGGGTGAGAAATGGGTGAGCGCCGCTTTACGGTCGCGCGACTAGGGGTAAGCAGGGTAAGTGCGTAATAGATAGGGTAAGAGTATAGGTAAGAGCTAGATAAGAATCCTATTAGCTAGCGCAAAAACCGTACAGGCCGCTTAGGTAGACTATACTTATATTCTATTAGATAAAGACCGCTAGCTCTGAAATACCGTATTCTTAGTATTTATATATAGCTATACTTAGTTATATATCTAGCTAATTAATAACTAGCCCTTTTTAGGGCAGATCTTTATATATTATATATTATAGACCTCGCATTTATTTGTATTACCGGTCTAAAATTATGTCACTCTACTCGCACTATTAAGCCTTAGATCTTATCTCCTTACTATAACCTTAACCCTTAGAGGGTCCCCTAATATATATAGGAGTATATTTCGCCTAAGGGCACCTAGCTAAACTAAGACTTAATATTAGCTAATACGGACCTAGAGTTTATAAGTAATCCTCGGTCTTAGTTTTTTTTCGGTCCCCATTGGGTACTTAGCGAAGTAAATATAGATTTAACAGACTAAGACCTAGGATTTTATAACTAATCCTAGGTCTTAGTTAGCTAAATCCTAGTTATTATCTAATATATACCTTATCTCTAAGGCTAAGTGACTAAGTATACTAATAACTTAAATATAATTTTCTATCTAAATCAAAACTATATTCTAAAATCTATTACAGGAAAACTAAAGTATATTAAATAATAAAGTAAATAAGTAAGTTAATACTATATATATTAATCTACTAATATATTAACCTTCTAAATATAGGGCGAAGTATTCTTTTATATATTTATAGTGTCTACGGGCCTATCTTATAAACTATTATTGGAATATAGACCAATGCTACATAGAAAGTTCTATCCTTATATTCAACATATAAGACCAGATTGCATTGCATTGATTACGTGACCAGATATTTTCTTCTATCAAAAAGATGTTTTGACCACTTCTGATTCTGGTCCGCGGCCCTCCCCCCGAACGATAGGCGGGACCATTTTCCTTTAGGGGTAAATGGTCCGCCTTCAGGCATGAATGGTCCGTTCCTTCGGGAGTGCCTTCGGGCATGCCTTGCCCGCGGACTTCGACCATGGTCTTCGGACCTCGGTGAACAGACTTTGACCCTCGGTCCCCTTAAGGATAGGCGGACCACTTTCGCTTAGGGGTAAAATGGTCCACCTTTAGGCATGCATAGCCTGATCCTGCGGGGGTGCTTTCGGGGTGGCTTAGACCGTCGATCCTTGACATCATTCTTTTCGCTTCTCTTCGGTTCCCTTCTTTGCCACCTTCATTATGTTGCTGCCTAGTGTTTGTACGTCATTTGTATGTCATTCTAGACGTCATTTCTAGGCTATTCTAGCCTATAAATACGTCCTTCTTTTCTAGCAGATAGAATCAAGTCAGTTCTACTTTCCTGAAGTCATTTTCCACTTTCCAAAAGTCATCTTGTCAGCATATTCAAGGACTGTCAGCATTACCTTTGTCAGCATTATCAAGGACTGTCAGCATTACCTTTAGTCATCCAAGAAGACTATGATCTTTATAATTGGTCAGGTAAATACGAAAAGCCACCTAATTATAATAGGTCTATTAAAAGGTGTTCTATGGATAGACTATTAATGATGCCTTGATATAGGTCTAGACTATTGATGATACCTTGACATAGGTCTAGACTATTAATGATGCCTTGACAATAGGTCTAGACTATTAATGATGCCTTGACAACTAAAACTGATGCCTAGACTATGATTGATTTCAAAGCAAGACAGGCCTAGACTTAAAACAATGCAAGTCTAATATAGGCCTAGAACATTGTTGATTGGATATAAATATGTCCGCAATTCTCTACAAGAAAAATATAATTCTTCTTCAATCATCATATCATACTCTGAGGTTTCCTATTAAGGAAATATTCTTTTATTCATCGAAGGATAAAAGACTTGATCTCCCATTAGATCTCCCACTGGATCTCCCACAAAATCTCTGGCTTCTAAGCTACTCTATCGCAGAGTACTATTAAATTAATAACTTTAGCTACGAAGGGCTTTTTCCCTATAAAGAGAATTCGACTTTAGGACAGTTTTAGCTTAATAAGCTTTTTTACTCGCTTAGATCTATCACACTTATAATAGCTTAATCTAAATAATTATATTATTATAGGGTCGGATTTAGATATTTTTATTAAGAAGCATTATACTTCCTTAAGATATATATTTCTAAGGCGACTCTACCTTTATAAAGGTATAGTATCTTTAAATTTAAGACTAAGGCCTTTAAAAATATTTTTGAACCTAATTATCGCCGCTAAAGCTATATAATTAAGTTAGTAACTTTAAATCTATTAGAAGAGGTAATATTAAAAAATTAAGTCTCTAGTATATAGAAAAAATAATAAATATTTGTTGGAGCATAAGGGGAAAGCTACCACGAAGCAGATCGTGGCCCCTTAAGTCCGTGGGATCAACCTTAGTCCGGCCAGGTCAGTCGGTGCCAGACAAAGGAAGAAGGTCAAAGGTCGTAGGATAGACTATAAGCAGATATAGCCTAAACGAAGGCAGAACCACAGTCCTGAGGATCAAAGGAAGAAAGTAGAACTGACTTTGGAAAGTGGAAAATGACTTGATTCTTTCTGCTAGAAAAGAAGGACATATTTATAGGCTAAAGTAGCCTAGAAATGACGTCTAGAATAACATACAAATACTAGACAGTAACATAATAAAGGTGGCAAAGAAGGGAACCGAAGAAAAGCCAAAAGAATAATGTTAAGAATCGACGGTTTCAGCTACCCCGAAAGCTTCCCCGCAGTATCAGGTTATGTATGCCCAAAGGTGGACCATTTTATCCCTAAGGGAAAGTGGTCCGCCTATCCTTAAGGGGACTGAGGGTCGAAGTCTGTTCACCGAGGTTCAAAGACTATGGTCGAAGTCCGCAGGTAAGAGATGCCCGAAGGCACCTCCGAAGGAACGGACTATTCATGCCTGAAGGCGGACTATTTATCTCTGAAGGAAAATGGTCCTGCCTATTATTTGGGAGAGGGCCGCGGACCAGAATCAGAAGTGGTCAAAATATTATTTTGATAGAAGAAAAAATCTGGTCACGTGATTAATATAATGCTGATCTTATATGTTAAATATAAGGATAGATCTTTCTTTGTAGCATTGGTCTATATTCTAATAATATTTTTGTTATATTATATCCGGTAGCTCTATAAACTAGAAGTGACTATCTTAGTTCTGAAATAGCTAAAAAAAACTAGGTCTAATAGTTATAGCTCTTAAGGGTATATAATATCGAAAGGTCCCTATATAAGGCTAAGAAGTAAAGAAATTTATAGCTATATACTATATAGAAGAGCCTTAGCTATTAGGGAATAAGAAACGTATAATATAGAGAATAAAATATTATAAGCAACTATTATAATATATATATATATTAATTAAATCCTCTATCAGACTAAAGAGCCCTAACGAAAGATCTAAGGAATAATCTTAGGATTAGAGTGAAAAACCAGCCGAAGTTCGGCTTAAACCTATTAATAGGATTTATATATAAAAAATAGGTAGCCTATATCTTAAACCTATATTTAATAAATACTTAAGTAAGTAGTTAGTAAGAATTTATATATAACTAATATAAGAGGTTAGTGTTATGTTCCACGCGGTGAGTGTATTAAAGATAAAATTATTATATTCTTAAGGGCTATATAAAATAGTTCTTACTAGCTAATAGGGAGCCTCCCCCGATAGAGGAAATACGACCTTAACCCTTTAATTAGAGAAAGATACACTAGTAGAGAAACTATATATCGCTAAGGGGTAAATTACCTTACAGAAAAATGCCCTTAAAAAGGCTAACGCGGAAATCGAGAGTTAAAGGTCACTTATAGAGAAGGCTCAGATAACGAGTAATTTCTATTAGGAAAATTATTAAGGATAGATAGAGCTATATAAGTACTATTAGCTTAGGTGCTTATAGGGCTCGACTGCGCTTTATAAGATTATAGGATTGATCTAGGAAACATTTCCGAATTTTCCTGATTATTAGTTGGAATTAATCTAGTATCATATAGTAATATTCGAAATCAGATTTACCTCTACACTCTTCGACTTTAATTCCCGAACCCTAATTTAAAATATACTAATCTAGGTATGGTATAACTGTCGGTCCCTTTGTTCCTAAAATAGAAGCTATATCTTATATAACGCGGGTGGGACCTTGCTCTGTGTAATTTATACGAAACCTTAATATATATAATATCACTCTACCCTGTCTTTTCTCCTAGTAATAGGCTTCTTCCCTTATATATTTTGAGCGCTACCCTATATTAGACTTATATATAGCTCTGAAACTCCTTTCCCTAAAGCTGTACCTAATCTGTGATATAGTAGAGAGTTAGTTATTAGCCACTTCTTAAATAGCTAAAGAGGCTAAGTGTAGTAAGGTTACGATTATAAATCTTTACAGAAACTTATAGTATTTCGGGAGCTTCCACGCACCCCTAAGTAATAGAGGTCGGAAACGAATTAACCCCGCTAATAGTCGACGCGCTCTGCGACTACCTATCGGAAGAACCGGGCCTATACCTTAATAAGATAGCTGTCTTCCCCTAGGTTAAGTTTTGCACTATGATTATACCCTTCAGAAGAACCCTTCAGAAGAACTCTTCAGAAGAACCCTTTAGAAGAACCCTTCAGAAGAACTCTTTAAAAGAACCTTTATCGCTAAAGGTTAGTCCAGAAAAACGGTCGGGCAGTATATAAAGGAGCGTAACGCCGATTTACGAGAACTTTGTCTCTATAACTTGTCGGAATTTTAGTCGTATTATCTAGTTTACGTTAATGAATCTGGATATGATAAGAGGGCTAGATTTTTTTAGGCGTAAAGGCTAGTTATTACTTAGTGTGGCCTATTTATAGGAATCGCAATTCTATAGCGCCCTACGATATTAAATATTACCTGCGTATGCCTAGGAGGGTATCGGCCCCTCGCGAGTATTCCGCGGTTTAATTAATACTATAATATTTAAAGAATTTCTGGCTCAGATTCTTCGGCACTAGGGATAATGGCCTCGAACTAAATCTGCTATGGCTATAGAGAATGCGTCCTTGTATTATTTAGAATAGATTACGCTTATGTACGCGGACGCGGGGGTATATTAGTATATCTGCCGCCCTACTTATTAGAGTCGAATCCGATCGAGGAGTTTTTTGCTGAGCTGAAAAGCTTTACACTTTGCTAATGAATTTATGTAGGTGTGTATATTACTTTCTCTCCGAATTCGAGTAGCGTTTTAATAACCTCTATATGCTTATTATCTTTCGTACTTAGTAAGGGCCTCTATACGAAAAAGTCCCTAGGGTCTACCTTGATAGCTTCTATCGTAGCGTGGGAATTCGATTTACAATTATATTGATATAAGCCGTCGCTCTGAATATATTATTTGATATCATAATAATTATGATAGGGTTATTTCTCGTGGTAGACTGCTAGACTAGGTCTAGGTAACTAATATAACGTGATACTATAATTTTAAAGATAAGGTGATATCACTCGTTATGCTACTGAAATGACCTAGTTCGATAAGGTAAGATAACGTATTTGATTTTTATGCTATTAATAAAGGTATTGCACTATTTCTCTTTAGAACCGGGCACTTAGCTAAAGACTATATTTATCTATAATTATTATTTTGCTACGTCACTACCTACCCTGTGAGGCCGTATCTGTGCGGCGTTAATCCGATCGTCTGTAGTGCCGATATAGTATTAGTCGATATACTAAGGCCTATATATTAAACGTTTTGAAGGCCTACGGGCCCCTATATCCGGAAATCTTTGCGGAGTATAGTTACGGATTACTAATTGTCCTAACCGGCTAGTCGTGCGAGCCGTAAATGTCCCTGATAGAATCACAGACTGTTATAGCGCTTATAAATGAATAGATCCGATATACTTTTCGGGGACTAATTAAGGGATATTGTACACCTTACAGATTATATAGACGTGTGCTAAAGAATCTAACGAGCTATATCACTCCTAGCCTAAGAATTAAATTTCTAAGCCTTCGATTACTAACCACGATTACTAGCGAACGCTAAAATTAGTAAGTGGCTAAAAATGACATATAATAAGACTAGAATAATGCCAGAAATGTTTCTCGTAAAGATATAAAGCCTATTCTGTAGCCGTAAGGTCCTTATACTTTATATATTTGAGAATCTTATTGTCTTCTATACTATTATTAAGAGGCCACAGAACTAAAGAAAGTATGGTATCTCCTACTATTAATAAGTTAAAGCCTTATTTTCCTCTCGCTAGTGGCGCTAATAATAGCTAGTCTACCGAGGATAAAGCGACGGCTACGTGCTTTTACGGTGCGGTATAACTGTTATTCGTAAGTTTCGATTTCGAGCCTACTCTCTATAGTATGCTTCTCTAATAATAGCTCTAAACCCCTAGCTAACCTAAGGACCTAGCTACTTTAGCTCCTTTGTCTGTAACTGCTCCGACTGCTATAAGCTTACTGTATCAGTATACGCGACTAACTTCACGGTCTATAATACGCACCTAAAATATCTGCGAGGCCGCGATAACTTAAAGATATATAGCTAGTCGCGCACTGTATTCTTTAAAACTCTTGGTAAGGATAATACTATGACTAATTATTTCTGTTCTATATACGGCTCGCTTATATACCGCGTTAGTGTGGCTTTCCCGGGCATAAGTATTCTGCGCGTTAGGAGTATGGATGATTTCTCTTTGCACGAGACGAAGCTAAGACCCACTATAGAGCAGTTTACGAAAGACCGTGTGGCCTAGAAGGCTCCTACGGAAGGAGCTAAGTAGTTTGTGGAAGATAGCCTATATATATAGTAGAAGTCAAAGTTATAATTAGCTACTAGTGCGTACGAACCGCCTAACTTAGTTATAATAAACTTAGTATTAATTCCAATATATAATAGTATTTAAATGCGACACTATTCCTCTACGTCCTGAAGGACTCTCTTAATATATTTATATAGGCCGTTTAGTCTTAATATTAGCGTAATCACACGATAGAGGCCCCGGATATCGTATAATATAATATATATTGCGCCTAACAAAATGTTAATCGGAGACTCGCTCGCCGTTAATTTAAGCGTCTTAGTCAGTGAGTTTTGGCTTATAAACGATAGCTTTAAGTTCTTGCCGTTTCGAGAAAGAATAGGCCCTTTATCCTCTAAAGATATTAAATAATTATAGTATTATAAAATAACTTATTTATTGTTACCAGTAAATACAGTATAGTCTAATAGGGATTAATAGGGAACGGCTAAAATTAGACTAGCGTGCTTTAAGTTAGGGTTCGGGAATAATAGACTGAGAGTGTAGAGGTAAATCTAATTTCGAATATTACTATAAGCCTTCGTTAGAGAATACAAACTATTTATAGGGCGGACCGATTAAAATATATATAACTGGTCCCTAGACCTTAAAATCGTGGAAGGTCGATAAAATAGTAGCAGTAATCGAATATAACCTTAAATAGATATAGGCGTCTTAGAATTTTAGCGGAGGCCGTTTTAGCTCGCGAGGCTCCGAGAGCTATATAAGTCCGCCCTATAAAGACCGCTGTAGGCTTATTATAAAGCTATCTATCTATTCTGAAATTATTTAAAAGAACTATATTTCTAAAGTACTTTGCTATATAAATATAAATATAATATACCTAGCATAAATAATATCTTATTATAAATAAGCTAAAAGCTATTAAAGCTTAGGGAGAATAATAAATAAATATTTTCTTTAATTACTTAATTACTTACTTAATGTGGGAGATCCAGTGGGAGATCTAATAGGAGATCAAGTCTTTTATCCTTCGATGAATAAAAGAATATTTCCTTAATAGGAAACCTTAGGGTATGATATGATGATTGAAGAAGAATTGTATTTTTCTTGTAGAGAATTGCGGACATATTTATATCCAATCAACAATGTTCTAGGCCTATATTAGACTTGCATTGTTTTAAGTCTAGGCCTGTCTTGCTTTGAAATCAATCATAGTCTAGGCATCATTTTTAGTTGTCAAGGCATCATTAATAGTCTAGACCTATTGTCAAGGCATCATTGATAGTCTAGACCTATTGTCAAGGTATCATCAATAGTCTATCCATAGAACACCTTTTAATAGACCTATTATAATTAGGTGGCTTTTCGTATTTACCTGACCAATTATAAAGATCATAGTCTTCTTGGATGACTAAAGGTAATGCTGACAGTCCTTGATAATGCCGACAAAGGTAATGCTGACAGTCCTTGAATATGCTGACACTCCCCCTTAATCTATATATATAGATATAAATATATAGATTATGTCTGCATATATATAGGTTTTTATAGCATATAGACCCTCTTTATATAGAGTTCCTCTATATATATCTAGGGTTTTGGCTTATAAATAGTGCCTAAATTTGCTAGCTGTATTAAAGAATTGTGTATAGTTTTATTCACATTCTTTGTTAAGAAATCAGCTAGGTTATATTTAGATGGCACTTTAATAAGAGATATCTTTTTCTCTATTATAGCCTGCCTAGTAAAATGATAGGTTATACCTATATGCTTTGATTTTTTGTGAAATTCAGGATTTTCAGCAAGTTTTATAGCTGATGCACTATCCACTAGGATTTTTGGTATGCTTCTTATATATCCTAGTTGCATATGCATATTTATATATTGAAAGGAATTAGATAGATATATTCCTTCTTTTGTGGCATCTCTCAAAGCCATATATTCAGCTTCACAGCTACTTAATGCGGTGGTTTTTTGTAGTTGGGATATCCAACTTATAGGATTATTAAATCCTAGCTCTGATGATAGGCTATATATATAGGCTGAGGTTGATCGATTATTATCTAAATCATTTCCCCAATCAGAGTCACAATAGCCCTTTAGCATAAGATTATAGCCTGAGCATTCATATATAAGGCCTATACTAGGATAGGCTAGTAAATATTGCCATATATGTTTTAATGCCTTAAAATGGTCATTATTTGGTTTGCTCATAAACCTAGCACAATTTATTACTGCATAAGTAATATCAGGCCTTGTTTTTAAGGCTAAATATAGTAAAGATCCTATTTCTTTTTGATATTGTCTTATATCTTTAGGATCTATATCTATAGTGCTTTTCCTTAGCTTAATACTAGGATCACTAGGTATAGACGTGGGCTTAAGCTTATATATATCAAATTTATTTAAAAGCTTTAATGTATAAGCTTCTTGATTTATATAAAGTCTTTTCATAGGATAATCAATAATTATATTGTTTCCTAGAAAGGTAGAGATTTGTCCCATATCTTCTAGCTTTATAGACCCTTTTAGGCTATTTATAAGCCTTTTTATATAGTCTATATCCTTTGATAGAACTATAAGGTCATCCACGTGACATATAATAATACATTTTGTAGTATCATTCATATATATGCCTTCATCATAGGGGAATATATAAAAGCCTTCCCCTTTCAATATAGATGATAGGTATTGATACCATAGTCTAGGAGACTGTTTAAGGCCATATAGTGCCTTATTTAAATGGCAACATTTATCTTTATATTTTATAGGGTTATATATCCCTATAGGCAATATAGTATATATATCAGTATCTATATCGGCATGAACGAATGCATTTTTCACATCGTATTGTCTTATATGCCAACCCTTATTTAGTGCTATAATAAGCAATATATGCCATATTTCAGTGCGGCATGTAGTGGAAAACGTTTCTAGGAAGTCTATTCCTAGACGTTGATTAAAGCCTTGTATAACCCATCTCGCTTTATAGCGGATGGTTTTATTTATATCAGTTATATAGGTATTACTATTATTTATAGTATCCTTATTTATAGGCTTTATTTTAAATACCCACCGACCATTTATAGGCTTTATATTAGGGGGTATATCCACTATTTCATAGGTATTCTGGCTTTCTAGCTCTTGTACCTCGTTTATGCATGCCTTATACCATTCGTCCGAATTAGGACTTTGTATAGCTTCCCTATAGTTTTTTGGCTCATTTGCTATATTTGCAGTAAGTATAAAATTAGGGTAATCAGCCCTATTATCAGAAGGATGATTAGTCCTTTCAATAGCACTTATAGTGTCTGCAATAGTGGTATCTTTTATGGTATATATATAAGCGGGTATTTGTACTTCCACTTTGTGATCTGGCTTTGAAGCTATATATTTATTATAGCCCCTTGTAAGAGGTTTAGGAAGAGGTTTAGGCTTATTATCCTTATTTTCCTCTATATTTGATTCAATTTGGTCTAAATCCATTTGGATTTGATCCGAATCCATACTAGCTTGGTTTTTAGGGGTCTTAGGCTTATCAGCCCAATATTCGCCCTCTAATATAGTCACATCTCGTGACCAAAAAGCCCTATTCAATTTAGGGTTATAAAGCTTATAGTGATTATAATCACTATAGCCTACTAGTATAGCCTCTTGCTTTCGAGGTGATAGCTTATTACTTATCATATTATCATGATAATAAGCTAGTGAGCCCCATATCTTCAACAGAGATAAATTTGGTTTTATATTAAAGTATATATCATATGGTGCCTTATAATCTAGGCTTGTATGCGGTGTGCGGTTATATATATATACCGCGGCTAATATAGCCTCACCCCATAGGTATTTTGATGCTTTTGATTGGATTATCATTGCTCTTACCTTATTCATTAGGGACAGATTAATCCTTTCAATTAAACCATTTGGTTCTTTTGTATAAGCGGGCGTAGTACGGTGTATAATACCGTATTTAGATAAGGCTTTATTATAGTCCTTATTTATAAATTCAGTGCCATTATCAGTAAAAAGCTCTTTTATAGATCTTTTTGTCTGATTTTCGCTTATAGCCTTAAAGCTTTCAAAAGCTTTAAATGCATCATTTTTTCTGCTTAAGCAGTGTTATCCATAGATATCTAGACTTTTTGTCTAGAAATGTAATATAATAATGATAGCCATTATAGGTTTTTGGGCTTAATGGCCCTCCTATATCACTATGTATCCTTTCTAGGATATCATATTTTTGAGGGTTTATAGATATCTTATTTATATGCCTATTATCTTTTGATTCTAGGCATACTTTGCATTTTTTGGTAGCTTGTGTTTTAATGGATTTATCTGGTAAACTACCTCTTTTAATCATTTTATTTAGGGATAGGGCACCTATATGCCCTAGTCTCTTATGCCACTTGTTATAAGTGAGTTTTTGATTATTTTTTGTCTTATATATATCTGAAGTATATATAGATTGATTATTATTCCTTATAGGATATAATATAGTAGTTTTAACACAGTATAAACCATGAGGACTTCGGTTAGCTACAGCTATAGCCCTTTTATTTGAATATAATAAAGCTTTATTTTGGGTAAATAAAGTCTCTATATTTTGCATAGAACCTATGCTCAATAAATTTATACCTAAATCAGGTATATAATAGACATTTTTTAGTCTATATATAAAGCCCGATATAAATTTTAGTATTATATCGCCTTTATATTTTGCCTTTAGGCTTTTAGCTTTACCCCATCGTACAATAGTATTTGTATCGTGGTATGTTTCATAAAGC